CTACCCATCCGGGGCGCCGGGGTCGCTACGTCGCGGGAATCGAAGCCTGGTCGAGGCTAGAGTGTGTGTAATGCCATGGTTTCATCCGAATCCTATTCACACTATTCTACGGAGTGACATATTCCCGGGACGATGCAGCAGGTCACAGATATGTGCCTCTGAAGCCCTGTGTCCCAGGAGGGGCATAGGAGGATTGTACAAACCTCTAGTTCGCTACGGTACGACAGCCACCGCTGGGTGTTAATGGAAATGTCTCTACGGCGATGGGAATTAGGTCAAGCAAGGGACTCGAGGGTGAATGCAACGGGGGAGACTACAGTATCACTGTCTGCATCCGGTCACATGAGTTCGAAATTGGTCCAGTTGTGTAGCTTGCTATGCCTCGTTCCCTAGGGGGCTTCATGGCTACGATTCAAGCGTTGGGGATACAGTACGATGCTCGTCTGCACCAGACAGAGGGCCCTACCTGTATGGGATGCATCAGCTATTTCTACTAGCCCAGCCATGACTGACCTGAGCATAGGGAAGTCTTCTGGTGACAATGGGTCATTTTGGGGTATTGGGAGGGGTCCGGATTCACCTAGGGGGTCAAATTCAGCCATTGGTTCAAGGCTGTCCCAGACGATGTGACGAGACATCTAGGCTATCAATTGAAGGCCCTGCTAGACCTAGGAATTTACCCTAATCCCCCTAACTCGGAAATTCGTACAGATACCCAAATCACATCCCCTCAACATGTCTCCATCTCCATGGCCGCACCAGGTAGTCCCCAGGACGTCTAGCTACCAGCGCCCCTGATCGTCTAGTCTACTGGTTCCTGCGCTCATGGTACAGTAGGTGCCAAGCACATTCCGGCGATGCGGGAGCTGGACTTGGGAATTTGATTTCGCGAATTCGAAAAAGTTACTGCCGCCCAAATTGGAACCCCGGTCCCAACCTTGTCCCTAGTGGTAGCTGCTAGGTGGTTAGCCCCAGCACCGGCGAACTCTAATGGACTACTGATGGAGTGTCATTGGTCAATGCCAATAGCGCTAACGGGAGCGGGATATTACTGGTCAGTGGGAGGTTAGCGTTACCCCTTTTCGGGAGAATTCGTCCATGCGTCAGAATTCCCAAAGGTGTCTGCTACGAATTGGAGGCATCCTGCACATTTCCAGAACACTCGCAGTTCACCCCGAGAACCATCTGGCGCACTCCAAGAACTGCACGTCGCTCATTTGGAGATCTGCTGGTTCGGGTGTCAAGGGCGGGGTGATGAAGTTGTCCACGATCCAAGGTCCCGGGGTCGACCTCATTCTACGTCGTGCATCTCCCGCTCTGTTGCGATCGGTCCAATTAAACCTATACCAGCGCGTAGCTCTTGACAAGGCGAATCGAATGATATAGGTCTGGTGCCCATAAATGAATGTTTCGAATTTCGGTGCGGGTGTGAAGTACGCATGTAGTCGAATATGGAGGTCACGTGACCCATATGTTCCCGGGCGTTCCCAAACTGCCCAAGCTGATTTTTCCAGCCCACACCAGCCAGCCAGACCGCTCAGGGTGGATTTCTGCTGTAGGGTAAGCCTGTCACCGTGGCAAAATGTCGACCTACTGAACCCACCCCCTGGAACCACCCTGCCACCTGGAACCAATCTTGGAACCCGAGGGCTCCTTGATCCGCAGCGCCTCGGGACCTTCTAGGGCACACCACAGCACTCACTACAGCACTCACTACAGCACTCACTACAGCACTCACTACAGCACTCACTACAGCACTCACCACCACTACTACTAACCCCCTAACCCACCATAAGCAAAAATTAGGGGGTGCCCGGCGCACTCAATTGAGCACTGTACGGGGGGTCATAGGGTCAACTCCAACGCTACCTCATGCACTGCCCACCCTATCGCGTGCATCGGCTTGAAACCTATGTCAGTGCATAGCCTCAATCAAGGCGATTCGAATGGTATAGGTTTCCCAATTCCATCTCTCCATTCGGGTTGTGTAGATGGTTTTGTAAGCCAGTACCAATTGCTCGGCGTGGCGGCGACGATTAGGCGCTGCTAGCGACCGTGTCTAGCGCTACTCGTAGGGCGAATGGGGGGTTGGGTCGCCCCCGATTTAGGGCTACACCCACTGGAAATGCTACCTACGCAAGTACCTAAGTATAGGTAATCAGGGGAACTTGGTAAGGGGTTCCCAATTGGACTTCGGAACTTAGAACATCCAACATCGAAGTGAACAGGTCGACGGAAGCGCTACTGCACCCATCCCAGCCTAGAATGTCAGCCAGCATATCCCCAGTATGGGTATCGCTTGCATGCGCCCATCCAGAAAAACTGTACAAGGTCCCTGTCTCCGGACGATTGGCAGCTCGGGGCTAGGCGTTGGTATTATCTACGGCTGGTGTCCGTCAAACTAGTAGTTGCCCAGTTCCGGACGGCAAGGTAGGGGCGGAGCTGGGTCGTGAGTCACGAAGACGCGTACATTATCTCCCCGGCATCCAATTGACCGTCGCTACTCTAGAGCGGACTGTAGGGATCGGATGAGTCGACGCCGATGACCTTCGATACGCCACGGCAAGCTCAGAGCGCATCGAAAACTTTTGGGTGTCACCCCTGGCCCTGTCAATGATATGTCTATCCCAGCCTCGACTAGCTTCCGTCGAACTGAAGAATGCTGAGGTTTTGGTTAAATTGGACATCTCGTCATCGCTGTTGGCGCCAGGCCATTGCGGAGCCAGTAGCTAGAGGTCTAGCAGGGCCGAGGCTAATCGTAGGACTGATTAGGGGATTACGGCTCGATCTATGATGGTAAGGGCTTTGGGAGTTCGGTAGGCGATTAGCCTAGGGGCAGAACAGATAAAGGGGTCATCCTATATACATCTGGTTCCCCAGGGACGGGTAGCGTAGATAGTATAGCTCACGACAACGTTTCCATGCTCATTTATTCCACCCCGTATCAGTCGTGGGACCAGAGCGCGTATCCGATGACCGAATTCGAATCCCGAGACCTGTTTTCGCCGCGTCAAGCTTATGATCTACCTAGGTGCCACCATTTGATATCGGCAAGGCTTCCAGGGTCACTCGATTGGGATATGGAACAGCTAGAAATCCAAGCCCCGTGCCTGATGGGTACGCGCTGCATGTAAATCTCATGACACCCCTAGCCCGCGATTGTTGCGATGGGTATAGCATGGACGAGGTCGACGTTGGATATCACTGCCTACGTAGATCGTATGAGGCTATGATGCTGGTGTCATCTTCAGGGGCTCGTTCACGTCAATGAAAGGCCTGCATTGGATGTATGGCCCTGGGTACCCTGTCTGCGGCGCCAGATTGATGGGATCGTGTTCTGGCTTGTTGGGGTTGGGTAGCGAGGTTACGACGTTTGGTCCACGTCTCCTGTTCGGTATGCCGCATTCGTACGGGGGCTACAGGCTCAGCTCAACCTACGAGAAACCATCACTGGTCTCACAGGACCATCTACAGCAAACTACTAATATCCCATCGTGCCTCCGTGTCCACGTCACTTCACGATGGGTTCGGGAAGTACGGGGTAGCTGGCCTTGCCGATTTCGCCCATCCCAACCACCTGATCGACTTCGCGGCAACTTCCTATCAGGAACAGACGCCGTTGCCGGCCTGCCCGAGCACATGGGAACCAGATTTTATTCTAGTCGACCATAGATTCCTATCCCAACCAGACGTTCCCATATCCAGCATCCGCAAGCGATCTGTTGTCCCGGAATGTGCCAGTCCGTCCTGACGTCCCAGACGCTTCATATCTAGCTTGGAGAGCGTGCAAACTCGGGTAGACGTCGCTAGCAGGTTGCCTGTCTTGTGAAAATGACCTTGCGTCTGCTGCAGGGCTGGTAGATTCGGGTTCATCTGGACGACTACAGCGATTCTGTAGCTGCAGCCACGATGCGAACGTGGCGCGGGATCGTCAGTTTCATCCCAGGACAATGATCGGGGCCCAGGTCCGGTGTGGAACGGTATCACATCCTCGATTGATCTAAGCACACACGTAGTCGGAGGTCCGGTCCGTCGGGCTGGTGGCTAGGGGCTTGACATGGTCGTAGCTCTGTTCGCATGAGATCGCAGGTGGTCATGGGTGGCCCGTTGACAGCTAGATCTAGGGCGGGCAGGAGATAGGCTCTTTCTACATGTATACCTTACCTCCCGACCGAGACCAGACCAGAGATCCCCGCATGGTAGCATCTCTGTCATCGCCCGCTAGTTCATCCCGTGGTATGCCACAACCAGATCGTCAGTAGACCTCTCACGAGCCGACAATAGCTATTTCCCGGCCTCGGCGTGCCCCTGACACAGGAACAACGGCGTCGGCGACCACACGGACATGAACTCCATAGACTAGATAGCCCTACGTACCGGGAAATAAGTGCTGATCCCGTCTTGGTGCAAGGGATTCTGAGACATCGCTCGCCGAAAGGCCTAGTTAGACGAACGGGATACGCGATGCACATAACGTCCGGAGTATGTTGGTGAGCTGACTCAACCGACAGCTTTCCACATAGCATGCTATAGCCAAAGCCGTAGATCGAGACTTGGCTATCCCTGGGTGCATACCCCATGGGAGGCCATCTCCGAACTATTGCACCAAGCTCCCAAGGTACCGTAGCGACGACGAGGCGGATCCAGATATCGTCCTGTTGCCTTGATCCGGACAGGAGAGGTCCATTTAGCGTGGCGACCCACCACTAGTACGTTAGAGGCCATGGCGCGTCGCTGACAAGACGCTAGATGTCGGATACGGCTAAGACAGTCGGGACGTTGAAACTAGTCGTCTCCACCTAATCATACCGAAGCCAACAGTAGTTAATCGCAAGCACCCAACGTGGTCTGTGTACCATGGGCAATGGCGGCGTGTAGGTGCAGTCGGACGCAGGCCGGCAACCCCGCCAATTAGTCGTCTGCCTTTGCATCCCAACCTCTCTCTCTACCGCCGAGGACTCGACAACGTTCATCAGGTCCCAATCACACCTGCTGTCAATATGTCTCTCGGATGGAACTTCAGTGGGGTAGCAATCTTTTGCCAATATCCAAATGGCATACCGAAGATTAGAGGCACCGGCAAAGTTTTCCCTACGAGGTTCTCTCCTCCAACTAGTTCGGCCCTCCCGACAGAAGTGTTTCGAAGCGACAGAATATGTTCCCGGTAAGAATAGTAAATAGGTACCTCGTAGCTTGGGTGTCGTTAACGCATCCTTAGGTACATCCATCTCAAAGACCGCCAGTGCACTCTTGTCTTCACGGATGGCGCGTGCTTGAATAATGGCATGCCTAACCCTAGGGCTGGCTGGGGAATCGTCTATGGTCCGGGACACCGGGACGGCGGGCCGGAGATTGAGTGCGGTCGGCTAGAGAACAAAGGACCTTTCGGCGACGACGGTATCCAGAGCAGCAACAGGGCCGAGCTCCGTGCCGTCATCGCCGCTCTGCGTGTCCGAAACTGGCCCGGCGAAGGCTTGAATACTATTGTTATCGCCACCGACTCGACATACGTCGTCGACGGATCTACGAAGTGGGCCAAGACGTGGATCAAGAATGATTGGAAGACGGGCGTAGGCGCAGATGTCAAGAACAGAGACCTGTGGGAGATGCTCCTAGGCGAAGCCGAGAGATGGGAGGATAGGGGGCTTTTGATCCAGTTCTGGAAGATTCCTAGGGACTGGAATAGTGCTGCGGATGCAGCTGCGAAAGAGGGTGCCCTGAAAGAGGAGGTGACTGATTATAGCGTCAGGCCAGAGCGCATGTGCTTTTGAATGCGTACTGTACCTGGATCGCCGATGCGATGATCAGGTAGCTAATGAACATAGCATAATTTGAGACAGTGCAGTATGCAGTGAGACGGGTGGCGGGTAGCTCTGGCGTGCTTCACGTGGCAAACGGGGCGTTGGGGAAATCCGGGAGCGGCAGGTCATTCATAGTCGCAGCAGTTTGCCATCTTCTACCTACCCAGGTAGGTACCTCAGTTCGGATTCCATCAGACATTTCACGATACAAATCAAGTTGGCCAAGGTACCCAGTATGTAGTCCACCGAAGAACTATACGGTCCATGAATCATATTGCCAATGGACCATAACCCGATACTTACACCAAGCCTTGTCGCCTGTAGACGTCATCCCTCACGATACTTCATTCCTATAGTGCTATTCCATGGTTATCCCGTAGTCCTCACCCTCACGACTCGTCGTATGCTACTGCGCGAATGGCAGATCGTGCCGTAAACGCGTCTAGATCCTTCAGACCTGCCTCGAGAACGCCCAGCTTCTTCGTGACTTCGTTGCGCTCCTTGACAGTGTTGTCGTCCTCGGATCCTAGTCGCTCGACGTCTTCCTGTGACAGATCCCATATGACATCAGGACAGAACCTACAAAGTGTTAGCGATGGCTTCTGTAGTTCACGTCCACTTCACATGTCCACATCTCATCACAACACATGATTTCGAATGACCTCGAATCACTTCTCTCTTCAAATCACATCGCATCACCTAAGCACTTTACCACTTCACTTACACTTCTGGTAGCCGTTGAATCAGGCACGCCTCGATCGCGTCCACGCTAATGTCGTCGGTAAACTTCTTCAGGGCAACCTGCGTGCTGTTAGCGTCTGTCAAAGATTGAATCGTCCACCTGAATGAAGCAGGTGCCGCGGTCATGGTTACGGCCACGGTTACGGCCACGGTACGATACCTGATAATACGCCTCGGCAACGTCGGCTGCGAGCGAAGCCGTGTCCTTCTCGACATCAGGCCGGGTCCCCTTTTTCAGCGCATTGAGGAGCTGGCTCAAGGCTACTGATACGGGCAGTGCTGGCGCGGTCCCAGACGTATATTGGCACATGGCAAAGGAAATGTCGTCAAAGTTCCGGTCGTGTCGCTCAGTCTGAATCTGCTGAACGGTCTCCGTGAGATAGTCGTTGTACGTGATCGGGTGGATGGATGAGTGAGGCTTCAATAACTCATCTACCTTGTCCTTCAGGTCTTGCCGGAGGAGATGCAGCGCCGGCTGGATATGTCCTTTCATGAGGCGGGATCTGGTATTCTCGTCGCAGATCTCCGAGACGATCTTGTTGAAGTTGCTAGCCGCGGCCTCGTGGATCTCCTCGACCAGGTTCTGCGTGATGAGTCCCCAGGGCTTGCACTGTCTGCAGAAGAGGTCGCCCACGACGAGGGGGTTGAAGGTTCCCGGCAGCTCGCGACCTCGGCATTCGACCATGAGCTCCTTGACCAGAGCCAGATAGTCGCATCTCATCATATATCGCCTTGCAATTGTTCGCGTCGGGAGCTCCTCGTCCTCCACAACCTCCAAGGCGTGGCCGTCGACTCTCATCTTTTCGGCATAGCGGTCCAGAATCTTTTGCACGTGGGCGCGCAGTCGTCTCTCGAAGGCGTCTTGCTGGCCGGGGAAGGACTCGAAGAACGGGTCGGCGTACACTCCGTCGATGGCTGCGCGGGACAGTTTCGCGAGTCGGCTGCTGATTCGCTGGAGGTACGTGTGCTTCTCCCTCTGCGTGCTGCGGGCCTTTCCTAGCTGCGCCAGCTTGCTCCTGCAGTCCGCGATGCCGGCTTGCACCTCGACCTTGACGCTCGGCAGTCCGGTCTGGATCTGCTTCCATAGGATTTGGCGTAGGCGGGTCCTGAGCGTTTCGACGCCGAGCTGGGATTCGTCGAGGGCGGCCCAGACGGAATTGGCGAAGAACTCGACTTCTCTCTCGTCTCTCTCCCTGATGCTATCCTTAGCCGTGGCGTGGCTCCTGTTGCGCAGGACATGCCAGCCGAGGTTCAGCTTTACGTTCAGGTTCTGCGCCAGCTCCAAGTAGTAGGATTCGCTCTCGGAGCCTATGTCGATTTTGTCAGGCTTCGTGATGAGACCGAGCGTTCTCGTGCCGGACGGGTCGATGTTCCGGGCGAACCTGGTCACGGGCTGGTTGGCGAACGGGTTATCGGCGGCGATGACGGCGAGGATGATGCTGCGGCGCTGCTTCATGTAGGAAGTCACCAATTCCTCGACGAGGGCGGCGTCGTCGTCCGACTGGTTCTTGTCGGCGGCGCCGAACAAGCCCGGCAAGTCGACGAGCGTTAGGTTAGGCGCTGTAGGCGAAGTGCTCTCGATGCGTAGCACGTCCATGCTGAAGATCTTGGCACCTTCGCTTCCGGTAAGGCCCATGGCCTCCTTGGCAGCCTCTATGATCTTGGGGAAGTCATCGTGGTCCCTCGTCTTCCCGGAGAAGGCCAGCAAGTGTTCTCTTTCTTTCTTGGTCCTGTTGGAACCGGGCTGGATGTGCACCTTGATCTCGGGCTTGTCGCCGCGGCGGAGAACGAGCTCGGTGGCGAAGCGGGTGCATAGGCCTTCCGCTGTGGGGAAAGCGATGCCCGAGATGGATTCGAGAGTAGAACTCTTGCCCGATGACTGGCTACCGCAGACGATGATCTGGGGTAGGTCGATGTAGTGGCTGACGCCGTGAGACCTGAGCGAGTCGACGATGTCGAGGAGATCTCTGTGGTTGCTTGACTGGATGAAACCAGAGGTCTTCTGGGAGATATCTGCAGCTAGATCGGTCGTCATCTTGGCGTGTTTATCTGCTTGCTTACGATTTTGTCTACGCGTCATCTGGGTACGAAAGACGGTTGAGGAACGATAGGGACGGATGAGGGATTATGAGGTGCCCCCGTGTTTCCTTTGATCTAGAACGGATGTGGAATGGATCTAGAATAGATTTAGAATGGAGTAGAAAATCAAAGTAGGTGACGAGAATTTCAAGCACATCAAGGGATCAAGGGATCAAGGCGACGAGGAGAACCGTGGGAATTTGATTTGATGCGATTGAAATAGATGCCTAGCTCTACTGAAGACTGAAGACGACCTGAGTTGTATCAGAGATCGAATTCACCATCTGAGGTTGGTGGATACAAACAAGGTCCAAGGTTGGTTGGTGAAACGAATCAAGGGCTTAACCTAACCTACCTAGTACCTACATGCAGCATGCAGGTTTATCTAGGGCTGCCTTCCGTATGCATGTAGGTTAGTACCTAGCAACTGCCTGCTGTTGTTTTGGACTTTGGAAACTAATGCGAACCGCCAAATCTTGAACAGGCATCACCTACCTAGTACTAGGTAGGTACCTAGGCACCCAGAGGTACTAGATACCTCCAGGGCTATCTCCTAACCACCCAGAAGACCTCCAGGGCTAACAGAGAATTGGCGATATCTCAACGACCGCGAATTATCAAATTATCACGACAGCAAGTCTGACGATCGGCTAATTCAAATCTGGAATCACCAGGATGATCCACGCAGTCACGGTCTACTTGTGGCCAGAATCCATTAACCTGGATCAATTCAGGGGTAATCCACTATGGCACACGTTTGTGGGCAATGGGGCAGGGGTCATACCCGAACTCCAGGGCTATCGTCCACTAGAATTTTCGATAGGTCCCTGCATTGATACGGGATAGAGCTAGTCTCCAGGCTAATCGTGTCAGCACGAGGTCCCAAGTGTCGTCATTCCCAGCCGCTAGGTTCTAGTGGCGTAATGTAATCTCCGAACGCGTTGAACGCGACACAGAATTTGCCACAATCACCATCACCACTCCAATTTCAACTACACTACAACTAAACTAGGTACGGTTGCGAACACAACTACGACTACGACTGCGACTGACCGCAACTACGACTGCGGCTGTGACTGTGACCACAACTACGACTACGACTGTAGCTACCAGTACAACTACCACTACCACTATAGCTACCACTACCACCGCTACGGCTACGACTGCCGCTGCGACCGCTACTACAACAACTATGGTCACGGCTACCGCTACGCTACGCTATACACCCTCCTAGACATCGTCGATCCACGTGGTAACTATCCGAGATGCCTTCCATCCTTAGTCTCCCGGTGGAGATGATATCGTACATCATCGATGGCCTAGGTATCCGAGACCTGTCCGCCTTTTCGAGATCTTGCCGTTCCATCCATAACATCGTCACGCCGTACCTATATCGCTACTTCAAGGATAACGTCGCGCTCATGTGCTGGGCCGTCGACGAAGGCCGCAGAGGTACCGTCGAACGTCTGCTTGCGGCCGGCGCTGACCCGGATGCTCCGTGGTATCATCGTTATCCTAGGCCGCGCGTGCTTGCCGAACTCGAAAAGTACGAAGATACGATGCGCTTTCCGAACCCCTCGCGTTGCGTATATGATGTCGATGTGATATTCCCTTTCAACGCACACGAATACGACGAATACGACGATGAGATTTCGTACCATAATGGTTATGGCGGTAGTGATGGCGATAGTGATGGCGATGGTGACAGCGAAGACATTCGGCCGACTGGCAACGGAGCTGTTAGCGAATTATATAGCCGCTATTGCTGGACGCCTCTCCACATTGCCGCTCGTTGGGGGGACGACGACCTCGTTGATCTTCTGATACGGTACGGCGCGGACGTCGATGCCTGGTCGAAAGGCTTTTGCGATTGCGTCGTCCCTTCGGAGATCCTGGGGCCGACGGATCTGGGGCCGTTAGACCCGGACCCGATCCGAGACTTCGCCATGCCTATCTGGACGCCTCTGCATACCGCCATCTGCCACGGCCACGAATCTACCGCGCGTCTTTTGATATCTAGAGGAGCTTCCGTCAACGTGTCGCCGTGGCTGGACGGGCCCGATCCGTCTCAGGCTACCGCTCTCCATTCGGCCTGCTATTCCGATCAGGCTTCCATAGCCCGCTTCCTCGTAGACGAGGGACACCAGACCGATGTCGAGGTCGAAGACTACTTCGGCAGCACGCCTATGACCTATGCGTACTTCGCCAGGAGCTGGCGCGCGATCGATTTCCTCGTGGAGGCGGGCGCCTCGCTCAACGCCACCCTGGGACCTTTCACCCTCTTGAAACATGCCTGCCACTCGTGTCGCTTTGCCGAGGCCCTTCGGTTCATTGAGCTAGGCGTGGACCTCGCCGCCTCCGAGTCTTCCCGCTCGATATACCCTATATTGCACAGCTGTTGCAGGCCCCCGCCTATGTTGGGAGACGAAACCTCCCAGGAAGGCTCGAGGACGGTAGTCGTCCGGGCTTTGATCAAGGCCGGCGCCGATTTAGAAGCTAGGGACATAGATTCCGCGACGCCGCTCATAAAGGCGTCTCTCATGGGTCTCGATGACCTCGTCAAGATCTTTCTCGATGCGGGTGCGGATATCGATGCGCGAGACGACGATGGCGACACGGCGTTGTTGAAAGCTTGCGATCCGACAGCGCTATTTGTTTTTGATTCCAGCGCGAAGACACTGCGTACGGTGACGGCGCTGCTCGGTCGAATCCCGCCGAATACCGATTTGTTCGACGTTATCGGCAGAATTTGCGATAGGTCCTTGGGTTCTCGGCTCGACGACGACAGGATCGAGCTGGTGCGGCTTCTGGTGCATCACGGAGGACAAGCGACGCTTGAATCGAGGGGCGGCCATATGCTGATCGCGAGGGCGCTCGCCTCGGGCAACGTGCCTTTCTGCGACACGCTGCTGAAGCACGGATTCGGCGAGCCTACGTTGTTGGAGAGCCAGGCGATAATCGACAAGGCGATAGAACGGGACGACGCCCGCGCTCTCGAGTACGTCTTCACGCGTCTCAGTTGCGCCGAGATTTTAAAGGGGCCAGGCAAAGTTATCGATTTGATCAAGGCTGACAAGCTTAACTGTGCGTCGTTCTTGATCAAGGCTGGGGTCCCCTTAGACTACCGTTCCGACGACGGAAAAAGATGCCTGATAGAGGCTTGCAAGGTGGGCAGAACAGACGTTGCCAGGCTGCTCCTCGAGAAGGGGGTCGACCCGAACGCGGACGTGGACGGTACGTTACCCTTGTTGGTCCCGACCATGGAAGAAAATGCCCCCCTGATCACCCTGCTTCTCGAGCACGGCGCAGACATGCATTGGCATCCCGAATGCGTTGACATCGACGAACGGATCCTCGGTCCGCTCGATGTCGCGATCTACCTCGGTCTCTCGATTGCTGTCAGGGTGATGGTCAACCACGTAAGCTACCTCTCCGCGACCAAGGAGCAGCGTGTGGCGCATCTACAGAACGCTTGTTGCGCAAGCTCCGCCGCGTACGCTGACGGGATCATAATCAAGCTTCTGCTGAGGGATCAGACGGTAGATCCGGATACGGTATTCCCGAGAATGAATATGACGCCTTTGCACGTTTCCATGGCGCTGGACAGGATGCCATCGGTTATCGCTTTGCTCGAAGCCGGGGCTTACATACACTATGAACTTCTTCCCGTCGAGCCCCCTCTGCCAGACTCTACACCAAACCCGTTTGTGGGAACGACACCGCTAGAGTGGGCGGTCGACGTTGCCCCTTTTGAATTCGTCAAAATCATGATAGAAGCTTCGTTGTTCCGACTTGCGGACAAACCCGATATGTTTCTACGCTATGCCCGAGCCGCTTGTCGTAGATATAAACCCGAGATAATGAAGTTGCTGCTCGACAACGGCCTCGATCCCCACGTTTCTGACGAGGAGGGCAACTCGCTTCTGAGCATATTCTGTCAGACGATCGATAAGATCTGGCCCATCGAAGATCCCGAGTGGCCAGCAGCAGCGAGGGTCGCCGTTAGATCAGCCAGATGCGTTTCCATACTTCTCGAGTACAAGGCCGACCAGCATAAGAAGAATAACAAAGGCGTATGCGCTTTAAACCACATTAGACGTATGATGGCCTATGAAGGATCGAGCGAATTTCACCAGGAGGTTGCGAGGTGGTGGAATAGAGAGTTGATCTATGACGAAACAGGAGTACGACCTGGACCAGAAGGCCCATGGACCCAACTTGACTTGCCTGACAGGCCCCCATCCCGACAACGATGACGACAAAGACGATATCGACGACATTGCCTCTACATCTGGAATCGTAGATACTATTCCTGAATGATTTAAGCAGTCAAATCTGAACAATCCATACAATCCATACAACCCATATAGAAGATAGAAGCGCAAAGCTACCTAGTAGACTAGTAGAATGGTAACTGTTGGTTCCTACCCTGGCTGGACCGATGTGATTGATACCGTGAGGAAATATCGTGTCTCCTGTACGGATTGGTGGTGTACGGATTAGTGTATTGATTAGTGTACGGATGGGGGTACGGATTGATAGTTGGTCAAAAGCAGATACAATCAACTGGAACGAAACGGACCTCGGGGCCAGGGGAGTTACGGTGGTTGTCTATCGACCCAAGAAATGGGTTACAGTAGCAATGAATTCATCATAGCCGTCCACGTAACAGACGTGGCCGGCACTTTTAATCACATGCAAATCCACAGATGCATTGCCATCCTTCTTCCTCAACCCCTGCTCGACGCCTTTTCGTAATTGCTGCATGGTTTCTGGTAAGTTCGCATCCTTCTCGCCGACGAGGAACAACGCTTCGTCAACTCCCTGGCCCGCTTCCATGGCTAAGGGGCGAAGGTCGAATGTCTGGCTTCTGAGAGCCGCGCAACATGTCTCGAACCCGTCGATGGTCGTCTTCAGCATCAGGTCTCGCATCCGGCTTGTTTCGTCTGGGTTGGTATCCATCCATGCACTTCCAAACCAACGCTCGAGCGTGGCATCGACTATTCCATCCATCTTGCCCACATCACGAGCCGCCGCGACCCTTGGACCAAACACGTCGGCAGCTCCGATATTGGTGGGAGAGCAGGATATGGTATCGCACACGATGAGTTTCTGGACGACGTTGGGGTATTTAGCAGCGAATACCATGCCGATTGCCGCACCCATGCTAACGCCGACCCAGCCATGTAACCGCGTAATCGAGAGATGGTCGAGAAGCACTCGAACGTCGTCGGCTAGAGTATGGAAAGTAGTGGAGGATAAATCTTCCGGGGCAGTAGAATCCCCGTGGCCTGGCTGATCATAGCGCAATACGTTGAAGCCTCTCGAGGTAAGCTTTGGAACGACGTGGTCCCATGAGGTAAACAATGCGCATAGGGAGTTGGACAAGAGGATAGTCGGTACATCGACATCGGGATCGGGATCGGATGACGCCGTTGTCAGGGCATAGGAGATCGCGCGCAAGGACGGTAGAGATAGCGACGAGATGGTGGTTGTCATGTTCGTAGATATTCGTAGTCGTTCGAAGTCGTTCGAAGGTTGAAGGTTGAAATTTGACGATCACAGGTGTACCTAGGTCCTAGGTCTTGCGTAGAGCTTGAATCAACTCGTAGGATGTCGGCACCATTTTGTTATGGTTCTTGTTCTCGTCACACGGGATGATACACTACCTTGGCATCATTACACAAACACAATCGTCTCTGATGTCTCGCTCATGTCCCCCTCACATCTTGCTCATGTCTTACCCACAGGAAATAACAGTACCTACCAACTCGCACCAGAAACACCCCAGAAACACCCCAGAAGACATATTGCTGAGCTAGAATCCAGCTAGAACCCAACTAGAACCCAACTAGAAGCTACTCCGCATGTCTCGAGATGCCTACACAAATGACCACAGAGCTAACACAAATCTGACCACAAACGGACACAGACTAACACCAAACGATACTAACGCGTCCAGACGGGACCCGGAATCATGTTTCCTATGCGGGGTACGGGAATACCATACTTTTTCCAGTTAGGTATTAGACCCGGCAGCATGGATCGTCCGGTGCTCGTGCGGAGAATATACCCTGCTAGCTGAGGCTGTCGCGGAGTCTTACATAAATGCTAAAGGCTAAAGTACTTTCGCTGTCAGACCGTCCCCATATTACCGGCCAGGAACGAGCGATCCGACGTTTCCAAGGGATTCTTCACCCGAGGAGAGACGATGAGTAGTGCTAGCGGTAACTCTTCTAGGTCCGCCGAAGCGAAACGGCGCGCCCGTCGCGTGCCGGAAGACCAGCGGAAGCGTGGGATTCAGAGTTGTGACCTATGTCGAAAGGTATGGACACCAACCCAAACGGAGTTGGCCAGCTTGGCTAGTCTCGACGACGGATCCGCTAACGAACGAGCTAGAAACGTTGTAGATGCATACCTGCGTCCGGAGAGGCTAACCGTTGCACGGCATGTCTCGCGCAAGATGTGGAGTGTACCTTTACGCTGCCCCGGAAGACCCGCTTCTACGGCAATGTGGAAGATCTGAGTGATCGGTAGGTTTAACCCCTCGGAACAGTATCCCTAGGTTGACTTGCGTTCTCCGGGGAATCAAGATCGGTCCCTCTGCCCTCTGCCCCTCTGCCCCTCTATCCCTCCATCCCTCCGTCCCTCATCCCCTCGCACCATCCATACCCAATATCTACTTACCCCTGAGCTCACGCTAAGTTGTGGGTAGCTTTCGTTGTCTAGAGGCCATCGTCAAGGGAGCCTTCGCAAACGAGGCTACCGAATCGGTCGCTGATCTCGTGCAGCTTGGCCGATCCCGAGGATACCAGATGCCCGACTTGTCGCACAGCCTTGAAACATCGGCCAAGGTAGATGAAGCTTTGGGAATACCGCAGCAGCTAGAACCCCTCGGCGGAGGAGGGGTATCCGTACCACACACAAACCAGTCCACTCGCTCGGGAACGAGACATAACTCCCACGCCTCGGCACAACCAGAAAGTTCACATTCGATCGATAGCACCACCTGTCTCGTGACCGATACATCCGGAAAGGAGCACTATATCGGGCCATCCGGGGGCCTTCAGTTTCTGGGACAGCTGAGAAGGCTCTTGATATCTCGAGACCAGAGACCCGGTTCGCAAGGCCTCGAGCCTCCCAGCGTGGCCAAGTTCACCGAAGACGACGGAGCTCAGGCGCTCGAGGTCGAAGACGTTCACGAAGATAGCCTCGACTCGGGTCCTCTCGATTCCAGACTCGCCGACGACGCCTCTATATCCACTACGCGCGACCAGCGCTCACCTAGAAGCACCGCCTCCCCGGAGAGCAACCATACCCGAAAGACCTCGGTTGGTATAGAAGAGCATTGGAGACGACTCCCCACACAAGACGTACTCGATAGACTGTTGCAGTCGTTCTTCCAAAATGTCCACGACGACTTTGTCCTGTTCCATCGAGGAACGTTCGAAGGCGACTACGAAGCCCAGACGCGGAGATTCGGTCACTCCGGGGGACAGGAAGAGGAGAAAGATCTAGACCCTGGACTGCTGGCATGCATTTACATGATGCTTGTATTTGGTAGCATGAGCGAACCTGACATCGGCGGACCTGAGCTCAATCATAACGCGCTGCGAAGGCATTGCGTGTCGTCAGCTAGATCCCTCCTACCGCATCTCATCAGCAAATGCACGCTGTATAACCTTAGAGCCTTGCTTCTGCTAAGTTTGTTCCTGCACAACAACAACGAGCGAAATGCGACTTGGAACCTCGTGGGGACGGCAACGAGGATTGCCTTCGCCTTGGGGCTTCATCGGAGAGATACGGAGTCGGCATTCAACCCGATCGAGAGGGAAATAAGAAAACGAGTTTTCTGTACTTTGTACGGTTTCGAACAATTCCTGGCTACTACCCTTGGCCGGCCAAGCGGTATCAACGATCCTGATGTCGAAGTCACCCCGCCACGTCCGGGGATGTGTGAGTACATTTCCTGTTTCCCGTATATGTTTCTTTTTCCTGTGTCTAGCACCCACGATTCGGCGTCGGAAGCATGCCTGTAGCGTCCCTGTAGCGTTCCCGTAGCACGGCTGTGATTGATTGGAGGTACCTAGGTGGCTGGGTGGCTATCCGCGATGGCGTTTCATTCCACCTAGGACCAAACCCATGCCTGAATCAATACCAGTACATATAGGTAGTCGTACTAATTGCGTATAGTGGATGACAATGGCGGTGGCGGCGATGCCGTGTTGATCGCTTCTAGCATACGGCTGCATCAGATACTCGGGAGAAGCAGAACTGGCCAAGGAATAGGAAACACTGGAGCCGCCAAAGACTCGGGACGTCCAAGTCCCGAATCGATCCTTCTAGAACTCGATCAATGGCGAGCCGATATTTCGAAAAATCAATGGTTGAATATCCCTCCCATAAAAACCGGCGAGCGTCTGCTGGACGACAAAGAACCAGGCGCCATAGGTTTCGACGACCTTAGATCCCTATTACGGTGGCAGAGATCGTCGTTGCGGGCGTCACTAATGTTACACCTACTCTATCACTACACCGGTCTATTCACCACCCGTCCATTTCTGCTGCAGGAATTGTCCATCAACCAACCACCCGGTCAGGAACCAAGCCATCCGTCCAGCCGACAAGCCTCTCTCGCGGGAACCTGCCTACAACATGCCAGTCAAATGGCCATGATCATCCTCTTGCTAAACTCGTTCGGTCTGGTCAATGGTGTGTCGGGCTTAGACATCTTCTATGTCTACTGGGCATCCATGATCCTATCGTCCGGCATGCTTCGACACAACGTGGCACCGGAGGAAGCGAGAGTGCTCGAGACTTTTAGGAGTCTGGTGGGACAGCTTAGGGTCGTGTCGATGAATGTCGAGAGGAGCGGTACGATGAATCGATTCGCGACGCTTCTGGGCGACTTTGCAGATTATGTCAATTACCGATACATGCCACCACTAAAAACATTGACAGATGAAGGTCTGGAAAATAATGTAGTCGTAGCGGGGAACCAGGTAAATGGGGTCCCCGGCAATCCACCACTAGACCCGACCCATATTCCAGCGGGTGTGGCGGGTGCGGCGGGCGCTCCAGGTGCTTTCATAGGCTCTCACACGCTAGACTCGTTCTACTGGTCTAACGATATGATACCCCTAGCGCAAACTATAGAAGGTGGAGTTGACCTGGACGGTTTTAGCGGGTGGGCTGGACACGTTAGCGGGGTCGTAGGCGATGTGGACTGGGTTACCACGTTGTCGGGGGGTATCGATATGTCGATGGGGTACGGGAGTTCCCCTACAAGGCCTCAATAGCGGTAGGGTAGGTAGGGTTTAGGTAGGTAGGTACTTAGGGTTTGGGTAGCTTAGGGTCAAAAGCCATGGATGATTTATGAGGACATCAAATCATGATTGCGCACTGGAATTCATAGATCACTGGGTAGGTAGGTAGGTAGAAAGTCTCCCTAATCATTTACTGAATGAGAACATCCATGGATGTAAACATTTTGTTGTAGTGAAAGTGTACGTCTGTATTTTCTGGTCTGTCCCTCCATTACACAACGGTACCCCCACGCATTGAACTGCAGTGGGAAAATAGGCCAGGCTACCTAGGAGACAGCTTGGAGATGGAAGGTAACGCGGATCTGATAGGGGCTGAACTTAGACCTCTAGATACCTGTATTCGACCTGGGTAGGCGTCTACTAGGTACTAGCGGGTGTACCACTACCACTACCACTACCCCAAGTGCAGTACACAGATATTCAGGTACACTTCCCCCCATAAGTTGAGGCCAGATAACGCCAACGTACCTACCTAGGTACCTAGTTGGCAATGTACATGATACGTACAAAGTAAGCCAACCAGAAAGCCACATCGATATCTACAGGTTCCACGACAGCTATAGCTACTCACTATCCCCACCAAGATACACACGACAGGGTTCAAATGTTCTCAATATTACATGGTGTAACGAAAATCAGGATGTTTCTCCCCCAACCGTTCTTGTTCCTCCCGAGACAAATCTAACAAGTAATCTCGTTTGCCCGCCTCTCGCTGTCTATTCTCGTAATAGCAACAGGCCCATAGGTTGGCCGCTGCGATGATTCCGGCGATTTGCAAGGCGATGCAGGTCATGATACCGGGAAGATATTGAGGACTATCCTTGGACGGGAAGACAACCGCCGAGATGATACCACCGACCTGGCCTATCGTTCCCGCAAACGCTGTAATGGTTCCCCGTTTGTTGGAGCTTGTGACTTGGTTTGCACTGTGAATCATTAGATGGGTACTAGGTAGGTATCTGGTGGGGACCTAGCACCCTAGACCTAGCAGCCTAGGTAGTTCTCCCAGGTGTACTAGTGAGACATAGACTTAGAACTCGGAACGGAACTTACCACCAGGCTATTGACAGCGGTTGAACGATATAGATCCCGATCGCTGCAAAGTATATCCCCATGTACCTCAAATCTCCCTCCAAGAACGCTATGAGAAGTAAACCTAATATGCTAAGCAAAAATCCACCGAGGCAGAATATTCCCCTACGTTGGATTCGATCTGACCAGGTACCAACCATCACAGAGATAATCCCGGACGCGACTCGTGGTGGCGCGCTCAACAGGTTAGACTTGAGGTCACCCCATCCAAAGGTAAGGAGAATAGTTGGCTGGAACACTGAGATGGAATACGCCGTGGTGCAGACCCCTAGATATATGACTCCGGAGGTGAGGACCTTCCAATCCTTAAGAGAATCCAAGACTGAACCTATCGTCATCTTTTCATGGGACATGCCCTTGTTGTCTGCCTTTAATCTTTGCAACAGCCATTTCTTCTCCGTCGGAGTTAAGAAAGTACTCTCCTCGGGGAACGGGGGTACAAAGAACCAAGCGAGAATCGCCGCAAGACTTGTCATTGACCCCTCGATGAAGAAAATCCATCGCCATCCCGAGTAGCCGTTTACTCCGTCCAGGGAACCCAAGCCAGCGCCAAGCAATCCTGATATGGTTCCCGCGATGTCGTTAGCGACAAAGAAGAAAGCCATACGAGTTAGAAGCTCATGTCGGCGATACCATCTGCACCCATTAGCCTTGGCGACCAAGAATTGGTGTTCGAGTTAGACTCGACTAGGCCAAAAGACATACCCAGAGATCAGATAGATGCAACCAGGAAACATCCCAGCCTCGAATATCCCGATGAACACGCGAGAGATGAGAAGTCCCGCATAGCTTTGCGAAAACCCGGCAAAGGTAACCGTCACTTGGTCGAATTAGCCATGTTGAAGCATGAAGATTGCTAGACCGACTATTGAGACTGTCATACATCCCCATCCCATCATGATGATAGCCATGAACTTTCTAGGTTCGACCCGGTTGAAAAAGTAGTTCGATGGGATCTCAAGAATTATGTAAGGGATATAGAAGACTGACGGGGTTAGTACTGGTTGGATAGATAGGTACTATGTAGGTGCCTCGGTATAGGTACCTAGATAGGTAGAGAGGAGGTAGGCAGGTATTCAGAAAGTCCAAGAAGGGTAAGCTGACTCAACACGACGATATTGTAATCGTAACCCGACATCTTCAGATCACGCTCCAGATTCCATAATCTTGCATTCCCAATATTCACTCGATCGAGAAACGTCAACATGTACAGGAATTGGAGCAAGGGAATAATTCGCCAGTCGATCTTTCGCAGAACCTTTTTGGCTTCAACTGGGTCGATGATCTCTTCTTCAGTAGGGGTCTCCCGGTGAGACATGTTATGCTTCTCAAGCTCCGACGGCTCACCCGAAACGCGACGGGGGACATCTAAACTTGAACCCATCATGAAAGTCGAATGTCGATATCGGAAATCAAAAATCGAGTGAGGCTTTTAATCCAACTGACCAAACAGAAGTCGATATGTCGACCAACGTGCTCGTGCTTACTCGTTTGCGGCACGCTCATGAACCCCACTACCGAGTCATTCCTAAGTGGTCGTTTCAAGTCGATGCTCGATTCGATCTCCGACAGTTTGGTACGGCGGGAGCTAGTGGAATCCTCGAAGCTAGTCGTGAGCTAAGGATTAGCAGATCTGGGGTTGCGGGGATGACCCGCGAACTAAAGATGCTAAACCATAATATTAACTAGATCGGGAATCATGGACCCGAGACGATCCACTCTACTTATCTTCTGCTTCATTTCCACGTGAAAATCCCCATCGCATCGAAGGGAGCAGGGGAGGTATGAAGTTGCGACGCGCAGGGACGCAGGGATAAGCTATCGTACCTATCTCATCGCGAATGGTGGACACCGGAATCATGGAACCGCCCTATTATATCTTAGTCTCCCAGCTAGCTTCGAAATTGTTGGAGCTCTCGTTGGAGCTATGTCGTAGTCGAGACACGAAGCAACGGTAACGGTATTCGGTATTCGAAATTCAACGATGAGGTGCCAATTCCCAATTCCAAATTCCACGACGGTTCGTCCAACATTCCTATCTACCTAGTACCAACCTATCTACCTACCTGCCTAGTAGATAGCTACCTACCTAGCTATGTGATCGCCTCAACTCGATGGACATAAAACAAAGTCCTTGCCGGTGGTGTTTGGATAAATTGAACACCATGCGCGGTGCAACTTCTACTTGAGGCCGACGATTGAATCTAGAGCTTCCACGTACACAGCGATTGCAGATTATCCAAATGCCTAAGGTTCAAAGATCTCTCAATATTCTCATCGTCGGCGCCGGACTCGGTGGCCTCGCTACTAGCCTAGCCCTTCAGACCGACGGACATACGGTTCGTGTAATCGATGCGGTTCCAGAATTTGCCGAGGTGAGCATCTACAACTATGTGTGGCGGCTAGGCGTGACAGCTGCGCGACACCCATGCGCAGAAGTCATGCAATGGCCGTGCAACAGCCGTACATCAGCCGTGCATCAGCCATATCCTTGACCCAAAAATGAATGAATCGGGACATCAAAGCTCACTCGGATAGGCTGGCGCAGGCATCAGACTACCACCCAACTCGAGTCGCCTTCTTCTCCGATGGGGTGTCGACCTGGAGAAGATGAAGAAGTCGGTATCGGAGCGTTACCACTTCGTCCGATGGAAAGATGGGTCTACCATGGTCGAACTACCATTCGATAACATCGTCGAGGAACACGGAGCCCCTTACTACTTGGTACATCGCGCAGACCTCCACGATGCGCTCCTAGCTGCCGTACGAAAAGCCGGCGTCGAAGTCCTAAACAACAAGCGGGTCGTCTCTTATGATTTCGAAGCCCCCAGCGCAACGACACAGGATGGCGAAGTCTTCACTGGGGATCTAGTCATCGCGGCTGATGGCATCAAGTCACTCACGAGGCCTCTTCTCACGGGCCAGCCAGACATTCCCCGAGACACGGGGGACGTGGCGTACAGGATCATCATCCCAGGAGAGAAGTTGCTGGCAGATCCTGACCTAGCGGATCTCATCACGAACCCATGCACTACGTCGTGGTGCGGGCCAGATGCTCATCTCGTCGGGTATCCCATACGTAACGGCGAACTCTACAACCTAGTCGTGTGCGCGACATCGTACAACGAAACTACCGATCAGGTTTGGGTGATCAAGGGTGACAATAGCGAGCTGTGCAAGAGGTTCGGGGATTGGGAACCACGCATACAAAAGCTATGCGCTCTCACGGGGGACTTCATGAAGTGGAGGCTTTGCGACTTGCCCGACTTGTCGCGCTGGGTACATCCATCCGGCAAGGTCATGCTTTTAGGGGACAGTTGCCATCCGATGCTTCCCTATCTCGCACAAGGCGCAGCGCAGTCGTTTGAGGATGCTGCCGTTTTACGTCAGTTGTTAGCCAAGGACATGAAGCTCGAGAGTGTACTAGAACGGTTCGAGGCAATCCGTAAACCACGAGTGACTCTTATACAGGCCAAGACACGAGAACACCAGTACATCCTACACATCGACGACGGTGAGGAGCAAAAGCTACGGGATCAGAAGCTTCGAGTCGACAACGAGGAGAACCCGATCTTCTGGGGTTACGACGAACGACGAAAGTGGTTATTCGGTCATGACGCAGATGTGCTGACAGAGGAGGGCGCTAACTGGAAGCTGTATATACCTGGAAAGGGGGCTACATAATCGAAGCGCCGAGCCTAACTTCTATGGCTCGTTCTGAGAGGATCGTGATGAGTGTTCTCGCTAGGGGTCATAGCACTGGAAGCCCATGGAAGCTCATGGAGTACCATTCACTCATTAATGCTAAGGATAGTAGGATAGTGGCTCACCCCTTAATTACTCTTCCTCCGTCCCTCTCCGTCCCTCTCTCTTGGCTAGTTCTAGGTATTGGCCAACCACTTCTTTGAGTATCGTATCGTACGTGGCCAAGTTAATCCCGAGGACGTCTTGCACCTGTCATGCATCGTTAGTACTTGATCTAGATTTTGTCAACATGTGAACATCATGAGTGCACACCTTACTTGAGTCCCATCTCAAGGGCAATGTCAACTGCCACGCCCCCTCTTGGAATAGGCCTGATGTAAATGCGTCGGGAAAGTACTTCTTGGCGATTTGGACCGTATCTTCCCATTTGACCTCGGTGTTGAGGAGGAAGGATTGGTTTCCCTTGATGTCTGGATCTAGTGCTCTGACATGCGCGCGTGCCACGTCCGTGCAAAGAACTGCGTTTCCAACAGCCCTGAACTTTTGACCGCCAGCTAACAGCCACCCGAGCACCATTCCGTTTGACCCTGCTCGCATGTCTCTAGTGTCCATGGCGAGTTTGTCCTTCCCTAATATCCAGGATGGGAGGATGGAGATCAGGTCGAAATGTGTGGCATTGTCTTTGACGAATGCCTCAGATGCTTGGAGAGCTGCTGTCTTGCCTGCACAATATGCATGGAGCCCGGAGTCGTATGGCGGTGCTGGTATGGCTATGCGGTATTCAGGTCCGCGGACGATATCATGTTCATTGATACCTTTGGCGTAGATGTCTGTAGGAGCGATGGCTACTGTAGAACTGGTCATGACGATACGTCTCACGGTCTTGGCCTTCTCGTTCGCAGACTTCAGGATGCCTAGACTGCCCTGTACGGAACTTGCAACGAGGTGTTCTTCCAATTGTTCCTTCGGAGGCGTTGAGTTCGTGTGAAGCGGTGCGGCAACGTGGATGATGAAGTCGACCCCGAGTACTGCTTCGTCATACGCTCCAGGTGCTGTCATGTCCGGCACGATCACAAACATCAACTGCGTCGCCGGGGGGTTTAGTGCACGGAGGGAGGAAGCAGCTCGAACCCTATCGATCTTGGCTTGAGAACGAGCTGCCACACGAACTCGATAACCGCTTTTCAGTAGGTCGATGAGAATTGCGTACCCTAGGAAGCCAGTGCCTCCAGTAAGCAGGACGAGTTCTCCAGCCATGTTTGATAGTATCAGGTTCTCGTTCAGAGTAGAAGTATTGGGAACTGACTGTGTGACTGTGTGATTGTGTAACTGACTTGTGGATGTCAGGGGTAGGTCGGTCAGTTCTCTTGCCAATTCTCGTGTCCGATTCCATTCCTTTATACTTGAGAGTTCAGATCGAGTACGCCTGTTCGAAACGCGAGGCTAACGAACGGCACGCGCTAGTCCTACTGCTTTAGGAAGTATGAATGCTTCCATAAAGCTCCACGAGTCTACCTGAGCAACACAGTATCGCGAATTTATTCAAACATATTTCCTAAAGCGGAAATTCGTGGGTCGTATGTCTCATTCTGGCCAATCAGGTGGTGGTGTGATGGTCCTCTAACCAGGCTAGTAGAGGTTGACAAGAAGACTCATCCCACAGAAAGGCGGACAATGTGTCCTGGAGGTTACCGGTGCCCGGAGAAAAGTCCCTCGAGTGTTCCTGTATGGCTAACCAAAAAAGATGTAGGAACGACTGCCCTTCGAGACATGTTTCCGTCCGTTCTCCAGTCCCGAGAATCCCAACGAAAGCTATCCATAGCAATGCCGTCTTGTCCTCTTTCCAGATTTGCTTAGCAGTTGGATCTATCCCGACTTCGACCCCGAACTTGACCACATCCAGTAGCCTAGTACATATTCGACGTATCAACGGACTCTTTGGCGGCACTTGACGCAGGGTCACATACATGAATACGTGAGCAGCAAGGACGAGAGCGCAGGAGTTCCTAGGGATAGATCTGTCCTCGAAACGGTCCTGGTCCTGATAGAGGTATTGCAAGATGAGTTCGTCTACGATGTTTAGTAGGATAAGCTGGGCCTCGTGAGGAACCGTTGACTGGCGTGCCAAGAGAAGTTGCCTGAGCTGGGTAAATATTGTAGCACACTCAGGGGAGCTCCCACGAGCTATCGAGGAATGAAATGGGGGGTGTTGGGCATGGTTGGTGATTGACGATGGAAGAACAACCTCATCTCGGTGTAGGCGTGGGAATCTAAGTTGACGGCCTAGCGCAACGGCAACTTGGATATCGGCCAAATTGGTGGACTTGCAGAAAACCCATTTATCCCTAAAACTGTCATGGCCGCCTCGTAAACTGAAGAGATTGTGGACACCCCGTAAATGTATTTCCGCGGCCTCGAAGTCACCATCTAGAACCTAGAATTTAGTCAGTGGACCAGAACCCTAGCAGCCTGATTCAAAAAAGTGAATACCTCGATAATGACTAAGGTTGACATAGCTGACATTACGAAGGTAGAATCTTTGTCGTCAGCAACAGAACTATCAGGTAGTCCACTAACAAGTCCTAGGTGAGCTCTGACAAGTCGCAACGCCTCGCCTTTCTGACGCATACCCTCAATCTGGATAGACCGTTCGAGAACAGGGGATTCCGCTCGCCACATGGCTGCAGTCATCGCGAGAGTACTATGCATCATTGGCGCGTTCTGCAATGCGTAAGGAAACCATGATTTTCTTCGATTGGCTGGAACCGGGTTGAGATCGAATTTGGTAATCACTGCACCTTTTAGTTAGAGGCTCAAATTTACCTACCTACCTAGGTAGATACGTATGGGGGTACCCAGTGAAATGAGGCCCCTATGATGATAGTCGGGGCCTTGGGGGACTCACAATATCTCACTAGGTGGTCAATCTCTAGATTCGTAGGGATTGGGAGGCAATTGAATGGATCCATTCTCCCGGCACATATAGATTCTACGTGATAAGTTGGCAGCCGTATCGAGTTCTGATATCCATGGATCATCAGTCTAGACCACTACAAGTCGGCTCCAGCCATAGCCTTACCCCGGGGGATATCCAATCCTCTCCAAGTCCCGAAACAAGAGACTGTGTCGATCCTTTGGTCTTCGGAGGGTTTACGGATTTGCGAAGACCAGCGCGTATTGCATGACTTCTTACAGAGCTGGTAGGTTTGGACTTCCCGTTCTGGGTTTCTACCTCGATGAATTTGTACCGTGGCATTTCGATTGATCGTTCCCCATGTCTTTGAGGTGGTTCAATGTGATTCCGCCATGCGTTGTTAGATTAGAGGCGCGAATCCCCACTTGGCTTCGCTTAGTCATAGATTATTAGGTAATCTTTTGTGTTAGTAATCATTTTCATTAGGTAATCGCTCCCAGCAGTTTGGGTTGACTAAGCGACAACGTGATTATCTAATCGTATGATTACCTAAGAGCCCAGTCCTTTGTACAAGAGGCTATACAGAACCATGGTGTGAGCCAACAGATCAATCGAGGAGTGTACTACAGGTACCCGGTACGCTCGGTATCAGTATCCCAATACCCACGCGGTTGAGTTGCTGTCACACAAATGCGATGATGGGGTACATTTAAGGCTGCCCGAGAAATGCTACCCATATCATCAAAAGATGCGACGGGTACATGTTGTAGCACCATACCAACTACCCTCCATCCCGATTTCTAGTGATATGCTGAGGCTGATGCAACCCTCCTTTGGATCTCAATTGACGTCAAAGGGTGCACAGCCCTCATGAACATTTTTCGTCCAAGGTTGTTGGATAAAGGGATCCGAATTCCGATATCACCAAACCGGGTCCAATTCCTTAGGGTGTAGTCGATTTCGTCCTTGATGCAATCCAAGCCTAAGGGTCCCTTGTATGATTCACTAATGCGAGTGCACATGACCTGATGCGCTGGCGTTATTGTACGTAGATGGAGAGGAAGCGTGATTGATGGCTAGCTCTTAGGGTAGGTATCGACGCCGTGCTGCCTATTATCCAACGCTATCGCATCCAATGGGTACCTAGAGTCATATCGTCAGGGGCTGAAAGTGAGAAGTGACCTAGTGACTTTGTTATTCCTCATGACATTTTTAGATGAATTCGATCACTTGTCAACGACTTTTCGAATTTTCCCATCACGCACAGGCGCGTACAGGTATAAGGAGATGGCACCTAGGAGTCAGATCCACGCCTAGGTCAGCATTTCGTAGGGCGAGACGTACTCAAGCATTTCCAAAATCTATTCAGGTACAGTCGTACGTATTCTAGTATCAGTATCAAAACAATCAAACTCCAAATTCACCCTAGACAAACAAATCAATCCTTTGGCTGCACGTATCTCAAAGTCGTCTTACTCCAAAGCTCGTTCCCGCTCATCTGCAACTCGAGACCCTGTAGATACGCCCTTAGCACCGGTGTATCCTTCCGTGCTAGAATACCAGCCACCAATATCTGATGCTCAATCTCCCACTCTCTGCACAAATGGTAGAGAACCCGTTTCGCGGCATCGGTACTGATCTCAGCCTCTTTGCCTAGTACAGCTACCGCCGTGCATAGCATCCCGCCTTCTTCGTGGAGAGTCTGAGCAGCCAATACTTCTTTCTCGTATGACCAGATATCATTAATGACGGAGAGATGCTTGGAGCAGTTCCGGTCGACGGGACGAACCATCTCTTGATCTGAGGCTGGCACCGTGAGAGCCATAGAGAACCGCATCAGAGCGGCGAGGAGGCTTGAGGGATCTTTAGCATTGTACAAGTGTGTAGGCAGGTATATTTAATGCCGTATCCGATCCTTCTAATTCCCAATAGGATTTAAATGGGTAGTGAGAGATTCAACTTACGCCTTGCCAACGTCGGCTTCACGATACTCAAGATACTTGCCAAGTCCCATCTCAGTCAGACGCGCGGGATCTGTCTGCGCACGCATAAAGGTGAACACAGGCTCCATGATTTCGTCAGCCATGTCCCTATCCTTTTCACGCATCGATTCCCAGAGGTCGTAGCCAATCCATTCAACGGGAATGCTACGATCTGGAAGGACGGTCCCCCGAAATAGTGGCATCAACCTTTCGTTGTAGGCGCGACCGTCCTCGAGAGACATGTGTTCGAGGATGTCTGTCTGTTTGTCAATTCTGGTTCTGCACTTGGTCCCTAGGTACCTAGGTAGATATTGCGGTTGTTGTGCCATAGATGCCACAGGCATTACAGACACTGTAGACAATACAGGCACCACGAGCACCACGGGCACCACGGGCACGGACACCACGGACACGGTAGGAGGCTAAACGTACCATCCACCAGGAAGAGCAGTGTCAGTAACCGACACGCATAGTGAATCCGATCATCCAGTGCCTTGGGGAAATAGAGACATGTTACTCGCGAGAAACCTGCCGCCACAAACTTTCTGCGTGCTTTTCCATTGGGGAACGGCCAGTGCTGGAGAAAGTACCCATCCACCTCGGCGATAACCTTCTCGTGTAGGGGATGAATTTGCGCCGTCCAGTCTGATGAGGGGACGTGAATTCCCCGCCGTGTCAGCGAGGCCGCGGGTTTAGCTTGCTCCTGAGTGATAGAAGCCACGGACACCGGAACGTAATCCTCGACCATGGGCGCCATGATGTTAGGGTTGTCTGGGACCTAGGTACTAGGTGGATAGTGAGCGATTGCCAGTAATTGCCTTCACCTCAAGATCTGCCAGTGTTGTCGGTGTCAAGGATCGGACGTCGACTAATATACTGGGTAGATGCATGCAGTACCACGAGGCTAACGAAGGGAGAAGGGAACCGTAGCATTAGCAACATCGCTGCGCGAAAGGCTTCGATTGCCCCTTTCCTTCTCTTTCCGCCCACGCCTCATCCTCTGGTACGTGGCCAAGGCCAATAGAGCCGACACCGACGGAGAAAACCCGTAGAGGTAACACACTACGATCATCAGTGTGGTTCTGAGGCTACCCTATAAATACTCCCCACGTTGCATTAGAATCCCGACCGATGACTGATTATCCCTAAGAGGAAGTGACCGATTAGATAAGTTTCACATAAAAAGAGGCACAGCGTTGGTGTGAGTGAGCCGCTTATGCGTACGTGCCGGGGTGCCTACTAGGTACCTAGGTAGGCACGTAGTATGTACCTAGGTATGTAGGTAAGTCAGGTAGGTACCTGTTTTATGCTCCAAGTAGCTAGACTGAGTACTGTGATCATATCCGAGGGACTGATCGTATCCGGAAGAGTTTCAGGGGTATTAAGACTACTGGGTACTAGGTATCTAGTAGGTGGACAAACACCACGCCACATGTCTGTATGCGAATACTGGCTGCCGTACGCTTCTATTTTACCTACCTGGGTACCTACCCATCTGCCTACCAAGTAGATATCTACCTGCATAGGCCTGCCTAGGTAGAAAGTCCCAGAGTTAGCATCACGTTGGCATCAGAGTTGGAAGCGAGTTAGAACGAGTTAGAACGAGTTAGAGCCAGTCGGAGCGAGTCAGAAACCATGTCGTCGACTTCGATACTGGACACTGCTCTACTGACACCACGTCTGCTCGATGGTTGCGTTGCGTGGGCGTCGTCGCTCAACAAGAACGACATCAGGAGTCTCTTGCTCATAACTATTATCACGGCAGTCGTATGGCACTACTTCTCACCCCGAAAACAACGCCTTGTCCCTGGAATTCCTGTCATTGGCGGTGTCGGCATCAAGGAGCGGATCAGAAGCCGCGAACGCTTTCGACATGATTCGAAGGCCATGCTAGAAGAGGGGTACTTCCGAAACAACGTCGACGGTGGCTTGTTCTATGTGCCGTCTCCTCTCGGCGAGCGTCTCATGCTTCCTATACGCTATCTGGAAGACCTAAAGACAGCACCGATGGATAAGGTTGACTTCGTGGGAACCTTCATCGAGATGTTCGAGGGGAAATACACAACCTTTGGCAGCCGCAGCACGCTACATCCTAGGACGGTCAAGGCGGACTTGAACCAGCATCTGTCGGATGTCATGCAGAGCGTGCAGGACGAGATTATCGAATGCTTCGATGAGATTTTCCCGAAGTGCTCCGAAGATGAGTGGACGGCAGTACCTCTCGTGGACGTCATCACACGTATCGTGGCGCGTGCGTCTTCCCGCATGTTTGGCGGTGCCCAGCTTAGCCGTAACTCGGCTTGGGTAGCGGCATCTCTCTCGTTCGCCATCGATGGATATATCGGTGCGCAGAAGCTTAAAAAGTACCCAGAATTTCTCAAGCCCCTGGTCGCGCGTCTAATCCCCGAGGTACGAATCCTTGCCAAGTATCACGAAGAGGCTGAGAAGGCCGCGCTCCCCATGCTCGCAGAACGGGAGCGCACGGGAGAACGCCCGAAGGATTTGCTCTCGTGGATGCAAGACGCGGCAGTGGGTGAGGAGACAGATCCCCGATTCATAGCAGGGATTCTTCTCAAGATCAGCTTTGCAGCTATTCATACGACGGCGGCGGCAAACAGTCAGCTGATCTTCGACCTCTGCGCACATCCCGAGTTGATTCCCCTGGTCAGGAATGAGTTTGAGGAAGTTGCTGAGGAAGACGGGAAGATTAGCAAGAAGGGATTCTTCCAGATGCACATAATGGATAGCATCATGAAAGAGAGTCAGCGATTCAATCCGCTTCTGTTAGGTATTGCCCTCTTGCCCTCTCTTGCCTTTTCCCTTGACCTTCTCTTTCAACCTCCTCCATCTATACCCTGTACTAGGTGCATGCCTGGTAGTTGTCCTAAGAATGTCGACTAACGCTGTCAGTCACTTTTGAACGCATCATTACCGAGGATTGGCGTCTATCGGATGGGTTCGTAATCCCAGCACATACCACCGTCGGCGTGCCGTCGCAGGCCATCGCTATGGACCCAAATCTATATCCCGAACCGGAAACTTTCGATGGCCTACGATTCGCGAAGCTCCGCGAAACCACGGATAACCCAGCCACGAAAGGCAAGGCACAGTTTGTCGCGGTATGTATCCTGGTGCTACTCTGACCCCATGAGCGGACCTACAAGATACCTTCTAGGTAGGTACCTAGGTATGAAATGTATCCTGGCTAACTCGTGCCATAGGCCAATCCGCAGAGCATGGCATTCGGCTACGGGAGACACGCATGTCCAGGTCGGTTCTTTGCCGGGGACGAAATCAAGGCGATCACAATGCATCTGTTGAATAATTACGACATCAAATTCGCGGAGGGGCAAACTCGGCCGAAAAGTTTGGAGGTCGAGACGCAATTCTTGCCGGATCATGCTGCGACCATCTTGTGCAAGAAACGGGTACGAAGGAATTAAGAGATGGATTGGGATTGGTAGAGTGGGCAATTAGGTAGAAGGGGGCAGGGGGGCTACGAAGTACAGGCACATAATTTCAAGCCGTTACGCAGATCTCTGCCTGTTTAGAAGCGGGACGACTCGCGCGAAACCCCGCACGCAACTACCCGTGTCCATCTTCCTTGTCTGTGCGCAGTACGTCGCTGATCTCGCTGATCTTCAGGGCTGTTATAGGTGACTTGTAGGGCTCCAGGGCTATGTTAGATCCATACCGAGGTGAGGTAAATCGGTTAGCGCTCATTGAATGTTGATAGGTAGATGGGTACGATAGGCACCCACCTAAGCAGCTCCAGGGCTAAGTAAGACGGGCTGGTAGGTGCATGTAGGGCTAGGTTATAGTGGTTGTAGTGGTTGTAGTGGTTGTAGTGGTTGTAGTGGTTGTAGTGGTTGTAGTGGTTGTAGTGGTTGTAGTGGTTGTAGTGGTTGTAGTGGTTGTAATGGTTGTAGTGGAAGAACCTACCGGTCGTTCAGTGGTTACAGCGTACAGGTACACGCTCCAGGGCTGCCAGGGGTGTGCGATAACCTTCGAGGGTCCACGGGTACCGTACTGATTGCTTTAGTGGTAAGTGCTGATGCCATAAGCTTACTAGGTACCTAGGCACCTAAGATATAGCTACTAGGTATCGCCTATACCACTATAAGACCCCAGTAATCGGTCAGCTATCTTGACAATCTTCACAAATTTTGGCCCCAACCTTCCTCATTCGAAACTGTGACTCCCAGGTTTATTCCAGTCAACAATGGGTAGGATGAGGTTGGAGATCAGTGTTCGATACAGGTATTGCGTTGTAGTCACTTTGAAGGAAGCACTTGATCTTTGTTCTGGATGTTGGATATCATCTCGACCTTGCCAACTTGCCTAGTAGGTACCTAGTAGCTAAGACGCCCGTTCCATCTTCCTCGTTCCGTTTCCCAGTTCTCATTCCCAGTGCCACTTCTCAGTTCCATCTCCCAGTTCCATATCCCAATCCCAATTCCATCCCTTTCCAACATCGCGACGCATACTCCAGTCCAATCGGATTCGTGCTATACCAATTGTCCACATCCTTGGATACCTTGCCTAGGTAGTACTAGGCGCTCTAAATCCTACAGTGGCGTCATACCAGGATGAGGTCGTTGGTAGATAGTCGGCTTGGCGATCGCAGGGATTGCGTTGCGTCGAGGTAAAGGGTGGCATGCTGCGTCCAGGAATACGCGCACGGTTACATGTCAATGATCTTTTCCAGATGCTGGAATTCTCGTTTATGGGGTTACATGCTCTCTGCAGTCAGCCATCGGTGATAACCTAATTGGTGTGCCATCCCGTCGTCCCATCGTGCCATCGTTCCATCGTCCTGCATTGGGAGGAAGACATGTATTACAAAACGACGTAGAATCCTTCTATGCCACCTACCTAGGTAGATAATGTAGGAGGGTAGGAGGGTAGGAGGATAGCAGGATAGGGGGATATGGGGATGAGGAATGGGGGGTATCGAGCTGACAGTCGGCTCGGTTATCCTACCACCCCCTACTATACGGTCTGGCACCTCGTGGACGCCACAGACGCCATCTCGTCTCGTTTACCAGTAGTTTTCGATTATCTAAAATCGTAACCCACCTTCATACTAGCGTCAGCACACATCTTGATGCCTCTATTCCACTTGTTTACCTAGCGCCTACCTACTGAGAGTATAGGATTCATCTCTCGTGAACAGTCATCGCCGCTAAGATGTCGTTGCCGTCGCCCGAGCAGATCGCCTACATGATGGCGCACGCCTCTGATGATCTACGACCCAATATCATCGTGTGCGTGTCGGTATGCGCGTTCCTCTCGGTAGTATTTGTGGCCATGAGGCTCTTCGCGCGCTGGCTTCACGGCAACAATCTACTACTAGCCGACTATCTGATTATTTTCGCCTTGGTACGTACTAAGTAGTCTGTCGAGGAGGTAGATACAAGGCATTGGATTGCGATGTCGCTGACAAGATTACCGCACGTAGTGTCTCTATATCCCATTCTGCGTTGCGTTGGGAATATGTACGGACGCCGGTCTAGGGAAGCACGCCCTATTCATCAAGGACGCGCGGCTCCTGCAAATTGTATGTCACTAGTTACTTTTGACTCGATCCTCGATACTCGATACTTGTTATTCGTTCCTCGTAGCTCGTGGCTCGTGGATCATGGATCGTGGATCATAGCTCGTAGCTCGTCATTCGGTACTCGAGACGTCCAAGTTCGCGGCTAAACATCTACTAGTATTTCATCTCGTCCGAAGTCATATACTCTGTCGTCATCGTCACTATCAAATGGAGCATCCTCGCCTTCTACCGACGAATTTTCCCGCAGGACTGGTTTCGCTGGGCTCTTATTGGGGTTGCCCTTTTCATGGGTGCGTGGATGTTCACCACTGTCTTCGCCATTAGCTTCCAGTGCATACCTATCGAGTACAATTGGGACATGACGATCGTTGGCGGCCACTGCATCAACATCGGTCAGCTTGCGCTCGTAACCAGCATATTGAACGTACTCACAGACGTAGCAATCTTAATTCTACCCCTCCCGTTAGTTTGGAAGCTTAACGTGTCACGCCAGAGGCGTTGGGGCTTAATCCTCCTATTCGGCCTTGGTGGCGGCGCGTGTGTCGTAGGAATAACTAGGGCCGGCTATATCGGAGATCTGAACGCCACTGTTGATCCTACATGTGAGTCGATTCCCGTTGAAAAAGCATCGGATGAGATGAGACCACTAACACTGGAAAAGGGGATAACGTTCCGGCGGCGTACTTATCGGCCATCGAGGTTCTCGCAGGTTTCCTTGTCGCATGCATCCCCTCGTATCCGGTGCTCTTCCGCCGCGCCGCAAGCAAGACCGTAGCCTCTAAACAGTCTGGCCCTGGTAGCGGACAGACTCCTGGGGGTTCAGGCCGAAGCGGGGACTCTCGTCGACGCCCTGTCATGTCGTGGAACAGGATTACGAACACGGACGAGATCGAGCTGCTTACTAGCCAGACACCGGCGAATCACCGCTGGCAGACGTTGCCTGAGAAGACGGGCGACCATTACAAGGATGGCAATCGAGGAGATGTGAATGGAATGAAAGGGGGGCCGGGAGAAGCTGTCTAACGATACCAAAGGATCTGGATGTGTATGACACTGTATGTTGGAACTGGGACTGTATGATAGTCGTTTCTGCCATTTGTACATTAAACCGTATTGTCGGAGACTAGATAGGTATCTAGGCATGTATCTATGAGACTATGTATTTAAGGGCCATACATGTACCTACCTAGGTACCTACATATGTATGTCGCGAGGTAAGGGTCTGCATGTGTAGCTACTACCTAGTACTAGGTAGGTGCCCATAAGTCACTATAAACTACAGTATCTACGGCAGGAACGCGTCTCGGGCGTGGATCCGAACTGGGGCTTTCCACCACATAACCCAATGCCTTGACCCGTTTTCCCAATCAAGATCTTGATCCACAAGATTCATATCGTACGAATAGAATAGTTTCGCGAGGACAAGCGACATCTCGACAAAAGCAAAGCTAGGATCTATCAGCGAGTTCTAGAATGATATGCGTAGCCCACCTGGCAAGCTATCCGAATTCCCATACCTTCGTCCGATGCAAGCTCTGTATCCAAGTGAGAATGGTTGACTCGCTTCCTTGATGTCCTTGCACTCGGGATCGATCCATCTCTCCGGCTTGAATACATCTGGATCTGCGAAGTAGCGTTCGTCATGCGACACCGACCATGTGCTGGTGTATACTTCTGTCTGTTGGATTCCATTAGAATAGATCCATACCTCAGGTACCTAGGTAGGTAAGTAGGTACTAGGTACCTAGCAGATATTTGGGTATGCTCATGAAATTCTTTTGCTGACTTACTCCAGCAGGTACCCAATGTCCGTCGACGATTGCACCAGGAGAGATGCGTGGAAACCCACCAGCACCAGAAGGGTGGATTCGCAATGCCTCGTTGATGACGGCCTGGAGATATGATAATTGGAGGGCGGAGACGGAATCGATCTCGTCGTACGATTTATAGTGCTCGCGTATCTCGTTCGTCAACTTGGAGCGTACCTCGGGTGAACGTAGTGCATAGTAGAGCGTCGCGGCCAAGGTTGTCGCTGTGGTTTCGCCACCAGCAATGCTGCAGAGATAGATTAGTCGTCGAATGGTATAGGCCTGACTCTACGGGGGTGGGGTTGGAAGATAGGGGTAAGAAGATCTAGGTAGAGATGGAGATGGGACGGAGATGGGACGGAGACGAGAATGGAAACCGGATCAACACACATTAGAGTGCTCGCATGCGCCGTCATTTCCTCCAATCCAATATCATCGCTCTTGACCTTTGCCACGATATTTGTAAAGAAGTCCTGCCGTGATGATTTGCTCTCGAGCCGGCTATTTTTGTCAACATCTCCAAGGCCTGGAGGAACACTTTACAAACCTCTTGACTTTATCCCGGCTGTACCGTTGATGGGTTGCTCTCACTTTCGTCACGAGAGACGGTAGCAGCAACTTGCCCAGCATAGCTAACAAGCGGAATCGTCGTAGGTTATCCACGAGGACAATCTCACGCAGATGCGTAAGGATGAGGTCGATCCAGAAATGGTGTTTTTCTATGGGCCAGTCATTGGGTCAGCTAAGCTGCGACACCACAACCAAAAGAGCATGGTGGGAAACTCGCCCTCAGCTACGCAACCGAAACTCTCCCCAAACGCCATCTCACCCAAGAGATCAAAAGCGTTCATCTCGAACCATTTAGTCATGTCGATACCAGCTTTGTCCTTCCGGCTCAGGGGGCCGACTTTAGCAACAAACGCGTCCGTGCATCTTTGTATGATGCTCTCCTGAGCCGTTAGACTACGCGGAGAAAATGCTGCAAGGAGATTCTTCTTTTTGGAGGCATGCACCTATGCTTCTGTATCAGTTCCGTTTCCTATGGATGTGAGAAACCAAACGAAAGAAGCCGGACGCGAGAAACCGAACGAGTGCCCAAGTGAGAGCCTACCTTCGGATCCCGCTCACTTCCAATGCATCCCGTCTTGAAACCCGACCCGAATACATCGTAAAAGTCACTCTTGATAAATTGAGGCTGTCCCGCTGGGGGGAATCCATAGATGTCGCGGTACGACTGAACCGAGGCGAAACTCAACTCGTTAGGGGAGACACGGAAGACGTCGCCTGGGGTAAGTTAGTGGTTCAGTTAACGATCTTGGGAGTTTGCCCCGAGATATCTCGTAGGCTGGTAGTACTAGGTAAAGGAGGTACCATATTTCTGGTGCTCAGCCCGGAATATTCGGTGCTGTCGACCGCTCATCGTGTTCTTGAACCGCCATAGCTAGTGGTGATTCGGTTAGTCAAGCCATCCACATTTTTTCGATTTATTATAATTATTTTAATCATTTTCAAAGTGAAGTTCGGTGTTGCTAAAGACTGCTAGGTAGGTTCTCACATGTGTAGCTCGTGCCAACAGCGGTCCTGGAAATTTAGCAAGCGGATGCAAGTAGAGGTTGTAGATGATGTTGCTCAGGCAATAGCCGAAGACCTTAGAAGTTGCATTAGATACGTGAACCATTCGCATACAGACAACAGCTATCTCACTAGAGTTCCTGTAATTGGGACCCAATGGGTCATCAAAATCGCAAGCAAGCTTTCCTCCATTGCGGCTCACGATAAGAATTAGGTGGATTTCCAAGTTCTCGATGGTCGAGATACACCCCCTACCTACCCAAGTAGATAACTCTGGATAGGGAGTCTACTAGGTACATGGTATACGTTGATGAAAGCCTCGATGTCGTAAGACTGGGCGTTGCAGTGTAAAGAATTACTAGGTACACCCCAGTGCAGCAGTGCAGCAGTGCAGCAACGTACCCACATGCTGTACCTGGATACCTAGCTAGGTAGGCTACCTGTATGCTGCTTGGTACGATACCTAGATGGGTACCATTCTGCCGCTTGCTGGATATTCTGTATCGATACTGCACTGCAACCCTCCATCAGTTAGCAACGTGCACAGAGGTGGTAGTGGTATCTCATGCGGTGCAACCTATTGCTGGGTACCATACCTACCTACCTACTAGGTACCTACCCCTGTACGGATACATGCCCAGTCGTACCGTTCGGTCTAGTCTGACATCAGCAGGATTCGTAGTATTCATATTGAGCACATACGCCGCACACATACCTCCGCGCGCGCCGCATTCACGCGTCTCCGCCTCGACTTTAATCGAAATTCCCGGGGACCGCGGGCGGTGCCGTTGCAGTAAGCAAAAAGGGATCCCATTCCTCCCGACGATCAGCGCTTATTCCAATCTACGACTGGCGAATTTGTCAAAGTATGGAAACGTATTTAGGCGACTTAGGTATTCCGCCAGTCCGCCTCGCCGATGGATTCCCCTTACGGCCTAACTTTGGACTGTCCTTGGTTAAGAGCCGAAAGGCGTTTCAGCCTAGCAGGTACCGAATATAACCACCAACCAGGGGACCGAGAGGGGAGCGAAAGGGGCGAAAGGGGCGAAAGGGGGCCGAAATATCCATCGGGCCATGACACTGTATCTAGTGGAGTCAGCAACACTTTTTGGCTTGTCGAAAGGACGAGAAAAGCAACGGGGGTGGTATGATGAAGTTACGGCAGGTTGCGATGTATTCATCACACATCGTTGTCACACATCGTTGGTCGAAATCTCAATGTAGGACCTAGTAGGTATATAAAGCAATGACGCATGCGTGGCGGGATATTTGCACTTGACTTGGGTCTAGGCCTTCTAGTGGGACAACGATCAATGCCGTCGTCTGTGGTCATGCTTGCTCACCTAATCTCCCGACTTTTGCTTCTGCAGCTTGGGTCCTTGGCCCTAGGTGTTAACTCTCTATCGCCCCTGGGGAACGGGAAGATAAATCTGAGGCATCTGCAGGATCGTGCTGCCGGGGGTTGCGACGCGCTCTCTACCGCCCTTCCCGATCATGTGTACTGGCCTAATAGCTCTCAGTACCTCAACCAGTCCCAGGGTATGTAACCTCTGAATCTCTGGGTCTTTGAACCTATGCCGCCAAGGGCGTGTACCAGATATTTCCCTCGAGTACCTACTAGGTACCTAGGCAGGTAGGTACTACGCACTAGTCACGGCAGCTAAGAATTCAACAGATGTCTGGTCTCAGACTTGTGTCATGACGCCGCAATGCGTCTTCGAGCCATCTACCGTATCAGCACTGTCCCAAGGACTCAAAATCATCCGTGAAGCCGGCACAAAATTCGCCTTCCGCGCCGGCGGACACATGCCAGTACCCGGAGCGCAGTCTCTCAACGATGGCGTGATGATCTCAGCTAGCATGTTCAACACCAACAACCTCTCGGCAGATGGTTCGATCGCGAGCATAGGTCCTGGTCAGACCTGGATGGAAGTGTATCAATGGCTCGCGCCGTATGGTCTCGCTGTCAACGGCGGTCGGTTTCCCTCTGTCGGCGTGGGCGGGCTGCTAGTCGGAGGAGGTATGGGTTACTTCTCCGGCAGTCAGGGGTGGGCTGTTGACAATATCGTCGGCTGGCAGGTCGTTCTCTGGAACGGTACCGTCTTGGAAGTCACCAACTCCGCTCAGGATCCGCATGCTGACCTCGCGTGGGGTCTTAAGGGTGGTTCGAACCTGTTCGGCCTCGTCACACGCTTCGATGTACGCACATTTCCGGCGACGAGCGCTTTCGGCGGACTGACGATATGGTCTGGAGAGGCGGGATCTGATGTTCTCTCATCTCTGACGAGCTATATGACTCCTGGTGGGGGCGTGGATGATCCCAACGTGCACATCGACGTCTTTTCCGGGATTAGCTTCAACAATAGCGTGCCAACCCTTTCGTATTATAATATCGCGCTCTATCCAGGGGGACAGGCGGGACCGACAGCCTTAGAGAACTTCACTGCTATACCAGCTGATATGACTTTGTCCAACGGTGTCGCGGTTCACGAGAGTTGGACTGCGATTCCGCAACAGCTGGATTCGTTCTCGACTCGGGCGCTTCGAAACCTGTTCTACGCAATCAGCTTCGAAGCGACCGCAGAAAGTATAAGTCTGTACAACCAAACAATAATCGAGAATGCTGTGTCGATGTTGAGCAATGTGGAGGGGTTGTCAACGTACGCGGTCTATCAACCAGTGTCGAAGAAATACCTCCAGGCGTCCAAAGACAAGGGCAGCAACGTCTTAGGTCTAGATCCCGATGTCGACGGGACATTTATTGGTGAGTTTCTCGTCCGCCCCTTGGTGTCTACTGCTAACCAGTTATCGTTCGTACAGCTGGCATCATTCTTAGCATGTGGAAAAATGCTGAAGACGACGCGACCGTGCTTGAATTTTCTCGGACCTCGGCGCAACAAATCCGCCAGAAGACCGAGGCGCTCGGGTTGTACAACAAATTCATCTATCTAGGTGACTCGGCTCAGGGCCAATCGCCTTTCGAAAGCTATGCGAACGGGAAGAACTTGCAGAAGCTCAATGCGATCCGTAGTAGATACGACCCTGATAGCTTCTTGGAGAATTATCTCCATAGAGGGTTCCAACTGGCCTAAGGGATTCAGGTCTTGGGTAAATGTACCTAGGAGGAAAGGCAGGGACATGTGCAAAGTGTCAATGGGTATATAGAAATAAATAATTCAAAATTCCAAAGTTATTAAACAGTCTCCCAAAAGTGTTCGGTGCCAACTATGTGAGCAGAGCTCGCTTCGCCAAGTTCGAATGCTGTCGCGAAGCCAAAATCCAATTCATACATCCTGAAATCAACCAATATGCTGGGAACCTAGGTAGTAGGTAACTACCTACCTACCTACCTACCGGGGAACCGAGTACCTCCCTACTAGGTACCAACTTACATACCTAGCTACCTACTATCTAGGTACTCAGCACCTACAATACGTTTTCACCGTCCCCCTCGCTACGTCAACCATGGCTTGAGCTGCTCTTCCGTCCAGTCCCACAGCTTCTCCGCCAGTTTCTGATCCAGACACCAATGCGTGTAACTCTGGGTTGGTATACCGACCGGCTCGTAAAACTCCCCCTGCTTCGCCTTATCCTTAGGCACCCCGACAGCCCATACTTGGTTCCAGTGGCCTTGGTCGTCTTCGAGGAATTTGTTTATGTTTCCAAGGTACACGATCATCTTATCCAGGAGTGACAGGCTCGAAACCAGTCCTGTGTTGCTCGGACCCGGATCGACTATCAACGTAAGAATCTCGGGGTACCTACGAGCCAGTTCCCGGCCGTATAGCAGATTAGCTAGCTTGCTCTGGGCGTATCGTTGCCACCTGCCGAGGAGCCAGTATGCCTGGGTGGTCTTGAGATCGTCAAAAACGATCCCGTGTCCTCGCGGCGCTAGAACGAGAGCCAGGCTGGATATGGGGATGATACGGGCCTCGCCGTGCTCCTTTACCGTCTTCTGCAGCAGGCCGAGCAACTTTTGGATAATAAGGGCATGCGCGACGTGGTTGATCCCGAAATGCAGCTCGTATCCGTCCTTGGTAAGGCCGGGTGGGAGCGCCATGATGCCAGCGTTCGTCATGAGCACGTCGAGGCGGGATTCTTTAGCCAAGATGGTCTCCGCAGCTTCTTTGACGGTCGCTAGATCGGTGTGATCGCATCGTATCCAGACTATCTCGGTGCTTGAACCGCTAGACTTTATGTTGTCGATGACGCGCTGCGCCGAGGACTCATTTCGCCCTGTGATGTAGATCTTGGCAGGATTTCGGCTCGCCAGCATCGTAGCTGCGGCGGCACCAAGTCCATTTGTGCCTATTGTATAGCTGTGAGAACCTTTCACGATGCATGATATGGAGGCTGTCGTGAGGGGTTATGGTGTATACCTACCACCTGTGATTAAGATGACCTTGCCCGTGAGCACAGGCACGTCCCGATTGAGGTCGAAGTCCAACTTGGCCATCTCGGGCTAGTTCGGTCGCAGAGAATAGTAGGTAAGGGTAGGTAAGGATTAGATAGATCTGGTATCTTCCAGTCTGCTAGGTGGAGCAAAAGGACTAGGTATGAAGAGGGCGAAGAGATATGAATGTCGAAGGCTTTTGTGGAATTGCCGATCAACCGGAGCCGACGACTAGATTCGTCGCGATGTGGCGTTGAGGGGTTGGTTAGCACTTGTTACCTGAACTGCGCCGCACAAAGCTACCGTAGGTACCATTGGATGATACTGTAGGCATCTGGGCAGGTATATGCATTGATATGTAGGACCTAGATTAATTGATTGATGTACCTACCTCCCTATCTGGTAGGTACCTGCCTACCTACCTAAGTACATAATGTGCTAGGTAGGTCCTAGGCTGAGCACATGTGCAGTGCATTGCATTCGGATCAGACGTATTGTACAGGTACAAGTCGGTCCGACTGATCTTGTAACGCGGTACCACCAAGGGATCACATCCATGATCTGGCAGTCCTGTGGTGTAACTTTGGAACCAACCGACCTTGGAAAGCAACAGCTTGGAAAGCAGCGACTGCAGATGGAACAAAGTTGAAAATAAAGTTGGAATAAGGTTAGAACCATAAATCCCACACGGAATAGGGGGAAGTCCAGGCCCTTACATACCTAGATATGTACGGTATTATATTCGGCTCGCTCAGATTTGGATACGGCCGAATGCATGACAATGGTCGAGCTACCTAGGGTGCTACCTCGTGTCGGAAACCATGTTCGCCAGCTGGAAACCCGTGTCCGACAGCGATGGCCAAAACGTGCTCCTATGCAAGCGACCACACACCTTCGATCCCGTGACGGCTAAGACAGAGAGGCCGGTGGCATGCTCTCAATGTAGGGTCCAAAAGGTGCGTTGCACGGGAGAGCAGCACGGCGAGGGTTGTAGCCGATGTCAGGCACAGCGCAGGAAGTGTACGTACCCGCGTCGACGTAGCAGCGCCGCACAACCGACCGAAGAGGCACCTAACTTCGCCGATACGGAGTTACGGTCTGACCCGCTCGAGCTTCCTACGCCGGCGCCTACAGAGGACTCCGGGAGACCGGTATCGTCAGCCTCCGTAAGCCGCGCCGCCCAGGAATTGATTCGCGAGCCGCAAGGAGGTTATTCGAATGGCATGGATTTTTCCCATTTTCCACTCAACCAGGAATTCACTCGATATTCCAGTTTCGCCGTGATGGGGGAGTGCCAAGTCCGGAACGGGATTCAGGGTGGGCATTCAGCAACTGAACAGATGGCTACTCAAGAGCACACGCACTCGCACTCACACTCAAACTCATACTCAAACTCATACTCAAACTCACAATCGCACCCGCAATCGCACCCGCAATCGCACACACAATCGCATTCACACTTACACTCGCTCTTCCGCAGCTCGCAGAATCCAGAGATGTACCCGGGACCCAACGAACCGGTCGCAAACTGCTCTCCACGTTCTCAATCACGGTTACCGCAAGCTCAGGCCCTATTCTCTGGTGAAACCCAGAATCAGGCCGGAGCAAACACGCTACGACCGAGCGGACCCGACTGTCAATGCCTGCACCGCGTGGTGATTTTGATAGACGAGCTAGAAGTATTCGGCGAGCCAAGTCGTTCGCATCTTCCCTTAGACGGTATACTTGTGGCGCATCGCAAGGCGTTACGCCAGGCCGAGGATATGATAGCCTGCGCATCCTGCGCGACACGGGTCGACCACATGATAATTCTTACCTTTCTTGTAAGTAGGCTTGCCAACATATGCTGCCGCGCCATCTCGGCGCTCTCGTCACCCTCATCCCATCGTGCAACAGGGGCTTCGCTTTCGACAGCGAGCCGCCCGGGCGTGAACGAGGCTCTGATTACTTCCGTAGGCGCATATAGGATCGATAGTGAGACGGAGCACGTCGCGGTCGTACGCGTACTGCTACATATCGGTCTGGACCGCTTACTGGGGCTCGTAAGTGCGCTGCAAGAGGTGGGGAGACGGCTAGGTAGCGATACTATGGATAGACGTCTTGGCGTGTGTAGGAGGGCTATCGGGATTATGTTGGACGGCAGATAAATCGGTATAGGCTCACGTCAGCCGGTAGATGGCAGATATTCCAAACCACGACGCGCATCGGTTCGGTCAGGGTCTGGCTAATCATAGCAAGCTTATTCGGTCACTTCCTAAAACGTCTTAGATTGTAGATTTCGACTAGTGAGGTGTGGGGGTATAGGGGTGTAAGGGTGTAAGGGGAGGGGCGTATGGATGTAGGTCGCGAAGGGGCTGGTTTACCAACTAGGTGCTAAGTAAGCACCTAGTAATATTAGATTCTGTGCCTTTCTGCAGCAGGTTGATCTGAGCCTATATCACCGAATTTGGCAAGCTAAATGAGCAGCAGGATTCCATCCGAACCTGATAAATATGATACATCATAGATAGATAGCTACCTACCTACCTAGTAAATAGGACGCAGGTATATTTCTAGTTCCCGGACTAGAAAGTGCCTAGAGAATCTAGATATTACAATGAGTCGGAGTATTTGGTTGACATACTCAACCTGCGACTTGCAACCTCGTAGCTACAGTAACTACACGCCAAACCCATAGTCATCCCGTGTCTTGTACCCGAGCAGGGAATCTTCGACTGCACACTGTAGCAGCATAGCAGCATAGCAGCATAGAAGCATGTCTACCATAGACGTATTCGGGTTCACTGCCCTCCATGTCACAGAGTGGACGACTCGGAATCTCTGGACTATACTGGTAGTGGCCATCATCGCCAAGGTGCGCGGCCACGAGCCCTCGCTTTCGATTTCGATCGTTAACAGAATGATTCCGGCAGGTCGTCTCTAGCGGAATATACAATGCGTACTTCCACCCGCTAAGTAGGTTCCCGGGACCGAAACTGGCAGCTTGTAGCAATGTACGTGTCTCCATGATGCCAGAGAGCAGTGTGAAGATAAGCGAGATTCATGAGCTCATACTTTGGTCCTTGGCGTCAAGGTGCCATATTCCATGAACTTTCTCGGAGGGAGGCAACCTTATGAGATGTTGCGTCTTCATCGTCGCTATGGTAAGAACGATTCGACAAAGTCCCTTTCTATCCCAAGCTATCCCAACCTATGTCGTCCTACGTCGTCCTACATCGACCTATGTCAACCTATGCGCCTATCAGACCGCAGAGGAAGTCAGTCGAGACATTGAGCCAACGTAGAAGCTAGGCCCCGTCGTCCGCGTAGCACCCAACGAGCTATCTTTCAACACGGCGCAGTCCTTCCGCGATATCTACGGATTTCGCCCCGGGCACAAGACCTTTGTAAAGTCCATCTTCTACGAGGGAGGTAGCTTTGCGGCTAAGGGAGTCCATTCGATCGTATCGGAACGTGATCCCGCAATTCATGCGCAGATGCGAAGACTTTTATCTCATGCCTTCAGCAATTCGAGTCTCCTAGAGCAGGAAGAGCTTGTGACAGATAGCGTGGATCGATTCGTGCGTCTCATAAGGGCGAAGGTTGGCCAACGTCTGGACATTGCAGACTTGTTTGAACGGATGGCATTTGATATCATAGGAAATTTGGCGTTTGGCGAGACTTTTGGTGCATTGGAGAAGGGTAGGTTGTGATATCGTCCCAACCTTTCATTTCCTGTCCATTTTTTATTCCTCTCCTCTCCTCTCCCTCTTGCTTCTCTCTCCCTTTTCCCCTTTCCCCTTTCCCCTCTCATACCCTCATTCTTCTCACACCTTCCCTATTCTCCCTTCCCAACCAACAAGAGCGGCGGTAAAAGTCGAAAGAATGCATCGAAGCTAATCAACCATGGAATGGATCAAGACGAACGCCATCCTTGGATTGCCATCACGATGGGGGCCCTAACGAAAGGTGCTCTCGTCGACTCGTTCAAGCGCTTCCCGATGTTAGCTAGTATTGTCAAGTTGATCATGCACAAGCAGATAGCGACGCTCATCGACGACACTAACAAGAACGAGGAGCTTGCTATCAAATTAGTCGAAAGGTGAGTATCCGGGACTCTTTGCCTTTGCCCTTTGTCCTTTTCCCTTTGCCACAGATATGATACTCGTCCATTGGGAGTATGGGCTAAATGATACTTCTATCCTCATAGGCGCGTCTCCCGTCCAAGTACTCGGAAAGACTTCCTTACGCGTATCCTCGAGCAACGGACCAGAGTCGACGCAGACCCAGACTACAAGCACCAGCACAAGGTCTCGGATGTAGAATTGGCTGCCCACGTCTCAGACTTCGTGCTAGCTGGTAGCGAGACGACGTCCACGGTCCTTTCCACGGCAACCTATTATCTTCTTAAGAATCCGCTGGTGTACAAAAAGCTCGCTTCCGAAATTCGATGCGCTTTCGAATCAGCAGAGGATATTAATGAGGCGACCACCCGCGACCTGGCGTATCTGAACGCCGTGTGCAAAGAGGCGATGCGCATCTATGCTCCGTTACCTCTAGGGACTCCGAGGGAGGTGCCGGAGGGAGGGGAAACAGTCGACGGGCATTTTCTCCCGGCTGGGGTAAGTCGATATTCTACCCCAAAGATATTCTTATCAACATATTTCGACTGTAACGGAATTCGACTATGACGGAAGCAAATTGACACGATAGGACAAGACCGTGGTCGCAACCAACCCCATCGCAGCAAGCCTCGATCCGACGAATTTTGCAGATCCTCTCCTGTTCAACCCAGACCGGTGGCTTGACGATTATCGAGGACAGGATGATCTCGAGGCTAGTCAACCGTTTAGCCTTGGAGCGAGAGGATGTCTCGGTAAGAGGTATGTTTTAGATATGAGGCCTCGACGATTCGTTGTTTAGGAGCTAACGAGGTATCTCTTTGCTATAGCTTGGGTTGGATGGAGATGCGTCAAGTTTTGGCTAAACTGATTTGGAATTTCGATCTGGAGCTGGCAGAGTCGGATCTCGATTGGCATAGGGACTCGCGTATGTATACACTATGGTCGAAACCGCATCTCCACGTGAGAGCGAAGTTGGCGGATCGATAACGATATGCGGGAGGAGCAAGGTTCTGTACGATTCATGAGCTGCGTACGTGGATGCAAGATCGGTTGAATAGGTACTTAGTAGTTTAGTTGTCAGGGCAATAACGATTGGCTCGAATTTGAAGCCCGTATCATCTCCAGGGCTGTCATATCAGGATGTTCAACGCAATATCATAACCCTCTTAGGACACTGAATAGGTATTAAACGTTAGCTTCGCAGGAAGAAACATGGTATCTCTGGTTACGGGTACTGAAAGGCCTGGAGACGCATGGACCATATGCTTACTTGCTAATCTTAAACGCCTATCTAGTGGCGCATCGGAATCAGGTTCGCCGCGACGAAATCTTGCTTTCCAAGAACGCCACCGTCACGCAATCGATATTAACAAATCTGGTGGTGCCTATCCAGGGACATCGAGCCCTCACTTTCGTCGCTCCAGGCGTACACAGCAATCGAGTTCGCGCTGAGGTCGTTGCCGTCAAGGATGCTTTCGTAAGAATCAACGGCGTCGCACCAGAAACAATCACCAACCTACCGCCGCATCTCACCACCACCGCATCTCACTACTACCGAATCTCATTTCCACCACGCCTCACTACCACCGCATCCTACTACCGCCGCCGTATCTCACTACCATCGCATCTCGCTACCATCGCATCCCTCTACCATCGCATCTCATCACCACCACGTCTCACTACCACCATGTCTCACTACCATCGCGTCCCACCACCACCACGTCTCACTACGCCTATCGTGGATCAGTTTACGATCTAGCGAGGCTCGGTCCGTCGATCCTTCGATCGTATACACCGCGAAAGCGACCGTACCGGCTCGGCCAGGAGAATGTACGTTTAACGAGAGAGCAGCCAACCACGGATTATCAAGTTGCTAGATGATTGACGCGTGAGCTTGGGCACGAATTTAAGAAGAAGCTCACTCACAGGAAGGTAGCAGCACCCTGCTCGGCAATCACCAGTGTATCTAGAACTAGTATGTAAGCTTCACCGAGCGCCGTTCAAGCACATACCTAGTAACTAGTCTGACGGGGGACAGCCGCGTATCGCTCAAGTCTCGCCCCGAATCCTCCTACCTATTTCAACAAGGCGGCCCAAGGATCCTCATCCGATGAGTCGCCGAAGCTGAACATGAAAAATTCAATTACAGGCCTGCTATTGTCCAGAAATAGGAGAGGTTGACACGGTTGGGGAGCTTTTACTTCGTAGCTCATCCTCGCGGCGGCGATACGGCATACGCCTCTAGTCTCGTGAATCAAGTGAACCGACCGATTCTTTAAGTCGGACGCGAAGACCCAACCAGGAACTCCAGGTAGCGTGGACAGCAGTATCTCGCGAGACGCGCAGAAGATGTGGTCTTGCGTCGTATTCGGTAACGTGTCGCGAGCACCTTCGTCCGAGTCTAATACCTGTAAGAGCGCCCCGAGTTGGCTCGGGAGCGTAGCCTCTCCCAGACGGCGTCGGAGCCTGTCTAGGGCGGCTGCGGCCTCTGGGACGGACGGCCATCGCCTAGCGATGAGCGACGTCGTCTCCCGGATGCCGAAGAAGAATATCTGGACGTCGGCCTCGGCTTTCGAGAAGTCTACTCCGTCGGCGACGTCCAGAAATCTTTCGAGCGCGAACAGCACGGCGCGGACGGGCGCTGCGTCGTCTTCGGACAGACGCCGTCGTAGGACCTCGAGGAGGTATAACGATTCCTCGTCGCACCGTCCGCGTAGCGCGCGCTCGTAGAACCGGGTCGCCGTCTCTACGACGCCCGTGGGGGAAGGGGGAGGGGGGAGGCGCTGGTCCTCGTCCTTGTGCCATGTTGGGAGGACGGACCACGGCGGGAGCTCGTGCGGGATCGTCTCGTCGGCCGCCGTCTCGCCAGCGAGGGCGGCGAGGGCGAAGGGGATCCAGTCGTCGTAGTCGACTTCGAGATCGACCAGCCCCGACTGCGTGGCGAAGAACCGTGCGGTCTCGCGCTGCCGGTCTTCGAGCAACTTCGCGCTCTCGGCCCTGAGCCCCTCTTCCTTTGCGTCGCGTGCGGCTCGGATAGTTTCGATATCCTTGCGAAGCTTCAGGATCTCTTGGTCCCTGAGCCTCGCTGAGCTCTCGGTCTCGCCGCGTGCGACGTCTAGCTGCTGTCGGAGGTTAGCGATATCCCCGCGGCTATCTCGGATGGATTTTTCCAAGTCTTGCTTAGCCTTCTCGAGGTTCGATCCTGCAGCATCGAGCTCGTCCTGCTTAGCCTTCAGAGCGGCGTCTCGCTCTTCCAGCGTCGCATCCAGAGCCTCGTCGTGCTTATCTTGCTCCGCTCTCAGGGCCTCGGCGTACCCTTCTTGCGTCGCCGCCAAAGCCTTTTCGAGATCTTCCTGCTTGGCTCTCAGGGCTTTCTCGTGCCCCTCCTGCCTCGCTCTCAGAATCTCGTCGTGCTCGTCCTGCTTAGCTTTCAGGGCCTTCTCGTGCCCCTCCTGCCTCGCCCTCAGAGCTTCGTCATGCTCGTCCTGCATGGCCTTCAGAGCGTCGTCGTGCTCTTCGCGCACGCCGGACAAGATGTCGACGTGGTCTTGATACCTGTCGTCCAAAGCTTTGTACTTCTCTTGCTCCTTGGCCTCAAGATCCGTCTCGTACCTGTCGCGCCTGGCTTTCAGAGCCTTCTCGTACTCTTTCGCCTGCGTGTCGAAGGTCCGGTTGGACTTTTCCAGCTCGGCTTTCATGGCGTTGGCGTGTCTTTCTCGCTCGGTTTCCATGGCGTTGGCGTGTCTGTCTTGCCCGGCTTTCAAAGCCTTCTCGTGCTTTTCTTGCACGGCTTTTAGAGCCTCCTCGTGCCTTTCTTGCACGGCTTTTAGAGCCTCCTCGTGCCTTTCTTGCACGGCTTTCAAAGCCTCCTCGTGCCTTTCTTGCCCAGCTTTCAAAGCCTTCTCGTGCATTTGACGAGTTGTTTCCATGGCCGACTCGTGCTCGTTCCGCTTCGCTTTCAGAGCGTCTCGCAGCAGTCTGAGCAAGTCGTCCCGGTTCTTGATCGCCTCCCGGCTCGCGGCAAGCTCGCCCTTTGCCGTTTTAAGGGTCTCCGCGGCGGCCTTATCCATGTCGAAGACCGTAGACCTGGCGGCGGTCAGCTCGGAGTCGCGAGTCTTGATGACTTGTTTAGCTTCGGCTAGCTCGTTGCCTTGTGTCTGAAGGCTTTTGTTGGCGGTAGCCAGCTTGTCGTCTCGAGCCTTGATTCGTTCTCTGTAGACGACCAGCTTGTCATCTCGAGCTTTGATCTTCTGGTTGGCGATGTCCAGCTCGTTGCATCGACTCTTAATCGTTTTATTGGCGGTGGCCAGCTGACCCTTTAGGTCCCCGAGCTCGCGTTCATCGGTGGCCAACTTCGTGTTTTGAGCTTTGATCGTCTCTTTGGCGGCGGTTAGCTCGCTACCTTGGTTCTTGGTGACGTTGTTGGCGGCGATCAGCTCGTTGCATCGACTCTTAATCGTTTGTTCGGCGGTTGCTAGCTTATCGTTCGACTCCTTAAGCTCACGCTTAATAGTAGCTAACGCGCCGTCTTGAGCCTCAAACTTCTTATCGACGGCGTTCAGTTCATTCACCATGGAGTTGAACTCAGGTATTAAGCTGTTCGCCTCGTCCGTCGTAGACTTCAACTCAGTCTTCAACTTGGTAAGCTCGGCATCTCGACTCTTAATCGTCTGTTCGGCGGCGGTTAGCTTATCATCTTGGGTCTTGACTTCCCTCTTGATCCTGTCCAGCTCGCTCGCCGCCGAATCGAACTTGGCCTTGAAGGTTTCTGCGTCCTCCGTCACAGACCTCAGCTTATCCTTAGAAAGGCCAAGCTCCTCGTCTCGGGTGCTGAGACTCTTGTTAGCTGCGGCAACATCCTTACCTACAGACTCGACCTTCTTGTTGGCCTCGGCTAGCTGGTCCTCCAGAGACTTTATCTCCCCCTTGGAGGCTGCTAGCTCGTTTTCCTTCTCCTCCACCCGCTTGGTAGCCGCGCGATTCTCTATGCAGCTGAGGGCTTCCATGTGGGCAGGAGAAAGTTTTCGGATACTCTCGACGGATCCAGCCTTGGCCGTAGCCAGTAGTAGGGCATGGCCAAAGGCGGCATCGTGGTAATTGCCGATGGTCCTCGAAAGTTTCTCGTCGTCGATGCGCCATTGGGGGCCTTTCGACTCGGAACAGACCTCCCGAAAGTGTCTTTCCTGGTTTTCGAGCTTGGCGTTTTTATCTTGGAGCTTCCTTTCTGTCGTAGCGTCTTCTTCGTCGTGGTTTTGTATCCTTTTGACCAAGGCAGCCGCAAACTCGTCTTGTCTCCGCTCATTACGCTGAGCATCCCCGATCGCCGTGCCGTCCCCCATGCGTCGTGCCAGAATCGTACGCAACTCTACGCTTAATCGATCGTCCATCTTGAAATGAGTTTAGTGTGATGTGTGGTGTGGTGTTGGGTTGTAGTTTTGAATATTCAAAATAAAATTTTGTGTCAAAAAGATTGTGGGCGAGCTATGTCGAGTTGAAACGTTGGCGTCGACGAGGTCGTGGCTTCCTCGTTAACGAGACCAAAGATCTGCCCAGTTCGGCTGTTGACACATAAAGGTGATAGGAGAAAGGTACTTGGAAGCCGAGACTTTTGCGCAGCGGTACCTAAGTTCGAACGTACATATGTAGGTACCTAGCTGGAGGTTTGTACGGGCGGAGATGTACCTACGCGCAACCCTAACCAAACACCTGAAAACAGACCTATATGTACCTAGAAGATGGGTACCTAGCAGCCTAGCGGTCCGCTAAAGGTTTCGGTTTATACAGCGTTCCCCTCCCCGTTACCGATACGCCTCCAAGGCTATGGATGCGGAATTAATTCGAGGGCGTCAAGGCTCTAGTCACGACGTGTAAACCATAGGGTATATACCTAGGTAGCTAAGTCAAGTTGGATTGGTCATTTCTAAGCTACAAAGTACGATCTGAGCAAACATCGAAGCCTATCTCAATACAGTCTTAGCGTCCTCTTCATGTCACCACTTCACATACGACCTCTTCTCCACGTGCTCGTCCTCACGCGTATCCGTCAAGCGAGTGCGGTCTCCCAAGCAAAGCGACGGTGGTATCTCCTCTTCCCCCACAACCCGACTCCGTCGAGGCCGAACCCTGGTTCGCTCAGTTGGCGTATTGGTCGAGCCGTCGTCCCAGACTGGCGCTCCGATGGACTTTAGCATCGTCTGCTTCGCGTGGGCGCAGAACCTGAGCGTGGCCAGAAAAGCGTGGTTCGCGGCGAGATCCTTCAAGTGCGGGAACGACACCGTCGCGACGAACGTTAGCAGGATGGCCGTGTACGAGGCGAGCTTGAAACGGGCCGCGTCGTCTTGCTGGAGTCGAAGCTGGACGTCCATATCTCGCAGAGCTCCGTTGAGCTGCTCGATCTCTCGCTCTAGCGCTCGCGTTGGTTCGTGATCGGAGGGGACGGCTCGGTCTCGGTCGGGGTCCTGGCGGAGGGCTTCCAGCTCGCCTTCTCTCAGCTGCAGCTGCGCTCTCAGGTCTGCGACGCCGTCTCGGTCGCCGTCCACCCCTTCGCCCGCCTCGAGCCCGCGGGCGGGCCGTCGACCGTGCCTGTCCCAGTGGTCTAGGTCCTTCGTGATGGTCAGCTGGTTTGCCGGCTCGTTCAGGCGGATCACGGGCACGGGCTTGGCCGCCTCGTCGTAGACCAGTCCCAGCCGCTCGTTCATGTGAATGTCTCGGTCTAGGTAGAACCAGCAGTCGTGCTGGGTGAGGGCGGCCATGACCTCGGGCGGGATGACTCCCATCTCGGTGCATCTTATCGTCTCCACCACGAGCCAAGACGGCCACGTCTCGAGCTTGAACTCCCTCCAGGTCCTCGACTTCGACCGTCGGATTCCGGGGTCGTAGAGGGCGATCTAGAAGTTCAGGTAGTCCTTCCAGGCTGCGGGGTGTTGGCCCTGATCAGCCTCTTGGCTAGGCCGTGCTACGCGTGCACCTCATCTCCAGTCAGCAGGGCGCGGCTCTTAGGAGGCATGCGGATGAACCATCTAGGTATGTCGACCCGGACGTTATGCGGTAGATCTATGCTGAGCGTGCCCTCCCTCCCCGAGACCTGCTGGATCGTCTTGATCCGCGGCCAGCGAACTTAGGTGCCAATGGGTGTGCCTAAGAAGAATATGGGCCATTCCTTCTCTGTCTCCTGCCCGTGTATGTACACCACCTCGTCCCATCGCAAGTTCCAGGCGATGGCCATCCCGTGCTCGATCTCTTCCTTGTCGGTACTCTGGACAGCGCCTTCTCCCAGCTGAGCCTCGAGCGCCTCGCGGAATCTTCCATTGGCGGATTCGCAATAGCTGTCGACCGATGCTCGAACGCGAGCGACGCGCTCCTCGCGTTCCCGATCTCTCGCGTTCTGTCGAAGAGCGGACCTTCTTGTAAGGCTAGGCAAAACGTCAAGTGTCCCGACGAACGATTTTCTAAAGAGAACAGCGGTTATTCAGGATTCCTCATCGTGTGTACGGCATTGGCTCATGGAGAAAGTTAATCAGAAGATGCGAAGAAATAAGAGTGATTAATGGGAGACGAAGTAAGAAGATTATTAAGGTTAACAGGTATTCAGGTCCAGATGAGCGCTACCCCCGTCTGCAGATGGGACAAACTCTCATATTCGCTGCCCGCTTGTACAGCAGCCAACTATTCCTGGAGTGATGGCTGAGTAGGCGCTCCGCGATTATCCCTATGTGGACCGTGTGCACTACTTGAATTCCCGCCTTCAATGCGGCGTTCACAGATCCCGTAAAGGATACCTAATTAGTATGCTAAGCTCGCGTAGATACCTACCTACGACTAATTCATGATCATGGCAATGAGGTCCTACCACGCCAACAAGACCATTGACTAGATCGAGGCGCTACCCTAGTCCGCCGGCGTCTCTTCGTATTGGGAACATGTCGGGATCGGCGATAGCTGGTTCTCATCCAGCAGATAGAGCTACTCGTTGTTGATGGAACCCTCCTCAGCCCCCGGGGGTACGATAGGTATAGACATGGACCCCCTCCTCGCTCACTTAACTAAGAGAAAATTAGCTTACTATGTCTAATACGTAGCGGGTTATATAGTGACGGTAGTAGGTCGTTCCACAACGCCTTACTTGGGAATTGGGAGAAATATTTAGCTGATAGAGTCGACAAAACTCCCTGCTCGGCCAGTATCAGAGAAAAAGCCCATGCGGCTGCTTCGATGCTTCCAGGACCCCCTTAGCCGACAGGTTCGGCTTGCTGATGCGGACAGATTCGACGATGCTGTTCCGATGGATTTACTTGATGTACATTGTGCTTGATGATTGGTTGATAGTTGGTTGATAGTGGCCGATGACCGTAGTGGCACAAATATAGGTAGGTACCTAGGTGAATCATCATAGAAAAAATAGATGCTACCTCCTATTCCCCATCCCCACTCAAATCCCTCCCTCGGGAGTTGTATTCGGAAGCAATTCAAATCAAGTATGTCAACGTCCATGATTTCGAAATAAGTGAGGAACAAGTTTGGGAATGTCGCTCACATTATAAGCTACATGGTATAAGCCCAGCTGGGTACCCACTAGATAAATAGAGTTCTAAATTTTAATATGCTCTCATCGCAATTGTCATGGAAATTAAAGTATTTCTATATGCAGTAGGTAAAGTGAGCATGTATTTGCACTAGACACCTTCTTGGGGGGAAGGAACGGAATTGCTATTGTTCGATGTTACTACCTAGGCATATCAATTAGGGAGGAATTTGTCGCTTCCGTACGCGCACGCGGGAGTTATTTTCCAGCGGCAATTAGGGTTATTATTTCATCTATCAGATTATGTAGGTGCCGCCTGGGAAGTACTAGGTACCCTCTCCCACAAACTTTTCAACTTGTTCCTACGAAAGAAAAGCTCCTTTTTCAACCACGGTTCCTCTCCTGATGCGTTGTCGAATGCCGTCAAGACTCATTGCTAACGTTGACACAGTTTCTCAGACCTCAGATCGGTGCCTTCCTATAAATACATAGTACCTACCTAGGTACCTATCTTATCGACTATGAATATGCGCACCCTAGATTCAAATCCCGATGCGACAAAGTTCGAAGCCTCGATGTGATATTCAATAACTTCAATTTATGCCCATCTAGTATCTAGGTAGATAGGTAGTTACCCAGGAATGACAAGCTTTATAGAATATTATACGAGATGGGTAGGTTATGGCACTATACTCCTGGCGGCGACGCAGCCGCCCCTCCAGGGCAGTTGTAGCTGCTGGACCCCTCGAGCTTCCGCTAGCCTGTCTACTGAGGATAAAAAGGATCCCCGTCCACATTCTTTTCGAGATCTTTTGGTATCTTTGTCAAAGACTACTTTTCGATTAGTGTATGACAACGAGTTTGGTTCTCCTGGATTCCACACTGCACCCTCCTGATTCACAAGGGAGCCAGCCTAAAGTACCTGGTTCGCATATGTTGTCTTGTCGTTTGATCGCGGCAGCGGCAGCTTCGTACCCAATAAATCCTAGGGGGTGGTCGGCGACCGGTCGATTAAGGGACTCCAACACCCCGCTAAGTCTCTATATGATCGTCTAATCAATTCTAAGGTTATCTCAGCAAATTGATATAGCCCTTGAAAAGGTGAATTAGACCGAGTTAGCTGCACCCCGTCTTTGACAATTTCCCGTTGAGTTGTGACGAGCAAAAGACATTTCGTTAAGTTTATACCTATGGGGTATTGTGTCATCCTATCTCAGCGAAATCTCCGACGTATATTCCTCTTCGACCCCGTACCCCGCTATCTTTAGTGGATTTATCCATAGCTTCACAGAGCGTGATGGCACATCTTGGGGACGAACCAGATCAAGCAGCTTAGAGATATTAGGCACCTACCGAGGTATCTTATCTAGTCGCTACAATCGTAACAATGCAGCTGTCCCCTGGATATTAGCAATATCATAGAGGATTGCGATTGATCGAATGAACATGATTAGTATCCTCACCAATTCTTTCTGATATTCTAGGTTTGAGGCGACGTCAAGTCGACGGTGCAGTCATTGGGACAGGCGATTAGATGGGGATATAGCAGATAAGTCCCTAAAAGTCTAGTGTATTTAGCTATCCCGTCTCGGTCAGCACTCATCGGATAGGTGCCTACGTGGCGCTTAAGTCGTTGATTTTAGGCCACCTAAGGGTACATATCAATTAATCCATGGATGACTATAGGCGCCACACGCAACCACCTGCTGTGACATGTTCACAATGGATATTTCAGGAGTGTGGCGTGCAAGCGGGAGGAGATGCTCAGCATAAGACATCCACACATGAAGAAATCACATAACACGCAAAAGTGGCATCAAAATATGCGCGGGATAAGTAGTCTATTACTGTGCACCGCATAACCCGGTATCTAAGACCAGGAGCCCATAATATCCCCCCAACAACGCAAGACCCAGTGTCCATGACCAGGAAACCATAATGATATCCCCCCGCAGCGCAGGACCCGGTGTCCAAGACCAGTAGCCCATAATGATACCCCCCCATACAACCCAAGACCCAGTGTCCAAGACCAGGAGCCCAAAATGATATCCCCTCTGCAGCGCAGGACCCAGTATCCATGACCAGGAAACCATAATATTACCCCCCAACCAACACAAGACCCAACGTCCAAGACCAGGAGCCCATCATAGTATCCCCCCCACAACGCAGGACCCGGTGTCCAAGATCAGGAGCCCATAATGATATCCCTCCCTGCAGCGCGACACCTCGGTCCCTGCATTTCTCTAGCCGTCCAGCTCTGCCTAGCCGGCTAGTTATGCTCGTCCTCTTCGGGGTCGTCCCTCGCGGGATCCTCCGAGTTAGAGACATAGCACTCTCGAATCAAGTCTACCAAGTCCATGATTGGTCGTATTTCATCGAGTCTGCGCCGCACGCGTTCCCGCTCGGCAGCTCTCTCATCCAACACCCGCTCTACGTCGAGCATGAGACCTTCGACAACCGCCCTCAACCTCTGGTTCTCGGCGGCGAGTTGTCTCGTCCTCTCTCGCGAGGCGTCGTTCTGCTCAATCCTCCTGACCGCTTCCACTAGGGCAGGCCGAGCATCCCAGATCTCGTGGGAGAATGTGATGTTCTCGTGGGCCCAGGGGCGGTCGAGGAAGATGAGTATCTGGTTGTCCTCGTACCTCTGATGGGTCGGGTTGCCTGGGATCGGGCTCGTCCCCGGCTGGATGACGTTGAACCCTCCCAAGGACACCAGTGAATGCGACAGGACCGTCACCAGGATCTCCGTTAGCGGGATATGGGACGGTTGCCATGCCAGCATGATAGGATAGGCGTTCCCGACCACGTTCAGGCCCAGCTTGCGGATGCACGCGATTAGCAGATTGCGTATAGACGACGACCTTTTCATCGTCGAGCAGCTAGGGTCGTGCCGTGGCATCCTGGACGCGATCGTTTCGGAACAGCCCACGTACGCAGGGCTCGAGATCTGGAAGACCTCCGGGTCGCTCTCTCGGAAGCGAAGGCGTCTCCGGAACTGATCCTCGAGCCCGGCGATGGCTGCGAAGCTGGTCTTACCGTTCATGGCCAGGGGTCGGCGGAATTCGTCGCCATCTCTCCAGCGCCGGTTCTCGGCGAGGAACTCGTTGTCGAGCATCATGGCGGACTCCAGGTGTGCCCTCTGGTCCGGGTCGACCTGGCTCTGGCCGTAGTCGTCCTCCCTGCTGATCTCCAACCAAGCTTCGCAGCCGAGCCTGTACGACTCCAAGATGCCTAACACCTTGGCTATCTCCTCGCAGTTGAGGAAAGCGCCGCGGCGCCCTTCGATGGAAAGGCCTGCCAGGTATGTCCCGGCGCCTTGGGCGGGGTACAGGTTCTCGTTGTTCGGAGAGGCTATGTCCGGCACGTCGTATGGGATCGTACCTAAGATTAGCGCTCTCAACGTCTTGCGGTTGAACATGTGAAACAGCCGCATCATGGTAAGGTAGTCCTCGCAATCGGGATCCTCGAACATGGCGAGCATCTTCTCGCACGAGACCAAACCTTGACCACGGAATTCCTTGGCCATGTCGGCGACGAGAGGGAAGAGCTCCTCTAGGCAATTGCCGTCGTCGAGGGCCTTGACCAGCCTGATAGCGGCCTCGCTTAGTAGGGGGGTGCGGGCGCTTACGGCGGCGGGGACCAAGTCTGAATCCATGACGGATTTCTTCGGCTCTGGCAAAGAGAACCGTTAGATACTTCAGCAGAGGGACTTTGTCCGGGATCAACTTAGCTTTTGATGGTCTACCGGAGATATCGGTCGGCCTCGGCTGCTGAAGTATCGCTTTCGCCCGGGCTCTAGGATTGTATGAGCGGGCCAGGATAGGCTCGGATGGTAGGTTGGTTGTTGGGTGCGTATGGTCTGAGGTGCTTGTGGTCTGGTGTGCTCGTGGTCTTATGTATGTAGGTAGGTAAGTACCTAGGTAGGTAGGTATGTAGGTAGGTAGTCAAAGATGCGGCAAAGTCAGACGAATGCAGTAAGGTGCGGACAGTCCGAGACGAGATACGCGTGTTCAGATTCAGAGAAGAGATATGAGCCTGATGAGAATTGTGGTTGCTTTGATCCAAGTTGAACAGAACGGGGACGGGTCGAAACCTGTCATGATATATTCCTCGAGATGCCAGCAGCACCTTCCTATAGACCAGACAGTCTTTCTCTTCCTTCTACGATACCAATTTCTCATAGGTAATAATAACTCAACCTCAAACGCCTAATCCCCAGAAAACTGCCAGGTGACAGCTCACGCGCCGATGACGTTGAACACCGAAACCTAATCGCCTCCGCATCGCCGCGGATATCGAAGGCTAGAAGTTGTCGATTTGTCAGAATTAGCTCAAGCACGCGAGATTGAGTTGGAAAAGTTTTCCTGTGTTACATAGGCAGGTAGGTAAGTTGGTAGGCAGCTGGAATTCGCTGCTTCCCATACCTACTACATAGGTAGGTACATGGTATGAATTGATGAATTGGGTATGTGCCTGTAAAGGAGTAGGGAAGACTACTGTGTAGACGTTGGGCTCGCGGTCCCAAGTTGGATACAGCGGGAGATCGCCCGCCACCCGGCCAATCATTGAGTAGCAGATGTCCGAATGGGGAAGGTGGATGCATGCACGCCCGGCGTCAAATTAATTTGATCACGTCCAGCGATTGACCCAAATTTCCCGGACACGACAGCGCCCCGGCGTCCCCCAACGAATGCCTACTAGGTACCTGTCGAAGAGACAAATGTTGAAATCTCAGGTACCTACATGTAGGGAGCCTGGCGAAGAGCCGTTGGCGGAAGGAGGATCCAATGTTGGTAACATAGTTTGTTCAAAACCTTCTGCACCGTAGCGTTACTTGTCACTTCGTATGGATACGTAGGTAGGTATGTAGCCTGTGTGCTATACCTACCTAGTAGTAACAGCCCTGAGATGATGGGTGTGGGCGATACAAGAGGTAGATTAATTCGCAGTGCGATTGCCCAGGTCAAAAAAATAGTATGAGCTGTTTTTCTAGTTCCCAGGGGCTATATCCCTCGCTCTTCCCGCACGATACCTGTTACATGGATACCAGGCTCAAGGAATAGCGCAGCTTCGCTAAAGAGACCTAACCCTATGCCGACGTAACTAGGTAGGCAGTTTCTTGGTGGATGCTGCCAGGTGGTCCCCGAGTCGCCAACGACTCTTGTCTTGCCACATTATCTCGTTCTCGTTCCTCTTCTTGTTGCACCCAAAGATCTCAACCCAGAATAACGGACAGCCGTCTCGTCTGATCTCTACGGATTCGTTCTCTTCCTTGCAGGCTGGCCCTGCACAGGTACCTACCTAACCAACACCCACCTCATCCTCTCACACAAAGATCCCAGCGTGGGACACCCAATATCTTGTCATCGTTGTACGTACCGACATCTAGCTCATGCTCGCGATGGTAATCAGTGCTGACAAACATGAATAGTAGTACCCACGATCCTGGTAGGTACTAACGATTATAAGGAGATCTTACTAATCAGCGTGCCACATCACGCAAAGATCTCAACACAGTCATAACTAGACCCAGCGACATTCGCCAGGATGAGCCAAGAACTCCCTGACCTCCACGGGCTGGCAAGCGCGGTGGTTTCTAGGATGATTGCAATATTAGAGGCCGACAAGCCGGGCACAGATGCAGAAAGAAAAGTCAAGGCCAAGATCGGCGCATTTGCTCAGGTAAGTGAGGCCTCTAATCAACTTCTGGCTGTGCTGGAAGAGGAGCTAGCAGCGTCGCGAAGCCGGCAGGCGGATGCGGAGAAGAACCTAGCTGAACAGATCAGCGAGGCCCAGGGGATCCACGAGCAGCTACTAGCGGAGAAGCTCGAGTACTTCACCAAGGCGGACAAGTGCTCGACCAACGCGGACCAATTGGTCGTCGCCCTCGAAAGGCTCCGGGTCGACGAGGCTAGCTCGAAGAACGAGACGGGAACCCTCCGGGCCGAACTTCAGAAGAGTCGAGACTATGTCGGAGCCGCGGCCGACCTCCACAACCTGAAAAAGGCTAGGCACGGCGAGACGAAAGATCAATTGGCGTTGCGAACCCGGGAGCGAAGCCAGATCACCGAGAACATCTCCGGCAAGGAAATGAGGCTTGCCCTAATGAATAAGAAGATCGAGGAGACGCGTAGATAGGTACCTAGCATCGATATATGGATCTGCTTGAATTGCGAGCTGCTTTCTTGATCGTGACTTGATTAACTAGGTACCTATGAACATGATAATGATGGGTGCTGGCGCCGTATGTAATTACTTACAGTTCCACGGCTACAGATAGGAGCATCTGGGGTTAAAGAAGGATATCATTCCTGCCGTACCTACTAGGTAAGTACTACCATCATCCGCTTTCGCAAATCTGTAGAAACACCATCGTTCGAATAATGCAACGTCTTAGGTATATACTAGGTAGGTAGATAAACTCATCTAGTCGTGCTGGGAATTACCCTATCGGCCATTATCTCTACAAACTCGAAGCAGAGCAACCTGGGTAGTCTCCTTCGAAAGGCACCTATGAGGATATGGAGGATGGGAATGATTGAAGCGCGGCTATGTGCTTCAAACTACTGTCAGAATACCATGGCACGGGGGACGGCGAGCGTACGGCGCGCGAAATGCCGAAAACCGCCAAACCATGGATGGATTAGGTAGAGATCCGATGCAGGGCTTGGTGGCGTTTCTACTGTTCCTGCACTGTATTTTGCTGCTAAGCCCTGGTAATTTAGCACCATTCAGCTGAGCAGTACCTCCAGGACTGTACCTTTGCGGCGTCATCGCACCCTATTTTCTGAGGTTAAATTTTATTGGCAGTTTAGATACCATGTGGAAATACCTATCTATATCTCCCAACCACCCGCAAGCCTTTACCTCAACTCTTATATCGATAATCTTGATGCCCTCATCGACACTAACTTCGGACTTCGACGATGCCATGCCAGGGACGCGTCCAATCCTATAGTCCATAGACTACTAGGTACGCAGTAGAACAAGGCTATTTCGCTGTTCGGTTCCTCAACCCCGATTCAGTGACCTCCTTATACAGGTACCTACTTAAATGTATGTTAACCACTTTCGAACCCGTCTAAGTTGTTATGTACCTTTCACAGTTTGTAGGGCATCTCATCCCAAAGAGGCAGAGACGAAGTACCTCTACCTCACTGCACCGAACTCTTCCAAGTTCCAAACATAAGACGGTGATGAACTTATCTACAATCAGATATGTACATAACAACGCTGATCGGTGAAGCACGGCACATCTTGAATAGGTACCTACGTATGTACCTTCCCCCCCTCAATCTCTTCAATGTTGCTTCTCGCATCTCTCCGACCAGGAAGGGAGCTAAGTGGCATCTGCTATGCGCCGACTAACCTTATAGATGACCCCATGATATGATATATCGGGTAGGATATACCCATAAGGGAACAGTGAACTATGTAGATCGTGAGGAGAATCTGGTAACCGATCCAGTTTCAGAACTTGCTCGCCAGGAAGTGACAGTTCTCATAAGTAGAAAGAGCTCGGATGGATACCACACCACGCCAAGCTTGTTGCATTGGCACCAAGTCGATAATCGCAGTGAAATGGTATGCTAGGTACTTCTATTAGGTAGGTCTCTACGTTTGTCACTTCCATATTCGCCTGGAAATAAATTAAGTTCATGTTTCTATACTACCTAGGTAGGAGTTCGTCGCTTACATGGGTACCTACCTAGTACCTACCTGTACTACCTCAATGAGGCAGTTTTCCAATAGTGGTCAGGTAGGAGGTATGTGGATGTAGTTAAGTTCCGTCACCCAGACTCCCTCTTCCAAGATACCTACCTTTCAACTTCTCACCTTTTTCCCCCATCAACTTTTCTCATTCATTCGTGGTCAATCACTCTATTTCTAGGCACCTATTACACAACTATTCAAAAATCCATCATGTCTTACCCTTTTGGCATCATGTTAGATGAGCGTGACGACCGCTGTCACTATTCTCTCGAGGCCAGCCACTAACAGGCCTCACACCGTCTCTTATGGTCTCCAATACGCTTAGAATCGATATTACTAGACCTTTATTTAACCATTATTCATCCACTTTCACATTACCCTCCTAAGAGGCCGAAGCCCAGCAGCTCTTTTGCCCATCACCCCCGCCTAAACGGCCCCGCCTAGCTATGGTAGGGCCAGATGGCACCGCCATGTCGAAGCGTGGCGAGCTGTCGCCGGTGATATCTGGGGACGTGAGCCGGAAGATGCGCCGCGGGGTTTTGGCTGGTCTCTTTCACGACGCCGATCCCTCCGTCACCAACTTCGAGATCTCGAGTTGGTACTCAACCATGGCAGCCGTTGACAACCTCGACTCCCTCGCGACGGCGGTCAGCAACGGGGTCGGCCGATTACAAGAGGCCAACGGCGGAAACTTGGGGAATGTGGGAGTAGGTATTGATTTTCCGTAATATGTACCCTGATCTAATCGTCTCGGACATCGACAACTGCGCAGAGCTTTCTCCAGACTGTTTGTCGGACGTCGAAAAATGGTACCACCGCATTGTCCCCCGCGAGCGCGTCCTAACCGCCAATCTCACGATCACTTACTTTGAGCCTCTGATAGACACTCAACAATGGCCGTAGTAAACAACGTCGGCTCCCCAATAACGACAATCAGAATTCTATCCCCTTGCCCTTGCGTTTATTCTCGGCCGGTATACCCCTATTTCTAGCCATCCTACCTAGTATTCTATTCACTGGCCATGACGAGGAGCTCTGCTAGGAGCAGTCAGGGGTTGAAGGAAGCTAAGAGGACTTTTCGTCGGACATCGAGACGATTTGTAGAGATATTGGTAGTGTGGGATAAGGAATTTGTGGTTGACTCGCTACTTGTGTTAGCTTTCTCGTCACGGAAATAGCTACAAGGTGCATATCTAAATAGATTATCACCCGGCATAGAAAATATTACTCAATTTTCGATTTCTTAGGTACCTAATTACTACGTATCTTGACCAGTTTTCGTTGACGCTACCTATCTACCTATCTAGGCACCTATCCAAAAATTTGGACCATACCGTACCCATACCCAGTAGTTGATGGATTGGAATACTGGTAGGTTCTTACCAGTCCCCTGCCACTGTCGTCACCGGATCTCAATTACCCTATCTTAGATTTAGTTAATTTTCCATAGATTTAACTATCACGCGCAAGTGTTGATTGGCAATATCGATGCATCCATCCAGGCTATGCGTCTCGTGGGTAGGAATCCCAGGTACGCTTCTAGATCAGCCATTCTACATTCAGGCACCAAGACTGACACGCTTCAGCTCGTCTCATTCCAACCAACGTGCAACGCGCTCTCCCCCTTGGGAGCCAATAGAATAGAGAACTATGATACCCCCCTCGATGATGATTTCCGTGAATTGCATCATACGCGTTCGGAAATAAGGAAATGCGCTTGGGAGCGACAAGTTGCAGGCTTCGGGAGACTACATAGGAGGTAGAGTTTATGCGTTGTTCCAGATAGCTCCATCATCATCACTGGTCAATCTCCACAACTACGGATAGACTATCGCGACCCGCTAGTCAAATTTAGCGAGAGCATCTCGACGTCTAGACAATCGATAGGTAAACTCCATCTCCCCTGATACGCGAAATACGTGGTGCGAAACAGCTGAGGAGGTCGAGTCAGCTCCTACGAAGTTGCGTCGAGCTGCGTCGAGTCGGGTTAAGCTGCGTTCGCTGAGCATAAGCTCATCAGAAGGATTCGGAGGGGCAAAGAATAAGTGGACAGGCTAACGGAGAAGATGCAGAAAAGGCCGCGCGCTCCAAAGCCGAAAGCCCAAAAGGACGGGCTCGAACGAAGTTAAATCGTTAAATCGTACCAAGTTTCCTTGAATTATGTTGGCAACGATAAAATTGCATTGAATATTGGCTTAAAAAAGGTAAAGGGTCTATCCGTCGCTAAGTAGCGTGATCCCTTTTTTTCGATAGAAGCCTTATAGATGGTTTGTAATAAACATCCATGGACATGGGACGAGGTAAGAAAGATGGCGCTATGTAGCATGTTAAGGAGCGCCAGGGAGCATGGAGTAGCATCGAGGAGTATTAGGGAGCTACCCCGGCAAGTTGGTAATCTGCGCGATGTGATCGAAGGATCGGGGGGGAGCATTACACGTGTAATGCTATATCGCCGGCCAAGGACCACAGCTACCCAAGTTGGCAGGTCGTATCGCTGACCTGAGGGTCCTGAGGGTCCCTGAAGCGGACCTGTTCCCCAACCCCTGTCTCGCGCTGACGCTATTGGACGCTCCCGCGAGGAGAGGCATGGCTTCGGAGCATGGGTGCATGGATCTCGCACATACTCGCGCATGCTGAGCCTCGCTCCGTCCACGTGGGAAGAGTGCCTCCCGGATCTGCAATCCCTTATTTTGGGCTCCTCCCCCCCAAAGTTTTAGTCTCCGCGTACCGATTCGCGTTCCTGCATCCCTCAGCTACCTACCTAGCCAGTCATTCATTCCCAACTCAGGATGCGATCTTCTACTGGACTCCTTAGCCTGTTGGCCGGCTTCGGCCTCGCGTGCGCGCACCCCTCGCGCGGCTTGATCGACAGCGAGCTTCAAGCCAAGCTCTCGACCGGCGCCAGCATCTCTCACGACGCCTCCGTCGCTCCCCGCTGGAGCGAGTACGGCGCCCCTCATCCCGGTACCGTCGTGTCCGTCGCGACGGAAGCCGACGTACAGGCGACGGTTCGTCATGCTCACACGTGACGGTCCAGCTACGTAACTAACATGTCTCAGGTCCAATACCTCGTCAAGAAGAACATCCCGTTCTTGGCACAGAACGGAGGTCACGGTTGGAGCGGCGCGTTTACGCTAGGCCAGAACGGCGTCCTCATCAACCTGCGCGGCCTCAACAGCACTACCTTCAGCGCCGACAAGACGCAAGTAACTATCGGAGGAGGTGCCGCGATCCACGAGGTCATCGAGCAGGCGTACGCCAACGATGTGCAGGTCCTCACGGGCAACTGCAACTGCGTCGGAGCTCTCGGCGCGGGTCTCGGCGGAGGTTACGGTAACCTGGTGGGTCTCTACGGCCTCGCCATCGACAACTACCTCTCCTTCAACGTCGTCCTAGCTAACGGAAGCCTCGTCACCATAACGCCCGCGCAAGAGGACCTCTGGTGGGCTCTCCGCGGTGCCGGCCCTAACTTCGGCATCGTCACCTCGGCCGTCATGAAGTCTACCCCGATGAAGCAAGCCGACAACACGGCCTGGACCGGTGGTCTGTGGTTCACCGAGGACAAGATCGAGAAAGTCACCCAAGCTATCGAGGATCTTAAGCTCGAGGCACCCATGAACATCTTCCTGTACTTCCTAACGTCGAACGGCACCCCTACCGTTCTCGTGACCGTGTTCTACTTCGGTACGGAAGCCGAGGGACGTGCGGCGTTCAAGTCGATCCTCGACATCGGACCTTACAGCGACACGACGGCGGTGCTACCCCAGAGCCAGTGGAACGCCGGCGCCGACGGCTTCTGCACCAAGGGCGGGCGCAAGCCAACCTACAGCGCCGGTTTCAACAACTTCGTCCCTACCACCTGGCGCCAGATCTGGAACGACTACAACCAGTTCCTCACCAACCCCAACACGAGCGCCACCACCGTCGTCGTCGAATGCTACTCGCTCGAGAAGACCCAATCGTTCGGATCCGACAGCGCGTCGTTTGCTAACCGCGACATCCGCTTCAACGGCTTTACCATCTCATGGTACCCCGATGCGAGCTTGGATGCGAAGGCCGAGGCATTCGGCTCCGGTTTCCGTGATCTGCTACGCGCCGACGACGGACTATCGTCCAACCGCACGTGAGTATTCCTAACCCAGGATAGCGACGAAGACGAAGACGATGAAGACGACGATGCATGTTGCTAACCACCAATCCAGATACGTCAACTTCGCCTTCGGAGACGAGGAAAACCAAGAAGTGTACAACGACAGCACGTCGAGGCTGCAACAGCTCAAGAAGAAATATGACCCCTACAATGTTTTTAACCAGTGGTTCGACCTATAGCCATCTAGGTACCTAGTATCTATGTTACGCGATACGTGAAGACGGTATCCTGAATTAATTAACACGGTTCCGAGGAATATCCACCCGAGGGTGTGCACATATTCTGTAAATAGTTCATATTAATCTACGATTTTAATTTGTTGTCTACAGAGGTGTTGGGTCGTGTGACAAGACCTGTAGGGTTGTAACTTAGTGCAGTGTAGTGAAAGCCCTGGAGAGCAAGAGTGCCCAGGTGGTCGATGCCTAATTCTAGTAGACTACAGGTGAGCGTGGTGGGCTGCTAGGTACAACACCATCTAAGATGGCAACTGCTCCAGGGCTATTGTCTGGGTTGCCTGGACTGCCTGGACTGCCTGGACTGCCTGGGCTGCTGGGCTGCTGGGCTAGCAATCGCCCCGCAACTTACCTGGCTGCCTGGTCTTAACACTGCTCAGATATTGAGGTAGGCACGAACACGGGACTAATAAATTTGTGGCCGGTTGCCTCGTACCTGGTCCTTAAAAGTAAGTACATATAGCTGACATTAAATGCTGATGCTATCTCCTAGGCAAGTACCAGTAACCAAGCAACCAAGCAGCAAGCTAGCACACAGCGAATATGCTTTTCCTGTCTCAAGCCTCAGCTGCGATGATATCAGCAGCTTGTTCTGCAACGCCGTACAAGCTCGCCATCGGATGTCCGCCCACGGGGCTTGGGAAGATGCTGGCATCGCAGATTCGAAGACCCTGCACCCCCTTAACCTTGAGATCTCCATCTATCACCGTGCCCATGGGGCAGCTCCCCGCCGCGTGAAAGTGGGCCACCCCGACCGCTCTAATCCTCTCCTCGATCTCGGCGTCGGTCGATTCTGGAGTCAGCGCTGTCAGTCCTGGAAACACCACCTCCGTCTCCACGTAGTCTCTCAACGCTTCAGTGCCGAGCATCAGTTTGAGTACGCGTCTGACGCCGTGGATGAGACATGCACGATCGAGCGCGGTGGTGAAATAGTTAGGTTCGATGAGCGGTGTCGCGCTGTCGATATCTTCAGCCAACGATACGCGACCGCGGCTGCTCGGCAGTGTAAGCATGACGGAGGTGCAGACGATGCTTCCGTCGAGAGGGAATGCGGGGGCTAATGGGTGATAGACGACGAGAGTCTCCACAAAAACGCGCCCTGGCTGAAGTAGGGCTTCTCGCTCAGCCCCGATGACGCCATCTTCGTCGAGAGCCTTCTCTAAGACGTGGCGTGGAGGACCTTCGTTGTTGTTCCAGTCGGCCGGCATTCCGGCTACGAACACTGGGTCGGCTAGGCTTGGATGGCCTACGGCGAGCCCGCGCGAAGGGTCCTTGAGCTTGAACCACTGAAATAGGGCAAAGTGGTCGAAATATTGCTGACCTACGCTGGGGAGGGGCTGGACTAGGGGAATGCCGCGCGCGGATAGGCTTGAGGGGTCACCGACGCCTGAGCGGAGTAGGAGGCGTGGCGTCTGCAGCGAGCCGGCAGATAAGATGATTTCTTTTTTTGCGGTGACCGTCTCGCCATTTGCCAGCTTAGCTCCGGTCGCCTTTGGCTGTGCGCCAGCTTTGTCAAACAGGATTTGGGAGACCGGGCAGGACGTCTTCACGGTGATGCCGTCCAGAGGGTAGGCGAGATGGCTTGGTCGCCTTTCCCCGTTTTCCCAGCTCTCGTAATATTCGCACAGTCCAGACAAGCCGCCCACGAAAGGGTCAGGGTTTCTTTCCACGCCGAGCTCCTTCCATCCTTTCTCGATGGGATTGCGAAGGGGGTACTTCCTCGTTTCGTGACTCCCGCTGACCGGGGTAACTTTCAAGGGACCTTCGAAACCGTGTGACTCGGCGTCGGCATTCGCATCGAAGAATCGTTCAGATCGCTTGAAGTAAGGTAATAGCCCCGAATAGGTCCAACGTTTATCCCCACCTAGCTTCGTCGCCCATGTGTCGTAGTCTGGGGGATCACCGCGGGACCATCCGCCGTAGTTGAGTACGCTTCCGCCGCCTAGGGTCTTTCCGGCTGTGAGAGTGTGCGTGCGACCGGCTGTGGACGGAGTTGCAGCCGTAGGAAATTGCCAGTCCAGTGCGCTGCCCTGTAGAGCGAAGCCTCCTAACAGCGATACGACATCGTGTTCCGGAGCGGGGTCCGGGCCAGCTTCGACGACTAGGATAGAGCTATCAGGTTTCGAGCTTCTGAGGCGGGAAGCTAAAGCGCAGCCACTGAGACCCCCGCCAACTATAACGTAGTCGAAAGTAGTGGATTCGGACATGCTTTTTCGGTGGCTTATTATACCTAGGTAGCGAGATTGCGGAAGTTGAAGAGGTGGCGGGATACGGGATTTTAAGATAACTTGGAAGTTGGAGCAAGGTGGTTCATAAGACTACCAAGCACCAGGAAGTCGTACGGTTGGTTACGGTAGGTAGCTTACATATACAGGTGGTTACCAACACTGCGACCTTGATGCAATGGAGGGTTGCGCTATTGTCCAATCTACCAACTTCTCAACTCCTCATCTATTACATCTCACATGCACATGTCCAACGATGAACGAACCTACGAACTTGGAAGACCGTTACTTAGCACATGGCAATGTTCCAGTTGCACAGGCAGTTGCACAGGCAGTTGCATAGGCAATTGCACTACGTTATGCAAGGGATAGAATGTTAAATGCACTTCAACAGTCTGATACAACTAAAATAGGTATCTACCTAGTAGATTCTAGGTACATATTCGATTAGGTAACTCAGATCCTCTATCGCAATAGGTACCTTCCTGCCTTCCTACCTACTAGTACCATTGCCTACCTGGGTAGGTACTACTAGATCTACTCATTAAAGGAATATGGCGAGATGGGTGGTATGTTTGTACCTTGTATGAATCGACAAAGGATCAATCGTGGCTTCCTAGATAGTGATGTAGGTAGCACAAAATTAGCAGCGCATCGGATTTATAAGCAATAGAGCAGTGGCTTTCTACCTAGGTAGGTATGTTCGTTTGCGTGCAGACAAACTCTCAATTCTTCATCGTCAATCACAAACATTCGTGATGTCTTCGAACACGAATATTCTCATAACCGGCGCAGGTAGAGGTTTGTCTTCCGAATCCTACGTAACGATCTAAACAGGAATATAGCCTCGTAGACCAATAATGTACCTACATGATACCTAATACTTACCAACGCTACTACACTGTTACTGCTACACTACTACACTGCTACACTGCTACACTGCTACACTGCTACACTGCTACTGCTACGCCCCAAGCAGCTAGGTAGAATCTAGATACTGCTAACAGACTCGCTAACTCGCCAACTCTCTAACCAGGTATGGGACTCGGTCTCACGTGAGCCTTTCTTTCACAGCCAAGGACAACTCTAGTTGCCGGAGTCCGAGATCCTGAATCGATATGCTCCAAGAACTTATCAACCCTCCCCAGAGGTCGCGGCAGTAGATTGATAATAGTCAAGATTGACAGCACCTCCGACGCCGACGCGCGCGATGCCGTCGCCTACCTCGGTTCGTCGGAAAACATATCTCATTTGGACATCGTCGTCGCGAATGCAGGCTTAAGCATCGCAATCGGACCCCTCATCAAGGTCAAGCCCGGTCAACTGGCCGAGCTCATCGATGTCAATAGTCTAGGGCCGCTGCGACTTGCCCAGGCCACCCTACCTCTCCTAGCCAATGCGCCGGCGCGCCCACGCTTCGTGCTTCTAGGGAGCATGCAGGGTTCTACAGGGGGCATGGAAAAGTATCCACTTCCTATGGGAGCCTACGGCGCAAGCAAGGCAGCGGCGCATTTCTTGGTGCGAAAGTTGCATTTCGAACTTGCTGAGGAGGGGATATGCGTCTTCGCCGTCGATCCAGGGTAAGGACGAGAATCGAACACGGGGGGGGAGGGGGTAACAGGTTCTAGACTGCCCAGCAGGTGCTAACGACGGCGCAGATTCGTGCAGACGGACATGGGAAACGCAGGAGCTAAGATTTTCGGGATGGATGAAGCGGTCACAAAGGTGGACGATGCGATAGATTTCGTGAAGGATCAGGTAGGTTGCGCGACATGATGCAGCTTCATGCACTCTATCAGATCAGAATTTCTGCTGACACACGAGGACGCCCGCCATATGCAGATTGATTCGGCCACGCGCGAGAAGACGTCAGGAAGATTTCCATCCATCGGCGGTGGGGAGACCGAGTGGTAGAGGATTGTAGACGTGTATTGACAGGATATATTGGCACAATACATCGACACGATACATTGACACGATGCATCGAAGAGTACGTTGAATGCAACTCGTCAAAGGCACTTCGAAGACGGCACATCGTAGACACTAACATCGGATGTCTTAGCCTCTCCGGATTATCGACAGTGCCCTTTTGCCAATTTAATTTCCGATCTTTTCCCTTTTCCTGATTTCTTGTGGACCATGGTAGTTTTGATATTCGACTAGTGAGACGGGGTATCGTAACATGGACCAACGGTCGAACATGGTCTAAATAAGCTTAAGTAAACCTAGGAGTAATCCCAGGTAATCCCAGATCGTCACCTAGTACACGTGTAGCTTCACCAACCGTACCTAATCGTCACTACTATAGTACATACCCCTAGGAGTCCGTACTAGCATAGTTCTGTGCTTGCGTATACCGTAGGTACTTGGCGCCAACAACGTCTACCATATCAAGCGTCTATCGCTTACGCCAACTAGGTAAGCTCCCGTCCCGTTCTCACCGAACCCCGTCCCACTTGATAGACTCGACGGTCCATTCCTCCGCCTATCGCCAAAGGGGATAAGTCCTAGGTAGGTTAGCTAAAGTCCTAGGTACCACTTTGAAAGGAATGCATGGGATTGGAATTCCATAATAATCCTATGTAATGGCCGTCCCGGAACGTAGGTGGTGCGAACCTGCGACCTCCAAGCCTCGGTCATTCTTATGTAAACATTCACATAATCAAATCCGAAATGAGGTCCACAACTTATCGTCACCTTATCGCTCCCCTCCAGCGGGGCTCGCGATCGAGTCTCCGTCAGCATCACGGCCTCGCTATTTCCGGGCGTGGCTCAACCGGGTTTCAGCGATGTGCCATCCGATCCCAGGTGCCGGGGACGATGCACACCAGAGCGAGATGCTTCAGCAGCACCGCCACACTCAGGGAGGAAGCGGAAGACTCTGAAAACTTCTGGCGCGTTTCGGCGGACGACTCCCAATTTTGGCACGACTACGTTTCGACTAGGCCGAGCTACAATGCGGCCTTCTACAACGAAATCTACAACCACCACAACGCGCACTCGTCCAAGTGGGAGGTCGCGCACGATGTAGGATGCGGAGCCGGCCAGGTCTGCGAAGAGCTGGCCACGCGCTTCGCCCACGTTGTCGCATCAGATATCAACGACACCCATCTAGCCGTTGCTAAGCGCCGGCTGATCCCCAGCCTCGGTGCCAAGCGCATCTCGTTCACGCACTCCATGGGCGAAGATCTGATCAAGCACCACGCACCCGGTTCTGCCGATCTCATCGCCGCAGCCGAGGCCATGGTACTTATGGACGAGCACGTAGCGCTTGAGAATTTCCATCGTCTGCTCCGACCAGGCGGTACCTTGGCATTTTGGTTCTACGGGCGCCCAACCTTTTCCGATCTAAAGCTGCGCGCGAAAGCCCAGCCATTGATCGACGGCATCATGGTGCGCAACTGGTCCAAGGTGATCCGGGGAAGCGAGCGCCGTATAGCGGGCTTTAAGCGCGCGGCTGAAGGGATGGCGTCTTGGCTCGACTACGTCCCGCTAGACCCAGAATCGTGGTCGAACGTGCGAAGGATCAAGTGGAATACTAGCGCGACCCTACCGTTCTTCGGCGAGGAGGCGTGCGGGTTTCCCATCCATCCTACCAGCAACGTCAAGCCTGGGGAATATACCGAGGAGCGCGAAGATCCGAATTGGTGGAAGAACGAGTGGGATATCGCTGAGCTGAGAAGGTATTTCCGCGTGCTCTTCCCCGGGTTCAAGGAGGCTCTGGGCGAGGGTGATCAGGAGATCAATCGCATGTTCCAGGAACTCGAGTCGCATTTTGGTGGTGAGGGTAAGACGCAGCAGTTTACTTGGCCGGCTGTGTTGGTGACGGCTACCAGGAAGTGATGAGCGGATGGAGTTTTGCCATGCATCTAGGTAGATTTATACTACCTACCATCCATATTACCTAGTACCATGGGTTTTTTTTATCATTGCTAGATGTCGTTCCATAACAATGTAGGTAGATACCTAGTAGCTAAAAAGTCGACGTGGACTTACGATTTAGATGAAAAATGATGACAGCTGAATAAATAAAGTTTGCCTAATCGATCGCGACCGGGTACCCCCAGGTAGTATTGCGGGGAAGTACAGTGACAGTAGTAGATGTGGGGCTAGTCAAATGTACAATTGACGACAGTAAGGTTATAAATCTAAAGAAGGGTGTGCATCATAACAATTCCTCAAGGACCTGTTGAAGACAATGACTTGGCTCAATTGGAAAGCCGTGTGTATGAACCGCCTGCTAGGTAGGAGGTCGGAACCACGGTAGCTAGGGAGTTCGAGACGGGTTCTTAGGACTTGTTGTTATTTTATTTTATTTTTTTCTCAATTGTAGGCATCTCCTCTACCCAGGTACTGGACCTATCTATCCTATGGCATTTTTTAATCACCACACCTCATTCATCTTCCCACAAACACATCTGGCTATGCTCTCGCATCAAACTATCACCCCCACATCCACATACACACTCCCACAATCACGTCAAATGCATTATGACACCAAATTCTGTTCAACTTTTTTTATTGCTGTGCCGCTGATGGGTATCTCCCACACCCGTAAAAAGGGGTACCAGCTGAGAAATAGGTACTACCAGAGGTAAGTACTCAACGCTATCATTCGATTTATACATTACCCGGTATACGCTCAGGTATACGTATGTAGGTATCTCGTAATAACATATGGAATGGAGTCCCCCGCGACGTATATCATTAGTATTCGTCTTAACATAGTACAATGCCGCCCAAACGCCCAATTTATACATGTTCCACCGGCCGACTACCTAGATGGACGCTTCGCTCTACCGTAATCCCCCGACCCGGCCTCATGTTCTCCTCCGAGTGGTTTCCGTCCGCGCTGATATCTACATCGACCCCTCTTATGTTATCGGTAAGCCCGATGTCGTCTTTATAGTCCGTCACAGATCCTAAGGGATAGCTTCGGGCGGTACGGCTGATGCCACTACTCCCTTGATTTCGCGAGAAGTAAGACCCCTGATGCTTCTGTCTGACGGGACGACCGCGCATCAGAAGCCATATGGGTCGATAGGTCGGAAGGCAGGCGCTAAGTACTGCCGTCGATAATTCGATAACCGCCCAGAAGAAGACGGGCGAGGTGTAGTCTGAACTCAAGTTAGTCATCGGCTCATCTGCACATCGGCACAGCGGCACATCGGCACAGCGACGTGGGGCTGAGGAGGTAATCATACAAGTTTCGTCATTAAAGTGAAGAGCCAGACTGTCACCAACGTGCACATAGATGAGTGCACGGGTAAGGCTGAACGCGCATACGCTGTGTCACGTAGTACGTTAGTATGTCGCACAAATCAGGGGTCCGGGGTCCGGGGTTTTGAGGTAAGAACTTACGTTGCACCCAGAAGGAACATAACCAGAACACCCAGCTTCTGCTTCAATGGTAATTGCAGTTGGAAAACCATAGGGATCGGCATGACGAGGATGATCACGTCTACGAGAATATCCGAGATAGCCATGCCGTACCACAGCGCGAGCCCGTCGACGCACTTGTTGTGGTAAAATGGCTCGATGAACGGAGTGATCGGGTAACAAGTGAAAAGGTTTGCGAAGAAGAATGCGACTGTCCAGCTCACTACGATGCCGAGGACGACCTGAGATGCGATCTTGAACGGCTTTCCGTAAAAGATGTTCATGTAAAAGACCAGGATGGACGACTTTACGAATCCGAGGCCGACGGTCGAGAGAATGTTGACCGCAAGCTTGCACTATAGAAAGTTAGCATCGATTCTTTTTTTTTTTTTTTTTTTTTTTTTTTTTCAAAATTTCAAGAAGCTATATCGTAGCCTACCTTTTCATAGATGACGAATCGAGGGTCGTCTAGGATCGGTTGCCCGTCCGGTCCTACTGTTTGATGCTGGCCGAGCTGACCGTCGATAGCAGCGATCAACTGCACCGAAGCACATCCGATAGAAACAGCCTATACTCGTTAGTTACCTGGTACCTACCTAGTAGGTAATTATTTCGACACCAAAAATAGGAAAAGCATACCGTCGCAGCAACTACGAGATAGTCGTCTAGCTTAATCCCCTTTCCGAGAGCCTTGGCCCATAATCGCAAGCTGACGGCGACGATAGGTAATATCATGAAGGCGATCCCGAGGCCGATCATCTGGCCCTGGGAGTAGTTGTCCGCAATATCCTGAATGACACCCATTTTGAAGAGCGCTTATGCGCACCGGCGCAAGTTGACGGAGGGTGAGGTCGGGTCGGCGTTGATGTTGGTGAGAAGGATGACGAATTCGAGTTGTCTAGGTGAATACCACTCTAGAAACTCTTGAGATGCTGACTTTCACCAGCCGAAAGAAGTATCTACAGCGCTACCATCACTCATAACCTTCTAAACTCCGAGGGCGTCAGCGTGGGGTCTATGCATTATAAATATCCTCTTACGCATGCGGCCGCATCTTACAACGCCTGGTCTGACGAATGGGGCAGGTGATGGCCAAGACGGATACTACGGTGGCACCAATACAATCCCACAATAACACCTTACCGTTACTAGTCACCTATTCTAACAATAACCCGAATGGTAACTAAATAATCTTGTTTTTCGTCTTTGCTTCTTCTGGTCTTTTTTTCGACTCACGAGTCTCCATCTGCGAAGCCTTACCTACTGCTAGGTACCTAGGTCCTAGGACCTACCTGGTTTCTCCTCCCACCCTCTATCAGATGGAGATTCATTTCATTTAGTTACCGGCCTAGCACCTAGTCACTGGTATACTGCCACCCTTGGAGGGACTTCGGTATTCTGCGAGTGGGGTTTAGATGCCTCAACCCATATTTACCACCACGTAACCCCTCATTAGAGGTCTAGTCGCGACGTAAAACGGTTTTAGCATCCGTCAGGGACCGGGTCGGGGCGATCAGTTCAAGCGATGACAGATGTGTACCAGGTCATCAGGTTGCGGGTTGCAGGTTTACTTACGGATAGTACATACCTAAGCACACAGTTGGTGGTGGGAACATGAGGAGGCACAGCAATATTCTTCAGCGCCCTCTTCCAAAGGTTCTGGAATGTCATACTGCAGGCTGTTGGGTCGCTGGGTCGCTGGGTTACTGGTTGCTGGGCTTCTGGGCTGTAAGCTGCATACTGGGCTCTGAGGTGTATGCTGGTGTATGCTGGTGTATGTGGTATATGCTGGTGCATGCTGGTCCGTATGCTGCCCAGTGGTGTGTAGCCCGCTGGTGTGTAGGCCAAGTACACGATACGGGAGGGTATCTTACCCAGTTGAGGATGGAAAAGCAGGAGAGGTGCAGAAACATCATGTCTAGCGAACATCTCTGGCGAATGCCGGCGCTAAAGGGATCAAATTGGCCCCGCCTTAGGTTTCTTCGAGAATCCTTCAGCGGTGCTGACACGCATAGAGATGCAGTACTCTGTACAAATGCAGTACAACCGACTAAGTTTGCGACCAACCAGGGATGCTTATCGTCCCGTCTAGTTAAGATTGGCCAATGGAAATTCGAGAAAAGCCTAGCTTATATCCACACACTTCCTCTGCAGAGTACTTACCTAGTACATGCTTATAAGCCACATCGCCCAATCAGACAACCAGGTTTGGTGGAGGGTACCAGCATCTAAAGCCTCGTGGCACATGTGCACTCTTGAAGAAACTCCAAACTCCATCCCATGTACCATCGTCTTCGATGCAAAACTACTCTGCTACTCAACCCAGCTTTCTGGGTAGTAATTGTACCTATGCAATCCTGGAACATACCGTCGCAACACTGAAGACTTTGCACGCACTTGTCAGGTACAAGGTTGTAATCTAGGCAAGTTCCGAACACACCCGTCGAGCACACCCGTCGAGCACACCCGTTCCCGAACAAATACGCCTCAACCTAAACCGAGAACCTTCGTAGGACGTCCAACCTGTAGACCAACCTGCAAGCAACTGCCTATACGATATCTAGTCCTGACAGAACTTTTCAAAGGACCGAAGCCAAGTAACAAATATAGACAGAATACTATGGGTAAGCTTATCCCGATCCTTCTCTTTTCTGGACTATTCTGGTTAGTATCTGGGCGTGTGTGAGATCATACCCTTCCCAGATCAGTTAATCGATAGTTCGTAGAGCTTATGCGTGGAGACGTTCCATCGCATATGCTCCATCGGGGCAGAGTACGTTCTCGCAGGAAGCGGTATCGGTAAATCCGCGGTTACGGAATCATTATCGTGACGATTGCACGTGTGTACTGGGTATGCTGGGTATGCTGGGTATATTGGGTATATTGGGTATACGGTATACTGGGTACCTAATACCTATACTGGGTATACTGGCAGACTGGATAGAGGATCGTTCAATTTGTCAACGGTTGATGAGGCAATGAGGCATTGAGGCACGTCAAATTTGCTGATCCAGTCCAACGCTGACAAATTGAGACGATCAATCGCTACTGATCCCTATGCTAATCAATTCCGATTTTCAACCTCAATACATATATCATACATACAGCATACATATGCTAGAACTAAAAGGTATGTCTAGGACTCTAGGTACTATCAATTTCTGTCAGTGGTAGATTAATTGGTTAACCCAAATCGAAGCCATCTCCTCCTTTGGTCAAGATACGCTCCAAATCCACACATATGGTACCATCCAGCCACCCTGCTATTCCCTATAAGACCAGATACTATGCGTATGATGTACTATGATAAGCAGAAGGACTAGAACATGCATGTGTGGATTAATCCACTAGCTTATTGGCGATGGGATCTGAATCAAGTGGCGAGATCCTCCATCGTCTAACCGATATGGTGGATAGGAGATAAACAAGTACAACGACCAGAGGCTCAAGTTCAGAATATTGAATGGTTCATCAATGTCTCATGAGGTTTCTACGAACATGGCATACACGTGCATGAGAACTGCAGCACTGAGACTACTAGGTACGGTGTCTTGGGGGTTTCAAAAGAGATACATGCGGGTGGTGAACGAGAAACTGTCTCGGAACTACCGGGACTACCCATCTCGTTTTAAGCCTCCCCTGCCAGGAGAAGTTCTCCTGAGTCTAGAAGTCATGTCCTGATGTTGGTAAACTCTACAGAATAGTATCATACCTAGTGCTAGGTAGTTGAGAATCAACTTGAGATACTGTTGATGCCAACATCAGCATTCATTGTTGCCCAGTGGTAATTCCCGGTTAGCTATCGTTACATTTCAGGCGTCGCCCTCCAAGTTTAAGGGGATAAAGAAAGTTGACATGGTCTTGGATTCGTTACATCGTACTAAATCTGAGTAAGTGTGCTATTTACTATACCGACCCTCAACTTATATTCCTGTCAGGTGCCTAGTTCATTATGTGTAGGTAATAAATTAATTAACTACCTAGGTATATTGCTATTTTGGATAGGGCTAAGAGAACGAGTTGAGCTCGTAGCGTGGCCACTCACTTAGCCAATCGCTTATACACCTGGGCAGAAACAGCAAACTTGATAGTTGTTCACCTGGGCATAGATCTGTACAGGCATTCTATTTTCATCATCGAAACACTTTGCCTCATCCAACTCCTTCGATCTCGCTGAGGTCAGATCTCACTCGTACACTCTCCGAGATGCTATGCTGCCTTTGGCAAGTTCATGATCCTTTGGTCTGATGTCTGCTAGCTAATCCAAGTGCCTAGATAAGACCGGTAGTTACGAATGACTTGTTTAGTGTTTCTTTAGCAAGCTAGTCGAGCTCGTAAACATCTAGACTCTCGTCATGTTGGACGTCTAAGCTTCACAAACCGGAATATTTACCCATCATCGTTACATCCTCACAACCAACAATGTAACAAGCATCTGAGCTAAGCGATGATACTGAAGTCTTAAGATGGTATCAGCAAAGGATCTTTCCAAGATATCGACGGCACGACAAAGGCTAGAACTACTGTGCAAGTAGGCCAAGATATCTACATCCCTACCATTATCTCGATCACGTTCTTAGGGGTACGCCGGTAGATGGCGCAGCCCCCATATGCGAATCTACCTATGCGAATCTAGTTACGTACATGAACTCGGCGAGATCCAGGAGGCTCGAGCACGACTAGCAGCGAAGACACTACGGTCTACCCCTCTCGTCTCCATCATACAGAGTTGTTGGTCAGGACCCCTATATGATCAGGGGGGAGGGTATGTGAAGGGTAGGTATGTCAAGGTCATGTCAAGGTTATGCCTGGGATGTGTCAAGGGTATCTAATGGATATCTGAGGATATCTGAAGAGTATCTAAAGGGGTATCTAAAGACATCAAAGGACAGAGACTAAAGGCATCTGAGGTTCCGTGTCTGGCAGTTCCCGTGTTGCGTTGCCAGAACTAGACGGCTCCGCGCGGGAGCATGGCCAAAGGCAGATTTAGAGTTCGGCCTGTGCCTTGTTCCTTGCATGAATGCCACTGACAGCGGGTCGACGAGGCCGATATCTCGGAGCTGTCGCGATTTGGGAATGTTTGGAGCCGACGTCGAGTATGCAAGGAACCAATTCTTCGGCCTAAGCTATCATGGGAATAGAACCGGCCGGATAGATCTCATATGTGTAAGGGTTTTCCGTTATACATGGGTCCGAGACCTGCTTTCCACCCTTCCTCTGCCAACCCCGCAAGCCACATGCCCTTCAAGTCCCTGATTTCGACCGTTGGAGTTGGGGGCTAGCTTCCTTGTCGCACGATCTGTTCTAGATTCTTAGGGTCTTAATATGCTACTCTGCTATGCAATGTGCACTATCCTAGTACCCATCCTGGCTGCCACGATTAGACGCGTGCGGCGGAATGGGTAAGCGATTCGTCTGATCCCCTATATGAGCCGCGTATGCGCAGGCGGCGTAGTTGACGATGTCACGGAACGTTACTAGGCTGTCGGCAAGCGGCAACTTCGTAGGAGTTAGGAATTAGATCGGAAGAATTCAGGAACAATCAAGAATTCAGGGCCAGGCCCTTGCTAGCCGAGCAGACGGGTATACGCATGTATCGTGTTAAGCGATACCCTTCACGAAGTCGTCGGTCGTGCACTTTTCCGTCGACGCGGGTATCCGAGACTTTTCATCTTGCGAGCGTGTTGTTGGGGGATTAACCTACATAGCCCTGGAGGATAGGTACACAGTAGATGTTGCAGTACTATCTACCTAGTACCTATCTTCATCATGATACACTTCAAGGTACCCCTACCATGTACGTAACCTTGCTGGAAATGTTTGCGCGGAAAGTGGTGTTTGTCAGTGGAAACGGCTGGGAGCTTTTCCTCCTATGTACCTACAGCGCACTTACAGATACAGTACGCGGCATGTACACAATCACTGGACAATTATCGCCAGGTTTAGGGTTTGTATTAGGTAGGGTCGCATCTCCCTGCATGTCATCCCGCTTCTCTAAAATATCACCAAGTCAGCTAGTGCCAAAAACATTCTTCACCATTTCGGTATCGAAGGATCAATCGCAATCGTAAATGTACAACACATGACCGCAACCACACAAGCAGACAAAAGTGCCACACAATTAGGGAGACCACTCGGCGTAGTGTGGCTTTGTACGTTACCGAGTTGGAATTGCGAAATTGCGCCTAGAAAAAAGATCATCACCTTGCCTGTCAAAATTGATGAGGCATTTCTCTTCAATCAAATTCAATCAATACTCCTAACCTGCCTGCTTGCCTGGCTACCTGGCAACTAAGTAGAACGAGAAATGATGTTGGATCTATCCCTGATCACTTAGCAGTGAGAGCCGTTGACCCGACTTTATTGTATCCCGAAGCAACTGCAAAACAGCCCAGAAGCATGGTTCATAACCAGAATGCAGTCTGAGGGACGGGAAGCAAATCATACGCATACAGCGCACTAGTAAAATCACCTCGGTCGGGACCTTAAGTTGGCCCCTGACATCCCTAAAAGTTACTAAAAGCCACTTAAGAGCTGCTATCCCTGTCCTTTCCCCGTCCCCGGTTCGGCGGTTCCTGCTGATCCTGATGAAATCCTAGGTCCACTGTTGGATCGATCTCCTGATGAGGGTTAAACGTTGTAATAACCTAGCGGGCTAGGTACATAGTTTGGTAGGATCCTAGAATTACGAGCGTTGAGATGGAAGCTTGTGACAAGTCGCATCGCGTTCATCTTGCTATTCGAATGACACCAAGATTAAACCATCCATATTGATACCATACCAATATCGTCGGAATAGTTGCATGCATTCGTATCTACCTACATATAGCTGCTAGGTATACTGAGCGAAGTAACGACGAAGGACGATGAAGGATGGGGGCCAAAAAGGCTAATACATATCTAGCGCCGGTTAGTTCATCAAGCCTCGGTCTAGATCTTCCCCTAACTCTATATGTTCGTAGCAGCATACGCCTTACCTATCTGAAGTATGGTGTTCGTTCGAGCTTTCCATCTGAGCTACGTAAGCATCGAAACTGTCATTGAAGTTGGTGTGTTTAGTGTTTACTTTGTACCTGGCAACAGGGTAGCCAAGAGTTACTAGGAAATAGTATTCATACCTACCTACCTAGTACCTACCTACCTAATACCTACCTACCTAGACTCAATAGACTCAATGTGGTCGTGTCAGATTCTGCATAGGTAAACTCAAAGGTACCTAAGCAACATTGAAGTCAATTCCAACCTTGAAGTCAATCATCCAAGATACCTACATAGTAGAAATTTCTCAATGATCAACACTACGAAGACATTCGATATGACCAGGCATCTTCGCTATTATTCCCAATACTTCCATTTCATTCAGGCAGATTCCCCCTGAATATTTTTCTTCTCCCCCACATTCGACTTCTTTCTCCACTCTGCGCAGCTGGAAGACGTCCGATTGTCTGGTTAGACATAACCTTATGGTACCGTTAGAGCTGTTAGTTGGGTAGACCTGTCCAAAAGCGAATAAGAACGGATGGGAACGAATGGGAACCAACGAAGAGCCCCTCCCCCTTTACCAATACCTAATTCATCCCTAGACCATACGACCTTAGGGAGCTCTGCGACCATGGGTACTTGCCCCTCCCCATTGGCTCTCTGCTGATCTGATCGATCTTATTGCTTGATCGGGACGAGTGCTCGGTCTTGGACTTACACCAGAACGGGCCAGCTAGCCAACCAGATACAACGTACCTAAGACAAAAAAATTAATAAGGTCAGAAAAGGGAAAAAAAGGGTGTTCGTGACACACGTGGTAACGAACGAGAGGGAAAAACAAAACAAGAAAAGAAGAAAAAAAAAGCAATTGGACCTACATACATACCTGCATACCTCATACATACCTACCCGTACTCAGGGCCGTACAATCTAAGACTTAAGTATCCAATCCTAGGTACTGTATCAAAAACATGGGTCTCTTCTCACGAAGGTCTAAAACGCCGAAGCCGGTAAACGCCACGGCGACCGCGGCGGACGGTGGACTTGGAACAGGGAATGACTCGGCAAGCCTCAACTCGGAAGGGTCAAACATGAGGAGCTCGTCGACGGGCAACTCGCGACTTCAGATCTATAACACCAATCGCATCTCGTCCAGCAGCGTACCGCAGACGCCTCTGACCCCCATGACGCCTCACCCCTTGCCCAGAATCAACCTTCCAAAACCCCCAGACCCGTCTCTCGATGCCGCGGGTTATCTCAAGAGTCTGGGCTCCATCCGCGAGAGGTCCAAGATCGTGACCGACAAGGCCCTGCGCAACTCCCTTAGCCATTTCGACGTTGACATGGCCAAGTTTCCTGATGTAGTCACGTTCGTATGCGGAATCATCAAGGTCTGGGAAATGCCGAATCCGCCCCCAGTTTTCTAGACACACACTATAGTCACTATACTAGTGCACATGTGTCGTTGTTATAGGTGTCTTGCTATAGGTGTGTGCTGACTAGGAAGTGCTATAGCGAGACTTCGACCCGCCGTTTTCCTCCATCCCGCCCCACGGCCGATATCAGCACTTCTGCGTCGGCGGTCGGGATCGCGTCGCAAACCTGCTCGCCACCTTTCCCCAGAATATCGACAGCACCGAGAAATGTCGCAGCCTGATCGACCTGTTCCTCGTGAGCGTCCTGCTCGATGCCGGCGCCGGTACGACCTGGAGCTTCAAGAGCGCCGAGAACGGTCGCATATATAGAAGATCGGAGGGATTAGCTATCGCGAGCTTGGAGATGTTTAAGACTGTACGTGTACCTATGATGCTTGTGATACCTGCGACGCCTGTGATGTCTGCCTGTGACGTCTGTGTACATACTAGGTAGTTACCTATGAGATACACATGGCTACAGATGGAGAATGTTCTTTGTTCGGTCAAGTGCCTACCTCAGACAGCTACCTATTTACCTATTTACCTACCTACCTACCTACCTGTCGGCGCTGACTTGCATCACAATAGGGATTGTTCTCTGGAAATCCGAACAACAAATTCCAGGTGGACAAAGATGGTCTCCGGAAACTCACCGTCGAACAATTGGCCAAAGGCATGCAGTCGCGGCCCGGGTGCGAGGTCGCTGGCATCGAAGGTAGAGCGCAACTCCTGATCCGACTGGGTAATGCGCTGGAGGAGAAGACAGAGTATTTCGGGGATGATGGACGACCAGGCAATTTGATCGGTATGTTATATATTCATATTCATGAGACTAGTTGGCCCCTGGCCCCCGTTCCGATCCCTCAATCCGATCCCTCTATCCAATCCTCCTTAATCCTCCCTCTTGGAATTCGCCAAGGCAATTTCTAACCAGATTGGAATGCGCAGACTATCTCCTCGCCCATCCAACGACACAAGCGACCTCAAACCCTATCGTAGTCCTCCCCGTACTTTGGAATGCGCTTATGTCAGGACTTGCCACGATCTGGCCTCCGTCGCGAACAGCTATCGACGGTGTCTCACTCGGGGATGCGTGGCCCTGCTCCTCGATGCCGCAACAGACGTCGGCGTCCACCTCGCCCAACTTATCCCCCTTCCCTAATGCGCAGGGTGCCGCAGCCTGGGAGTCCATACTACCTTTCCACAAGCTCACACAATGGCTCACGTACTCGTTGATGCAACCGATGCAAAACCTCCTACGGATTCAATTCGCCGGCACGGAGCTACTGACGGGTCTACCGGAGTACAGAAATGGCGGGCTATTCATCGACCTTGGCGTCCTGACGCTCAAGGCTAGCGACAACGAGCGTGGACTGCAACACTATAACGACCATTGCCAACGGACGGGAACCAAAGGTGTCGAGGTAGCGCCTATGTTCGAACCGGGTGATGATGTGATCGTGGAGTGGAGAGGTGTTACCGTGGGCTTCCTCGACAAACTCCTAGTCGAGGTGAACAAGGCCCTTAAGAAGGAACTCAACGGCGGCGAACTCACATTGGCGCAATTGCTCGAGGCCGGAAGTTGGAAGGTATGTTCTCTATGGTGTAGTAGTAATGCTGTCACCACGTCTACCCAGTAGTTATCCCCAACTACGATTTTCCACAACTGCGTGAACCACATACTAACATCTGATTCCAGGGCGGCCGTGAAATCGCGGAAGTCAGCCGACCAAATACGAAGGAACCGCCTATCCTGATCGACTCCGACGGGACTGTATTCTAAACACGAAGGTCATCGTCACCCCTTATCGTGTTCTTCTCATCTGTCATTTTTACTCACTTCCTCCTTACTCCCTTCCCTTCATAATTAGTGTATTATGAGATATTAAACAAAAAGGTCGCTAGACCTGGTAGACACCGGGATTCATACCCCCCCTTATTCCCTTACCTATCCAGCACTCGAGGCAAGAGTGCGGTCGTTCTGAAAACCGGTTTAAGAAAACATACCACCTACATGGCTAGGGTTTTCCTAATTACTGTAGAAAAATATTAGGTCCGTCGCGTGGGCAATGCGAGGCGAGGCGAGGCGAGCCGCGGCATGGCGACGATGCGCTTGTCGGCGCGACCTCTCGTAATTCTTGACGAGATTCGCGTTTGCGTTGTGGGATGATCAGAGGATCGTTCGGCTCTTTCGATTAGGATAGTATCGCCGGAGAACCTAATTAATCACCCTATGAGATGTCTTGTCTAGACGTGACACTTTTCCCTTGTGAATATATTCGAAGTAGTGGTAGTGAGTGAGTTGACTACATAGGTAGCTGTGCATGTACACAAGCAACCAGCCGATGACTTGATTCGAGATCATCTTACTATTGCACATTATATACATATATGTACCTAGGTAGTGTACAATGCAATTCCAATATCGTGAGCAACACCTCATCACTTAAGCCAACTCGCCTTTCTTTCTTTCTCAGGCGTCAGCGTCGGCGGCGGCGAATACGCTTCGTAGGAAAAGGGGGATGAGAGAGTATTCCGTCTACGTAATGGTACAATCCTGGCTTCTGCTCCCGTTTCCACGCCATACGCCAAAACCGGGTGAGCGAGCGGTCGATCATTCGACTTTCATTTCGACTTTCAAGACCGCTGCCTCTCGGCGCGTTTCCGACGTATCTCGTCCATCCGTCGTTCGGCCTCCTCGTCTTCCTCCGCGCTCCTGCGCTCCTCGTACTCCTTGGCCTTCTTCCACTTCTGCTTGGTGGGCGAGTTCATCATGGAATCTATGAATCCGCTCCTGCCCGAGGAAGGACTCGTGTACGTGGCGCCGGCCTCGTTGGCGGACGGCGCGGTCTTTGGGTGTAGGGATGCGAGGGTGGGCATGCCGACCCAGCGACGTATGGCCGGGTTGAGGGTCGCGGACGACTGGACGACGGCCGCGGCGCTGAACATTAGGAAGAACCACTGCAGGCCGGCTGGTAGCCAGGCCGTGGCTAAGAACATTACGGGAGGCATACCGTACAACATTCCTTTTTGTATCAGCGCGGCTTGTGGGTTTAACTGTGCGCCTTGGGTGGCAGCTTGGGTTTGCTAGGAAGAAGGGAAAAAATAATTAGCCGGGCATATCCTAATGGAGAGGAGGGGGACGCCGGCTTTACCTTGATCATGAGAGTCGTGATGGTGACGGAGGTGAAGGGGAGTATGAAGTAGGGGTCGTGGATGGTGAAGTCCGTGAACCATAACATGCCTCCCGTCTCCAAGCTGGGCACGGGGATGGCGGACATGTTTCGCAATAGTCGAAACATTCCCCAGCTGAAAGGGAAAGACCATAACGTGGCCAAAGAGCCTATCGTGCTGGCGCCCGACGCCTTCTTGAGGGCCATCAACTTGTCACGCGCCTTCTTCTGGGCGACCATGTCGCGGGATTTGTAGACGGCTTCGTCGAACTCCTCCTTGGCTTGTATGTAAGCCGGATCTCTGGTGAGCTTTTGCAACATCGCCTGATGCTTGCTACCTTTGAGGGTGGGCACGAATAAGGCGGCACGCCATGCGAAAGCCATGGTGGTTAAGACCGCCCACCAGGGCATGCCGGTGTATATATAGATATGTTCGACGGCCCATTCGCACATGGCCGTAGGTCCCCATCCGAAATCTAAGCCGATGGACTTGAGGTATCCTATCTGTTCGGGCATATCAAGAATGGACGGTAATCCTAGATCGGCGGGAGAATCCAGTTGGTCTTGCGCCGAGGCTAGGTCATCTTGTGTTAGGGGTTCTTGCGCTGAGGCTTCTAGGGGCGCATCAGGTTCAAACGGCTCCGAAAAGGTAGCTGAAGTAGGCTGCGCCTCGGCAGAGGACTTGAATTCCGTCTCGGCGGGAGATTTCGGCTTGGAAGAGAAGGGCCATAGCGATAAGTTTCGCGAAGCTCCGGAATTTTGGGTAAAGATGCTGGATGTGGTAGCCGCAAGAACGGGGCGAGAACCGATTAGAGATATAGGCGTAGAAGATGCGGTTCTGGATCGATTCAGCAGTGTAGATCGAGATTGTGCCTGAGAGAAATAGCGTAGGGGAACTTGTGAGGGTCGAATCGACTGTGAGAGGAATTTCGGCGTTAGCGATGAAAGTGAAGAATGGTTGCCATTGGAAGAAATTTATTATACCTGTGTCCGAACAGACCCAGCAAGCCGCAGAGCGGAAGCCGGATTTGATCTCGATAATCCCCTGCTCGGCAGCATGATGACGATTGTGGTGTTTGAAGGTATCGTCGAGATGCGATAACCTTGGAACAATTCCACAATGGAATAATTTTTTAACCAAAGCCTACGGTACAATCGGTACTTACAAAGTTAGCAAGAAGTAAATCATTAGCTTATCGATAAGCTAATACCCCAGCCAGGTGGGGTAATTATTGGTAGGTCTGGCTGGTCTGGTAGGTGCAGATTCAAGAACGGGGGATCTCCGGCTCGTCACTAACTTCCATCTAAGTTTCCCACCTTCCATTCTTGCTTGCCAATAACGAGTAGGTACCTAGTAGGTAGAACATTGAATTCAGGAACTGCAACCAGAGTATACCAAGTGCACCCAGTACCAAGCAGACATCTAGAGATTCGACAATAGTGATAAGTACCTCAAGGCTACTATTACTTGAGGTAGCAGACATTCACGGATTCCTAAGGCAAGACAGTACCCTGGATGGACATGCAAGATGCGCATATGCATGTACCTAATGCCCAAATGCCCCAAATATCAAGACCCTTGAATCTGAGACGAATTTACATTTAATTATTCATCATTCCACATCCACGGCCTCGTGTAGATCTAGGTCTCTGGTCGAAAGAAACTTTATACACAAACAATACCCAACATCCGTCTCCTTTTGCCTTTAGTTTTCCTCACCATCCATCCATCCCGCCGTCTAGTTTGGTAGATATTGTATTTCCGCGTGTCGGAGATACATATAGCGTATGCATGTCTATGAGATACCTCTTCATTTTGGCCCTACCGTAAATGTACAAATTGTAGCTAGTTATTCGAATAGTAACTACTCCAAGCTCGCAAGATCTCGTAGGTCTGGTCGCGGTCTTGGTCGCTCGCGGATCTCGATACCTGGGCCGATGGGGTGCACTCGTTGTCGGGATAGAGGGAAGACCTGTGCAGTTTTACTCGTTAGCTCTACCATCCATACCTACTAGGTACTTACCTAGGTATATCCACGCCTTGATGTGTAGTGGAGTTGGTGTTGGCGTTGCTTACTCTTGTTCCTCCCCACCCCAACCTGAATGCGGCTTCGTGCGCAAACAGCTCTCCAAACCCTAACATCATACCGTTGATGAATGGTAACAACAGGTTAATGGCCGCACCTCGGAGCATAGACCAGACGGTTGGGGGCCGGTAGAGGACTATAGGCGGCGAGGACGTCGAAGGTGGCGAGGTTGATATATCTTCGCCGGCTGAGTATTGTTCGCTGTCCGAGTGCATCGTGACACCAGACTCGGCGAGCGGGTGCGTTTCTTCGGATGACATGGCGAGAGACTAGAGTGTTGAGGATATCTAGGAGGATGGATAGGAAGGTATTTTTGGATATTGTCTATTCTAGCTGCTAGATTTCATGTCGGGTCGTGACTCAGAATCGTAACAACAGCAGCCGATCGACACCTATATCCGAGGCCAGGTGCTCAAAGTTGAGATGGTTGGAGAAGGCTCAACATTGAAAGATGTCGGGTTTAAGATCGGTACCTGGTAGATGGGTGGAGAATGAATAAATCATTTGATGAGGGAGGACAGCGTCTCTAAACCTATTCAGGTAATCAGCTAACTCTGATTCTCCTAAATCAAGTTAGTGATGTCACTATAAATCCCATCCCACTTGCTTGCACTTGGTCAGGTCAATTTAAATGTGAGTGCACGGTGGGCGCAGGGCACTGGGCAGCTGCTCGTCATTTCCAAAGTTTCTTTTAGAGGGGCTAGAGGGGTTACCAGGCTACTTGGTACATATCTAGGTACCTATTTACGTACCTATGGCCTAAGCTAATGGGATTCCAGTGGAAGGACCCCTCACTGCCCTTTAATCTCCCCGCGGTTGCTCGCATACCTAGTACCTAGTAGGTAATCGATTGCGCTCCAGTGCTGTGATTAGGCTACTGTGGGGAGCTTGACGTCGTCGCTGAAGCTGCCTAAGAGCAGAGCCTTCCTTCTATTTCCATCTAGACTTACAAACGTCACATCATAACCTTAACTTTGTTAACACTAGACGTTACCTGACAACTTGGAACTTCCCTCTTTCCAGTTGTACTTATGGTTAGACGGTACCTAGACAATTAAACGTTGACCGTTTTCACAAACTTCATTCAACACTATTTGTCCACCATCCACAACCTTGACCGATTACCAACACCGACATCTATTCCAACATGGCGAGCAGCGTCGATCACGATGCTCTCACCAGCGAGCTCATAGGCATGACCGGAGCGTCGGCGGAACAGGTATGTATGATATATGCTTGCTATTTTCCATTCTGCACTTCAATTCTACTACCTTCAATTCTGCTACTTTCAATTCTACTACCTCTATTTCTGCTACCTCCATTTCTGCTACCTCCATTTCTGCTACCTTGGCTACTTTTACTACCAAGACTACCGCACCCTACCATCCATTTAATAGTTCTATCCCAATCCAGCCCATCTTGGCTAATGCGTCTTAGGCTACGCAGTACCTATCTGCCTGCAACTGGGACCTCGCTGCTGCTACCCAAGCCTTCTTTGCCGACGAAGAAGATGGTACAGCTGCTCCTCTCGAGAATCTCGGTGCTACCAGCTCCTCGAGTTATACAGGCCCGCGCACCCTCGATGGTCGACCCGCCCCGCAAGCAATTCCCACCACCTCTAGCTCGTCCAAGCGACCACCCAAGAAGAAGGGACTCGCCACCTTAAGTTCTCTCGGAGGCGGTCACGATCATGACGATGACGACGACGATGAAGACGATGAGGATATTCACAGAGACACATACGCTGGAGGTGAGAAGAGTGGATTAGCCGTTCAAGACCCGAGCCAGCGCAGTTCTGATCCCAGACGAATTCTCAACGACCTCCTTGCGAAGGCCAAGAGGTATGATTCTTCATCTCTTGATTTCGTTATTCTATTTATTAGTGAACTAACATTGAATGGCGAAGCAACTCCCAACGTCCCGATGCCACAACCGCCGTTGGCCCCTCCAGCTCGAGTTTTTTCCGCGGTTCCGGTCAGACTCTAGGTGGCGAAGGCACTCCCAGTCGCACCATTCCCGACCCCTCCGGACATCCTGCTCCCAGCAGTCTCGCACGCCCCCAAGGTGGAGAGGTTCAAGAGCGAACGCTACATCTATGGCGCGACGGATTCAGCATCGACGATGGAGACTTGCGTCGATTCGACGACCCCCAGAATACCGAAGCTTTGCGTATGATCCAAGAAGGTCGTGCACCCATCCAATTGATGAACGTTCGATACGACGAGCCCCTCGATGTCAAGTTGCAACAGCACGATGAGGAGTACCGAGTTCTTCCCAAGGTTTACAAGCCATTCGGCGGTGAGGGTCGCCGTCTTGGAAGCCCCGTGCCGGGCGAGTCTGCTGGTGCTGCGACCACGACCACGACGTTGTCCACTCTGTCAACCTCGTCAACTCCTGGCACGGCTGCGGCGTCCTCCTCGTCAACGCGCCCTAGCACATCGGTAGACGAGTCTCAACCTACGATCATGATCCGCATCCAGATGCCCGACGGTACACGATTGCCGGCTCGATTTAACACATCGCACACGGTCAACGACGTGTACGACTTTATCTCTCGATCCTCGCCTGCGCTGAGCGCCGGCGGATGGGTGTTGGCTACGACGTTCCCCAACAAGGACCATACGGACAAATCGCTAGTGCTGGGAGACATGGCAGAGTTTAAGAAGGGTGGCACTGCTATGGTGAAGAGAAACAAATGAGTACGGGAGTGTCGTTTCTGATATGCTAGGCGTTTATCGCATGATAGAACTGCAGTTCCTAGATTTGCCTAGGTAGCTATGACATTAGATGCAGAGGCATAGACAGTCGCCTATTGCGAATCTGAAGAGACGATTCCTGAATTGTGGTTTGATTGCATTGGTGATTAAGTTAACTGCCTAGGTAGGTACTAGGACCCTAATATTCATTCGTGTAGAATCGTAGACCTGTAGCATCGCAAGCCAACCCCGAGACACCCCATTACGCAGAATCAGTCGCGCACACTCTTCTCAACCAGCCTAACAAGTCCCCAACATAGAAGTCAGCGCAGTCTTCTCGGCAGACGTAATGGTCAGCTTCCAGTAGCTCTTGACGGCGACCCAGGACCTGGCGTAGGTGCAGTAGAAGCTCGATAGAGGCGGCTTCCACGAGTCTGGGGACTTGTCGCCCTTGGATTGGTTGACGTTGTCGGTGACGGCCCAGAGCTGTGGTCGGGTGACGTCGTTGGCGAATTGTTCGCGCTTGGCTGTTGTCCATGCGCTTGCGCCGGACTGGGGGGTGTTAGTGGGGTGAGGTATGTTTAGGGGGGTGAGGAGGTAGGTAGGTATGTCAGGGGGATAGAAACGTACAATCCAGGCATTCTTCAACGGAACCATGTGGTCGATATCAACATCAGACGGAGCAGTCCACTTCCCTCCGTCGTAGGGGCTCGTCCAGGTTCCGCTCGTGGGGTAGCAGTTGGTCCCGACGACGACGTTGGTGCCGTCACGCTTTAGCACGTACTCCCGCGTGTTGCAGGTTCCTTCGATCGTGTCCCATGTTGGGAATAGGTCGCGCTTGTAGGTGCCGTCGTCGACGGCTGTGGCTACGGTAAGGGCTGCGAGCTGGGTCTTGGCGGAGGAGCTTGTTGGGATGCCGGGCTGGTGGTGGGTTAGTTTGAGGTTGTATGGGCGTATGAAGGATTATGCGACGGGACGGATATAGAAACGTGGTCTGGGGTTTAGAAGATTGGGTCTTACGGGAGTCGGCATGGGCATGGGCATAGCAACCGGGTCCGGAACCGGGGCAGCGAGAACTGCGTTCGCGGACAGGAGACCACCGATAGTGTACGAGAACCTCATGATGAAGATTTTTGCCTAAGTGTACTATCGACTCTGGTGCTAGGTAGTTCACGAAGAAGAGGGTGTTACCAGATGAATGAGTAGGGCAGGTTGGTAACACTATATACCCACCTGCAGGTTATGCCACGCGCGAGTCAGTCCTCTAGGCTTGTGATCGAAGCATAGGCACTCGTCGATCTCTCCCGCGTTCGACTACAATCCCATGTTATACATCTTACCTCGCAGGCGCCAACTTCCCGAACAAGTAACGGAGTTCGGGCCAATTGACACCTGAATCAAGGCAGGTTCCCGCCAGATCTGACGCCGATAGGAACACTCCGATATGTAGGTCAGTAACTACTATGTAGGTACAAGAAGTCTTACCCCGGGGTGGAATCGCTCATATCTCAAGACCGTGTTACATGGTGCGAAGCTGAATCTGACCTGCCGAATTGAATAAGTCGTCGGTAGTATCGTAGCCACGCTGAGATCTCGACGGGGCGGCGATCGTCCGTAGCTGGGATAGACGACAAGTAGGTGCATGCGCCTGTGCAGCTTTACTCGAAACTACACGATCGGCTTCACGATATTAGCAAGCATGGGCGATATAACTTGGGTGCTATAGGTCCAACGATGGGAAGCCAAGACGAGCCATCTTGAGTAGAATCATCGTGCCATTCATATGCTCGGCAGGTATTCGTCGAAATCTAACTACATCCATGGGTATCGATAACCCCCTTTCATCAAAGTCGTGCAGCATACAGCGTAACAAACACTTATCATTGGCTAGCAGCTCGTCCCTACCAACCTTCCTAATTCGGGAGGTAAGCCGATCTTCAGGGACCATGACGCCGCGCCGATGAACCGTCACTCCCGGCGCTCATTGATAAGGCCAATAAAGCTGCACGGCATACGAACGTGTTGGACTCGTCGATATTCGACCGTCATCATTCTCTCCGCGAAATAAGTCGTCCGTAGTGTTTCTGAATAATAGTAATGCTGTATGGGAGATCATGTCCCAAATCCGGTCATGACTTCGCGAGATCCATAAACTAGTGTGTAAGCCTCTGAGGTCCTAGCCTCAAATACAAGGTCCAGCCATTTTGACCCGTCAAACCAGACACCAAGCTCCTACCGTTATCGCCTTATAAACTTGTAATTCCGTCCGCCCTCTGCCCTCCGCCCAGACATCTTCAGACAGAGGCTATCAAATTAGCTCCTCTCTCGCTCCTCTCTCGCTCTTCTCCTCACTTCTTTTTCCTCACTTTTGGGTGTAGGGCGGTACTAGTGTGACCGATATCAGGATCGTTATCATCATGATTCGAAGTACCTCGGAGTCGTTCCATCTAATGCGAATACATATTCATCGTATTCGAGTCGTGTCAAATTCAATCGTAACATCTTACTTTTTCCTCAACTTGCCAATCGCCATTGTCGAACTAGGAATTGTAACTTTGGCCAGGTCCCGGGATAACAGGTCCGTCTAGGAATTTGAAGCTCTCCCTCGCAATCTGACAATTCAATTTGGCGGAATTGAATCTAGCCTCGCCAGGTGGAAGGATAACCATGAGGTAGGTGTTGGTGGTAAATTTGCAGGCAAACATGGAGAATCTTGACCCCGCCTTATGCTCCTGTAAATTTATTAGTGCCTAGGTAACCGTATTTGAACCTGCGAGCGAGCGCCGTGGGTAGAGGTAGAGGGGTATGGTAGAGGGGTATGGTAGAGGGGCATAGGTAGTGGTAAAGTAGTGGCATAGTAGTGGCTCTTGGCGATTGCAATCCCTCCAGGACCATAAACATCACAGTGTACTTGTGCATCTTTGACACAAGACTCGACACAACGCGACGCAACAACCCAACCCAACCCAACATGATACAAGACAATCACTTACCATCAAGGTGAATTGCTCTGCGTTACGGGGTGTACCAGTGAATCGACTGATGCTCTGCTTGAAATGCTTAAGGATGTTGGAGATGCGCTCTTGTCGATCGCCCGTCGGATTATTCTGACCCTCTTGCGATGTCCAATTCGACACGACGAGGAAACTAGTTCTCTCAAACAAGAGCAACTCTTCCGCTTCGATCAATACTCCCAGAGACCCGAGTTGCGACTCGATGACGGATAGATTGGGTACTAGGTCGTGAATGATGCTTGCCCACGCCTTGTATAATGATTGATCCCATATCGAGGTCGCAAACGGTATGAGCTCCAATTCACCGGAGTATCCGATGCCTTGAATGTATTCCGACGTCTTCTGCCTAACCAGTTTTACGCGATCGACGAATACGGCTTCTCGGGCGAGCGGGGTAATCAGGTCCATCTTGTGAATTAGCACGTAGACCTTCGCGGTGGGCGAAAACTGGGTCAGGGCGGAGATGATAGAGACGTAGGTGGCCATGTCACGATCCACATCTCGAGACTCGATATCGAAGACATAGATGAGAACTCCGACATTCGAAAAGACGTGAACGCGCTGCTGCGATAGGTAGTTTTCCATAAAAGCCTCTTGACCGCCGCAGTCCCATAGGTTTAATGTCAGATTCCCTAAGAACTTGACATGTGAAAGGTCGATGTCGATTGTCGCACCACTGTCGTCGGTACGGCACAATCAGCTCTCCGTCACACCGCCATTGATTTGTAAGTGTCGGGTGTCAGGACAAGATATAAGACTCACAGACGTCGAGTATCCCGCGCGATATAGTTACTAAATATTATACTTCTCATACTCGACTTCCCGGAACCGCTCTTGCCCATGAGAAGAACCTTTTTCTTCTTGGGCTTCTTGACCTCGTTCCGAATGTCGTTCGCCAGACCCAAGCTGGGCGTCGATGCTTCGAGGTCCGTCATGGTATTGATGCAAGGTTGAGAGACTTCCACCCTATCCTATATAATAGATAATATATCGCGGAGGTCAGCCGTGGTCTCGACGCGACGTTAGGGAATTCGTTCAGCTCGGCAGGCGCATCATCTCTCTGTCCTGAGAATAGAAGAGATGCTCGTGGTTCACGGTTGTGGTTCACAGGTACGGTACGTTCGCAACAGGTCGATTGACTTAAGGTAGTTCGTCCTCTACTTTCTACCCCCGCGTGACAATTCAATGAAGACCTTGTTAGCGTAGGATGGTATCTAGGTATGTAGGTGGTCGTTTCGGATCTATGGCGGGGTGATTGCTTATGTAGCTCGAAATGGAGGGAAACTTGCTTTAAGTAAGGATCTGCCCTAGTACAAGCTATGCGATAAGATACGATAGAGATCAGGCGCTGACGTCACGTGTAATTCGTAGACGAATTATACTTTTTAGTAACATTGATAGTCTCGATTTAAGAATATCTCAGACACGGGTAGGTACATAGCTGAACCATTTCATTTCATTTCAACTAATAACCTTGGAAAGTTACCAAACGACTTCAACTTCCCATGAACATCTATCTACCTACTCTGTGCATCTATTCTTGACATAATTCTATCCATGCCAATATCATGGATCGATGATTCCAGGTAGGATATTGGACAGTTGCATTACTTCCGCCACTCTTCCGCCACTCTTCCGTTCACCTACACCAACCCGTCGGGATCAACTTTCATATTTTCGACATAGCCTTGTTCCATATTCGATGACCTCCCAATCTTCAGTTCCCGGCGTCGAGACAGCATAGAAAATTCCATGAGGATCCCACTTCTTACGGAGTTCCAACAACTGGGGATATTGCGAGCCCCAGAAATGTTCTTGCCAATTCGGTTGATACGGGTTTCCCTAGATGAGTGATTAGCATCATTTTTGGAATCTGGATTGCGTTCGTCGAGTCACATCAATCAATAGCTAACTTACCTCGCTCACATAAGCACACCCATTTGGACCTGCCTTCTTCATCGCGCCGTCCTGGATATTAGTAAGAACATCTTGAAGATCCTCCTTCTGAGCCCAACTTGCGCCTACGGGGACCGGGAGTGCAACGATGGCAAAGTCAGTAGACCTTCTCATCTTGGGATTAGTCGCACTATTCGGGATGGGCATATTCAGACCAGCATCCCAAAGATGGCCGATAATGAACCCCTGATTTTTCAAGTCTTCTCGCGGAGATACTACTGTCTTAAAGGCATCGATTATCCCATCGTTATTCTCTTCGACATCATCATGAGTAAACAGCCAGCCACCTGTGAGTGCAGACGTGCCTGCGGTTTCGTCTTCAAACATGTCGATATACAGCTCAAACAACGAATCGAATTCCTTACTAGTTGTGTCGTACGGTATATTCTTCGCCTTGAACTCGTCGAACATGGGCTTTAGAATAGCCTCCATTTCTGCAGAAGTCTTCCCGACACCTACGAAAGGCTGTATATGTAGGCGTAGTGCCATAAGTTCGAAATAGGCATAAATACCAGCCGCGACAAACTCGTTCGAATATTTATGGAACGACTTGACGCCATCCCAGAAGACTTCGGTGTCATTAGTATGTGTCGAGTTGATATTGACAATGACTCCGGCCGATTTTTGCGCTGCATACGTTTTGAGCGTTACGGAGATTACGACACCAAACGAGGATGGTCCTCCTCCCTTCAACGCCCAGAATAGGTCGGGATTTTCCTCAGAATTTGCTGTCCTGTATTTACCATCTGCGGTAACCACGTCAAATGATAGGGCGCTATCAGCAACCAGTCCGTACAATGGCGTCAGGGGTCCATGGCCGCCACCTAGAACAAGTCCGCCAGCCACTCCGACGGTCTAAACATGTTAGCTTCGATCCCATATGCCGTACGCGCCAGCTACCCATCCACCAAGCCACCAAGCTACCCAGTGCGCAGGTACTTGGGAACTTAAGCATTCAGGTACTCAGGTAGGCACTCACCGGACATTCTCCAGTTATGACCGTCACAGGCGGCTTTTGAGCGTGAGCTTTAGTCAGTAGTGCTCGAGCTTGGACTCCGGCACCTATCGTTACGGCACCTCCGTCATAATCACCAGGCCCTCGGTATCTTCTAGTGAACTTGACATCTTGCAAATTGTGTGTGTTGACCACCAACGAGCCCCATCCCGTGCTGCGTCCAATAAAGTCATGGCCGGTATTTCGAATGATGAGGCGCAAACTATTTTCCCTCGCGAAATCCACAGCCGCCTTGATATGATCCCCAGACTGGGCCTGAATCACATAGATACCATAATAACCCAGTGTGCAAGATTCGGTAGGATTCCTTGTTGGCTGGCAAGTGTTGTTTGTGAAATATGTCCATAATGCTGCAGCGGGTTTCTCGACACTGGCACGGTGTCAGTATGTTTATCTGCCCACCTATCTATCTGCGTGCCTGTCTGTTGCCTGCTGCCTCGACACATCATTACTGGGGTACTCACGTCCATTGCTCGTTAGACCACATAGCCAACGCATTTTCACAAGCAGAAGCATTGTAAGTTGAGATTTGACCAAGGGGACCTTCAAATGTCTGGGGAAGCTTGAATCAGCATTGATCTTCTCACGGCTAAATCATCACGGGCAGAACTCGACTCAAATATCAAATACCAACATACATTATGGCAAGATGCACCGGGTGGAATATTCATGAGTAAGTTGCCGTCCACTGTTGAGTTCAATGCAGCCCAGTTGTCTTTGCTCGGCCAGCATTCGTCACCCGGGTAACATTTGCATCCATACTGGCTACCGTTCCATGTTCGTTCTACAAGGAACGGCGGTGCTGAATCGACACTCCTGATAAGTGCCGAAAAGTTCACACCCAAGGAGAACCAAGACCCAGCCATCGTCGCTCGTCATATGTCATATGTCATAGACCATAGGTGAAAATGAGATTTGGTAAATGAATAGATACCTACCTAGTAGGCTCTCAAGATTCTACCAGAAACCTGACGCCTATTTGAACCGCCCTAATCGATGGCTCGTTTTCGTTTCCGCATCTCACTACCCCGGGTCTTCGGTAATATCAATATGACCTAAGGCTGAACTAGAAACAATCGCATTCTCCCAGACAGTCTAGTCGGTGCCTAGATACTCCATCTCCTTTCACCAGCTCGGGGACTAGCTTATTTCAGCAACCTCTTCCAATCGGGAGTCGTGCAATTATCTATCCACTACCAGGAATCCGGGTATAGGCTTTCGGCATATGTCTACCTGGGGTAGTGCACTCCTCCGCGCATGTGTATTCTGGGGTATGGGGTCTAGACTAGGCGGGTTAGCCTTCGTCTGGATATTCTCAACTTGGCGTTGATCTGGGGAAACGCTTCCCCGGTTCTGCAGACTAACGCTAGGTGAAGGAATGTTGTTCATTGCCAGGTGGTGGTGAAAAAGAATAGAGGTAACATTGAACCTTGGAAGTGAGCTACAGATATTGGATAAGGGATAAAACCTTAAAGGAACCTTGGAACCTAGGAAATTTAAGTTCAACTATCTAGGTACTATTAAGTCTGTCGGTGCCTTCTTTTTCCTTTCGTTCCCATTTGCTCCCACATCCAAACCCGACCAGTTGTTTTATTAGGTAAATTATATCAATCGAAACTGCCCCTCTAAGTTTCAACCAAAACGACCTCACCTTCGCATGCACCTCGTAAATAATTTAGTCTCGGATACTTCCGTATTCGACCCCTCCTACGTAAATCAAAACCTGCGTCCTGTCTAGACTAGGTGATCGACGATAGTCCTACTTGCTTGGTATGTGGGATTCTCGGCAGCTGTTCTCTTTGCGGGGTCAAGGGGAATTATGTAAACCCCTCATTGCAGGTGGGATTGTGGGATTTTAGCAGTCTTGAAGCATCCAAGACCTTCAGTATCCACAGTAGCCTTTCTATGTGACCCGAATCTAGGAATAGTACCATGTAGATATCCATAATTGACAAATCTGAGACTCTGTATGACATCCCTTTTCAATGCTATTCATAACATCATCGAATGCAGCATTAGGTAGGTGTCCAGTGGTTACTGAACGTGCTCGATCCCAAGAGTCCCCGGGGCCCGCGGAAGGATTCTTTAGCGAGTGGGAATCGGAGCCGGTAAGTGAGTCACACAGGTCGGACCACATCTAGCATTGTCTCAAATCACATCTTCTCGACTCCGAATAGACTCATTTTGTCTAACGAAATCTGATCGAGGACGTTTTATGAATGTATCAATTAGTAATAATTAATTGAAACCTAGCTCTTATGGGACAGGACAACAAGAATAAATAGGGCTACTTGATTGAAATTGAGATTGAGACTGAAATCAAGAACTCAGCTCATCTTCAAGGTTGACAAAGACCAATTACATATTTCCAACTCATCTCATCTTACCACATCAGCTACAAATTCTCATATCACACTTACGACAAATCAACATGTCTATCCAAATCCGCAAAGCGACTGAATCTGACATCCCATCTATCATAGATACCTACTTTGACGCATTTCGCGATCATCCCCTCACTCTAAGAGCCTTCTTCCCAGGCTCGGAACCTGTGAGGCAATGGTGGGCTGAGGGAATAGGCGCTGACCTACGAGACCCTAGCACTCACTACCTAGTTGTCACCGACTCAGCTTCTGCAGACCCTGAGAGGATTCTTGCCTTTGGGAAATGGCGCGTGTGGCTCACATCCACAACCCCTCCAGCACCACCAATACCTAGCTGGCCTGAAGGTGCCGACGTCCCCCTTCTTGAGAAGTTCTTCGGTGCGATTGATCAAAAGCACAAGGATATCTTGCAAGACCGACCGCACTGGTATCTGGATATGCTAGGTGTTCGAAAGGAAGCCCAGGGCAAAGGTGTAGGGACTCGGCTTGTGGAGTATGGTGTCACCAAAGCTGATGAGGCTAGAGTCGAGGCATTCCTAGCTGCCAGCCCGGCTGGTGCCCCTTTATACCAGAAGTACGGATTCGAAATACATTCGACATTACCGATGGGTGAAAATGGACGGGTCGAGACTTTTATGCTACGGCCAGCTAAGAAGGCCTAGCTTCGATATCATCAGCGTGGGAGTTACTGGACAACGAGGACAATGAGGCCAATGAGGACCATAACAACAAGCGTAGGTATAGACAAGGAAATATTAGATACTGGAAGACGGTTGTTAATCTAGGTACCTACCTAGCGGGGCATACTCAGGTACATATATGGATAACAATAAAGTTCAAGGTCACGCAGTCATTAGCTCAAACTTACTCAAAGACTAAGCCAACCTTATCAACTGGAAGCTACCCCTATTTCTAGGGAAGTTTTGACATCATAAGAAATGTTATTAGACTATCAGAAGGGAAAGTGCTGGTATTAGAAATATGATATGTAGCTGAGTGAGTTAACAATGTTGTTAAAACAATAAAAATGCTGGGTATGATAGAAGAAAAAAACAATCATTCCGAATCCGCCAACTCCAAAACAAACCGATCTCGCTATGAATGTATGAATGGGTATGACCTTCACCTCCGCCTGACCTTCACCTTTACCTCCATCTCTACTTACCATCTACTTTCCATCTACTTCCATCTACTTCCATCTACTCCCATCTACTCCCATCTACTCAAAAGAATAGTTCCGCACCACTTACCTTGTTATCCCAGAAGAAGCTAAGCTGGGCGTGAATAACACTCCGGATCTGCGTGAACACACTATCCGAGAATACCTCGACGAACAGTTCCCAACCCGCGTACGTCAACGGATGATTCTCCATCTTCAGCTGCGCATACACTCGATTAGCGATATCAATCTCCTCCTCGATAGTAAGACCGCAAGCGTATTCCGAAATGATCTGGATAATCGACAAACGACCAGATGCGTTATCGTCTCCATATCCTCTAGCGGACTCGATTGGCTTACCTGTTCCTGCGAGGGACTCTATGCTCGCGGGGAGTTTATCCAATACCTTTCCCTCTCGATGATGCCCGACCGTGCATGCGGGACATTTTCCAGAACGAGTCGGCTTAAAACCTTGCTGCAACAGCTTCAACACGGCACCGCTTCGTCGCGTGCCTTCATGGCATAGACACACGGGTTTCCTGGTGAGAAACTGCATCTTACCTACCTTTCGCAACTTGGCGACGAAATAATCTGTACGACGTTATTGAGTCTATCAATGGTCGAATTTACTTACCTACTAGGTAGCGTCTACCTAGGAACTTTGTCGCCGAGCTGCCCAATTACCAAAACGAATACCCGAAGACAGATCCGAAAGAAATATCTCCGAGATGATGATCGCACTCAAAGTGGTTGGCGTGAGAATGGAGAAGAATGCTTAAAGAAAACTGGCAAACCAAACTTTTATATCAACTGGCCTCGTGACAATTGTCTTTGCTCTCCGGCCCATTGTTGGGACAAAGAAATAATGGCTTTGTCAAGAACCTCCTTATTGTGTGATTCCTTGCTATGAATAAAGGTTTGGACGATGGTAGTTCGAGTGCCCCCACATTGGAACATGATATGAAATGTGAGAATCATTTTAGCCACTGCAGCAATGATATCGTTTGGAAACAGCCAACCTCCCCCAGCGAATACAGAGATCATGAACATTATTGAGTGGAAAGTACCTACTAGGTAGGTAGGTACCTAGGCATCTATAACATAGCAACACCAACAAACATGACAAGCACTCCAAAGCCATTCACCCCAGGCTATTCACATCATACTCAAACACCCAGAAATTGCCACGGCGGAATTGGGATCTATTCAGTCTTGCGGCGATGCAAATGATATATGTGCGAGAGGTAGATGGTAAATTTTGACACAACTCCCAACCGTTTACCTGAGAGGAAAGTACAGACCGAAACTCTTTGAAATCCCGAATACCTAGACCATGTTGAAAATGTCGCCTCGCCCATGTCGCCAACCCGATCGTCCTAATGGTAACAGCAAGAGTAGTAAGAGGTAAGAGTTGCAAGACTAGCAAGACTAGCAAAAGTAGCAAGACTACTAGATAGCAAAAGTAGCAAGACTAACAGACTAACATGACAGTAGCATGACTAATCGAAAGAAGTGAACTTTGCAGAAGAGACAGCAAGAGCAGCATCACGACGCCCGGCAAAGCGCTCGAATATCCGCCATATGGGTATAAGCTGTATCTAGCAAGATTCGTGATGGTAAGGAAATAAAAGTATGTCGTCGGTCAAGTGAGACCAAGGTCGTCAGCATACGTGAGCTGGTGGTAAATCGTCCCGTCCAAGATCCAAGATCGCCAAGTTCAACATCCTTCGCTAATCAGCCGAACCTAGACCTTCCAGACCTTGGCTCTTCGTTTCGTCCCTCGGTATCCCTCGTAACCTTTTTTTTATCCTGCGATTTTATGTGCATCATTTTCTTTTTTGTCTTCCCCGTAAAACGCCTTTGATTTTTCATACCTTTTACCTGCATGCTGTTGAGCCATTCAACCATTCACCCGTTCACCCGATCTTCACTTCATCTAAAGGTGCTTGGGAGACGTGCGGTTCCCCAAGCAGACTTTCTCGCTGCTCTCGCTTTCTTCTCCCCAATCGATCACACCACTCTTCCGCGCTGACGATGGTGCCGTCGAGAACCCCAGATACTTGAGACATCATGTCGAGACCCTCCTTAGCAAGGACCAACACTCGTTGAGCACTCTCGCGGGTTTCCTTTTCCTGCGCTTCTGGACTTTCCTCTCCGTTAGCCTCTGCGCGGTGCCCGTCTCGTTGGCCTTCGCCGACCATGTTTGCTACTCTGAATCTTTGAGGCAAGCTCGTCAAATGACGTCGAACGAGCTCCCTTGCGTTCTCTGGCAAAGAGCCACCTGCATACCTGCTGACCGTGTTGATAACATCCTGAAGCGTCTTGAGTACGTCCATTCTCAATTCCGCAATCTTGGCCGCGAGCTGATTCCTATCAGTCTGTTCACCAGAGGATGTACCACCCATTGAATGATCACCCTCGGTTTGTCCAGCTTCGGACCTTTCATACTTCTCCATAGTCGCTTTCAAGGCGTTGATGACATTACCGATGCGAACGTTAGCCCATCGAAGCCAGCTTAAGCAATACTTGAGACTACGTAGACTTTCCTCGCTCATAGCAATGCTCAGGCCAGATGTCGACATGATGAGACGGGATTGCCACGGCGCGTTGTTCGAACGTGTCTCTGGTGGTACGAATTGTTCGGCATACGGCGGAGATCGAAGCTCGTCGTAAGCGGGTAGGGTATCTACCGTGCTTGCAACCGAGAGCCGGCGATCATATGAATTCTCGAAAAACGCTCTCGGAGTCTGCGCGCCAGATGCAGGTTCTGGTGTGGTTTCCTTGAAAGTACCGGTTCCGTCAACCCTCCGACGCTTGTTCGAACCCATGTCAGCAGATTCGATATCGGAATTTTGAGACTTGTGTCTTCTTCCACCACCCAAGAACCATCGAACACCACCTTCCACACCAGTCACGCGGCCGACCGATCCCACCGTGTTTGCGATAGGGATGACATACCCCTCTACGTATTCGGCGCTCGATTTGAATCTCGGGGAGTAGTTCTTAGAGCTGACATATGCGGAGGTGGCTCCTTCGATCGTCGTAGCCAGTAGGGGGTGAGATGTAGTTAGTAGTGAGATTAGCGGTTCTGAATGGGAGCCATTCGCCTGTGAGTTTGGCGAACCAGGGGTGGCAGCGTGTTTGTTCGATGGAGAGGAGATGAAGTCTAATTGAGACCTGATGTTAGTACAGCGACTGACTATACTGATAGAGAGGCGGATGGATAGATAGATAGATAGATAGGTAGGTAGAGAAATAGATATATAGATAGACAGTTCAAATCATAGAATCGTAACATAATAAAACGGCTGGCATAACTAACCTGCTCTTAGATCGCCCAAGGCCTCGGCAGCCATTCGCACGTCTGGATCGTCCAGACTCACGCTGCTGGCCCTCCCATCCTGAAAGCGATCTGGCGACGGAGCACTCACGCCGCTGCTACTACTCGCATCTACGTCCATGCGCATAGGCGACTCGGCGTCTTGGGCATGACTCGGATTGTAATATGCGGTGAGAGGATTAAGACTCGGCCAGTGGCTGAGCGGCGACGCTTCCGGGGGAGAGTACGCTGGTTCTGGTGGGTTAGGCGGGGTGTATAAAGGATTAGACGAAGCTGTTAAGGTAGATAAAGAAGGGAGATGGTTGTTGTTGGGTTTCGTGTCGTCGTAACTCGGCGCATTCAATAATTTGAGAGGTGCGAGCTCGGCCTTTGGTGGATCGGGAAACCTTAAACCCCCGGGGTCGTGAGCTTGCGCATAAGACGGCGGAGGATACAGAGGAAGTTTAAACGACCGGTCGAATCGATCGAATATGCCGGCCGTTGGATCGGAAGGCGGTGATATGTGTCGGGAATCTGGGTGAAGGAGACTGTGCTTCTGATCGTGAGTCGGCGGGGGGAAAGACATGTGATTCTGCCGTTCCATAGTGTCTCGTTCGCGGGATGCGCTTCCGCCGGAGACTACGCTGAAGATAACTAGCGATGGACCGCAAAGGAAATTAAACGGATAGTGGTCATTTGCGCATTTGCGACAAATTTGATATCAAGTATGGTGTCATGTATGCCGGGTGCGCATAGACGTCGAAAATCGGTACTGTACAGATGAAATGATCGCTGTCGGTAAGATGTGATGTGTTGGGTCAACGTCAGGAAATTGTTGACTCGCGAGATCGAATTACCCGATTATTCATGTGAGATAGGGAAATAGATAAAAATAGGTACTAATTAAAACAAGATAAATACACACGACGAATGAAATAGGATGCGTATATCAGGTAACGGCGAATACGAAAATGAAAAGATGTAAATGAATATCTCGATAGTTGGTGGTAAGTAATAGGTACAGTGAGAAAGAGTGAAGTCAGGGTCTGATCAGATTTCGGTGTGAAAGATGATGATGGAAGGATTCGGATTCGAAGGTAGCGATTTGAGAAACGTCAACCGTCGACTGCTCGAATAATCATTATGGGGTCCTGGGGGCCACTTTCTCGATATGCAGGTGCTTCGTGTGTGGATCGCAGGTCCCGAGAAGATATTGAATGTTGGATAGAATGGGGGGGAAGGGCGAAAAGGTTACAAAGTCGCTGACGCCCGTGGGAATGGCGGATCATTGAAAGAGCACAGTTTTGCGCATTGGGTTGCAGTTGCAGGTGCGCATTGAGAAAGAGGGCCTCGGGAAGGAGAGGGGGGTCTAGGCTGCTGAAAAACCTCCTATCAACGACGCTACAAGTGCAAATTCATGGTTTCTTAGTGGTATATTTCGAAAGGTCAGGCGCTCGTCGGTCGCTGCTACCGTGTCCCGCAGGGGAGAGGCAAAGCACGCGGCAGGCGGCAGGGTCTAGGTGGAACCCAGGGGATCTCGCATTCTAAATGGCCAATGTGAGCTTGGCACCGGCTTCCATTGGTCGAATCTGTCTAAGAGAACTCCACAAGAAAGCTTCCCCAAACATTAGCATGAAATACTGTACAGTATCACCCGTACCGTACAGGCAAGATGGCACCGATACCAGTTGGTCGTCGGCTTGTGAAAGCCTTACAAGCAGACAAGTTCCAGGGCTCAAGTTACCAAGTTACGAATTATCGCCCTCCAGGGCTGCGACTGACGACACGAACCACTTCCAAGGTTACCGAATCAAGGTGGAATAGGTCCACGTATCGAAAGTTGGATCTCTTAAGATGGTCACATGTTGAAACCTACATAATGACATGTTGACTGAGTGCAGTTGACTGAGTGCATAGCATGAAGGTAGGTAGGTAACTAACACTTCAAATCTGTAGACCTATCAATAGATGCATTCTGCTATGATAAGACATGCAGACATGTAAGTCCCGTATACGCAGATTGATCATTACCATTGCAACACAACGAATTGGAGATGCAAAGGATTGAGGCGTACTATGTACGTAAATTCGATGGGATATCTTGTAAAATGAGACCGGAAAAGCATAAGATCACCTACGGATGTAAGATTTCTACTTTACCGATGGCACAAAAGGTACAAGCACGTGTAAATCAGCCCAAGTTCTGTGGTCTAAATGTGTCCGGGTGATCACATGCAACTAATATATGGCTTTAACCAGTAAGAACGAAGCTGATTCGTCACTATTGACACTGTGAAGGGAGAGAAAAGCATATGATAACGCCTTTTCCTTCCCTAGGATCCGAGTCGACCGCTACATACAGCATATCTGGAAAACCGGCACCGATGGGCAATTATTGTTCCAATCTAGATTCTAGAACTAGAGTGTTCTCGATCCCTTCGTCTGTACCTGAGAATCTCGTCTCCGAAATGAGTCTGCATATGAGATGCATCAGATAGGAATATCCTATCTCGACCGCTCGACTATTTTTTATTCCCAGCAGTCCAGGTTTCTAAAATCGTTCATATGCTGTGTGTACATACATATGTATACCTAGTATGAGCAAGGAATGTGCCTGTTACGTATGTGGTTCCACTTCGAGCTGATCTCAACGTCAGAGAACTATCCTCGGGACCTCAGCTTAAAAATAGTGAGAGGCAGACTTCAGGTGATAATGATAGTTGCCGACTAAGTGGATAGGCTTGGCAGGTTTGCTTGGAAACAACCCGAGTTGCCAGCGGCTCAACAACGGAACAAGATTCCGAAGTGCCATCGACCGGCGTGGCAAACACGGAAATACTAAAATCGAGCAAAGCCCAGGTACTAGCTGTCAAATTTGTTGATCGCATCTTGGCCGGACCCTGTTGCAAAGCTGAACGATTACGGCGTACGAGCTGATTAGGATTGACCCGGTTGCCGGGTGCTCAACAGATTCTGAGTGATCCAAGACCGGTGGCTGTCTGTACCCCTCTAGATCGGTAGGTAATTAAGTCTAATAAATTTGAAACACGATATTGAAAGGAGCCTCATGTCATCGTTGCTAGACCTCATATGTCAACTCGAAGTCTACTATATCCCGAAAGCGAATGCGAGTGATCAGGCAGTGAGGATTTCAGCATAGCCACCCAAACGGAATTCTAGATGACTTGGGACACGAATAACATCCATTGGAACTAATAGACCTACCGAATAGGGACCTAGATAGGTGACTACTTTCTACCGCACCAGTGCACGAAATACAACGACTGCAAGCAGAATAGAATGTTCGGTCCCTCTGACGCCGCCCAAGCAACAATATGTTGCCAATACGGCAGTAATACTCGGGCAGCTCTTATGGTACCATATCGATTGAATCCTTCTCCGCGTCTCGAAATCGCAGTCTTCATCAACGGCGACACGGTAGGAAACTAGCAGAATGCTGGCACCGGTTGTGAGGTAATGAGCTGTACTGTCTATTGGACGCGTTGAAGAAGAAAGGAAAAAGAACATAAAAAAAGTTGCGCGCAAAAAAAGATATGATGAAAATTCTAAGTGGGGTCTGGTGCCAGGTTCCACTACAGTCATGTGACGAGATACATAGGTATCCACACAAGCACGGTGAACATTGAAAGTTGGGATCAGCCACATCTCAACTGGTGCCTCCAAGATTAGATAACTGAGGCTGCTGCTGCCCAGTCTGCCAGTCTGCAAGTGAGGCTGAACACAATGTGGCTTGGCACGTATCTAACCCAATGGCATCTCGAAATCAATGTGGGGTCAGTGAAAGCTGTCCTGGCATCTTGGAACTTTGGATTGTGTGCATGCGATTTACGGAATAGACATCTTTCTTTTGACGACCAACTTCTGTTCATAGTTCTATTTGCGCGCTTCGAAGTATGCTTGATTAATGCGTTGTATGACTGAGAATTTTTAAATCATCTGTCTGGCCTGAGAGCCAATCGACATCCATCCGCGACCCCTGAATATACTATCCAGACCGACATCATGGCATCAGCCGTCTTCTTTCTCGATCTAAAGGGCAAGGTCAGTTATTGTGGATTAACTCTTGCGGCTCAGCATACACGTGCAGCAATGAAACTGACATCATACATCATAATAGACCCTCCTTGCTCGAAACTATCGAGGTGACATTCCCATGTCAGCCGTCGAGAAATTCCCCGTCCTCCTTAGCGAAGCCGAAGAAGAGTCCTCTGCCGTACCACCATGTTTCTCTCACGAAGGCATCAACGTGTGTATTTCTGGTTTGTCTTGCATTTGTCGTCGATGCTAACTCCTAGCAGTACTTGTATATCCGACACAACAACCTCTATCTCCTTGCCCTCACAAAGCGAAACACGAACGCAGCCGAGATCCTCCTATTCTTACATAAAGTAGTCGAAGTGTTCACCGAGTATTTCAAAGCCCTGGAAGAAGAATCGATTCGCGACAACTTCGTCATCATATACGAATTACTAGACGAGATGATGGATTTCGGCTACCCTCAAACAACCGAGTCCAAGATTCTACAAGAGTACATCACCCAGGAATCCCACAAGCTAGAAGTCCAAGCCCGGCCACCTATCGCGGTCACAAATGCTGTCTCGTGGCGGTCCGAAGGCATAAGGTACAGGAAGAACGAAGTATTCTTAGATGTGGTTGAAAGTTTGAATTTGCTGGTCTCGTCAAACGGAAACGTGTTACGGTCTGAAATCCTGGGTGCGATCAAGATGAAGTGCTATCTATCCGGCATGCCTGAACTGCGACTTGGTTTGAACGACAAGGTTATGTTTGAAACGACCGGAAGGACGACACGAGGCAAGGCTATCGAGATGGAGGATGTCAAGTTTCATCAGTGTGTTCGATTATCACGATTCGAAAACGACCGAACCATCTCTTTCATCCCACCAGACGGCGAATTCGAGTTGATGAGTTATCGGTTGAACACACAAGTCAAGCCCCTAATTTGGGTTGAGTGCGTGGTCGAAAGCCACTCAGGATCGCGAATCGAATACATGCTCAAGGCGAAGGCACAATTCAAGAGGAGGAGCACGGCTAACAACGTCGAAATTATTGTTCCGGTACCTGACGACGCCGACTCTCCGAGGTTCCGAACGAATATCGGCAGCGTCCACTATGCTCCCGAGCAGAGCGCTATCGTATGGAAGATCAAGCAGTTTGGTGGTAGTAAGGAATTCCTCATGCGAGCTGAATTAGGTCTTCCTAGTGTAAGAGGTGACGACGAACATGGTGGAGGTATGACTGGTGGATTTGGAGGAAGTATGGGCGGTGTCAATGCGGGCAAGGGCGCTAAGAGACCCATTCAAGTGAAGTTTGAAATTCCCTATTTCACGACTAGCGGTATTCAAGTGCGATACCTGAAGATTACAGAACCTAAGGTATGTCATCATTTTCTCCATTTCCATTTCCATTATCATCATCATCATCATCATCACCACCACCACCAATGCCATATTCGTATCAGCTACAGCTAACACGAACACCTCCACTAGCTGCAATACCCATCACTGCCTTGGGTCAGGTATATCACTCAGTCGGGAGACATAGCGGTACGATTACCAGACGCTGTATGAGAGGTCATGTTGACCTGTAATGTTCAACAAAATGGTACTTTTCGATAGGTCTAGAGAAAAGTCTCAGCTAGAGTTGATAAGTCACAACTGATCAGTGGCAACGCCGGACATGAATATCAACGAATTTCCGAACCTACGTTGTCCGTATACCCTAGTTTTAATTTATGTTCTTTCATCAGATGAACCCCTATTTCGGATAGGGACCCCAAAGTTGGGATACCCCTGAGCAGATCCTTGGCGAACTGATGTTAATGTCCCAGTGTTACTACTAACAGGTGTGAAATTCTTGGAACTGTCGCGTGTGAGTAACGTCGTCCGAACATATGAGATGAGAATTGATAGTCTGTTGCGCCTCATCGTTTCCTATCTATCGTTTTCTTTACTCCCTATTCAGGGGCTGCGTCCCTCAGGTAAGTGATCGTGATCGTGTTGATCATGCTGCAGCATCGCAGAGTAGTCTTCAAATACCATGCTCACTATCCCCCGTTCTTCCTTGGCTGGAATCACCAGGTCTCCCATTGCCATTCACAGATTCATTCCCTTCACAGACTACAGCCATTGCCACCAATATCACCCCATCACCCCATCAATCCATCACCCTCACACTTCAACCTGTCACCATGCGTCTCATCAATGTCAACACGCTTGAGCTTGAACAATTCTACGGGGATCAAATACCACGATACGCCATTCTCTCCCACACGTGGGATGGAGATAAGGAGGTGACATTCAAAGAGTGGAAGCACCGCACCGACAATGCCGTCAGGAGCAAGGATGGTTACGCCAAGATTGTGGGGGCATGCCGCCGCGCCCAGGCTGACGGCCTGCAGTATCTCTGGTGTGATACAAACTGTATCGATAAGAGCAGCTCCGCCGAACTCACCGAGGCGATCAACAGCATGTTTGCTTGGTACCACGATTCGCATGTGTGCTATGCATACCTTGCTGATGTCCAGGCAAAGACTGGTCAGTTCAAAAAGAGCCGTTGGTTTAGTAGAGGTTGGACGCTGCAGGAGTTACTCGCGCCGAGTTCAGTTATTTTCTTCGACTATCGCTGGACGGTGCTAGGAGATAGGAGTGAGTTGGCAGGTCTTATCTCGAGTATCACCAGAATCCATATTGAAGCTTTAAGAGACCGTTCGACGATCCATGGCTATTCTATTGCTCAACGCATGTCGTGGGCTGCTGACCGCCAAACCACTCGTTTGGAAGACATTGCATATTGCCTTCTTGGGATTTTCGATATCAACATGCCATTGTTATACGGCGAAGGGCAGAAGGCATTTGGCAGGTTGCAGCGGGAAATCATCAAGATTTCAAATGATCAAAGCATTTTAGCATGGGATTTACGGGCCTCTAACACCTACTCTCTAACAAGTGCACTAGCACCATCTCCTGCTGAGTTCCGTTTCTGCGGCTCAATAGTCAGAAATCATGAGTACGATCAAAGCGCTTATTCCATCACGAACTTGGGCATTTCTATGAAGCTTTCTCTTATGAAGACTCTCATGGGGAGAATAGTTCTAGTTGGATTAAATTGCTCTAAAGAGCTGCATCGTGAAGCCACATACTCTCAAATACCAAATGGAGCCCAAGTATCCAGACATTTTCGAATATGGATCCCTCTACACCGTTTAGGAGAAGATATATACTCTAGAACACACCACCCATTATCCAAGATGTTCCTTGGGCAATCATACTCGATTCTAGGACATTTAATACCTACGGACTTGTTTCTAAGTCTAGATACATCTAGAGCTTTTCCTACGCAATCTTCGGAAGATCCCATTCAAATACTACGATGGAACTCATCACCTTCACTACCATGCTTACTTCTTAGAGTTGCAGCAGGCAAGACGATTCCCCGTAGCGATGCCCTGTGGGAGGCTTATGACCTTGAAGACGTCTCTATCGTACAAGTCAAGTCCCGGGGTGCTTCTCAGGTTTCACACCAATTCATATCAAGTGGTGATTTTTCGATACTCCTTTCAGTGTTTTGGGACGCCGATGTGGTACCTCGGAAGTGGCTATATACGGTGATATATGATCCAAAACGAAATACCATTACGAAGATGGCTTCCCAGACAGAATGGGCTTGCATTTTCTACGCCGAACAGCACGCTCAGCCAGCCCAGTGTTGCAATAATCCTGCATCTATGTATCCACTTCACGAAAAACTACAAAAAATACATGCAACCTCACTTACTGCATACGTGAAAGTTGAAGAAGATCCAATTATCACCATTGAATCTCGACCTCTCTGGGATTCATTTGGACAAGCACAGCTAATAGTGACAGTCATCTTTCGGAAGAAAATGAAGATCTGATTCAGTAGCAGTCAATATGGAGAGCTATATAGCATAGGTAATTAGGTAGGCACTTTATACGTAGGTAGGTGCCGACCTATGTATACAAATAAACGCAAGAAAATATAAATTTATATTTTCCATATGCCCCTTGATAGCCAATGTAAGTCACTTCCAATGTAATCTCTATATACTCTTGGCTCTGGAGTCCATAGATAATTCTAGACACTGTGCTTGTATTAGGTGTAATATGTATCGCGCGTCATTCCCCGCGTTATGTAACAGGCGCTTTTGGTACGTTGCTTTCGGCGTAGTCCTAAGTGCTTTCTCAAGTGTAGGCAGATCTGATTGTTGATGTAGAGTTAGCCATATCTTTTGAGTGTCGAGAATCATGGCAGAATCGGGCGGTTTCCAGTGCCTCTTGAGCAATTGTATTGTAGACTCGATGCAATGCCCAACAATGAGCACATTCGAGAACTTATTCTCGAGGGGGTTGAATATATTATGCAGAATTTCCGTTATTTGACTCTCATCAATCACCCTGCTCTCATCGAAGATGAATGTATCAGGCTTTGATGGAACTTCTCGATTTTTAAGGAATCTGTTTCCCCGAATTTGCCAATGATAGGAGTATATATTCGACCCGAACACAAGGCCAGGCTGCCAAGTAGAGACCCCAATATCAGTTATCTTTCCATCATCCAGGTCCCAAGCATGTACGTCTATCGAAGCGAAGACTGTTGTGTGGTTTTTGTATGCCCGTAGAAGACTGTCAATTTGCTCATTGTCGGTATTCTGCCCGGGCGAGTTGCCCGATTTTCCTGGAGCGGCGCCCAATTGTGTTTTCCAAATCCTCAGCAACGAACTCGCCTTACTGGAGATGTATATAATTGGATATATTAGCAAGGCAAGTATGCTATAATACCAAGTCATTTCAGTAGTTTTCAAATAAGTTTGTTGGACGTAGTGTCTGGTTTCATTCTCGTAGCAGTGGACAAGCACTTATTAATACTTACTAGGTAGGTAGATTGCTTCGAGAGGAGTTCAAAGAATATCTTATTGTTCTAGCTGAAAGGATTCATCATGTAGGTATGCAATACTTCTACTAACTAGTGAATTATTGTTGAAGTCTCTTTCAACCTCGCTTTCTAGTGATTATTATGAGCCTTGTCCTGATCAAAGACAATTCCATTCCACCCACTCCACTCAGTAGCGAGAACACAGGTACCTATATACCTACCTACCTAGGTACGTTTACTCCAAATCCCCAAATCTCGGTAGGGCGACGGAGGAAGACTCGACGGGAGCGGAGGGATGGACCCCCACGTCTTACATAGGGCTTCTCGCTCATAGGCGGCGACGTACCCCGGATAATTAAGAATTGGAGGAAAACCCCCACGCTAAAGTGCGCAGGTGCAGCCCCCGCGTTGGACTCTTGGCGAAGATTGATCTTTCCCATCTCAGCCGTCCCGAACTGTGGGAAATCTCGCGCAATCTGTTCCTACCTTCTTACACGTTCCCTTACTGCCCCCATACCTTCCCTACCTTCCCCTAACTGTTCCTGTTCAAAACTAGCCTGGACCCCCATCGACTCCGCTCGAGGGTCGTCTTAGTCTGGTTTACCTCTCTACCCCTTCGATCCGCGGAAGACGGAAGACGGGAGGAAGAAGGTTGACGGCGAAGCGCATATGCACCTCCTCGCTCTCTGATTGATACATACTTAGGTATGGATGAGCCATGTCGCGGGTAAATGGCTTGCCAGCGACAGCCACCAGGAGGAGCAGAAAGGGTGCGCCACGAAGATTTTCGTGCGACTGGACTGGATGCGACAAGATATATTCGAGAGCCGAGCATCTTCAGAGACATCAACTGAACCGTACGTTAATCTGACACCTGCCACCTAACACCTAACGCCCAAGACAAGGCCCTAAGACAAGACCCAAGACTTGAGGCCTAAGACCTAAGACCCTGAATTCCAAGAATGCAGATCACTGCTCCCCTGATTCTCCTTTACGGGTTCACGACAAGGCACTATAATGCTAACATAGCCTCAAGATGACCCCAAGACCATCTATAGGTGTGATGTATCGGACTGCAATCAAACATTTGTAAGGCCAGACTTACTGGCACGCCACAAGAAGCGTCATTCGTCTTCATACATCCCTAGGAATCGTACTAGTAGCTTCAGCATCCCCTCGAAAGAGACAGCATCAGATCTCCCTGTGATGCCTTCGCCTAGCATGGCTACGAGCGTTGCTGCACCACCACGACCAGCAACATTTCCCCAACAGCCCGCGAGTGCTCCTCGTAATGCTTCTGTTCTCCTAACCTCTGACTCGCCGGTCCCGGCCCAACCTCCGCCGTTGCCACCTATGGCGCCGACGCAGCCGAGTCCGCTTTCTCACAACGTGCCTTGGACATCTCCCATGGATACCGTCGGACTCATGCGCCAGAAGCCTAGCTTCTACGGTCGTGAACACGCACCGATGCATGATCATTCCACTTTCGTACCATATCACAACGTTCCCGGGCCGGGAGATGCCAGTGAACTAGAGCTTCGTGAAAATTTTGGTGTCTGGCTCTTTGACCCTCAGCAGACGTATAGGGACCTAAGCTTTGCGAACGTCCCATTTATCGAGGGTGGGCTCGAGTCGCCGTTCAATAACAATATCCATTATGACCACGAATCACTTACCAGCAGATCTCAGCTAGATCTAACACCCCCACGCCACCCCGATATGCCCGACGAGCTTATCTCCGAGCACCGTCGCCAAGAGGTTTTGCGATACGTGCAATTATTCCACCAGAAGCAGAATAGGTTCGACTCGAAGCTGGCTAGTCTTATGCAAGAGGCTGGCGATGATATACCTGGCCTAAGCTTGGAGTTTCTACGGGACTGCATGCGACATTACTGGGATTTCGTATCGCCAAGATTACCCATCGTTCATCAGCCGACATTTTCTGCGACGCGATGTTCCATCTTCCTTCTTCTGGTGATGATTGCTTTGGGGGCTGCCCAGATATATAGCCGGGAGACGGCGCGGGACCCGTTGGAGTATAAGGCGTTTGCTGACCTTATCATATCGAATGTCCGTTTCGAGATATTAACGGCCGACGAAGCTTCTCCTCCGGTGGATTTATGGGTTGCGCAAGCCTTACTCCTGCTCGAATTCTACGAGAAGATGTATTCCTCTAGGAATCTTCATGAGAGGGCGCACGTCTACCATTCCGTAACATTGACTCTACTTAGACGAGGTAGCCCCTTAATTGGAGGTGCGGGAGCCGAATCGCCTTCCGACGAGCAGAACGGTTTGGAACATCCTGCAACGTCAGATGCGAGGACTTGGTGGGTGAAGTGGGCTAGGACGGAATCGATGCATAGGGTTGTCTTCGCCGCGTTCATGATGGATATCGTCCACGCCGCAATGTTCGGACACGCTGCCGACATGGTCCCTCACGAGATTCGCTTACCCTTACCATGCGACGAGTCATTATGGTCTGCGTCGAGTCCTGAGATTGTTCGTCATCACGATTCGAATTTTAGGTTGTATGGAGTGAAACCTGTCTCGTTTCTGGATGGATTAAAACGCGCCATTCACGGCAAGGAAGTACAAACGCACGCGTTTGGCCGCATGATCATCATGTGTGGCCTTTTGAGTGTTGGTTGGCATCTTAGACATCGTGATACTCATCTCAAGTGGCTAGAATTAGGATCAACCTCCTCCGATACCCGAGAGAAGTGGTGCAACATGTTGTTGAAGGCATTTGACGACTGGAAGACGAGCTTCGACGGGGCTATTGGCTCAAGTGACCCAGAGTCGGATAGCTCTGGACCTCAATCACATTCTAACGGCCTCATCCAGAGCGCATCGGTGCTTTACCACCTCGCTCACATTAGTCTATACATCGACATCGTCGATTGTCAGGTTTACGCAGGAGCGAAACGATTACTTGGCCGCAAAATTTCCACACGAGATTACACGAATGTCGTTAGTCGAATGACAAACTGGTCAAGTCAACTCGCGACGCGCCATGCAATCCTACACGCCTTCAAGCTGCTTCATCGAATCCTGGTGGATCCTCGTCAGAAGAAAAATAACGGCTACGTCAATAACCCCGGGGATATGTTTGGAATGCAATACTCGTGCCGTCGCGACCCCGATCCTCATCGACCGTGGATTATGTACTACGCGACACTGAGCATCTGGTCGTTTGTGCGAGCACGAACCCAGTCGAGGGATCAATCCAACACGCTTCGACCACTCCCCCAGCAGTTACAGCGCAACACAACAGGGATTTTCGACTACCTATCTAAAGTGACGAAACTCTCGGAACTCGATGCTACCACACCGGCGAATCTTCAAGACGGGTTACCCAACCTGCTTGATGCGATAGGGGCTCTTACATTCGAGTCACCTTCGGAGTTGCTTAACGAAGCGTCTCGTCGACTTGAAATATGCAAGCAGATGCTCTACCATGGGGAGGCTTGAAGACCTCTTCCGATACCTAATTCGTACCTACCTACCTACCTACCTACCTACCTACCTAGGTAGGTACATATCTACTTGGTACTGGATGGTATCTTGTGTACAGCATGGATTCGATGGGTGAATGTGTTTACTGGCTGGATGATCTCATGTGAAATGAGGCTTCATTACTATTACTAGGTATTAGGTACCTACCTGTCTACTAGGTGCCTAGGTAGGTATCTACTTTCTCGCTCGAAACTAATTATTCGGAAGACCGACTTGAAAATAGTCAGGTTCGCTATGGGTTAGCTATGAGTAACATGCATTGGGGTCATTTCTATCTGGGAGTATCTTACGCAGGATGAGTGGTCCGATATTACGGCTCGTTAATCTACATCAGGCGATTGAGGCGCTCGAGGCGCTCGAGGTACTCGACATTGTACAACACGGAGCGGTGGCCATTTGATCACATATAGAGGCCTGTGTGCTTAGTAGACGCGTATCTATTATTATATTAATGATAACGAGACCGGAGTGGTTATTTGACATATCGTTACCTTCTTTCTTGTGCCTACCTACCTAGATGCTAAGTAGATCGCCTTTTCACCGGTCAGGTACCTGGCTGCCTCGGCAGATATCTGATCTTTGCAGACCCTTGCATCAACGCCACATCCCCTCGCGATCGAGAAGCACAACCTTAGTCTATCGACGCCATGATGCCACATATAAGCTTCTCCAAATCTCACGCAGGATTTAAAACTCCGGGACAAATCCGGCGCCATAAACGGCCATCAGAGCACACCGCTTCTTCTCCAGCAATTCTTGCAGATACTTGGCGAACTCACCCACGCGTTCTTCATTCGTAGCCGTCTGGTCTAGCGTTGAGTAATCGCGCTTGTTATTTTCGTCGAGCTCTATACATCCCTCTAGGAGAGAGTCGTACACGCACGCCGGACATTGGGACGGGATCGGAACTATCTCGATCTCGACACCATCATCGGTCCCGAGGGTTCGGTGGCGTCGATCTAGGCTATGTGTGCAGGAGTATACTTCTCGTGTGATAAAGATCGACATGTTGATCGTATGTGCGGGATGTGAGGCGTTCTGTTGGGCTTGGCGTTATACGTAGAATCGTCTAATCGTGGGGGCTGAATGGTTGGACATGGAACCGAGATTCGAGGAACAAAGTATTGTATTTTTGGATTTTAAATAAGGGCGCATTGTTGAATGGGTTTGGAGTTGTTTGTGAGTCCCTTTGTCCATTGTTTGGGGATGTTCGTGACGAAGACAGATCCGGCGAAACTGTGCTGTTCTCTTTGTCACCTACCTCTCGATGGTCTTTGTTAGGTACCTAGTAAGTCTTGGAAGTATCGCCAGCCACCTCCGGATGAGATATGATGGTATGATCAAACCAAAGGTTACTCATGCGACTTTGCTGAACTTCGCCTCCATGTTTGGCGTAGGTAAGGGGTGGTCGCTCCGTGAACCAACGTCTGCGAGGGGATGCCCTAGGTTAATTATAGAGTTGTCAAGTGTCGAAAATCTTGTAGGGAGTTTCTAACCACCGTGGAGCCTAAACCTGGTTTGGTTGAGAGCACTTTCCAGGTATCATTCAATGGTAGATACGTCAGCTGCATTCAGGGGACTTCAATGTTGGTAGTCGAATGTTAGAGTTCGTTGCTTCACACTAAGTAAACCTTAAACTTAAAAACCACCACCTCATACCATCTTGACATAGCAGGCACACCCCTTTATTGCCAGGGCAGCCTGGACAAGATGGAGGCTACGTAGAAGGAAAGGGCGATAACATCTAGGGTTTTCAAAGTTTAGGTAGTAAGCGCATGATCATACCTAGTATCATAGGTCTTCAGAACGAAAACCTTCATTCAATCCTCCTCGCTTCTCATATACTCTACATTCACAGACTCATGTCGTTGTTCTATTTAGTCATCAAACGATGATAGATGAAAAGGGGAAATTGGAGCATCGTGATTGGATAAGACAACAGCCGGCGTAATGGTTTCAGAAAAGTCCCCACGATATCCCCATTGACACAATTTCCAAACAAACGAAGTTTCCGACTTTCGATTCTCTCCTTCCTATTTGCCTCTCCACATAATGCGAATCATCATCGCTCCGACGTACGTAGGCGGTAATAACGTTTCTAATATGATCAGCGAAGATATGCGGTGCTGTGTGGATCAAACCGACGATCCGATCAACGCTTGCATTGATTTTCTGTCGGTCACGAAACTTCAATTCTACTATCGTAACGTTTTGCCACGCGCTATTGGGACGAACAGGAGGAACGAGTCTGCGAGTCTGCGAGAGCACTGTCGAATCTTCGTCCGATGCTGAAAACGCCTTGCGAACGAAGAAGTCGGGATCTACTGCTCGGACCGAACTCCCCCTTATTAGGGAAGAACTCATCATGGATGTTCTAGCCCTCCAAATGATTATCAAACAAGCGCATTCGATCTATCCTAATAATTTCAAACCAAGCGGTGAGATAGGATCTGTCGTCCGATGACCCTTCGCAATAGGTTTGTTTTGCTTCGAATGATCCTATCATGATCCTTGATTGATGGGGGGTTGTAGACTACCTATCAAGTATCCTACTGTCATAGTAAGATCCTAAGACTCATGTTGGAGTCTGAGCAGCATCCGAGCAGAGCCATAGAGAAAGGGCTGTTGAGTCTATTTACGGCAGCTAACGATTCTACGATAATAGAATAGCCTTGCATGGAGATTTCTATCCATAGCTCTCCCTGGGAAGCGCCTTGATGGTGTTCAGCGCCAAGCCAACACATACCAAGCCTCGGGAAACATCTTCGACTACCAATCGTAAAAATACTGACATATCAAATGTCGACAACATGAATGCCGTCAGATCGATGCGACATCAATTAACGCTGCATGGCACAAATTGCCGAAATCCGGGGTCAATCAATATTCGACCTACCTAAGCTACCACCATTCGACCTTTCAACGACGTGCGACGTATCAAAACAAGGGGGTCCCGTAGCTGAAGCCGCAGGCGTAACAGAAAACACCCGTACTCAGCCTCACGGGCCTCGTCAAGCCGATCCCAGGGGTATGTCGTTGGAAGTGTTCTCGAAGTAGGGGATGCAACGAGGCAGACTTCGATATCGTATACCGGGTAGCGAGTGTTTGGTTTAATATTTAAGCTTCTTCATGATCCGCTCCATGATCTCCAGTCAGTGCGATCACAACCCAGACATCCACGAGATAAATCAACACTTTCGTCCCAACTTCAGAACAATACCTACTACCTAGTAATCATACCTCCAGTCTCCAAGACACTTTACGAAACACCGTCAAAATGGTCCGCATCACCTTCCTCGCTTTCCTCTCCGGTAAGTCCTGTCTCCCACCACCTGGCTTCCCCTATAAATATCACTTCCCCATTCCCTCTTTACCTCTAGACCTAATTCATCACTAACGCCACCAAGTCGCCGTCCCGGCCCTGGCCATCTCTGCCGACCCCGCCGGCGCAAAGAACGTCGGCAACGGCAAAGGCATCCAGTTCATCGGCGGCCAGTGTCTAAGCTCGGCCGACTGCGCCTCCACGTGCTGTGCTACCGTCACGGCCCAGAATATCGGCCTCTGCTCTGGTCTCGGCGCACAGTTCCAGGCTGGAAAGGCTGGCTGTGGGTTCGGTGATGGGGCGGCGGCGCAGGCGGCGAATGCTACTGAGACTGATTAGATGAATCTGTTATTGGTTGGGTGGTATTTCGTTGAGTGACATTTCGTCGGGTTGGATGATGGGGGCTGTCGTGTTTAGAATGACGCAACAGATTGGCGTCAGACGAACGTAATGAACTGTGCCTATGGGGCGTAATTGATAGTGGGCGATGGAATGGCCTCTCGTTTGGATATCATATCGGACTACACATAAGGGATTAGCATTGCATTGCATTTCGGAAGGACAGGAAAGGACCTTTTGGGTCTGGGAGATGGACACCGGTTGGTCCTTTGGGTATTCTGCATCTTCCTATCTTTATATTTCTTCAAATCAATAGAATCTTGCATTGAACATATGGTTGGGATAGGGGTGCCACTGGGTATCCGGCCGCGTGGATGAGTAGTTGTATGGCTAAGAGAATGATTTGGGCATCACAGCGACGTCGAGAAACACGAACCTAGACACGGACAAACGCAAATAGTTGAAAGTGCCGACGTAAACTATTGAACATGCTCATAACGCATTCGCACGATGTACTCGAAACTCATCTGAGCTCGACGTTACTTGCTTTTAGATACCATACAAACAATCGAACGCCTCGGAAAATCGTCAGGGTTTCCCATAACCAGTAAATCAATGCGAGCACATCACTCGCAGCCTCCCTTGATAAGATATTTCCTATCGAACCGATGACGATGACGATGATAGTCTCGCAAATAGTAAATGCAAGATATGGCCACACTTCAAATGCGACCGAAGCAATCAACCACCCTTCCCCCCTTAAACACCGCTGGATGCAATGATCCGTTGCCGCCGTGTCGTCGTTATGTACTCCGTTATACACCCCGTTATAAACTCAGAGCGTGATGCGACCTCCCATCCCACCTTGGATATATGTAGATAGATTAGGTAGATAGTGATAGTTTAAGCATCTCTTCCGAATCGAACGTCAAACTCCCTCAACACACCCATGATGCTAGCTGCCTCGACTTCTATGGGCAACCTAGCCGGTGCGTTCGCCTGAGGAGGAGCAGCTCTAAGTCTAGGTAGCCATGTTCCGATCTCTTCGGTGGCCTTCTCAAAGTTTCGATGACTAGATAATGTCTTGTATGCGTCTGCGCATGACACGCTGAGAGACGACGAGCCGTTAGGTGTGGCTGTTCCTGAGGCGGATCCGTTAGATTTACAACATCCAGAACCCCCAGATCCCCCGCAGCATCCGCCAGACTTGCCCCCGCTGCGGGCAAAGTTGGCGGCTAGGCTACGACAGAAGAGGCCCGACTTAGGATCTCTTAGACATTGAGCGCAGGATCCGGGTCCTTTGGGGCCGCAGCCAGATGGACGGGTCGACGAGATTGGGGTATGGTTCAATGAACTTATGCCCGGTAACTTGATGGCTCCGGTAGACGTGACTTCTACAGGGGTAGGGCCTACATCATTCTCCGATGGCGGTGGAGTCTGGATCTGTTGGGATACTGGGGCGAGGGTCTGCGATGCGGCGGTCTCGGCACACATGCAGTAGGTACCCTCTTTGCAGAAACCGCACGAGTCTCGTGGCGCCACGGCCGATTGAGCGACGGGCTGATACAGGGCGACCTCTGGGATGGGATCTTTCTTCTTAGAGAACATGGCGGTGAAGTCAACCTCGTGAGGATACGGCTCGGGGATCTTCTGCCTCTTCTCTTCCGGAGCCATGACCGATATCGAGGATGGCTTTCGCTTGAGTTCGGATTCCGAATTCGGAGCTGGCCCCTTAAGCACAGCTTCGAGACATTCGCACTTGCTACCGATGCTACACTTACCGCATCCGATGGATGTGCTAGCGAGGACATCTTCCACGCAAGCACACGGCCCGGTGGATTCGCAATTGCCGCATCCCGCAGGATCTGGCGACGAGTCTCGAAGGCCCGACGAGTTCGAAGAGTCGGGTGGAGAGATGATTTGTGAGATGGAGAATGCTGTAGTCGAATTACGATGCTCCGGTGCGTTGTTCGTGATGCTTCCTCGTGGTGTCGGGCGTTGCGAGGAGATGCTTAATGAATTGGGTGCTCGTCCGTGATGGGATGTGAAACTTCCATTCCTCGACGACAAGGTGGATCCCTCCGCCCTCCATCGTCGTCTCAAATCGTCGAGTTCGTTTGTTGCTTTGGTGCGCTCTGCACGTTCTTTCTCCAATAACTCCTCGAGGACTACGCACCTGCTCCTTAGCGTCTGCACCTCGGTATCTAGATCCTGCACCTGGTCACGTAGATGTTGATGTGTCCTCTCGTACTCTTCCTTCTGGTCCTCTAGCTGTTCCTCCAATTCGCCGACGCGGGCGGCCCTTCGCTCGCGGAAAGCGCGCTGAGCAGCCCGGTTCTGAGCCTTCCTCTTAGTTGGCGGTGTATCCGTGGCGGGCTTCCGACCGGGCTTGGGCCTCGGAGGAACGACCCATTCCCTGCTGGTGATGGTGCCCTTTGCGACGGCGACTGTCGCCATCGTGGTGGCCTGCAAGGCGGCGGAAGCGGGTTTGATGGCGAGTTGATGACTCGAGGTAGGCGTAGACACGCTGGAGATTGGTGAGGCAGCAGACGAAGCGGGGGGAGATGCAGCTGAGAAAGGGGTTATGGCGAGTTTGGTTGGTTGCGGCCTGGAGTGGCCGTTCAGATTAGCAGAGGAGATGGTGACAGCAGTAGCAGTAGGGGTCGCCATGTTATTCCGATCCTGGAGCAGAGAGGCGGGTTAACCATCTAGTCGATCCTATTCGCTGTTCTGTTCGGAGACGCAATGCAGGCTCGGACATCAGCGTATGAGATGATTTTGGGTTTCCGCGGGCTCGGCTCCGCAAAATTACGACCTGAGCTTAGTCGTATGATAGGTCCGAAGTAGGTAAGTAGACAGGTATATCAGAGAGGATCAGTTTATCAGATTTTGGTGATCCTCACTCCTTCCTATAGGTCGATTCTTTCCCTTGGTTAGATATCGTCGATTTCCTTCGTTTCTAGGGATGAGGAAGGAAAAAAAAACAACTAGGAGAAGATGTCGCTAAGATTCCTTTGCCCCGATAAAGCAAACAAACTTGCGGGTGGCAGGCGACGTATGTAAAAGTCAATGGGAGTGGGAACGGGCCGAGTTCCTAATGCTCGAGAGGGTCCGAATTAGGGCTTCCAACTTTGCGCTTGGGGTATTTTGTATACCGATCTTTGTTTGAATTAGTTGGATTAGTTGGGGAGGAAGCGGTAGCAGGTCAAGGTTCTCCCTCTTAGGTTGACGGAGCGCAAAGCGTGACTAAAGATTGAGCAAATAAGGAAGATGGGACGGTAATCCAGCAGAATGCTTCGTCAAGGATTTCCACATCCGAATCCAACAACCCTCGTCGCCTTGGATGTGGTGGTATTGGTTGTATTGGTTGTTCTGGTTGTACTACTAAGGTAGTTGTACTTGTCGTAATGGTTGTACTGGCTGTACTGGTTGTACTAGTAGTGGGGGTTGTCGAATTTGGGGGTCATGCAAAGACTATGCAAAGACTCAGACTCAGAGACTTGAGGGTTCACCGTTACCCAACTATGTAATCTGGCAATGTAAGTAAAGTGGGAAGGGAAGAAGAGATGGACGACGGTGGTTCGAGATCACTGATCAGATTGATAAGATTATGCCAGGGCCCTGTAACCCACACAGCCCATAGTAGCCCGTTCGCCGTTCGCCCAGACTGAGCCGACAAACGTCACATGGAACCCCAGATAGGATAGGCTCGGCAAGGGAGGAAAAAAACTAGTATCATCGATCCACTCCTGCATGCTCGGACCTGTCGGATCCCGAGCTCATTCTGCTCGTTCGACGGTTATTAGCTGAGTAGCTGGCAGGTTGGATCGAAGATTGATTTTTATTTGTCGTCGGTTCTTTGCCGCCCCTCTTATTGTGGTCTTCTTGTGGTTCTTGTACTGTGCTTGTTCTTCTTGGGGTTAGGGTAGACCTAAGCAAGTAGGGAAGATAGAAATTTGGCGAGAAAGAATTGGCAAGATTTGGTGATCGGGTATGGCCGGAGAATAGTTTGCTCTAGCTCGAATGTCTCAAGCCCTCAAGTCCCCGGTACCGGAGCGTTTCTCAACTGCCCTAAAACGATTGCGGTGAAGATTGGAGCCCTGCGATGTAGACCCGCAGGTCCATTAATAAACTTACGTCAGCCAGTCAAGGTGAACAACGGTGTAACACCAGTCGTAACCTTCGACCCCACATCGAATTCGGAATTTGACGTGCAGGTACTTCCCTATCGGACGCGATTGACTTTGGATATCGACGGGAATATCGATGTTTGGCTGTTTAGCTTCAATTGATGTTTATTAGGCTGAGCAACTACGAAGCACCAATTCATAATTCATAGGGAAATAACAGGTCCATCTGCATAATCGTTTCCATTCGGTTGGATCGGTCAGATAGGACCCAACGAGGCAGCAAGGACAACTGGCAACTGGTGAAGCAACTTGGTGATGCAACTTGAAAGATGCACAACAATATCTAGATGCACAAACTTGTCTGATCTAGATATATTCTTGCCTCACTTTACCTTGTCGCACTAGGTCACTTCGGTCCTTTGCTCGCATCTGTTGCATCTGCTGCATCTGCTGCATTTGTTGCATTTCTCCTACTCGACATCCAATAATCATGTCCACCCTCGCACCATTATCGCCGAATAGGCCAGTAACTTCCCGCAGCTTCACATTTGTTTCTTCCTCCTCTTCCGACGATGACGATGATGCTCCTCTCCCCTTTCCAACCGCTCTCCCGCGATCCGACTTCCTTGCACCGGATTTCGACCCAGCAGAATACCTCTCCTCTCTCGCAAACCGACATCAAACACTCGAAGACCTACGATCCGATCTCAGGGAACGCAGCGCTGCTATCAGCACCGAACTTCTAGAATTAGTCAATTCGAACTACACCAGTTTCCTAAGTCTAGGTGACGAGTTGAAAGGCGGCGAGGATAGGGTAGAGGATGTTCGGGTGGCATTACTAGGCTTTCGGCGAGCTATAGAAGAGATCAAGGGCAGAGTACAAGAAAGGGGGACCGAAGTTGCAGACTTAAACAAGGACCTAGTTGGTGTGAGAGGCGAGGTTGAGACAGGGAGAAAAATGCTAGAGCTTGATGAGAGGATATCTGCGCTCGAGGGTCGACTAGCGATTGGAAGCATAGGGCCTGACAGTGACGATAGTGATGAAGACGACGACGAAAACGAGGATGAATTAGACGGTGCAGTAGGGAGCAGCTCGGCAAAATTGTCACAGTTAGCGAACGAATACGTCACTATAGATGAATTGGCCGATGATATTGGGAGAGATACACCATTTGTGCGGAAAACGGAGGAGAGGCTTATAAGGTGTCGAAATACTGTCCTGCTAGACCTTGGCGCCGCGTTGAAAGAAGCCAAACAGGCAGGCGGCAAAGGACAAGCAAAGCTTCTTAAGCTCATGGGAATCTACGCTCTACTAGATGCCCAAGCCGAAGCAGTCAAGGCGTTAAAGAGCAAGTGAACAAAATAATAATATTTGACAATTAACGATCTCATCAATCAACGATGTCATGCACAAGGTCATCGAACTGTAGCGATACCCAGCGATATCCAGCAATGCCAAGCATACCAAACATCCCAAGCATCTCAAGCATCCCAAGCATCCCAAGAATCCCAAGAATCCCAAGAATGTCAAGTTCAAGATATGGTACAATTCTTATATAATTCTAATTCGTAAGACAGATATCTACATAGCTGTACTCAGGTGCTCGGGCAGCAGCTTCTCGTCGACGGAGCTGAAGCTTCCATTCAAACTAAAACCCGGTCCGTTTGTGGAAGACAGGACAACTTCGATCAGGTCCTTCTTGGCCTTATCTTCCACGTATCCGATATTCTCCCTCACTTGCCCTACCAGCGCCTTGACGTTTTCGGCCAGCATCTTGGGGGTAAATTGAATGTTCCCTATGGGCATGCGGATCGCTCCAACCTTCTCCCTATATCCTTCGGCACCGACCATCTCGTGCATCATGCTTCTCACGCTCTTGGTGAGGGTGTTGGTCTTCAAACTAGGCATCAGACCCTTAGGACCTAGTATTCGACCGAGGCCGGCCTTCTTGAGAGAGGCTTCGCAGTCGACGTGGCAGATGAGGCGGTTAAACGGGAGCTTGCCCGGGCTGTTCTTGATGAGCTCGTACAAAGAATCTTCTCCGAATGCGACGGCTCCGTTGGCGCGGGCTTCGGCCATCGCTCCGCTACCTTCCTTGCAGATGACGGCGATGCGCGTATCGTTCTTAACCGGATAAGGAAAACGTATCCGATTCCGAAGCACGATGCTGTTCTTGGGCGTTCTAATTTTCAGAGAGACTTCGTAGGTGACAGATGCTGGGGGACGGCCAACTTCGGCCGCTCGGAGGTATCTGTGATCCATGTCAGTTTTGGAGAACGAGAGCCTTCGAGAATCGAAGGTCGTATGTGAGGAAGAGTTCCAATTACCGCATGGCGTCGCATAGAGAGTGCCTCTCGCCTTCGCTAGGAGTAGCGTATTTGTACTCTTTAAAACGCAGCATCCTCTTCTTCTTCTTCTGCTTTTCCTTTTCGCGCGCCCGCATAGCGACAGTACCGGCGCTCTTGTATCGCGTCTGAACTATCGACGGAGCTAGGAATCTAGGTATTGTCGCATTGACTGGTCTTATGGGAGCCGAAAGACTCAGCCTCGCCAGCGAAGCAATGCATTGATTTGCCGTAGCCATCGTAGGCTTAGGGGATCGCGTGGCCGTCGATGGTTGTTAGATTGCAGTCGAATCGAAGCTTCAAACCAAAATGTCCATGGAGGAATTTTAGGACAAGGGTAAAGATCAATTCAGCCACATTCAGCCATGTTTGGCCTCAGGCAGCTTATGAAAATACCGTGAAAGCCACATTCACTATCTTATCTCTATCTAATCGGTACCTAGATACATGGAATCTTGGAACCCCGCCGACAATGCTAGAGCTTTTTATCTTTTCTGTGTAACGCGGTTAGTGGGGTGACCCCGCCACGAAATCGGTCGTATGGTGTTGACTCAATTCATTTTGACTCTTGATAAATTTCAGCTAACAATTCCAAGGTTATCCCACCACTTCAAAGGGGAGCTTCATACAAATTTGAGAATAGTTCAACATTGCCAAAATGAAGGCAGATGAGCTCGTTGCCGTGTCGACCTCTCTAGGAGGGGACTTCAAATCCATCGAACCCCACCTCGTTCGACTCGAGAAGCACTTGACCCTAAGAACTTACCTCGCCGGTTATTCTCTAAGTGACATCGATGCCAAGATTTGGGTCGCCATCAAGAGCAATCGCGTCGCTGTCTCTTTCGTCCGCAAAGGATCCTACGCCAACCTCCACCGATGGTTCACCTACGTCGAACAAGTCCACCCGGAGATTCAAGCCGAAGTCAAGGCCGCTGACGAGGCGCGTAAAACCAAGGTCCAGGAAGCGAGTCGAGCCGGTGCAAGCTACAACTTAGCCTTGCAGGAGACTGGTAAAGGAGTTGTCACTCGATTCCTGCCTGAGCCTTCGTAAGAGCCCATTGCACGTTATTTATACATCACATCTATAGCTACCTATGCATCTGTAACGGATGTGAACGGATATGAACGGATATGAACGTCAATAATATCTAACATCAGCGCAGGGGATACCTTCACATCGGACACGCCAAAGCCGCCCTTCTTAGCGATTACTTCGCCCACCAAGCGTACAATGGCACGCTTCGCCTAAGACTCGACGATACCAACCCGAGCAAGGAGAAGGAGGAATACCAGGATGCCATCATCGAGGATCTTGCTCTTATGGGGGTTAAGCCCGATGTCGTCACCTACACCTCGGACTACTTCGACCACCTTTACGATACCTGCCTCGGACTTATCAAGGATGGTCACGCATATGCCGACGATACCGACGTAGAGACCATGCGCGATGAGCGAGGAAAGGGTATCGCATCCAAAAGACGAGAGCGAACAGTCGAGGAGAATCTGCATATCTTTGACGAGATGAAGAATGGAACAGAGGAAGGTTTGAAGAATTGCATCCGTGCTAAGATCTCCGTCGACAACCCGAATAAGGCGATGCGCGATCCTGTAATCTACAGATGCAACCTCAACGACCCCCACCATCGGACGGGCACCAAATGGAAGATTTACCCTACCTACGATCTCGCATGCCCCGTCGTCGACAGCTTGGAGGGTGTCACCCATGCATTGAGGTCGACCGAGTACACCGACCGAAACCCCCAATTCCAATGGTTCCTCGACACGCTCAAGCTGCGCCAGGTGTATATGTGGGACTTTGCTCGTATGAACTTCATCCGAACTTTCTTGTCGAAGCGGAAGTTGGCGAAATTGGTCGACAATGGCAAGGTCTGGGGTTGGGACGACCCTCGGATGCCGACGATTCGAGGTATCCGAAGACGTGGAATGACAATCCCTGCTCTTCGGGATTTTATTCTGAGACAGGGTCCGTCCAGAAATGTCGTTTCGATGGACTGGGCTAGCTTCTGGGCCACCAACAAAAAGATTGTTGACCCTGTTGCGCCACGACACACCGCCATTCTCAAGAAGGACCACGTCAAAGTTACCGTCACGGGAGATGACGCGCCTGCGGAACCACGTTCCGAGGACAAGCCGCTCCACCCCAAGGAGCCTAAGATCGGGACGAAGAAGGTGGCATTCAGCAAAGAATTGATATTGGATCAAGCCGACGCCAAATTGTTCAAGGAAGGCGAGGAGATCACTTTGATGCAATGGGGAAATGCCTTCGTAAGAGCCATCGCGAGCGGCGACCCGATCAGCAGCTTCACGGCCGAGCTGAACCTGAAGGGAGATGTTCGCGCTACGGACAAGAAGGTGACCTGGCTCTCGACGCAAGGACAGAAGCTCATCGACGCGGAACTGTGGGACTTCGACTACCTAATTACCAAGGACAAGCTCGAGGAGGATGACGACCTAGAGAAGTTCTTGACCCCCGTGACGGCTACGGTTGAGGAAGCGTTCTGCGACGAAGGCGTGGCCAAGCTTAAGAAAGACGATATTATCCAACTAGAGCGAAGGGGATACTACCGCGTGGACAAGGGATACGACGAGGGTGACGAGAAGAAGGTTGTGCTGTTCTGCATTCCGACAGGTAAGAACAAATAGATACCTCTGTAGACGACACATCACACCATACTGTCTAGACAACCGGAGGAAAAAGAAAAGGGGTTGATAATACACCCAATTATGTTTATCTACCGTGTTTGTGTACGAGGGGCTCGTGGGGGTCAAGCTCGGGAGTGCGCTATACAGCTAAGTTGAAGACCTCGTTCTGAGCTTCACGAGTAATCATGTAGGCTTTCATCGTCTAGGAACTTTCAACGTGATAGTGACAACGTAAATATCCGAGTCGCCATATTCTATACACAACGTCTGTCGGTTCCAAGTTGTGCCCCTCTCCCCCTACCAAGAGTACACCATCCCCCCAGCAACAGACTATATCAACACAAAACAAACGGAATACCCAACACTCTCTATGTAGCAAGCTAAGTAGTACACTTCTATGGGAATTTTCAGACCATGATTAAAACATCACAGGCATCGTCATATCATCATCTCCTCGTATGGTGGCACGATTCGCAGTAGACTTGAATAGATTCTATACCTAGTAACTAGCACCTGGCATGCTACGGTTCAGAGGATACCAATCAAGGAATTGTATATATTTCACAGTCCCAGAGCGGTTGACTGGGATGTAAAATGGCACGAGAAGTTATAAAACAGCTGTCCCAGTCTTACGTACAGTAAGCGTTGTATTCAAAGGCCATCCAGGCCTGATATTAGTAAGTATGAGCTATATAAATATGACCATATAATTCGCACAGCTAGAGGGTTAGGTTTCTACTACGTTACTTTAAGGCTGAGCCTCTCTTAATAGGCTTCAGCCTCTGATTCAGGACATCGACGTTATAGGACAATCCTAACATTATTTTTACATTATATCAACACCCCTCGTTCTCAATATTGGAGATGCATACCTTTGGCTCCCTCCCAACCGGGTATAACCGTCATGGGAATTACTGTAAACATCAGCTTTCTCGTTACTGGCTCTATGAGATACCATAGCCCCTTATTGACTTACGTACTGTGTCATCAGGAGTCGAATAGCCTTGGGGGGAAACGGTAGACTACCAGATAAGGAGGCGCGGCTCACCAATGAGACCCAAATATCGTCTTGGTAATGTTTGTAATGTTTACCTGGTACTCCAGAAACATGACCACCCATCCGTAGGTGTCCTCGATACACCCCCTAAGCTCTTGGGCCCCTATTTAAGTCTCAAGCAGGTTTGAAGAGTCACTGATAAGACACAGGCTGCGAGTGATCGCGTCGGACACGAGGTAGTAAGCCTCGGTCGCCCATGTAGGCCACTCTCTGGAGAGATGACTCTTTCGCGTCCCGATGATGTGGCTCCAGTAGATATATCCATCACCAGACGGCTGCGCAAGGGGTCCCAAACAACCCGACTTTCTCGAACGGGTGTCTGCCCCCTTCCCCTCACGTTATGGAGTCCAGAGTACGGACTTCGTGGGTCGCGAGAAGAAATCTGGAATCTTCGTCTCCTGTTCCCGAATACGTCGAAGTCCCTGACAGCAGCAGCACCGGCTTGGCGCCTCGACGGTCTCTCCACCCCGTCCCCGGTGGTTCGCATCATGCAGCTGTTTGTTAGTTAGTCCTGCTCCGGAATACGGGGCGAGTACAGCTCAGGAGAGGCCCCACCGAGGCCTGCCCGTTTAAGGCAAGGGACCTTTGTACATGTCACCTAGTTTTGGTCTGTCCTGTCCTGTTCTGCTGATGAGAGATCCGTACATACATAGGTAGCTGCGTCGCTGGTGTTCCGTTTCGAGCGAGTAACGCTCCCGTTACGGTTTTGTGAGAGGTGATAGGTGATGTCGTTGTGGATTCGACGATGGTTACAGCTGTTGACCAACGACTATTCGTCCTTCGGTGAGTGCCATGCTTACGAAGACTCCCAAGTTTGCCCAATATCGACCTACCTACATACCTACCTACCTACTTGCCTACATTCCTCCTACCTGGTAGACAGGTATTCCGCGAACGAGATCGTATACTAGATTGGACTAAACATGTATCCAGACCCATAGTCCACCCTTAATACCTCAATTATGCCTCAATAATTGCCAACGTGACACAACCTCGGACTGACGGCGGTTGGTTACATGTTCCATGTGGAAGACGAGAGAAGCTCGAAGTTTCACAATTGACTCGCACAAGCCAGCGGATACCGTACCTACCTAGCTACTAAGTAACTTAGGCGGGCTGTGTCTGAATGGACAAATCGACTTTCGCAACCGAAGCCGGCGGATGAGAGGATACGTGTAAATCGAGTTCATATTTGTTAGGGGCTGCAGTATGGGGTACGCATATAATCATGATATGGTGAAGAGGTCTGAATTACTGGTGAATTTGGTGTCTACAGGATTGCTCTGCCATGCGCTGTGACAACACTGGGATCTCGTAACGGATCCGGGCGTAGGTATATCGTGCTGCTGAATCACAGAAGACTTTCGGCCGGTTCGGCTTGGAGTTTCTCGTGTAATTGGGGATTGTGGACCTTTCCCGGATCTCTACGATCGGGGTACTGTGGACGTGAAGAGTCAGAAGTGACAGTTGAACCCTTAGTTAGGCAGGTGAAAGTCCCACTTTGCAGCTATCCGGAGTGTCGGTCCTTGAACGTCGACGCTTGCGCATTTGCTTCTGAACACGTCTGCTATGGCCCGTAAGAGGGACCTGCTATGTTGTACAGCGATGACTGGCTTCTGAGCTAGTACTAGGTGATGTTTAAGTTGACTTGACTTTGTCTGTAGGAAGCCGTAGTTCGCTTTGGAAGGGCTATGGCTTCGATTTGGAAGGGAAGACTATACCATGGGCTACATGGACTACGGCTACATGGACTACATGGAACTATACTATGGGACTATACTATAGGACTACTATGGAAGACCCTGCGACTATACGCAACTATGGAATATACTCCACCTACGTGACTGGATGAACCCGGGAACCTTGGAACTCTATTACTAGTCTGGGGCGCGTATACTAGATTTCCCGGGAAGTGGTTGGCTGATTGGATTTATATAGTACAATATATCGAGTATATCCCTAGCTAGTCCCTAGCATATCCCCAGTACATCTCCAGTATATCCCGAGTATCTCCAGTATATCCCGAGTACATCCACTATATCTCGAGCATATCGCCAGTAACTCTACCTAGTGGTATATCTCAAGCACCTATACCCACTCGAAATCTTATAACAGGATCTGAGCTCAGACGAACGCGTTCTCGTGAGGCTCCACTAGAAGCTGGGATGGTGCGACTGACGTGCAGCAATGAGATCTGTACAAGGCTGAAAGGGGGAATCAGATACCTGAATAGATTGGTATCGCGTGTTTCCAGACTAGGAAGGATCGTGGGTGGGATTTGGTTGGGCTACATTGGGAACTCTTAACACGACCATGCCTGAAACCTTTTTGTGGTTGCCCGATATCGAGTTAATCAGCCGCTGGTCATCATGCATTGCATCTGTGTCCAATGGTTCGAAGGGCAGGGCACGAATAGGCCGCGACGGACTATTTGTACTCCTAGCCAACGGTTGCGAAGATATCGAGAAAGGAGATCGAAGGCGATTGGATTGGGGTGAAGAATAAAAATAAAAATAAATAAAAGATGGAAAAATAAAAATGATAAAATAAGAAACTCCAAAAATAAAAAATTAAAAAAATAATAAAATAATAAAAAAGGGGACCAGAGAATAGGGACATGACTGAAAAGAAAAAGAGCGGACGTCGTGGTCGCGTTAAAAGAATATTGTGGGCATGCAGGAGGCAATTGGATGCGTTGGCAGGAGTCGACAGGCATCCGTCTCGCGTGGAGGCAGGGGATTGGGCGAGATGCAGGTCTCCAAGGGCTCCCCTCGACCGCCGTAGGTTAGCAAGACATATCTTCACTTTTTTTAATTAGCGAGCCGCCGGCGGGAAATAATCCAAAAGGCTACGACGGGATCTGCATCGTTGACCGCCGTGTCGGGCGATGCAGCCTTGGACTGCCAGGGCAGACGGACGATTTGGGTAAGTACCTACCTACTAGGTAGGCATGGAATTTAAAAAAGGCGTGGAAGGCGAAGAAGCTTAGCAATGCAATATGCAAGGCCAACTCATCGTGTCCCTCATCGACCCTCGCCTACCAGGCTTACCGGACCTACCAGACCTCCCGGACTCCTAGACTCCCAGACTCCTAAACTCCTAGACCTACCACGTCCAGCCGATAGCCGTTTTCTACCACTGCGCCTGGACGCTGGGCTATAGGTATTGTACTGATCGATACCGGACCGTACTGGCCGACAGGGCTATCCTCCGGCCACCGTTACTGGGTCCTGGACAAGTAGCGAAATAGCGGGATGTTTGTATATGCTGGCTGAGTGAGATGATGGATTCCTGCATCCCGTCATGCGAAGTGTACCTGTTCTGGATGAAATGGACGATGCTGGAACGAAAAAGGAATTTTTCTCGACTTTCTATTTCGTTTCTCTCCGTCTTCCGTTCCCCGTTGTTCTTCGTGTACCTCGCAGAGAAGCTATGAGGGATCGGTTATTTTCTTGGAAGCTTGCTTGTCGATATATGTTTGGGTCATTGGCTACGACCCCTCCTTTTTTGCGCCGTTTGCGCATTGTTGTCCGATGTGAAGAGCCGAGATTGACAATCGTGATGAGGATGTATGTATGAGATTGGAGAGAAGAGAAGAGGGGAGGACGAGAGAGGATTGGAGGTAAGATATGAAAATCACGAAACTTCCAAAGTTAGCTGGAGGCATTCTTGTCATACCAGATACCGTAACTGTAGCTGTAGCTGTAGCTGTATCTGTAGCTGTAGTCGCGGGGCGAGGACTCGACTTCGAGCTCTGCTAAGCATGCTTCGCGTTCACATATGTGATATTGTGTGCAGTATGACATGACCAGGGGGAGGGGAGGGAAAGCTGAGATAAGGCAAATATGGGATGGTATAACCTTGAAACTTGGAACGAGGAAAACGAGGAAAAAACCGAGAAGCTGGACTCAATCCCTTAAGGCTAAGGTAGGTTAATCTGGCATCTGTACAGAGTAATCTTGACAACGACACAATTATTTCCGTATTGTCGAATTTGTCCAGTAAAAAGGGTCTCGACTTTGCCTCCCTGACGAAGTGTGCATGTTGTGTTGTATCGTCATAATGGTCGCCTCTCATGTGTGTTGTACACCCGCCAGATGAGGGACTAGACCGTCCTCGAAGATGGTTGGTCGATTGGATCGTTGACTCAATCATTGATGTTTGGCAAACGTCGGAGGGGGCAATGTTCGATGGGGGCTGGCGGTGGGAGGAAGAAGAAAAAAAGGAGGGGTGGGCTCCGTATGTAATTCCCGGGGTACTGTACACGATTGAGTTGCGGCAATTCCATCAGGTGTACTTTGTACATACCGTACCTCCAGGGCTACCGTACCTACCTCTGTAGGTATCTATCTCTAGGCTAGTACGTAAGTACCGCACCCAGGGAATGTAGCTGCAGGTAACCACGACGCCACGATAGTGGAGGTACTTTCCAAATCGTTACCGCTCCCGCGCAAATTGGCTTGTGGCACCTACCACCGCCATTCTCATACGCCTTATGTCACTTGCCTAGTAACTTTTCTAGTAGCCCTGGAGGTACTTCCAAGTTCCCAACGCCGCCAATGCCGTCCCTTCTTCGCGATACTTTGCTGCCCCGGTACACAGTTAACAGGTGGCCTACGTAGACCGTACTAAGACCGTACTAAGCGGTACTAAGCGGTCTCGTTCTTCTCGTTCTTACCCCACGCCGGCCAACGACAGTGCGACAACTAAATGCTGTTGTGTAACTGGATGCTTCGACAGCTGGACAAGGTTTACAAGGTTTGACAAGGTTTCTATCTAAGGTCGACAACCAAAAGAAGTAGAGTCGGCAAGACACATCACACATCATCAGGGCTGTCTCTGCAACTGCTGCTGCTGCTGGGTGTTGTCTGCATATTGTTGTTTCTCTACATACCTACTTTCTCTCTCTCCCTCACTCTCTTTTCTTTTTTGCATGTCTGTCTATCTGTCCATCTGCCTGCCTGCCTGCCTGTCTGCCTGTCTTTGCATTTTCTAACGTGCCCTTTTCGCATCTGTCTACATACTACGCTGTACCCTCCCTAGGCACTGTCCAGTGAGAACACGCCATCTAACCCTATTATCCCGAATTATATACGTACTATATACCGGGCTGCCGGAGCCGACGAGGCAACAAACAACGTTTCCAAACGAGAACGAACGGAGAGTGAAGTGGCTGAAGAGAAGAGCTGAGAATTATTTATTATTTATTATTTATTCATCGACATACATACACATACATACTACCTACATATATCTTACCTTGTCATTATCTACCGAGGATGCTTGCTTATACGGCTCACGCTACCCAATAATTACACTCACTTTCTATGACCTGGCTGATCTGGGATCAACCGAACCGCGACCGCGACGGGACTAGCTCATAGCCCTGCTAGTATCGATTTATAGACCCTTGCCCGAAAGCTCTCCGTCTCCGTCATTATCTAATTATATTCCTACTACTTGAAGCCCAACCTCTACCTTACGCTCTACCTTACGGTCTCTACCACCCTACCAACCTATCGACCGTCGACCTATCAACTCTTCCTAAGTACCTTACATACCTGGCTACGCATATCATATACATACTTCCGTACATCCCTTCCACCCATCCATAATCGTCGACATCCATACCTTTCCTAATCTTTACCCGACTTGACCTACGCTTAAACCCACGCTTAACCCACTTGAGCCATCTGCGCAACATCCGCCGACGAATCTGCTCTCGCTCACACCAAGCCACATCCAGCCATCAAGCCGTCAAGTCGTCAAGCCATCAAGCCATCATACCCCCGAACCCTCGAACCCTCGAACCCTCCTCGCTGCTTCGTGTCTAGATGACACATTTCAGAAGCACCTCGACGACCTAAACGACGATCGAATAAATCGTATACATCGTGGCTACGTAGCAGCTCTCATCTTTGGGGGGTGCTGCTGGTCGTGCTGGGGTGAAGGAGAGGCGTACTCGCGAACTTAATCCTCACATGCGCCCACTATGATCTCCATGCAGCGATCTCTATCGTCGCCCGTTTGCATACATTCTTCTCCACGTGAGTCGGGCGGAAAAAGACCAAGATGAGATGTGCCGGAACCAAAGTCTCGACCTCCGTTTCCCTATGTCAGGTTACTGACCAGTCGCCTCCGATTATAGCTGCGTCCCCGACCGCCTCCCATCCTTCCTCACGTTCCCCGACCCCTTCTCCCGAGACTCGACCGGAAGTGTCACGCCCGCGACGATTTCGATCCCGAAGCCCTTCGAAGCCCGTCAGCGGGCATCGCCGGCGCGAGTCGTCAGGATCCGTCCGCAAGATCGGCGGCGGCGGCGGCGACGAAACCTCTCGCGATGCGACTTCGAAGCAGCAGTCGAGCGCTAACCCGAGCGCCGGCGCGAGTGCGCCTAAGAAGCCGGTAATTGACCAACCCGTAGGCCCGTCGCCGAAACCCCCTCCGTCTCCGTCCCCGGCCTCTAGCCCGCCCGCTCCCTCAAGCCCTCTGCAGCCCATTTTGAAAGACCAAGATGATTCCGGTCCGCTTCCGCGACCTCTCTTGGCTGATGTATCATTATATACCAACCCTTACTTGAATATCGAAGCCGAAGGTACCACCCTCGAAGAGCTTGCCCATCTGGTTAGGCTGTCCAAATACCAGGAGCGCAAGTGCGCCAATACTCGGATCCGTCTTCAGAGAAGTCTGATCTCGACCGCTCTCTCGGCGCGACTAACACGTTGCGGAGAGACCTCGCTGCGCAACCTGGCGGACAGCTTCCGAAATGATGACAAGAGGGCGTTCGCTAACCTGTTCGGTGCCATCCACGATGTTCGGAATAGCTGCGACGCCACCCGTCGCTATGCTCTCTTGGAGCCCGAGATGGAGTCTTTGCAATCGTCGGGGGTAGCGTCTGTCGAGACCTTGGTGCCTCCGCCCAGCGCGACCGGGACTGTCGGTCCTGGTACTTCCGTCGTCCCCTTCCTTAATGACATTTCTGCTTCTGCCAGGGAAACTTTTCTAGGTTTTCTTACCCAGATCCGGACAAATCCGGACTACCTTGCCACGCGGCTATGTGCCTTGAACGCTTCGGATCTCCAGGCTCTTACTACTTTTCATCAGGGTTTGGAGCCTATAGAATCTGTTTTGCCGTACCACGGCCGCGCCGGCGGGCGTGGGCACTCCAGCGGCCCTAGTAGACAGTCGGGGCAGACCCCCAATGCCGTCGAGCGGCTGCTTTCTTTCCAGCGTCACGATCCCCTCTCCGCTCTCATATACACCTGCTTTGCTAACTCCGCCGGCCCGGACAGCGCCGAAGACAAGCGGCGAACCGGGATATGGGCCACCGCCTTCGCTCGCTTGATCTCCACCAAGTCTACCAGCGAGCCAGTCCTGATCTCGATCCTCAATGCTTGGTCGGCTATGCGTGATTGGTCTGGACGGGCTAACATGGAATGGTATTTGATGAAGATACTCGAGGATGGTGCGTTCCTGCTCGACCGAGCCGAGGATCAGAACGGGACGAGATTCAACATTTCTGATTGGTCTACCAAGGACAGCATTGCCGCTGAGGAGTTCTATGACCGTGCCGTGAATGATCTCTTTGCTATCATCGACGACGAGGACGCGACGGGCATTCCCGAAGGCGTCATCGAACTTGGAAATGAAATTCTTCGTCGTTTGGAGATCAAGGATAGCACCCGCAGCCTCGTCGATACCACGCGAAGATGGTTTGTATACAAGTGGATCTTTTCTAGTTGGTTGCTTGCTGTTGTCATTCACCCGGAGAGTTATGGCATGATGACCGAATACCACATTACTGAATACGGCCGCCAGAAGATCCTCAAGCAGGTTGCCACGCTCGCCCAGCATTTCGTCGTGGAGATGCTCTCGAGCGGAAACCCCCAGAAGCCTGTATCAACCCCTCCCAAGATCAAAGGCCACATTGAAAATATCATGGGCCGTTTCAAGCCGTCGGGAAGCCAGAGGATTGGAAGGCTGCTTCCAGCCAGGTCCATCACCTCCTTGAGAGAGACCGTCGAGGTTCATCCTTATCTGGTGATCAGCCCGGCTGACATTGCTACTCTTACCAACGCGCTCTACCCGGAGCGCAGGCCGCAATCCGCTCATTCGAGCAGCATCCGGTCCGGCGCGCCCTCGATATCAGGCTTCTCTGCCATTTCGCAGCCGATATCTATAGGCACGTCGAGGAGTAACTTTGACACCGCCTCTGTGCTTAGTATGAGCGCTTCGTCTGTTTTCAGCGAGGGAACCACCTCGGGAGAGCCTCTGCTCGAAGATCAAGCAGGCGGTACCCCCCAGAGACGTTCACCACCCCTACCCGATGGGTCGAGGCCAAAGCATACTAACAACAACTACGAAGACGACGGCTACCGTCTCCGGCTGGCGATGCACGAGATGGAGCAGACCCTAGGTTCGGAAGTCATGACGGGCCAATGCCACCCTTGCGCGGAACGCTGGGCTGTTGTATTCATTTCTGCTGATGGGAATAGCCTTTCTTTACAGATGACTTATGATCCTGATGATGAAGCCGAGGAGGAGAATTCCTCCACCACTAGTGATACGGAGGATGACGAGCCCGACGACAAACCTGAGCTTGACAAAGACTACCACCAATTGCGAGACTCTGTCTTGAAGCTCGTCGAAGATTTCGAAATCCCGCTGGGTCTCGAAGACCACGGTGCCAAGACGACGTTTAGCAACAGGGCCTCTGGCCTGAAAAAATATCGATCTAAAAATAAAATCATAACAACTGGGAGAACTATGGGTAGCAACAACCCTTTTCGTAATAGGTGCGAAGATCAAAAGTCGAAACGACCTGCAGACGGCGAAACTTCCCACAATGAAGGTAAGGAGCCGGCAAGTGAGCACGAGTCTTCGGTACTAATCAAGATGCTCTCCGCCGCCTCTTCGCAATCGCGCATCCAGTCCGATTTCGTATCGGCGCACCTCTATTGGAAGACTCTCCAGCAGCTGAACGCTCTGGCGTCTCCTTCTCTGCGTAAGAATGGGTTTGCGATGCTCCTGAACATATTCTCTCGAGGCCCTCGTGATTCTATCCGTCGTTCCGCCTCCGCCATCGAGGAATACGATGCTTGGTTGGTATGGTTAAAGCAGAGTCAAGAACGTCACGAAGGTCATATCGAGACCATGATGAAACGGCTGAAGGCGCTTAGGGACAAGATGTGGTACGTGACGGACGTTCACAACTCGGCTCCTTACGAGCAGACTCGAAACATTTGCAGCGCGCTCAAGATTATGGGCGTGCCGAGGAAGTGGGGCACATTTCAACGCAACCGAGCCCAATTGGCCAGAGGGCCGGCTGCTGCGTATATCTATCGAAACGAATCTCAGATGTTGGATCTGTTGGCTGCTACCGAAGACCAAGGAGGACCGAATAAGCTCAGCGATGCGCAGGCTGAGATTACTGGTAAATGGTTAGAACAGCTTGGGAACCCGAACATGTGTCAAGGGGAGGAACGCATCCATCGTTTCTGCTGCGAAGTCGACAGTTGTGTGACCAAGCTTGTCGGCGAGAATATCGTGGATGGTCCTGTGCTGTGGTCTAGCGAGCTGTACTCTCGAGACCGCAAAGTGTTCGAAGGCTCCCGAAGCGGTGGGCGAGATAGGGAAAGCGTGTGGGGCGACGACGCTGCCAGCATAATAAGCAGCGAACATGACAGGCGATATACTTCTCCCACGCGACGTCCGGGTTCGATGGCTCGAGACCTAAGAAATTTGAACGCATTCAATACTAGCCAGGCGTCTCTTGACTCGCGCCGGTTTAGTTTCTCACGAGCAAGTACTGCGTTGTCCGATACCTTCGATGCGCACGACTATTTCGGAGCCTCGTCTCCAATCCATGCCATCGATTCGACATCCACATTCTGGTCTCCGTTCCAGTCAACGATGTCAACTGTTAGCTCAGCAACTTCGCGTGCCCAATCACCGACGACGAGCGTTACAAATCTCTCGAGCACATTCTCATCGTCGCATCCAAACCACCAACCCTTGCCATCTCATCATTCCGCTTCCCGATCTGGAGCATCGGTATCTTCGAATGAAACTGTCCACCTGCGCCGTCTTTCCGAAGGAAAACAGCGCTTCCTCACCGAGCTTCGTCACACGCTGACTAGTCTATTACTCTCGGAACTCGGTAGTCTTGTATTTTCGTCTGGCTCTGAAACGGATGGTTGGTTTGGCGGTCTCGGACAAGAATGCATTGAACGCCGAGACGCCGAGGAACGAAAGACACGACGACCTTCAGGAAAGAGGGATCGTATGAGTAAAAGTTCAAAGCAGAGAGTGATCGAAAAGAGGAAGAGTTTCGGCAACCTTAGACAAGCGGGAGAGGCGAGTAGACCAGATCTAGTCCCGGAGAGACCTGATAGTGCTTGTGGACCAGGCAACGACAGCTCCGCTACCAGCGACACGATGTCGGCTCGTGGAAAATCTTCGAAGAAGAGGGATACGCCCGATTTCCCTTATGCGAAGGCATACCAGAGACTCCTGGGAATGTTTGCCGTCCATCCAAACCCATATACCAAACTCAATGCCCTTCTCGAACTAGAGCATCTTATTGCCGCATCTCTTTCCAACGGTGGGCGTCGCTCGCGTTGGGCCTCGAGACACTCTGTCGACGAGGATGTTAGCACGCCTGACAGAGTCGATCCGAATGAAGCCGGCCCTGACAGTCCTAGAGAACGACGCGCCCAGCCGTTCCAGTCGTACCTATTTTCTTTCCCTCGCCCGAACAAAAACTCTGATGCGCGTTCTGTCATTTCTATCAAAGAAGCAGCTAATACGGACGCGATTGCGAAAGTGCTTAGATCATTATTCAAAGACGCAGGCATCCGACCGAAGACGCTATTCCGTGATCTTCAATTCATCAACTCTTTTGTTTCCCCTTCAACTTTAGACGGCGATCGTAACAAGGCGTTTTGGGATATTGTAGTAGTAGCGCTTTCGCTCAAGCAAGATGTCATCACGACAATGGTCGAGGTAGCGGATGAGATCTTGAATTATCATACACCCTCGAGAAAACGTCCTGGCGGTGGAGACGAAACGCCGGAGATGCTGCGTCCGACCCAACTTCATTCGCTTCGAGACGTGGCGAAGATGTGCACGATAGCGGCGAAGGAGGGCAACGCAACAGCTCAGCGAGAGCTGGCGCTCTTCAACCTTAGCAACCCCGAGCTGGTGGAGAGGAGCACTCTTCCTCTGTCGAAGCCGCGGGACGTATTTAAGCAGGCGGTGATGGAGAAATTCGGCCCAAGATCCGGAAGTGGCATACGCCACGCGCCCGACCGGAGCCGAAGCAGTCTAGGTGCGGCAGGACCGGCATCCTCAGGCATGCAAGATGCGAGCATGGATGGCGACGTTCGGAGCGACCCTACTCTGATGTGCGTCGCGATCCACTGGATGAAGGAGGCCGAACGTGGCGGAGACGAGTTGGCCAGGACGTTCCTTGGCCAGAACGAGATGATGGGACTATGATGATTGCTACGCTGACGTTTGCTACCGCATCCTTCCTCGTCTTACCTACGTTTTTCAAACCTGTTTGCACTCACGGATAATTATGTCGAGCACAGTGGCTGGATACCGGGAGAGAGATACACACACAACACACGTTCACATATTCGAATGTTCGAATGTTCGCATGTTCGCATGTTTACATGTTTACATGTTCACATGTTCAACACATTCTGCACCGTCAGTTGGATCACCCTCCCCTGACTCTCGTTTTTGCAACTACGTCGGACTACTTCGGAGTAGTATTTTTTTCTTTTCTCTTCCTTTTGTTTTCCGTACCTGTTCCAAGTTTAAAATCGATACCCAACAACCGTTTAGCCTTTTCTAGTCATGTCGGGCTTAGGAAATACCAGGGTAAAAAGAATAGGAATATGATGACATGGGATTTGCGGGAATCGGGAACATATCTTGACATATATCATACCCGCAATTATTCGCTGGCTGGGAAGTATTTTTACCCATCGAATTGGAAGTCGGCAGGCTGTATCACTACTACTATTTTTATTCGTGTAAGCGTTGCATTATTCAAATCAATCTTGGCCCGTGTTGACGGGTTTGACGGGATGCCATGCGAATGGATCTGAATGCGAATACCTTTACTACTACTTTGCTCATATAGATAGGACGCGGCAGCATACGAGAAGGATATACCAATAGGGATCATTTAACTTTACGATTTCAATAGATTCATGCATGTTACATATGTTTGTGTTTGTGCGAGTGGATGAGTGAGTGGATGAGTGGGTGGATGGGTGAGTGGATGAGTTAATGGATGAGTGAGCGAAGGTGAAAGTTATCGGGTTGGTTATTTCTGTAAATTCTATAAACTTCTGAATGCTTCATGCTTCATGCAAGATGGTAAGATGACAAGACGGCAAGATAATGCGAGGGGTAATATAAAATCCCTAATTACGAGATCGTCAGGCCCAGACACCTGGGCCGAAACCTTACCAGGGGAAGGCCACACACGATAGGCCGTGATAGATCCATAGATCCAGGCTGTCGTCATCGTTGGATGCAATAGATTATAAATTACTATAGGTCATGCTGGGGTATCATAGGTCTAGTCTATCTTCCCTCTTGTACTCGACGTCGACGTGCGACCGCCACCGCCGTGTCCGTCCTGTTCCATAAGACCTTGCTCCTCCTCGTCATCGGCATCGATGGAGACGACGGTCATATCTGATCGAACGCGAAACCGCTTACCCCTCCAATTCACGGTAGCACCAAGGAAGACGGCCCAGGTCCAGATAGGCAAAGCCAAAACCTCTCGTCCCAACCAAGCGAGGAACCACTCGCCGAATCGGCGCTTCTCCGCCCCGCCGTGGCTGAAACCTCGCGCGAACGCGGGCGTGTGTTCGTCCACGTGGATGCTCTGGCCGGCGTGCAGCTTTTTAAATACGACGCGGTCGACGAGCATCCAAGCCGCGACGCCGGCGAGCCAAAAATACCACATGGCGCGCCATGTCTGTGGGACGCCAAGGTTCTGGTGAAACCACGACACGGTCGTCAGCCCGAAGGACACGTAGAAGCAGCACACGAGGCTCTCCACGCCGTGTTCCACTAGCGTGGCCGACAGCACGGTCCATTTCCGAGCCCGCAGCCATCTCACCCTGCGTGCGACGTATGCAGGCACAGACATGCCTGCCATCGGTTGGATCGCCAAGTCGCCCCAGACGAGTCCGTGATTCGCGAAGCCCGGCAGGTCGGACCGCCAGAGGAGGTCGCCGATGACGTGATCCTCGCACATGAATAGGGAGAAGTGGTCTAGGCCTTTGGGCAGAGTTGCGGCTCTTCCCGTCAAGATCGGGTTTTGGGCCGGGTCGGTCACGCGGTCTAGGTGCGATTTGCGGAACATGTTGCTCTTCCCTACGATGCACGGGGCGACGCCGACGGTGTTTATGGCGCCGTAGAATTTGGCGTGGGTTGTGGCCATGAACATTTCTTCGAGTCGACCTCCGCCGTGGGCTAGAGATCTGGAGAGGATGGAGGTCGGCACGTCGACGTTGGATTCTGCGTCGGATCCACCCGTTACCGCTGATCCGGATAGGAGTGTTTGACCTTCGGCGTTTGAACTGCTCATGGAGGTGACGGTGTCTACGACTAGAGGTAGTTGATGTACGAATTTGAAGGGTTTGGCTTGTTTCCCGTTGGGCAGATATCCGCAGAGCTTGTCAACCATACGACCGGCCACATCTCTCGCGATCCATACATTGCAGTCTAGTGGCCATATTATATCTCCTTTTGCCTCTCTATACGCTCTACTCAGATTTCGGATCTTCGGGTTTGGACCGACGTTATCTACATGACCATCTTCGCCGTGGAGGTAAGGGTCTTCAGCCTCAACGAAAACTTTGGCGTCGAAGTCAGGGTAGTTGTCGAGTAGTTTTCGGATGACCGGATACGCTGCATCTTCCTTAGACGATACGCAGAAGTAAATGGTCAACTTGTCTTTTGGGTAAGACTGATGGAAGACGGAGGCTAGACATTCGTATAAACCGGGCTCGAGGCCTTTGGCAGGTCGGATTATGGTTACATGAGGCACATCGTCTTTCGGTAGGTGTGGAGAGACCGGTTCGGGCGGGACTGATGAATAATTACGGAAGCTGTTGGGCTCTAGTTAGATCTGTTGTTGCTGCTGCTGCTGCTACTGCTGTTGTAGACAGAATATATTCATGAGCGCTTACATCTTGTAACTTCCAATAGCTTGAACTAGAACGACGAAGAAGCCCCAAAAGATGCCGACGCCGCCTAATACCTCAGTTACGGTAGAGAACATTGGGACATGTCAAACAGGATGGTGAGTCTAACTACAGGGCATTCGGTGAATAGATGAATGGACAAAGTGGTTAGGCGAAGAGGTTATACAGAGGTCAGATGAGTTGAAACGAATGAATGCTGTTACGAAGAGTAAATAGAAGTCTAGCTGAATGAGAGACAGAAGCCGTTGGACAGGATGGAGAAAATCCTCATCTTCAAAGGCCACAGTTATTTCCTAACATTCTGCGATAAGTGACGATCATATGTCAAGCATCGTTGTAGCGTTGGTTGTCAAATCTATGAATCCACTTCGGCATTATCGATTTAGTTTAGAGGAAAATAGTTCGTTGAGAGGCCCGCTAATAAAAAATTACACTGATGACATAATATCCATGGATGTATCTCCTATTTTTATAGGTACTTGGCTTCCTGGTAGCTCCACATGCTTAATGCCCCGCCGTTAAGCGAATTTCAAAATTGATAGTGCTTTGTACGGATGGGCGGATCATCCCGGGCCGACAATCCAATTGATGGGATCCATTATTTCATTCAATTTTTTTTTAGTGTTCACCTTTTGAACTTCAATTCAAGTCACAATTTTCCTGAATTGTTACAGTCACATCCTCTTCGTCTACGAGAGAAGCTCAGTCAAGGCTACTTGACGAGCATTGAATGGCCCTACTTAATAGGTAAATTCTACATTCTTGTGAGTCACCTTTCATTCATTCTAGCTATGTCACAATTGGCCCATGGTCAACTTCGGCTTGGGTTCAAGTGTAGCATGAGATGTATTCTTTGTATCAGTCGCGGTGATGACAACCTCATATTATTATGGATCTTAGAGATGTCAAAAGTCTCGATGAGTGCCCAAATAGACTACAACGGTATCTGAGCGATTTGATCATGTCAATTTTATTATTATTTTTAAAAAAAAAACCAAATATTTCTCATTCTCGCAACCTCATCCGAAAGGTTATGAGAACACGACTAACAACCCTAAAGTAGGCCGACATGATGAAAGACAGTCATGGCAGACACACCAAATATCGTGTCCGCCACCTCGAACCAACATGATGCTACTCCCGCGTCTGTAGAATTAACCACATCAACTCCATCTCAAGTGAAGGAGGTGAAGGAAGTGAAGACTAACAGTCACCGTCCTCCTACCCCCAAGAAGGTTCCACTTCACCAGATATATGCCCTTCCTGCCCCAATCCGCACATTCCCACTACCCAGTTTCTACCCAAATAACCCTATTTCGCTATTCCATGCCGTATACGCTTGGGTGAGCCAGCTTGTCTCTCCACCGCCAGTTGAACCTTCAGTGATCTACCAGGGCATCTGGTCCCCCGAGACTCGATCAGTTCACATTACGGATCTCAAGTCGGTACGGGCATTATGGGAGCAAGGGTTCTTTGGAAAAGGTAACTACAGCCGAAGCGAGCCAAACTGGTTTAGGCGAGAACAGGCTCGAAGAGGTGAACACGGAGGTAGCGTCGCTGAAAATGTGACTACCCAGAGGCGAGAAGAGCGGAAGTTGATGAAATGGGACCGTGCCAGAAAGGAACAAGAAGCGATCGAACGGACTAGACTCCTAGAAGCTTGGGTTGCTCCGGTCGGTCCTATGGAATTATTAGCTCTTCCGAATTCCCTCGACGACTTGAAGCCTATGTTTTTCAACACCCCAGTGACTGCAGATTCGGTTCAGGGCTTCGTCGCGAATGGTACAAATAGCGTCAATGCAATCACCACCACCGATGCACCAGCCTTAAATGGCACCACATCGCCATCAAGTAATGGAATAGTGAAGGCTGCTACTGGGGTGTCTTCCACTGAAGATGGCACTACGCCACCGTCAGAAATGAACGGACATCCGCCCCGCCCCCGCACTCCTACGAATACCTCCAAAAGACGTAAGTCAGTGCGATTCTCGCCTACGATCGAATCAACAACCTTCAAATTGTCCGATCCACCAAGTCCTCATCACAGTGTCCAGTCAAACGGGAGCATAGACAGCACCTTGGCAAATGGAATTTCTTCAAAGCCTCAGCCAACAGAGCTCGGTTTGCCGGAGTCTCTCGAAAGCACAACCAATTCCAAGGCCAATTCCAGGACCAGCTCCGAGTTGGACGGTCAGCTAGTGGACAAGGAACATCTTCAACTATGTCTTGAGGAAGCTTTCTACCTCGTCTTTGCTCTAGGGGCTTTAACAATTCTAGATCCAGCGACTAGTAAACCAATTCCTTCGTCAGATTTATTTACGCTCTGTCGTCAGACATCGTACATCCCTCCAAGGCAGGCGGATCTCCAACCGGATGATCCTTTCCTCATGCATTATGCCGCTTATCACCATTTTCGTTCCCTAGGCTGGGTAACGCGACCAGGAATCAAGTTTGGTGTAGACTGGATGCTATACAACAAAGGGCCAGTGTTCTCCCATGCTGAGTTCGCGGTCATTGTTTTACCGGCTTACACTGATCCTTGGTGGAAAGCTCAAGGTCGTCAGCCCCCTCATAGGTCTTGGCACTGGCTTCATACCATCAACCGTGTGCAAGCTACGGCATTGAAGACCTTGGTTCTAGCATACGTCGATATACCGCCTCCGTTTGAAGAGGGTCTTGGTGCGACGGACATATTGAAACGGTACAAAGTTCGGGAATTCATCGTGAAGAGATGGCTCAGTAATCGGAATAGGGATTGAATGGGCAGTAGGAATGCCACGCATCAAATTGGATGCATGGTGGCGCCCCTAGGTTGTAAATACATAGGTACTCGCTACCGTGTTTAATACTGTACGATTAGCCATGCAACCATGTCAAAAGTGACAGTCGTGATTGAACAAATACCAAATACTTTTTCAGTGAGCTCAACACCTAATTTGACCGGATACTATGAACGTACGCCCAGAAATGTGGCAATTCCTCATGATGCAGTGGCTGGCTTAAATCCGCCCAGACCGTCCAAGACGCTACCGACCTCCTACATTAACCAGATCGTGCCCGTCAGCCCGTGTCTCACATTAGGAAACTACCCGAGCTGCCCTAGCTGCCTTGGCCTACATTTCTAGAAATCCCTCTAAACTCCCTAGGTAGAAATCCTTCGAATCCCTATGCTAAAGTTGATGAGCTCTAGCTTTTTTCAAACGCTTTTCCACACGAATTTATCATCACTCATCCTCTTGTTCAGGCTCCGTCGCCACACGTTCATACCCCTTCTCGCTAGTCTGCGGCAAGAAGCGCGACGAAATGGTGAAGCCTCCAGCTAGTAATGCGAGGATAAGCCAGACTAGGTAACCCCAAAGTAGATGCTTTTTGACGCTGACGGCGAATAAACTCGAAAAGAGTGCAGGGCAGAAAGCGCGTAGACCGCTCATGGCCGTCAAGGCCATCGCGTTTAACATACCGAGAGTCTCCGGAGAAGGAGAGACGTCGTTGAGCGCGAGCTGGACTCCCGTGAAGGCAATGCTGACGCCTGATCCGAGAACCAGGAGTATGGGCATTACGATCCAGAACACAGTTCTCGCGGCAGGTGTGTCTTGGTATAGAATCAAGTTCATGAATGGCATGATGACCATGAAGAATGGATACGCGGTCCCGGCGGCTCGCAACACGCCGTTTGTGCCGAGATGATTCGTCAGCGGTGGGAAAATGAATAGGAGCCATGTGGCCTGCGAAATGCCGGTTAGCCCCAACATCAGGGAGATCTGTAGCGGGCTGAAACCGAAACCTCCGAGCTTAACGTTGGTGAACCAGAATATGGGGACGATGGCTGTGTAGGCGAAGCCGAGAAGCATTACGTGGGAGTAATTATAGAGGACGATCTTGACGCCGGGGGAATTCAGGAGCTCGAGGGTGCTCATTGGGGCGCGTTTGGGAGCGCCTGCTGTTGCTTCGGTGTCGTCATCGTCGGTGGGGTTGGGTTTAGGGTGGCTTCGCTTATCTTTCTTGAGCGTCTCCTCGACGAACAATGCGGCTACGAGTGCGGTCGCCAACCCGATGCACCCGGCTACAATCGATGGCAATATGTAAGGATACTCTTCGAAAAACTTGACGCCCCCGAATACCCGCGGGTACTGGTGCGCGGGATCGACGAGCGAACCTCCGAGCAGAGGCCCGATGAACATCCCTACGTTCCCGCTAAACGCAAACCAGCTGAAGGCTTGGGCCTGCGTTTTCGCGGTGCTGTGCTCGGAGATCATGGTTCGGATGGTTACTATGGTTCCGGCGAACACACCGGCTAGAGAACGCAGCAGGTTCATCTGCCAGATTGTCCGGGAGAGGCCGAAGAGAGATGTCGATATGGATAACCCGATTAGAGAGGCTACGAGGACGGGCTTGCGACCCCAGCGGTCGGCTGCTCGGCCCCAGAACATCATTACTAGCATTTGGACTAGCGAGAAATTGGACTCGATGAATCCGGCGTAGAAGCCTACGTCTGCTTCTTCCACTGGTGGGGGTTAGCCTTGTCTGCCTTGTGTCTTGGGATGGTGATAGGGGTGAGGAGCGGGATGAGGCAGATGGAGCAGATGGAGCAGATGAGGGAGATGATGGAGACGATAGAAAAGGAGCTTACGCTGTCCATTATCCTGCACCATCTGGTTTATATATGGGAAGATGGAGAAGAAGGCAATGGGCTCAATCATCCGCCCGAAGCAAAGTAGCAATATCTGAAACTTGGGTAACTCCTTCTCATCGGGTTTAGAGAGGAGTGGCTCATTCTCCCCTACGACGGCCGAGGCGACGCTAGGATCAGCTGTCGTAGCTATGGGAGATGCAGCTAAGAGCGGAGTGACCTCGCTGGCAGAGGCTGATGCTTGCTTAGGGTCACTGTTGACCTCGTCGGCCTTGTTGATATCATTTTCATCAGGTGAGTTGGTAATTGTCATTGTGAAGAAGTACTCGGTGATTTGCTAAAATTCTGCAAACACTGGACCTGATTGGTTTACCCACAATGAATTACCATGGAAAACAAAGATTTATGTATGTTGATTCCTTCAACAAGTTGCTAAGCAGCCACAAAGTTAATAATGAGTCATATACAGTAGTTGCGGTCGGACTACACTTCAGCGCGACGATGTGCAGATATCGGAACTACTTCAGAACGCCAACTTCCCGTTCCGGGAATACTATAGGAAAACTTTTCGCTTTCGGAGATCGTCGCGTTAAATATTCATGTACGAAGCCCTAAATGGCTGCCCAAAGGCTGGCTGGACGACGATTTGGCTTACCAATATTTACAGTGGATGAAATACAGTGAAATAAGGTTGGCACTGTATGTGGCCCATAGCTGTGGTTCATTGGTGGATCCTTGCCATGTGTAACCCGGGGTGTATCTGGGGCTGGGGCTGCCTGGTGACCCCTTTTTATATTATCGCACCTTCTTGAAGACTTAGGTACGAAGTACGTTCACAGAGTCCCGGAGTACATTACTTCCGAATCTTAATCTCATGCTCTTCCCTCTTTCTACAACTTTACAGCATCAATCGATGCGATATTCAAATTAATCAGTTTTTGTTCTACATTTCGACTGGTTTCCCAGCAGCCATGATGCCATTTCTACCGATGCTATCGTCACCATGCCAAGCTATTCTCACTAATGAGTCAAACACAATTCGATAATACCCCGGTTCAGACGATAAGAACCGTGGTGACACTGCAGCGATGCAATGCAGGATCCGGCTTTTACCGCATTGGGTGCTAATTGGCGATTACAATTCGATACTTCGTATGTTACATTCATTAACCTAGGTGCTATTGAAGACATGATACATATGAAAGAATCAGAAGGATAACCTAAGAGGAGATTCCAATCTGATATGAAACTCGTAACCCGTCATACCCAAACAAGATCACAACTACAAGATCGCGAAGATCACAGCTACATCGACAAACTTCTACAGACGGAATGGCAAAGTCATCTCTCCGGGTGCGTTGTACGTTGGTACCTTCATGTCGAGAGCCTCGCCCGAGTACCCGAGGTCTTCCGCTACCAGCGTCGCAGCCTTCTCTCCGATGAGAAGGGCGGTGGAATATCTGTTCTTGTTAGGGATGGTTGGATCACAAGCATGACATTTCACTTACGTATTACAACCAACGTTGTCGGGACAGATACTGAGATCTGCGACCTTCAGTCCTTGGACGCCGTGTACGTTTAAGCGCTCATCTAGAACACCGTGCTTGACGATGCTGTTGCCTTCCTTCGGGGCCATGGAGCAAGTCTGGGAAATATTAGCCCTAATCGATTTCGGGAAAAGGTAGAGAAAAAACGAAGGAAGATGCTTACGCCCAAACAGTGCCAGGTACTCTCAACGTGCCTCCTCACCCATTCCTCAACTGCCTCGATATCCTTCTTGCTATACTTAAGCTCCTCTCGGATATCTGCCTTGTTGCTGTTCAAGATGTTGGCTTCCGCCGTCCTGCTTGGCGCCGGGTTGAAGACACTCCAGCTGCCGTGCTGCAGGCCAGCGCTTAGGTTACCGGGGAGCGCATATTTCTTGGTGGTCTCGAGGTCCATATCGTTGGCACGAGCTGGCGAGTCGTAGTCGAAGAATGGGTGCATCGCTTGGACTTCACCGGCGTAGGCGTCCATTCGGCGGGCCGTCTCTCGAGACTTGATATAACCCCATACCATAGGTGCCATATCACGCTCATCGTTCATGAAGCCCGGGTCGAAATCGGGAGTCTCGTAAGGATCGGCTGACTTAATATGTACGAATCCTCGAGAAAAGGGGTATTCCAGGAAGTGGAACATCGTGAAGAAGTTTCCGGGCGGCCTACACAATAAGGTTAGGAAAAAGTGTCATCGTTTTTCAGTCAACTTCACTCACATGAGCATGTGGTCGCCGAACCACCCGGAAATGATGGAATAGTGCATCACAGGCTTGTCGGGCTTGTCCTTGAAGTACGACTTCCAGCCTTCGTTGAATTGTGGGTGGGGCCATGATTCAAACTCCTTCAATTCCGCCTCAGTCGGTCGGATTTTCACTCCAGCATCGATACCGTTCGTAGCTAAGGGACCGGTTCCCTTTAACGCCCATTCGTCGAACACCTCTGCGATTCGGTTAGGATCTTAGGAAGTCAACGTATCGCCCCACCCACACTTACTCTTTTGGACTTCTGGGTCGCCTCGGACGAAATCATCGAAACTCTCCGTTTCGGGTTTCGCGCGGAATACGGAAAAGGTCAAGTAGTGGTCCTGAAAGTTAAGACCAACACCTGGGAGATCGACTTTGGGCTCAACACCGGCGGCCTTGAGTTTCTCGGGGTCACCTATAAATAGTCAGGACTAATACTTAGGTACCTAGTACGCTCTCACGCAATGCACGTACCGATTCCGGATCGCTGAAGGATCAATGGTGACGAAATGGTACCTCCGGATACGACTATTTGCTTGCGTGCCTTGAAAATGCGAGGCTTTAGTTGATTGGGGTGAAGCGGCTTGGTCTGCACTGTCTGAACCGCCACAGCTCTGCCGTTCTCGATGATGACTTTTTCGACCTTAGTGTTGCAAGCAAGGTATAAATTGCTGTGGACGGCACGGGTGGAGTGGACATATGCATGAGCGCTGTCACTACGTCGTCCGGTCTGTATCCATGGATGGTCAACTCTCGATCGAAACTCAAAAAGGGGTAGCGAGTCAGGGGTAAGAGTAAGTAGCATACGTCACGATTGATCCACTTTAACCAATGCTCGGCACCGTGTCCGGTAGATAAGTCCTGCAAGTCATCGACGACGGGGATATCTTGAGATTCTGCTGCCCTCAAGAAGTCGTCCTTTACGGGGTATGTGCTGAAGGGGGGTTAGCGCTATGGCCATCAAGGGACATGAGCGACATCAGGATCAAGCGACGTCAAGGAATATCAAGGAACACTAAGCTGGTCTATGATAGGTACTCGACTTACTAGTTTCCGAATGACACCTTGATCGGTCCCTCGAATCCGTGGACCTCCCTTCGCTAATTAGTATTGTCCGAGACAGAAATTGCTGATTCTAGTCAACTAACTTGTTGTGGCATGCTCGTTGGTAGGTCTCATGCTTCTTCATAAGTGGGAGCAGGTCCTCTGTTTTCCATCCCTTGGCTTGGAAGTCGTCATAGTCCGAAGCCGACGCACGGGTGTACATCTACTAAAACTTAGTTCCCCATCCGCGAACTATCGAAAACTTTGCTTACCAAAAAGTTAATGCTAGAGCCACCTCCCAAGACGTGGGCGCATGGAACCACCGCCTTCCTCCCGGCAAGGTGCTTCGACGGACGAGCCTCATAGAAAGACGCCGTTTTCGAGTCCAGCTTCATATTTCGGGGGTAAATCCCTGGCCTGAATACCCATGGGTTGTTGAGGTTGCTCTCTCCAGCTTCGATCAAGAGAACCTTGAGGTTGTGGTCCAAATTTGCTAGACTGGACAGAGCAGAGCAGAGTTAGTAGATGATTTCCTGCTGATAGATTCACGACGACGACAACGACGAGGACATACCGTCCTGCCACGACACAACCGCAGCTGCCACCTCCGCACACGATAATATCGAATTCCTCAGGTAATGGACTCATATCTTCTTGTTGTTTCTGGTCCCAGCCGAAAATCTTGGAGAACATGTTGTGAAACCACTCTGGGGGGTGATGGTTGCGTTCTTATGCTTTGTGGGATACTGGGATGGCCGGATCTACAAATACTTGGGACGAGGGGGAGCCTAGGGGGAGCCTAGGAGATCCCAGGCATCAAGGCACCTCCCCTTGGATATCTCGTACGAAGCCGCCAATGACGACTCATTGCTGCTAAGGTTAGGTCGTGCATCCAGGCTTGACTGCTAGTAGAAATCCCCCAACGACCCCTCCATCCCAGTATCTATTTGACAGGCATGCCAACTCACTGTCGTGGTCATCTGATATCTATCGATGCAACACTTCTGCATATGTGACTCCAGCCGAGACAGCTGCTCGGATAAGATGGAAAAGCGAATCCAAGAAAGCCCAGGAAATCCCAACGGCACAAGCGAAGGGTCTCATCCAACCAGACGTGGAACAACCGGGTTCGGCTTTCTACGTCGCCCTACGTTAAGTGTTAGTTCTAGTTTATCCACGTCACCAGACGCGACTCGTCCGTGGTATTCGATCCATGGTTTCCGGCTTAGGTTGGCACGTAAGAGGACATGTAAGAGCAGGTCGATGTGATGTCGCTCAGTAGTGGCATCTCGGTGAGGCTCGGGATGTTGTTCTTCACAGCCTTGTGGCCCCTCGTACCCCTGTCTTCCTAGTCTGCTACTTATGCTACTTATGCTACTTAGTCTGCTACCCCAGGTTGCGTTGCCTATACCTACGTGCTCATTGGCCACTAGCAGAAGGAGCTCGTATGCAAGACGGATGCCAAAATGCGGGGGAGGGGACCGTGAGGTCAAATACCCGTCAATCTACATGCCTACCCTGCTTCCCCGCAGTTTTCGAGGCGGATATTATAGTTCGTTTCTGTCGTTGGGTCTATAACTACCTACTTAGCAGGTATCCGAGAGAAGCACGCTGCATGCGTAGCCTGAACCAATAGTCTCCATGCCGTACCTTAGCGTTCGGCGCTGACCCCTTCGGCTGACCAACTTTAGTTCTTCCTCGTAGGGTTGGCGGCTTCTCGTCCTCAACCCGCCCAGGCCTTTTCCCCATACCAATCATACCCGGAAACATGGCAGTCGATCAAGAGTCTGGGGCGCTCTAAGGCACGCTAAATGATGCTAAAATCCTCGATCCTGAAGCTCCACCGTCAGCAGTAGACGACCTGCTTCCTGTTCCAGATCGAGTCGATCGGCGACGCGTATCCGGCCATTTCGAATATCACGTCTCAGCGAACTGCCGACGAAATTGGTACAAGACGATCCTCCCTGTGCTACTCCAGATGCACGGCCGACTTCTCGACGAGGGGAAATTGGAGAAATTCACATCTCACGCTGCAGCATATAACCCGTGATTTTATTCTTTCCGGCCAATTCGAGCCCAGAGCCAATATCGAACCCCAGTCAGAGTCGCACATACTTTCGAGACGATTTACTCGGGAACCATGCGGCGAGCCTATGAGACCGCAGCACGGTCCGGATACGTTCGAGTCTGTTCCGTTACTTATACCGACGGATCGTCATCGTGATGGACGCAGCACATCGGGTCTCTTCTGGATAGAAATCTCCCCTCACACTAAGTCCAAGTTTGTAGTCCAAGTTTTCACGAACTCAGTCTCCAAGTCTACACTAAGTCCACGTCTAAGCCCCCTTACTCGACCGACCCCGCGAAAGGGGTATTGCCAGTTGACAGATACTTACCAAAGTAGGCGCTGGGCATCTAGCTTGGCGACAAGAATTACTAAGTCGAAGCTCGACTTTTTCGTGACGGGAGAAGCGGGTTCTCGCGGCAATTTTCCAAGTCTACTTGGCTGTCCTGATATTACAAGACGACGCTATATTACCTACTATACGGATGCTGCCTAGAACGTACATCAGATATTGACCATGGTACTCTGCGAGACATGAGAAGGAGTGTAGCATGCATGTTCGTTAACCAATGGATGTAACATGGAGATTCCGTCCCCCACGTTGAGCTGAATTCTAACCGCAGCTCTGGATGCCGTGGTGGTAAATATGTTGGCGGCTCGAGCTCATGTGAGACATCTCTCAAGGTATGTTCCGCAGTTGGCCGCTCGCAGACTAGAAGTCCTATACCTATTATCTGTGCCTATTATCTGTACCTAGGTAGGTACCTATTGCCCAGAAGCCATCGAGTAGCCGCCCGTCTCTTCCCTATTCGTGGCATACCTACCTAGTTACTTACCTACTAGGTAGGTACTGGGTATCTACCTTCTACCTCCCTACCTCGCTCCCTACCCCCTACCCCCTACCTGGTATCTACATACCTCTACATATACATCCTCAACTTCCCACAGAGTGGTGTACGCCTACAACTTCGGGCTAGAATTATCCGGCAGCTAGATGTATGATGACATAACGTTCTAGAGGTATGCAACTGCCGTTACACTTCGTTTATTCCGACAGCCACGACAGCCACCCACGGAGTAGGGTCGATTGGCGCGTTACACCAGACCTTCACTTATCCCGGCGATGCATCATGTTGATGGTTATGAATTTCCCTACTAGGCAACCCTGTGATCATTAGGCTATGCACGTATACCCTCTTGTCTGATCGTGTATAGATTCGCGGCTTCGTCCAGGAGAAAACTCGGTATGCTAGAATTTAGTATGTTGAGGTCTCCAAATGATGCTGAACTCCTTTCCCGATGCGAGGGAATGAAGACCTAGACATACATGTGACCAGGTTACACTAGATGAGATTAGGGCTTTAAGTTATCCCCGAGTTAAATGAACGTCCATTGATCTATAGAAGTATATGCATCTGAGTATAAATGGGTATAGATCGTTATCAGGGAAGTCAACGTGACTACTTCACATGATACCTACTAGGTAGACAACAAAGTTGACAAGTCTGTGTCATCTATTTTAATATCTACCTACATCATTATCATGAAGATGTAGATGCAATGGTACTTGTTCAAGGACCGGCATATCGACGCCGGATCTGACTTGTCGACTACATCTTGAATAGTCCGGGTTTGACCGGTCATCCTTTTATGGCTGATGTTGGTGATGAGGCAGTGAGGTTGGACTCTGAAAAAGAAATGGTAGAGATGATTGGCCTTGATTCAGATATAGGTAACTTGGATGTGGATGTTGTATAACCTGTGGCAAGTTCCGAGTTGAACTGTGGCAACTGAGTTACGTGGGTGGTTGGGGAGACTAATCTGAGAACTAAGATTTCCATCATCGCCCAGTCAGAGTCAGTCTTAACTCCCGGTTGGCTGAAATTGAGTTACCTACCTAGGTACCTAGGAGGTACCTGGTCTTGGGTATAACACCAAAAGAAAGGAATGAGGTTGGCTTCAATTGGGTGTTCTCGCCTAGGAGATGCCTAAGAGGCTAACATCACATTTCCAAATAGGGGTATAAGTGAAGACCATTATCCTATGACAGTAGCCAAAGAGCTATTTCCTCTTAATCCGGCTATGCTAAAATTAAGATCTGACGCCTCCCCGATTACCCCCTGACTCCAGCGAACAAGCTGCAGAATGACATGCTTTTTCAACGCATACCTGCATACGAAAATCCTTCGGGACAAAGCAGCCACAATCACATCCTCACGCCAATTGCAGGGTATATCCAATAAAACAGGGCGGACCGGATGTTGCAACGATGCCACATCGATTTCTGCGAGTACTTGGGACCGGATAGGGTTCCGGGGGCTGTCTCATACGCAAGTCAGATCCTACGGCGATGTAGGACAAACTATTGATCGGGACCGGCATGACGGGAAGCTGCCGGAGGGTGATTCTAACATAGGTATCTACTTGACTGCAGTTTCGAGGTTCGATCTCTAGAACTGCGTTGATAATGCAGCATGAAAATTCATATGCCAACAGCATGATCAAGTTCGAATACCCCATGAGTTGACATTCATGGGGGCTAACAAATGAGCCGGCAGGAGAACTCAATCAAATTCAGATGAGTGCCTATCCTTGATTCCTACGCCACCCGTTTTGAGAGATTGGGCTGAAGTAGATCTTGGTACTTGACCCCCAAGTCTCTTTTTAGTACACATCTAACTCTATGATAGGATGCCTACGAACAATGGACATATTGGTATAGCGGAATTTCGCTGCAAATTCCGCAAACAGTGAATTCAACATGAACTCAGCAATCTCTAGAGCAAGCAAGCTGAACGCCAAGCCGGAATAGGGCTGAATTCGTACCTCTTAGTCTACACGGTGTTAAAAAAATTAATGCTGAGACTCAGAGCCTTGGATGTCTCAAGCGATGAACTGAACGTTGTGGGATCAACGCTTATGCTGCTATAGGTTATGATTGAGGGTATATCGTAGGTCTTGGCCAATGTCAGAATTATCTTTAGTAGAGTTGAACCAATCAGGAATCATATCTATGCCTATGGACTATAGCGAGAGAATGTGGGTAAGCAGCAAATGCGGCGACGAGTACCTATGGATGTTGCGGATTCGAGATTGTAGATGGCCCATTTCAGAGACGGAGAGAATCGAGTTCATTCGCTGGGACTATTTGGTCAACGCGTCGGTCTCAATGGATATAATTAATCATAGCTTGGAAAAAATCATCCAGCCAGCAGTAGCAAGACCAACAAAGTGGATTCTGCTGATGATGTGGCCCGACTAGCTCACCGGTAGAGCGCCTCACTAGTATCCTCCAATAAATACGAGAAGTAAATGAGGAGGCAACAGGTTCGACTCCTGTGTTGGGCAATCTTTTTGTTCTATTCTGCTTGACTGGCGACTTGACTGTCAACTTGTGGCTTGACAATTGGGAAACTACCCGAGTGTCAGTGGCTAACTCGCCGCTGTTAAACCCAAGGCACAAAGAAACAACCCGCCCTACAACCAAGAGCCGTTCAAGTCACAAAAGGTCTTTAGGCTACTAGGTACCAAATTGCCAATTAAGCAGATAGCGCGTTGCTCTCCATGAATACTTTTTTTTTTTTTTTGCAACGTTCTGAAGTTGGCTTCGTTAACGATACGCACGATTGTGTAATAGAAATAAAATAGAGCCGGCGCTAGTACGCTAAGCTCTTGTTCTTAGCCGGAGTTCTTCCACGGACTATGCATTGGATCGAAGCTCCCATCCAATAGAATTCATCGTATAGGAAAATTCTCACCACAGATATCTACGTCAATTGGAGGCTGATTTCACATCACACGGGCAAGATGGCCGAGTTGGTCCATGGCGCGAGGTTAAGGTTGCAATCTTAACACGATTTCCTCGTGGGGAAACCCTCGTGGGTTCGAATCCCACTCTTGTCACGATTCACTTTTTGCATTTCTTGCGTTTGGATACAGGACTTCATTGCAGCGACTTCTCTTTTTCGTATCTAGGGCTCGAGAAAGCACCTTCCAAGGCAGCGAGGCTAACATTAGGCAGTTCCAGCATCCAGGTAGCTAACAGAGTTTCAATTGATGCCTCTAAGTTTCTAGATGCTACGTTCCTTCTCTGTGAGAATACACGCTACACGGCCTATTCATGATTGGCGGGGGTTAACAGGGATCTATTGTTTTAGTTACCTTGGCAGCTTGGTACCTGCTACCTAGGACTCCTAGATCTTCCAAGACCCATCCGCCTCAGCTGTTCAGCTCATTAAACTCTTCCTCACATTTCAGCCCACCTGTCATTGTAAGTTTCTAAGACTGCGTTACTATTAGGCTGCTCTGGGTATCAAGAAGGTAGGTGAATTGGTCCATCATAGGCTCTACCTATTTTCGATTGCTTCCTCAAAGTTTTATCCTGCCTATCTACCTATCTACCTACCTACCTACTAGGTACATTATCTGGCCACCTCGTGAACAATGGGCAAACCTTCAGATCTATCTGCCAGCAAGGCAGCCGATTCCGTTTCGCTACACTCAAACGTGGGCGAGAGCTCTAGAAACAACATTCATCATGATGTCCTCGACACTCCTGAGATTTCTATCGATGATCTACCTCCGAACTACAGCGAAGTCGAATCTTTACTTCCACCAGCCATCCGGGCCCCACCACTCAACAGCACTGAAGCCCTCATGATGGAAGACGGTACAGTCTTTAATGATAGCAACTACGGTGCCCAATATTGGATAGCGAAGAGTCTCGAATATCCGGATGCGCTCGAGTCGCACATCCGAAAACTTGCTGCCATTCCACCGCGACCCTACATCAAACTCGTCGGAACACATACCGAAACGAGACGGAACGACAAGGACAAAAACGAAACTACCACCGTTGTAGACTTTGACGTATCCGTCGAACTGACACCATATCTATACTACGATGCACAATATCACAAGTCGTGGAATCAGCTACGCACTGTAGAGAATTTCGAGAAAACGAAACGAGGCACCATATTTCGGAAACGGGCTCCGGGCACACACCAGAACATCGAAGTCGGCGGCAACCCGAAGCCGACACTCACAGAATGGTGTCATCGGTACGCTGCTAGCCACGCCGGCCTAAAGGTCTTCGCGCTCCATCGTACCATGATAGGGTTCAACGAGGAACGTGTGAAGAGCCAATTGCGGACCCTCGTGAACAATACCAACTACCGCGGCCACCTCAAGGTAGAGCTCGTGATGAAAAACTCCTTGGTCGAATGCTACAACGAGGCGAGAACAAACCACTGGCGGCTGACGACGTGGATACAGACGGTGTTCATGGTCACCCTGCTTTTCATCTTCTCCTGGCCATACCTCTGGCTGCGCACGAAGAGGTGGGAGGTTGCGATTTCGGAATGGCCGTTTTCGAGGCTGACGGAGGCGGGTGCTAAGGAATATGTTAGCATTAGCGAGGATCAGTGGTATAACTTGTGGGCGCGTGCTATATCTAAGGCTGTGATGGAGAAGCGGCAGAAGGTTTTGGATCAGGCGGATCTCAGAAGGTCGCAAGAGCCTGAACCTTCGCTTGATACTGGCAACTACGCTGTTAACGGCGCGCTCGGTTTGTTTAGGGCTGGTGTGAGTGCCATGAATGAGGTGAATCGGCAGTTAGGTTGGGGTGGGGACTGCTAGAGGCGTCTCCCGGATGTAGTATTATATCAGCAGAGGTATCTGTGCCGATGTCTTTTCCATAGTGTCGTTTTCCTCTCCTTTATCCTCTATTTAGCCCAGGCGTCTTTGCGGAAGCAGGTGTTTGTCGTCGTCGCGATGCTCGGTGGGTGTTGCGTGATGGCTCTTTTGGGATAATGGAGCTTTGGGTTAGGTAATGAATTCGAGGACCATTTGCCCAATCGGGAAATTTACTAAGTGGTGAGGTTAGTCATCCAACTTTGCTTCACGATGATTTCTAATGACGTTGGGTTTGGAGCAGTGGGTTTGGGTATAAGAAGTTGACATTTACGTAGGTTTGTTCGTTGTGTTGTCGTGTCGCTGCATTGCTCTGTCACTGTGTCGTTGTGTTACAATAGGTACATCAAGTCTCAATATTCCCGAATCGCCAACGTTCGTCACTATCGCATCAAGATGGCTCCTATTCGTGTCGCCCTCGTTGGACTTTCGCAATCTGCAAAGACGTCTTGGGCTGCTCAAGGTCACCTACCTTACCTTTTCTCACCACGAGGACGCTCTCAATACGAAATCGTCGCTCTACTTAATTCAAGTGCCTCCGCGGCAGAAGCAGCTCGGGATTCCTTCGCCCTTCCCTCGAACGTCAAGGCTTACGGCGATCCGAATGACCTAGCTTCAGATACGAATGTTGATCTAGTGGTCTGTTGCACGCGCGTGGATACACATAGCTCGTCCACAGGACCATCTCTACGGGCTGGCAAGGCTGTTTTCATAGAATGGCCCTTGGTTCAAGATTACAAGGAAGCCGTCGCTCTGGCAGGGAAGAAACGTCTGGACAACACTATCATCGGACTTCAGGGACGCGTTTCCCCAATTGTCATCAAGCTCAAAGAGATACTAAAATCGGGACGTATTGGTCGGGTACTGAGCAGCGACGTCCACACCTACGGAAATCTTGCTAGGAGGGACTCGTTCTCGGAGGGTCTATCGTACTTTGCGGATCGCGAAGTAGGCGGTAACCCCATCACGATCGCTTACGGGCACACCATCGACTACGTGCATGAAGTCCTCGGGGAATTTTCGTCTTTTCAGAGCCGCATGCAGATTCAGCGACCGGTGATTGGAGTGCATGACAAGGACGGTTCTCGGATCAAGGAAAGATCCACTAATGTCCCGGATCTCCTAGTAATTCATGGGAAGCTGGCTAAGGGGAAGGCCAATATTGCGGATGATGCTACTTTGTCCTTCTTCTACAGGAACGGGCCACAGTTTAAAGGGAGCCCTGGGTTCGTGTGGACTATCAACGGCGAGTTGGGCGAGGTCATGGTAACGGCCAACGGTGCATACGTGCATTCGGATTCATATAAGGACCCGATCGAGATCAAGGTGCACGACCATGTTACGGATGAGGTAGTCGACGTGGAATGGAACTGGGAGGATTGGCAAAAGGAACTTCCGTACCGGTCTCGGATCGTGGCAGAGTTGTACGAGAGATTCGCGCGTTGGTGGGCTATCGGGAAGCCGACGGGTGATCTTCCCGACGAGCAGGAATGGCCTCGTCTCCACGACGCTGTTATAAGGATGGAGGAGTTGGATGAGGTGTTTAGGCAGTACGACGCGCAAGAGTGAGTGAGAGTTGAAACTATCTATGTCTAGGTACCTAGGTCCCAGGTAAGAAAGAGTGGCTAGACATGGGGTTTATCATTGAATTTAGGTTTAGTTTCTATTAACGTTTATGCTACTGCTATCTATCAGTGTCGGTCTCCCTCTGATAGGTAATCACCGCCTCAGGTCCTCGTTACATTCCGAGATCCCGTTATCTATTGTCTGTAAGCGGTCTGATACAGTCTGATCAGTCTGATGCGGTCTGGTGAAGATGGATTAAACTCGGGGTCGCGGGAAATCTGATAACTTGGATATCTCAGCTTTGTCCTGTATTTTGTATTGAACGACACGAGTCCTGATTCCGAAGATCTGGGTTTCAGCAAGTTGACATTTGGGTTCTGTGATGCTATTGGTGTTATCTCTCCTATCTTGATGAAACGGCATTAGTGGGCTATTTACAGAATCCTGGGTCTGCTGGTGTTTAGATAATACAGTGTTCATTTAATCATTGGTATTGGCGGATCTGCAATTGACCAATGGCCAATGTCTTTCGTCTGATAACATTCTATGCGTGCCTCGGTTGGTACAGATAATAACATGGCTGCATGGAAATTGGGTTATTTTCCCTGTCGAGCGTAGGTGAGCGCAGGTGATTCATCGGTGAACCTGTTCGTGGTCATTAGTCCTACGTCACAGTTGCCCTATGAAGGTACGTAGGTATTTGTTACCCAGCAGCCCAGGTACCTAGGTAGTAGTCAATAATTGCCCAACTAATATTCGTATACGTACGACTCGCAAATATTCACATCGTAGCCCAATGTTGTATTTCCATTACATAGTAGTCTTAGAATGAAACGAGCCCATCCCTCGCTATTGTGAAAAGAACGTTGACCGATTCTAGAATAGGAGTGTCGAACCCACAAATTACAGGCTTCCCTCCACGTATCTTCGCCACTAATGCAGATTAATGCAGATGAGTACGTAGCAAGTGCTTGTTCAATTTCGTACGAGATAAGCCGGCTATCCAGGGTTTATGGAAGACCGCTATGCCGACTACATTCTAGGACCGAAGAAAAGTCGGGGCTTAGCTTCGGTCCCCCGGAGCCGTTGCCTTAAAAGCGGAAGCGTATCAAATCATCAAACCCCATTGGTCATTTTGCCTCGTTCAGAGAAGGGCCGACAAAATTCTGTACGCGTCGATCGTTTAAAGATGAGAATTCCTTAAAGCGGGTTAGTCGATACCATAATTGAATGCATTTAGTAATTGAAACTTTAAGGTTCGTAAGATCAATCGATCGAAAAGTTTGTTTCCGACATTGCCTCCCATGTCTAGGTATGTACCTTGGATGTTGTATTAATTCTTGTAATGGCAACTTCGACGTTACACATGTTTGCCATTCTTATCTCTACCCAGGTACATACATGGTACGTATCACAGCCAGAGAACAAGGGTACCTATCATGAACGCGGCCTGTCCGTCATCCTCACGTGCTACGCTAGCTGCTAAGAGACAGGCCAAGGCGAATAACCCTGGGTTATCCTTGGGTCATCCTGGCTTGTCTAGGGCGATTTACAGGGACAAGCCTATGCTAGCTCTCCGAAGGCGTGGGTGAAGATCAGCTATGATATCAACCCGCAGGTTTTTAGTCCTTTCTTTCCTTAATCAGCTGAGATTATTTTTGCGACTCCTTCCCGTTTGTATTTTCTTCTTTTTAAACTTCGTCTCTTTGTCTAACTTTGAATTTTCAATTTTGTGGCTTTGGAAAAAAAGCATCTTTTTTTCTGTTCGAATAGCGAAGCGATATCCAAACCTATAAATCATCAGCCATATGGAGTAGAATAATTATCGTATAATCCTTATACTCTCCTTTTACCTACTTGGTAACGTGGCATCGCCAAACGACATTCACTTCATCTAGTCGCGTGATTGACATTTTTTGTCATTTTCGTTTTCGATTCCGAAGATGACGGACGCCGACATCAAGAAACCTGTCACCACCGACGCCGAAGCGGGTCGCGCCGAGTCCGGGGAACATACCGCCGACCAGGTTTTGGTATCTCTCGGATATTCCCCTGAATTGCAACGGAATCGGTCTACCCTCCATGTCGCCTTCATGTCCTTCGTTCTGGCAGCCATCCCCTATGGTTTAGCCACGACGATGTACTATCCCTTAGTCGCAGGTGGTCCGGTCGACATCATATGGGGATGGGTAGCCGTATCGCTCATCGTCATCTGCGTGGCCGCGTCCCTAGGTGAAATCACGAGCGTATACCCAACCGCCGGTGGTGTCTATTACCAGACTTTCATGTTGGCATCTCCACAATGGCGTCGACTTGCTGCTTGGACCTGCGGATGGTTATATGTCGTCGGAAATGTTACCATCACTTTGGCTGTCAACTTTGGTACTACCTTGTTCTTGGTTGGATGTGTCAATGTTTTCGAAACACCCGAGGGCGAGGGAGTGCTCGCGGGCGAGCCTTACCAAGTATTCCTCATCTTTTTGGGAATCACATTTTTGTGCAATGCCGTTTCGTCTCTGGGGAACAAATGGCTCCCTATTCTTGATGTACGATATGAATTTTGCATTACCTTCACCTCCCCGAATTTTTACTCTGGGTCGTGTTTTACTGTGCAGGTGTGCTAATAGTTTTGCTCCAGACTTTCGCAATTTTCTGGACATTTGCCGGCGTTCTCGCTATCATGGTTTGCGTCTTAGCCATCGCCAAGGAAGGCCGTCACGATGCGAAGTGGGTTTTTACTCATTTCGAAGTCAACTCTGGCTGGACACCCGGTTGGTCGTTCTTCGTCGGTCTTCTTCATGCCGCCTATGCCACTTCTTCTACCGGCATGATCATCTCGTATGTATCCAACCTGATACCCCTTTCCCCTTTCCTCCACCCCCCTTATTCCGATTTATTCTAACTTGTCGTAGGATGTGCGAAGAAGTGCAAGCGCCAGCGACTCAAGTCCCTAAAGCGATGGTGATGACTGTTTGTATCAACACCATAGCCGGGTTGATGTTCATGATTCCGTTGATGTTCGTTCTTCCTAACTTACAAGAACTCGCTCTCCTATCTCAACCGGTCCCGGCCATTATCAAGAGCGCGATAGGAAACCCAGGGGGTTCGTTCGGCTTGTTAGTCCCTCTTCTTGTCCTAGCCGTCATCTGTGGTATCGGTTGCACGACGGCTACTTCGCGATGCATTTACGCCTTTGCTCGAGATGGCGCCATTCCCGGATCCAAGTGGTGGAAGGTTATCGACCACAGGCTAGACGACGTACCATTAAACGCCATGATGTTGAGTATGGTTGTTCAAATCATTCTCGGTGTCATCTACTTCGGTTCCACCGCCGCCTTCAACGCCTTCTCGGGAGTGGGTGTGATCGCTCTTACAGCTTCTTACGCTACGCCGATCATAGTCAGCATGCTCAATGGTCGCCAGACTGTCAGCACCGGTAGTTTCTTTTTGGGTTCATTTGGATGGTTCTGCAATATTGTGGCTGTTTGTAAGTTCACCCCACCCTACCGTGTCAGACCCAAAGTCTGGCCGTTGTCTCCTGGGCTAACAATAGTATAGGCTGGTCTCTTCTAGCGATTCCGTTATTCTGCATGCCTACTACCGTTCCGGTAATCGATCCTACGACGATGAACTACGCCTCGGTCGTCTTCGTAGGATTTATCGCCATCTCCGCCGGCTGGTACATAGCCTGGGGACGAAAGAACTATGTTGGGCCGCCGAAATGATTTGGCCGATGTTGGATGCCCGTGAAGTGTGGATAGAGCCTACTCACCCGCCGGATGGTCTGCTTGTGCCCAACTTGGTGCTCCGTGCTCGTGTTTTGCCGTGATACCCAAGAAAATGGATGGATTTGTTATACGGACAAGGGGCCGTCGTGATGTGATAGCCCACAAGTTGATACACAATGCGAGCTCTAGCGAGTGCAGCATATTACATGAATAAATATTGCGCCACAACTAATGCGATCGAACAATTTTTCTTTCCATGATACTGACCAACTTGATAATAGCATTGCGATTCCTTTCGTAACCTGAACCATCCCAAACCCATAACGCGTGCGATACTCGTTAGTCATTATCTTTTCGCATGTATCGGTTTTGGAGAAACAGCTAACAGATATAGGTACCTATGGCGATGGGTGAACTCAGCTAAGGAGGTAAGTGTTGAAATCAAACCCACCGCGCTGCCGTTCAGGGCAGTAAAGGATTCCGATTTGGCTCTACTCATGGTTGTAAGCCAATCCGTTATCACTCATGTAACACAGGGCCGGCACGACGTAGGCCGACATTGCGTCATAGCCACCGACGAGTGTACCTTGGCTACTTGCCTTATTCTTATCCATGGATGGATATCAATCCAGGATTAGTCGAACCGTGACGGCCGAGGTCATGTACCTTGTACGGACATACGGTGCCTTCGGTGTTCAAGGCCCGGTTACCGGGTTACTATCGTGGTAAGATACCTAGTAGCTAGGAGACATAGATACTAAATATAGTTACCCTCAAAAGACCACTGATTCTATCTACCTGTATGCTCCAACTCCGTCACCTCTGCTACTACCTCGGCACATGTTTTCGCGACTATAACCGTGCTCAGTTCGTGCAGGGGAATAAGAATCCGGAGAACTACCCCGCAATGATGATCCATGGTGTAGCATTCACGGGGGTTAATGCGGAGATGCATACCGGGATGAATATGAGCCGCTACTGTGACGCCTATTAGTTATATCTAGAGACCTACTTATCTGTCCGGGTATGCCAGTCGCTTATTTGGGAGGTGGGCGTGTTCTTCAGTTCTCAATTCATCACCTGGGCAGTCGAATTCATCACCACCTAGAAGTACTAGGCACCAAAGGTCATCCCCAAAGAATTAGACGATGGAGAAAACAGACACCCCGGAGCACCTCGAGGAGGGGAAAGCCGTCCCATCATCCGGAGATACTATCCACGAAGAATTCGACTACGAGCGTAACAGACTCCTCAACAAACGCCTCGACCTTCGGATACTTCCCCTATGTTCCTTTCTCTACCTCCTGAACTTCCTCGACAGAGGTAACATAGCGAACGCAAAAGTCCTAAACCAGGAAACTGGTGATGATCTACTCCAAAAGACAGGGATGACGGCTAGTGGATACTCTCTAACCGTCACCCTGTTCTCGTTGGCCTATACCCTTTTTGAAGTTCCATCGAATTGGATTATGAAGCATTATGTTCGCCCGTCCATTTGGCTGGCTACGCTCCTTGGTTGCTGGGGTGCCTTGACTCTTGGGTTCGCGGGTGTCCAGAATTACGCTACGGTGTTGGTGTTGCGGTTACTTATTGGGGTGGTTAGTACCTAGAAGTTATTAGACTCGCGATGATACGGTTAAGTTATCTAACATCTTGTAGTTCGAAGCAGGTTTCTTTCCTGGTAATAGATTCCTACCTGCTAGTACCTACCCTCACAGGGAGTGGACATGGCTAACGAGACAGGGATCGTGTATCTCATAACGATATGGTACCGCCACGATGAAAGATCGGTTCGAATCGCTGTAGTGATCGCCTTTTGCAATCTCGCCGGTGCCTTCGGTGGATGTATCGCTTACGGGTTAGGAACCGCAAACGGCGGGGCCGGACTCGAAGGTTTCCGTTGGCTGTTCATTCTTGAAGGCACGATAACTATGCTTTGTGTGATACCGACACTCTTCGTATTGCCTGACTACCCCGCCCGCGCCAAGTTCCTGAGCCCGTCCGAAAAGAAGTTCGCGGAGGATCGGGTTAAGGAACGTGGGGGTGGATATAGTAGAGATCATGCGACGCGAAAAGAGATATTGGAGACCTTCTTCAGTCCTCGGATGTTAGCTCATTACCTAGTCTATGTGAGTTGATACCCGTGTATCGGACCTTTGGTTAATCTCGGGTGCTTACCAGTGAACAGATTGCCAATGTGGTGACTCAGGGGTCATTTACATTCTTCACTCCGACTCTCGTCACCGGGTTAGGATATAGTTCCATTCAAGCCCAGCTGTTAACTGTCCCTCCGGTGAGTCGTACACTTCGTTGACCCATCTCACTAGAGTAGTCCAGAAGGGGTCCAGTCCAACATACTAATACAATGCATGATGCCCTAGTGGGTTGTTGGCTTCGTCGTCGCGATCCTAGTCTCTTACTCGGCTGACCGGTTCAACGCCCGAGGTTGGCACATTACGGTAATCTCGACTATCGGGGGTGCAGGATGGCTGACTGCTGGCTTACTTCCTTCGACCTCGTACGTGCAGAGGTACGGCGCGTTGGTTATGGCGGCTACAGGTGCATTCCCTGCCGCTCCACTATGCACCTCATGGGTTACAGTGAATTCGCCTAGTTTACTTACGATACCGTTCGCCATTGCACTTCATAACTCTTGCGCTGGTATCGGACAGATCATCGCTCAATGGATATGGCTTGATGTCGATACCGGGAACTTTACGTGCGCGGCCTGCAACTTCTTCGTTGCGATCGTGGCCTTCAGCTTGAGAATACACTACGGGAGAATGAATCGAAACGGTATTAAGGATGCGAGAGGGGAGAAGAGGGTATGGTCATATTGAGAATCGTTTGTATTAGGTTAAATTACCAGCTTGAAGCTGATGCCGTAGTTATCAGTTCGGACCTCCGAAAGAGTATCACGTGACGGTATCGATCTGTATCAGTCGCCTATCACAATCACCATGTGACCCTATCTTTCACTTTGAGGCGTCGCCTGTCAGCTCAATGAAAATTAGAAAATTAGAAAATTCTACTTTTTTTCAATAACGGAACTCTGGATCAGAAATTTCGTAGGTTCCGCTGCCAAGTTGTAGCACTTTCTTACTACCTGGCAACGTCACTTCGGCATTTGCATTAGGCGGAACATCGACGCTCAGGTGAAATCCGGTATCGTCGACGGACCAGTCAGTTTTGAACAACCCGTACGGGCTCAGGTAGCTGGCCTTTGCCGACGTCAAGTTACCGCCGGGGTGTGGAGCGATCTCTGCCGTTTTCCAGCCTGGCTGCGCCGGTGCCAATCCGCCGATTGTTGTATGCATCCAGTTCGCGACCGAGCCGACCGCGTAGTGATTGAACGACGTCATCTCCCCAGGGTTTAGCGATCCGTCCGGCTCGAGAGAGTCCCACCTCTCCCACGTGGTAGTGGCATTCATGTCGACTTGGAAAAGCCACGAGGGGACTGTCGTCTGGAGTATCATGTTGTAGAATACGTCGGTCATATTATATTTGGTGAGAGTTGAACCGAGGATGTGGGTTCCGGCAAATCCTGTTCCAACCAGGTAATTATTATCCGCGATGATGCTCTCCAGTCGACTAGCTGCGGTAGTTGCTTCGTCGTCATTATTGTAAAGGTCGAAATAGAGAGGTAGCACTAATCCGGTCTGCGTCTCGTTAATTGAACCCTTAGGCCATGCCTGCCAGAAGGCGGTTGTGAGGTCCGCCACCGACTTTGCGTATTGGGATTCGTCGTCGACAAGACCAAGCTCAGATGCCATTTTGGAAACTAACCCCGTCACGTAGATAAGATATGTGTCGGCAACGTACGACGAATTTGTGGTGGCAGCTCCTGGTTGGTCGGCTGGAGCCTTGGGATCGAGCCAGTCGCCGAATTGAAAAGTTGACCGATTCCATAGACCGACGTCATTTCTTTTGATCCCCTGATCGATCCATTCTTTTGCGCCGACCAGCTGCTCTTTCAAGACGACCAAGTCTCCGGTAGTGCGGTATAGGTTCCAAGGTATGCCGACGATGCCGTCTCCCCAAATCGCCGTCGCCATCGCGGATCCTGCTGCGGATACACCCGGGATAACTACCGGAGGCACGCCTGGGTAAAGGTGTTAGTTTGCAAGTATTCTTACAAGGGGATAATAGAAAATGAAACCAAGGACGAAGCCAAAGACGAAGCCAAGGAATAGTACTAACCATTAACTTGTTCAGAGTGGAAATCCTTTAACCAAGCTCGCCAAAATCCAGATGTTTCCATGAGAAAATTTGCCGCCGGCGAAAATGCGTGAGCGTCTCCTGTCCAGCCTAGTCGCTCGTCTCTCTGGGGACAGTCGGTTGGAATACTCATGAAGTTACCTTTCATGCTCCAACGTACATTCTTGTGTAGCTTATTCAAAAGTTCATTGGAGCACTCGAAGGTTCCCGTCTCTTCCAAATCCGAATGCACGACTATCGCTGTGATGGATTTGCCATCCAATGGCGTTTCCTCTGGCCAGCCATCCACCTCGACGAAGCGAAATCCGTGGTATGTAAAGGTCGGTTCCCAGGTTTCTGTACCCTTGCCGGAAAGTGTCAGGTAGTCGGTCTGAGTCGCGTTCCTAAGAGGTCGAGTGGCGATTTCTCCATTCTCGAGAACTTCGACGTGGGTTAATTTGATCTTAGTCCCTTCCGGGCCCGCGACGGTTAACTTGAGCCACCCTACCAAATTCTGTCCGAAGTCCAAGATAGTCTTGCCACTCGGACTCGTGAGTATTTCTTTCAATTCGACTGTTTCGACACGGCGAATAGGGGGTCCGTCTGGAGCAGCTAATTGGCTGTAAGGAGTCTCGAGCTCTTTTGTACCGATCCAGCTTGCGGTTGTGTTTGGTGTAAAATTAGGGGCCGACCAACCCTGTTGCTCCAGCCTTGAGTCATATGTCTCACCGTCGTAGATCTCGGATGTGATGATTGCTCCTGTACTCGCGCTCCAGGATTTGTCTGTTATGATTTTCGTCGAGGTACCGTCTTCTGAGGTAATGACCAACAAGGCCATGGTACCTAGAGTATCTCCCCAAATATTACGAGCGCCTCCGTTATATCTGTCACACAGTTAACATGTGCTTGGTTTACGTTTCGCGGGTCATCTGGGAATCTTGTGACATACCCAAGTCTACCAGAATACCACCCTTCGCCAACTTGGATTCCGAACGCGTTATCTCCATCGAGGATAAGGTCAGTGACGTCGTGGGTGTTGTACTCAATCCGATGCTTATACGACTGCCAACCCGGAGCGAGTACGTGATCGCCGACCCTCTTGCCATTTATCCAAGCGTCATATATACCTTGCGCAGTGATATACAGTCTGGCTTTCTGTATACCACCGCCCACCGAGAATTCTTTTCGAAGAAGTACTGGCTGGTGTGGGGCATTTTGTTCGGTCTCTTTGTCGGCAGCTATGATCGTTGCATTTGACCAGTCCTCTTGGGTGAGGAGTCCTGTTTCGACGTTGAAGGGATCCGACCAAGGGGTATCGGGCTGGTCTCCTTCGCCGTACGCTCTCACTCTAACCGTCGCAGACTCCGCCGACGATAATGACACGGTAGGCCATGGTACGAGGATGGAATCCGAAGAGTTATAATGGAATAGCTGAACTTCCGACTGCCGAGATAGTTCGAGACTATATCCGCTCTGGGTCCAGTTTGGGAAGCTTCCCTCGAATCGCCATGATATGCGTGGATTGGCCTCACCGATACCTAAAGCCTCACGGTGGTGTTCGAAAGACACCTGGGAGACTGTCACTGCCGCCATTATGCTAGTGGTTTACTAGTGATTTACTAGTACTCAATTGCCGCTCTGGCGAAACAATGTGGCATGGCTGGCGTCTTTGGGTGCTAAGGCTACACCTTTATTATATTATTGACCCATATTCAACCTCGGAATGTGTATGGATAAATCGCGAGCGAGCTTCGGTGCCCCCGGTCGATCTATCCAGATCATATTCTGTATCGTACCGGTGTATCATGACCCCGAGCGTGGAGTCCCCGCAAAGATCTACATCGTGACGCGGAGATTGAACCCAGGCCGGCTAATGAATGCGGTTTCCCCAATGGATATTCGTGCTACGAGAACATGGAGAACCGCGCCAATACGTAATTAGATCGGCCAGGGTATTCTCCTAGGGAAGTACCGAGGTTGGTCTTAATAGCAGGGGAAGTGGTGAGGAGATCGCAGGAACTCCAACGCCAAGAAATATTTTATAGTGCCTAACAGGTTCCGCTATGGCCTCATCGGCGTTCGACGTGTCTTAGGCTATCCGAAGTTTTCCCACGGATAATCCCTCACTCTAGGGAGATTCGCGGAGCTTGCGCGTTCGAAGTGGTTAAAACAAGATTGAGATCGGGTTACACTGCCTGCAGGTCTCGTTGTTCATTCGTCTGTCCATAGGAGAGGCAATATTGGAAAGAGGAGAATCACTTATGATTGCCGGATTTATGTGCGTGAGGGGAAATAGTAGGACGTGATGGTTGGTGTCAGGAGATTCCGGTGCAAATAAATACGAGTTTACGATACCTAGGTGTACGATAATCTCCTGTGCAGGTATGTAGGTAGGTAGCATTTTCAGTAAATATTGAAAGTAGGTAAGGTCCATCTAGCCTGAGGTCAAGAGACACTCTCGCAACAACGTATTACCTTTCCCCGCCTTCTAGGTCCTTCACCGTGACACAATTATCACATGTAGGTACCTCCACTACTAGTGCCGTTCCCCAAAAACTGCAGTTGCGTTCGTGCTAGAATTACTCTGCGGAAGTTGCAGAGATGGTGTAAGTCCGCCACCATCAGGCAGCTCTTGGAGCAATTGGGCTAACATGGTTAGCGTCTTCCGCAACCTACCTACCTAGTATTTAGGTACCTGTTAAACTTACCTGCTCTCATCGCCAGCGCATAAGTCAAACCCATAGGGTGGGCAGATGGTTGATAGGGGAAGACCGAGCCGTCTACGATTCTCACATTGTCGGTACCGTATACCAATAGCGACGTATCGACTACACCCCCTGCTCCCTGCGAAAGCATCGGGTTGCCGCCTGTGAGGTGCTCGGAAGTACCGGTTCGCTGCTTGACGATATCGTAGTATTGATCGAAGGGGATATCAAAAGGGGGGTCGACTGACGTAATGATATCTCTCATAGGTGGCGTCGTGGCTATTTTCGTTTCCCAGAATTGTGCGGCTTTGGCGAGGAACCACATGTCCCATTCGACTGCCGTGCCGTTGACAGTGGCAATGACTCTGTTGTAATTCGGATCGATGATAGGAGGGGCAAGCGGATCGCTGCTATTAATGTGAACTGTGCCTTGGCTAAGCGGTAGGAGATTGTACGGGGTGACTTTGGGTTCCTTGAATTGCCATGCCATTTCTATAAGGGGTTGATCCGTGAACCAGAGCGTTTTGAAAACTTGGAGTTGGGCATCTGGGAGTCCTGGAATGCTGTTGTTTGAATTGAGCCATTGCGATGCTGCCGTGTAGTCATCGTCGCTGAGCATGTTGCGAGCGCTTTCTAGCTGGATATAATTCTGGACGAATTCACCCCCGGTAAGGTTGATGTCGAGTCCATAGGAGATAGGAGGATAATTCATCATTGGCCTTCTCGAATGTAAGACGTTGCAATTGAATTTTGGGGGGTTGATATTACACTTACGGGTCTCTCAATCCTACACCAACGTTTGTGAGATTTATCTTCGGCGTGATCCCGAGAGGGGTCAATATTGTTGGATCACCGACGCCTGAAAGTTCCAAAATCTGTGATGATTGAATGCAACCGGTGCTGATTATAACTTGTCGACCATTCACATGGGAGGTTAAATTAGATCCGGACTCTCGGTCAGTATAACTAAGTCCTGCTGCAGAGATTGAAGCATTAGGAGCAGTTTCCTTCCAGTCAATCCTCGTCACTTGGCTATTAGTTAGGACGTGAAGATTTGATCTTCCTTCGGCCATGGTATACGCAGAGCCAGCATATGACCTAGTGTAAGCAGATGGCTCGATAGCTAGAGGCAAGAATCCACCACCAATCGCATCGCCCCCGTTTCGATCTGGAGGAACCCGGTAACCGGAATTCAGTAACGTAGGGTTAAGGAATTGGGGGAACAGGTTAAGCACGCTCCGTTGGAAACTTGATTGGATATAACCGTGACCACCGTGATACGCAGGATCATACGTGAAATATTGAGATATATTGTTCGGCGGTCCATACATCTTTTCTGATTGTCGGTAGGCTGTGTATAAGGTCTCGAAGTTCCAGCCAGTAAGGTTAAGAACCGATTCCCAGATATCCAACTGTATTCTGCTGTCCAGATTGTGTATCATCCAGTTCATTGAAGATGTACCGCCAATCACTTTACCCCTAGGCACAGGCTGAGCTCCCGTGTCTAGACCAGGTTGGGGCGTCGTCCAAAATTGCCAGTCATATTCGGTATGCTGGATTGACCCTGACATGGTGAGTAATGGGGTTGTATAGGGTTGTATATAATACGATGCAGCTGTACCTCTTAGCTCTGGATCTGTAATGTTGCTCTCGTATCTCCCATCGCCGCCTGCTTCTAGAACACAGACTGTGATATTGGGGTTTTCAGAAAGGATGACAGCTAAAAGAAGACCCGCTGTACCAGCTCCGGCTATCACGTAGTCGAAAAGGGTTGTTCCATTCTGAGCAATCGAGAGGGCAATTATTCCCATAAATAGTAATCCTCTTGCTGTCATATTGCCATTATAACCTGATCAAGACGACAGTTGAGGAGGGAGTCTGTCCAAATCCTAAGGAATATGAACCAACGCCCCACAGCTAAATATCAAATACGTAGATTTGAGGTAATGACGGCATGAAGATCCAATATTTCATAACCCTCCATCTTTGACGTTGAACATACTTGTCTTGCGACCATTTTTGCAAGCCTAAATCTCCCAATTACCTCGTTGTCCCTAGCATAGGTGTCGCCGTGATGAAATTCAACCAAGGACGAAAAAGTAAGGAGTGAGCGAGACCTTGGAAATCACTGACCTTAGCTCAAAAGAGGCCCATCGTGAGAGACTAGGATGACATAACAAATGAATTAGATATGTCAGCATCTCAATAGCAATCCAAACGCAGGATTTACCAAGATATCACATCGTTTCAGCTACACCAGCGCCAAAGAAATAGGGGGTCGCGAACAAGGATCGACAGCTGGCACCAATCCCCACCGGGCCGTCAATAGGCCAGCCAGGCCTACCATTTCCGTCGACTTGAGACGAAGCGTCCAAAGACCCAGTCCTTCTCCCAATGACACAATTCACCCAATCCACTTCTCCCTCCGAGCAGGACACTCGATAATACCTACCTAATTCAACGCCCAAAACACCTAAATCCGGGTATTTCGATAATACCACATGTTATAACGACTCACGAAAAACTCCGCTCTCATTCCCACTCCACCCTCACAACCCCGCGCGAGCTAGAACGAAAGAAATGTCCGGCCTCGACTCCCCCGACGTAAGCGCGGCCTACGACGCCGTCCGATCCGACAAGGACGACACGAACTGGCTACTCCTCTCGTATGCGGGCGCCATGGGCGACAAGCTCGTGCTCTCAGGGACTGGCTCAGGCGGTCTGCAGGAGCTCGGGCCCAAGCTGGACGATGGGCAGGCCCAGTACGCGTACGTGCGAATCGAGTATGCCAACGACACGGAGAGCACGCGGGTCAAGTTCGTTCTTCTGATTTGGATCGGCGAGAACACGAAGGTCATGCGTAAGGCGCGCGTTTCTATCGAGTCGGGGGCCGTAAAGAGGGTTCTTAGCCATCATAGCATCTCGGTTGATGCGCGGGACCGTGGGGATATCGATCAGGATGAGATTGTTGCTCGTTTGAGACGGGCGGGTGGTGCGGATTACAATGGTGGACGGGGTTGAGAGAGGGAATGATGGAGGGGAGAGTAGCGGATGAGAGGTGCCCTCTGGGTTGCACGACAGGTGGCTGAAGAGGGGTACCCTTCGTCGGGCTCGAAACCCTCTAGAGCTTGCTCTTCCGCTCATACAACATTGTTTCCCCGCCCCTTCTTACGACAGACAACGAATTATACTTTTCAACATAGCGAGGCGTAGAGATTGAAGGTGTTCAGGTGCCGAAGACGAAAAGACGGTGGTGTGGTTCATTTCTCCGTACCATATACCATTCGCATATATACAGGATCAATATAGAAAGAAGCATTGGGATGTTGCTGAGTGCTTAGTGTTTCTGTTAGGCGCAAGCTTCATGTTCGTTCGTCCGTAGCCGTAGAGGCGCAAAGGTTCCTAGTCTTAACCATTGATAGGCTCTCCATTCCAGCCAGTGAGATTGACGACTTCGGGGATTCTCCCGCTTCTTACTATAGTCCAGATCACATCTTCGTCCCCGTCGTTGACTTCTTGGTGTTCCATGAATGCGGGGATAAGTGCGTAGTCGCCTGGTTCCAAGTCTACCCTCTTTGCTCCCCCTTCACTTACAACAGTGCCCCGTCCTTTAACAGCATAGACTACCGTGTCCTGTTCGCCATGGTGGTGGACGGATGAAGCAGTGTGTGGTTTCGCAAGCATGTGAGTAGCACATATGCCGTCGCATTTATCGACTATTGCGTTGGATCTTATCATTCCCTCTGTCTGGCCTCCGGATTGTTTGATGGAAGAAGCCTTGGTCAAGTGAACTGGCTGAGATGGTTCGGGATGAGACATGATGAAGGGATTGTGAATTAAATTGAACTCAGACCTAAAGTGAAAATACAACTGTAAACAAGACTAAATGTTTGAAATGAAGGTTCTCTCTTTCCTCACCAGTAATATGTTGCAACTACCGGTTAAGTATAGGAAGGCACGGCTTAGTCATGATGATAACATGGATGAATTTACACGATAGTGGGGTGGTGGGATGGCGGGGTTCGGCGTTGATTGCCATCCGCCCTCATTCTTCCTCCTTCAACTATCTACCATTAAATTTATATCACGTCACGTCACATCGTAAGCGATATGGATATTTCGAATCCTCGTCGGATATTAGCCGTGTCATTGGCAGATTCGACACAACATCTTACTAGGGTGATTAAAGGTAGATGATCAAGATTCATAAATTTAGTTGCCGTTGGCCCCTGAAATAAGTCATATGCCACCTACCTTAGTGCATCCACATCTAAGAATTACATCGCTCATCATCTCGGGAACTAACTGGAAACCAGATCTCACCGGGACTCATCCAGAGCAAACGTCAACAACCTTAGCTGGTTCATCACACAACCTTCCCTTAAAAACAGCATACTACACAGCAGAGGTCCCTATATGGTTAGACCTCATCTCATCACCATCAGAATGGGCCGACTCGTTTCTATCACCCGAAGCCAAGGAGGTACTCGAAGTGCTAGGTGGCCTCGTCATAGTCTTTGCTCTCCCTATTGAGTCACAGTCAGATGAAGGCAAGGCCGCACGCGAACTCATCCAAAGCGTCGGCAAGGTTGTCAAGGAGGGACTTGGCGGCTGGTCCTGGGACGGAGTAAGCCTATGTCTAGGTGTGGGAGAAATCGACGATGTCAACGAATGGGAGGACTGCTGTGCAGATTTGGGGCTAGAGTTCGTTCAGGTAAGGAGTAAGACTATAAAAGAACGCAACGAATTCGGTGGTACGTCTTCACAGCCAAACCTGACTTTGACATCATAACACCATTACTCACCCAAAGTAGAGAAAACTGGAATCCCACGGGCACTGGAAGCACTGGAATCAAACGACTGGTCACAGGTGTCAGAAGATCTCGAGTCGGATTTAAAAGAATTCGAAAACGAACTACGTATCGAGAAAGACGTCAAAGATAATGGCAAGGACAAGGATGGTCCTGATCTCGATCCAGAAAGCCTCGACTTCGGTTTTGACCGCGAAGACTTCGAAGAGTTGAGACAAGCGATATGGAATTCCGGGCAGGACAACGATGAGCCAAGCGCGGGAAATAACCCTGATGGAGGGGAGGATCTAAATGATAATGAGATCCGAAAGATGGAGCTCATGATGATGAAGCTTCAGGCAGTGCGTGACACGAGTGCTGGTTTACCGGAAGAGCAACGGAAGAAGGTAGCTGCAAAAGCGGTGGCTGAGGTGATGAAAGAACTTTGAACGGCACCAGGTCATTATCACGATCATCGTGTAGGTATTCATTAGTACGAAGGGAAGAAAAAATCCATAGGCTTCGGCTGTGATTTTTTAGCACGAAAAGAGACCCCAATAAGGAAGCCACCACAGTTGACACTTTGATTAGGGTCAGGAGAGTATTGACTTGATTTCGAAGTCTTGCAGGTTTGGACTTGAAGATGTATAGAAACCCACATGGACGGTGAGATTACCTTATGTGACAATTCGAGGCTAGATAGCACTCGCCATTTTCATCTGGACAGTTGTCATAGCACGAGCATCTACGACCGCTGCTATTAGTATGCGAGATTCTCTGGCTATACTGCTCAAGTTGAGTTATTTCTAGATAGAGCCTCGTTTAAAATAGCTGAGACATCCATCTTAGAAAAACAAGATCGAATGAACCGATACTCTTAGGACATACTGTTATGGCATACTCTTATGGTAACAACTCCGCTGGCTTTATTGCATCTCTTAAGGTAACCAGACAAGGATCATGCTCGAGCGCCTCCATCCATCTGGTATCAGACTAGGGCACATGGTCTCTAGGACAGCAGAGCCTCACGGTGAATAGATTGCCGGATCGGCATCAGATCGTCCGTGGTTAAGTTTACCTATTTTACCCACTTACCGTTTCACGTCCGAGACAACCGGCTTGGGTTGTACTATTCGAGGCAACACAGCCACCACGATACGATGTGTATCTCTGTCGGCACTCGCCGCCGAACGATTCCCTTGCTTCGAGCGAGCGGCTAGATCCATGGTGGCGCCCTAATACAAACTATTTGCCGCCTGCGAGCAAACTGTTCTACCCGTCAGCCCGTTCGCGCCTGTTGAGGTTGCTAGTTGTTGGGTATCGGCCATCGAAGACGTTCGAGAACTTGATGGGGAACTAGGCTGCTAGGGTTGATGAGGCGCCAAGCGATCCCTTGTCGTAGAACGATATGCGCTTTACTAGCAAACGCACCATACTCTTAGTGATTCCATGGTTAACGGAGCCCCTTGAAAGTAAACATTGATGCGTCTTTCTAGAAGCCCCAAGCACCTGTAAGCGAGTGACATCAACATGCGATGACCAAGGGTTTACCGAGTAATGCGCACAGAGTCGAGATCGGACAATGCAGGTGGACAGCATCACAGCGCAATACCCTTGCTATGCATACCTACTATGTACTAGGAAGGTAGGTATTAGGTAGGTAGGTAAGTAGTTAGTTAGGTAAGGAGGTATATAAATAAACAGCAAGATGAACCTCGGGTTATTCTAAAGTGGGCAAGTTTCGAATCGTCTTCGTTTCAATGCCGGTCGAGGTAACGTCGCAGATGAGAGAAGATCGCGAGGCATCGGTTGGAGCAACGATCTCGTAACCCTAAACCGTCTACGATGCGATATACATAGTGCGCATGACGAGGGATATGGCACGGTCGGGTTTCCAATCTGAGAAGACGTCCATGACACGGATATCTCTTAACAGAGCGACTTAAGCGGGGATGTTGTGTGCTGTATCCGGCGCCGCATGCCCACCTTGCCGTGATGGACTAGGTAGAGGAGCTGAGACCGCGAAGCTGGGATCGCAGAACAGTTCTTCCTTACTTCATGGGTTGCGAAAAATCCCGAGAGAGATCTTCTAGAACGTCGATGCGTCATTCGAGGAGATGACGGCAAATGCAAATATTGATGCTGGTAGCCGATAATCCTGCATAAGTGCAGAATTCTTTAGTCTGCGTCTGTCAGATATCGATTCGATTTTATAAAATTTAATTTCCTGGTGAGGCTTGCAGAAAACGTGTAAGTTATAGGGGTTAGTTGGTTAGATGGCTGGCTAGACTTCCCGCTTGCCGGCTCGTCGCTGCAACGCGACAATACATATGTACAAGAGAAGTCCGTGCTGAATCGTATCGTGAGCAGAGCCCGGCCCTTTTGCAATCTGTCACGTCGACCTGTCATGCACCTACACGGGGAGGTGAAGCAGAATGTGCGTCCATTGGTTGAATCGCTTCGCTTCGTGCATATCTAGGGGTGTGGGTGTTCGTTCCTACGGGTCGACGCATAAATCGCCGGAGTTTTTGGACATCTCGTCGTTTGCTAAAGGTACTATGGTAAGTACCTGTCTACTTACAGCAGGTACCAAACTACCTGGGAGACACTGTACCTTATGAGCACGTCGGTATTGCGATGGGTTGAAGCCTTATGAATCCTACCGGAAGGATACGCATCGCAGAAGGCTTGCAAAGAGGCTTAAGAGTCGAGCGCTCGTTGGAGTATATTTCCATCGTGCATATTGCGTACTACAGATACCTAGTACCTAGTAGGTACCTAGACTCATCTGTTTACCTACCTACCTTACAGCTTACCTAGTACTGTTTACTTAGGTCGGTTCACTAACACCCAGACAGCCAGACACCGTATTGTTGTAACACAACAGTTACGTATCTGGATGTGATCAGTTTTGGGTTGCTTTCGACTTACCTTGCGTTGGGGAATCCTTGCTATTTGAATACGACTACAGATTACTACCTTAGAATATCAGAAAACGAGAGTTGACGCTAATACCCGTATGGTCTGGTTCATCCATAATGCTGCGCCGGGTGATCTTCAATGTGATCTGTAATACGATCTCTAGATGTGTCCATTTGGCCGTAAGGTCTTGGCTATGATGCGACGTTAGGATACGTACGATAATACATTCAACATAGTATGACATCTCGTTTAGCTATGCGCATACCTAGGTGTGTATCAGATGTCCGACAGCCTGAACGCTTCGGGATCTCCATATTCGCGGAGGTATGCTAGTTTGTAGCTTAGCTTCTATCGATGCCGAATTGCCAAAGATTCGTAACAGATTGGTCGGCAGTGATACGTGTACTACCTTGTACCATACCTATGCCAAGTACGCCATACGTAAGTAGGTACCTTGGTAAGTATATCTAGTACTAGGCTGCTAGGTAGGTAGCTAGTTTAGGTAGCAAAAGGCATGGAAGGGCAGAAGGGCAGAAGGGCAAAGGGATGCTGGTACGAGATAGAGCGAGCGTAGAACGATGCTAATCGAAAAAAGTCTCTTCCAAGAGGAACTAGACGACGAAAGCCGCCGAGTGGGCGAATCGGGAGACGGTCGACTGTACGGACGTCGCGCGCACGGTGCATGATCGACGAGACAAAAATGGAACACAACTTACTAACCTCTTCCCCTTTATGCGGCTTACGGCCTCGATTTTTCGATTTTTCGATTTTCGGCGTGGAAGGATTGTGGAAGAGTCTTCAGGACAGAAGATCGAACCTGTCTCGGCGGGTTTCCCGAGAGCGAAGAAGGACAAGGAAAGATCAGACGAAATGGTTCCCGCGGAACGGGTATCGTTGGTGTGTGCTCGGGGCGAGTTTTGAGCTAGACAGCTAGAGAGACCTCATCCCATGATCCTTCAGGCACCACTGGTACACAAAGAATTTTTTCGCCCTTCTGTCTCGTTGGAGGCTGAGACTAGTGACATCTTTCCCGTGCGCTCTCTCTGGAGTCGCTCAATCGAGCCCCATGCAGGTGGGGATGGCGACGCGTGACGCCTCTCAAGGGCAGGGCTCGGAAACACTAGCGTCTGATACATAGGTACGTTGATCCATGTAGCCTGCAAGGGGTAAGCGGCGATGTGAGCGAATGGGCGTATGGGCGTGAGAGCTTAGGTGAGCAGGGTGAGCATTCGTTGCGTAGCTGCGTACTATGTACTATGTAGCCGTGTAGCTGTAGGAACACTGTGCTAGGTAGTACCGGTAGCTACGGTAGGGTAGGTGGCGAGCCATGAGGGATTGGCTGGACATCCGCCGTCCGATTCTCACCTCTGAACAGAATTGAAGGTCCGGGTTGCTCGATATGGCCTGTCGTGTAGTCGTGTCATATCAACACGCTGCGTAGTGGTCTGATTGGTAACGACATTGCCCAAGTGAGTTGTCAAAACTCGAGAAGGGCTGTTTATGATGGGGCTTAGACGCATAGTATGTGCGTACATACATACAGCGTGCACCTAGCAGCCTAGGTACATTTCATAGCTCTACTATGCCGTTATGCTGCTACTATGCTGTTGCTATGCTGCTATGCTACTATGCAGCTCTGGCAGCATGTATGAATCCTCTGAATGTCAAGAGCCGGCATCTCCCGCCATTGCGGCTATACTTATCTGTCTCAAGTCGCCTAAAATAAACTTGGCAGACCCGAACGGTCCCAAACGGTCCAGATTCTTGTTAGTCCGAACGCGAGGGATTCGTAGCTGACGTTCGGTTGGTCCTCTTCGGTAGTAGGGGAACTAGTCATGTTCGAAACGGGTCGTACTATGGTATTGGAATACCGGCTACGCGGTTGACCGGCTTAGCGTAGAGCGCGTCTATAAGAAGAAGCATCACGAAAGGAGCCGATGGTTTATTATATCATCTACGGATGTGGGAGTGAGGATGACGGTGTACTGCGTAGCAAAGGTAAGCGCCTTTTATCGGGGCCATCCTTTAGCTGTCGAGCCGCCCTGTCCAACAGACTACGGCCTCGAGTCGGCCACCGAACTTGCGAAGTAGCGAAGCCGCTACAGGCGCAAGCCGGCGATCAAGAAGGCTCTAAATCCTCACGGGTTGAGCGCCGTTCCCAAGTATGTGCGCACCAGCGACCTCCACAGTGGGATAAGTCCTGGAACCGTCAGCGACGGGGCGGATGGGCAACGCTACCATAGAATGTATGGCACAGTGCGCGTAGACGAGTAACGGCACACGAAGCTGACCGCATACTGCGCATACTAATGCAGGAACACGGCGACGGTCATGCAGTTCAGCCGTACTACTGGCTCGCCAATGCAGGTACAGATACCCACACAGTTTTAGATACTCGACACGGAGCGATCCCCCACCAAAACGGAATCGAAGAAGAGGAAGACAAAAAGGATTGCCATCCACCATCTTGGATCGTCAGCCGTGTTGTTAGGTCTTATCTTCCCTACATCCTAATGAGGCTGGCGGGGAAGGGCATGGATCATTCCGTGGTAGAGTCATTGGTTCCTGAGAAACTTATGACCTGGTTCAAACGCGGTCAACCGCGTAAATGTCTTAACTGTTGCGGGAAAAACATGCAGGGATAATATGACTAGCTGCTGAAAATGCAGATCCTACCAGGTCCTCAGGATCGTTTATCAGCGGTCGAATCTCAGGGGAACTAGCTTCGCTACCATTTTCTCGTCCGTATGTTTATCCAGGTCAGCAGGTCAGCAGTTGGTAGGAGGTATGTATGTATGTATGTATGTGTGTGTGTGTAAATGCATAGCTGTGTTCCTGGCAGTTAGATCGACTTTTCGAATTCGAATTCGTTGACGAGAAGATGGGGCGCTGTATGACCCGGATAAGCATTGGCAACGAATATGAGTTGTCGCCCCGTTATGTGCTATGTCTGTCTGTGTTGGTTGTGTCGGTCAATTCAGCGGTAGGTCTAACGATGAAAAAAAGGAAGAAAAAAAATCTCTTGGCTCTCGACCCCCCTTTTCTTGCGTCGGCAGTCTGGTCGGTCCTAGGACGGTGGGACAATATCGAGGTAAGATTTCATTGGCCCTGGGAAGTGCGCCGTCAAACAACCCCCACCACCCTCAGGACGGATCGCCATCTAGGGTTCTCGAGGCTAGCCAGGCATTTACATAACATCATGCGTTTGTTTCTAGTCTAGTAAAACAAAACTTTCCCCAGCGCTTTAACATAATTAAAAACAATAATTTCAATCGTTGACGAAGCCTGAAAAATTACACATCGAGTGTTTTATCTGCTGATTACTTGTCATTGCTTACCTACCTAGGTGACGAAGGAAATAAGTAGAGCATCCGAAGGGGTTTGGATCTCGAATTAGAGCGATTAAGATGCCAACGACCTAACGTCTTGGAGACCAAAGTTCCCAAACGATAGTCGAATGGCTCGGGGAAGAGTCGGGTCAATTCCGACCTCTACGTTAATAGATATCCGTCGACTCGGACCAGAAGGCCAGCTGGGCATCCACGAGGATGGTGGCAGATCGACGAGCATGACTATTGCATGTATCCACACGCGCTGTCGACATTCAACGCCGCCAACCGGGCCACCCAAAGTCCGGCCGGAACAGCGGTCCCGTGAATGGAGACCGCGGCGCGCTTTCGCTAGTGTGGGTATTCTAGCCGTCTAGGACCAGATTTGAAGAGAGAGTCAGAGAAGACGGTAAAGCCGAAGAACAATTCGTATGTTCTCTCATACCTAGCCTTGAAGTTATTAGTGCTGGCTACATACATAGTAGTAGTATGTACATACCTACCTAGTAATGGTCTGTCAGTTTGTCTGTGTGCGAAAAAGCACATTCACTATGGTGACCGATGCTGGCGGCGGCAGCGCGCGTCAGCAAGGATTACACAAGCCTTTTTAGCCGACGCCGCAGCTATTGTGGTGTGCCAGTTAGCATCTTCTGTCCTTTACATAGTACGTGCCCTCTGCAGCCTCTGGAACAGCCGGAGCGATATTCGCACTGTCCGAGTGTGTGCAATCCTTCCATCCTAAAGAAGACGCAGGTACCAATAGAATGGTACCCTGAAATTTTTAAGACTGGGGCAAACATACCTGCTATTTCATAATCGCCTATTCCGTACCCGGCAGCCCAGGAATCAAATATCAATATTCATAGCCTTACGTAGCGTCGTAGGTGTCATAGTACGTAGGAGTAGATAATAGAGAAATACCCAGACGATAGCAGACAGGCTTGAAATCGGTATTTTGGTATTTTGGTATTCGGCATTGGACATTCTGTACCATACTATGTGTACTAGGTTGCTAGGCTGCTAGTGCTAGGTACTATGTAGTAGCCATACACCAGTAGCACGGCTGAAGTCATCGTCAGGGGTATTGGTCCCACAACCGATTTGCTGAACTTTCAGGTCCTTTTTCATCATCTAGCTCCATTCGACATTTAGCGCATTCGCTCGAGGTCCATCTGATGATCTGCCTTAGGCTGTTTAGCACTTGGATAGATTTTTGTTTCCCTGCGGATAAGATAAAACACATGTCCTCGTACCAAAGGGGTACTGGGAGACAACACCAGAATGGATCTGATGCAATTGTGTGTCGAAGACATCATGGCTACTTCGCCTTACGTTGTTGGACAACCCACCGCGATGACCTGTATCGGACGATGAAGCAGTTAAGAGCATTTATCATCTGTAGCGAGTGTAGGTGAAGAAAAGACGGTGTGTGTTTCGTTACGAATATGGGATGGATTGTACATATGTGTGTACGCTGTAGTGTGTGTAAGTGCGTGCGTGGAAGATAGAGAGAAAAAAAAAGATGGGTTCAGTAAGAGAAGACTCCATCCAATTGCACGATTGGTTCTTCAGGGGTCAATATTCTCCACAGTGTCCACCATAGCAGCATAGTTGATCCGTAAACGTGTGAAGGTGTATGTAGGTATGTATGTACCTGCCCAGGTAGTAGGAGAAAGTATTCAAGTGCATAAATGAACTAGCTCAGGTACATTCCACACTACGTACTCGATTTGGGCGGTCACGTCCACTATCAATCAGCTCAGTATCAGAAACAAGTCGACCAATCAATCACCCTGGTCTTGCATCTCTGGAACCTAACGCGCCCCCGCGAAACCGTATTATGCCCTCTGCGCATAGCACGGCGGACCGCACAGTATCAGAACCGTATTCGTAGACAAAGGCATGTAACGGCCCCAAAGCTGCCCCATCTGTTAACGCTGATGCGTGCTAACTGCCCACTTAGGCCGTTTTCCAAGCCAGGCTGATCCCCGTCGCTGATGCACTTGGGCAAGCCGCTCTTACCAAAGTAGGTACTCTAGGTACCCTAGGTACCACCAGTACCGACTACTGCGGGCTGCTACATTAGGTTACTTTGGTAGCTTCTGGTACCTGAGTCTGGTACCTGAGCCGGTACCTGAGTTAGTCCCTGCAGAGCCGTCGCCCTTTACTCTTTTGTGCTTGACCTTCCTCCTTTTTCCCCCTCCTCCCTTTTTTTTTTCGGCTGTCTTCTCTCCATCTTCATCTTCTTTCCTGGTATCGTCACTGTCGTCGTTTATCGACAATTCTTCTACCCTTTCTCCCCCATATTCATTATTTCCTTTTTTCTTCGACCCCACACTCTCTTTTCATATTCATAGCCATTACGGACACCGTCACTCCTTCCGGGTCCATTTCATTCCTTAGGCTTAAACTAACTCTCAGTATCTCAACACCATAACCGTGGTCGCCTGTTACCAACATACCTACTAGTAGTAGTATCTTGCATCGACGACAACGTTATTATTATCCCGACTGCGCGCATTAGCCTTACCGCTTCGGGACGACGCTCCTTGATAATCATTATCAACTTTTTACATCTTCGAGATATCCTTATTGGAATAATACCTTCGATATTCGGGCGCGGTCAGGACAACCCCTATCGATATCGCGTCTAAACTCACGACATCGACGTTCGATCGCACCGAGCTTATTAGATATTTATATTAACATCGACATTCCTTTACAACCTCCGGAGCAGTCATGATGGAGACGCCCATCAAGATGGAACAGCCTGGTTCCGCGGCTCCAACTATCGCGGCCCAGACCCATTCTACACCGGAGGCCATATCGACACCTGCCAATTCGGTCGACACCAAGGACAGCATGTCTCCCTCGCCGTCCTCGGCCCAGTCGGCCACACAGTCCAGCGCCAACTCGAGACGTCCGCCGCGCAAGAGCACGCTCACCCAGCAGCAGAAGAACCAGAAGCGGCAGCGCGCGACCCAGGATCAATTGACGACCCTGGAGATGGAATTCAACAAGAACCCTACCCCTACCGCCAACGTTCGGGAGAGGATAGCTGAGGAGATCAACATGACCGAAAGGTCTGTTCAGATCTGGTTCCAGAACCGGTACGTTTCCATCCGACCTTTCTTTATTGAATAGTATTGGATAGCATTGAATATCTTTGAATATCAAAACTAACATACACGCGATAGACGCGCCAAGATCAAGCTTCTTGCTAAGAAGAGCCTGGAAACTGGTGAGGATATCGACTCGATCCCCGAGTCTATGCGAGCATACCTGGCCATGCAGGCCATGGAATCTGGTAAGGGCCTCGGCGGTCCTTACATGGGACGTACCGGGCTGCTACCTTACGGATCGATGATGTTGGGAGGCGAACAGGGTGGACAGGGGAAAGTCCGTAAGTATCAACCGACTTCTTGGAATGACGGCGAGGAAACTTACAATCACAGTGATACACCATCTGACTTGCCGGTCTTTGAGCATCGGAAAGTGGACGCGTGTTGGTCAGAACACCATGGATCTAATCATCTTCTACTCTCCCGAAAAGTGCACCATGACCTACTACATCAACAACGACCAAGCGGGATATAAAATCGAGTACAACTTCAACGCGATCAAGAACATCTACCTCGAGAACCCCGAGGGTGACGCGACGAAGCTTGGTGGAATCGTCATCGAGTTGAACCGACCTCCTAATTTCTTCATGGACTCGTCTCCCAACTCCAATGGCTTTTTCCAATGCAACGACTTTACTGAGGACCAGCAAGCTACGCACTGCCTCGTCCACCATCTTGGTGGTAACCCCAAGGTCCTTAGCGGCCAGCTTGCTAAGCTCGCGTCTCTCGAGTCTTTCACAAACCGACACAACCCGAATCCTTTCGACATGAGCCACGCGTTGTCCGTCTCTGCTCCCGTGTCGCCGACTAACCGCCCTGCTTCGCAACCGAACTTTGGACCGCCGCACGTCGGTATGTACCAGGAATCGCAATGGGGAATCAACCCTATGCATGCTGGTATGCGTGCTCCGGGTCACAAGCGCCAGCGCAGTAGGTCGGTGCCTACGGCTGTGGACTTCTCCATGTTCCAGAACCCAATGCCGTCGTTCTACATCCAGCACCCGGGCGATAACCAGACTCAGCCGCACAGCCCTAACATCTACGCGCCTATTCCACAACAGCCCAACGGCCTTAACAACGTTGGACCTAATCTGCGCATCGATACTCAGGCTTCGTACGGCATGGATCTAAGACAGTACCCCCTATCCGCTGCTACCACAGCTCCGTCAGAATATTCTAGCCCGAACTTCTTCTCCCAGGGCCCTGAAAACACGCCTCTGCCGGCGTCGAGCTTCGGTACCCCCTACGGCGGAGCATTCCTCTCGCCGCTGCCTCAAATCCCGCAATCTGTGTCTCCGTTGTCCTACACTGGCCACGGCGACCCGGCTATCGTCGAACAATCCCCTCCTCTCTCCATGCTTCAGCGACCAGCCTCTGCCGACATTTACGGCATGGGCGAGTCTGCTATTTCTGATGACGGACACGGCCTGAACGAGATGTACTCGAAACATACCATTAACCTTCCCATGCACTCGCACTCTCCCGGTTTCATGGAAGCCAACCAAGCCGACCTCGACATGAACCAACTAGTTCAGTTTGACACTGTCGACCCGTCGAGCTTGTCTCCCGAGAGCATTCAGCATCACCAATGATTTCGATATAATTCTAGTTACGCGTTTTCCGATTCTTCTAATAGCCGCCGCGGTCGGCTTAGCTTTGCTCTCCTACTTGTGGCGTTACGGGACCTTATACCTCTTGTCGCTTTTGTGGACTTCCTTTTTTCTCGAAAACTCCATTCTCCCCGATCTGCTCTTCGGCATACGATTCTCGGTCTGTTTCTTATCCCATTTCATCGATTTCATCGGCCACAAAGCTCAGCATGACGACACTTTGCTTCGGCATCCGATTGTGCATGTCTGGCACATCTATCGTACTTTCTATATATCACATCGCTACCTACCTTTTTTCCAACTCTCGGAGGGGAAAAGCATATCCATCTTCACAAATGGCGTTGCCCATTTGCGCTAATACCGGACATTCGGGTCCTAATCCAATTCGTTTACAATCTGGTTTGAAATATTACAGCTTGTTATCATTTTTTTTTTCAACATTTCACATTTACGAAAATAAGCGATGTCTTTTTCTGGCTGCGGGGCGAACAAAAACAGATGAACATGGAAGAAGCCCAGGAGGCTTGGGTTCGCGGATAGTAATTTTTAAACACGTCTGCCGGAGATCAGCGGTCAGAGCTGGTCTGCTGGATTTTGTTGGGCGGTTGGCATGTACCAATTGCGAGAGTAATGATCATTGATACCTCGGGAACGGACTGTCGAGGGTGAGAAAAGCCTGGGTAGGCGGTATAACAAGTATTCGACGGCGTGAGATCTGCGGCGAAAGCCCTGACGCCGTCTAGTGTTAGCCTGCGCTACGTCAAGGTGAATTTACTTGACTAGCTCTAGTAGCTCGATGAAGACGAAGAAGAAGAGATTCCCCTGTTTGCTGTCTTTTCCTTGTCACGACTTTACGGCGAGGATTATAATACATTGGAATATAGAAACATATATGCGAATTGAATGTATTATCTTATGTGATTGGTCTGTGATCTTGGGAGTAACTTCGTATGATATTTTCTGGCTCCAGTCTTCAGTTCTCTGGGTTCATATTGGATAGACCAACACCATTCGCCGTGTTGCTAAGGTCTCGGTTATGGCGGCACTCGAGGGAAGAGTGCAAGCGAGACATATTCAGGAGGATAGCGACATGTAGGTCGATTGAGTGGAGGTCAAGTCACAAGGCGGATCGTCGCATCATTTACATACTCACAGCTGTCACAGGTGAGTCTTGCAAGGAGGAAGTCTTAAACCAGTGACCTTGAAGAATAGCCGGGGCTCACATGACTGCTATTATCTACCTATGCAGCACCCACAATACCTACCTACCTACCTACCTATTAGGTACCTAGTAGTATAGCCCATAGGTTGAAATTCGGTAGGCGTTAGGAGTTATAGGTCTCAAGACAAGTTGTATGACGGGTATAGAACGGACGAGTATACTCATTCAAGTCCACCAGGACATTCTTGTTGGCTTGGCTACGTCGTAAGACTTGGACTCGCACCACAAACCTTCCTTCTGATTTGGTGTTCGATGGGTGATAAGCAAAGCAGTATTTGGAATACCACTTGGACAACCCATTTTCAGAGGAACTTTCGCTGTGGCTCGATGCTAGCGTCAACAATTCGGATACGTGACTGCGCCCAAAGGTCTTAATTGCAGGTTCATATGAGCTCAACGGTAACACTGAAGCTAAAAATACCCCTGGACATGCCACAGGGCTATGTCGATATAAATCTTTTCGGTGCAACGGCTCGACTCCACGGATGGTGATGATCTAAACCCCGAGTTTTTCTCCTAACTGCGTGGAAAGGCGGAGTGACTGGGTAGATAGGTAGGTAGTAAAATGCCAAGATCACGATAGATATCTCTATAGACATCAGATTCTTCTCGGTATCGGGTTCGCGATTTGGATATCAGGTGACATTCTATAGATCTCTACGGCACAGGTTGCCGCGTGGCTGGCTCAGCGACTCGCTGGCAAATGGCTAGACTGGTCTGGTTTAAGTGGCATGGATATGGCGAACAAGTTTGTTTCGCGTTGTATGTAACCTTGTTGTTGATCTGGGTACTTCGTATTGGCTGCACTTTTAGGCATCAGCATTTCTTTTGTGTATAACCTCAAATTGGGGTTGTTGAGAAATAGGGGTTCGGGCCTAGACTAAAGCGCTCTTAGTGACTTAGTCAGGGCATAGAGACGATCTTGCCTACTAGTATCTATGTGGTTAGGGCTCTCGTCTCACTAATATCATCGTATATGTATATACTAACATTTCGTGTCTGATATAAGACAAATTGTACGACATTGAATGGTATACCAATATCATAGGGATGGTACCCAGGTAGGAAGGTACCTACTAGGTAATAGGTAAGAGGCCGGTAGTCTGCCGACCTTTAGGCAGTCATGATAATACCCTAGGTTGTCAAGTTCCAGATTGTCAAAGCGGATAGTTGAGAGATGGAGAGATGGACCACTATCACCGTGCCGCAAGTGTCAAACTGGCGAAGTTGTCACATCTTGGGGCGTGATATCACTGGTGCAGTATAGGCTGTTTGAAATATGTACATGTTGGTCTCCAAATGGAACACCAATCGTACTGCCGTTGTCTGGTTATCAATGTCGAACATGATGTTGAGTCTGAGATAGTTGAGATGTCCAAGATGCGAATACCTACTTGGTAAGTAGTGTATGTTCACACTCACTTCGAAACTTCCAATCGATATTCTTATTAGGTAATTGCATAATGAACACTTCAAGATTGATGCCTTCTTTACTTTAAGCTTGCCGTCGACGTGAAGGTCTAGACGTGACAAGCTCTGGCATGGGTATCGGCACTAGCAACCGAAATCCCTTGCATAGTCGATAAACTTCTCACGCTAAACAAGTCTGCAGCTATAGCGTGTAAGTGATACGAGGAGTAAGAAAAGCTGCCCATCTTGCTAGATCATTTCTCAGTTGTTGTTGGTTGTAGCTGGCTGGCTGGTAATACCCAAATTGTGCGGCTTCATAAGATTTCCTAAGTAGATGTCGTGCTCCTCGAGAACAGACACATACATAGAAGGCGATAACCATTGTCGGGGATTGAGGGGTTTAGAGATCGCCCCTGTCGTCATCGACAAATCGTGTCTTACCAGTATTTGATGCTGTTGGGGGTGGCGCAGCCAATCTGACGTACGCTTGTACTGTTATAGCTTATTTGCAGATTTTACTGACAGAGTTATCTCGGGATATTTTACCTCTTCATCAGAAATATCAATATTTGATAACTCATACATACAGTACCTACCTACCCATCCCGTACCTGATATGTTAGAAACCCGACCGGCTATTACAACAACTAGTGCAGGTGGTGAGATGTTGATATTGATATTGATATCTCCGGGGCTGTCGAGGACAAGTGCTTACTTATGCGCCGTAACATGTCGGAACGTTCCTAGCAGATTCCTAGTTACAGGGATGATACAAGCCTTCAGATCCTTAAATGGGAATAGATTAGCGACTAAAAGACCCATCTATTCGGGTATTGTGGCTGGTTTTTACAGGTCCCCGGACTGCTGATGAACTAAAATCTCTAGCCCCCGTTTAGGACTTTACAAAGTTCTAATTTTGCAACTATTCTTTTCGCCCGGTTCGAAATCGCGGCAATTCAACAAATCGATTATTCTAATGAGAAAAAAAGAAAAGAAAGATGGAGTGGTTGCGAATGCATCTAACATAAACCGATCGTCAACTAGTCGTCAGCCGAAAGAGGCGCATGCGCATGGAAGAGAACCATAGACATTGATCAGTTGGATTGAAGGTTTGAATCTTTCTTTCGTTCATGCGTACGAAGTACATACTATGGTAGTAGATCCTGCCAGCCCTGCTTCCTTGTTGGGCACCGCGGATCGTCGGGAAACCGGGCTACGTACCTGGATACCCAAGAGAGTGTCTGGGACTCTGGTTCTGGCAGTCTGCTCAGATGCCCGGTAGTGTCTGGGGCTGCTAGGCTGCCACATTTGTAGGCTGCTAGATAGGTACCTAGTAACTACTATGTACCTCCCTAGGCTTATGACCGAAGGATGTGGCCGAGTAAAGTGGCAGGGTGGTAACCCTCGACTTGGAGAGGCGTTGCTGGCGTCGTTAGACTTTGCGGCTATGCTCTTGGTCCTCGAACGACTGCAAGTGCTTCCCAGTGGTCAATATTATTTCATAATCTCATCGATCAATCATATTCGATGTCGACTACTAGGTATTGGCATTAACGGATGATGACACATCTCGCTTTGTTTTCCTTTCTATTCCTTCTTTTCTTTGGCTAATACATCTTCTTCCCCCCCCTTCCTCTTCCTCTGTTTCAAGCGTATCGCGGTTTGCTGCGTTGCAGTGATGAAGTACCTATTAGGCTACTTCGTATTCTCTACTTCTATACCACCTATATCCGGTTTTCTTGTCAAGCGACCCTACTAAGATCTCTCTCGCTTTTATCTAAAGAGTCTCTTCCACGTTTCCAAGGTTTCGAACCTCGAATTTGGCTATTTCTCCAGGTTTGCGACTAAATAGGTCAACGGGTTAGGTCCCTTTGTATATAGCCGCCCAATCATAAGCTGCCGATGAGACCACGATCCGAAGTCGTAAGCGTCGCTTGGCTCTATTCTCGGCAGGACCCCCGCTGCTAAACATCACCTGAATTATTGCCCGCCTGGCCTTGGCGGGCCTGGAACCGAGACCTCAAGTGCATGACACTCCCGCTTGGGATCATGTCGAATTACAATGGCAATCCCGAGCAGGCTGAAACGTCGCGGCAGCTATATTCCCCTCTAGACTCCAATTTTAGATCTGCGGATGAGGAAATTGATCAAGAGCGACAATATCACGACAGCTGGAGACCTAGGCGAACGAATACTCATAATTCGGCGCATCGTGTACGATTCTCTAGCTATGCTCCATACGACGAAGAGCCACGCGGAATAGATACCGCAATTCGTAACACCGACGACCCACGAATGGCTTCTAGTAACCCATACGAAGCTCCGTACGAAGCTCAAACCTCCTCGTCAAAACCTGCCGATAATCGAGAAGAACATCATGTAGCATACGACATGGATACAGCTATGGGAGGCGGGAAGTCGCGGGACCCGTTTGATAAGAGTAAGATGGGCCATGACATAGACGACACCGATCGAGATACTCCTTTCCGACTAGACAACTACCGTGCATGGGTCAATCGACAAAGGAAAAGGGCACTGGGACCGGGGGCTAGGTTCGAACAGCGCTTCAACGAATTATACCAGAAATGGATTATCGAGGGGCTCTTGCGTCAGAAACCTCTACCGCCGAGTCGTGATGGTCGACATATACCTATTAGTGCGGGCGCCGTCCGCAGGGTCCCGCTAATCGACGAAAGGAGCGGCGGACACTATATCTCGAACTTCATCCGCTCTAGTCGTTATACCAAATGGTCATTTCTACCGAAGCAGCTCTACTTCCAGTTTAGCAAGCTGGCCAACTTCTACTTCCTCATCATCGCCATCCTGCAACTAATCCCAGGTCTGAGCACGACGGGTTCGTTCACTACTCTCATACCCCTACTCATCTTCGTCTCTATTAGCATGGCGAAGGAGGGGTTCGATGATTATAGGAGGTATGTGTTGGACAAGACGGAGAACCTGGCCCCCGCTTGGGTTCTCGATCCGGAGAGGACAGTGGAGAAAAATAACAAGGGTCCAAAGGGTTTCTTCGGAATGAAATTGGGTGGGAAAAAACCTGTGGAGGAAGAGATGACGGAACTTCAAGATGTCGGCAGACGCCAAGATGACCCGGTATGGTCTTCGATTCAATGGCAAGACCTTAGAGTGGGCGATGTCATCAAATTACAACGAGACCAAAGTGTACCGGCGGATATCATTATCCTTCACGCAACTGGTCACAATGGGATTGCATATATCGAGACGATGGCGCTTGACGGCGAAACAAATCTCAAGAGCAAGCAAGCCTGTTCGTTACTAGCTAAGCGTTGCGACACTATCGAGAACTTGAGGCGTTGCCCGGCAGAGGTCGTATGCGAGGATCCCAATGTCGACCTGTATAATTTCGAGGGCCGTGTGACTCTCGATGGCGAAACCCGACCGTTAACAACGAGCGATGTCGTGTACCGAGGTTCGATATTACGAAATACCGATGAGTTGGTTGGGTTGGTTATTAATACAGGCGAGGAATGCAAGATTCGTATGAACGCTAACAGAAATGTTCGTGCTAAAGCCCCCAAGATCCAAGGCTTGCTTAACCGCATCGTCATTCTCCTCGTCTTGGTTGTGCTCGCTCTCACTGTCGGGTGTATGGGTGGGTACTACATCTGGAGAAACGCATATGAGAGACATGCACCTTACCTTAAAGATGCCACCGTTCCATTTGCGCATATTTGGTTTGGGTTCATCATCGCCTTCAACACACTGATTCCGTTGTCTTTATATGTAAGTCTCGAGATCATCAAAGTCGGTCAGTTCTTCATGCTAGACGACGTGGAGATGTATGATCCGGAAACAGACACACCGATGGTTGTCAATACCACGACCATTCTAGAGAATCTGGGCCAGGTCAATTACATCTTCTCCGACAAAACCGGCACTTTGACAGAGAACAAGATGCGTTTCCGGAAGCTAAGCGTCGCAGGGGTGGCTTGGCTGCATGACATGGATATCGAACGTGATCGGCAGGAAAGCAAGGCTCGGATAGCTAGAAATACGAAAGGTTTAGATGGACAAGTCGACGGACCGACGGACACGAACGTCATCCCCGAAAGCGACGAGCCCGTCGAGACGCCACTGATCGGCAACCAACCACAATTTAGCTCTTCTCGAATACCAAGAACCCGACCGGGGCAAACTATACCCATACCAAAAACGGAAGCCATGCTAAACTACATCAACCAGAATCCCGATACCGTGTTTTCGAGAAAGGCTCGCCAATTTCTTCTCTGCGTAGCCTTGTGCCACACGTGTCTACCTGAGGTCAAAGAGAATGGCGAGATTGCTTTCCAAGCTGCATCCCCGGATGAGTTGGCGCTGGTGCAAGCTGCCCAAGATTTAGGCTTCCTCCTAATTGACCGTCCGACGAATTCTATCAAACTTCAATTCCAAAACCGGGAAGGAGAACTTGTTACGGAGACGTACGAAGTGCTAGACATTATCGAGTTTAGCAGCAAGAGGAAGCGAATGTCAATTCTTATACGTATGCCAGATGGTAGAATTTGCGTCTTCTGCAAGGGCGCTGATAATGTCATGATTGCTCGCCTAAGAAATGCGCTCCTCGCTAAGCGAAAGGCGTCCGACGTGGTACGGAGAGCCAGTAAGAGAAAGAGCGTGGAAGCCGAGAGGGCCATGAATCGTTTAAGCGGCACGTATAGCCCTAGAAATAGCATAAGCAAGCGCAACAGCATCTTCCGAAAGGGTAGCAGTCGACGTAAGTCTACCGAGGCGAATCGTCGCTCGGTATCGGAAGACATCGACACTTGGTTAACAAGGCGCGAGACTTTGGATATGGACGAGACAGTAGGGTATGACGACGATTACAACACGCCACGACAGTCCATGGCTCTCTCTCCAGTACTGCTTGCTGGCAGTACAGAGGTTTACGATGGAATAGTGGACGAATATATGGCCGCGGACGATGGCGCTATCTTCGAACGGTGTTTCCAACACATCGGTGAATTTGCCTCGGAAGGCTTAAGAACTCTACTTTTCGCCTATCGCTATGTAAGCGACGCAGAGTACGAGCAGTGGAAGGAGGTCTATCGAGCCGCCACCACGAGTCTTGTTGACAGGCAAACTCGCATCGAAGAGGCAGCAGAACTAATCGAAAGAGACTTCGATCTTGCTGGTGCTTCTGCCATCGAAGACAAACTCCAACAAGGTGTTCCCGAAACAATCGAAAAACTTCGAAGGGCGAATATCAAGGTATGGATGCTTACTGGTGACAAACGAGAGACAGCTATCAACATCGCGCACTCTGCGAGGTTGGCCAAGCCGTTTTCTGATCTCTACATTCTCGATGCTACCACGGACGACTTGCAAGAGAAGATTACATCCACACTAATCGACGTTGGTCGTGGCATGATAGCTCACTCCGTCCTCGTTGTCGACGGCCATACTCTAAGTGTGATCGAAAAGGATGATTCTTTGAAGATAATGTTTTATGATCTAGCCGTCCGCATGGATTCGGTCATCTGTTGCCGAGCGTCGCCGTCCCAAAAGGCTGGCTTGGTACAAGCTATTCGCGAGACAGTCCCATCGTCATTAACTCTAGCTATCGGTGATGGATCAAACGACATTGCCATGATCCAAGCGTCCCACGTCGGCATAGGCATCTCTGGTCGCGAAGGCCTTCAAGCTGCCCGAGTTGCCGATTATTCGATCGCCCAGTTCAGATTCCTCCAACGACTTCTCCTTGTCCACGGCCGCTGGATGTATCTGCGAACCGGAAAATACATCCTGGCAACATTCTGGAAAGAGTTGGTCTTCTACATTATTCAAGCACAATACCAACACTTCAACGGGTACACCGGCACGTCGATTTACGAGTCGTGGAGTTTGACGGTGTTTAACGCGCTCTTCACCTCGCTACCCGTAATCCTCCTCGGAATTTTCGAGAAGGACCTTAAGGCGGAAACCTTGCTCGCGGTCCCGGAACTTTACTCGTTCGGCCAACGAAGCGAGGCATTCAATTTCAAGAAATATCTGCTATGGATGTTGTCGGGTGCAGTTGACACCGTCATCATATTCATGATGGTCTGGGGTTTCTTCAAGGATATCCTTTTCACCGAAAATAATTCGCTCTTCCCCTTTGGACAATTGGCATTCACAATTACAGTGATACTGATTAATGTCAAGATCTTGTAAGTTGACACCTATATTCCCCTTCCTAGGTACCTACCTAACTAGGCCCTTTTGGTATCATTTCTAACTAATGTAACCAGAGTACTGGAATGCCATCACAAGACAGCGATTACACTCGGCGGCCTTGCCATCTCCATCACAGGCTGGTTCGTCTGGAACCTTTTCATAGGGGCTATCTACCCCCTCAAATTCGGTATATACATCGTGCGCGGTTCTTTCGTACACGAATTTGGGAACAAGCTAGGCTGGTGGGCCACGGCAGGGGCAACGATCGCGGCCGTAATCGCGCTCGAGCTAGGCATCACTGCCTTACAACGAATATACTTCCCACGAGACCAACATCTATGGCAGGAGATTGAACGCGAGGGAGGCGTCAAGGAAGTTCTCAAGGAACACGCTGCCGAGGAGGGACGTGCGGCCCCTCCTTCGAGGGGAACTGAACAGGGAGATCACGATGACGAATTAGAGCCTCAACGGTCTCTAAGTCCCGTGCTTAGCGAGGGGTCAGGAAGGAATACTTTCCAGGACGTGTATATACCGCTAAGCTCGTCGCAGCGGGGTCATGGGCCCTCTGGAGCTGGCGCGCGGGGCTCGATGATACATAAGGGGTTACGAATACAGACGACATGATGGGGTGAGGATAGGATGGGATTGGACTGAAAGTGAGGGATGAGATGAGCGATTACGTCTAGAGAAGGCGTTCATCTCCTGAACTCCGGGTTATCCATTCCGAGATACCAACTTTGTAGGACCGGCAAACGAAATCTCATCTCGTTAGCCAGGTGCCTAGCATTACGAAGCATATGTCATATGGTTTGCGAGTCAAGGTTCTTCGGTTCGGAACGGCGAGTAGATGAGCAAGCAAGCGAGGGTGGAATCTTTTTTTCGTGTGTTTTTTTGTTTAGGCTTAGAGAACTATAGATACCCCTGACGCAATATAGAGTAGGTTGCATGTATCGAATTTACGGCTTACTTGATACTTACCTGGTCGTGGTTTCAGACGTGATTGGCTTTTCTTGTAACGGTGACCGGATTGTCAAACGGTGGGCGAACGTGAATTGGATTTCATGGTATTTACGAGGCCGTTTAACTGAGATGCTCCAGATCTAGATGGGGCATCAGGTCGAAGCTAAGGGTTAGGGCGTGTCGTGGTACGAGATAGGTCCTATGATGGTTAGAACCAGGTCGCGGTCCGAGCCGGTGATATCATCTTTTGATGAGGTATATCGAGATATATACATGGTCTCGATATTAGGTTATGGCAGCACGCCTGCGAATGACCCGGTTTGCGTAATGTGTGACCTGGTAGGTGCATACTCGTCTTGCCTTATCATGAACGTAGTCGGACTTTTTAACATTACCTACATATCTTACATGCTGGCCTGTTCTGCGGCTGCTGCGGGTCCTTCATGCTCAGCAGGTCAGAGCGCAACTTTTCCCCGGTTTAAGCTCGTGGACCTATCACGTATTCCAGGCGGAGAGGAAAGGCGGTTGTTTCATTCGCGACAGGGGTTCGTCGAAGGTTGCATCGCGTCATTAACTTGCAGCTGTTGGTAAAATACACCTCTCATCTTCATCTTCGACCTTTTCATTACCAATGGTCTTTGTTGCGACCCTATAATTCTACGAGCTGAGTGAGCATTATGCGTAATATACCTTCGAATATCGCGAAGCACGCAATATGGCTTTCCGGCGGGGAACGGGTTCGCAGGCCCTTGTCGCGAAGGGTCTTGCGACGGGAAGATTGAGAGAACGATATCGTAATCCGCGTCAGCAGCCTACTGTGGACAAGATACCTGACGAGAAGGTGATACGATTAGTGGATTGGGAGAATTTACGTAGGTGCTCTCCGTGTATGGCACTGTATGCCGATATCCGAACCTGGCTCGTTGACTTTTCGGAAAGCCCCCTGGAAGCAGTAAGTCGCCTACCCGGGTACATGGAGTCGGTGTACGAGGGGTCTTGTGCTCATACGCTGCTTGCGCCAGGCGTGGAAGCGAACATTTGCGCACTGGATATAGGCCTGAATGTGCTTCGTTATGGTCATGTCTTCACAGCTGGTCATATGTCCATAATGAGACAGGTAGGTTACTCGCTTCCTACCTACCTAGTACCTATCTACCTACCTATCTACCTACCTACCTACTGGGTACCTAGGATAAGTACCTACTAGGCAGGTATGGTCATGATGGGGGCTTCTACTAACAACGACAGTCAACATCTTCTCCCATATCATCGGAGCACTTCTCTTCCTAGCTCTACCGCTATACGTCTTTAGAACCGAGGTCCCGCCGCGATATAAAATCGCAACAACAGCCGATATTATGGTATGCAGCGTATACTTCTTAGGCGTCGGTATCTGTTTCACATTCTCAACCCTGTAAGTCTGGGGAATATCCCTTTCTGCATACCTATAATACATACCTGGTACCTAACAAATCCTAGTTTCCACACCTTTATGTGCCATAGTGAAGCTGTGTATGAGTTCGGAGTCAAGCTCGATTATCAGGGCATTCTATTACTAATGTGGGGAGCAAATGTGCCTCTCATTTATTATAGTCTGCCGTGTGATTCGAATGGTCAGATGGCCTACTGGACTTTGAATACCGTCCTTGCCGGGATGTGTTCGCTTGCTACTTTCCATCCCTCGATCGGCGGGCCTCATCTTGGACATGTGCGAGCTGCTCTTTTCGCTACGTTCGGGTTCTGTTCCGTTATTGCGCCCAATTTGATTGGAGTTGTGAAGTATGGATTTGATGAGCAGAGTCAGCGGGTTGGGTTGGCTTGGATAGGGGTTACTGCTTTGTGTAACGGTACGGGTGTGGTGGCGTATGCTATGAAGGTTCGTATCGAATTTCAAGATTCGCGAATGATGACGATTGGTTGCTGATAGACTTGTAGTTTCCGGAAAGATGGTATCCTCGGGTGTTTGATTTATTTGGTGCGAGTCACCAGGTGATGCATGTCATGGTGGTCTTCGCTGCCCTCACCTATACGAAGGCCATGTTACAAGCCTTTGACTTTCATCACGAATTTAGCATAGCGTGTACAGAGCACATATAACATTCAGCTGTTGAGGAACTTAGAGCTTGTCGATCCCCGATTCTTCCGTGCGATTTTGAGTAGAATCTATGAGGCCAATCTAAAGTCCAACCTCTTGTTCCCAGCATCCTGGTGGTCTGCAAGATAGACTATTCTCTCTTCAGAAGTCATAGCATTCCACTTGCGATCTCTTTCACGGTTGCGCCAGACGTAATATGTCTTCGCTAGTACATAGAGCACCAGATTGAACACTAGAATTCCGAGCAAGATACTATTCCCTCTCCTATACAAGGGAGCATCGTCGGAGCGGTAGATATTGGACGAGATGATTACCCCCGCTTGTAGGAACATGTTGTAAAGTGCAGCGCCTACAGCTCGTGATCTGACGGTGTTCGAATTGCGAGAAATCCAGCCAACTTGAACTGGATGGCCTTTTTAATATTAGCTGGCATTTTCGCCCCTTTTTCTGAAAATGATGGTTGCTTACCGAGTGGCGCCGCTATCAATAACGAGATCATCCCCCACGTCAACCATTTCGACGCCTTTGTCGTATCTACGACACGAAGATAGATCAAGAATGGTAAACACCAGAATTGGAATATCGATGCGCATGCAGCAAGTTGTCCCGTGTACTCTGCAAGGGTGGCTAGAGCTATCATATTGACGACTGGATGATTGGTTAGCTGGTCTCTGGCTGATAGGAGGACATGCGCACTTTTCAAAACCAAGTACGGAATTGATAAAAGGTTGGTTTGAAAGGTATCGAAGCCTAGGCCTCGTAAGGACAAGCTGAGATATTGTTGTGGCGAAAAGGTTGGGATGTTGAACGTTAGCCCGATGCCGTATAGGGGCCTTAGTTAGGTAGGTACCTAATGTTAGCGGTTGCCTACCTATAATTCAGGGGTTCGGGGGCAGAAATAACTACCATAGGTCAATATCAGTCAAACTCTTCCACAGCAGCTTAGGAGTAATTGGCTGTCGGTTGTGCATCGTCCCTTTGCTTGGGTCATCCCTTATGATCCTATTTACCATAATTGTCTCCTCGCTGATACGAGTTAGCATGTATCTAGGTACTATGCGAATAGGGGTAGCTGTAATACCGTGCGGTAAACCACCCATCCTTTCCACGAGACCAGCTTGCTGTTTCTGTTGGTCCCGGCGGCATCATGATAAATGACAAGAGCCCAATAGTCCCGGTTATTAGGCCCTTTGAAAGATTAGTCTATGCCATCATTCGAGATTCGTCACTTATGTACCTCTATCAGGAAAAGCCAACGCCAACCCGAGCGACCTTCAACTCCCCGCATATGGAGAATTCCAAACGCGACAATCGCCGCGACTATGTCGGCGATAAACATACCAGCCCAGAAGAATCCCAGACGAATTGTCAACTCGTGATGTTTGTAGAAGTACGAAAGGTACAGCACGCACTATTCGTGGAATGTCAGGTTCAATTACATATCCATACCTACTAGGTATCTAGAGCGGGATTGGCGTACCTCTGGGATGAAACCTCCTTGGAGAAATGCTAGTAGCGCACGGCAGACAAGAAATGAGGCGCGGCTATTGAGTGCGAACTGGGATGCAGATACGATCGAAAAGAGAACGATCTGAGAAGGAACCCAACGATCGGGGCCAAGCCACTTTGCCAACAATTGGGCTGGGAACTCTCCAGCTAGGAAGCATACAGCGTAGACCGTGTTTCCAAGGTTATAATTTTCAATGATGTTAGCTTAGGCGATTCCTTATGGTCATATTGAATTAGCATACCATCTGTAGTCAAATGCATGTCTTCCAAGAAGTTGTCAGTCAGGGATTGAGCAAGATTGGCTCTATCTAGCTCCATCGCGGTGAACATGATGGCGGTCCATGCCATGATGCGCCGATCGATCTTCCAAACAACCTTGTTTTCGTCCTCCCAAGTCCATCGTGCCCTTGGGTCGAATCTGTGAAGATTTTCCCTGCACTGTGTCAGTGATTATTCGGCTCCTTGTTAGTCTCTACCGTACCAGTCCTCGCGGGGTTTATATTGTGATGCAATGTCAGGATTATCGTATACGCTTGGCTATTGATTATCAGAGTTACATCAAAATCATTCGAAACAGTGTCTAAGTTGTACCTGTGTTGCGATATCGTTCGGATTGTGCTGCTTCGACTTTTGAAACCATAACCGCTTATGTGTTTCTAACGCCCCCAGTGGAGGAATCGCATCATCGATTCTTTCTTCATTGGGACCGAATTCAGCATCATCTGGGGTCAATTTCTCAGATATCTCTATCGGAATGACGGTCGCCATAGTCAACAGGGTCAGTGTAGACCTATTTGCTTAGGGACCTATCTTGAATCTCAATGGTAACCTTCTTCCACTCATCACTCAAGCAAGATAGGGACATCGACAACCTCTATAACCATCTAGATGCCATCGCTGCAACGTATCAATAGATATGTCGCCATCGATAATGCGGGGTAAGACCCGGCAGAAAGATTGATGACTTCAGACTGCGCCGCATATAACTTGTCAATGTTACAATATGAAATGAGGGGGTCACTTGATATAAGCGACCTTCGTCTCGAACCCAAGTTAGAGATTGCTGCGATTACATCAATCGCCTAACCAAAAGGGGTATTCTGTTATAGTTGGCTTCCCCCTCATGTCATCTCTCGCGACATAACTATATGGTTAAGCTCCCTCAAGTTTCTCATGGTAAAATCTCAGACCCCAGAGAGCTGGGTCAACTAGCAACATGTGGATTTTACGATATATCATTCTTATAATATCACTATGTTGCCCATGCTTTGCGCAGGGTTCAATGTTTGGTCCTGTGAACCAGAAACCCATGACGCATAAAAATGGCGGGACAAAGCAAGGACAACAACCCAATATCGTGTTCATTCTTACAGATGATCAAGATCTTCATATGAACTCTCTTGACTATATGCCGTTTGTGCAGAAACATCTAATCGACCAGGGAACATTGTTTAAGCGGCATTTCTGCACGACTGCTCTCTGTTGTCCTTCCCGTGTAACCCTATGGACTGGCAAAGCGGCTCACAACACCAACGTGACCAACGTGACTCCTCCTTACGGTATGCGGCCATGCCTACCTAGTAGATAATGACTACTGCTGATTGGACTTTTAGGGGGGTATCCAAAATTTGTTAGTCAGGGACTTAACGAAAAGTATCTCCCAGTCTGGCTACAAGAGTCTGGGTATAATACATATTACACGGGGAAGTTATTCAATGCTCACTCAGTTGATAACTACGACTCACCTTATGCTGCTGGTTGGACCTCATCTGTAGGTCCCCTTAGAAACTTGTCCATACAAATTGGAAGTTATTCAGGCGCTAACTCCCTACTGTAGGACTTCCTCCTTGACCCATTCACCTATTCATATTTGAACAGTACATACCAACGAAATCAGGACCCTCCAGTGAGCTTCGAGGGACATCATAGTGTTGACGTGCTAGCGGGAAAGGCGTTAGGATTGTTGGATGAAGCGCATGAAGCCGGAAAGCCATTCTTCCTTGGAGTTGCCCCTGTCTCACCACATGCGAACCTATGGTCGCCGGCATTCAAGGACGGTAATCATAGCGACTTGGAAGATATCGATTTCTCGGCGCCAGTACCAGCAGAGAGACACGCCAACCTTTTCGAAGGTGTCAAGGTCCCGCGCACAGCAAATTTCAACCCAGACAAACCATCAGGCGCAAGTTGGATCCGGAAGCTGTCGAAGCAGAGTCAGGATACGGTTGATTATAATGACCACTTCTACGTGCAGCGACTTCGAGCTCTCCAGAGCGTTGATGAAATTGTGGACTCCATTATTGGACGCCTGACTGATTTTGGGCTTCTGGATAATACGTATATCATCTACACTACGGATAATGGCTATCACATTGGCCAGCATCGGATGCAACCCGCGAAACAATGTAGCTTTGAGGAGGATATCAACATCCCGCTCATCGTCAGAGGACCGGGTGTCCCTAAGGGATCAATTAGCGATATCGTGACTACTCACACTGATATAGCGCCCACCTTACTACAACTAGTAGGGGCTCCCCTAAGGGAAGACTTTGACGGACTTTCGATACCACTCACGGAAGATGGGTTATCGCAGGCTAAGAAAACACGTCACGAACATGTGACGGTAGAACATTGGGGATTTGCATCCAACGAGGGTCAGGTACTCGACTCCTATCCAAGACTACACACAAATAATACCTACAAAGCTCTTCGCGTCATCAGCAAAATGTACAACCTTCACTATCAAGTATGGTGTAACGGGGATCACGAATTGCATGACCTAACGACGGATCCTGGGCAAATGGTTAATCTCTTGCACCCAGACGAGATAGCCCCAAGCACGATTGCCGGGGCGCCCCTTGATAAGGTTGTCGCCAGGTTGGACTCTCTACTTTTTGTTTTGAAGTCATGTAAAGCAGAGACTTGCATCCATCCTTGGAAAGAGCTACACCCAGCTGGGAACGTCGCTAGTCTACGAGATGCGCTTTCCCCACGATTCGATACTTTCTACGATAACGAGTCGAGGAAAATTGAGTTTGATAGGTGCGAGATGGGGTTTATCCTTGATGCGGAAGGACCACAATTCAGGCGCGATGAACTTTTCTCAATTTTCGATCCTAAATGGCATGAATGGACATAGTTCTTATTTACCAGTTACCTACTACTAGATAGGCAGCATGAACCGAACAACATTCTAGCAGTGACTCGTCTCTGACTAGGTACTAGGTAGGTACCTTAGTGATGTGCCTTGTATTGGTGCTGTTATATCACTTATAGATAGGTAGGTAGGTACCTATCTTAACAGTGATCGAGGGAAATCTCAAGTGGTTCAACAGTATTTAAATCTAGCGAACATCCTATCTTCCACTTCTACACAATCCATCCTAACCTCTCCTTCACTTCATCAACCTAGGTGCATAGCTGTCTAGAGCGCAGGTTGTTCGCTTTTTGCAAAATGGCTGACCGTCAAAGAGACCGTGCCACCCCTAATGGCAAGCATAATACAAACCCAAACCACACGAAGCCGACATCGAAGCCGACGCCAGCATCACCACCCACCGGTACACCGGCTTACCAGGCTTACCCGACCACTGGGTTTACTTACAATTTCGTGGGAGCAACTCCGCAATACTACGGAAGCAATATTCCCTATGCTCCAGGAGCGTTCAGTACCAATCCATTTCAGGGTGGCATCATTCCCAGAGGAAATGGGAATTACGGGAACCCCAATACCAACCCCTATGGAAATAATAATCCAGGTCCTACTACGTTTACTTCACAAACCTTCGGTCCGCCCCCTGGTGCAATGGGATCACCATTTCCTAATTTGGATTTCATAGGACAGCAATTGGGGTTGTGGCCTCAAAATTACACCACGACAACAACCCCAGTCATGGGTACAGTACAATATCAACAACATATTCAATACCAACCGGCACTTCCAAATCTCAACCAGTCGTTGTTGAATACCCCCCTACCCCCACAGCAGCCGTACAGATTCAAGGACAACACACCCAGGCATCTGTCTCGGAACGTACGAAATCCAAAAGAATCAAAAGACGCGAAAGACCGAAAATATCCTTGTCCGATATGCAGCAAAGAAATTTCTCGCGAATGGATGAAGCAACACATGGAACGCGTACACAACAGACCTCACAAGGATAAGACTCCAGTTTTACCTAAATCGCCGTATAATGGTGGCCCTCTGAAATGCGACCAATGTTCTTCGTCGTTTGCGGATGCGAAACATTTAAGAGATCATCAGTACAAGATACATCGTCCTGACTCGAAATACAATCGATCGCGAAAACCCGTCGAGGGAGGCTTACCGTGTCCACGGGGTTGCGATAAACGATTCGAAAACGAGTATCTTTTAACTCGGCATATGAAAGAAAACCACCCGGAAGTACATGAGAAGTGATCATGAGCGTGTGGCGTCTAGGGGGCGTCTAGGGAGCGTACATAGGTACCCAAAAAAGCGCAACGGTGACGTACGAGGCGTCTAGAGCACCCATTTAATGGAGGGGGGGTTGGGTTATCGGGTGACACAGGAAAAGAAGGGATCTGGGAAAGATTGGAAAATGGAGGATTATGATGGGTATTGGATGGCTATCGCGATGAACTGGGGAGTTTACCAATTGGAGATAATCATTTCTTTCCTTCGGATAACATAATATGATATTTGTGCTTTTGCCTAGGTATGTATCTTGAGGTTTAGACCATCGTCGTGGCTAATGTTAGTAGTAACCCCAACTTGTCGCAATTCGCATGCCACCTATTCAGCTCTTGGCCGTGATCAGAATTAGGTGGACATGAACGTGCTTCTATCAAATCGCCAAATTTCCGTATCAACTTTAATTGATCGCGACAATGGATCCTGCGAGCGGCTTCCCACTCGTTCCGCGTCCTGGCATTCCATAGTGATCCGGGGGAGGGAAGTTGAAGTCTGCGACAGTTGCTGATGCTGGGACACATAACTCCGAATTTTAGGTCTATCACGCGACTTAGGAGGAACCAAGTAATGGTGCATCTGAATTCTCGTTAGAAAGGAAGACGCCTGGTACGTGGCTCGGCATTAGGTAGGGAATATCTGGTGGCCTACCTCCTTTGTGTCTCTGCACATACCCAATCCTCCCAGGTCAGCTTAGGGTCATCCAGCCTGTCGACAGGAAACCAAACATTGTTGTCGGTCTCGAAAGACTTTTTGCCATAAAGCTACTTGAATTAGCTTATGTTTAATACTAGGTACCTAGCAGGTAGCTTCAAGTCTCCAATACTCACCTCAAATGTCATGAGCATCTGGAGGGTTATCTCTGGGATATCATTAGAAGAAATATTGTCCAGCGCAAACATTATCATATATATGATCTGCGCCTGCATCCCTGATTGCAATTCCATCATAGAGCAATTCGGGAGATCTCGAAGAAGCTGCTTGTTCTCCTGGTTGATGACTGTCCAAAACGAATCTGGCGCAAGCGATTTGCGATCAGCATACAGGTTCGCAACATCTGAACACCTCATAATATTTTGAGGAGGCCCGGACTGAAACCAGTACCCGTGATTGAACCACGAAAACGTCTCCCTGCTGATCATCGTGAAAGGAAGTCCTCGGAAGGATTCGAGGATGAATTTGGCGCTTTGCTGAGCGACAGGGTCGGCGCGAAGAGCGATGATTGACCGTGGCGACGAAGCCGGAACTTCTAAACTCGTTGAAGAACCGAAGTTGGGCATTCCAGCTAAACGCGCAAAGGACGAGCAAGGTACCTCCATAACAAACCGGAAGCTATCCTCCGATGAACTTGACGTACCGCCATGTTGGCTGTTTTTCCTATTGGCAAGAGCAGATACAGGTTTTTCGTAGACACAATGGATGCCTTTGGACCTGCAACGTGAGCACTCGGGCTCGAAACTACACTTGGCCTTGGCAGAATGGCACTCCTTGCAAGAACGAGGCCGCTTTTTAGGACGGTCTCGAGTGCGGCGGCAATATGATACGTGACGCTTGTAAGCAGAGTCTGAAAGGATGGTCAATGGATATTCATAGCAGTTCCACACTAGCAGGGGGTAGCTAACCTGAAGCAATAGGTTTATTACATAAATCGCAAAACTGTATTGCGCCAGGCGATGCTGTTTTGACAGACATTGTTGAAATTCCTCGTCAGAGTATATCTGCAATTCGGATTTCTCATTCGAATTCTCATTCGAACGTTGGTCTCTTGAACTTCCAAGGTTGCTTATGCCGTGATTGTTAATTTGTAAGCGTACCATTCTTCAGGGGCGACTCCACTTTACCCAGATATCCTACGATACCTAATTTGGACGCCCTAGAAAGCGACAACGAGTAGGAACGCAGAAAATCGAGAAAATTGTTGTAAAGTCAGACCAAAGTAATTCGCCGCGCGAATCGGTCGCCTTTGACTTCTGCTACTATATAATCAATTGAAAATACTGGTAGCCCTTTACTTAAAGTGCTTATTTGCCTCAGAGCATATTGTCATCGGACTTACGGACTTAAGGATCTAAATCGCGAAAGTTGGACGTTCCTATTGAAGCGCTGAATAGGGTCATCGAAGGTCTCCAGAATCTCCATGGTTTTAGGCGCCAACTAGTTTGACAAAGGGTTATTCGTCTGATTAAATAGGACTCGGTCGACTTCATTGTTTGATCGCACGGTATATAGGATCCTAAGCGTCTCCCCGAACTGCCGGATTATCGACCGTAGAAACAAAGGAAGATGAATACCTTGTATTCTCCATTACTAGGCGTTAGATCTTGACTGCGCCGCGGGATCACACAACGCTAGTCAGGTAAGGAGGAAGGGATGGTTAGTCAAATTGATTGACTCCGAGATGTCTCGGTGGAAATTTTCATGTTGTTCCTTTTCCATTCCCTTTTTCTAAAAAGGGGGGCGGGGCAGGGTTTCGGTTATATGGATAACCCTTGTAGCACAATATCCATTACATAATCAACCCCTATTATATACATAACTAGGATAAATACATACGTCTTGTCCTACATCTTCTGGGGGTTTCTGCTCACCTTGCTGTTTAGGACCTTGTGCAGTTTGGAAATCCATAATCCAGCGCACTCGTTGGACAATCAATACTACGTACCGGCGAAACAGAAAAACAACACAAGTACACCTCAGTCCTATATCGTTTCCCTTATTAATGTCCACGTTTGGTGATACATGACGTATTGTATCTCAGCCTCATTCGTCGGCATTTGCCCTGTCAAAGCTTTTAATGGCTTGGCGAACAGATCCAAGGTGCATTAGCGTCCGCGAACTTGCGGTCTACCGCATCATTCGAGCCTGATAGAGCCCATTCATAGGCCCCAACCGCCCAGAAGGACCCCCAGAAACAGGAAAATGGGCTGGTTGGTACCCCATCACACGTTGACGTGTAGTCACACATAAATATCGAAGACGCAAGCATGCAGAGCCGTTACCCGGTCTAGACCTAGGTATACCGATTTGTATTTATTAGGACTTCTCTGCCAGGTCTTCTTGTCTCACCGTGATCGAGTTTCTGTCATTCTTCCAGGCTTCCTATCAACTTTGTGATAACTGGTAGTTTCCCTTTCACAAACCCTCACAAACCCGAGTCTCGCCGCAACTCATCGATACCATCAGCTACTCGCCAACATCATTAGCTTCCCGCCAATACCATCAACATGGCTCGATCCGACTCGCGGTTTTCAGGACCCCCCTTCTTCCTTTTCAGCAATGCGTTGATCTGGATCTCGGCTGTCATTGTGATGGGCATTCTGTCCTACTTCATTTCCCTGAACAACAATGTTCCTAGCCGCATCATCTATGAGGAAGTCATTGTAAGCCACTGATGCCCAAGCCCAAACAGTAGAACCAAGTCCGCTAATGCAAACACTGTAGTCTGTCCTCACAGTAGCCTTTTTCCTGATCTCGTTCATCCTCGGCACGTATCCGGGATACATCCTTTTATTCAACATCATATTCTCGTACCTCTGGCTTGTTTCGGTTGTTTTCGCCGCAGAAGATTGGAGCCACGAATATGCTGGTGCTCTTCCCCATACCGTCGAGGCTTTTAGCTTCATTGCCTTGTGAGTTGTCTACACTCTTGGACTACCTACCCTGACTAACTCCTTGCTAGCTTCTTCTTGCTTTTCAATGTCATCTCCGATTGGCACCGTGGCTACGGCGGCCATGTTCGCACCTCCTCTGCTGTTTAAGGATTTGATGCTAAGCGTTAATGCGATACGAACGCCTATTTATGAAGATATTGCTGGACAACTGGATTAATACGATTAATGATATATGAAAGATAGTACGACTGAAGTTGAGAACGTAAAGTGGCGTGCCAAATTTATGAAATCAATAGCATGCATGAGTTGACTTATTGACATGGCAGCGTGGCCCATGGGAAAATGACAACCATTCTATCCCATTCTAGAATATGAACCCTTCATTTCGTAACAAGTGACCCTAGAAATGGTTCGGTGCGATAGTCAGAAGAGGAAAAGTCGCAGATCTGGTTCGATATACGAAGGTCTCAAGCAAAGCTTCGCACACCTATCAGGACCTTATCCAGTGCGTGACTTGATTGGAAACTACTGTGTCCAAGGTTGGCACCAAGCTAGGGGTCTCGCTAAATAGGGTGACACCCACTAAAGGTTAGTGGGCAACCGCTATAGTCTTAGGGGGTAAGTCACTAAGGGGAGCATATTACAGTGCGCAAGTATTTCAATTTACACAACTTAACCTACCTAAGGTCCCCTGGAAAGCAAGTATCTCGATGCATTCATCACCAAGAATCGCGTGCATGGAAGTACAAATACAGATTACGTTAGTTTATTAATGGTGATGAGCTACTAAGGTTTCTTCGTCGCAGCATGTCTCATCGCAAGGTGCTCTTTAAACGATCTAAGAGGGGAGGTTGGGAAAAGCATACCTCGATGGTCAAGACCAGGGGTAGATACCATTTCCGTCATCCGTCGCTCGCTGCTTCGAATTAGGTCTTGCAATCGTTGCAAGTTGTGATGTTGGGATTTTTCGATACTGGGCTTTCTTACACCCACTTCTTTGAGTAAGGGTTGAGTGCGATAAATGTCGATATTTCTGAGATTTTCTGTGAGGAGTTCGCTGGGACACTGGCCTGGATCCGTACTCGAGGTGGTCTGTCGGTAGATATCTGGCCATATGCCCCCTTTCCTCTTTGCATCCCGAATTTTTTGGTCCATTTGCGCCACCCAGTTAGCAGCCTTTTGCGAAACGGCGCGGTCTATGGGGTTATGTGAGGGTATGCTTGCTGCTCGTAGATATGCGATGCGAGCTTCTGGATATTGTTCCATGGCCTTTAGAATGTGTCCCTGGTTGAGGTAGCATTTCGCGAGAGGGGGAGACTCACATGCACCCGGGTCCCTGGCTATAGCTATTGCATCTTCGATTGCAACGGAAGCGTCAATCAGGTCGAACATAGAGGATTTCTTCTTATATCTATTGAGTAGCTTTATGCTATGATGAACGAGGTTGTTCACGTGTTCCTCATTCTGGATTCTCTCAGCTCGTGTGAGTTCGAAGGATGGCATTGATAGATTAGGTACAGCCATGGTATATAGGTAATGAATGCGAATGAGAGTCAAAGTTAGTACGAAAACCATAGAGTTTGATTCCGGCCTCCAAGATGCCTAAATACAGAATGAATAGCATTGTCTACAGTTCTAGCTTCCCCGATTGTCTTGTTCTTTGCTCAGAGTCAGTCTTTCTTGAGATGGAGCTGTCGCTTGGTGATTGAAAAGGCGACGTGTAATACAATAGGAGAAAGACTCACAAAAAGGAGCGAATCATGAAACTCATTATATTCGTCACATTGTCATATCCTTTGTTTCCATTTTAGCCCTGCCGAATTTTCATAACACCGGTTTGCCGGCTCTAGGACTCATGTAAGATAGAGCATCATTGATTAATCACTCACTCACCGTATCGTATTTCGACCGCCAAGAGTTTGCGCGCTTTTTACGGCGATGATGTCTCAGATATGTCTAATGTGATTGGTCAAGAAGCAGCCTCAAAGATCTGTCAGGTCAATAATGATTTCACACTCATCAATGATACCGCTAGCATCATTGCCCAGGCGGTATCACTGGTTGAAGGGCCGCTGTAACCGTGCCGAGAGAAAGTTGAATATCCGATGCCAAGTGAAAACAATACCATAATCGTCGGCAATCGTGCGCGATGTTTAAGATTTGTATGATCTCGTCCACGATTTACGACTGCCAAGCTGCGCGTCATACCTTTGTACGCACAGTAGATTTGGACGCGAAGGCTTGCCAAGTCGGGGGGCGCGGTTGAGCCAGCATAAACATCTCACTGCGCTCGACGGCTCGGTCCGCGTAATGGGCTCGCCCCTCTTGGGTACCGAGTTTAATGGTAAGCTCCCTGGCTCGGCCGAGGAGCACTCTACCCCCAGCCAATATCCCCGTAGGAACCCCGTACTCTACAGCTCAATAAAATAACTCCGCGCTCCGCAGCTACGTAGGTGTGAGATAACAACTTGTGCGACGCGCACATATAAATGGTAAGACGCCACGTGCGACTTTGACGAGTCTAGACTGTGCGTATCTCATATAGGTACCTAGCTATATAATGGCGAGGTAGATATTTAATCTGATGTGCCATCGAAAATTAGGCACACCTTTGAATACATTCCTGAGTACCTAGAAATACTTGGGTAGTAAAGTGCATCAAACCTTGAAAGCTTCACCTAGGTGACTGTCCGCTCTGATGGGTGATCAAATGACAGTTACTGCGCTTGCAGACATTATCAGGAAGCAGGCGGAAATACTCGAGACCAGTCTCCCGCGGCACGCTTACACCGATTATCATGGCGATAAAAGCCTCAGTATCGCAAGGTCGAAACTTCTCGAGGCTTGCGATAAGCTAAACCATCTCGTTACCGGTCCTATAGAATGGTCAGTATGAAGATCATAACTTCTTATGATGTGCTTTTAATAGTTGTAATGATTTTCCCATCATTTGCGGAAGTATGAAGCTGATTATTCCGCAGTACGTCATTTGTTATAACACCGCCCTTGCTTATCTGTCTCAACTCTCTACCACACCTGGGTGTTTGGTAGAATGAATGAATAAATGGTCGAGGTTGCAATCGAACCTCAAACATTATGGCGCTCGTGAATCTAACTCCTTACAGATGTAATGGGTATCGCCCAAGGTCATCGCGTGCATGCAGCCTTGCAATATGTATGCCACTTTCGGCTCGCGAGCTTCGTGCCTGCGGATGGCACTCCAATCCCGTACGAGGATCTAGCGCACGCTGCCGGTGTCGATACTTCCCAGTGTACACGGGTGCTGCAGCTGCTCATGACATACCATATCTTTCGTGAGCCGGGTACTCGCATCGTTGCGCATAACCGTAATTCCCGCGTTCTGCTCGACGAAGACACTGGAGCAGCAGTTGAGTGGCTAACTCAGGAATCGTTGAGGTCGAGTGCATTTTTCACGGAGTCTAGGGCTATGAGTCGAAGGTGGTCGATTGGAGGGATGGAGGGGGTTGGGGTAAACGATGTTGCTATCGATTCAAGTGTGGATGTGGATGCGAGTGCGATTGCTGGAGAGAAGGGTGCTGTTAAAGGGAGGGTGAGGGCGGAAACGGCGCTGGGGCTTGCGCCTGGAGGTATGTATCAGCCTGCTTTCGGGTTCATCACACAACCTCGCCAGACTACCGAGGAGTCTATGAAAGCGGACCGGTACGCGAGAGCTATGGCTGGTATGGCGAAGCGAAGACAACTCAGCGTAGAGCATTTGGTATCTGGGTTTGACTGGTCAAGTCTTCCTTCTGGCTCAACCGTCGTCGATGTAGGGGGTGGTAATGGACATTGTTCGAAGGCCGTCGCATACTGTAATCCGACCCTGAAATTCATTGTCGAGGATGCGAATGAAGCGTTTGCTGCAGGTGTAGGCGTGGACGAGCTAGGGGATCGTCTGCAGTTCGTGACCTACGACTTCTTCACACCACAGACTGTTATAGGGGACGTGTATCTGCTTCGACGCATACTGCACCATCATTCAGACCAAGATGCCGTGCGTATCTTGCAAGCTCAACTTGGCGCAGTGAGGAAGAAACCTGGTTCCAAAATCGTAGTCATGGATAACATTGCGATTCATAGCGGTACACTGAGTACGCTTGAGGAGCGCAAGACCAGGTATGTAACCCGCCCAGCCTGCCCGACCTGATCGCTCATGATTCCGAATTAACCTTGTTCCTCCAGGACTTTGGATATCGCGATGATGGCTTTATTCAATAGCGTCGAGCGCGACTTGAAAGACTGGAAAGAACTTTTCAGGATGGCGGACCCCGGATTAAAGCTCGTCAACGTTGCGAGTCCGATTGGAAGCGCTTTGGCTATAATGGAACTTGCGTTGGAACAGACTTGATTTTGTTGAGTGCTCTTTAGTTGTCTTGTGGATGATATATGTATGCATATCTGGATAGGGTGGTCTTTGTGTCTACCCAGGTATGTAAGTTGCGAAACGAAGGAGAATAATCGGACAAATTTGGTAGGAGTTGAAAAACGACATCTCCTGGAAATAGGCTCAGATTGATTCGTATGCTGATAATGTTTACTCCTGTACTTCGTACAAGGCTTTTGCTATATGCCTTACCAGCTAGGCAATGGGACCCAATAACTTACATGTTCGGCTACGCTTCTAGTTGTTGAAGCGCCAGAAGGTAGTGTCCAGTAGTGATATAGCGTCAAATTGACAAGCCACAATATCATCCGAGCCTTACTAATACTAGGTAGGCACCTATGTTATGACCACGGAATACTACTAGGTAACGTAAACAACTTAGTAACACGTATCGAGTCCTAGAGTGTCAATATCTCCTCGAAGAGTTTGATAGGAACTCCATTTAATCACCATGTCTAAAAGCAAGTCAAACGGTTTCAATTTTACACCTACACCACTGTTCTTGGGTGGGCCACTGAATTCTCGTAGTCGATAAGCCAGATCTCGAAAATGCATCGGATTCTTTGTCAATAGCATGATCAATCTGAGATATAGTGCTATGCATATGAGTTAGCCCGGGTTTACGATACTATGCAAGTTTGGGGTTGATGTACTCACTACTAGGCGACATGCCCTTTTCCTCCCATGACCAGAATTCATCCCTTCATAGCCTCGTTTAATTAATCTGCCACATGCTTGCATCAGCTATCGGCATCGTCATCATCACCATTCCCTAAATTCCTTAGGTGATGAGGTCGGCCACGTTCATCGGCATCTCATCGATCTGAGTCGAGTAGTATACTACTATCTGTTAGCATCATACAATAATAAGACTCGACGGACCTATATCACTTACACTCGATATCTCTGAGAATTCGAACATCTTCGCTAGTAACGAAGTTGATCGCGACACCCTTGCGACCAAAACGACCACTTCGGCCAATGCGGTGGATGTAGTTCTCTCGGTTGCTTGGCAGATCGTAGTTGATAACTAAGCTGACTTGTTGTACGTCGATACCACGAGCCCAGACGTCCGTAGAGATTAATACTCTGCTGTTACCCTGTCTGAAGTCCTGCATGATACTGTCTCGTTCCTTCTGAGGCATGTCTCCGTGCATGCTGCTGACGGTAAAGTTCGCCTCACGCATCTTGTCGGTCAGCCAATCGACCTTTCGTCGGGTGTTACAGAAGATGACAGCCTGAGTAATTGTGAGTGTGTCGTAGAGATCGCAGAGGGTGTCGAACTTCCAGTCCTCTTTCTCGACAGCGATGAAGTACTGCTTCAGACCTTCTAGCGTCAACTCGTCACGCTTGACAAGGATTCGGACGGGGTCGGTCATGAACTTAGTCGTCATGTCCAGGACATCGTAAGGCAAGGTGGCCGAGACAACCACGACTTGAGTGGCAGGAGGGAGATATCGGTACACGTCGTAAATCTGCTCTCTGAAACCCTGGTTAAGCAGCTCATCAGCTTCATCAAGAACGAGCATCTTGATTTGACGAGTGCGCAAGTGACGGCGACGAATCATATCAGCTACGCGACCTGGGGTACCAGAAACGATATGCTGGCCGTAGTCGAGCTTTCGGATATCCTCTCCGACGTTGGTTCCACCGATACAAGCGTGGCATTGGACGTTCATGTAGTCGCCGAGAGCCATGACGACGGATTGAATTTGGGTTGCAAGTTCGCGTGTGGGAGAGAGAACGAGGGCCTGGGTCTCGCGAATAGCAGTATCGATGACCTGGAGCATGGAAATGGAAAATGTGGCGGTTTTTCCTGTTCCGGATTGTGCTTGAGCGATCGTGTCTCGTCCCTTGCAAATTTGGACGATGGCTCGAGACTGGACGGCGGAGGGCGACTCGTAACCGTACGCGTAGATGCCGCGAAGAAGGTTTTCTATAGACGGAATAATTAGTCTTAGCCTTCATTTCGTGTCAATTGATATACACCATGTGTTAAGTATCATATATGTATAGCCTTACCCTTCAAAGACATCGACTCAAAGGTTGGGTGCACCGTAACCTCTTTGGAGGTAGAAAACTCCATCTTCTCGTCAGCGCGACGATCGATACCACCACCTTCAGCCATGATGAACGAGTATTGATTGCGCAAATGAGGAGGTGATGATTTGAGGTTAATATTAAGATCGCACTATGTTGCAATGAGCGCCTAGTAAATGATTTGCGGTCTTGAAATGATATGCAGAAGACGTTGATGTTCGGTTGAAGTTGAATTGATCAATTCGAAGCAGTCGCCAGGCTGGTAAGTGGTAAGCTAGAGAATTTTTATGGGGTCGAACTTTAGGCTGTGGCTATGCCCCACATCCGCTAAGCAACCACCTAGCCCGCCTGCAGCTGCAGCTGGAGCCTCTGGAGATTGATGGAAATACCGACCCTAGCCACTGTGGCAATATGGATTAGAGACCGTTTGTAACTGAACCTAACAATTTTAAAGAAGGCTGTTCCATATCAACTTCTGATATTCAGCCTCATCATTAATATTTCTTGCTCTCTACATAATAGTAGCAAGATTCAAACCGACAATTCAATTTTACACAGTCCAATCTTATTTCGACTTCAATTTCTTACTCGGCATCTTCTATCATACCACATTACATCATCCGTTGAAAAATTATAATTGATTTTCACCTAACAATTCAAGATGCTCTTAGAAGAGCAAAGATTCCTTCATGAGGACCTCGAACGCCTCGAACAGGGCATCGCAGATCGCATTGGCGATGAACCCAAACATGTTAGTTCTCATAAAGCCAACATTCAAATAACTTAATTGCTTACTCCGTATTTTAGATCTGTGATCGTTTAGCGCGTGATCATCAGATATCTCAATTTCTCGATCGCATATCGTCACAGTCCTCCAAGCTTCTTTCTCTCTACCGCGATGCGGATGGGTCAAGGTCGCGTGAGATCCAACAAATCGGTAGCGGTGACCCGATGGAAGAGTTCTACAAGCAGCTTACCGACATAAAGACTTTCCACAATAAGTACCCCAACGAACCTGTCGAGAACCTCGAGCGCGCATACCGGCCAAAGAAGGGACCTGATGCCGAATCTCAGCCTAGTGTCGTCGATACCATGTTCACTGGTGAAGAGGCATTTGGTCGCTTTTTCGATCTTCACACCTGTCACGAACTCTATCTCAACCTTCCCAACGCAAAACGGCTTAGCTATCTTCAGTACCTGGACTCGTTTGATAACTTTACGCTAGGTGCTGGCGGACTGAAGAGGTCGGAAAAGACGACAGATCAATATTTCAGCTATGTCGGCCAGCTCGCTCTAGATCTCGAAACCTTCATGCGAAAGACGAGGCCGTTAGAGAATGTTGACAAGGTCATCACCGACTTCGATAAGGAATTCGATATTGCATGGGAGAAAGATGAGATCGCCGATTGGAAGGCAGAAGAGCCTAGCGGGAAGACCACCGGCGGCGCAAAACAAACATCTACGGCTGACACGGTGTGGTGTGATGACTGTGAAAGGGAATTCAAGAATGAGAACGTATACAAGGGTCACCTTTCCGGCAAGAAACACGTTCGTGCGGCGGCGGAGCGGGCTCAAAGATTACAAGGCACATCTACGGAAGAGGGTAACTCGACTAACGGGGCTGGGAAAGGTGGAATGTCGACGTATAGACTAAAAGAGCGGGCTATCGCGGAGAGAGAATTCCGAGTCAAGCGTCTCGCAAGCGCGATGAGTACCGAACGGTCTGATACTCGAGTGAACGTCGAAAGAAAGCAGGGTATGACTGAGCGAGAGCGGCAACAAGAGTTGGAGAATCTGTTCAACGCCACAACTACTACTTCGCAGCCCAAGGATGCCGAGGATGGTGAAGAAAACGATGACGAGGATAGGATTTATAACCCACTGAAGCTGCCACTTGCGTGGGACGGTAAACCTATCCCCTTCTGGCTGTATAAGCTTCATGGACTCGGTGTCGAGTTCCCCTGCGAGATATGCGGAAACTTCGTATACATGGGACGCCGAGCCTTTGATAAGCATTTCAACGAGGCGCGACATATCTATGGTTTGAAATGCTTGGGTGTCACAAATACAAGTCTCTTCCGAGACATAACAGGAATCGACGAAGCGTTGAGGCTGTGGGAAAAGATCCAGAAGGAGAAGCGGAAGGATAAGGTGGACGACGGTAGCGTGGTGCAGATGGAGGATGCCGAAGGGAACGTCATGCCGGAGAAGGTCTATTACGATTTGCAGAAGCAAGGCCTGTTGTAAAGCTATTTAGATGTAATATTATGCAGTCCTAAGATTGCTCACGAATTGGGGCATGGTCGGGGCTATTTCTAAAGAGGAATCAAAAACAGGATATATTCCCCATAACAGGAATCGTGCTGCCAACATCAAGGAAGGGATATTGAATGCGCTCCTACTCATTTTTCTAGGTCAAGTCTTCCAGGTATATAGGTACATGTATCTAGTGCTACATGCAGTGCTAGCTTGTGTTTAAGTTTTAGCTTATCGATAACGTAACTGGAACCCCACAGCCCACCTTATCAATACCTAATCAACATGTTGGTTGTTGTGATTCGTGACGTCTCACAAACTTTCAAAATGTAAATAACAAATGCGCTTCTCATAACCTTCTCCGAAATATCCCAAGTTCGTTTGGCTTACTGCTATTCGTGTCAGAGCGTGCGGCTGGAATTATCATCCGAACTTCATGTCATAGAAATGGAACCACAATCTTACGGGGACTGGTCTCATCTCACCATCAAGAATTCGAAGCCTCATCGTTGAGACCGGTTGAGACGCGCTCAGCCATCGATTTACAAAATGACTGTTATAATCCCGCCACTATACACTGTGTATATACTACGATCAACCGTTCGCCATTCTTCGCTATATATTGGTTCAACGCCCAATCTACCGCGACGGCTCAAGCAGCATAATGGTCAGGCTAAAGGTGGTGCCGCGCGCACATCTAGAAGTACGTTAAGACCTTGGGAGATGGTTGGTATCGTATCAGGTTTTCCTGGGATGGTAGCCGCTTTGAAGTTCGAGTAAGTTATCCAATTCGATCAGTGAGCTTATCATGTGTACCTGTTATGCTAATTATTTCTTAGGTGGGCTCTTACCAATCCTCATACGTCATTACATATCCCGACCACGTCTCGCATATCAGCAGCGGCGGGTAGAAAGCGAAATGGTCATCCCAAGCGTCCACGACACACAATGACCTCGATCCTTTCAAACGTACATATCCTTTTACGCGTACCTAGTTTTGCTAGATGGCCATTGAACGTCCACTTCTTCGATCCCGAGGTATACAAAGCATGGAAGAAATGTTGCGATACCGCAGACGGACCTTTACAAGATACAACTCAGATATTGACAGACTTTGGTTCTTCGCTCTCTGGTCCGCAGGAGACAGAAGGCTCTCATTCTGAAAATGAGTCAGAGCAACCCTGGGGTATTCATGCTTTACCACTTGACTATGCCCCGATGAAGGATTATGTGACGAAAACAAAATCGATATACGACTTTGAGAGGGAAGGCGATTGCGTGGTATGTAGAGAACATCTAGAACCAGGCCAGGGTCTCTATGCGACATGCTCGAATGCCAGCTGTGAAGGCACCGGACACGTATCATGCTGGAGTAAACACATACTTGGGAAAGAAGCTGATGAGAATATCATTCCTATATCTGGACATTGCCCAAAGTGCAAAGGCCGAGTTACGTGGATTGACCTGATGAAAGAAGTGAGCTTGAGGGTTCGGGGAGCCAAAGAGGTTGAGAAGCTTCTTAAGAAGCCTAGAAAGCGCAAAGCGCAAGCTGAGTCTATATAATATCGATATAAATATATATCTACCTAGGTAACCCTCATCATGTCTAGGAGATGTAGGCAATTGTGTGATGGAATCCTACGATGCTGTAGTGAGGTGTTGAGGCTGAGTGATGTTAGTACCAGCACTGATACTACCTAGAATACGGTATCTTGAGAATCGATCATGACATATTTTTAAATAGGAAAATAGATTTTCTGATCATAAAATTTTGATCCCTCATGTCAACAATGTCAAATCATTCTCAGGCAATACCACGAAATGCCTCTCGGTTTGTACGACACAAATCGGCATCTCTTAACGGATAGCTGCTTGGAACTGGAGGTTTATTGCGGCCCCCGCAAAAATCCAGTCTCCTTTTTATGGTAACAACCTTGGAAACCCAGGATTTTTCAATGCTCGGCTGGGCTGGGTCTTCCCTGCTGTGTGTGCTCGCGTGGTGTTCCCGTCATGCAGACAGGGGTAGCGATCCACTCTTTTGAACGTCACTCATCTGCCATTGGCTCCTTAGACGACTCATTGGTTATTATCCTTGCAAGTTTGCCTACGATATCAATTCGGTTTTTTTATGTTCTGACGACTTGGCCCAAATCTTAGCAGCCTCCTAGCTCCAACTTTTGACGACAAGCAATATGAGGAAATTGATTGCGACTCTCGGACATTTAAGCTCTACCTATAAAATTTGCTCTCAACATTATCCGCACACGAGGCTCTAGCTTTGGGATGGTTACTCGATAGCCCTGGAGATTTGTTCATTCAACTGGAACCCCTCAAAACAAGCCTGATAAGCTAGGATCTTGGTGTGAGGCACAGTACGGAAAAAAGCAAAAGCAAAAAAGTCCAAATCCAGGCATCCTAGCCATCCGCCTCCCAACATAAGCACACTGGCAGACTGGCACATCCATGGATCATTCAAGGATACAACCATACCCTATGCCTCGCAGCCATTTTGATACTGTCGGTATAGTCCGTGCAGCCTCGCCCCAAGGACCAAATCTAGGTATCCGGGTATGTGTGGTGAACAGATGACATGCAGTTAGTGTCACATACCTGCCATAGTTGGACCGACAGTTGCTTTTTTAAACTACTGCAGCAATTAAATACCTGTCGGGAGAAGTGCGGCGATCTTTCGGTTCTAATAAAGCTTAGCGGCCACCCGCCTCTTCAATTTTCTTCGCTCTCGATTGAGTCGATTCTGATTCCCGCGACTATCCTCAAATCTCATGATCTAACGAAAATAAGTTATTGGCTACATGTACGTACATACGTATAGGTAGTATAATCTAAAGTTAAGACACTTTAAGCGAAAGATATTTCCAGACTAGGTACCCACCTAAATATCCTACATATGTATGTAAGCGGACCACATGTGAGAGTGACCGCTTGTTGGTAGTGCGTAAGTATAAAGTTTGCGCATCGTACCATCGACCCCAATGGATCTCTTTTGGATTTTCTGGAGGTGAAATGTCAGCCGGCATTTTATTTTGCCCGCGTAAGCCATATCAAATATGACAGACTCGCAGCGTCAATATCCAACAATTTCCAAGCTACCCAGGTAACCTACTAGGTAGCTTAGCATTAACCCCCCAAAACAAAACTCGAAACATCCCTTCTTTGATACAGACGGAGCGACAATTCCTACCTAGGACTCTTGGTAACAAAGACGTGGCGGAAATAGATGCATGCCTACCAATGTGGTAGGTGACTACTAGGTAAAGGTTATGTAGTTGATTGATCTGTAGCTTTGTTATCGCCAACATCACATGATTTTTGGAAGAACATTCTATTGCTAAACATTCTATATTGCTAATTATGCAAACGAGACGGATGGAGGATGTGATAGCAACTGAGTGTGGAACAATGTCAATTGAAGTTGAGGCGATGTAAGTTCCGTAAGTGGAATGGAAGTCAAAAGTAACATATGTGTACTGTGAAGATACGTGCGACATAAAGATTTGATTGTACATCTCTACGAAAATTTGATTTGGCTAGACGGAAATAGATTATAGATCAAGTACATCACAGGTAGAGCGCAGGTAGCAGACCGAATAGGTACCTCGGTACAAGATGCGCAAGGTTCGACAGGCCTAGCTGCTTTAAATGGGACTGGACACAAAATCCCGACGACAGCTACGAGTCGCATTCACCCACATCAATATCCACTTCTACCACTTCCTTCTTTCTTCCTTTCCTTCCCAATTCACCGTACAGCGTAAATGTTCGTGCCTGCGTGACCCCCGTGTCCCGTTTTCCCCTTCTCGTCTTTCTTGCATTACGCATTACGCTGCTACCGTAAGCTACGGACATCAGATCGACTTGCGTTCAGGGCCAAGGTACGTACCGTCTACCATCCAAGCTTGAGCACTTGCTCTTTTGCTATTTTGCTCTTTTACTCTTTTACTCTTTTTGCACTGACCACCCACGTTCCACCGTACCTACGCTGTACCTACCGCTTAGGCATCCCGCTCTTATCCAATCTAGTCCGTTTTCCCGTTCTAACTTACACGCCTATTCTATATCCTACACATACCATACCTCGACGTCTCAAACCTTCTTCTCTCTTTAAACCTCTTTCCACTTTAACATGCAAATTCCTTTGAGCTAAACTTCACTTCCCCTCCCCCCTCCAATTCACTCGAATTAGAGGACAACTAATTCTCCTCATCCATTGAATACGTTTTCAACTCGAACTTCATTATTACTCTCTAATGATACTGCTAATTTAGTAATTCGCGATATTCGAGGTTGCGCCGTGGTGGTTGAGGTGCACTGTTGGGAGAGCAGTTCAACCCTATTCTCTTTTTTATTTGTCGTTCTAGGACGCATAATACTTCGTTGTATATCGTGACCAAGCACGCAGTCCGTATACTTCACGTCCATAATACGTACTACGACATCTGTTCGACCTTTCTTCAACCACGTAGGCCATATATTCCACATACTTGCTAACGACTTACTTATCCGCTACGTTTTGTTTCGTCAAGACGCGCTCTCGTCTACTCTTGTTTCGAGCGACGATACCACTACGGCTTAATCATATGCTCATGCGATGCACATACGGCCTACCCTCCTTGTGACAGCCTCACAATCTCCACTAACCGAAGGTGACCGGCAAACGTAGCCCATCACCTCTTAATCCAGCACGGCTGGATACGACATCTCCGAAGATTTATCTCGTCATCTTTTTTAAGCACTGTTGCCTGTCTTGAATCATGGTCTCCACCCCCTCCGCTGGCCATAGTGGCGGCGTTGGAGGTGCCGGTAGCGCGAACGCCAGCTCTAGAGCATCTCCTGCTGTCGGTAACACCAGCTCCTCGAGCCATGCGAACCATTCCTCTTCGGCGGCCAATGGCGCAAAATCGAAGACGCAGGTTAATTCAAACGGGTATCACCCTACCAATCCTCAAGTACCTCTTAGTTCTATGCGTAGCGCACCTCTAGATCTTACCTCGGTCGAACGAAGAGGCCAGGCAACCACGAATCGAGAACCGCCTAAACGAAATAGACCGTACGGACTCGAGGAAGCGCCGACGTATCATCCCACCGAAGAAGAATGGAAAGATCCGTTCGAGTACGTCCGCAAGATCACGCCCGATGCACGCGAATATGGCATCTGCAAGATTGTCCCGCCCGATTCTTGGAATCCAGACTTCGCAATCGATACAGAGGTGAGTTGATGGTTTTTGGGGTTTTATTTTTCGTTGGATGTTGGGATTGTTCCGAACACGAACAGCTGTTAGAAATAGATGGCATCCAAGGACTGCCGACGACTTGACTTACGAAAGTATGCTAATGATCTATAGAAATTTCATTTCCGAACTCGAAAACAAGAGTTGAACTCGGTTGAAGGCAGTAAGTTCTTTGTCACGACACGCCCTGATTATTTATCGCCACGACTAGTCCCATTGACCTCAGTGTAGGCACACGAGCGAATCTTAGTTACCTCGATGCTCTCGCCAAGTTCCATCGACAGCAGGGAACTAACTTAAACCGACTCCCCTACGTCGATAAGAAGCCCCTCGACTTATATCGACTCAAGAAAGCGGTCGAATCTCGTGGTGGCTTCGAGAAAGTCTGCAAGACGAAGAAGTGGGCGGAGATTGGCAGAGATTTGGGATATAGCGGAAAGATCATGTCGTCGTTGTCTACGTCGCTCAAGAACTCGTACGACCGATGGCTAACTCCTTACGAAAACTATCTCCGTCAAGCGAAACCTGGTGTTTATCAACAGCTGGAATACGAATATGGCGGACCTCTTACGCCAAGCCCGGCTCCCAGTCCCATGAAGCGATCGACAGTGAATACTCCTTCGAGCCTTAGAGCAGAATCGCCTGCCCGACATGCTAGCGATGCTCTTCAACAAAGCTTGAATGGACCAAAGCAGGAGCCTGACCGTGATACGATCATGGCTGACGCGCCCTCTGCCACATCACAGCCTACATCAGGCGGATTTACCGCTATTAACTCTGGAGGGTTTACGCCTGTCAATGCTGGATTCACCAGCGTCAATCGACCTGTTACGACGGAACCTAAAGGTTTCACTCCGCCTCCGAAACACCATGGAAGCCCGCACCCATCTGGCAAGAACACGCCGGATCTGCGACCATCCGGGCTCGGACCTGCTACTGCTCTGAAGCGCCAACTTAGTTCGGACAGCTTAGACTCGGCGAAGAAAGACACTGGTACTGATGATTCCGAGAATGGCAGTAGGAGGAGCAAGCGACTAAAGAAAGGTACGTATTTCTGTTCAATTATCTATGACTCTAATTCTGGTGACTTGATGACTACTGGCCTCCAGGGCTGTCTATTGTCTGTTTTCTCCAATGTTGCCTCCTTCGTCATTTGTCGCACACTTCCTTCATCTCTGATATTATTGTCGCCCTCGATTGATTTCCTTGTCGCTCTTTATTTTTCAAAATTTGTCAACTGTCCTTTTCCCATCCCGTTTCCTATTTTCCTGTAGTTGAAGAGTACATTGCTTCCTTTACGGGGTTCTGCCTATTTGTGGAGATGCGATCGTGCAGGGATTCTCAATGCGCTCAATCATGCGCCTTTCCGTGCAGCCATGTACAGCAGAGAGGAAACCATACAACGGCTCTTCCGACCTTCGCGGTCTATGATTGGCCCAATCGCTTTCACTACTAATGCAAGTTGACATATAGAAACCGTCCCTACCGTTGCCGGTTCTCACATGTCGCTGTTCCGTCCTTCAGCTCCCAAGATCCCTGTATCCCGAGATGAATCCTCCAGTCCCAGCGAGGTAAGTTTTTCGTCGTCCGGTTTTAGGTAATTGATTCATCCGCTCATCATGTGCATAGAAATGCGAAGCTTGTGGTAAAGGTGATGAGGTGGGCTTCATCGCAGTATGCGAGTCATGCGATCACGGGTACCACGGTACTTGCTTGGATCCTCCTCTCAAGCAAAAACCCGACGCCGAGTGGAACTGCCACAGATGTCTCGTCGGCGATGGCCAGTTCGGGTTCGAGGAAGGTGGCTTATATTCACTGAAGCAATTCCAAGAGAAGGCAGCGGACTTTAAGCAAGGCTACTTCGAAAATCGGATGCCGGTCGATCCAGTGCTCAATTGTTCGCGACCAGTCACGGAAGAGGACGTGGAAAAAGAGTTCTGGAGACTTGTTACTAGCACCGAGGAAACTGTGGAGGTAGAATATGGCGCTGATATCCACTGCACCACTCACGGTTCCGGATTCCCGACCGCCGAGCGTAACCCTTGCGATCCTTATTCTACGGATCCCTGGAACTTGAACGTCATGCCTCTCTATTCAGAGAGTCTCTTCCGACATATCAAGTCAGATATCTCTGGCATGACCGTTCCTTGGGTTTACGTTGGGATGATATTCTCGACGTTCTGCTGGCACAACGAGGATCACTTCGCGTATTCTATCAATTATCAGCACTTCGGATCGACCAAGACATGGTACGGAATTCCGGCCGCCGATACCGACAAGTTCGAGAATGCTATGCGAGAAGCGGTGCCGGAACTCTTCGAAACCCAGCCCGACCTATTATTCCAGCTCGTCACACTCCTTACCCCGGAGCAGCTTAAGAAAGCTGGTGTTCGTGTCTATGCTCTCGATCAGAGAGCTGGTCAAATGGTCATCACGTTTCCTCAAGCCTACCACGCAGGGTTCAATCACGGATTTAACTTCAACGAAGCCGTGAACTTCGCGCCGTCAGAGTGGGAGCCTAATGGGCTTGCCGGCGTCGAGCGGTTGCAGCAGTTCCGGCGACAGCCGTGTTTCTCGCACGACGAGCTTCTATGGACAGCAGCAGAAGGAACCGGGTCTGGGTTGACTATTCAGACTGCGAAGTGGCTTGCGCCGGCGCTTGAAAGAATACATAAGCGAGAATTCGAACAGCGAGAAGAGTTCATCGCGAAGCATCGAGAAGACAATCACCAACCCTGCGCTCTGACTACCGACTCTGACGAGCATTGCTCGCTCACTGTCGAAGTCTCCGATGTCGACGTTCCCGAGGAAGAGTACCAGTGCGCCTATTGCAAGTGCTACGCGTACTTATCGAGATTCAAGTGCCTCCAATCCGGCAAGATTCTCTGTATCCAGCATGCTGGTAGTCACGCATGTTGCGATATGTCCGAATCGGAACGTTACGCCGGCGATCAGCACAAGCTCTACTATCGCAAGACCGACGAACAGCTGAACGAGACCTACCGGAAAGTGGCGGATAAGGCCAACATGCCTGAAGCGTGGGAGGAGAAATATGAGAAACTGCTCGACGACGGAGGCAAGCCAGCGCTTAAAACGCTGAGGAACCTTCTGAGTGAGGGTGAACGAATACCGTACGACCTCCCCTCCTTGCCAGCTCTCAGGGAATTCGTTGACCGCTGTAACGAGTGGGTGGACGAAGCAACTAATTATACGGTGCGAAAACAGCAGAATCGCCGTAAAAATGACAAAGCCTGGCAGAGCGGAATGCGAAAGTCTATCGGGAGCTCCTCCCAGGAACAGAGAGAGCGCGAGCTCCGACGGGTCGAGAACATCTACCGCTTAATCGACGACGCCGAGCGCATAGGATTCGACTGCCCGGAGATTCAGCATCTGCAAGAACGCGCTAACGCTATAAGAACTTTCCAGAAAAATGCCGAACAATTCCTAGAGCGCGGGTGCGGCCAGGAGTCCATCGAAGAGCTCATCGAAGAAGGCCGTACATTCAACGTCGACATGCCAGAGCTCGACAAGCTGTCCGAGATCTTGGAGCAGACGAAGTGGAACGTCAAGGCGAAATCGAACCGAGGGATGTTTTTGACCTTGAAAGATGTTAGAGAATTGCTCGAGGAAGGTCACCGCCTGGATATACCGCTGTATAATGATAATATGAGACACTTCGGCGACAAGTATGCGGCGGGAGTGCAATGGGAAGCCAAGGCGAAGGAACTCATCAACGCGGAGGTCGTCCACTACCCGCAACTAGAGGCCCTCTCGAACCAGGTGCAAGTTAACACGCTCCCCGTGACGCAAGAAACCCTAGCTGCCGTCGATCAGATCTTGCACAAGCAACGGGAAGCCCATCGCCAGATCCTCGACCTCACGGAACGTTCCAAGGACCCCGATTATAAGAAGAGACCGAAATACACCGAGGTGGTCGAGATCATGAAGAAGCTCGAAGACCTCAACTCGAAGCCGACCGGGACTCTCGATCTCGAAAAGGAGCAGAGGCGCCACGAGGATTGGATGCGGAAAGGAAAGAAGCTGTTCGGCAAGACTAACGCACCCCTTCATATTCTTAAGAGTCATATGGACTACGTCTTGGAGCGTAATCTTGCCTGCTTCGATATTCGTAACGATACCCCCCGACTTCCGGCCGAGCCAGCGTCCAGGGCGGCTAGCGAAGAGAGAGGAGAGGAGGGGAAGGTTAGGCGAACGTGGGATATTAACGATCCGGCTCTAGTAGAGGTATTCTGCATCTGCCGCCGTATCGAGGCCGGCATGATGATCGAATGCGAACTATGCCACGAGTGGTATCACGGCAAATGCCTGAAGATTGCCCGAGGAAAGGTTAAGGAGGACGACAAGTACACCTGTCCGATCTGCGATTGGCGAGTCAAGATTCCGCGAGACGCCGCGCGACCTAAGCTAGAAGATCTCATCTCCTGGCAGGATGAGATTCCAAACTTGCCGTTCCAGCCCGAGGAAGAGGAGGTCCTGAAAAAGATCATCGATAATGCGCAAAAATTCCGAGATCATATCGCAGCCTTCTGCAACCCCGTGCTTACTACGGCAGCCGAGGCCGGCGACCAACGATTCTATCTACGAAAGATCGAAGGAGCCGAGATTCTGTTGTCTTTCGAGACTAATTTCTTCCGACAAGAACTCCACAAATGGAGTCCGGTAGCGCCCGAGCCACCCCCTGTGCTCGACGTGTCTAAGAGTACACGCAAGCCACGTCCAACAAAACTGCAAAAGATATTGGCGCAATATGGCGTAGATAATCCCGATGACCTACCGGAAAATATGAAGAGCAAGGCGAATAGCTTAAAGCGCAAGGCGCTGAACGCGGAGGCGGCTGCGGCCGCGGCTCAAGCTGCTGCGGCGTCGTCGAGCACGGCTCTTGTTCCTCCGAATGCAACTAGTCCATCCTCCCACTCGTACGCATCTGGCGGTCATCCTTTTCTCTCGCGGAACTCGCAGCCGTCGACTCCAGCTTTGACCGGCACTTCTCACGCGCATCCACCCCAGCGGTCCAACTCAGCGTCCTCTAGCAGGCCCGGATCATCTCTTCGACCTGACACCATGGACATGAATAACGCGACTAGCTTGCATCCTGACTTCTTCAACGGACCAGGGCCTCGCCTGAGCGCCCTAGATCCATCCATGACGCTCGAGGATCGTCTGCTGCGCGGGCAAGAGGATAGTCTGAACCTGACCACGGATGTTGGTAAGGCTAACGCTCTCGCCATATTACGTCGTACCGAGATCGGACGTAAACGAGCCGAGGAGATATTTGGTCCCGACGTATGGAACCACGGCCGCGACGATGCGTTCAGCAGGGCAAACATGAGCCAGACTCAAGACGACGATAGAGACGTCGACAAGATGTTCCTAGATCTCACTAATGCCGACGACGAAGATGATAATAATAAAAAGGAAAGACAACGCGAAAAGGAACGAGTAAGCGTCACGGCTGATAGCTTCGAGGCGGAACGAAACGTGATGGATATGGAGGACTCGGACTGAGTTTGGTCGATCCCATGAAATTTGGCATGTCATTAGGGGAGTCACGGCGCTTAATCAGGCACAGATAGGTGCGGTTAAGGATTAATTGGCGGTGTAGAGGCTTCTTGAGCACTAGCACGTTGATGGTAAAAATTCCCTATGGCGTACCGGCTAGCATCTCTGCGCTATATCCACGGCCACGGTAGAGTAACAAGCATACGAGGGTGAGCCAAACATATAGAGGCGTTGACGCGGATCGATTCACGGAAGAAAATTCCCTTTCATTTCCTCCCCAGTGTATGACTACATAGGCGATCACTATTGCATTAGATAGGCGTTGTTTGTCAGACCCGGTTCGGTATACCTTGTTCAGTTCAATGGAGGAAAGCTGGAAGGGGTGGGGACCGATACCTATTCAGCTATGCACGTAGCTATTTGATTTCAACTATTCATTACCATCTGCTGTGTTGACTTGGATGTGAGCTGGATTGTGATTTGGGGCTGGTAATCCCACTTCTAGAAATACTAGGTGGGCTGCGATGGGTGGCGTTTACGTAGCCCACCTGGAGACTCCACTGTATTTTGCCGCTGAACCCCTAGAATCATGAAGGGATTTCGTGCTAGCCCTAGGTATAAAGCGCTATGATTATAGGGGGGTTAGTGATTGATCATAGAGGATAATGTCAACTAATCAAATCCAAGAGCTACCATGGGGGACGTACCCACGGGCCACCCCCCAACGGGCCACCCTATCTCTCACCAAAACACCCTGTTTTCACTTACACCAGGATCTATCAATATTGAATCTATTTAAACAAAGTCTTGCGTATATGTAGTTTCGAAGGCGGGCTATATGGTGATATATTTTTGTAATTTATATGATTATATTAAGAGAAGTTATGGGGTTACAAAATAATGGACCAAAAAGCGATTTCCTAGATTTTCCCAGATTTTCACCCTAGCGAAAACTCCAACCCATTATACAACATAGAAAAGCTATTATGTTTAGATATTTTGGTAGTATGATATAATGAGGATTAGCTATTTAATGATATAGCTTATATTATTGTAGATGACGTTGTTATTTAGATATGAGCTTGAGTATGTATTGCTCTTCCTCGAACTTCGAGAGCTCGGATCAAAAGCTGGCCTACCCTCAAAACAACCCGTACGCCTTCAAGATAAAAACTACTACTATTTAATCGACTTTTGGGTTCTATTACGAAGCCTTACAAATATTAAATATAATTATAATAATAAGATCGAAGGAGATTAGGTTCTTGGGAGTTTGGCTAAGGGTTTTAGGGGGAAAGGTCCCTAATTCAAGCGCTAAGATTTTCAGAATTAGTGAGATACTAGGTAAATTATACACCACTTTACTTTGATCCCGACTGTATCGCCATTGGAACAGCTGCATAAATAAGTCTATATATTTTCTGATTCAGCTTCCAAAGATCTTTCGATTGGTTCTATTCATATAATTCTATGTATTTTCTTGATTTAAATATGAATATTGAAAGATAAGGTGTTTTGGTGGGAGATGGGGTGGCCCGTGGGGGGTGGCCCGTGGGTGCGTCCCCCATGGTACCTGTATTATGTTTCTTTCAACAATGGCTCAACGATGACCATGAATTCCAGTTGTATACCAATACAATTTATATCATTCAATTCCTCTTCCAAAGGGCTTCAATATGATGTCAGATGCACCATATAAGCTGTATTGTAAAGATGGATAATTATAAGACTTACTTAGGTAGGTATTGCAGGTGTTGAGCTGTTACTGAGCCGTTGTTGAAAATAGTGGTCTGAATATCACCAAGTCCCTTATTCTTACAAGGGGCTCGGCGGTAAAATACAGCGCGTATACAGCGTAAATGCCACTAATCGCACCCTGATTTAGTGCCGTTGTTATGGTCTCGCTTATGTAATGCACACGGGATGCCAGAAATACGTGACTAAGCTATGTTACACCAGCCAACATGTAGGTTCAAGGTTGTGTTGACTTTGTGTACGGTCATGGAAAATTAGCTAATAAATGGGATCGATTAGGTACCTTGGTCATCATTTATATCCTCCACTAGATGAGACCTACACTGGAGATTGTGGTAGGTAGGTATTGTCCACTCGGGTCAAGGTAACGTGTGACCCCTGACCCCTTACCCCTATTACCATTTTTGACAGTAAACTCCCAGCTCTACGTCCTTGTACTTTCAATATCAGCTTCCGAAGAATTAATGACTATTATACTTTCCAAAACGAAAGCAAATAGTATATATGAGTCTTCTCCTGACGTGTAGGTACACCGTGAGTCTTGAGATAGTATCGTATCCGTCAGATTTGCTGTCAATTTGTAGTCAGTGTGTAACGATAGATTTACTATATAATTGATAGCATTTTGCCCTCATCCTAATATGGATTCATATCGCTTTTCAGTCGAATCTTTTGTACCATAATATCATCACATTATATCCATCTGTCGTAGTTGAAGCAACACTATACACCTACAGGATTAAGAATCATGGAGATGGAAGACGAAGTTATGACAGATATAGTAGCGCCCAGCTGGGAGCATCCACACTTCGACTCTTACCGTACGAACATCGACGATTTGAGAGTGGTCTTCGCTTGTGAGGAATTCGGGGAGATGCTAGGGATCTGCGATGAAACATGTGAAGCGGTAAAGAAACAGATCCTCGAGGATGAACAAGAAATTTCTCTCCCCGCCCTCAAATTACTCATAGGCTTTTCAGATTGCGACCTTACCTACTCCCTTGTCACTAAAATAAGGGGTCTAAAGTTCCTTTCCTTGGTTTGCGCCTTGACCACGGCGTTCACACCGCAGGAATGTGCGCAGATGTTGGCAAAGCTGATGAAATGCCATCTCAAGCGAGTTGAGGAACGATATCCTACAACTGAAGACTTATTGCCGTTAATCTCTTCGATAAATGCCAGATGTCAGCTTTCCGGATTTTCTGAGCACGTCGCGAATTACGAGATACAGATCATCCACTGTCTCCGCGATCGACGCCATGATGCTGCCTCAACTCGCCGACTAGAAAGGACCCCTGATGTTGATGCTGTGATCAAGATAGTTACCCTCATGAAAAACTTACAAGACAATACCCCAGGTCCCGGTCTCACCCTCAAAGCCTTCAGCATCCAAGCCGGTCTCTGCGCCCCTTGGATTGCAGCCTTTCTCCACTGGTGGTACAACAAGGAATCCATGATCTACCTCGAAGACGACTCCCCCAAACAATGCCAAAAGCTGGTTCACGGTTTCACCAAAGTCGGTCTCAAACTCATATTCCCCATCGATGAGTACTCCCCGCAATACATCCGCATCAGGGAGCTATACTCCGCCTCCGTATGGAAAAACTGGTACTTCGGTCTCGGCAAAGCAAAGCAGTACACCAGTTTCGTCTCTATCCCTACCTTCTTCCGCCTCACACTCTGCGTCTTCCGCCTCGATCGCGGACAACCCAGACGCGCCGCCGTGGAAGCCCTCCCATTTGCACTCTCAGAGGCGTGGAAGGGCCTGACGATGTGCTCCGGACCCTGCGTGGCCCGTGATCGCTGGGGCGCCCCGTGTATCCACGAGGGGCAACAGGCCCGGCTGCGGAAACAGCAAATTCCGGAATCTTCTCGTGTTGCGGAGGCGTCCCACGCGATATACACCACTAACTTCGACCCCTTTCCCTCGCGCCAAGATATCAATCGCGTGCTGCAGCTTGTCCCCGGGTGCGAGGGACAGCATATGCAGGATCTACGGAGCAAGGAGATGGGGACGCCAATTCATTTCCACGGCGCGGTGGCTGCGTTTTTGGAACTTCGGGTTTTCGAGGCGGAGCGTCTGGAGTGGGCAAATGCGTTGTTCAAGAGCCAGTTTACGCCGCTGCTGGAACCCGGGGTGACGACGTTGTTTAAAGAGCAGATCGCGCATTTGGTGGCTTTGGTGCTGGCGTTGGCGCTTTTCGAAGGGGTGGAGGGGTTGAGGGTTAGACCTGATCCAATGGTTTGGAGGAGGAAGGGGGTAAGGCCGAGTACGGTTATTTCGGCGATTTTTAGGGTTTTTAGGAAGAAGAAGGGGTGTTGTGATGTTGAGGAGTGGCATCGTGTTTGTAGGATTTTGGCTGGAGAGTTGAGGGCGGATGTGGATGATGGGGAGATTTGGCAGGAAAAGGGGGAGGAAACGCCAGAAAAGTGCAGTGGGCGGGATAATACGATTATTTCGTGCGATGGTGGACAGGTAGTGTGGCCCGCTGTTCTGTTCCAGGACGAGTTTCCTCAGGATGGAGAGAGCTATCTGAAGCTTTGCTGGCGTCGTGGAAACTTGTATGACCAGGATAATCTTAGGCGGTACGACAGAGTAGTGGGCTCGGACTCGAGAACAGTGCCTCACAATATACCTCGGAAGGTGTTTGAGATCCCGTCTAGACTGACAAAGGACAATATGTTAGCAAGCGGGAACCATATTACACTTGAACGCGAGGAAGGGTCTCAGGGGATCTTGAAATGCGCCTTGATATGGAGCTTAGACTCAGGTGGAGGTACAGGCAGTGGGATACACGTTGATCCAAGTGGCATAATCAAGAACCTAGCATCAGCGGAACGAATAGAGGCGTGTATTCACTCCCACGACGCACCAATGAATAATCCCATCCACATGAATATATACACAACCGATCATGGTCCCATAATCAGCACTAGTGGCAACAGCACGTCCTCGCTCGCTGACGTGTACCTATGTGCCCCTGACGATGCACTGCCGTGGTATTGGGACTGGGCCAGCAGAATCAACCAGATGGATCACCAGAAAGATGATCAGGGGGTTGAACAGAAACGCTTAAACGCACTCTTGGAGCACGTACGCAGTGGTACCGGGTCAAAACCTGGAGCTGTGGCAGCTATACGGTCAGAAGGCGACGAGAAAATCCAAATTTTTGCGCTCACGAAACCAGTTGGGGCACATGTCGTGGTTAGAAAGCGGGCGTGTGTGGAGTGTTGCGTTAAGTATTGTATGGATAATGGATTTGACATTCTGGTGCTGTAAGCTGTAAGCATTGGATATCTATAGATAGTAGTAGTAGGGAGAATAGAATATAGGGGTGAGAGTGTGGACAAGGGCCTCAAAGTTCGACGTCGAATATAGGGCTCGGGGCAAATAAGGGGATAAAGGCTTGAAAATAATATTCTGTATCCTGCCCGACGACTACATGAGAATGATTGGCTGCATGGCTGTTAGAATTTGAGCACTTACCATGGATATCACTGGAGTGATGTACTAGGTACGCTGCGTAGAGCAGACCATCATGGCCAGGCAGCAGTTTGCCCTTCCGACAGTAGGCTTAAATAATAAAAGAAAGTCAGGCATTTCCATCGGCGGCAGTAGAGAGTAACCAAAGACCTATTGGTCATGGCTTAGTGGTCCTGTCACAGACACCTCATCGCACCCGCTTTGACGACCCTCCCGAAATGGTGTGGTCTAGGGTTCGATTCTCAGAGATTGCAAATCTTTGAGATCTTAAAAAGAGAGGCAAACAAATACCCAATAGCGGGGGCGCAGTAGCTAGGAGCCGAACAACAATCCTAGGCCGGGCCTACTAGATGGATATTTTTTTTATCTTCTTTTTCCTTCATGAACTGTGTACAACGCCGTATCTTGGTATTTCTTCCACCAGCTTCTGTGATCCATCATGGATATCTTCGTCCCTGATTTTTACTCTAGAACTGCCTGCTTTTCCAATCTCGAGATGAGAATTTAATTCCCTCGTGGTGTGCCTTTCCCCATCTTATTATGTACCTAGGTAGGTACCTAGTTTTCTATTTCTATTGTTGGACTCTCCGTCCATCCCACCAAGCCCTTCTCATTGTGATCGAGATGGCAAGATTACTTCTGAAAAACCATCATGGCACCATCGATTTTATTCTTCCTCGGTCGATTTTTATTATCCGTACACATTAGTGTTTCAATACTAAAGCTGATTCCTAAATACCATCTGAAACTATGGGATGTTAGAAGAACCGGAACGAGAAATCCTACAGCCCAACCCCTGTGAAGCTACTAGGTACCATGTAGTCTCTTCTCACCAAGTCCATCATTGCCTTCCTAGCTGCTTCGTCAGGCAATCTAGGGGTTATTCGCATGGTAATGATTCATCTTAACCTTCTCCGCGTTGTAAAAATCACTATGCTGGCCGAGGAGGCAATATATTTGGTATCTACAGCCATTCGCCGACCTGGCTAGAACCTATTTTGGATCAGGTCGCGCATTTCCACTTGTCAGATATAGTCATGGAATGTAGTGTTCGATATCCAGGTTAGCCGCGTGAACACGAACTCAGTACTACTACTTTCTTACGCTCGTCTACGCCACCAGCTACGATCTTCCTCGCCTGATTTTATGTTGAGAATGCGGAGTGGATGTGAGTCAGCGTAGCCATCAAATCAAATCAACAACTGACCTGATTCAGTCAGTTCAAGCCGGTATCAGTTCAAATTGCCCTTTTGACGGCGGACCATAACTCATAAGAACAAATCCGCCAACCCGCCAATTCAATTAATGTATTGAAACGTACACCGCATTATGTACAGTCTAGTCGATATTCCACACAGTGCCCCAAATGTTACAGGGCGTATAGCGTGATAAAGCGCTGAAAGCCCCTGTAATTTATAGGGGTTATAGCGTATAGCCTTTTTATAGGTAGGTACCTAGGTAAGTATATAGCTTGGATGTTTCGGATACACTTTTGCGCTTCAATATTAGGTCGCCCGCAGATATAGTAGGTCTATTTGAAAGCGCTTTGAAAGGCCTTTCGATTTATATACAATTTATCTATTCTGAGCTAGTTTTGATACGCTGAGTTTCAATTGAACTCACTACATTCAATCGATGAGGTTCAGCGTGTGTTACGTGACACCCCTCATTTTGAACTATTACACATATGAGCCTTTTTAGGTACTTAGGTACTTAAAAAGCCACCTATAAGTTACAGGGCTTTTAGCGCCCTGTAGCGCTATATTCCCTGTAAGATTGAGGACACTGTGTCGAATACCTATCAGACTGTAGGTAATTGTACTGTATACATTTCAATACATGAATTGAATTGGCGGGTTGGCGGATTCGACCTTATGGTCCACTCAGTGTAGTGCTTTGCTCTGGATCCACTTTTATACGCGTTCTAATTTTCTAATTGGCTGATATAATTAAAATGAAGTACCGAAGTACCTCTTAAATAAACATTTTAATCGGCTTACTACCTACACATTTGATCAATCCGACTGACTGATTTGATCAGTTTAGTTCACTATTTTCAAACTGGCCAATCAGATCAGTCGAATACGTTTCGAATGGACTGACTGACTGATTGATTTGATGAGAGCGCTGACGTGAGTTTTCGGGTCTCCATCTTTCGGCCTAAGCTTTTTATTAGGAGTCACGTGTCCATTTTCACGTTCATGTCACGTTCTACTTACAACGTTTCTCCTGTTCATTCCTCCACCATTCTTCAGATATTAAAATAGAGAACTGTTTGAGAAAACATCCATTACGAAAATTGAAGTTGATTACCATGTAGGTATGATATAGATAAAATCTGCATCTTAGGATGCTACTCGGCGATTCTATATTAGTGACACTGCCAGTTTAGGTAATAAGAAAGGAGAACATCTACAGAGTCTGCTAATCGTCTACGCCGGTAATTAAGGGACCGGATGATAATTTACTTGACACTGGATTCATACGGTCAAACATAGTAGTGGGGTGCTCGTCATCAGAGCCAGTTGCAGTTTCCATTCTGCTATGCTAGGCAACGAATAACTTGGGTATGAAAAACGCCGGCCTGAGATTCTCAGTAAAATAAATGAAAATCCCCAACACTCCTAGGTACTCGCCGATACCAGATTTCCCAGTCCTCCTCCCCCGTGAACTCCAGATATGTTCCAACCCCGCCTAGCGTTTAGGGCTGGAAGTTGAAGCCATACCCTCCTTGCCATTGGTTGAGGTCGGGAGGCATATAGCCCTGTTGCTGGTAACCGTAGGGATCAAATTGGTCTAGTCCAGGTTGGTTTAAGGTAGCTGGGTTGAAGTCAGGCAGATGTGCCATAGCCTCATCGAACTGGCCACCCTCTGAGCGCGAGACTTGTTGGTGGTCTCCCATGCCGAATGCAAAGCCACCCTGAGGGTCGGTAGGAGTGTCAAGAGTCTGCTGCTGCGAGGAAACTTGCTCGCCAACTCCCATATTGATTGGGAAACCCATCTGCCCGCCCTGGGGATCGGCGGGGGGAGTGTCAACCATTTTCTGCTGTCCAGCAAATTGACCAGGAGCACCGCTGTAGATATGCGAGTTAGTGGTTGTTTCTTATAGTAAATTAAATATTTTGAGAGATGCCACTTACCCCTGCGCTTCGAGCTGCTCGATCTTCTTCTGACGTGCCAGAGACTCCGCTTGCGATGTCTGATACATCTGTTCCCAGCGGTCTGTGGTCTCCCGTGCCATGTTGCCAATGGCTTGTAGCTGCTCATTTTCGAGCTTGACTTGTTTGAGCTGTGTATCTAGCTCACTCGCCTCAGCGTGAGTCGTCTCCAGCTCTGTCTCTAGCTCCCCTATCCGAGCTTGGGCATTTTCCAATTCGCGCTTCTTAGCAGAAGTTCGCTGGGGCTTCTTCATGGTTTTGATTTCATGTTGAAGCTTCGCCGCATGATTGCGGGTGAATTGGACATCGTCGGCATTCTTGGTGATCTCTTGTCGAACCTCCTTGATTTGGTTCATAGAATCTTTTAGAGATTCCTTGATCTCTGTGTACTCCGCTTGAAGTTCTTTGTTGAGTGCTTCAAGTTCGTCGATACGTTTTTGTTGCTCGATGATAAGTTTGTGAGCTTCGTGGACATTGAGAATCTTGCCGCCAGTGACGGCAGAGTTTTCAACCTCGGCGTTCTGCATTTTGAATGACTGTGACTTGGTCGAGCAGAGGTATTAAGTAGGAGAGTACTACCGAGTAGTCTAGGGAGGAAGGTTAATCGAGATCTAATGCTTTGGGGATTTATTAGAAAATAAATGTAAGGAAGTGTTGGAAAGGATGAGAATGGTTTGGGTACAAAGGTAAAAGGACAACTTACTGTACTCGGAGCTTGCGGATTGTTGTTAATTCTGGGATCTGAGTGTGACAATCACAGACTGATGGCGACGATGATTGCGAGCGTTGATTATCGAGAGCGATAATGACCGAGAGCGATGGTGACCCAGAGCGATGATGACCCAGAGTGATGATAATGAGAGCGATGATTATCAAGAGCGATTATTATTGATAGAAGATGGAAATTTGAGGTAACGAGGACTCAAAGTGATGAGAACTGGAGGCTTTGGCTAGCGTAGTGTGCTAATCAAGATGTTCTCTCTAGATGATCTCCAGTAATCTTTATCAAAAGTAGAGTGAACGATAAAGTTGATTAAATGGCAAAGTAAGTAGAGTCTAGTGCTCAGAAATAATTGTGAGTTAATCAGTATTTCTGGTTTAAAACTCTGGGTGGACTGGAGGAAAGAAAAAAGAAAGAAGGATTGTAGAGAGAGACCTAATGTTATATAGTATTGAGAACTGAAGCTACTGATTGGAATTTCGTTGACCGGTAACGAGGACTCACCTCATAGGCCATCTCCACGATATTATTAATGGGCTAATGTACAATAAGGTTCGTACCGGCATGCTACAAGCCGGGAGAATGCAGTTGCCAGGCAGAAAATCTGCTGTAATAGGGTCATCTGGCAGTGCTTGCATGGGTCACCACAGGGACGAAGTCATTAAAGTTCGACTAGTCAGTATTTTATCGACAATTTTGACAATTTTGACAAAACTAGCGCGATCAAATGCTGCGTATCCATGTTTGGCAGTTGCAAATGTGCTCAGTTGAGGGTATACGGCGCCGGTACGCGCCGGTAGCTCTTGCCGTATGCTGCGGGCCGATCGCTGGAATCCCCTTAGTCTGTTACAATAAACTCTAAAATTTACGCTAGTAATAGATTTCGGTACGCTAGTAATGGAATTCGGACTCGTAATGTGGTCTATGCCCCTAAATGCCCTCATCGGACGACAAAAACAGTGTCAAACAACCCCATAGTTCGCACCTGCCGCTCGATAATGAGGGGCGTGCGTAGTGCCCCCAGCTCTGATCGGGTTCGACACATCTGGGGTACTAGATCACTTTTCGTGGGGTACTTTTTAATGAATATTCTACATATAATGATAGGCCTGGTCCCATAAATCTTATAATTGAAAATCCGGGGTCGGCGTTCGTGATTTTCAATGAACACTCAAGCCTGCTGGGGTTTCTTTGGGAAATATATCATCACGAATGCGATGGATGCTATGCTTTTAAGTGAAATTTCATGTTTCCATCAATCTTCATAGCAAAGACAAAGGATGTGAGGGTTGACGATAATACACCTACTTCTCCTATTTCACATGCCTCCTTTCCCCAAGCAACCACTGACCCATACTTACAGCAAGCAAGGCGTTTTGTTTAATCAGATATCCTTTTTAGCAAACAAATTCAACTATTTAGACTGAACCTTAGCTGATGTCTGCCTGCACTAGTAAGTAGGTAGGTAGGTGGTGGGTGGGTAGGTAGGTAGATACCTACCTAATTATAATGGCATAGGGGTCTGTACCTAGGGGTGTCTAGGTATAAATGCGTATGAAGGTTGGTACGTAGGTAGATACACACATAAAATCAACTTCTCTACGACTCATAGTCATATGCTAGGTAAACCAATTTGAGCAATCACGAGCAGATGACAGAATCTCAACTATATACTTCAATTTAAATCGTACCAATCGTAAATACAAGAATCAAACATCATGACCCAAGCCGGACAAGCCAGAGCAAAAGGGGTCGGTTTTGTTGTTTTTAAATACACACACATCGTGACATCCATCCCTATCCAATCCTAATCCATCACAATCGGCTCTCTTGATGCCCAGCTAACACGGCTCTTAAAGCCATATGATATCCCAGAGTCTAGGCCGTAGCAACACACTGGTGATAGTAAGGGTTCCAGGACTTGCAACCGCCCTCAGCACAAGCCGTCGGGCCGGCAAAGTTGCTGCCACCGCACTGGCCGTACAGGCTCTGGGCGTTGACGTTGCCGGTGGCGGCCGCGGTTGTAGTCGCCGCCGCAGCGGTAGTGGTTGTAGGGGCAGTGGTAGGAGCAGCTGCCTTGGTGGACGTGGCCAGTGTCGTCGGGGCCGACGCCTTGGGGCTCGAAGTCGAGACCTTCTGTGCGGTGGTGGTGGCAGATGTCGCGGCGGCTGCGGTGGTTGAAGCTGCGGGAGAGGTAGCGGCGACACCGCTTCCGACTGTTGCGGTGCCAGTACTGGTGATGGCGGAAGAGGTCTGGGCGACGGAGGAGGAGGCTCCGGCGATCAGGGTGGGACCGGGGATGGTGTACTTGATTCCGGTCGTGTAGATGTTGATGAGGATACCGGGGTCCTGAGGGGTGTACAGCTTAGTTCCCAGAGTACCGGCGGGCGAATCTGTGCCGTCACCGGTGATCTGGAGGTTGAAGCACTGGGGATACGCCTGAGCGCCGTTGGTTGAGCCGGCGGAGTGAAGGGCGATGGTTTCGTGGCGGAGGACATAGTTGCCAGCCTTGATGTTGGCTGGGATTTGGACCATCCATGTGAGGCCGTTGGAGATCAGGACGTCAGAGCCCCAATTTCCAGGCGCGGTGGTGTCGTCGAGGAGGCCGACCTCGTCAATCTTGAAGAACTCGAGGGTTTCTTTGTCGACGGTCTCGCAAGAGTCGCCGCAAGGGGCGAGGTAGTCGATCATGGGACCCTTGTGAGATTCGGGCCAAGTGTTCCAGGTAATGGCGATGCTGTCACCGGCCTTGACCTGGGCGTGACCACCGGCGTTCTTCGCGTTCTTGTGGCAGATGATGTCGGCGCTTGAGAAGCTGTTGGGCTCGATGAAGCCGTTATCAGTCTGAGATGTGGTCCATCCGACGACGGTGGGTGGGCTTTGCTGGTAGGGGAAGGTAGTTGGGTCGTAACCCTGGTAGAAGACTCCGTCGATAACGACATTGTTGACGTGTCCGTGAGCGGCGACGGTAGAAACCGAGGCGAGAGCTGCGAAGAGAGCAGAAGTTTTCATGGAAGCCATCTTGAATGGTTGCGATATTCGTATAGCGTAGCGAGTGAGCGAAAGGCAGGAAGAGACAACAAATGTTATGAACGAGGTAAAATGTATCGATCAAGATAGCTGGTCTCACCAGGAGGTATGAAATGAATGACTTTAGTCTGTAAAAGAAGGACAACAACGAAAGAATACGTAAATCGAGTTCGCAAAACCGATGGCGATGAGGGAAAGAAGGATTGACGAGAGGGCGTCAAGATTCATCTTATACTCCTTCGACCGTAGGCAACATTGCCGTGCATCCATGCCAGCGATCATAGGTGCAATTCCTTAAGTCCCACCAAGGATTAAAATTAACTAGGTATCCCGTTGATTCGAAGGAATTGGTATGCAGATTTCGATACATGACAACTCGAACCGAGAGAATGGACGATTCTGATTGGCTCTGCAGGATCGTGATGGGGATTAGCCCCCTACTTTTAGAACCCTTGTCGTCCCATGTTGACCAGTTGCTAGGGTATCATTGCACTGGCAATACCGATGGAGAGCCAGCGATTTGGATCTGTGGGACTCGCACTCAGACGACTCGTCATGCTTTGCCTTGGCACTTAATGCGTCTGATAATTCGGGCTTGAAAAGTGGCGGGTGTGGTGATCTGATGGAGAAATTAGTATCGTGAAACCAAAAAGTTATTCCATTAATTATGTGATTGAGGACAACAAAAGAGATTTTCCTCCAATATCCGGCACCTAAATCTATCCCCGTGATTATCAGCGAGACATAGGCATTACAGTCCCTCTTCAACAAGGCCAAATGTCGGGCTGGAGAAGAGACAACCTCTTACACGCTTATAGCCGCGACTAAATTAGAAGGTCCGGGCGGAGGTGTTGCCCGGCCACACCATCGATAGCCGCTCAGCCGCTCTAACGTGAAGCCCCATCATCGCACGATCTACGCAGAGCCGCGTGGGTAGGTTGGTACGCTAATGCTGGAAATTCGTCCCGAAAACCGAAAACTGACGATTAGATTGCTAATGGAGTATGGAACCGCTGCAAGAAAGTACAATTCTGTACGAATCTCCGAGTCCCCAGTTACTGATGGTCTGGCTCATATTGACAAAGTACCAACCTGCCTACACAACTTCTGTAGTCTTTAATGATCCTCCAGATCCGCCCTGGCGAAGCATTGCATCAACTATTCCATCGCTCATTTAGACAGATCGACGCGACCGATCTATGTATGATCTTTTGAAGCTTCAATTATGCAAAGGAGCCCTAAAGTCGCATTGGGCAGGTCCGGTTTAACTTACCGTCGTCGCGAAAGCCCTATGAAAAGTTGAAGACGCGAGGAAAATCAGCGGGGGATCAGCTCGGGGGATGTAGCCCCACATCGGCCCCTGAGTCGATCTCAGACGCCCCACTCTGCCGTTTCGGATAACCGAAAATGGAAGTGGCGCCGGGCGGTTTCATGCCACAACGCCAAATTGTTAAAGTTTAAGGGGTCGACTTCTAGAAAGAACCGCTGGAATTCTATAATCGGCCTTTTCCTCACTCCTGAAACCTCTTAACCACATTCATACTGACCTTTTGGTGATGTGTACGAATCATTGTTTCTGATTATTAACAGATTTGGCGAGTCATCCGATCTTTGGCGATAGTGGATGATAGATGGGTGATTTAAAGCCTCTCGCACGTCCCATCAACCTAGCAACATCGCGTTACACCCGTACTATACCCATAATTGTTTATATAATAGATTGAAAAGGGGAATCGAGATATCCAGCTATTCGGCCGCCGAGGCAATTAGTACACCCGACGAAACGGACGAGTCTTGGGGTTAAACATCGTCAAATGGTATCCAGTTAGAATCTTACTGAGAACCTACCAACCCACTTAGTCTAACTTCATATCCCAATCCCAATCACAAGAACCAAGGCGGAAACGCATAACTAGTAGGTATGAAAGTTGAGAGTAGACTGAAACGACAGCTCTATAAACTTTTCCAAAAACTTTGTACATACAAGCAATCCCGCACGAGCGGAATCTGGGTCGTACAATATGAATAGGGGATATCAAGCCGTATCTCATGAAGTGCTCTTTATCTTCTTTTCGCGCACATGAACCCATTGCTGAGGAGTGAATAGCTAGCCCAAAGGGCATCATGAATCAACATCACCAACACCAAAACTCCGTTCGTCTCTTCTTTACTTGGATTTGCCAGATAGGCAATGATAGGCAGTAGGTGGGTCGAGAGAAGATGTTCAAAACTCTCCCTCACCACCAGTTCCGGCTACTCCAGCCGTCCATAAACCCACGAGGCCCCACCAGCTCACCTTCCACCCTCTCCAAAGACCGTCAAAGCCCTGACCCTTTCTATAAATAACATCTGCTGCCTTAGGTGACTTCAACTTGCGGCCTCGAGGCGGAGCCTTAATCTTGGCCGCGACGGCACGCGAGCCTTCCTCGGATACTATGGTGTACATCGTACTGACCACACCGTTGTATGGCCCGGGCGGCACAACCGTGTCCATCTGACCGGTCTCATCTAGAGCGTCTAGATATGTAGGTTCTGCTAGTACCGCAACCTGGCCACGGCGTAGTACGGTCTCCAGGGGTAGCTTGATGAATAAGGATGCACAGGAGGCGCAGAATTTGGCGATCGAGAAAGTCATAGGGGATTGCTCGCGGTCGATTAGGAACTGCGAGCGGAGGACGAGAGGAGTAGATAAGGTGAAGAATGGGTGAACGAGGGAGTTGAGCATCGTGGGGGCTATCAGGGATGTGGGGCACACCCACGAAGGGAGAGCTCGCAGAGTTGCTAGAGTTCGGCGTGAGCTACGCCCGGTAGGTATCACGATTAATCGTGTCCTCACGAGGTCGAGAGGGGCTAGAATCAAGCCTGTCGCAACAGCGGCGGCGGCGGCAACGCAAAGAGAGGCCCAGGGATAGGGCGATGCGACGTCGACTAGCCTATCGACGTCATCCTTTAGTCCTAAATCCGGGACGTTTAGCAGCGCGCTCAGCAAACTGCGCGACCAATTCTCAAACAATGACTGCAGTACCGTGTAGAGAAAGGTAGCATTTGTCCCTTTCCAAACACCCCACGCCGACTCTTTCGACCACAGTTGCGATATGACGTCGAATATGGAATCGGGTCGTCGAAGGACGAGTTGATGGGGCATGACTTCGGCCTTTGGGGGCGGTTTCGGAGAGCCTAACGGTGACGAACCCCTCCTTCTATGTGATCGCGTGGACGGCGTAGGCGTATACGGAGTACTAGAGGTGAAATATGCAGATTCTTCTGGATCGGAATCCGTCTCACCACCCTAGAAGTTGATCAGCACCAGCACATTAACAACCACAACCACAACTACGACCCCAAGTTATAGTAAATTGTTAGATATACCTCGTCCCATACAGATCGTTTTGGGTTTAACGGGTTTGGGCTGTCGAGATCTGGGCTTCCAAGGCTTGTCGGGCTCATAAGACCTGGGCTCGCTTTCCTTGGGGCCCTCGTAGGTTCAGGAGTATTCAAGTTCCCCAAGTCATCTTGAATCCTCACTTGCAAAATCGTCTTGGCCACCTCGAAGGGTTGGGACATGAGCACCGACGTGTACTTCCATAATAGCTCGTCTATGAATTGCTTTACGGATTGAACCGCCGACGGTGACAGATCGTCTAGGTGATCCTTATAGTCTATATCTGGAAAGATGTCTCGTGCCCTGGACGCGTATTTGTTTGGAGCAGTTGGGGTTGCTACCGTCGTATTTCCATGGGAAAATGGATTCGGTTGTGGCGGAACAGCGTCGACCTGCTCTCCTATAGATGGTGGTATGTAGTAAGGGCGCAAAGGATTTACGCCTTCTCTTGGTGAGGACATTATGGGCTGGATCGGACTTGTACCGTATGCCTTATACTGCGGTGAGCATGTTCTATTCTACAGTATCGTGAAAGTGGGATGGAACCTAGGAAATAATTGTCGTCGGTGGAGAGGTTACTCTAGGCGGTATTAGGTAAGGTGGGAGGTTGGGATTTACAGTTGTACTTCAGGGCTGGAATTGTACAACGCATTACAGGGTGGATATGCTAAAAATGCTAAAAATTTCAAGGATAAAAGGCGGACGAATGGCAATTATGAAAAGAGTTGTGGAAATTGTGGAAATTGTGGAAATCTGAAAAGGTTATGCAATTCAATTGACCCCTCATATTGATAAGCGATAAGATAATGAAAGGATCGATAAGAATTTTTTAAGGATCCGATCTAGTTTAGAATCTCGGAGTTAATCGATTGAGGGAAGTTCTAACGATCGGTCGCCGGTGTAAATTCGCCCTCGGACCAGTCTCTCGAAGAATTTATCGGAGCTATTCAATTCGCCTTCTTCTCATTGGTCGAATTATGTCGCGTCGCATCACTGAAATCATTTTCAAGTATCCTGGTTCGTTATTTTTTCTACCTTCTATGTTGTTAGATGCAAGCTTAGATGCGAGCCTATTTCGATCTCTATAATACTACCTATTATTTTCTAATCGGAGCAATATCGCAATGAGAGGCTGATACTATTAAAATAGCTTATACGGTCTAATCCTCTGGCTCTCCATTATTATCCCATATCCATAGTACGAGGGGTTTCTTTTTCTATCCCACCTTGTCGCCGAAAACCCCGAATCCTTCAGTCGCAATCTTCGGACGTTGACGTTGACACAATGGCGACACCTCGAACCCTCGTTCGAAGCTTACAAACACTTCGACATCCTTCTTTCCGATCTATATCACAATTGAGCCAGTCTACGCTTTCGACGAGGAGTAGGATAAAGTTTAATTCGCCGTTAATACATCGCTCTCGGGCCGTTGCTCCTTTATTACGACAGTTTAGCACATCTCCCTCACATCAGCATGGCCACATACATAAGCCTAAGGAGGGTGAAGAGTAAGGGTTAATTTGCCTATCATATACAACTTAAGCTAACGGTTAACTAGACTTTACATAACGTTCATAGATAAGGACGAGAAGGAACACAAAATAGCCGTGGCAGAGGGAGACAACTTACTCGACATTGCGCAAGCGCACGACCTAGAGATGGAGGGAGCTTGTGGAGGATCATGTGCATGTTCTACATGTCATGTAATAGTTCTCGACGAGGATTTCTACGAAAAGATGGCGGAGCCCGAAGACGACGAGAACGACATGCTGGATTTAGCATTCGGCTTGACGGAGACGAGTCGATTGGGTTGCCAGATCACGATGACGAAGGAGCTGGACGGGTTAAGAGTCAAACTACCCTCTATGACGAGAAATCTCCAAGCAAGCGATTTCGGTTCGAAGTAATGAAGGACATTTTCTAACAAAGATGCAAGGGCCCTTAAGAAATGAAATGATGAAATCGGTGCATTGTACCATACGACCGGGTGCAAATTAACGGCGTGGTGGTAGCGTGAAAATAGGCGTCTGGATAGCTACTACTGAGCTATAAAATGTATTATACGTGCAACGGAATAGCTGGCGTCGATAGACCCGAACCCCAACTCTAACGAGGTTATGTTCATGAGGTATTCCAAGTTTTGGTATCAATCCATGTCTGGTGTTGATCTGGTATTGATCTGGTATAAGGAATCTTAGGTAGGTACATTAGGTGCCCAGGTGTATACTAGGTACCTAGGTATATGCCCATAAGCTTGAAGAGATGGGCTCAAGCTTCCTCCAATGCGCCTTTCTTCAGCTTACCACCACCTCCGGCAATAAGGTCGAGGAAACCCTGCTTACTCATCTCGTTGACCTTCTCTTGCCGCCTCTGCACACCTACTATACCGTCCTTCCTCGTATCTCTGTCAGCCTCTGCAGCTCTCTCCTGCGCTTCCCTAACGGCTCTGAATAGCATGATAACACCTCTATGCGCGACCTTTTTGAGTCGCTTCTCCGTCTGCTGGATTTCCTGCGTAGTTGTCTCGGGTACACCGGTCTCTTCGTCCACGATGCCGACAAGTATGTCCTTCACTCGACCCTTCTCTTGTGCCAGGCGCTTCTGCTCGCGCATGTGTTTCCGTGCTTTCGCTTCTAATGCGTTGTCGACGGCATCTTTGGCGGCTTGGTGGGCTTCGGCGCTGCGTGAGAGGACTGGGTCTGCGCGCCTCGTAGTGGAGAGTTTGGTGGATAAAATCTTCGACATGGATGTCGCAAAGGCATCAGGGTCGTTACGTTTTGATTTAGTTTTTTGTGTCGTTGATTGGCCATCGTCGGAATCTGTGCCCTCATCCCCTTCATCGTCGTCGTCATCTACATCTTCATATTCATCCCCGTCTTCGCTTCCTTCTGGTTCGTCTTTTGAGTCGTCGCTTTTAGGCGCATCGGTGGCATGTTTTTGCGCTGGCGTCTTCCGTTGTTTCGTGGTAAGTTTTGTGCGCGCTAGATCAATCTCTGACTCAGAATCAGATCCGGAGTCTGAATCTGATCCGGATGGAACATCGTCTACTAAGATATCGTCGAGGTCTTCGTTATCCGAGTCGAGGAGATTTACGGGCTTGAACTCGGAATTGTCGCCTTCTTCATCCGAGTCGCTGTGGTATTGAAGGGCCTTCCTTTGCTTCTTGTTTGGCCTTTGTGACTTTGATTTCGAATTGAAGTCTTGGCGATTTCGCTTTCTGATGTTTGGCCCGGCCATCTTCTATATTTTTATTTTTGGTGCAGGTTGATGATTGTCCGTTGCATTCCCATCGTTCGTAACTTTTTCTGCCGAAAAACTTCAATTGAACTATGTAGACCCACTTATAAGCCATTTGATAAGATAAGACTGAAGCTAACAGGTATCTGCACTACCTAATAGGTACAAAGGTACTTATCAACCGCTAGAATCGGATTTTTACCAAATTCTGTGATATAAAAGGTTCACCTTTCATAATTTCTCCTTTCTACAAGAATGCGAATGCTCATATTTCCAAACAGCGGTAAATGATATGATCATGTAATCAGGTAGGAATCAAGACTCCAGAGCCCCTGGATGGCATTAAGTTGCCAAGCATCGCTACCTACCTAGTAATTACGGCGCAGATTCCGGATTCATATAAAGGCTAAGTGAAGATAAGTTATACCTCGATTCTGAACTTCGCGATGTTATAACACGTTCGCTTCGTCACTCAATTGGACCAAGAGATGTTCTTAGTCGATCACTCGTTCTTATTCCTGTTCTCTCACCTGGAAGATATTTCACTCTGATATAACCTCCTTTGTTATCCGAGAGCTGGGAGCAACACTCGTTCAAAACTCAAGACTCCATTATTCAGGGGTAGCGAAGAATCAAGATACCGTGGACGATATTCGAGCACCAAGATATTCAACTGGTAGATCATCCTTCACTACCCTAACAAGATGGCGGGTATCTTAAGCAGCTACAGCGACAGCACGTGTAACACGCACAACGCCCTGCAAAACATATCCGAATATGCCTGCGGCGTAACCTTCCAATTTAAGGACTCGGATAATCCGCCAGACATGCACTACGGCGTAGTATCTCTTCAGAGATGCTGTGACGAGGCGAACCAGCCCCTGCTGCGTATACCGGGAAACACGGGCTGCGAGATGCAGTTCTGCGAATTGCCGGCCATCACGACGTCTTACACATCGACCATTAGACATGGTGGAGCTACCGAGACGGCTCCCCCTACCGTCACGGAGGGCATCGAATCCGGCTGGCCTAGCGACGTCGTGTCTTGCATGAAATTCGTGTACAAAGGCGATCTACCAGATGATATCGTGGACGACATATCTTACGCGGATAGCTGGTGCGTTATTCGGATGTATAATGACGCGCTAGACCCGTCTGAGGTGTCGACTGCCGTGACAGCGAGCGCAGCACCGGCAAGCTGGACATCGGCGGCTGTAGACCCGTTTGAGAGTATGTTTTCGTCAAAGACCGCCTCATCTGCGACTGCGGGATCCACGTCGACAAGCAACGGATGCGGCACGTACGCCGACCAGAAGATGGCGGGTGGAATAAGGATATGGGTCGTCCTTGGATTGATGTTCGTCGGTGTAGTTGCAGCTCTTTAATTCCGTGTTCAATGGGACATTTTCGATATTGCTACTCGCACGAAACGCCACGGGCGCCACCACCGATACTACGACGCGCCAAGCATCTAATGATACCTCTCGTCAATACCCCTCGTTTACGTCGACCTCAAATTCTAGGAATTTCTACGTAACTACCTAGTACCTACCTAGGTAACCAACAATATGGTCAAGACGAAAACTTCAATCGCGATATCAAGTCGAGAATACTACATAAATCGGTCGAACATTTGACTATGTTTCACCGAAGTTCATCTATCGCTTCACTTATAAATATTCATATTATCTACCTAGTACCTACATTATCTACAAATAATAAACATCTACCACTATTCATTTCAGATGACGATCTACCTATCTTATATCCGCGTCTCCGTGCGGGGATCGAAATCCTCCACTTGTCTCCCTTTGGTTCTCTTAAATAGGAAGTCCGTGTGGAACGTTGCAATCAATTGGTCTTTGCTTTTTCCAAGCTTACCACATATGTCGGATATGTATATCTTGCATCCCGTCTTTTAAACTTGCTTTCAGCTGTCTCTCGATGAAGATAATCCGGGTGAGCGGCTCGCAAACAAATGCCTCTCATTTTCCTAGGCCACACACGGACCTATCAATCGCGTCTTTTTTATTGAGGACGACGCCTCGTGCTCATGGTACGATTCACATTCGTCAGCGGCGTTCTCGCCGCGACCTTAGCATGCGCCCAGTCTCAGAATGAGACCGGACAAAATCCGGGATGGCCGCGGTGGTGTGGAAAGGTTTACGAACCTGGGTATCCCTCTTTCGAGCCCGGCGGTGAAACGACAGAGCCTGCTCTAATCAACTCCGACGGCTCACCGAATCTGTACGTGCAAATTAAGCCACGGCATAGCATATATCTAGAAGGAGAAGAGAGAGGGTCAATTATCGTGAACGCAGCACTATCGCCTTGGTACGGCGAGCCCTGGACAAATTCGACGACGGACGGGTCCGTGACAGAGCCGTTCACGGAGTTATTTTTCTCAATCAGTCTAGCATCTGACAATAATGCCGGTGGGCCAATCGTTAAGGGTAGCGCGCCGATCAATGCGTCGGCGGCCGCATTCGACTTTGATCTATCCAGCCTAGAGCCTCGACTAGCTCCGTACGATGTCGTGCTCTTCGGGATGTCGAAGTTTGGTGAGCAAAGTTACATGGCGAGTAGCTCGTTCCGGTACTTGCCAGACATCGCTCCCGAAGGAAGCGCGACTAAGATCGACAATCTAAGCGGCGGACTGCTTTTTCGAAACGCGCAGACGGGTGGCGCTTTCGAACCGTTACTGCCGTATGGATTTTACGGACTGTATAATGGGTCTAACAGCACGGTAGAAAGTGCAGGATTCGTGAGCGAGTACTCTAGCGACGGGAAGGGCCTCAATGGGATCGTCTCCCTAGCGGGCTTCGCCGACACGAATCCGGTGTACGATAGTATGGACGCGTCGAGTATGCGCTTCATGTTTGATTTGCGCGGCTCTTACAAGAACCTGACTGAGGTTGAGCAGCGCGTGAACACTATTAAGCACCGTAGCTCACTTTTCGCATACTGGACAGCTGACGAGTAAGTTCCCGCGTGTCTTATTTGAACTTTTTACCTACCCCATATTTCAATTACATGTACTAAGCGTCACAGGCCTGATGGCTGGCAAGTCCCCTTCGAAACCACACCAGCAGCACAGGAATTGATTCACGAATTGGACCCGTATCACCCTGTAGCCGTCACGCTCAATTGTCAGGACTACTATTTCGGAGAGTACTCTGTCGGGGGAGATATTTTAATGGCCGATCCGTATCCAATAGCGATTAATAGTACGTTCTCCAAATGGGGTACGGTGTGTAACAGAACACTCGGGGACTGTGGCTGCGACAACTGTAACGGGAACGTACAGGATGTGACTAGCCGTCTCGACAATCTGATCCAATATGAGAAGTGGCTCGGTCGCTGGCCGCTTCCTAAATTCATCAACCCGCAAGCGTTCTACGGCGAAGACTACTGGTTCCGTTACCCTACCACTGCCGAGGCCTTTGTCATGAACGCCCTCGCCTTCAACCGCGGTGTCGCGGGTACCTTCGCTTGGACGTGGCCGACCAGCCAGGAACTATTCGCGGCTCACTCCCAAATGGCGGCTGTAGTCACTAACGCACCTGTGCGTGACTTCCTATTAGGCGGTCAGCCTGACGGTAACACCAAGCTTGCTGATGGGCCGCTTGTTGACATATCTTACTGGGTTAAAGGAGGGCAGGTTATGGCGAGCGTGGTGAATGGAGCGTACGAGGATGTGCCTGGTCCAATATCCATAGGGCTGCCAATGACTGTTTCCAGTATCTCAACCGTGGCGTTTGGTGGGTTGTCATGGGAACTGTCCGACGGGCAGTTGAAAATAGAGACACTCCCTGCCATGTCGGCTAGTCTTGTCATTCTGGATTTGGAATAGTCCAACGTCATATCACGATCACTATAACCTAATGAAATATCTACTAAGATCGCGTACAGCTGCATCACTTGCCTAATGGATAGTAAACCAACCAATCACGGCACACTGGGGCTGCGCGCCTATAAATTTTGATGGTATAGTGCCATCTGTGTCACCATGCCGGCAAACGATAGAACCGGCCAGAGCAACATTGACACTCCATCAATCCATCGTATCACAATTAGGTCATCCAATCGACGGCGGTCGATACGATACAGATACGCGCTATACGCTGCCTTGCTCGAATAGCAAAGCGGGGTTTCCAATACTGTGACTACGAAACGGGTAAAAAAATCGAGAGATGGATATGGGACGTGTTCATTGGTGTCGTCGTATCTCCGTGCGTGGCTAGTGAGGGCATTCATTTGACCATATAAAGACGAGAAGCGCAGTCGACTCGACTGATTTCTTGTGGTATGTTCATTGTATCTATCCGGCTAACTTAGGTCATTACCCCCGAGATGGATTCGTTGCTTTCTATGCCACTTGAAGGCTTTAGCCTTTTCTCCCACGGGCATGCTTTCCAAGCTGCCGCATCCTCGGCGCTTGCGGGTGTCGTGTTTCACCTCACCCTCCCGCAGCTGACGGATATAGAATTCTTCATGTACAAACTCATCGCAACTTTTACCCTTGCCCTCTTCGGACTTGGCACTGCTCTCTTTCTCAATGGGTTTTCTCTCTTTGATACGTTCACACGGGTGTCTATCCTTACGCTTGGCTTCTATGGAGGTCTCTTCACTAGCATGGGCATCTATAGAGTGTTCTTCCATCGGCTGAGGAACTTCCCCGGGCCATTGGATCTGAAGATTTCTCGATTCTTCTCTGCGCGCAGGGCGGCTACGAGTGTCCAGTACCACAAGGTGGTAGCCGAGATGCATGAAAAGTATGGGGACTTCATTCGCACAGGTAAATGAGATGAACCTATGGCACATGCTTAGATTTTGGTCAATTGAACCTCAATTAGGACCGCGAGAGATTTGTATCGTTCGAGGATCGGCTCCTCAGCTCATCTACGGCACCAATTCGAAATGTCTCAAATCGACCTTCTACGGGCAAACAGATTACGACTCTAAGAAGTGCCACATCGTCGGCGCGACAGATTTTGATGACCACCGACGAAGGCGCAGAGCATGGGATAAGGGTGTCTCATCTAAAGGTATCGTACAAACATTTCCACAACTAGAAAATGACGTGTCTAACTTTCGGACGACAGCACTGCAGATGTATGCGCCGCGGACCAAAGTTCTAGTTGACAAATTCGTTTCCCAGATATCTCAGCAGACGGGACCTGTAGACGCCAGAGACTGGTCCATGTACCTAGCCTTCGACATCATAGGCGAACTCGGATTCGGAAAAAGCTTTGGGTGTGTCGAAACTGGACAAGACCATCCCGCGATCACGGCCATCCATGACCATATGGAATTTTTAGGAGTTTTTGAACACGTCCCTTGGTTACTGAACATGTTGAGTCGTCTACCCAGCACGGGCTTTGCCCCTTTTTATCAATACGTCTATTCCCTATTGCAATTGACGCATAATGTAAGTTATCTCGAACGGGATGAATTCGTAATCGCTCACGCGCTAATAACTCTTAGGATTATACGCCCGAAAAAGCTCCCCAGACCATCATGTCCTGGCTCTACAAAGCTGTCATTGAAAAGGATATCTCCGCTTCTCCTACGACGAAGTCGCTAGAGGAAGACTGTCGCGCCGTGATAATAGCAGGGAGCGACACGAACGGCATCACATTAGCGAATACCCTATTTTATCTCATCAAAAACCCTCATGTTATGAAGAAGCTACAAGCTAAAATTGACGCCGCCATCCCTACCCCTGAGGACTGGACGTACGAAAAGGTAAAATCTATCACATACATAAACAACATCCTCGACGAAGTTCTGCGTCTCAAACCAGCTGTCCTGGTAGGCGGCTACCGAGTTACGCCACCGGAGGGTATCTACGTAGACGAGCAATACATCCCTGGCAAAACTCACGTCTTCGTACCTACGCAGAGGATCCAGACGGACCCGCGCTTCTGGACGCAAGCCGGAGAGTTCGTCCCGGAACGGTGGGGAGAACGGTACGAGGAGATGGGGACTGCTGGATCGCCGTATATGCCATTCAGCTTAGGTATGTTCCAATGAAGACTAGGTACCTACCTAGTAGCCTCGTTGATCTAAATACTATACTGACTGATTGTAGGTCCTTACATGTGCGCCGGGAAAAGCCTGGCCATCATGAACCTGAGCATCGGGCTTTGCAGCATAGCGCAAAACTTCGATATCGAGTTCGCGCCTGGTGAAACGGGTGAGATTTTCGATACCGAGGTTAAGGATACCTTCACCACCGGATTACCCCCTCTCAAACTCCTGTTCACGCCGCGCAAGAAGTGAAGAGAGGGGTTATGGTCGTGACACAGAAGCTTATGATGGACCATGGTTATGATCTTACTCAGCGCGTGACGCTTTACTCTCTCGCTTACTTGCTTTACTTATGTGGATGCAATTGCGGATCTGAGGTTGAGGGGATGGCTGGAGACATAGAATGTTGTCATGCGACGTCTAAGTACCTACTTAATTTATTACTTATATTCATTGTGAACGCCGGTGTCAAGAGTTGCGTACGTCAGCCAGGTGGCTTACCCAGTGTATGGCCGTGGTTAGATACTGTATTAAGCCCAAGCCCTGCAGCAAAGAGTTCCAAGGTTAGGTGTAACCTACCACTATATCTTAGTGGATAAGCGCTATAGGCTAGGGACTCTAGCCACTAACGAAAGAAGGCATAGGGTGCGAATGCATTTCAGCTTACACCCGTGGCCGCTGTTCAGTGTTGGCCCCGACTTTCTCACCCCCGAATTGCTTCTTCTATGCCCGCCATACGAAGTAAGCTGCACAAGTAGGTATGGTCCGTATCACATTTATATCAATAGATGAGGAGAATGTAGATTTTGAAGGTAGCCTAGCTCTGCGCCTGGGGAAAAAAAATCTCTATGAATTATATGGGTATATCTATGTGGTGAAGAAACTGCTAGAGATGAGAGGTTAGTACTATATACACGTTTACATCCGTGGTCAACCCTTTCCGGTTTGGGGATTATTTCAGCCAATTGATGAGATCATCTAATGCTGATAGAGGGCCGACATGGCCGATGTAAGAGTCTGGTCGAAGTAGGACGTAAGTCGGTTGACTGAAGCCCAGATCCTTATGTAATGCGGCGTCTTTATCAACATATCCCGACTGACCATTCGGCTTTTCGCCAAATATCAAATGTACCTTGGCGGCAACAGGACTCTCTTCAACGAATTTGGTTTCGGCCCGCTGTAAATCGCCCTCCGAGGCTGCTTCGGCGCCAACACCGGAGAACAGCATAAGATGGTAGGATGTAGGGTCAGCCAAGTCGAGTAAGTACTTCTCACCCTCCGGTCCCTCAATTTTGCCATCGAGCATCCTGTCTCCTCCACGAACATTGCTTCCCTTGAGACCTAGAGCTGTTCCCACGAAACCGGAATCCCGGTATGTGATATCGAACTCAGCCATAACCCTAAACATCTCCCGAACACGGCTCTTATTACCAAATTGCAACGGCAGAAGCCAGGGTAAAAGGAGATTGCGAATGAATATAAATATCGGGTTGGTCGAACTCATAAACGTGAATACTCGATCCGTGCCCCTGAGGAGGTTCTGCCCGACGGGAAACCGCTCGCCGTGGTAGCTATCAATGAAAGACGCTGGTCGCTCTTTTCGAATGACGGCCGCAAGTTTCCAACCCAGATTGACAGCATCTTGGATTCCGGTGTTCATACCCTGACCACCCACCGGACTGTGGATATGGGCGGCGTCACCGGCGACGAAAAGCCTACCGTTGCTATACTTGTTCACGCCCCGGTGATGTAGATAGAATCGTGTGAGCCAGGTCGGATCGTGCAGCTTCCCTTTTACCGGGACCATCTTATCGAAGAACTCCTGGAAATCTTCAAGTAATGGGCCGCCTTCTCTCTCCGTAACATTAGCCCCCGATGCGAAGACACGGACCATCCCATTCTTCAGCGGCAGTACAGCTAGCACTCCTTGGCCGAAACACATGATCGCATCTTTATTGGGAGTCTCCCACTCTACATGAGTGTCTGTGAGTATGAAGTGCTGCTCGTAGGATTCTCCATCGAATGTGAGACCGGCGGCCTGGCGCACAACACTCTTACTTCCATCGCAGCCAACGACGTACTTGGCCCTTATCGTCGTCGTCTCTCCTGTACTATCCCCGACATTGCTAAATGTGGCTGTCGCACCATCGGCATCCTGAACGATAGTCTGAGCTTCCAGCCCCCTCTCTACCTTTCGCCCGTACTTCTTCTCGAGGCACTCGTCTAGGAAGTATTCCGTGTCTTCCTGCGAGATCAGTTTCTGGAACGGGAAGGCCGTATTAGGTAACGCCGCATCCTCCCCAACTTCGATCCTGGCCGCTTCTTTTCCGTTGACGCAATATCTACCGCGGGACGTGGTGAACCCCCGTTCTTGGAGGTCGCGAGCGATGCCGTGGCGGTTAAGTAACTCGAGTGTGCGTGGCTGCACGACTAGAGCACGGCTCTTGTCTGAACGGCTTGATGCCTTGTCTATGAGGCGGAAGGGGATCTTCTGGGCTGCTAGTTCTAGAGCTAATACTACCCCTGTGGGACCTCCGCCGATGATGAGGACGTCGGTGCTCTCCATTCAGATGAATTATATGGTGGCGTATTGAAATGAATAGGTAAGTGATGATGGTACGAAAGTTGATATGAAGTGTTAGTCTGATGTATACAAAGTGTGTAGAAGAGATAGCTCAAGCTTGGGATGATCCGGCTAAATTATTTATATGCCCTTGAGTGAGAAACAGTGACATCGCAAGTATCCACATGAATTGATTACCTCAGACAGCTCAGACCAAATTGAGTAGTAGGGCTGGAATGCCGCTTTCAGCTAAGTGGAGAGGCCGGAGTCGTCTCTATGGCGCCGCCGACAAGGCGGCATAATTGACCAATCAGATCAGAGAGCGACTGGTCGGTATCTCGGTCTGCCGCCGTCCCCCTGCCGAATTTTGCTGCAAGTGACTTACATCCGATCTTACCCGGGGAAAACGTGGATCGGGATGCATGAGTCAGTGCCTGCACCCGTGCCGAATTCGTGAATTTGTCTTAACTTGCTGCCTGTTTCTTATTATTAGCAAGAGGATGGTAGATCTGTGTCGTTAGACGAACAGTGAAGTAGCGCTAAGCTAGATTGATTGATCCCATGACTAGAGCTGACACTGGAGCGTCAATTATTCTTGTTCACAGAAATGAGGACATCGGAATTCTGTGAAGGCGAGTTAATAAATCCGTGAGCATCATCCCGATTGTCGTATCCTCAAGTTGTAAGCCAGCTCAATGAATCACCAATCACCGAACTGCCTTTTTAGTACTCGTCTTGGAACTATCTATAATAGCTCAACAAATATGGCCCGCAACATAATCCCTTGGATTTAATCATTGTGCACAATTGCGCGAGGTAATGATATGGGAATTTTGCAGACAGTGCAGCCTTTGTCCGATATAAATCTGCGCCTTCTGGTCGGAGGTCCGAACTATTAAACTTTGTGGCTGACATCTTCCGGGTCGTAGCCGATTGTGTTACCCGACATCGGGTCCGGTGGACGGAAGTAATTTCGGACTGTCATGAATAGTAATCGATAATAACGACCCGCTAACGTTGGCTCCGTGGTCGTCCACTCCCTCACTAGGTACTTACTCACCACGGGTTCATGTTGTTGACGGTTCAATCAATATAGTCGCGGGCATTAGCGTCACCACTTCTCCGCAGGAGCATGGTCTGGCCCCTTCGTATCTAATAGTGTAGCTCAACCTTGCACACGAAGTATCGCATAACGTCGATGAATTCGCGCTCCGAGTGATGTAAGAATGATAGATGATATGGGAGAACTCGTCAACATAGTCTGCCTGAGCTTGGTCAAGACGAGACTTAGCAGACTTCCAGAACACTGCCCAGAGGTCAACAGACACAAAAGATCGTGCAAATGGCTACACTGAGGAAGAGGGGTCGACTAAACGTTTTCGATAGAAACAGAGCCGTTGCATGATAGTCAAATATGACTAATTCATGACGCGACAATTCTTATTCTCTCTATTAAAGAAAAAAGTTCATTATGCCAATTGAAGTCAAAGTACCCGAATTTCGGGGTAGGTCTCCAAACTAGAAGGTTAGCTTGGTCGAGTCCCGTAATTTCCATCCGAACTGGGGGGAAAACACGATCTAAGAACTCTCATCTCTTTCGGCAGATTGATATGGAGAAGCATACAAGGGAATAACCAGCCCTGACAGCGTCTTCATCCATGGCAGAGCCCCACGAGACTAAGCTTTCAGGGCTAATGCCATGACGACTGCGTTCCTCTCCCATGCCATTTATCCGCCGATCCACGCCCAGGTGGGATAGCTCCCGGCAAACCCCACTGGAGAACCATGCTCCTCGGTGGTATTTCAATTGCAGAAAAAGCGTGCCGATGCAACGGTTCAATGCGCACGCAGCGCGTCAAGTTTGACATAATGTCCACAATGCTCAAGGATCGTGCTTCTGGAAAAGTACTAATAGCTCGATCATGCCCACCATGATGCGTTCACGGTTTCCCCAGTCGTCTAGAGCGTTCGCCCAGCATGCATCGACTTTCTGCGCTTCCGTTCGTAGTTCTCGCGGCCTCAGCGCCTGTCCTGGCTGCTGAATGCACGACCGAAGCTTTTGCGACAATCCTCCAAGATAACTCGAATGCCACGATTAACTTCGTAAAGGCTATCCCGCAGAATGGTAGTTTCGGTCAAGGCGCGGTCGACATCCCCTTCCCCACGAATGCCACGAAACTACCAGCACTCTGTGCTGTTGGTATCAATGTCAGGTCATCCGAAAACTCGTCGTACAACTTCGGTCTCTTCCTCCCGGACAAGACATGGAACGGCCGATTCCTTACCACGGGAAATGGTGGATTTGGAGGTGGCATAAATTGGCCCGACATGGGGATGTTCTCTCAGGTAATTACTTAGTACTCGGATATCTGATTTGTGGGTGTTCATTAATGTCTCCAATTAGTACGGGTTCGCTTCGATGTCGACTGATACTGGGCATAATTCTTCTGCCATCGATGGTAGTTGGGGTCTCAATGCTCCCGAGACCTTGATCGACTGGGGCTACCGAGCCATGCACGGGTCAGTTGTGCTTTCTAAGGTGAGTTTCATTCCCCTTACAAGTTGCGACCAAGGCATTCGACAAGAACATGGAAATGTTTCTTGGTCGTCATCTTAGACTGCATCTAATAATTAACTATCAGGAAATCATTACGGCATATTACGCAAGCCCGGATGGAATCAAATATTCCTACTACGCAGGATGCTCGACTGGAGGCCGACAAGGTCTCAAAGAAGCTCAGCTGCATCCCGATTCCTTTGATGGAATCTCTGTTGGAGCTCCAGCTTGGTGGACTGTCCATCTAGCCGCGAATACTTTGAGGTTGGGCCTTTCTAACCGTCCGGACACCGACCCTGGACATATTGATCCCTCGATCTTTAGTGAGATCGTCGTTCCAGAGATCACCAAGCAATGCGATCCTCAAGATGGCTTGGTCGATGGTATCATTAACGAGCCGTATTCGTGCAACTTTAACTACGAAGCACTCTTGTGCACACCGAGCTCGAACCAAACGACGTGCCTCACTCCCGCACAGTTGGATACCCTATACAAATTCTACAACCCGTGGATAGATGCCAACCAAACATACGTGTTTCCTTCAATGGCACTTGGGACGGACCCGACCTTCTCATTAGGAGCGGACTTGACGCCTCTTGCCTTTGACTTGTTCAAATACTGGACTTATAATAATTCCGACTGGGACTACACGAAGTTCACGTATAGCGACGTTCAATTCGCGGACACCATCAACCCTAGTGGCGCCACTGCTGACAATTTCGACCTCAGCCCATCATCGGAGCGCGGAACCAAGATCCTGATGTATCACGGAGCAGCAGACGCCTTGATCCCCACTGGAAGCAGTGTCTACTTCCACGACCAGGTAGTCCGGACTCTCGTACCTAAGGGCGTTAAAGTCGAGGACTTCTATCGCTTCTTCTTGATTCCCGGAATGAACCACTGCTCTGCATCGGACAATGCTCCTTGGTACATCGCCAGTGCGAGCCAATCGCTTGATGGGGCAACACATTCTGTGCCTGGATACGAGGATGCGGACCATGATATCATCCTGTCCATGATGAAATGGGTAGAAGAAGGAAAGGCCCCAGATCAGCTCATTGCGACGAAGTTCGTGAATGATACCGCTACACTAGGGGTTGAGAGACAGCGGCCGCTTTGCCCCTATCCTAAACAATCGAAATACCTCGGAGGGGACCCTGATAGATCAAGCAGCTGGGCTTGCAGAAGCTTGTACTAGATATAAAAGCCCAGATCAGATAGGGTAGACACATACGTAATGTGTGAATTGAAATAATAATTCAGATGCTGGCTAAATGACGAACTCATGTGGATTCTGACTGTCGCAACCCCTCGTAACTCCAAGTGTTCAACTACCCGTTGAGTACTTCATCATGCACCACCCGATTGCACATTCCCCGAACCTCCTAGTCTTATAGGAATGCTGACCAGCGCTCTATCCCTTTCTAGACGTAGATCTTATCATACCTCATCATGATAGAAACCAGATGTCATACCATGCTTTCTATCGAAGCAGAACGTTCTCTCAATCAGGTAGGTATTCCGCACCTGTGGATACCTAGTATCATCCGTAACAATCTTTGGCCATCTGAGTGTTCGCGAGAATCAGCGAACCAAGGCCCAAGAAGACCCAAGTACCTCAGTCTTAGAAGGTACGTACGGATAATATTTTCGAATTAAAGCGCTTCGCATAAACCATCCTCGCTTGAACCGAGAAGATTTACAATGTGATAAATGGCGGCCGGGTTATAAAGTGCTCTTCAGCGTAACAAATAAAGCATCAGCATGAGCTAACACGGCCCCCTCACTATCTTCGATCCATCCCTCAGCAAAATACTTCCTCCCCTCTACCTTCAAAATCCTAGCTCGCGCTAGAACAGTCGCGCAGGTAGGAACAGGCTTTAGAAAGGCGGTGTTGAGATAAGCCGTCATAAATGGCAGATCCTTCATGGACCCTCTTTGCTGGTTGGTCGGGATGAGAAGACCAATGACCTCGTCAAGAATCGCCACAACGATTCCGCCGTGGCAGATGCCCGGGTGTCCGTTTAAGCCGGAGCCGAGGGTTAAAAACATCTTAAGAGAATCCACGCGGTCCATTGGCGACTTAGGTTCCTCGTAGACCTCTAACATGGCTAAGATGGTAGTTTGGGATTTTAAGGTCTCCGCGTAAAGTGAGTCTTCCCCGTTGGATTTCCTTTTGCGGCTAGCTGGCGAACCGGCGATAACTCTCCGGCCACGCAGGTGCTTAGCACACCATGCGATAGAGGCGAAATGCTCATAGTCGGAAGATAAAACACTAGGCATCTTGAACTGTGTCGATTGTGTCGATGTAGATGACGATGAGTCGCCTAAGGTTAGTGGGTTTGGATGTGATGATGTTCTGGGCATTAAATTGGGGGGCGGGTTGGTTACAGCCTACATGAAGAGTAGCAATTTGATTGGACGCTGAAAAGTGGCTTGTTTATTCCGCCTAACCCTTGTATTTTTCCGCCCTCGCTGCAGGTGATCCTTCCGGACGCCTCTTTTCTCATCCCTGTATTACTAAGACTACACGATGTCACTTTTGATACTACGCACGGGCCACTTTGAAAGCCCCCTTACCTCATCAGCTTACATAATCAAGTCACCCCTTATGTTCACCTGGGTACCTACACAATAGACTTGATTTGATTCATTCATTCATTTTTGCGAATAGGTGAAGCTTTTTCCACCTTGTAGTATTTAGGTAAAGACTTAAGCACAAGCAGCCGAGTCCCATCCAGATTCCCCTAACTCCAAGTTCAATTAACCCATCAACGAGTCAAACGGTTCGATCTCCCTTCCCTTGAATCTGTATACCGAAGAGACGAAGACATTTGCAGATATATGCAAACGATGCTTCTGATTAGGTAGCGCCGAACTCCTAAAAACACGGGTCTAAGACTTGTCAACCTTCAAGGGAGGGATCTGATTGCGTGGCGTCGATAGGCCTTCGCCCTGGTAGAGAAGGACCAACATCTGGGCCGCAGATGCTCTGTCTTCAGGCTGTAACTCCGCCATCTGCCAGTAGATACTCAATTGCGACTTGGCAGCCTTCTCAGCAAGTTCGAAGCACTGTTTGGGGCCGAGAGTGACCTTTGACCTAGTTCGGAAGCGATCTACATTGACGATCCATACCAAAGTCATGAATAACGACCATACATCAAGCTTATGTGTCTGACGCTTTTGGATCAGCTTGCCTTCCACCTCTGGAGCCATATAGCCTGTAGTTCCAACACGGCTCTTCGGAACCCTTTCGCCGGAAGAGAAGTCGTGTGCAAGACCGAAATCTCCGAGTTGGAAAACTGGCTGCTTATTGGAATCCATCACGTAGAGGATGTTTCCGGGCTTGATGTCGCGGTGGATGACATTCTCTGATGCTAGATAATCGAGGGCCTCAAGCATCTGCTTGAGGTAATTGGAAATAAATCCGAAGTTTTTGGGCATCGTCAAAGTTGCGGTATTGGCCAACAAGGAACCCAAGCTTCCTTCCTTGAGTCCGAGGAATATCTCGAGAACCATTTCCTCGTAGTTGAATTGATGGTAAAATATCTCCACAATATGCGGCTATCGGTATAGTGTTAGCATGTTATAAAATAAAGAGGGTGGTCTATTTTGACGTACGTGCTGTAGGCTTTTGTGGACTCTAACTTCACGCATGATTTGGAAAGTCACGTCGGATTTTCGATGCTTGACCTTCTTGACTGCCATCAACTCTCCATCCTTGTTCTCGCACTTGTATACGTTTCCCATGGCTCCGGAGCCAATAGGTTTCAGTACCTTGTATATCACTTCCTCTGCCGGCTCCAGCCGTAGACTTGTAGCTATCTTTGCCATATTTTCGGACAAGCCTGGGTCCAGCGGATAGGTGAAGTTGATGTTTCTGAGTTTGATCAAGGTAGGGGAAATTGTTCGTGGATAGTAATGGGTTCGAATATAAATGTGAAGTTGTGATGAATTGGGGAGATGCGCGTAAGTAGGAAGGGAAATAGAAAGATAAACATTGTGTGTTGAAATATTTTTAAATATTTACCTATTGTATTAAGTGCCTTGGTGGATAACAACTATTCTAGAATTCGTCAGAGGTTGAAATGACAGGTACTTGCCAGGTGATGCTGTATATAATCTGGGAATTTCCCTCGTGGAGAAAATCTGTTACATGTATGGTAGATGAGATGATTATTCGAATTCGTATGCCCACGCTTCTGTAAACGCTTGGCTTAATACCCGTCAAGTGGCTACGGCGGTACTATAGAGACGACAATGATGAGTATGTGGTAACTTGGATGAAATTTTCGATAAATTTGAGACACCAAATAGCAAGAGTTGTATACATTATTAGTGAACCGAGTCACCAATGGGAGATCTTGTAACAACTAGAAAATATTATATTTCGGGTCAAGTACCTAGATAGTACGTAGTGATTTAAAGGACTCTAGAAAGCCTTTAGGTCAAGGTCATCAGGATCACTGAATACCAACATGAAGGTACCCGTAATGTTAGTGAAGAGTCAAATAATACCTGGGCAGTTTATTTGTATCACCATAATTATGAGGCATTGGTACTAGGTAGTTATGCATGTCAAAGCCTACACATCGTAAGACTCCGTATCTACCTATATAGAATGCTTTGACAGAGTGAAAGACCTATCTAGGAGTTTCTATCTCGGCAAAAGAATGAGTACCTAGTAGATATATTGGTCATGGCGAGATTCGACTGAGGCACGAAACTCTTATATTAAGAATTTGGAACAGTTTCGTAATGAATTCTTCAGGAATTATCATGCCACTAACCTTGATACCTGATGAGAATTAAGGATCAAAGTCTACAATTCAATTGGGAGAATTTGCGTCTTTGGAATAGAAGGTACTGTGTAAGACTTCACATGAACGTTCAAGAGATATCGCGTAGTATATTCGTGACATATAAAGAATACCTCGATATTATGTAAAAACAGGTACCAAGTATTAGCTGATTCAATATAATTACCAACTCTATTCTGCGTATCTAGCATATAATCTACCTAACGATTGAGATGTACACCACGAACTTATAAAAGAACAACGAAAATGGCCTTAATGACTATCGTCGGATTGCCCTATTGTTATGCATTTTCCTTCGGCCCTTCGGATGTTAACGCACATTGTCAATCATAGAATATTCTAAACTTAACCCAGGGAGATACCCATCTAGAGAGTCGTTTCGAAGTCGATACATCATCCATGGATATCTTGATTTCCAGTTTCTCGTATTCTCTAGCTTCTATCCACAATTTCCCATGAAGGTCCAATGCCACTAATCCAATTAGTCTAGGCTTTCAATCATCGAGGCCACTTTCTGCGTCTTTCACTTACCTGGGTAGATAATAGCATCGGCTACTTCTATCGAGACATATGCAACTCTTCTGTCATCTCACAGACAGGTCTGGTGATATATCAAGTAAGATAAACCGTCAAAACGAACGAAATACGTACACAGGTGAGTAACATCTGAGATGAGAGTGAAAGAAACATCGGAGTAGAATGAATTTGCCACTGTGATTACCTTAGTCATCCCTAATCTACCTATATATTAAAGTATTATGAAGTCAGAACAAAGAATATCCATCTCAATTTGTATAACGTAGTTATCTGGTGCCTGATCTCTCGCATGGTGAAAGGTATGATTTATTAAGGAAAAGGGAGCTTCGCTCCCAGAAGCGATCTGGTCTAATATATCCACCCTTAGCTGACATAATCAGGGAGCTCTTCCCGGGGGCAATCAGGTGACCTCAAACAGTATTACCTAATTGCCCTGTCACAATTTGTTATCGGTCAACTAGTAACAGCAGTTTTAGTTACGCGGATGGATCCGCGCATTTCTTCAGGAACGAGCTTCCCTAACAGCTTTAATACGGACACGAATATAGGTACTTGACTATACGCGGAACATCGCTAAAAGTAGCGCCTGAAGCCATTAGCTATCGTAACGGGGTTTGCCAAAAAAAAAAAGGGCCAACGTTGCATTCCTTGGCGGCTTGGCTCCCGAGGTATCTATTTCGACAGCATTTGATCTTAAGAAATGTATGTAAAGTCTCACCGGTACAATATCATGATTTCTTCACGAGGTCGCCAAGACTCGCATTTTTCATGATTGATAAGGTCGCCATCAGCCGGTCCTGTAGTCAGGGTAACAGTCCTAAGTAGGTAACAACCGCAACAGGAAAGCGGTCGGCCACATATTAGTGATTAAGCGATTACCCTTATCTCTCCTGCACCAAGGCGGGTGACCTCATTAATAAATGTCGCCGTGGTAATTGGACAGCGTATCCCCTGATTCGGCGAGTGACGGGAATGGCAGCCAAGGGATCCAAAGGCCGGGAGTTTTTTTTTTCTTCAGCTTTGGAAGCAGGCTGATGCACGACACTACAGTGCATCTAGCTAGGATTAAAGCTTACTGCTACTGTCGCTAATCAGGGTTCTGTACGCCAAGCTGCCGCGATCGGTCCTAGCCGATATCACCGGGGAGCGATGCCTGCGCGCTTACCACCCCGTCCCCGGTATGTACGACATTCGGTACTTGCGCTGATAGGATGGAGAATATATTGATGAAGGAAAGGATTGTCAGGTGCATCTTACAGGGGGCAACTCCAGCTTCTCTTTCCAGATAGTCTGTTACGCCTCCAAGGACTACTACTACTGGTAACCTGCTCTTCCAGGTAGAGTTTCTCGAAAGTCGAGACCGCCCTCCTTCAAACCTTCTAGAAGAAGAAGAGTCAAAGCTGCATACCGTGGTTATCGTAAGCTGAGGTACTTCGTGCCTCGAGCGACCCTACTATAAAATGCCGAAGGATGATTGGCCAGCCGCGCGTCACGCAGCGAACCCACGGCTCTCGTATCGCGGTATTCGCCATGTACGAGAACGGGCGGCAGATACATGATAATGCGGATTAGGCAGGTAGCTGAGGTCCAGGTAGCTTCGCGCGGACCTGTTGTAATATCGATAGCTAGCCTGATAGCCGTTATCTACCCCCTTCGTTATGTAAACGACTATAAGAGGTGTTCGTCAAGCTCTCAGCTAAAAAAAAGTTTGATGCTTAAAAGTCAACGAACCATTTCGTCCTTTCTTCTCATCCCATCATCGGAGTAGCTCCCTCGTAATTCGGATTCAAGATGCTGTTCAAGTCTGCTGCCACTGCCGCCCTCTTGGCCTCTTCGGCCGCGGCCCACTACATCTTCCCAAGGGCCGGGGACAACTCTACCAGGCTTTGCGGAACCCCTGATCCGACTCCCGAGCAGATGGCAGCTTCTGAAGTCATGCTTCAGAAGGAGCGAGAGATGCGCGTGAACGGAAACTTTCGCGCTCTTGCGTCGATCACCGTGAACACCTACTTCCACGTCGTGGCGGCGTCGACAAGTGTTGCGGACGGCTATCTAACTGTGAGTGGAACATTGGGAATCCTGTCCATATCCATATATTAACCGTTGTGTAGGCAACCATGATTGCCGACCAGTTGGCTGTGATGAATAAAGATTATTCTCCCCACGGCATCACGTTCAACCTAGTTGGCACCGACTACACGGTCAACTCTAACTGGGCGAGCGACGGAAGTGAGCTAGCAATGAAGCGAGCGCTCCGCAAGGGCACTTACTCGGACCTCAACGTCTACTTCCTCGGCAATCTTGGAGGCGGTCTGCTCGGGTACGTACCGTCAATCTTATGAAGTCTTCTCCAAGGTTAGATGCTGACACCTAATTTAGGTACTGCTATTTCCCCACGACCGCACAGTCGGGTTCGACCGATTTCTACCTTGATGGATGCACCATCTTAGGCCAGTCTGTGCCCGGCGGCAGCGCAGCTCCTTATAACCTAGGTGGTACCGTTGTTCACGAAGTAAGTACTTGCGCTCAAACTTAATGGTCAAAACTGTGACGGAATGGCTGACACGACGCCTTAGGTCGGCCACTGGATGAACCTTTACCACACCTTCCAAGGTGGCTGCAGCGGAAGCGGAGACTCTGTCGATGACACTCCTGCCCAGGCTTCCGCATCTTCCGGGTGCCCTGTCGGCCGAGACAGCTGCCCCGGCGGCGGTGTCGACCCCATCCACAACTACATGGATTACTCTGACGAGTAAGTTATTTCTCGTAGTTGTCATTGTCATGATCTCCGGTCATTAGCTAACCACAATCTGTAGTGCTTGCTATGAAGAATTCACCGCTGGCCAGGAGGCGCGCATGTATAGCGCTTGGTCCACCTACCGTTCTTAGAGGATGTTTTTGATGCAGGATGTTGGATTATTGGTTATACCAGAAGTTCGATAGCATTGTGTTTGGTGAAGCGGTCGATAGAAGGTTGGCCACTGTAGTAGCGTTGGGGATTTAGTGAAAAATCTTCTAGGATTACCTATAATTGAAATCAACATCAAGCAAACTATGAACTTCGCACCTCGTGATTGTTGCTTCAAGCTACTTACCTAAGTACCTACCTAGGTACCTAGTGCTCAGCTCGCTCCCGATAAGCATTGTGAAGGCGGTTAATTCCTATGTCTCTTCTTGTAGCGGTTACTTAGCAAAGGACGTGAAAATGTTGTTAGGATCGCAGATTTCGTTTCGTACCTAGTGCTAATAAAATAGTGCAATGAGTAAGATCAGCCTATGGATCAAGTGATAGCGGAAAAATGATTACAATAAACCTAAATCAGCCCGGCGGATAACTCTAACCCTTTAACGTTTCCCAAATGTTCGGCAAGATTCTCTAGATTAGAGTTAAAATAAAGTTCAGATGAGATCCCCTTGTATTTCTGACGTGCGAATTAACTTTCCCCATGCAGCCGCGTCCCGAAGATCTGTGACACCCGAGATCCCGGCAACTCGGGCGGGTGGGTGGCTGAGCGGAAGTCCAAGATAGGTACACCCCCTGATTCCCTCTGTAGCCATCAAGGTACCTACCCAGGTAGGCAGACAGGCCTCCCAAGTTGCAAACGGCCCATGACGATTGGTAGGAAATGATGTATAGTGTGGGAGAGGCGGCAACTAGGCAAATGTCGTTAGAGGGCTTAACTATTTCTATGTTAGCCTGAGACTCTCGGTAGCTTTGATAGGTCCCATAGTTGAAGGCTAGGTTTCCTTATCTAGAATATGCAAATCCGATGATCTCTGCATCTTGTACGACGATCCTGGTGGGCTTGTAAGACAGCCACGTGGTGATCTACAAATTATGCTTAGGTACCAGATAGGTACTAGGTACATGAAGCATAGGTAACTTGCGGCACGGAAGAGGCGCTAGAGAAAAAGCAATATTGTGCCGCAAAGAAAATTCTTTCGAGTTGAGCAGTTGAGTTAACGATTTATTGCTTCCAAAGTGATCAACTTCGGATCCAGATGTAGATCTAGTCGGTGGTTGATCGCTATATCAGGCCGTACCTACTAGGCAGGCATCTCCAGACGTTCCGTGCAATTGCTCGCAAAAAATATTGTCGCTTTATGCCTTCACGTTCATCCACTCCTATCGTGAAAAGTCGAAGGCTGGTGCAGGTGATCGACCGTTTTGTTTGCTTCCGAGACAACCAATCATTTGCAAGTCCAGCATTCTCCAACCGGATCGTACCCAACACCCCAGTCCGTAGGGAACCTGCATAATGGCGTCAGAAATAACAAATAAATCGCCTTTCAAATGTTCCTCTCACCTGCAATACAAAGAATATCCAATACAAGCCAGCTCTCCCGATTTCTGGAGACATTCCTGTGGGACCGCCGGCATCTCGAACGGCTTGCATGTGGAATCGGACATGTCGGCGCCCGTGGAAGATGTGACGGGAGTGTGGGGTGTAGCGACAGTATTGTTCGCCACTATGTTCGAACCAAGGACTTGAATGTAAGTTTCAGCTAGCCCTTCATAATGCTTCATGGGTCGTGCGCCGACAATGCACGAGAGTGCTAGGATAGTTAATATCCCTAGATACATCGCTGAGAACATCGTCCACTCCTACAAACCCGTTTTAGGTGAATAACCCGACGAATTGCTGGCCTTTCGCGACTTCGACTTTCTCTTGACAACACGCGCCTCTCCATCTCATGGTAGTTTTTGTGATGCTCATCGGGTTATATACACTTGGCCAAGACTGGTGACCAGGACAGATAACCACTGACGTCGTTAGGTCTTCGACACGATTGCCGGCTAAATGCCACGAGCCGCCAGGATGACAATAAACGACCGACATATCCCAAAATAAATAGCTTTTCATATCTAAATCGGTTGCTATTGGATCCCCGCAACAGCCGAATCATCGATTCAGCACATCACGAGAACATTCTACTAGGCGGAGACCACATACACCGTTTATATCGTTCAAATAAAGCGTGGATGCCCTGGAAATTTCTCCTCGTGTCCCTCTAGTTCTGATTCCGGAAGCTTCTAGGTAGGGATCTATCAATTCTATGATCCTTAGAAATGAGTCAGAAAAGTGTCCTTTGCGCCAATGTTACGATACTAAACTGTGGGGGAAATATCCCTTACAACGCTCATATAGGTAGTTCCCACACATTACATAAGCAATTGTTACCGGCTGTGTCACACAAGGGGATACGCGTCACAGTACGATACAGTGTAGCCAGCACATGGGTAACTATTTCCAATCCATTCTAGGGGGTAACAACAGGTCCCTGAATCCCGAATTCATTTATCATTATCATTTCCCCTATATCTATCTCTAGTAGTCTCTATTCGGACCCGCCGTATAACCGTATAGATGCCAGTATTCCGTTTATCTTTTCCATCCATTCCATCAAACTGTACCAATGCGTTGAGTCTCCGCATCGACGAAGCTTGTGGGGCGCATTCGTTGCGTCATCTCTGGCTTTCCAAATACGAAGACAGATGGGTTTTGTATAAACATATGGTCCATGTCTTCAAGGGTGCGATTCGATGTCTCCGGGTAGAAGAATAATACAATGGGGAAGAATGCGAATGCGAAGATAGCAAACACTAATTTCTGTTAGAACTCACATACTCAAGGGATGCATGGGTAGGTAGGTACTCACTTAGATATAGGCGCCACTGCAAATTGTCGACACCCGCTTTGGTGAACTGTGTCACAACAAAGCCGAACAACCAATTCGTCGCCGTCGCAGCCGCAGCACCGCGTGTACGCCAACCCAGAGAATTTACCTCGGCGCTGTAGATCCATGGTGTGCTGGCCCAACCTATCCCAAAGAAGACGTGGTAGACGATGAACATCGCAGTCGCCAGGTTACCCATCTAGATATTATGTAAGCATAGCCCATAGACAGCGGAACGACAGTAAACTAACGATTTTCCTGCTTGAAATGTCGATATCACTCTGTCGCAGGGCAAGAGCCGCAATCAAATGGCAGACACCCAATGCGATTGTGGTGTTCAGCATTAACCTGATATAGAAATTAATTTCTGCTGGTATAGTAATTGGGCAACTTGCACGTTGACATACTTTCGGCGACCTAAACGATCAATGAAGAATAAACTTCCAAACGTCGAGATGAAATAAACGGTGGCGCTAACGGCAGCGATCAGTCTGCTCATTTCTTGGTTGAAGCCGACAGTCTGGGTCAACAAAGTAGGAAGATAGAATCCTGTGAGGTATGTTAGAATCGCTAACCAACAGATACGGGAAGGATTCTGCTGTACCCAAAGCGTTGATCCCACTGAACTGCTGCATAAACTGCGAGCCGCACGACAGTATCAGACGACGGAAGTTGTGCGTCTTGTCTCGGAAACAGAGAACGTCCAAAATTGGTGTGCGGTCTTCTCTCTCAAGATCAATAGCTACTTTGATGGATTGAAACTCGGCTGTTACAATCCTGTCGTCTATCGGGATGTCTTTACCAGCAAGTTGGGCGAGCACTTCCAAAGCCTTCTGATCTTTGCCCGCCAATAGAAGCCACCTTGGAGATTCTGGCACAAGCAGCAGTAATGGTGCTACAGCAAAGAAAAAGATGACCTGGAAAGCAAGAGGGAACCTCCACTGGAATGCTCCGTGTTGAGAATACAGGCCGTAGCTGATCCAATTCGCCAGCGCAAACATCGTGACGTTGGAGCCAGCGCCGAGTCCAACAAGTCTACCACGATAATGCGACTTGACACATTCGGACAAGTAGACCGGGGTTGTGGTGGATGTTAATCCTATACCTAGCCCGTTTACTATGCGTCCGATGAGCATCTGGGGTAGATGATAGGAGCTGAATTGAAGAACTGCTCCGATCAAGTTCAATGTTAACCCGAACATGATGGTTCTCCTACGACCAAGCTTGTCGCCGAAAATGAAGGCAACTATAGACCCCAGGAAAGCACCGATCTTGGCGAATTGTGTCTTGTTAGCTCGTATATTCTTGAGTGCATCGTATGTTGAGACAAGAATAATTGGCAGAAACACTTACGAAGAACGAACTAGAAGTAATCCCTGAGATGCCGGCGTCGAGAGTTTCTGGGAATTGTTCTTTGAAATTGTCGGAAACTAGAACACCAGCGAATACCCCCTATTCCAGTCAGATTTGTTGGTATTATAATAATAAGCGACATACCTGGTCGTAACCAAACCAACAAGAAGATACTAAGATGCAGTTAGCATTTAGTTCACGCAAGAAATGTGAAGTCGCCTACGTGTATCGACGAGGGTGATCATGGCGACCAGCCAGCCGCCGTAGAGACGGCTCTTGTTTCGAATCATCATGAATATTAATAAAATAGTTATTATAAACTTTAATTATGAATTAGGATAATCAAAGTATATAGGTTGGTATGACTATGAGTCCAACTGGCCTGGGAACCAGTTTTTCGCTGAGTAGAGCGGAATGGGATTGTCACAATGCTTCGAAAAACGAAGCGATCGTGAGCCAGATAAGTAGGCTGGCCAGAGCTCCGAAGCCGACCTTAGAGCTTTGTTGCCGAGGGCGGCTGCATCTCGCGAGTCCGGCCTTGGCCTGCATGCGGAAGCTACCGCCAATGGTAACAAATAGTAACCCTGCGGCTCCAACCCGTGGTCGAGCTGAGGTGGCCCTGTGGAGCTTTCGTTGACTACCTAGATCGGGGACAGCTCCACGATACCACTCACCGTTTCCGCTCATCGGATTCTAAAGTCCGGAAGGTTTGGTTACGATTTCTATTTCCACTGGAAAATTTATTATATTAACTTAGGTAACCCACGTAGTAGTAGAGATGAGCGGGAGGCGTGGTATTCTCAGATGTCGTGACACATATTATTTGATCCGGTACCGATTTGATACCCGTGGACACTACCTCGGTGTATTTCCCTACGTTATATCCCTTGATACTCTTTACACCGTCTCATTTCCATATATTGCTAACACGATTAGTGAAGGTTTTATGTCGCGGAGCTGGTTTCGGAACTGGTCTAGGTTACCTACTAAATATGCACCGCTTAGTGTAACCATTAAACTTCTTAGGGATTGTCAGCCCTTCTGCAGAACAGCGAGTTGCACAACAATCTCCCCCAACTTTTACAGCGGACCTTGAAAATTTGATTGATACCTAGATAGCAATGATGTTCCATTTTCAAGTTTCCTGCACCTTACAACCAACCTTTTTCAGCGCAGTTATCACCATCGACCTGCCGCCCTAGTGTCTACCGTAGAGACCGGACATATGTGTACATTTAGGTGCCCTACAAAGTTTATTTCCGGCGAGGCCCCATTTTACGTCCTAATTCTGCCCGAGTCCATATTCACACCTATAATTGTGGCATCTATCCGGACTAAAGGTAGAGTTTACTGTTGGACTATTTGCGCCGCGTCGTTTTCAGGTAGTTCCGATGTTCGTGATATATTATATGGCAACTCCGACGGATGCATCACCTCATCTTCCGCCGAATTTGCGCTAACTTTGACTACGTTGACCTAACAACTCCGATCTGAAGCTAGCAGAGCGGACCTGACGCTGCCCCCCTTATTCAGGGGTAAGGGCTTTGGTATGGTATAAATGCATACACCCCGCGTTATGTCGCTATAGTAATAAGATGTTTACATAATACTCGATATAACAAATCGTCAAAATCTTTATGCGCACTATTTACTCGATAATTAAGAATTGCTGACATATTTATTTTAGATATTAATGATGGCGCAATGGAATAGACTGCTCTTATTTGTTCTTTTAGTTATTTAAATTTAATCCTCAGCTTCCCCAGCGCCGACAACGTTTCCATCATGTCATAGACGGTATATATGCATGGATGAGTCAATGTATGGCATTAATGTATACGCGCCATACTTTGTAAATGCATACATTTTCAAAACCAACGTTCGCTCCCCCATTGTCTCTCTGGATATGATAATATTTATATATCTACCTGATATGGTTGGAGAATTGAACTTGCCTCGTGTGAAAAATTCGCGAGAAATTGGACGTGGTAGGGTCTCCAGGAAGAGTTGGATTGCAGGCAAACATTCCCCAGGGCAACCTAAACTACCACGCACCAACACGCACCAACCTCTTAGGTAGCTCGTAACTTGGAAGTATGTAAGAACCCATCGTCAATCATCTCTATCACATGTAAGATAGCTTTTTCGAACGTACGGTGATCGATAAAATAAATGGAATGGAAAAACAGGACAAGACACGGTACGGTTCCCTGACATTCCCCATGCGGAGGTATGCACCCAGTAACTTTTCGTAATTGATGCCTAAAGAGAGTGGGAAGAACATAAGGTCAATGCGGACAGTTGGCCGATTCGTGATCACTTCTCCAGTCCCCTTGAAATCGTGTGTAATGGCATAGAGATAAGAAGTGCGTCTGCTCCACCACCGAAAGCGGAGTCTTGTTTGCGGAGCTTCCCAATCAAGACCTTGGCAACCTTATATATCTTATCTACCTGGGTAAAAAGAGATGGCGGTCTGGTCTAGAAGCTAACTAGATGTGTAACACATAGGAACGATTCCAGCTTCTTTGCTGTTACAACATAATCGCGGGGCCAAGGACCATAAAACCAAATTATCCATGAACCAATCACCTATAATTTTATTTTGTTATTGCATGCTACCTAGGTTGGTAGGTAGCCTATGAGCTTTGCACTGCGACTGGCGTGATCAAGTTCTGCAATGATGGGACAGGGGCCAAATTCCTCAAGTGTCCAAACTTCAAGGATTCCATGCCCGGATCTGCTGGTAAGTCGATATTCCACCTCCGCTTCAACACATCCTTGATCACATCGTAGCAGGCGCCAATCCTGATAGTCTCGACAGATGGACCGCTGAAATCTAGCAGCGTAGAGCTTCTTCCGTGAACCCACCACTTCAGGAGCCCGTAGTCGATGACAATGTCTGCGATGTCGAGCAACTCCTTGTTGATATCTTCAACGCGATACTTTGTTCCTAATTTTATGGTTAGGAGTCCGTTACTTCAATCGGCATTTACTAGGTAGACACCTTACCTGTTCCTGTCAAATTCGCAGAGCTACCCAGCAATGGTAAGTTCTCCGCGAAGGTCAAGCTCGTGAGCGCATCTTGGAATGCGCCTGCGTTAACAAGAAGTGAAAGACTTCCGTTCACGTCAACCGCCTCTAGCGTAACAGGGTCGATGTTCTTAACCATGGGATGATCGTGGTTATATCGCGCAATAACACCAACGGCGATATCGAGGTCCTGGCTCAGGTGGTCGATGATTTCCCGTTGCATAGGAGACACAACATGGACCTCCTTATGGATGGCATACGACCCGATTCCGGCATGTCGCTTGTGTGCCCCTCGTTGCTTTGTGAGGAAAATCTTCTCCAGTGACTTAGCGCTGGTGGCCATAACAGCATATCCAACGTCTGCTGGACATATTGCTATACCTCCTGCCTTCAACACTTCGAAGACACGTTGAGCATCAGCTTTTACGTCGGGGCGGGTCATGATGAAGAGTTCGTTGATATGGGCTCAGTTAGAGATGGATATTCTACCTAACGATGGCATAAGGAAGACTTTCTCCTTTATATACTAATGTCAGACATCTAGTCTTCCTCCAGGTTGGAAGTTAGAGGTCAACAGAATCGGGATTCGGCCCGTAGAGTCCCCGAGGATCCTCGCACAACAACGTCGTTGTTTCCTAGTCTTTTGATTCCGCCTCTTGACAACTAACAACATCACCACACCTTGCCTTAGGAACGACGCGCAATTTCTCTGCAGCCAACAGCAAACATTTGCAGTAGTCGATGCAGGTGCTGATGCAGAATCATTCCCTCCATGTCATTCGGATGCATAGATCCGGAGTTAAGGTGTTCTGAAGCGCCTTCATGATGACTCCAACCTGTTCATTGGGGGCTTGTTTGATATTGGGTCGGACTATGCGAGACAAACGTGAAGCTTTGATTGGCATACCAAGGACGTCTCTGACTAACCTTTACCAGAAAAGGAATTGATTTACAACCCCTGTCATCATATAGACGGATTATACAGATGTAGATAAACGCCAGTGGTTATTTCCCAACAAAAAAATCGTGACATTTTTATATCAAAGCCCTTCATGCATGTCCTGCAAGTCGTAGTATATGCGTGTGATATATATCGCCGTTGTAGTACAAGACTGGTAGGTACCTAAATTTGAATCAGTTAGGGGATATATTGGTAATAGTTCCCTGCATGATCCTTCATATATCTAAGACATTCAACCTACAAGGGGTAAATCTCCAAAGACCTCACCGGCGGCGTTCGCGACTAATCGAACTACACATTAGCTAGGTTTCTACAGAACGCACCTTCTGAAGGTGTGACATGAAGCATAATTACATCATTAGTACATTTTAATGCTGCTGCTAGTAATTCTGTCGAGTACTTTTGAAATGAACTTGTAAAAAATGACACTTCTTTTCAAGGTACCTAGGTAAATATCACTCCAGTCGTAACGTTAGGTCATTCTTCCCTGTCTTTGATGTCTGGGAGACTATCATGATCTCCTTTAGGGGGCCATTAGAAAAGAATGGTTAAACAAGATCTCTAAAGGTACCTACCTAGTCTCCATGTTTCTTGTTCTTAAGTATTGTCCATGAATAAGAAATATGTTATAAGGGATAGATATGAGCTCACAAACGCGAGCATTGACTTTCTTTGCAGCTGTGGAGATAGAACCAATCAGCGGAAGCCCGTATGCAACTCGTTCATCGGAACATTCGACAACCCCAATCCGGGGTTGAAAGGCCAAAGTGACCGGGCCGGTAGGTTAAAGAGACGTCAAAATATGCGCGAGTCATGACATCCCAGGGGCTGCAACTTCGGGTCTCAAAAGCTACCTAAGTAAGCCACCGTTATCAGAAGAAACCGTATTTCTATAGAAAACTTTCTATACGATTTACATATAAGAATATTTGCCAAGACTCCTATGTTAATAAAGTACTTAAGATTATGAGAGAATCTCTCGTAATAAAAAGTATTTTGCTAATACCTGATCTTTTTGCTAATTACTCCCGCACCAAACGGTTCGGAAGAAAACGGCCTACAGGTTGAATAAAATCGAGAGATAGTAATATAACGCATCTAAGACATCGGCACTCGCGGACCATCCTTAGCGGGTATGATCGGCTAGTTGTACAAATATTGTTCCAATAGCAAACGGCCTAATTAGGTAGTGATGGTACGACATTGGTACGACATTGGCTGCCGTTACGAGAGAACCAAATGAACAAATATCATGACTGATAACACCTTTATGTGTCAGTGACATTCTAATATAGTCACTTACCTATGTATAAGTGATAGGGTGTATATCAGTGACATTCCAATGTAGCGACTTATGTATAAGTAGTAGGACATGTGTTTCCCATCGTATTACCCGAGAATTACATCCTAACACTGAACTAAACGCCCTCGCTCCCATCTGACTCTCTGTCCAACAAGGTCCTTAACACACCCTGCACGATTTGGAAAGGGAAACAAATGGCTTGGAAGAACGTGGGATGTCAAACACTTGTCACACTCATGTGATTACCTAATCAACTACTCATATAGCTCGTCAACTAGAGCTTATTCAACACCATACGAAAAGACTTCCAAGGTTGCTAAGCTGCCATAAACTTGTTAATACATATGCAGGTCTCAAGTATACACCATCGAATATGATAACCTTTCCCCGTCGTAAGTACGCGATGGTTATATCCGAGTGTGAGATTGCTTGTGTAACGCAAGTTTACTCTATGAATAATGAGCTGAGTAGTTCAATTGCCGACGCTACCGGGGCTTCCCGAACCTTATCTGAGATTCAGCTGAAATTGAATACAAGGTTACATCAACAAAGCTTGAAAAGAGGCTGACTGAGTCGCCTATCGCAGATATACAGAAGCAGATTAAGTAAGTGTGACAAGACAATTAGGTAATACTGTTTGAGGTCACCTGATTGCCCCCGGGAGGAGCTTCCTGATTATGTCAGCTAAAGGTGGATATATCGCTTCTAGGACCTTTCATAATGCGAGAGATCAGGCACCAGATAACTATCCTATAGTAGGTAAGCCAACTTTGACGTTTGTTTTAATGCCAGTCATGTTTACATCACAACGCTTTTCTTAGTGCATGATCTTCATTTCCTCGTTCAAGCTTTCCTAATTAGATGATTACTTACCTTAGGTAGTCAATCTTCATTAACGGGCAGATGAAGCTGAAATTAGTGACGGAGATCATTCAGTTGCTTTCCTATTAATAAAGAACAGCTCAGATGTATTAGGTAAGCCCGTCGCTATTTGATACCTAAACCGTTTGTGGTGGCGTCATCCGGGGTAATATTTCTTATGTCTGATTGGTCAGTAAGCATTGGCGAAAGCGACTGGCATAATACGATGGCAAAGCAACTCGTATTCAAACATCTACAACATCATATCCTTACCTGGAGTAGGCTATCATTCAGGTAGATGCCCTTCAGGAGGCGGATCTTTTGGCTACAAATAGTGCTCGAAGTTGATCTCAACGGACAAACAAGATCAGATTCGATAATACCATCACTTTTCAATCCATTATACACCAATTCGCAGCCAGACACTCCAAATCAACCATGCATCTTCAACAGTACACGACCAAGGCAGTTGTTACCTCCTTGCTGGGCGCTTCTAGCTTGGTTTTCGCAAATCCTTTTAAAGCTCGCGCGGATACTGGCTTCTCGACCGGCTTTAGACTCATCGCGACCGTCGTTGGCCCCACCAAGCACCTCACCGTTCCTATTCAGGGAGCGGCACTAGAGGGGGCCCACGTCGGTGCTGGTCTTAACACGGCTGTCCTCAATGTTACTGACCCAGGCCGAATTTTCTACCTAAACGGTACAGCTGAAGATGTTCGTACCGGAAAGACCAACATAGTCACTGACGGTGGTACTCCGCTTTACCCCTACGGAATCGGCGTCTCCCTAAACGAAACCGATTCTAACTCACCAGTCGTGGCCTCCATTAACGGCGGCAGCGGCACTGTAGGCGTATCGCTAGAAACCGACAAGACGAGCCCTGCACCTGGCATACTACACTTCGGCACCGCTAGCTTCATGGCATGCGACGAGTCTCTCCCGTACTATGGTCCATCACGGAAATTCGCCGTCCTGAAGACGTTTGAGACGTCCCAGCATCATACCGCCGTGATCCCCGAGAACTGTGTCGAGGTCAACTTGCACCCGCTTTGCGCCGCTCTCCCAGACCTACCCGCCGGCAGCCACACGAGTCACGAATTCGCGAACAAGGTCTCTTGTTTTGAAAACCTTGCCGATATCAAATAAGCTTGACTATTGGTATGGATGGGTGTAACTTTCGAGTTGTTGGGATTGGAAAAGTTAGCTGTATAGAACGGATGCATTTCGTTTGTTCTGTTGGTTTCGCATAGACGTTGGCGAGGTGATGGATAAAAATTCGCTTCATCATTCATTATATTACAATTTATATCATCGCAACAACGTATATAATATCATTGAGATCCCGTACTCGTCTGTGAAGTAATGGTTTGACTTTGCCACCTATACAACGTTGAAATGTGAGCCTTCGTTCGATGGTTCAGGGGCTCAGGGGTAAACAGTAAGCTTACGTAACATGCTTATATAATCCTAAACTTCTTAACTGGATGAATCAAGACCGCCAGATGTCCTTGACAAGCCCCGTATTGTTAGTCGCTTCCTTCGGGCCGTCATTCTCCTGAAAATAGAGAGGATACTTATTTTAGGCAAATTATATAGGGTGTTACGGGATGCTGAGATAAAGCTCAAGTCACGTGAACCCCGAGGAGGAACCTATTCCCCATACAGAACCCAGAAGAATGGGGCCTCGTTATACTGTCAGAGCCCATCAGGATCTGGTAATCCACCCATTCAGATATATCCACACCAGGAAAATAGATAGTTCAGAGGTAATCAGTTAGGTCTATTGAATCTATAGATCTACAGACTTATTATGGACCAACCATATTGCAGGAGGAAACCCCACATATGGGAAGGGCGGCGGGAGCCCCATGTACTGAACTTTGACAAGGGTCCCGGGGACCCCATATCACTGGTCCCACCTTGGGGGTCCAGGGTACAAAGGTACATCCTCAAGGCTGAATAGCTTCACTGTCATTATTGTATAAAGGGGCAGAGCCCCTAAATTTGAGTATGCAATTGTACTACGGCAGTAGTCAACTCAAGCTTATGGTCACTCTTTAGATTCTACGGGGAAAATTCTCTTTAGAGCCTTCTGACGATAGCCTCCTCCTCCATGTTGTTACCTGCAAACCCTAAGCGATAGATAGTGACAAGATTGAAACTCTCTTCAATTGATTACAGGCTCTAAACATTATTTCCGTTTCTCATTCGTGAGTAAAGAGTTTGCTGGTCTTATCCAGCTGATATATAACACTTTGCTAACTTGTGTCTCAATTAGGAGAAATTACGAATACTTATCTTGCAGAGCTGTGACTCCGGATTTGGTATTCAAGAGCGTTAACTTCATACTATATACAAGCAATGGCCCAACTTCGAATTTGAAAAGGCACTGATTCAACTATATTATATAGCTACCTAGGTAGGTATATTATATATATTTATTAATTCTACAGTAGCTCCCTTCCCAACAATCCATCTCTACCCAGACAGCAACGTCCAACAGACGACATATCTTAAAAAGCATAACTTAAGATTTTTCGACATGGATGATATTGAAAGCGAATACAACACTAGTGGTGTGGCCTTCGCACTCAATAGTAGTCTATTAGATTATCGCAGTCTAGACGGACTAATAGAGAGTCAAAATGGTGACAGCAGGGCGCCCACCCCTGACCGAAACGAACGCGCGAGGTCGACAACAAGTCTAGATCCACAAAGCTTTATCGATCAATTCCAATGGACCCAAAACAACCTACCGATTGGAATATCATACAACTCCAGATCAAGAATATCGACGCCAGGTTTCATGAAAGAGTGGACGGATAGACCAATCAAGCGGGAGAATGATGAGGACAGCGTAATCGAGGTTGTGGATCTACCTGAACTAACTCCAGGCTCAGAGGTTCGCCGATCTCCTCGAAACTTTCTTACGCCTCGAGTTCCGTTCCCCTGTGAACTGCCAATGTGGTCTGTGTTTGCGACAGACTTCAGGTCACTTTCAGATATCCCACACGATATCTTCGTCTGGTGCCCGTGCTGCACGCGAGACCTCGAAAAAGAAGATTTCGCACTTACCCGTACCAGCCAAATTCCGGTCGAAACATGCTTTGACTGTAGAGACGGGTATGCGGAACTGCCGCCAAACCTCGCGATTTGTTGGAGCGCACATTCGGATCAAGAGGGATGTGGTAGACTTCTTCCCAAAAGTCTTTTTTCAGGATTTTACGATCGCGAGACCTACACGGGAATTTTTTGCCGCGACTGCAGAGCCATTGGACAATCTCGAGCAAGACTAGAAGGGCGGTATAATATGGCAAGATGACGAGGTTGCTTTATTACCCGAAGCAAGCTTTTCTGAGGACGACATCTATAATCTGAACCTACCATTTCATCTGTCATCATGTCTGTCGGGTCCAGATACTGATACGATACCTAGGTACCTAGGTACATATGATATCGGAGCGCAAATAATTAATGAGAACATTACCGACCTATGAAGATATCAGTGTGAGTGAGAATATTTAACTGGCGATCGCTAAATATTCATATAGAAACCCGGGAATATATTATCGTCACGAGTTGGAGTAGGCGTTTTATGTTTCTATAAACTTCATTGAAATACATCGTACCTAATGCAGTCAACCCCTAACTCCATAGGCCACATAAGGAGAACAACAATGTGCGAATTAGCAGCTTAAACCATATCATCTCCCCTCCTCGCCGTCCCACCTCCAACCGGCTTCCTAGGAAACGTCCCAACACCACCACGTTCGTTCGCCGCACGCCCCGTACCCCCAAACCCACTCACAGCACCCGCGCCAGCACCCCATCCCGCTCTCCGAGTCCACATAGCATCCATGAGTTCAACACCATCATACGTGTATAAACAAGGCTGCCCACGATGCAACGGGACATGATTCCATCTCCAGTCCCAAATCGAAGCATAGCACATACGGTAAGCCGAGAATGCCATCACAGACCCAATAATGCCACCAGCCACTACATCATACCAGTTATGGAACTCATCGATTGTCAGCGCGCCGGCGATCAGCGTGGCGCCTAGCACGGGGGCGTACACGGCGATTAGCTTCCACATTGCGGGGTGGTAGTTCGCGAAGACCTTGAGCTTGGCGTTGAGGTAGATGGACAGGTAGATGAACCCGGCGAAGGCGGCGGTGCTGTGGCCTGACGGGAAGGATTCCAGGGAGTCGTTGATTTCGTTGGAGTCGCCCGTGCAGATCTCCTTGGTGTAGTAGATGCCGTTGAAGCCAGCGGCGTTGTACCCCACGCCTTTGACGCCGGGGGCGTTGCTCGCAAGGGAGATGTCCGGCTTGCATACGTCGAGGAAGTGGGGGCGTAACCCGCCGATTAGCCATTTCAGGAACACTTGGAAGACGGCGGCCGTGATGAGCGAGTAGAGGAGTCCGATGACGGCGTTGTTGACGTCCCAGAAGGAGCGCACGCGGATTTGCATGAGGAGGATGATTACGATGGGGATTACTGCTGCGAGGAAGGCGGCGAGCCAGATGGGGATGATTTCCTTCCGGAGAGGGTATGCGAATTCGGGATAGACTACCTCGCCGTCGGAAAAGGTTACTGGGAAAGATCGGGTTGGGGCTGGATGAGCTTCGTAAACCTGGATGGCATATTAGCAACTAGATTTATTATGGGAGAGTGGTTTGTAGTGGCTCAAACATACGCCAAGTCCTATGGCGCCCATGCAGATCATCGTGACGATATCAATCCATGTGACCTTCAGCCATTGTCCGAAACTTGGGCGAGTTGCCATGGGATAAGCCACGGTATCGAAGGCAGGCCCATTCTGGTGTCCATTAACGGGGCCGGCGTTAGCTCCGTCAGGTCGACGGCGGCTGAAGAATCCCATCTTCATTGTATGTAGAGTTGAATCGTGATTATGTGAGAGCCTCTTTCGTTAGTAAGTACCTGTGCGGTCTGCAAATGTCTTGCCCCGATCCAATTCCGGTAAAGTAAATGTTGCGAGTCTCAAGAGAGACTGAAAACTATAGCAACCTTTCGAAATGGTGAGAGTAACATATGTAGCAAGTTCACTTGACATCGACCTGACTTGCCTTATAATGAATATTTCATAGTCACGGTAGATTCTGAGTAGGACTTGAGAGCCGTGCGTTTATTATTGACGTCATGATTAAGCTCGTCAGCAGTGACATGGACGGGACGCAAACCGATGATAGCTCGAGCCGATTTCAGGCTCCGCGGGGTACCAGAGTAACCTGAACGGCGCCATATCAGATCATCCATCCTAAGCGGATCCAATCAACAACCCTAAGACCGGTAAATGAAAGTCTAGAATCGCGATGTGTTAGGCGAGTTGAAGCTGTTAGTTGTAAATGTTGTCCCCGTCTGTGGGTAATCTGATTCGTCACCCGCAAATATGGACGTCATGGATGCCCCAAAAAACTTGGCAATGCTTGTTTTATTACCCAATCGGGTAATTGGCGATCTCGAAACACAGTTCGATAACCGTCATAAGATAATCTTCTAACTCTTTCCTCGTCCACCATTCGTCATCTTGTAATTGGACCGCTGTATATATTACGGGAGCTACGTTCATTGCGTTTAGCAATCAGTGTAGCGAATGGATTCGCATATTCAAGCGTAGAAAGAATTAACATCGGTTCCAGGTCATGTTGATGATGCTGTTGAAATAGCCTAGTAACGCTAATCCTACCGGCGGGGTACCCAAGATCGCAGTCCGACCACTAGGGCTAAACTACGCAACACTATGCCTAGAAGGTGAATGACTTACTCAGGTACATGAAACATTGTTGGACCGAACGTTCAAGATTGCAAGCTGTATTCAATAAGTCAACACGTTGTGTGAATATGATAGGGTCGCAATCGCTCGAGGGAAGTTTGCGCAGTCCTATGCGCAAACCAGGAGGACGTTTACATTGTGTTTGTAGAAGTATCGTCGGAATGAACGTCATTCAATTAAAGTGGCGGCGAAGTCTTAAGTGGGTCATTGAACTTTCGCGTGGTTTTAGATTCAAACTAAGTCCCGGCTCTCTGGGAGCTAAAGATCACTAACTTTACAACCACATGTCATAAAAGTTTATTGAATGAAAAGATTGGAAGTCGCCATGGAGTTGTGAATGAAGGCAGTTTCGAACAGAGATGCCGAGCCGTGTTCGCTTTCAGCTGGTTTTAAATTACCCCCACATCATATTTTCAGGTCCAGCGTCGTGGCTTGCAGACAGGTGGTACAATGCCACCTAAGGAAAATGGGATAAATCACTCGACTTTCACGGCGGCCGAGCCAGCCAAGGTCTTGCCGTGGAATTTTTACGCATACAAACAAATCTATGTGATATCGCTCATCTAGCATCCAATCGTAAACAAATGAGAGTAATGTACAACACAACGGTCCAACAGATACACACTGCAAAAAAAACCAGGGCGCAACGTCTTCGGAACTCTGCATTGTCCCTTAAAATGCGCGCTTCTTGCATAAACTCCGGCTCACGTTACCCAAAACTCCGACACATTAGGACGCAATTTTCTACCACGCTGTGTGTCCCCCATCGATAACGAGGTTGTTCCCCGTCATGAAACTGCTGGCGTTACTCAGCAGAAATAGCGCGGCGCCTTTGAATTCGCTCGTCTCTGCCAGTCGGCCCACTGTACAATATCAATACAAGGCGTCGCCAATGATTGAGATATTTAGTAACTTACTCATGTTTTCACTTTCCCATTTCTCGCGAAGCCCTGGCACTTCCTCAAAGTTCTTCAACACCATTGGTGTTAGGATATGTCCCGGACTGATACAGTTCACTCTGATCCCACCCGTGTGGTCTTGCCGAATCGGGCTCCACTCCATCGCAAGGTTCCGGGCCAATTGGACCACTGCAGCCTTAGAGGAATTGTAGACCTAGAATCCGCGGTTCGATTAGATAATTCACCAAAGGGATAGTTCGGTTGACGTACAGGCGACAGTAGCCCCTTATTAGCGACACTTCCAGACATGCTGGCGATGAGACACATGCTGCCATGGATCTTGTACTTGAACATCTGGCGAGCCGCACTGGTCGCCGTCATCATCACACCGGTAAAGTTAATATCCATCATTCGGCTCACTTCTTCCTTAGTCCATTCCATGGCTGGTGAAAGGTGTTGGACACCGGCTGCAGCAATGACGCCGTCGAGACGTAGATGCTTGTCCGCGATGTCTGCAATTGTCCGGTCGAGTCCTTCGATATCTTGTACGTCTTGCTGTATATAGTTCAGAGAACCTCCAAACTCGACAGCGCGTCTTGCTGCCTCACTCCACTGCTGGTCTGCCTGTGGTCCGCGATCGAAACAGTAAACTGTCGGTTCATCGTTAATTATGCTGATGTTCTCGACTCAAGGTCTTGCGACGGTGAAAACGTACCCTTGGCCCCTGTCTCTGCGAGAGCCTCCGCTAGTGAAAGTCCTAAACCCTGCGCACCTCCAGTGACAATGAAAACTTTACCGTTCAGGTCGAAATCGGCGAATCTCTTTTGGCCGACATTCTCTCTCGGATCAGGCGCAATTCCGACTGCAGGGTTTTCTCTTGAGTCCGGAGGTTTAGGGATCAAGTTGGTCTTTCTTCCAAACTCGGCAAGTGATGTAGGGGTTGAAGTATGCATTTTTCCAATTTGAACAGTTGTACTCATCGTGGTGGTTCTGGCAAAAATAGATAATGCGCGCGGGAATCGTCCACCGAGGGTTCTGATGTAGATAGACATGATGTTATATGTATCCTAGTCGGGTAGGGCATTGTACGGTCGGAAACTTTAATGAAGGTTTGTTTGTATATCTGAAGAAAGGTACAAAAGCTGCCGGTGTCCGGTTTATAAATGACACTGGACCTGTGGTGTACAACGACCGGATAAAAAGATTGGCGCGCCAAAATCAAGAAAGATCGTGCCTTCACTGATGTCAGCTTTCTAAAACGGGTAGCATACGTATACCTGGCAGTGAGGCTTAATGTCTCGCCAGACTGGAGCTAAGTTCCAAGTAAGCCCCATATGAGGCTTACCTGTGCCACTGACATGTTTTATTACCATCCTTCCTTACTTTCAACCAGCCGTGCCCCTCCTGGCATCTTAGTGACCTGTCAGTAGTGTCTCAATCTAGTGAAGTGTCAAGGCCGCGAGGGTACAACCATGAAGCCCTACTAGGTATATCCCATTTTGTACGTAATCCAAAATCAGGATTAAGATGATACCTATTCAAGAAACATAAGGCATGCAATTCCTGTCGCTTTCATGGAACCCTATCATTTGAGTTCAACACTGGCAGACTGGTTCAGCTCTAATATACCCAAAATGGGAATTCCCAGGGGAAATCTACCAATGACGTGACCGGGCATAACGGTGAGTCTGACATGAAGCTTTTGGTGGGGTCGGTTTAGAAGAGATCCTTACAATTGGTAGAACTTCTTAGCCAATCGAAAGTTTGGACACTGGGTCTTAACGTGGAAGTACCTAGAATAGGTCGAGATCTCCTGCAGCTGATCTTGCGGGCTGGTTGTTCGGGTCGGTTGTCTTCCGGAGCAAGTGCTCCTACGCGTACTAGACGTGGGCGTTGAAGTAAAATAATAATAAAAAGTTGAATGCTCAGCTCGCATCTGGAGGACCAAACATGGAAACAGAAAGAAGCAAATACATCCAACGTTGATTCTAGAAAACCCAAAGAGTTCTAACTTTAGAAGACTCAAAGCTCCCACCATCTTAAGTAAACCCCGCACGGTGCGACTCGAACTTTCTCTTTCCGTACCTGAGATATCCTGCTACATCACGATTTAGCTTTCGGTTATTGGTATTTGACATCACGATGACTTCAAATTTTCCATCTTGAATGTTAATGCCCTACTACCAGGAAAGGCCCTGATTTGTTCGTAAGGCTAGGTAATAATTAAGGTAAATATACCTGACTGCGTATTAATAAAACACGACTGGCCTCTTCTCCGAGGTGTGTCCGGCGTGAAGATGTGTGGTGTAATGCTCGATCGAGTGATACCATGTACGCGATGCTTAAAAGCCAACCGGTATGGCGTTCTCCAATGCGGCAAATATTGTCGAATACGGGCCGCAACTTTAACTTGTTTCACGGATAGGTACCGCGGCATGATATCTCTTTCGGACAGTAGCGGTGATGCTTAGGGAAAGCTACCGTCGTACGAGGGCTTCCGCTCGGCGACTACATCGGCATGAAACCACGACAGAATCGCACCATTTAGACAGTTATGAACGGGGTCTACCTTTCAACCCATTTCATAAATTCATTCTTCAGATTAATACCCATCGTTTTACCACCAAACGCCATGCAATGCCCACGGTATGAATCGACACCGAACCGATGATGCGCAGGTATTGAATCGTCCGGTCCTATTCACGTTATCGTCTTCCGCCTCGTCCTCCTCCCATCATCCCACCCATTCCCATACTCTCCATCATTTTCTGCATGTCCATACCGCCTGGCATTCCGCCTCCCCCGCCACCGAACATTCTTGCCAAGCTGGCCATGTCCGGCATGCCACCAGCTCCAGCACCTCCCATGCTCTGCAACCGCTTCTGCATGGCAGCCATCTGTTGTGCCTTGTTTCCTCCGCCCATGGCTTGCTGGGCGCGTTGCATATTCTTCATGCTGCCGCCCATCTTCTTAGCCATGCCTGCCATCATACGCTGTTGCGTGAGCAGATCTTCCACCTCCCTGACACTAACACCGCTGCCGCGAGCCACCCGCGTCATACGGGTTGGTTGCTCGATAAACATTTTACCGTCACAGTCAAGCTCCTTCTCGGTCATGCTATCGCAGATATAAATCATGCGCTTTAGTCGCGCACTGGATTCTTCGTCATCCATGCCTGCCATTCCAGGTAGGTTAGACATGCCGGGAATCATACCAGCCATCTTAGATAGGGGTCCCATCTTCATAATATTGCTTAGCTGATCCCTAAGATCTCGTACCGTGAAGATTCCTTCTGTTATGTGTTTTATCGTCTCCTTCTGGTCCAGTTTTAGCGACTGCACGTGCTCGACTAAACCTGCCATGTCACCCATCCCTAGCAACTTGTTGACAAACTGTTGCGGCGCAAACTTTTCTAGATCCAACATGTGTTCTCCGGTACCGATGAAGACGATAGGCGTATGCGTTGCGGCAACGGCGGAAATAGCACCACCTCCGCTCGCGTGACCATCCGTCTTGGTAATGATGATTGCGCCGAAATCTGCCGCATCCTTGAATGCCTTTGCCTGCGCTTCGGCCTGTTGACCGATAGAGGCGTCCAAAACCATGATTGTTTCGTTAGGGGATACTGCGTTTTGGATATCAACCATCTCTTGGAACAGGGCCGATTCTTGTCGATGACGTCCGGAAGTATCTACGATGATAACCTCGAATCGCTCTTTCTTGAACTTCTCCACACCTTCTCTTGCAACCTTCGCGGGATCGGTCTCGGTTAGGGAACCGTAGTATGGAATTTTAGCTTTTGTCGCGTTTTGTTTCAGTTGGTCGAAAGCACCAGCTCTGAAGGTATCGGCACAGACTAGACATGATCGGAATCCTCTTGCTTGGTAATGCCGCGCCAACTTCGTACACGTGGTGGTCTTTCCAGCACCTTGCAAACCAACAAACATAATGACGTTCGACTTGCCCTTCTTGGGCTTGAAGGGTTCTGCATGAGGATCGACTAACTTGACCAACTCGTCGAATACGGCCTTTTGGATTAATCGCTTCTTGTTAACACCGGGTGGGAGATCCTTGAAGTTGACGATGGTGCTTATCGAGTTTTTCAACTTGCTGACAAGTCGCACATTGACGTCGGCTTCGAGAAGGGCACCTGAGATCTCGTTAAGCATAGCTTTGAAAGCCTGCGATGTAGGTTAGCGCATTCGCCCCATCTCATGGTACCGCACTGCATCGTATCCATTGCGGGGCACGACGCCGTAAGAGAATCGCATATACCTTTTCATCTAGATTAGGTGCTCGAGTAACATCATGTAGGGCACCGCTAATGCGGCGACCAAGATCTTGGAGAACCATGGTAAAAATTGACGGCTACGTAGCCGTTTAGATCCAAGACACGATGGAAGTGATGACAGCAAGTAGATTTCGATGTGAAGGTAAGCACTTGAGCTGTGAGATTGACCGGGGCTGACCGGGGTAGACTCCACTATAAACCTTGGAATAATAGGATTTTCCGATGTCCCGCAGTTAGGTACATAGTACATCGACATAGATTATGTAATGATTTTAATAGGGGTACCGTAACACCGATGATTTTACGCCTGCCTGTTAAATCGGATTCTCGTTTTTCAAGCCACCAACAACAATGTTAGACATTCATTACGTACTATTTCGACTCCCTTCCCAACATGGAGACGGACTACTGTGTTAGAATGACATCCAAGGTTTTAGGCAACTAGAATTATTCTACTCTATAAATCCTACGGGATCTCGAGTCGCTGATACGACACGTACATGAAAAGGAACTAATAACTATAGTAGCGTTTCTTTTGCAGAATCTCTTTTTAAAAAATATTCCATGTTCAATCCTCCTTTTGACGGAATTAATTCACTTAGGTCCGGTAATTCCATTATTGCCATTATGCGAGTTGGTAAGCATCTATGTCTGTCAAACAGACATCGTGTAACGAAGCGCCCTAAGCCGCTAATTTTCGCCTTCGGGCTTCGCGATCTGAATTAAAAGGGCAAAGATTTCATGCTATCGCCTATCTACACCGTCGTCTATATAAGGTGTACTATCATCCGTCCGTTTCCATATCGACAACCTTTTTCTACTCATCAACCACATAGAAATACACCTAGAACCCGATCATTCCACACGACATAGATCTCATCATGGCAGTATTAGATGCACTCTCAACCGGAGATCAGGTCGTTGAGGCCTTCAAGTCCCAGGTCAAGGGACGGACCTTCGTCATTACGGGAGCTGGCATGCCTAGTATCGGAAGCCAGATGGCCATTTCGCTTGCGAGGGCTTCGCCGGCACACATTCTGATCGCATCACGGACTGGCAGGAAGGTCGACCCGGTACTAGAGAAGATTGCCGAGATCGACAGTTCCGTCAAGACGACATTTGTTCAGGTCGACCTAACGGACCACGAGTCAGTACGTAGGGCAGCCAAAGAGATATTGGCCGCCACACCCAAAATAGACGTCCTCATCAATAGTGCTGGAAATATGGGTATCAAGGATTACACGGTCGACAAACAGGGAATTGAGATCCAGCTGTCTGCCAACCATATCGGCCACTTCTTGCTAACTAACCTACTCGCGCCCGCTCTTATAGCTGCCGGGTCCCAACCTGGTGGAGCCCGCGTCGTTAATCTGACAAGTCTCGGCTACCGCTCTAGCCGCTTTCGTTTCGACGACTGGAACTTCTCGAATGGCAAGACCTATGATCTATGGACGGGCTACGCCCAGGCCAAGACCGCTAACATCCTATTTTCGTTTGGTCTCACAAAAAAGCTTAAGAGCCATGGCGTCACGTCGACGGCAGCGCATCCCGGCTCCAATATCGACACCCAGCTGGGGAGCCACCTGACTGTCGATGACTACGCCAAGATACCCGAAGTGATGCAGCGCAATATGGGGAAAGAATGGGAATGGGAGACGCCCCGATTCAAGACGTTCGATCAGATCTCTTCTACGTCACTCGCTGCGGCCCTAGACCCGGAGATCCCTGCCAAGTCGCCGGCATACATGGTGAATTGTCAACCTCACGAAGTCGACGAACATGCGAGGGACCCGGAGGCCGTTGAGAAGCTATGGAAGCTCAGCGAGGAACTTGTTGGGCAGAAGTTCGACTACTGATTAGCCGTGAAGTACAACCTATTAGGTCAGCCTGCTTAGGGCGAGATAAATACATATAATCGAATTATAAGAATATCTTTAACTCCATAGGTCCGAAATCCGAAGAATCTGGGGAATCCGGGGTTGGAGGTTTCGAATTGACTAATGCCGTACTGCTGTGCCCAATACGAGTCACCTTACCCGGTAAGGCTGCCCATCTACCGGATGTATCTCATATAACTTTTTTCGGCTCATTTAGCCTCGTGGACGGGATGGACACCTGCATTGTGACTCAGGTGCCGGCTATATAAGTCTAGAATATTCATTTTGTGGTTGTAATTTCCAGGAAGAGCACAATGGCGTGTTCGATGCAATCCCGTCATAAGCGCGCAGAGTCAAAGCATGGCGCTTCAACTACTAGGTACTACCTAGGTAGGTACCTATCCGCATCTCATTGTTTACACTATCGTCGATGGAACCTTGACATTGGCCACCACTCCAATGCCAATTTCCCACTCACGAGAGACGGCACTGGGTTTGACCATTAGAGTATTGAGAGAAACTTGATAGGTACCTAATTATATATGTAGGCTACTTCGTACACACGCAACTGTTATATCTACGAGTATCGATACACGGATTGAACCACGAGCCACCGCCTAGAGCACGAACAAATTGCCTGCCATACCTTCCTACCCCTGCACCCCTGCTCTCTCGACCTCCGCATTTTTAATCGCGGTGCGTAGCCGCCTCGGCTAAGTCTACATCTGTCACAGGCCAAAAGCGACTTAGGTCACCAAGCGGCAGATTCAGAGTGATGCGCATTTCGCCCGCCATGATAATGACACACATATACCACCCTAAGGCGGCTACGACGAACAATAGAGCACCACCGGCCTAAGAGAGAATTAGCCGCGATAAAAATACCTCACGGATAGAGTAACACATACCTTTTGTAAGCTAATTGCGGCCTCGAAGTTTCCGGCCGCAAGCTTGAAATATGCACTCGACAAGACCCACACGGCGGAAGTAGCGCAGGCGAAGATCATTGCGAACACCGTGTTAACCTTCAACGTGAAAACGAAGAAAGTAAACAGGGCGAATCCCCACACGATGAGGTATAATCCAACGACGGAGTTATACTCGGGGGACATTTGCCCAGTGGGGTCGCTAATCGTGGCATATGGCGCGCCTAGCTGAAGGGTTGGCAACTGTAAAAGGCCGAACGATAGCCAAAACACGGCGTACAAGCCCATGGCCATCATAGGGAAGAAGTTCCCCATGATCCACTCAAAAACCATGGCGAAAATTAACAATACGGGGCCGACGAAGAAGAATATGCCCCTGGAAAGCTGTCATTTAGCCGGGACCCACATACAATACGAGAAGGGATCCTTACGCTACCGGCGTTGTACCTTCAGCGCCTGCCCACCCCATCAATGTCATCGCGAAGGTAAACGTCGAGATAACGAAGCTGGAATGTTTAGTTTGACTTGATATCTCTCTTAGTGGTTATCTTCATGCGACTCACCCGACAATACCAAGAGGTGTTGGGTTAGCGAAACGCCTGTTGTAATCTCCAACGTGAGGAACCTTAGGGGTAAGATAGAGCTAGTGAAGTTAGCATCGATGCGATGAAAGTTATTATAGAGATCTTACTTTCTCGAAGAGCTCAGGGGGCATTGTCACGGTGGTGTCCGATCGTTGTAACCCCTTCTCCTCGTCATGGTTGATGATCTTGTGGTTTTCCATTTTGAGTCAATGTGAATGAGGTGAGAGCTGAGTTGATGAGAATTGAATCGGCGATGGCAACTAAAGCTGAGCAACAGGCACTTATCCAAAGAATCCTCGATCACAAGGAAAGGTATCGCTTCAGCTTTTAATAGCTGGCGATTGCGATACGCAATATTCGAGATATCATTAGCCTAGAACTATAGATTATTTACTATTCTAGGAGATCCCCCATACAGGCAAGTCAAACTGCCGGACCTCTCGCATCCGTCCAATCGCAGGTGACATAGCGCTTAAGAACCATGGCCGTTCCTCGGCTGGCGTTGCTTTCACATACCTTTGTCAGGCCTCTGCCGAAGCCAAGACAATACTTCCCCCAAACATCTAAACCGTAAATACAACTTCCGGTGCGGGGCCTGTCTCTAAAGAGCAGTTGGCAAGCTTTTATATGTCTACCAAGCTGGCAATCTACTCTTAGGTAATTTAATTAGATATAAGGTAAGTATTATCCAATTCGCCGTTGTATAACCCGCCAAACCCAAGTCGGACTAGAAAGGGTCGGGAACGGACACGTTTATGACTATTAGGAAGCTCCGGAGTACCGTCGCAATTATGCGAATCACCCGGAAACAAGTAGTTGGTAAGGCTTTCTATTGGAGGCGGACACGGCGTACCCAAACAAACATATATAATCGGCGGATTGATGACTCAACATATAGGATACACAGGTATGACAAGTTATAGTTAAACACTATATCTACCTACATATGTAGACATGAGCAAATGTTGTGCGATGGTGAGGTCGAATTAGGTGATGCCCAAAACACTCCGGGCATTGCTTGGCCGCATTTCTTGATACCCCAAACGGCAATAAGAGGCATTTTCAGCTGCTATTTTAAGACCCTACCTACCTACACAAGAAAAGGCTGAGTTTACTTTTTATGTGAGTATCTATACCGGCAATCACATGTAGCACTCGGATGTAACTGCTTGGCTGTACCTTTGATATTGTTGCATGTGGCTGGGGGGCATGGCTTAGAGTGGTACTAATGCAAGGACAAGCAATCCCCAAGCCAACATACCGATTGTTATCTTGTGAAGAGGCATATATTTACCTACGTATGTTTATATTATTATTGAGTGCCTTAGTGTTCTTTAGCCTTGCATTGAGTATGAACGGGGGCCTTCCTTTCACATTCTAGTGCTAGGGAGATCATGTAAAGGTCTTCCTGCTTGTTTACAAGGTTAGGTAGGTATATGTTGGGTATTTATATGAAGTGTCAGACATCGGTCTTCCTCCAGGTTAGTAGCTAGAGGTCTATGGGATCGGGGTTCGGCCCGTTGAGTCCCCGTGAGGGTCCTGTTGGCCGCTAGTCCTAGGAGCAGGACAGACAAAGAGCTTCACCTGTATGTATACCGTGTTCTCCATAGCGAGAGTGTTAGGAGCTCTTCGCGCAACAACGTCGTTGTTTCCTAGTCTTTTGGTTCCGCCTCGTGACATGAAGGAGGGTCCCCCCTCGGGCTTACGATACACATTTATACAATCTAATACATCCACATAAATAGATACCTACCTTATATATACTAGCGAGCCACTTGCTCTTAGCTCTCGCTCAAGATACCTACTAGCGCAAAGGGTTTCTTACCCTTAGCCGCAGTAACATTTTTACTCACCTGTCTCTTCAACCCAACTAGAATCGAGAGGCTGGTGAGAAAGGTTGGAACAGATAGAATATATTAGAATATATAGGCAGGTCCTAAACTTTTATATGCTAATTAATATGAGAAAACTTTTACTTCTCCCCTCGCTGTGACTGTAGCAAACACACGCTCCGATCTGGAAATTAGAACCCGAATCAAAGAATCGCCTTCGTGTCTCTTTTTAAGCTGCCCTGCCTTTGTATTCTCATAAAATGAGACACCGTCCCAGTCTCCAGATATGATATACTGACTATCGGGAGTATAGGCTACACTAAACCCAAAATTCTATACAATGTTAGTCTGACACAAATATCGATTTAGAGAAACATACTGGTATAGAAAGTTTTATAATACTTTTTCTCGACGCTTCGTCCGCACCAGTCTGCATTAAATTCGAAAAGTTCCATCTTTGTATCATACTATTTTCAATGGTAGCAATACTGTAACCGTCTGGCGAGAAGCATACATCATTTAATGTACTATTCAGGATATTTCTCTGAATTCCGACCTCCTCGCCGGACTCTATGTTCCAGATCTGGAGCAGTGGTGATGTTGACTTTCTCGCGGCTAGGTAGAGACAATTCGGAGAGAAGACGAAGTCTAGGACATGTCCCTCAGTTGAAATTATACGGTGCTCTAACTTTGTATTTGATCGCCACTTTCCGTCGAAGTCCAAGATCCTTATACAGTTATAGTCAAGAATAGCTATCATTTTCCCATCAGGACTGAATTTGAACTGGCCAAATTTGATGGAATAGCGATCATATTTTTTGAAGACGCTCTGCGTTTCGACATCCCATATCTAGATTCAATTAGATGACAATGTGAATTAGATTTTCATTTAAAACATACCATTAGGACCTTGTCAACGTAGGCTGTTGCTAAAAATTTATTGTTTGGGCTAAAAGCAAGTGCTGTACAATCCGTTATAGGGCTATCACGGGAGAAATCTAGTAACGAGATTCTACCTCGGATATCGTGAACATGTACAGTCCCAATGTCTGACGTTGCTATAAAACAGCCATTATCACTTAAAGATATGAGGGGTTGCTGTGCTCCAATGCGAAGCGTGAGGATCAATTTAATTTTGATCTCCTCCTGAGACTCTCCTACTGTGATAATTTATTAGCTTATGTCAATAGAGATCGTCGTAAGATGAGTACCTTGAATTTCCTCTGGTTCGGATTCTTCTGATGGCTGGGGCTCTTCTGATGGTTGGGGTTCTTCGGATAACACAGGTTCTACCGATGGGAGCCTCCGTATCCTAGCAGGGACTAAAATACTTCCCTCTTCGTGGTATATCCGATTGTGTTTACTCAGGTCTTGCTGTGTCTTGAAACCAATCCGACCTATTGGACAGTCCTGTTTGTCACAAAAAAGACATTTGATGTGCAGTTGCTCGTGTGAAAGTCTTGCAGACTCAGATGCAAACCCAAGCGTAGCACTTGTACAAGGCGAAAATCGACAGCGAAAGGAACATTGGCAAGACTCCTGTCGGAATATTTCAAGGAGACCGTGCGGTATATTCTCTGGAAGCTCTTCTCCTGACAATAGCTTCTTGACGAGGCATTCAAACTTGACTGCTAGCTCCGTGAAAAGAGTTGGGTCTTTCTCCAACGATTTAGATTCGAAATCTGTTATATAGGTAGGTATCTATCAGTTGCAACTGAACTAAACTCGAGACGCTCATAGTGATAACAATCCTAAGACACAAAACTTACCTGCGCCATTTTCCATAGATTGGTTTTTCCGCTCTTGTCGAAAGGAAATCGTAGAGGCACAGACGTATAATGCAAGAATTTTGTCAATGGTTACTGGATGAAGATCATCGTGTGATGATGCAACTATCTTATCTGTATGTCTCAGCTGATTAAGAACTCGGCCGTGAAGAGTTTCCAAGGCTTTCAATGCTTTCGCCACTTCGGATAGTGACTCTAGTTCGTCGTGGCCCAAGTAATCTAAGAGGTGATCAACCCAAAAGTCTATGGAGTACGGTAGTAAAGCGTGGCATCCATCGACAACTTGGTGAAGCTTTTCGGGGACAGAGAGATTTGGATCGAGTAGGTGAAGACCATCTGTGAGGACTCTCGCGCAACTAAAAGCGATCGAGCTTTTACAGCTTACGGGTGTAATTCGGCCGACAGTACATCTACTAGTCAGATACCTATGGGGTTGGTTAGTATATTTATTGTCTGTCAATGTTACTCACACTCATTAGGGGAACCTTACTCTCGAACTGTATAATGAACTAATGAGATTGTGCCATCGGATAACTCTTCTATCAAAGGTTTGCATTTTTCAATGACTGTGCCGCTGAGTCTGTTCCAGTCCTCCAAGTACGGGGTCTCGGTGGTGATTGCAATGGCATGAAGAACTTCTCTTTTCCTCAATGGTCTTTTCGCGAACACAAGCCAAGCGAAAATTCTGGAAATCTTGTCCGATCCATTCCCAATCTGACTATACATTCGATTAGTAATTACATCATATAGTTCTGTTAGGTCCGTTGGCATTTTCGTCACAGCATCGTGCAGGTCTGCGTTGCTATCGATATTGGCAATCGAGTTAAGGACTAATTTAGCCCAGAGGAACATGCCTGTTATACGTAAGTTCTTTGGTTGCATTGATTTATGGATTGATTATGACTGACCATCAGCTTTGTCGATGATGATCTTGCCTAGCTCTTCTTTCACGTTAGGGTTTAACTGAACTGATGGGTAGTATTCCTCGTGATCGTTCAAGCGACTAGTAACGAAACTCCGGATTGAGGCGTTGACGATATTGCTTTCGGCAGATAAGGAGATTTGAAGCAATTTTCTTCCCCTTTTATGAAGAGATTTGCTCACTGATGGGATTTCCCTGCTGCAAAACAAGACCTTGTAGCTACGAGTAGGGTTGTTAGAAGAAACAAGCTGTGAGAAGTCGTTGATGATAAGTGGTTGCTCCTTTAAGTCGCACTCATCTAAACCGTCGATAACAAGACGACACGGAGATATGCCTCTAATCATCCCTGGTTTGTCAGTCGAACCTATTACCATGGCACGTAGAACTTTCAAGGAGGGCATGGCGTGCTTCGAAACGTATTCCCTATAAGCAATAGCTGTTATATCAGGGTCTTTTGTGATCAATTGAATGGCCATCGATTTGAGAATATCAGAGATTGTATCTCTGGAATGAAACCTGCAAAAATAGTATAATGTAGGTATCTTTCGTTGCTCTAGTGTCTCCAATATGCTTGCACATATAGTGCTTTTGCCTGTTCGAGTGTCAGCGGCAGCTTTATATGTGCAGTTGTGACTAATAGAGAAGCTATATTAGATCATTATTACCTGCTCCGGGCTTCCCATGGAGCCAGACTATGGGGTGGTGGGAGTCATTCTGGATCCAACCTTCAAATTTGTCATATATCCAGTCGTTGCTTCCGGGGAGGCGATCTTGAAGTAATCGTTCCCATTCGTCCTCTTGGGGTGTAGATTTGATTCCGAGCCATGAAACTACGGACTGCATTTGTGCGTCGTTTCTTATTTTCTCCGTCTTCTCAGACTCGGCCATCAGCTTTTCTCTCCATGCCTTTTCTTCGATCAAGTCGATAGAAATAGCTTCTTGCATTATCATATCACTATGATGCGCCATGCTGGTAAGAATCGCTTTGAATCGAACTTCGAATTGGCCCCAAGTTGTTTGAAAGAAGAACCTCCACGACTTTCTTCGAATGAATTTGTAAGCGCGACGGTGGAACTCTAGGATGTCTGCATAGTAAAGTGCTAGCTTGATACCAATTTCAGAATTGTCTTTGAATGCATCGCCAATCTTCTCGAAGCGTGGGAGTGTTTCCGATATACGGGAATATGCCTCAACTAGTCTGTCGAAGGCATCAAGGTGGTCAGATGTTATCTGTACACCATTAGAGCTCCTCATCACAATATCTTGGATAGGGCTCGCACCTGCAATGCCAGTCTGATTGGTGCCCAGACCCAAGGTAAATACGGGCTCAGGCCATTGCTGAGTGTGTCAATTGCCTGTCCATACTTCCTCAGGCCTTCCAAAAAAGGGTGTAATTTTCGCAGATTCCTGTTTTCCCTACGGTTAAGAAGATCCTGTTGGATTGTTATCATGGCATCGATAACATCTTTCACCGTTGTGCTGCCAAGAAGTGTAATGTCTTCCGGAGCTATCGTTCTCTCAAAACGTTGAAAGGCGTCTGATATAATTAAATGCGCCTGCACGTTAGTCGCGTGGTTTGTATGGTTTGCCATTGCTAAGATCGCATCAACAGAGATCTATAAAAGCATTCTATAATGTTAGGTAGGCAATTGATGGAAGAGGGCGAAACTGGTTGGGCTCTCGGTATTCTTAGTGTAGTATCGCAAATCTCTCCCTGTACCATAATTATTGCTCAGCTGTACCTAGCTACCTAGGTATGCAAAGCTGCCCAGGGAAATGCCTTAGCAGGCTGCCTTGTCAATTGAGAGGCGGAGCTGTGGCTTTGGTGCTGACAATGCAGCTCTTGCATTCGCAGCCTGCATTAGAGGCCTCTATCTCTTTTACCTTTCCTTTCTAACTCCAGTGGAATTCGACGACTTTCCTCGCTTTTCTTCAAAAGATTTTCCTCAAAAAATGCATGCCTATATACTTAGTAACTGCTTACTAGGTACATAATGTGTCGAAAATAATGGCAATTCTATCTGGGTGCTGGTGAGCTATACACTCAGTGTCAGTCCTATTTTCGTGAATCATCCGATGGCGCGTACCGTCCCCGCAGACGTTCAGCAAGGCCCGGACGAGGAGACATCAACAGCAATTTGTTACGGCATGGTAAGTCTTTGGTCACTCAAAGAAGGAAGGGTTTAGCTGATACTTAGCCTGTCACAGCTCGAGAAGCTTGAGATATATGCAACTTCTACCGATACTGCCATCGACAATGTCCATCTTGTATCCGCCTACATCGTCGACGATGGGATAGTTAAAATATATTCAGATGACTCTACGGTCGGCAGGTTAGAGGAAACGGCAAGACAAGTAATACGCAAACTTGAAAATGAAGAAGGGGTTCATGTACAATTTATGATTAAGGGTATTCCTGGATCAGAATCACACTTACGGAAAAAGAAAATAATTGCCTGGGCATCGGCAATCCTCTACGGCCCGGAACACCTTGGCGATGATATTGGAGAGTTCCTGGACAAGTGCAAGTATTATCTCCAAGACCCATACGGGTGTAGCATCAGTGCCCTTTACAAGAATCCGCACTGCTTGTCTACTATCTTCGAACAACCAGTCTTGGCCTCTACCTTTGCCGAGCCAGCAATTAGGTCCAGGCAAGAGCTTTCAGTCCATGATTCATTGCACATGTTAGAAACGACTGAAGATCTACCAGAATGGAACCAACCTACGATTTTACGAACCGAACTATGCTTGTGAGTATTGATTAATCTATTTCTCGTGACATTTATCTTCTATTTATAAACTGTTACTTATCGTATTTTAGACATCAAAAGCAAGCATTGCACTTTTTCATGATGCGAGAAAATATCGAATATATAAACTCTCTCTGGAAATCAAGTACCTCATCCAATGGCCGTCGAATGTGTGTTGTACGTGCCCTTACATAATATGAACCATTTCTTACATAGCATCTGGTTCTTGCAGTTTTCATAACGGGATAAACGGCTCACAACAAGATGTACCGCCCCCTATATGGAATGGGGGCATACTCGCTGATGAGATGGGCCTTGGGAAGACATTACAAATGATATCTCTCATTGCTGAAACAAAAACTATACAAAATTGTGCGATCAAAACAACTTCTACCACGCTTCCAGGAACATTAATAATACTGCCGTTGCCTTGTATGTTTGATAATGGGAACCTCTTTGCATCGATTTGCACTAACCATATTGTGCTATTAGTAATGAGGGTATGGGAAGATCAGCTTATCCAGTAAGGTCCTTCTCAATAATGAAAGTCATAACGTAGACTCACGTGAGATAAAAAGACACGTGCATAAAAACAAGTTGATTTGGCAACGCCATCATGGCCAAAATCGAGTCGAAATAGGCCATTGGCTTGATTTTCCAGATATTGTTCTCACAACTTATCAAACAGTCCAGTCAGAATATAAACGCCGTCACAAATCTAATTCATTGTTCAAATACCAATGGCGTCGAATAATACTTGATGAAGGTCTGGCCATATAGTCACTTAAAACAATAACATCTGCTGACATTCATGTAGCACATGTAATTCGAAATACCACTATGACAGCTTCTGCTGTCTGCGCTTTATCTGCCATATCACGCTGGGCTGTTACCGGAACACCGATCCAAAATAACCTATCTGATTTATGTGGTCTTTTCAGATTTTTGAAGTTTCACCCTTACGATGACGCAAGAGTCATGGACAATGAGATATTCGAATCGCTCAGAAAATTAGACCCTAGCGAGGGGATTCGAAGGCTCAAAACCTTATGCAAAACTGTGATGATTCGTCGCCGGACGGGTATCATAGACCTTCCTCCGAGGAAGGATTTAATCAAGATGGTAGATTTTAATGCAGAAGAAAGATGGCTATACCAAGAGCTTGAAGGTCGCATGCGTCATGCTCTAGGAGACGCTACCAGTATAGGGATTGGAGGGCACAATTTATGGATGAGCGCAATACAACTCATCAGCAAATTGCGCATATTTTGCAACCTTGGCGCTACTTCTCCCTCCAAGATACTATCTTCGAAGCCCGTAACTCGCCAGTTAGTAACCCCAGAAAGAGGGATCGACACTTACAACTTGATTACATCAGAGCTGGCTTTAGGAGGAACAAGCTGCTCCCTTTGTGGCACGTTCATCGATACCTCAGAGGGTATACAAGATATATGCGCATACTACTCGTCATGCAACAAAATATGTTGCAAATCTTGTACCAGCATGTCTCATGGCTCAGTGCTCGGTTGCACGTGCCGTTCAGAATCAGTCTGCATTCTTCAACCGCTATGCTTGGATTCTGTTAGGAAGGTTGAAGGGACAAATGGAATAGACGATGAGCCCACCTGCGGGACCGAACCGAGCAGTAAAGTTAGGGCTGTCGTAGGAGATATCCAAAGCCACAAAACAGAAAAGAGGTATGTTATATACCGTACATATGCCCATCGAATTCCAAACAAACTAACTTGCTTCAAAGCGTCGTGTTCACATTTTGGACAGCTACTTTAAACATGCTTCAGCACGCGCTCGACCGCGCAGGGATTAGATATGTCAGGATCGATGGTACAGTGAGTCCAGCCAACAGAGATACAGTTTTACGAGAATTTCGAAACGACAATTTCATCCAAGTCTTACTCATTACGATATCTTGTGGTGGCGTTGGGCTAGATTTAACCGCAGCATCCCGAATTCACCTACTTGAACCCCAGTGGAATCCAGCGGTCGAAGATCAAGCACTAGCAAGGGTGCATAGAATGGGACAGAAACGACCTGTGGTCACGATTCGATATATAATAAGGGATTCTATTGAAGAGGTACGTTTGTGGTGAGGATGAATTTAGAATGCATGCTGATCTATCTCCTAACCCCTCTAGTCTGTCGCCTCAGCGAAAGGAAAGAAAAGACTTCTTGCCGAGCTTCTACCACAGAATGCACACTCTGAAGTTGAACTTGATACGTAGGTAGCTATTGATCATTGCCTGGTAAAGATGCATTTGAGGAAATGCTAGAGCCTTTGATTTGCTGTTTCTAGAGTCAAAATTCTTTCATCGCTCCTAGTAGCAACTCTCGTGCCAAGGCAGATGTTACAAATATGAGGTATCTAACTATTCGCATATCTGATTATTGGAGTCATGTGGGTCTGCAAGTTACCTAGTAGTCATATAGATCGATGTAATAAAAAGGAGTAGGACAACACAAGCCAGACGATATCTATTGGTCTCATAGAACCTAAAAATATGCCTCTATATCTGCATATATTATGTGGAACTAGGGGCAATAGTATGTAATTAGGAACTCAATAGATTAGAAGGTCCATGCAACAGAGTTACCTATAGAACAAGTGCGGATTCTTACTAGGAACTAAGTATTTACGATGGCAACAATACATCGTGCTCTTAAATAGGGGGAAAAGTTCAACTAAATGATTACATAAGCAGACTCATCCCGGAACTTCGTTTCCGATTACCTAATCACCCCTATATCTCCGGGGATAGATAAAGGGCCGACACAACGAGGTATTTAGTACTAACGCGCAGAGAATAACTAGCACCTACCTAGTCAAGGGGTCACTATTAGGTAACTACCTAGGTATACTAAGCGAATATATGGGGCCTGTGTCTGCCGTTCACCATGGACACATCTTCAGAAAACCATACCGATTGTTTCACTAGTCTAATCCATCAGGTTGCTGCCAATTGGTTTCCATAGCTAGGTACCTGTTTAGGAGGCCCATAAGTTGCCTCATAGAAGTTCTGTTAACTAACTACCTACTGAGCTTCTTGAAAAACAGTTACCGAGATGGATAACTGGGTACCTAGGTACCTATCTACTTAAGTACATGGATAGGTAATACCTTATTGGCAACCTTTAACAGGATATCCATTTCCCCGAAATTCCATACCTTAGGTAGGTAGTCTAACCACAACAATCTTGGCGCGGCCTATGTGTTGCCTTTCATTATTGATTGGGAGATTATCTCACGGATCTCAGGAGACGCCAAGAATAATATGCGTTGCTCGGTTCTTCCCGTAAGATCGGAGTAGTCGTTCAAACAAAGTTTCCATGATGGAAATTCGGTAGATGCAAAGGTGCCAAGTATGTACCTTATAGAAATATCTGCCACATGTAAAATATCAATTGATATCGGCAGATATTTCTTCGCCCTGCTCAACACGGGGTCAAACGTTTTGTAGGTTAGTCCTAGATTTGCCCCTGAGATAAGCAACAGTCGTAAGAATCTTAGACAACTTGAAAGCTAAAATTTAGAACCGAATTCTACGTCTCAATTAGAAATTACTTGTCAAAGAAATCTGATATGCCTAGGCAACGACCGTGTGGAAATATGCATCGAAGATGTTCGTAATCCGGAAATAATGAGAATTTCAGCACAAAAGAAAAACTTATCTAACCCACCAGAGACACGCATGTATAAAACAAGGGAAATAATTTTACCATGAGAGTAACGAGTGCTGCATGGTATCGCCATGTTTAATCCACGTTTTTTTCTTTACTTTCCTTCACCCGCCACGAGAATCCAGACAACGGTCTAGATTTCGTAGATCCTATCCAGACCTAATAGCAATGCACTCGGCTTCCAGAAGTCAACTAAAATAACACGCTGAAATTAACGATCAACGGTTCCAGGATTTGACGGCCCGGCCTTTGGGGCCCATCTATCTCTGGCACGGCAGTTGGAAGAAAACCAAGATCTCTAACTTTGCACCTGCATCAGAGCCGTCCCTAAGCAATCTTCTAGAACTTCCACTGGCATATCCGTATATACGAATTCAGATCTGACACAAGAGTAAGCGAGTGGCGAGTACATAACCCCCTATCCAGACCCGCATCTCTGCAGTATGTTGGGAAACATCACGCATCTTCTGAATTCGCCACAGCGCTCACCCTCATCCACCCGTTCATGCATGAATGGATGGCCTGAATGTGCCGCGACGGCCCGCCTTCGCGCCACAAGCGAAAATAATCGTTATGATGAGGTACTTCTTCCCGCCGTATCGCGATCTGCTGTGTGACTATCGGGTTACGCCGGCAATACGATATCACCTCAGACTCGCCCTCAGTCCCAACACCAACAAATCTTCACACACACACACATACGATCGGGTCATCGAGGCGGCATAAAAGGAGGTCGGCGAGGGAAATAGTCGATACGATCGTTCGAGGGGCCTATGCATTCGCATACCGGTTCAGCTTTCAGCGCTGCTTACCCCGCCCGGAAAAGTTCGAAAGGCGACGCGCCACAAGCAATCGTGGATAAGTCGTCGAGCCATAAACGGTGAGCAGATGCCTAAGCGACGATTATGTCGATGTGTCGTGTTCGTTCGCCTGTCCGCGCCGTCGCATTCTCTGTGGGAAAGATGTATGTCAGCCCGTCCGCAACCCGTGTCGTTGCGAAAATCTGGCACTTTGCTAAACCGACGCCCCCTAATTTATCCTGAGGCTGCATCATGTAATGCGAGTACTATACGCCCCTCCCATGTCCAGATAAGATCTGGTGCGTCCCTGTCGAATGAGAGCGGCGGGTATCATGTATAGACCCGGTGCGGTCTCGAATCGGATAAATAGGCTCTTGGCTCTTCCCTGCTTTTCCCAGGTCAGGTCCAACTTCGGCGGCTCTGCTAGGGAGCCCACCCGGGTATCAAAGCGTACGTTGCTGCTACGTAGCACAACCTCGTGAGGGTCCACCGGCTTGGCGGGCTTATTATAAATCGAAGAGGCTCTTCACATGTCGCATTTGTCAGTATTTCAGATCGACGACTAGTCTCCGAATTCGGTGGGAAATTCGAAAAAACACTTAATGAGATCGATTCGATTGCGTATGATCTCGTTCGATTATTGTGCCGAGTAACAGAAATTTGGAATAATGGGGAAGTGTCCTGAATTACAGTGGATTGTTACAACCCCTGATTATGTAATGTGACAGTATTCGCAATCATGTTACGGGTTTGGCCCACAACCTCGTAACTGGCCCTTGAATCTTGTCTCAACAACAGGTGAACACGTATACCAAGTTAGCGAGTTACATAATTAGATTCTAGGAGCCACATGACTTGGTTATATAATGTTAATGATATAGCAAAGTTGAACTTACCCCTGACACGTTTGCAATTATGTAATCAGAGATTCGACCTTAATCAGATATGACATAAGCAGAATTTGTGTAGTCAGAGATTATGTAACCATGTATTACATAATTCGTGGGCGATTAGTAATGAGAATTTCATTATGTAATTTGGCCTACGTAATCAGAGGCGGGGTTACCTAGTACCTAGTAGGTAAACCAAGACGATGAACAACTACTAGTATTATCAACTCTGCGGAAACTAACCTAAGACATGAACATAATTGATATATTTATGTTAGATTTTCTGTACGTCTGTCGAAATTGAAAGCCCCGGATTTTTATTCGTCATCACAGATAGCTCTCATTATCGATGATACAATCTCCAACCCCCAACTACCGGATTAGGAAACTGTGAAGAGCTTCAGGCGCACAGGTTCAGGCATAACTAATCATATTACAGTAAGCAATCTACCATAAATCTACCTCCGTCTTGGTATCTGTATATATAAAAAGCGTCGTCTTGTACCTATGTGTGTACCCGGGCCATCCACCACAGCGAGGCCAGTATAAACGCTTCGAGGACAACTAGAAAAAACGAGACAAAAACAGCTGTCAGAAATAAACGACGCTGAGGGAAATGGTATGTAAATGCTCCGACGACACTATAACCCAAGAAGCCCTTTTTCATAAGCCGCGAGCCCAGCTCTAACACAACGCCGCCCGCCGGTACCGTCCCCGATACTATCAATTGATTAATTAGGTAGCATCATTAAGTGATTGATGAATAATATCAATCGTGTTTTTATTCGAGTATGGGTATGAGTCTTTCTCATCCCGTCTCGTGTCATCACGCCGCTCATTGCTGAGCCTCCTTCTCTGTCTTTTTCCGGGAGATGTACACCTCAAGGCCCTCCTGGACGACGAAGAACGTCGCCTTGGCCTTGAGCGGTCGACCCGGGTAGACTAGCTCGAACTCGAAGTCTCGCAGCAGTCTAGGGATCACTTTATTAATCTCGAGAAGCGCCAGGTTCCGGCCGATGCAGACATGAGCACCACCGCCGAACTATTTCTTGATATTAGTAATCGAATATCAATGTATGGATAATATTTATATGTGTATAACATACCTGAAACATGTATCTCTCCATAACCTTAGCCGCCTCGGGGTCCTCGAGCCATCGCTCCGGACGGTAGACGTCAGCATCTTCGCCGAAGGTAGCCTTGTCACGGTGTAGTACCCATCCGTTAAGAGCAAGTCGTGTGCCACCAGGAATGTGACGACCTTCGATCTCGATTCCCTCTGGTGGCACGTATCTAGCGATGTTGACACCAACCGCAGGACGCACGCGCATCGACTCCTTCAGGCAGGCCTGGAAGTATGGCAAGTTCTGGGCCTCAGTCCATTGTACGTTGCCTTCGGATTGAATCATGCCCTCCTTCACCGCAGTTTCGACTTCCTCTACCAGTCTAGAGTAGACACGCGGTATAGAAAGAGCGTGCCAGAAGAAAGATTGCATAGTCGAGGCCGTCGAGTCGGATCCAGCGAAGCTATTTCTTTGTGTCAGTTGACTGATACACATATAAGGATGAAGCGGTTGAATAGTAGTACTTACATAGCACCATGTGCCACAGCAAAGATATCTCCCTCGTGGAACTTCATCGGGTCCTTCAAGTGTCCCCTGATCAAAGAAGACAGAAGGTCCTCACGTCCATCGCTACCGGCACCCTTTCCATCACGGTCAACCTCAAAGGGACGACGCTTCCGCATCTCCTCGCGGGCGATCCTCGTGATGAGTGCGTTCTCGGGGTTAAACGCAGGGATCCACCTCCAAAGTGGGTTCCGTCGGAGCAGACAGTCTATCTCGGGGATCTGGCCCACGATGCCGTTATACTTCTGGCTATTATCGATCGTCTTAATAGCGCTCTCCTTATCCACGCCTGCAGCTAGGAAGCCAAAAGAACGGCCGAAGGCCACTTCACCTAGCACGTCGAAAGCGAAGAAGTGGAGCCAGTCGCCAAGGTTTACGATGGGGTTCCTGCCGGGGAGCCCAGCTTGTTGGAAACCGGGAATAGCGGTGTCGGGGCAGAATTGGTCGAGCCGGCTTGCGAGGAAATCGATGGTGTCGTCGATGAAGGGACTCAGCTGTTTCATGGCGGCCATCGAGTACGGCACGTTCGCCACCTTCTTCTTCATGGCGTGTACATCCTCACGGATCTCGGTGAAGATATCTGGGTTCTCCGGTGGTGGAAATACCGAGTAGAAATCTGTCTTGTAAAACCGCTTGCCTGCTGAGAGGACGTTTCTGGCGACCGTGGGAGACGAGAAGGAGAGCTCGTTAGGAGAGATTCGTACAATGGGACCATACTTCTTGTGGAGTTCTATGTGGTGTAGGTGTGTGCGTTCTGAGGCTGTTGAGACGATCTTCCAGAGTCGTGAGAACGAGGCCAGGAACGGACCCGGATACTCTCGCAGAGGCGAGGCATATCGTATGTATAGGATGCGGGCGATGAGGAAGAGCGGTATAAGAAGATACCACTGCTCTTTGAAGATGTTCCACGCCGTCAGGAGGACAACCCTGGTCGGGGAGATTGTGTTCTCGTCACTCATAGTGAAGGGCCTTATACGAAACAAGAGATATATGAAAATTTCTATGTGGTTGGGATGAAGAGTGATCTCGAGTGGTCTTTCTGCAGGGAGGCTGTTGAGGGTTCCTTGCAAGTTCTTATTACACACCACTCCTGTTGAAGGAGATCTCGTGGGATACAAATATAACCAACGAATAGATGACAGCGAGGCGAGTGATGTCAAGACGTTCCTTGATGAAGTAATGGCTTAATCACTTTGATTAATCAGAATCGTTAATCAGACTTCAGGGGTCCTCAACAAATCTAACAAATCTACACCCTCCCAAGTTCACCAAGCATGGTCCAGATCTCAGGGCAATTTAGATATATGAAATACTCGTCAGTACCTGCTGGGAGGTCGGGTAAATCATACCGATTCGCACGGCGCCGTCCTCGACCAACATCGTCTGATACGTTCGTACGCGATGTGAGATGCCATAGCTTACTCAAGATTATTAACCTCGGCGCACATCCGGTCGACCAATCAGCGAACTGCCGACGAGACGTTATAGCCCACGGCTGAGGATTTCAAAACGAGGCCTGGGCGCTATCCAGGTGGAGCATGGTCGACGTTGGGGAATAAGCGGGGAGAAGACAAGACGAATCCACCATAATCCACCGCGATCCATAATGCAGGGATACGAGCTGAAGGGTGAAAGAGGGCTCGAGGGTTTTTGGAGGTAACAGGAGGTACATGATAGGAGGTGTGGGCGGTAACAAAAAGTGTGTCGGCGACTGAAATGAGACCGGTCGGATTCGTTGGTTAGTGCGTGCGCATGTTCGTGGGGAAACGAGTTAGGGCGGACACCCCGGAGTAGTCGTATAGGCTTGTTAAAATCAAATGCCGGAGAAGCACTACGTAAAACGTGGTATCCATCTCCACACTAGTCAGAGAAGACTTGGCGCCAGCGCCGTGGTTATGGGTGGTTAAAAATATACCATCTCCAATCATGTCCCTTAGAAACGTCATCGGTTCCAATCCGAGCAAATATGTGGCGATCCACTCACCTGGTTCCCTAGTTCTCTAGTTTACGTAGGCATACTGCTTGCGTAGTAGTTATTCTGCTAGTTGCAGCGAGCTATTGTTGGTCCTGGTGCTGCGCGGACCTGTGACTATGTGACACCCCTCCCACTATGTTACCCCATATGCTTACCCATGTTGGGTAAGTGTATCCCGAACTAGAGAGCAACCAACGCAACAGGCCATCGTGCGATTGTCACAGATGTCAGATAAATCAATCTTCGATCACCAACGGAGATAATCCCTAGTAAGTCATAATAGTCGTATTAAGCGTCAGTGCCTAGTAACATTGGTATCATTCCGCCTACCCATCCGTTGTGTTACCCATGAGTACCTAGAAAGCAAAGAAAAAGAACCCGAAAAAAAGGAGCGATGCAAACCATGCTAGCCAACGAGTCAACGTGCGGAGTTTCGTCTAATCCCACTTTTTGGCTTCGGCACCGTCGGGAGGTTGAGTCTTATACGTCTTGCTCTGGGCTTCGGACCAGTTGGTGCTTAGAGACGTACCGTTGCTCTCGACGTAACTCTTCATCATCGCTCGCCTCGAATCGGGGTCGGAATCCTTGTACAGTTTCTGAAAGAAAGAGTTGACATCGGCGTCCTTGTCCTCCTCGTCCTCGTCGTCGACATCTGCAAGCTTGTCCCAATTCACCACTTTCTTAGAGGAGGTGGGGTAAGCTTGGGCGCTGGTGGACTTTGCCGAATCTGCCTTGCTGACAGTTGGAGTAGGCTGAGCCGCGGGACTGCTAGCTTGCTTAAGATCACCTTTAGGTTGGGCAGTAGTAGCAGCTTCGGTTGGTCCGCTCGGGACCTCTGAGCCTTTAGCGGCTGATACCTTAAGATCATCCAGACCAGCCTGGATTTTCTCTATGACGGAGCCGTACCAAGTATCGTTTATCTCCCGGTAATCGTCGAAGTCAAGTTCTTTGGGGCTTTTGTACCTAGTAATCGTTAGTTCTATAACTTCCAAGTAATCGTGATGGCAGACAATACGAACCCCAGACGACGAATGAAAGCCGTGAAATTCTCCAAGGAGGGGTCGACCCCAGTGCTTCCCGAGAGGTTATCGAATCCTTCGGCATCCTCCAGCTGCAGCATCGGCCATTTTCCTGCTGTCTCCTTGCGAAGGACCAGTTCAACCTTCATCGACTTGACATTGTGTGTGATCTCATCAGGCTTGATCCTACCCCAGAGGTTCAGATGGACTGATTCGGGATAAGTGTCTGGGAATGGTCCCATAATAACCTTCTGGTTCTCAGCTGTTACAGTAAAGCGGTCCGCGGATATGTTCTTGACGAAGAAGTCTACATTGACGGTAGTGTTTGTCTGATAGAAGTTGGTTCTAATAGCGTTGCGCCTGCGACCGCCGATGTATCGAGTATAGAACATATCCCAATCGTCATCAGAACCATTCTCCGCAACCTCATCACTTTCGATATCGCTGTCCGTGTTGGAATGATCTGGGCCGGACACCTTCGGGAATTTCTCCATCGGGTTCACTTTACGACCAGGATGCCCGGCAGGTAATTTCTCCATATGAGTTAGGGCCTGTAGACGCCATGACAGTGCTTGGTTGCGTTGGGTGATTTCTCTAGCTCTCCCAGTAGCACCGCCCATAGCAGTAGAAAATCCTTGTCCCTGAGCAGGTTTGTTTGCACTCTTAATCTCATCAACGCTTACTGTGTAATCTCCAATCTCGTCAACCTTCTTCTGCTGTTGGTCATCCTCACTCACTTTCGCTCCATCGACGAGTCTCATGGCCCAGAAGGCACAAATGTCGGCATCGGCGTAACGCTCTAGTCGGAAGAGGGTAACGGCTCGTCGAATCTGAGCCTCAATCATGTGATCTCGGTTTGCACGTTGGAAGGATACTTCCAGGGCCTTGTCGGCATCGCGTAGAGCAAGATCGATCTCGTTCGTTCGTACATAGGCCTTAGAGCGCTCAAGCAGCCAAAGAGGCGCCGCATGATCTTTCAGAGCTTCAGTCAAATTGTCGATCCCTTCCTGGTACTTGCCATTGGCAACAGCCTTGACGCCCTCGGCTGCAAGGTTGGCGGCGGATGGCATCGTGATAATGACGATATGTACAAGAAGATGAAATGATGCAAGGGTTTGATTGGATGACCATACGAGACGTCAAAATGTAAAGATGTCCTTATGCTAGAACAGATGATGTTGGAAAAATGATGGAAGGATAATTGATTTGTGGTGGGGTGAATAATTGATTGAGGGTGGGATTGAATGGAACGAGAATAGATTAAAAGAATTTGGGAAGACAAGACTTGAAGTTGTGACGTTAATCAATAATCGAGAAAGAAGGCTATCCTAGCCCTGAGATGTTTCTCTAGGGTGAATTTAAGTTTCACTTAGCTTTTGTTGATTGTTGACACTGCAATATGTCAGGAAGCCCTGGGGATAATTCAGTGTGGCATGTTTGCAGGTGGTGGTACTTGAGGCATCTCAAGAAATGCTAGCGATGTATGGAAGCTACTAGAGAGCTGTTGGCGGGGTTTGCAAATTCTGCCTGACTTAATCATTGAAAAGGTAAGCGGTAAGGATCCACCTTAAGCTACAACCTCCTCACCGCCTAGGGGTCCATCTTTCATTAAAATTAATGAAGCAGGAACCTAAAATAGTGGGTCAGGGCCACTATGTAATGTAGGACCAGCTACGTCAGTCGCACAAGGAACCAGTTCACTTAGAAGATGACACGATAATGGTAGACACCTAGGTATACCTCCGGTGTAAAAGGAGGTTCAGATATTAAAATCCAATCTGGGGAGGTAGATTTGACACTTATAGAATTAGCAACATCATAGGTGTGACATTAAGTATTATTAGATTTTATTAACCATTTCAGATCAATCCCATTCTTGCATCATTATGCTACGCAACAGCGCTTGTCGCTTTCGATAGTTACGCCATTAAACAACTGTCTCGTTAGGATATTTCGTCGCAAACATCCCAAGGGCCTTCATGGTGAAGGTAAATTTGTAATTCGGGTATGAGATCATGCAGCTTTTGTTGAACACTCCTTCGATTGCTTCCTGTTTCCATTCACCATTTGGTTGTTGTCTGTCCATGATGAGCTTGATACCCTTCTTTATCGGTTCGATATCGGGGTAATCGGCTTTCATTAGGGCTATCAGAGCCCAAGCCGTCATGACAACTTGTGATCCCGTCGAGTGTTCGGTGTACAGCATCTTTTCGCAGGACTAGAGACAGTTAGGCTAGCTACAAGGTAGATAAGGTACTAGATAGAAATCAACTTACTCGATAACTTTCCGACCACCCCCCATCTTCTCTTTGCTTGGAAATCAAAAATTCGCAACCTTTCTTCGAATATGGGCTATTGCCGTAGGTCTCACCAATGCTCCTCAAGCTCTCCAGCGCAAACATAGTAGCATAAGTATAACATATGGCCCAATTGCCATACCACGATCCGTCGGGTCTTTGGAATGACTTCACCGCTTTTACGGATCGGGCAATGAAATCCTTGATTTCTTGAGGCCTGTAGTCAGGCCAATGTTTCTGGAACAGCGAGAGCGCAGTAACCACTGCTGTTGTACACTCCACGTAATCATATTCGACCATGATCTTGCCAAATACTTCTGCCGCGTTCAACATCTCCATTAGCTCGCTTCCCCGAGTCGGTTCGTATGACGAGCAAGCGCCGGACTTGTTCTGGTAGGTCAATAGAGTGTCGATGGCGTCAAATATCCGCTGGTCTTCGAGGAGCTGAGGATATCCTGGGGTTTTCTGTAGAAGGATGACTGATTTTAGGGCCTCGGAAACGCAATCGCACACGGCATATCCTTGGTCTCTGGTACTGAAAGCCCAAGCGCCTTTTCGTTGCTGCCGGTAGCAAATTCCTTGGTCTTTGCAATTCTCACGTATCTGCTGGTCATCGAGGAATTTCAACGCTTTTGTTAACATTGGTCTCCATCGAGGATCCTGCTCGAGCTTCGAGTCAGTCGCAACTTGGATCAAGAATGATGTATCCCAGCATTGTACACCATTTGTACCGTTGCAAAGCATGCCTTCACTTTTGACCCACAACCCATCTTGAAGTCTCTCCAGATGCCTCCGAACCGAATACGAGCCAGGACCATCGCGTATATAGCAGACGACGGTATTCATGGCTGCATTTACTGGTGCCAGATCTGCGAAATCTGTATTCTCATCTTCCATATCAACGAGCTTACTGACCCAATCCTCGGCCTTTTTAGCTAGCCCCTTGGTACGAAGGTAAGGGTTCCAGATGTTGACGAGGAACCAGTTGGCGGTATTAAGAAGCCACGTTTTTGGGTGGTAATTGTCGACGGGACAGATGCTATTACGATTGCCAGCCCAGTCGATCCTCTCCCACGGCTCGACGAATAGTTCTTGTCTCAGGCCCCGAATAATATCCGTCTCTTCGCAAGACCATTTCTTCTCGTAGATGTAGCCCATAGGTAGGAAGACTTGACGCATGTGAATCCACCATCTCCAAGGAGCAAACGGGACCCAGTCAGGGAGAAGCCATAGCTCAGCCGGGATGGGATTGACGATATCCCATTTGCAAACGCCCAGTACGCTCAGCCAAAACTTAGCCCAATGAGGAGCAAACGTAGCTCCCCCAAGCTTATGCAGCGTTCCCCTAGCCTTGACCATCACCGGGTGTTCGGGATCCACGCCGACAATACGAAGAACAGCATAGTTCAATGAGATACCGAAGACGGTACTCTCACCTTCTATATGCAAACCCCAGCCTCCATCTTCCGGATGTGCTCTTGCAAATAGATAATTTTTGATCTCTGTAGCGACGTACCAAGGAATCGGCGTCTTCGTCGCATACCAGGTGATCACAATGCCAGGTAAAAGGAACATGGGACCGCCGTACTCGCATCCCCATTGACCCGAAGGTAATTGGAGCTTCTCAAAAAATGATAATCCGTTGACGACAGAATCGAGGGGGCTCGTAGGTTTCGGTAGGCTAGGAAGGCCCTGTGGTAAGTAACGAGGATTAGTTACCAAGGAATACACTAGAATGGCAGGGTGAATCCCTCACGGTCTCTAGTCCAAGGAACCATTTATCGGCATAACTCTGTGGCCACTTTTGTACAGCTTCTTCATCTTCCAGATATCTCCAGGTGTGTCTTCCATTCTCATCCAACATGCGCCATCGTGTTAAATCGGTACTTTCTTCGAGTTTTGGACGTTTCGATGCTGTTTCGAAGGTATCGTCACTGGGACGTTTCTTGTGTTGACTATCGGAAAGCGAGAATCCATTGGCTTTGCCATTGGACTTTCCGTTGGCTTGCGGGGTGCCATTGGTCTTCGTAGAGCTGCTTGATCGAGTCGTCACCATATTGAAGACTGTGTACGGAAGGATTGGTATTATTTCAGAAATGTCGGACAGAAAATATCGTAAGGTTTAAAAAGTAGGTATGGCTCCAATTTCCCATTAGACTTCAGCCATACCGCAATTGTCCGGGGAGGCAATCCTTCCGATTTCCCGCCTATTTTCTTCACATGCACGCATAATTAGTGGAATTAGTGGACACGATTGTTGTGCTGTACCTTGCATGTCAAGCTACGGTAGCGGATCCATGAATTGGGGTCTCAAATGGCTATTTGTGCAGGGGTGCAGAGATTAGATAAGAGCTTAATCTGGGGAATGTGAAAGCTCCCCCATACCCACCCACTGTAAAAGCTTCAAGAACATTGAATAGAACAGCAATAGCGTCCCTTGCATGTTCTATGATGGAGCTTCGAAGCTACCTACTCGAGTATCTGGTAACGTGGAAGAGAAGGAGCTTCCGTAGCTCTTTTTCATCTCCCATGTATTCTCATGGTTGATTCGCTCTAGATTCGTTCTAGATTTATTCCATATAGAATGAACAACCCACGAACGTGGAACTTGTCAATTCACGGTATCCCGCTACTATGAAAGAACTATAAGACGCCAACGCTATTATGTTCGCTAGAGATTTCGCGCAAGATGCCCAAAGCCGCAGCATCATCTCCAAGATTGAGGGTATCTTGGAAGATATCATCGACGCGCTTAGCGAGAATCGAGTGCTTGCCATTCCTTTGCGTAGTCGCCGGTCGGGGAATGAGAACCTAGTCCGATTTCCAGCAAACACAGGTGCAGAGGTAAAGAGATTTAGTAGGCCAATCTACCATCATCATACCTTCCTATAGATTTTAAATTCGCTTACAATATTGCTTCCTATTCTCAAGCGTGTCTTCTTCAGATCCTTCATATGTGCCACGAGGCATTGATCTCCGACCGTGTCATTACAAAGAGGTCTATCCTAGGTTATTCTATTTCCAGGGATCAATCGCTAATTGTTATCAGAAACATATACTATCAAGACCCGGATCTTTTCGGTAGCCAACAATATGTAGATAACTTGGTCGATGATGTCGCCTTTACATTCAGAGTTGGTAGAGACGCGTTGAATATTGTACGAATTCAATGGACGAATCTTGAAGGTCCAATATCAATAACCAATACAGGTTGCCGCCTACAAAGGCCTTGTCGCAGGAAACGCCACTATCGCATTAAAGAGTAACTCTCTATTAAATTGCAGTTCTGACAACAATGTATGATACAGAGCCAAAACGCACATCACGCCGTTGCTCAGTTAGCTAATAAGATATCATAAGGGTATATTGATTCCACACGTCGAGACAATCCGTGAAGTTGATGTTGGCGAAATAAAATGGATCATGGTCATTGAGAAGGAGGTGAGAATTGCTTGCTATAGGCCTAGGTCCTACTCAGGATAATCTTACCGCCCTTCCAGGCTACCTTTCGAGGGCTGGCTGCATCTCGATATTATAGATCATCAGCCGCTGGGACAGGACTTCTTATCACAGTATGTTCCCATCATAGAAGCCAACAATCTCGAGAGTTCGCTGATAATTTTCTAAGGGCAAGGGGTATCCAGATCTCATCACACGACAGTTTCTTCGTTTTCTTCACTCGGCCTATTCCCGAATACCTATCTATGCACTTGTGGACTTTGATCCTAGTGGCATTGACATTATGCTCACGTACAAATGTGGGAGTCGTAGCCTCAGCCACGAAGAGAATATTACAACACCCGGGCTTTCGTGGCTTGGTCCCAAGGGCTGTGACATTCTAGGCCACACCGGTCATCGCCATTCAATAGGGAACCCCCCATATACGCACCAATCATTCGGCGTCAGTCCTCCGTCTAGCCAAGAGTCGTCAACGCCACTAGCATTTTCGCGCATGCCACCAGCAAGTCCGGTTGAAATCTTCTCCAACCTTACTACGTTGGATCGACGAAAGGCAATAACACTCTTAAGTAGATTTACCAAGGCAAATGATGAGGATACGGGTAGAGATATGGATGAGAATGAACTAATATGCGAATTGCAGCTAATGTTAATGTTAAACCTCAAGGCTGAGATTCAAGCGGTAGATGATCATGGGGACTTGACTGGCTGGTTGGACGAAAAGCTCGCAGGCGGATAATAGGTACTAAATGAACTGGTGAGTCGAATAACAATCTAATTAGTAAATCCAATACAATTATGAATATTTATATTTACATTTACACATTTTTTAATTCGTATGGTTCTGCAGAAGATGGCTAACATCGCATCAAGCCAAAGCGCCACCAATCTTTGCAATCACGTGATTTTCACAATTTTAGTGCCAATGTGCTTAATTTTCAACAGCGCTGAGTCTCATCATAAAAATCACCCAGGTGCCGTGCCAGTTGCCTTCTAGAAAGCCGAAATTTCTCGAAGAGCCTAACTTGACCTTCATATCCTATGTTACTAGTATCTCTTGAAAACCATAAATTTTTCGAAGATCCAAGTGGAAATAATTGAATATTCTCCACCCCATTTGCGCCTAAGGAAAATTTTCATCTATCCCGATCATCCATCACTCACTGAAGCACGGACCAAGACAAGCATCGCTGCCGAGTCGAGATAGGAGCATTCAACTTTCGACCGCTAAGCAACAGGATCAAAAGGGGTATAGACAGAAAATGGCCCCAAAACTATCGGAGGAGGAGATCGATGATCTCATATACTTAGCCAGGACTGGAGATGATGCAGAGCTCACGGAAATGATCCAAGAGCTCACCAGCCGAGAGAATACCACAAATTCTCAGATCTTAGAGGCAGCAAGAGATGATGGCAAGGCGACCTGCTTGCACATGGCGGCAGCAAATGGCCACGCAAGTAAGTTCGCCTCATTTGTATTTACTTATTCATCATCTCCCTTCTCTTCGGGGCTAGCGAATTTCAATCTACTACAATAGATTTCAAGATCTATCATCTAATGAAAAGGAGGTCTACATAGCTTGTACTGTACACGAGCTATAACTTTTACTAATAAATCCAACATAGAAACTATCACATCAATACTATCACACTTCCCTCCTCCTAGAACGCCAAAGACAGCAACTGGCCCGACGCCGTCTTCAGAAGAAGGTTCGCCATCAGCTGAGGCATCAGCAGAAATCTCGTATGTCAATTTCCAAAATTCGTTTGGGAACACGGCCCTGCACTGGGCGTGTCTAGGTGGCCACTTGGACGCCGTGAAGTTATTACTATCGAGAGGCGCCTCTCCAACAGCGGCCAATGACAAGGACCAAATCCCGCTAGACTTGGCAGCTTTCAACAACCATATGCACATCATGGAGTACTTCTTATCTCAAAGCAAGGATATCGAAGGAGATAATGCCCAGGAAGGTGGGCTTGAGAAGGGTACCCAAGATGTCCAGATGGAGGACGAGACTAATAGTGGAGAAGAAGCCGGTTCTAAGGTAGAACCGGGCGGTTAAGCTCGCGCTACATCATAAAATCAAATGAAATCATTCAAGGGGTTTCCAAGGTAACTATTGCTTACTGCCGCCCATAACTATTACAGTCCCATGAATCAGTCCCATGTCCCTAGATACATGGAGTAACGCCGCAAAGCAAGTTTACTCAATGGTATAATGAGAAAATACCTACCTAACATCTATGCTATTACAGAGGTATATACCAAAGGATATTTCCAAGCTGGTACGGTACAGACGAAGAAACATAGTACCCAGACATATCCTAAAAGTCGCAGCCAAAGACTCGAGGCGACGCTATGCGAAGATCTCTTCCAAATAAAAGACTTTACAACCGTCTCAACCAAGCATATGATATAATTAGAGAGAAAGAACCTGATGTCTTGTCTCATCGAATCCCTCTGTAGTGCCAGGTTCACGAGCCCATGGCAAACCCCCGACACTAGAAAAATCCACAGCGCTCTAAGGTTGTTCCTAACAGACCTCTTCCAACACTCATCTTCTTTCCAACAGAAGTAAGATGGTGTGTAAGCAGTAATGACTTCGACGTGGAATTTGTGCCAGAAAACCCCCCAAAACCGACGAAGTGTGTATGCTTCGGAAACACTACCAAACGCATATGTCCAATCCGAAGGCATGTCCCATTGTAAAATAGACACAAACAGGACAGAAAATATATCGTAGGCCAGATTAACCGTAAAATAATTACTCGAAATCCAGTAGGATGATATCACTATTCGCAGAGATAGATCTCGAGGAGTCATGGGAGGTAGGAGGCCTTGTTTCTCCGGTGCAAAGTCTTCGATGTTGATTTGAAGCCTTACGAAAGATGCAAGAGTTAACCAACTAATGAAACGATTCATGAACCATAAGGTTAGGATTCGAAATGATTTTGTGAGTGCAAAGAGCGTGCGAGCGGTTATCACACCATTCTTCGTATCAGGAGTAGCAACTCTCTTGGTGAACGATATTTGGCGTAGATTGCTCCAAATCCAGAATGTGTCCCTGAGATTATCCTTCAACCTTTTCGAGGGGTCATAAACAACTTTCCGTTGGGTGAATAGAATGGCGAATGCATGTAAGATAGTTGCAATAACGAACAACATCCATGTTTCCGAATAGGGGCTTGGGATGAAGCAGTCTACGATTAAGCTGCTTATCATACAAAAGATGTGAAGAGCGCCTAGAGAGTACCGTAGGTAGCCTGGTGGCTTTCGAATTGAGAAATAGAAAAGCAGAGCTGCTAAGAGAAACCAGAGAGCAGAGAGAACCATGATTGGTGGAGCGAGGTGGTCTCCCTGGTACTTGACTAGGTAAGTATGCTTGCATGCCATACATTCTGAATATCGTTTCATGCGTCTTTATTAAGCATGGCCGTTGATGTAGTTTCGCTCTTTTGGCATGGGGTGACAATACGGACGTAATGGTCATTGATTACTTTATCCCAGAAACACAAACATCATGTTAATCAACCTCAATTAAATGGGAAGACGCAAACGGGGGCAAATGTTTCTTATATTTACCGTACAGCATACGTACCTATTCAGGCAGCGTCTACACTCTTTATGTAAGATACGTTGGTAGCACAGGCGAATCTTGCTGGTATCCTCACAGACCCGGGGGATCCCAACCGGTAGAGCTTTCATTATTTCCATAAAACCTAGTTATAGTGCCACGATATATATAAATAAGGCAAACTCTGTGTTGGGGTAGGTAACAAGAGGCCCAGATCTAGATTTGATAGTTTCGTAGTATTTCTAAATTATTTGTTAGCCCCTATTGTGTGATTTGGTAACTCAATGGATGTGATGGTCAATTACACATCAAACTAGATGTTTTCAAATTTAATGATATCGTATAGCTAATAAATGGTCACTTTATATCCTAGATCCGACGGTTATGTATTGCGACGTCTTCCTAATAGGTCGATTTTGATGGAAGTACTTACCCACCTGGGCACTTGACATATAAGAATGAGCTTGGATACCGTTATACTTCTGACTACCACATACCGTACGATTCCAACCCAAGAATATCATTCAGATACTCAATATGCCTGCTTTCAAGATAGTTTTGGATGCAATCGTTGACGCCTTTGAGTCCCAAGACTACAAGAGAGAGATTCTACACATCTCAGGTCCCATCGACGCCCGCAACATCGTCGACACCGAATCTGCGCCGCGCGTCAACCTCGCCGGGCGAAACAGCCTTGGCGAAGGACCTTGTGGTGTTCCCCAGTATAATTACGATCTTTGTGGGAAGTCACTGCATAGTGTAACTATCAAGAGTTCCTCTCCAGGGCCAGGAGGTAAGTTTCCTTCAAGCATAACATAGCGTATTGGTTTTGGAAATGCTCATATTGTCCCCAGAGGCTCAGTATGACAATGTCCCGCCTACCTGCATGGTTCTCTCTACGGTTCTAGCAGGGAAATGCGATACGAACGAGGGACCGCATCCCATCCCGTGCGGCGCTGCTTGTCTGTTGTATACTGGAGTGACGGACGAGGATCTAGATAGACTGGAAAGGGCGCTTGGGTTGATATCCAATCAATAAGATGGTTTTTTCTTGGTATCTGGTTTGATGATTGTGGCAGTACGAAGGTTCGGATCCACTAAGATATAGCGGTCACTCCCTAGGATTTAGGGGTTAAGTCACTGAAGAGGAGCGCCATATGGTTTAAAATACACGGTTTAGCCCTTAAGCAAATGTGTATAAGTTTAGAGATAAGATAAGTGGGTTGATTTGTTAAGACCATCGGAGTTAGGGTTTAATGGCATGTATAATGATGGTATTGAAAAGGGGAAGATGTATGATTGTAGGAAGGACTTGGAAATGTCGTTTCCATTTGCAGGTGCTTCATCCTTACGGACATATTTTTCGCAGGTAATTGAGAGGTGAAGACTCTGAGGAGGAATGTATTTGTATTTCCAAGGTTCTTCCCTAGAATGATTTGGACAGGCGACAGGGATCAGCATAATTCTGCCAGGCGGTAAATGTGGGGTTCCTTAGCTAATGCATCCGTAGATCTCTCACATCGGTCGGTATTAATCGATAAAGCCGATTGATCTCCGAGCTCGTCGGCAGCTTACCCTATTAAATTTTGTTTTACATCAAATATCTCACTGAAGAACATCCAGCGACCACTGAAATCGACCGGAGGCTTTTAAAGCTACGTACAAAAAATATGTCGGACCCAGCATTCGACTCCAAAACCGCAACGTTCTTGGAATGGTTCCGAGCCTGGCCGGGTGCAACTTTCCACCCGGATATCAAGATTGAGGATCTCCGCAAGACGGGAGCGGGTAGAGGAATTGGTGCGACTCACTCTACATTTGAAATGTACTCCGTGGACATTATTTACTAATTAATGTCCAGTCGCTACTGCGGATATCCCTCAGGACACAATTCTGTTCAACATTCCGAGGACGGCAATCATTAGCACGCAGACTTCTGATCTCCCAAGACGCATACCACAAGTCTTCGAGACCACAGGCTTAGAAGATGCGGACAATGAGGCAGATGAAGACGGGAGTGAGACTAGCGGTCCTCCAGATAACTGGGTCTCGCTTATTCTTATCATGATCTACGAGTACTTCCAAGGGGAAAAGTCGCGATGGAAGCCTTACTTCGATGTACTTCCTACTCAATTCGAGACGCTGATGTGGTGGTCGGAGCAAGAACTCCAAGAACTGCAGGCCAGTGCGATAGTTGGGAAGATTGGTAAAGATGAGGCCGACGAGATGTTTCGCACTAGGGTGCTGCCAGTAATAGAAGAGCATGCAGATGTCTTCTACCCGGATGGATCCCAAAGGCTTGGCGAACAGCAACTTGTATACCTCAGTCATCAAATGGGTAGCACCATAATGAGTTACGCTTTTGATTTAGAGAATGATGACGAAGAGAATGACCCAGAAAATGACGACGAGTGGGTGGAGGATAAGGAAAGTTCCCTTATGATGGGTATGGTCCCGATGGCGGATATTCTGAATGCTGACGCTGAATTCAACGTAAGTCAATTGATTCTACCATGTGCGCTATTATTTTGTGGAACTAGTATTGATCATCTCCAGGCTCACGTCAATCACGGCGAAGACAGCTTGTCTGTCACGACACTCCGGCCAATTCCAGCTGGCACTGAAATACTCAATTACTACGGTCCTCTCGGCAATGGGGAGTTGCTAAGACGTTACGGGTACGTAACAAGCCACCATGCTCGATATGACGTTACGGAGATATCCTGGAACTTGATATTGTCTGTATTGAAAGATGTCATCACGGTTGATGAATCGGTTTGGGGTAAAGCAGTCAATGAGCTCGACGTGGAGGAGATTGAAGATGCTTTTGTTATCGAACGAGATTCAGGAGAGCCAGATTCTACAGGACATCTTCAGGAAGAAGCCCCTCTTAAAGAAATCCCCGCGGATCTGATGGACCAACTCCACACGATACTTAAAGAAATCCGAAAGGTCAGCCCAACAACGATTCCCGACAAAGCTACACGAGATGAGATCGCACTAGCAGCCATACATCGTGCCCTCGAGTTAAGATTGGCCCAATATCCAACGAGTCAAGCATTCGACTTCAACTTATTGTCCGGCGATAAGGTTTTCGGTCGGCAGAAGATGGCCTTGGCTGTGCGATGGGGCGAGAAAGCGCTGCTGCAAGAAGCGATTAACTTTACACAGGAGAAGTTGTCAAAGGTCAGATCAAAACCTGATCAAGAAAGTGAACCATACGCGAAAAGACAAAGGATGAGATGAAGTCGTAATCATGCCATCGTCACAAATCTTATGCAGGTCGGGATTCTGGCTCCCACAGTTTTCTTCCGAACTATGATTAGCCACGTGTGTGTGCCAGCCTGGCGGCCTGACGTCCGGCACAGCAGTGAAAATTAATTAAGTGGTGCAGATTGTGCAGATGGTGGAAATGGTGTTGATATTTTACTCCCAAATCGACGTTTCGTGGCTGCGACTGGCTGCTGGGGCGTTGATCACAGCTGTTATTTTCCGACGGATCTGCTGTAACTTATCACGTTTACTGGCTGGGCGATGTTGGAAATACAAGGACTGGGGTTGCACATAAGGTGTAGATCAGAAAATGGACAGTTTTAGTTTAGATGTTAAATTTAGGCCTCACGGCAATCACATTTCCAAGCTTCCAAGACTGCATGCTAATGAGGAGTTCGGGATATCTAAGTTGGTGATTGCTAACCCCAACTATTCACTAAACAGCTATCTTCTAGGTCGTTCTTTAGGCCCCCCCTACGGCCCCCCCTATGCCCCCCTATGGCCCCTACAGCACGCCGGAACCAGTACATGATATCCATGGCACGTGTATTTTCAGCTTCGTCCTTTTACAACCGTCCAACCTAAATTTTATCTACAACACTCATCACACTTCTCAATTCCCATTCACTCCTTACGTACACACTCCTACTTAGTGATTACCTACACGATACGATTTAGTAGACACAAGCAAGGGATGGGTCACATCCGTTTATTCTAACAACCAACATCCTAGAACTGTGTGATGTAAATCGACGCCGCGCCTCGACACGATAATTGTAAGTGTATGATTAGATGCTTCTTTTTCAACACGCCTTCCCTTTCGCGATGCTTTTTATCTAAAACTTTAATATCTAACCAGGCCACACACAGGTTTCGTACTCGTGAAGCTGTTCAACGGCGGAATGATCCAATGATCTTCCCCGCTTGACGCTTCTCGACGCCGCTCGTTGTGTCTAGGTATACGCCGTATTACACGAATCACTTGACCTCGAAGACATTTAGCAAAATGCTGCAGCAGTGGCAGTACATTCTGATCGCTTTCCTCACTATTCTAGGTGCAATCGTCGCCGTTCTCTTGTAAGTTTCCGCATAAATTAATACACTATAAATCTTATACGAAAAGGCTTATTAATGAATACTCTCAAATAGTTGCGCTCACTGGGGTGGTTGGACCGGCTTGTCTTACTATTCAGGTCGATGGCTTACCTCAAGTGGAAGACGATTTCCACGGTCAATTCAACAGGCATTGACAGAGCTGGAGGGCGTAACTGAGAAGACAATCCGCCGTAACCCACAGACAGAGTCGGAGCAATCCGAATGGTTGGTTTTCCGCAACTCGTCTTAATATATCGTGGACTAACTCGGGATCTAGTCCGATCTGTCTCGGGCCCCTCTATCCCAGAGAAGGCCATGCATCCACAATAGTAGAAGCAGATAAAGTCGATGTAGAGGCAGGCCAAGGAGTAGCAGCAACCTGCACAACTACCGAAGTGACAACTGTGGAGAGCAAGAACCAACCCGTGCAGCCTATTAACGACGACATCCTCAAGATGAAGAGATGCACCCACCTCTTCCACGCTCGTTGTTTGGCGATGTGGTTTCTAAGAAAGAAATATAATTGCCCTGTCTGCCGAACCCCTTACTACCAGGTAGTTGATGACGGCAATTCTATGGAGAATAGTTCAGCACCTCCTCCACTACCTGTTGTTGCGTTCTGGTGATTTAGCAACATAACCGACGCGGTGCTTGAGCTCAAGCAACCCTAACACATACGAGAATACTCAAGAGACGATATTAACCCAAGAATTGACGAAAGAATACGACATGAATGATTCGTGATAGGCTAGGCATTGAGAGGCTCAAAGGTGGATTATTCAAAGAAATGGCGTTTAGGACATCTTGGAACGGGAACAAGGACAGGACATTGCAAAGGAATGGGCGTTTCGTGAGTAGGACTTCTCGAATGATCTGTTTCGTTGCAAGACAATTGATACCCCGGCTATAGCTTCATGTTTGAATGAGGATACTATGATGTTATGAAATCAATGAAATCAATTTTTATTAATTGAAATATGTGAAGTTGAAGTTGAAGTTGAAGATCGGTTCGGACCAGAGCTCAGTAAGAAATGATGTATGCACCCGGATGTCAAGTGGGGTAAAAAAAAGCACTCACGTGATCTCTCCAGTCCCTTGCAGCCATTGCGGGTCTCATTTAAAGTTAGTGCCCCACATCTTGATCGACCCTAAATGATTTCATCGATTGCCTCTTACTTTCTAGATGACCTCACGTACATCATTGTCGAGGATCGGGAAGAATTTCTTCTTCCATTCAATTGGTTTTATTTCTCTCGTCGTAGGAAATGCTCCGGGAAGCTACTATGCGTGTAACACCAGCCGAGTTTTTTGAGCTCGATAAGCCTCCAAACGGATCAGAATTTCCCGTGCGCATCGCGCCTCGTGTATCGTATAGCCAAGCTCGATTCATGACGCGCGCACCTCGTCTCTATGGATTTGGATCTAGTGACCAAGCTCCGACAGGGAGGATTCCTTCAGCCTACCTCGGCTGCTAGGTACCTGAGCAGCTGAGGAAAGCATTGGAATTCTAGGTTGCAGGCTTCCTGGGCCATGATCTCATTTCGTTTCTGAATCACATCTTCATACCACTCATATCTCACCCTCTCACTCCCTCTTGGCTCTGTGTATCCAAAATTCTATCAGATTCGTGAAACTTCTTGTACTCTACTACCCACCATCCAAGTTTGGATGTTGATCTTCTTTCGACGTCTGATTCGCTATCCCAAAGCTGAATCTAGGCGTACTCTCAGTTTATTTGCCCCAGACTCTAATTACATGCCTACGAAATCCCGGGCATACACTCAGGTTACTTCCACAATGGTTCCAAAACGCAAGAAGTCAACTGTAGCCCTGCAGCAGGATGAACAGCAGGAACTCCCCATTGCTACTCCTAGGAGATCAGGACGTATTGTGAAGAAGCCGAGCGAGGTGTTGCAGTCCGATGCCGAGTCTAGCAAGGAGGTTTCACGCACAGGGCTGACTCAAGCGAGAGGCAAAAAGAAAAAGATGCTGGGAGATGCAGAGGACGTAGGTGAGGCTATTGATAGCCTCCGTGAGATGGAGGATAACTTTCGCGATGCTGTTAAGCGGCAGAAGTTAGCATTGGACAAAAGTTCATTGCAAGGAACTCTAAACACGGCAGATGAAGACAACGCCTTCATCCCGCGGCCGACTAAGGCTGAGCCAGACTCGATTCTTACGCAATCCGAGAAAAAGCTACTCAGGAAGGCGGCTATGATGAAGGATGGGGTCAACGAGGCCGAACGAGATAACGGTGTGTGCGAGGGTAGAGAGGAAGGTGATCTAGAGGAACCCGATATCAATGCCTTCAAGCAAGAGGGCTCTCGGCCACCTCCCGTTCACAGTGATTATCTTCCCTTGCCATGGAAGGGTAGAATAGGCTATGTGAACCTCCCTAGTTATTATGACGAAGTATTTTCAAGCATATAATACATGATTTCTAACCCAATTTAGGCTTGTCTAAACACATACCTTCGAAATTCAAACCCGCCGGTGTTCAGTTCGAGAACCTGCCGAATATCCTCTATCTTAGATCACCGTCATCCTCTTCGAGATCCAACTCAACCCGAGCACCCGACCAAAAACCGACCAGACAAGGACCAACCAGCCGACGTAGCTAGGGGTAGAAAATATGTCGAAGCTCTCGGTCTCGCAAACGCGCGTGACATTGTCAAGATGGTACGATGGAATGACAAATACGGTATCAAGTTCATGCGCCTAAGCTCAGAGATGTTCCCCTTTGCGAGCCATGAAGAGTATGGCTATAAGCTAGCACCATTCGCTTCTGAAGCACTCGCGGAGGCCGGGAAAGTTGCGGGAGAGCTTGGTCACCGGCTAACCACCCATCCTGGACAAGTATACCAGAATCCCAAATTCTTCAATTTGGAGAGAGATCTTACTAACACTACTCCAAGTACACCCAACTAGGATCGCCTCGACCAGAGGTCGTCAGAAACGCGATTCGTGATCTCGAATACCACAACGAGATGCTTACACTTCTACGATTGCCTAAACAACCCGACAAAGACGCCATCATGATCCTGCATATGGGTGGAGTATTTGGGGACAAGGGGGCTACGCTTGATCGATTTAGAAAGAATTATGCCGGCCTATCACCAGGTGTCAAGGCAAGGCTTGTTCTGGAGAATGACGATGTGTCCTGGACGGTGCACGACCTGCTCCCAATTTGCGAGGAGTTGAACATTCCGCTCGTTCTTGACTATCATCATCATAACATTCTATTCGACAAAGACAAGATTCGCGAAGGAACTAAGGATATTGTGGAGCTTTACCCACGAATTAAGGCGACCTGGGATAGGAAAGGTATCACGCAAAAGATGCATTACAGCGAACCTTGCTCTGAAGCCATCACCCCTCGACAGAGACGAAAGCATCGACCTCGCGTTATGACCCTACCTCCATGCCCGAACGATATGGACCTAATGATCGAAGCGAAGGATAAGGAGCAATCTGTATTCGATTTAATGAGGAACTTCAAATTGCCAGGATGGGATCGCTTCAACGACGTGATCCCATACGAGCGGGAAGATGAGAATAGACCACCTCCTAAGTTGCCAAAAAAGAAACAGCGCAAGAATAAGAAGGCGGATATCGATGATGAGGACGGAGAGCCGGAAGAGGGACCTCAGCCGTTGCCCGAGGTTCCGGAGTCAGAATTCGGGATGGGCGGCCCTGATAACCGGGTTTATTGGCCTCTCGGCATGGAAGAATGGCTCCGCCCGAAGAAGAGGGAGGTCAAGAATAAGAAAAGAAATGGTGATGAAATAGAGGATGACTAACTTTTGAATCAAAGATACTTATATTAGGTTACATGAGCTTGCAACACACCCCTCGGATGACACCGTTGGATAAACTCGGTAACGACTTATCAACGAAGATGTTGTCTTCTGCTAGTACAACGATACGGTGTCTGGCGCTCCGTAGCAATACTGCTAGACTACGTAGCATCCTCACATACTCAAAATTGTATTACGGACTGATCTCGACAACTTATATGATTCTATTAATAGATGGTTCCATTTCTCATATCGGTTACTACATACGTCTGACTGTTGCTGACTGCCTCTCAGCATATGCGGGGATGTCGATCCAGGGCAGCTGAGACTAAGAAGCATTGTCGTCATTGTAAGCTTATTCAGAGCGAAGTTACACACTTTATATTGTTCACATAGGCCGGTCAGGTCGATACGCTAACTTGTTAGTATAGACGAAATTTCTCATGAATTCTGCAATACGCATGATTACCTTACCTAGGTAGGTAGAGAGATGGGAGTTATTAAACTCTTGTGTCTAAGCGATATTGGAACAGATACATACATACATACCTCTTGGCTGGCCGTGGTGTCGGAACCATGTCCGACAGAGTTTCACTACTTAAGGGTCTGGTACCCTACGTACAGCTTGCATCCTATCCTGGTACCGTTCCCTACCTCGCTAGAAGATGGCATGCTGGCGAATCAGGGGTGGCGAGCCCCGATACGGACATACATGGGAAGTAATGAGAATGACCCCGTAAGGACCCTGAGAATGGGTAGGGTATGTTCGAACGATACAGAGCAAGTGCCTATCTCTAGAGTAGTTTCCATGATACCCTTTCGCTTTTATATATGTTAATACGGCTGCATGGGGGTAATTATCAGCCGTGCTAGCAGCTATGATGTTGCCAATACTAGCCGGAAATAGATACTGACTGGAACAGAAGACATATCCTCGGAAACTAACCGAGTGGCATCACATACCTATGTATCATACATAGATATCAAAGGAAGCTGGCGAGCCTCCCCAGCGATAGCGCAATATTGCCTGGATATTATGAAGCGGTCGAAGGGATGGCGATGACTTGGACAATCGAGAAGCCGTGTTGCTGCTAGCTCATCATTTTCTATAGCCTGTATCAAATAGTGAAATAGGGGTAACAGTGAATATGGTACGCAAGCCATCTAATACTAATTAACTCCCTACCAGGTACCTTGTATATTACCAACTCATCGTACGCCCAATCTAGACAGAGGCATATTAGCAACTTTCCCTGCCATGAGTAGGTAGAACTCGAAATCGTAGTTGTGCCTATAAGCTAGTAGCACATGCCACACACACGTCTCACCTTCGACAACCTTAATTATCTCACCGCTGGAAGCACTAGCCGCTGAAAAATGTTTGCATGCAGTGCAACGGTCGACCCGAGATAACAGATTATGCTAAGGCCGATGGCGACAGAATAATCTCGATCATGATGTGTCACGTCTCAGAGCTAATGCCCTACTGTAACAGTGCCCCTGAACTGCCGTTGATGAACCAGTTAGCAAACTCACCTACTTATTTTAGGCGATAGGCGTCCATCGATACACCACCGGCGAACCACGGACGGGTTGATATCTAGCTTTTGTCGAGCCTCAAAATTTTTTCCGGATAAGCATGTGCTTGCGACCATCACTCCTACTCGCCACGTAGACGGTGACCGCCTTGCTTTCTATTTCTGCCCATTCGTCCATGCTACGTGGATTGGCAGACCAATCTTACGAGGCGGCGCCAATTCAGGGGTACATTTGTATGACGAACGGGTGCGCTAATTTATGCCCGTAGTCAAGATAAACAATCAACACATTGGGCCCTGATATCCAATGCCCGATTGGAAATTTTTTAAGGTAGGGGGAGACTAACCTCCGAGCGTATAGAGCGGCAGAGGAAGAAAAAAACTGGGAATGAGAGGAAGATAGAGCGAGGGTTAAAATTCCTATTAGGGAATGAGGAATTAGGTAGATAGAGGTTCCGTATTACCGGCTCAATAGATGGGTCTTTGTCGCATATAGAGACACAAGGCAGTTCGCGGATTGGCGCATGCTACGTATGTGAATACGTCAGCAAGAGGCATTAAGAGACTTCTATAATGAAGGAATTGGATAATATGAGGAAGTTTTCGGATATTGCTCAAGGACAGCGACAATGACATAGATCGACGGTCGGTGGAAATGGACCCGAATTATCTTTGACAAGGATAAAGATTTGTATGCAAAAGACAAAAAGTCGCAATCCGTACAATAGGAGGTATGCGACTTCTGAAGCAACTAAAGATGATGTCAGGTTTACCCAGTTAAAGGCGTTTCGGGAAACGGCCGTGGGTCTTGAAAAGAAGCTCGAGCCATATATCGAACATAGCTCGGATATGTCGCAAGGGGTGCAAATTTTTACCGAACACAAGGTACAAATACTTGTCGTTATTAATTGAATACCTGATGTTTCAACGTGGAAGAATGGGCGAGAGATGTATCTAGAAGTTAGAGGGTTAAATGACGATTTTAAGTTCTTACGAGATGGTGGGATGATCGTTTACTTGGCTTGTCACTCGCAGAAGGAGGCTCGTGCTTCAGGGCTTGCAAGCTTCAAGGTTGTAAGTATGTACAGAATACCTAAATGCAGACTGCAGACTCCACATCTCTTGCAACGGAAGAGTATGTACCTAGGTACTTACCTAAACTGCCACCATCAACCTGCACCTTCTATTATAAGCCAGCAGGGCTGGGTGTACTAGGTAATACAACTTCGACTATTGATGGCTTTGCCTACCAGGTTGTACATGTACTACAGTGAGTAATGATACTATGGTCTGAATGGCAAGTTTTAGCACACTGTCAGGTACAGATTTCAACTAGGGACCCTTGTGTGGCTAACAATTTTTACTCCTTGTAGTTTAGCCACAGCATTATTTGACCCACGAGTACCCGACAGTGTGCTAAAACTTGCCCTTCCGACCATAGTAGAGTTGGGCTATCGTCACTAGCCTCTTCTTTAACAGAGCTACCCGACCTCGAAAACCGGACTCACCTAAGTAACGCTTTCAAAGCAACGGGATTGTCGCATTATCTCATCTCATCTTACTCTTTCAGCTCACATACATTCATCTCTTATTGCCATTCCATTCAGCTTCGAACTTTTTATACTAGTTTTCGTTCGTCTATAGGTTCAATCGAATTTCCGTGTCTTCCCTCCACCAAATCACAAGGTCTCCCCACCAAGTGAGACATATAGACACACGACATAGCTGACAACACCACTACCAAGATCGCGAAGTACCACATCAATACATACTCCTACATACATAGCCTTCCATCCCGAAAAGTCCTTGAAGGAAAATAGCCACATACATAGACAACGGTACTTCGTACATCCATACTTCACATTCTATACCAACCATAAATCGACATTACCATCTGGTCCCAGACCCGACGGCGCATTAAGCATCATCGCTAAGGATCAGCATACCCTAGATACCCAGCCATCAGCCATTCGCCATTAAATCACAAGTACAGAGGCCAAAAAGAACCCACTATTTTCCCTGCAGGGTCCCAACTTCTTCCCCGCGCTCATCCGACAACTTCCAACCTCGACCTCCACAAATCCTCCAACCCGCCAACTCGTATTCCCTATTATCAACCTTATTGCTATTACTACTGTATTCCGGATTTGTACTATTTTATCACAATTATCTCGACTGGTTTTCCATTCTTACTCTTTCATTGCTCGTTATCAAATTCATTTCATTAATCGACTATTTCACTTTTCGAACGATTACCGAGCCATCTCTTGACGACCCAAAATGGCGACCGTAGAGATGAGTCCTCAATCTACGCATGTTCCTCCGGGACCTGAGGCTAAGCGCCCCAGAGGTACGTCATACTTTGCCATCATCTAGCTTCGGATATCCTATTACCTTACGTATTTGCACTTTCGTTGTCGATGGACACTGTGCTAATTGATCTATCATTTGTTAGGTATTCTAAAGAACTCGTACACTAAATCACCCCCTCCCGAGTCCCCAACTAAGGAGCAAGATTTATCCGAGAAGGAGCTTACTATCATCAACACACAAACAAATGCCGGCCACCGACGTTCTTCTAGCGCCGCCAGTCGTCCTCCAGGATCTCGTCGCCAATCCACACGCACTCCCTCCTTTGATCCTCTCAATGGAATCGATCAAAACCAGCGCCTAAAGTGGGATGAGGCCAATCTCTACTTGACGGAACAGGAGCGCACTGCTACGATGAAGATCACAGAGCCGAAGACACCCTACGCTCGACATTATGAGCCATCAGAAGATGATGAGGATGACGAGATGCTTGATGGTGAAAACTCGCGAAAGGAAGAGATTACCGAACTATCCCTTGGCGAACCCGAGGAAGATATCCCCGAAGGAGAGTTTGGGATCGAGCGCAAACAAAGCAAGGTCCATGTTAACGACGAAGATGCCACCCCGATCCACGACGCGGAAAACGAGTATATCGGCCTAAGTCCCGAGGAGCGCGAGAAGCATCGGAAGTTCGAGCAGCTACGCAAGAAGCACTATGAAATGAAGGACGTGGCTAAGTTCCTCGGCCATCCCGAGAACATCGACGAGATCGAGGACGAGGAAGAGGTGCCGCCGATGCCTACCATTAACGGTGCCATGGTCAAAGCGGGCGACTAGGGAAGCGGGCTACGCAACCCTCCGCAAACGATCCTACTAGGGAAGAGGGTATGCAAGCTGTGCAGGTGGATACAAGGACGATGACGATATACGGGATGCATGCAGGATGGAGTTTAATGGCCGGGTGGAATACCTATTCTTCAATTGTCTTGTCTTGTTGCTCGGGGCGCATTAGATGAGTCTGGTGTTGGAGGGCGAACGAGATGATTCTATCGGTTTGGGAGGAGATGAATATTAAGGTCGATTACGGATTGTAGTTATAGATACTCTACTGATACTATAGGGGGTTTGCGCCCCGAGAGAATCAATGATACGATGTCATTCACTTATTATGTGATGGAACAGCTCGGAGGGTAGGTTTTGTGGTGGAGTGTAGGCGTGGTGTTCTGCTGTCGCCCGAACAGTAGATTCCATCTAGTATCTAATAGGGTCCTAGATAGAGTCCCTAGGCGCCACGAGGAGCGTAGGTTCCAATCGTATCTATACAGAAACCTGTCTACCTCCCCATCGACTAGTCTGTCTACCAGTCCAATACCTCAACAGCCATCGAACCCATATAATTCCCAACTCTCCTCTATAACCGACGAACGCCCATCAATCCCGCAAGTATCGTCAAGTTAACGGCTTATAGCAATCCCTTCCTAGCTAACTCGACCTTGCGCGCGGCCTCGCCTTGCTTGAATCCGCCCTTCGACACGCATATCCGGTGGCCCTCGCCCATCTCGAATTTGTCCTCGTTCGCGGGCCAGGCGCAGGGGCAGTGGTGGGGGAAGTGGACGCATGCTGTGATGTGTTTGTTAGTTACTTGATTCCCAGGTATATAGCTAGGTGAATTTGCGATGCTAGATTGGGGTTAGGTAGGTGAGTGAGTGGGTGGGTGGGAATACCTAGAGTGTCTGGGCACAGGTAGTTCTCGCAGTGCAGGCGGTTGAAGTTGGTTTGATAGATGGAGGAGTCGCTGGGACTGTTTTGCTGTTGGCGCTGTTGTTGCTGTTGCTGTTGTCCGCCGAACATTTGGTCGAAGAAGCCGAATTGGGCGGATGCGAGCGTGGTTAGGGAGAGTAGCGCGAGGAGGATGTGGATGGGTCGCGGGAGTCGCAGTATGGAGAGCATTGTGCTTGATGGTTTGGTGTGGTTCGTACGTAAATAGCGATTGTTGTTTGGATTTTGACGGAGTATAGCTGTGATTTATCGTTCACAATTCAGAATTGAAGAGAAGATGTCATAGGCGAAAGTGTAAGTTAAATCGCAATGCTGGCAACATTTCGAGTCTTATCGTTATCGGTGGGTCTCATCCCGCGTTTCTTTAATGACTAAGCCGAAATTTTGCGGGTGCGGGCCGAAGCTTTTCCAATACGAATCAAAGCTCTATCACAATTCCTCCGGACAACGACTCGAACGTCAGAACACGACGTCCACTGCCATGAGGATCGCTCAATTGCAGCGGCCAATAGCGGCTGCTGCTTCTAGTGTGACTAGAACGACGGCAACGACTACGATACGGCAATTGAGGGAATCGTTAGGCCAGTTAAGGATAGGAGCCAGTAATATAGCAGTCGAAGGTCGAAGACATGCTACGCATCAGTCTCAGGGATCGTACAGGCTGAAAGACACCAGCACACTTCCGAAGAAGCTCGGTGCAAAGAAGAGTGGCGGTATGTCTTTAACATACTCTTCCTTCTCCTGATCTTCCCTAGGCTAGATCTTTACAGACTAGGACTATAGACATAAATAAGAGAGAGGGGCTAATAACTCAACCATAGACTCCTACGTAATCCCCGGCAACATTATCTACAAGCAACGAGGCACGATATGGTTTCCAGGCGAAAACTGCGGCATGGGCCGGGACCACACGATCTTCGCCCTCGCCACAGGATACGTCAAGTACTACCGCGATCCCGCAAAGCACCCGAAACGACAATACATCGGCGTCGTCTTCGACAAAGCCGACAAGCTGCCCTACCACCCACACGCCATGCGCAAGCGTCGGCTCAACATGGTCTCAGTCCCCCTCGTCGCACCGACCCCACAACCCGAGCTCTCCCCCTCCGGGATCCCAACACAAGTCGTGCGCCAGGGTCTCGGGCGCAAACCGCACCCCCGCGACGAGCGCGTGATGAAGCTACGAACGGACGGCAGCTACGCGTACGCGGAAGAGAGCTGGAGGCTGGGAACGCTGGTGCGCACGGAGAAGCGGAAGATGGGGTCCCGAAGAGTGGCGATGAGACATCGACGACGCAAGGCGAAGGCTATTGCGCTGGAGATGCGCGCGGAGAGGGAAGATAAGATCGCGAGACGGAAGGAGGCGCTGGATGCGCAGCGGAAGGCTAGGGCGAGGAAGATGCGCGAGTATAGGGAGAGGAAGAAGGCGGAGGCTGAGGCGAAGGAGGGTGCGGCTGGAGGTGGAGGTGGTGGTGCGGTGCCCCCGCCGCCGACGACGACGTCTGAGCCGCCGAGGGTGGATGCTTAGGTTGAGGGGGTCGTTGGTATGGCTTTCTGCGCTGAATCCCTGCCTTGTGTTACCTTTGTGTGTCATTGTTGCCCACATATCCAGACACGTAGCGCTGTTATGGGAAACAGACATAGGGGCTATGCTTAGGACTTGTATAAAATGAAATACTGTTACTCATTCACGGCTTTTCGGGATACAAGGCGATTTGATGCGTGGTGCTGGCTATCTGGTAGAATGGAAGGGAAGTCAGGTATGTTGAGTTTTCCCTTTGGACGTTGATTGTGATTACTTTCTCCGGCTCGCCACGTCGATTATCTTCGTTTCGTCAGGTTTGATAACTTTGGGTTTCACATCTTTTCCTATGGTCTTAACGTTGCAGGCCTCTTCAAATCATCTCTTTTGCAAGCCACAACCATGCGGGAACCTACTAACGAATTATCTAGAGATGACTTATATCTAGGCGTGAAACTAGATCATATCTTGTAACTACTATACAATACCTCCAAGCGAAGATTACCATGCTATAACTAATTTTTTCCACACACGCTTGCTACGAAGGGACTTGGGGTTTGATGAGACATACGTTTGGATGTTCTCTGCACATCCATGGCAAATTCTTCACTCCAGATCTCCTTCACGACGTAATCGTATGGATCGATATCTGCAAAAGTTTACATCACCCTACGGGTACCCCTTCTGAGTAACCCATGCGATCCCCTTCTACACAGCCTCGGTAAAGATACTTGTGTCTTGCGGCAGCAAGTAAAACTAGAACCTCGGAATACATGGCAGAGGTGTACGAATCCTATGCCAATAGAAATAACAAATGAATTTGATTTGCTTCTCGCAACATATCACCATCTTTAATACCATTCCCCCCCCTTAATCCGCCCCTTTAACATACTAGAAGCGTATATCTGCATAAAATACCCCCACCTTCCTACTGGGTATATGCACAAAAAGAGACTAATGCCGTATTAGCCGCATTCGACTGCTCCCGGGCGTCAGCTGAGGATCCTCATCTCACGCTCTCCTCGCTTACGCCCAAAAAGCCACAATGTCTCGCACAGTTCGACCAATGATAGCGATCCGTCCCGTTCGCGAAGTCCGGGGTAATGATCTCGATGGTAAAGAGCCGCAGCTAGGCATCTGACAATTATTAAAAAATATGACAGGCAGGTACTTAGTAGGTATGGTCTCGGGCGTAATAAGTATAGCCACTTACCCTCCGATGGAATTTTGTAAGGCTTTAAGCGTTTTCCCTCTTGCGACGAGATATATATCTGGCGAAGGTATTGGTATTGTATTCTTGCATTTGAGCGACAATTGAAATTCGATAAGAATTCAATGTTTCACACGCGATTAAGGCTCCCGCGTTTCACGCGATCGTAAGGAAGCGCTAGTCGCGGCATAGGGCTGAAAATTCATCACGTCAACATGGCAAGTGTTCTTCGCGAGGACTCGAGTGGTCTGGGGAATCTCGAGGCCCAGATCGAAGAACAAGTGGCGAGTGCTAGCACTGGTGCTTCTGGGAGTAGGAGCGGATTCGGCGAACAAGGGATTGCTACTAATGACCACGCAGCGCCGCCAAGTGAGGGCTCCGAGTACGACGATGGCCTTGATATGGAGAAGTCTGTTAATAGTAGCGTGTCGCACTGGGATCCGGATCCGGGGTTTGCGCATGTCGATGGCGACATTGAGGGACACGGGTATAACAAGACGACAGTCGACATTGTCGCCGTGCCTTGCATCGGCGCATCTCCCGTTGATACTTGGTCAAGGGATCCTATTGGCGATGGCTACTTCAGCTTTCCGTCCAATGAGCTAGATCGCTATCCCACGGCTATGCAGCTACCTGGGAATAGCGTCCTCTCACCCACCATCACTCATAACTTGCCTGCGGCTACTCACTTGTGGGTTCGACAAGGGATCCGAAAAGAAATCAACACGGCGCGAGTGATGTTATATCGCCACCGGGAGCTCACAGAAGGTATAACGCTCGACCAGGCGGCAGATGATCTCTTGGAACAGGTCGTGAAAATGCGCGCCGGTCTGACCAAAGCGCGACCCATTTTCTTCATCTGCCATAGCATTGGCGGATTGGTGGCGAAGCTCGCCTTAGTAAAAGCGAACATGAAGCATGAACTGAGGCCTTTGATCTTCGACTGCCATGGCATCGCCTTTTTTGGTAAGATGTTTTTGATCTCCTTTCATAAGATCTCGTCGAAGACTAACACACTTAGCAACGCCACATCGTGGCTCTAGTTATATGTCTATGCCTCATCTACGCGAGAGTATCCAACATCTGCTTTATCTACAAAAGCCACTACCTAGGTCCATTGCTCGTGAACTACGAATAGGGAATAAGTCATTGTTGCAGATGCATGACCAATTCATGGATATTGCTAGCGAGTTGCGAATTTGGACTTTCTACGAAACCATCGATTCGCAATTATCTGGGCTTGGGTCTTCCGATTTTGACGAGGTACACTTCAGCGCACCTTTAACCTCTATCAAATCAGGTTTAGTCGGGAGCCGGGCTGAGCAAGCACTATCACTTGAGAGCGACCACGCTCACTGCGCCTCGTTTGGACCCCAGAATATTCGCACGATGCTTTCGTTCATCACTGATCTAGGCGCCGCGATTCGGAAGGCAGAAGAACTTAGCAATAAATATGTGCACACGCCGTTGAGGTTAAGTGAAACGGTCAAACTAGAAATCATAGGATTCTATGGTGACCCCGATAGCGAATCTAGCCAGGACATTAGACTATATATCTCGAAGCATAGGCTGAAAGATTTTCTGGAGAAGGGACCTGAGCAATGCTTACAAGAGCGGCTGAATACTGTGGCTGCTAGGCGACATCGAATGGCACCTCCTTCGAGACGCCCGTTATCGAATCCGTCACCAATGGCGAGTGCACTTGGGATACTAGGCAACGTGCAGGAGCTTGGCCAGAAACTCTTAGGTTCTGTTCGGCCAAGTAGCTTGCCGCCGGAAGGTCCCGAAACGGAAACTCCGGCTGGTCAACCGGAGATCGTCGTAACAAGCCACGCTTCCCGACCATCTGCCACCAGCGCAGCAACGGAGCCAGCCGTCTCATCTAGAAGAGGTCGTGGATTAATAGTGCCCGGCTTATCGACGCCAAGCAGGGGAAGCAGCGAGACAGTTAGAACAACTAAATCTGAACCAGATGAGATTGAGATCTCTCACAAAATGGGCTACCCTGCCCAACAACTAAAACCGTCTATGACCGAGCCCTCTGGTTCAGCCGCTAGCGCAAAGGAACATGATACTGATATGAAGAACCGCCGCGGTCGTTCTCGCGGTATACAGGACTTCACTGCCGGTTTCTCCCGACCAGTCGCATCCAGGAGGAAGTTTATGTGGATTCATATGCCATTTAATAACCCCCATTGGATCACGGTAAGGATCATTGCTATGATTTATAACCGCTTTGCTGACTGGACCTTAGAAGATATTCAATAAATTGTCCGAGACTCAGAATCAGAATTATCTGAAACTCCTTGGCAACGAAAACTGGGCGAACAAGCACGTCCAAGGTCGCCATGCCAATCTGCATGCTTCATATATCAAGCCTGGATGTGCATTTGTCCCTTCAGGAGTCGGTAAGACACTGTGGTCCCTATATTCGATCAATCGTGAAGGTCTTGCAATTTAACTGACCTCTACAACAGGTTCCCCGCGTCCTCCCTCTCCTTCTAGAGCGGGTAGGAGTCCGAGCCCCGGGATAAGTCCGACTTACCTGTATTTGTATCTGCCGTATCTGCATTACGATACTTACCTAAATATCGTACGCCGCCGAAACCTCATTAAGCGAAGGATGGAGCACGGCAGGGCAAGGCCCGTACCAAAAGACATCGCTGAGCTTGACTCGATAGACTCCCGGGTGATTTGGGAATACATTGGACATGACCCTCCTCTTAACACGCGGAGGACACTAGACCAATATGGATACCCATCTCTTCGGGAAACCTATGCGCGCGATGATGAACAGATGTTGTATAAGCTTACTAAAGAGAAGCTCCCGATCCCGTTCATGCGTAAGTGGGATGTGTATCATTCAGAGGACTCCAAGGGACCTTTGAGCGCTCTTTCTCCTAGCAGTCGGTTAGCATCGGCCACGAAAATGTTCAAAAGCCAAGAAACAGCGAGCCAGAAAGGCGAAGGAGATGCGAACTTAGAAGACAACCTTCTAGATGGCAATGTTCTTATGGTAGATCAATTGTGGCTCTGGGCAGTTGATACGAGTAAGTTGCGATAAGCGAATATTCAAAGACTTGGTGCGGTTATCTCTAACGTACTCGACAGCAACCTTGATGACTTTCTTCCCGAAACGAGAGTCCCAGCCGACGGAAGGGCCTATGTTTCAACAAGCAGATCTCAGAAATAGTGTTTATAACGAACTGAATGGAGATCTTAGCGGACGCTGCGAAAACGCGTTAGATCTTGCGGCTTTCGTAACTTTGCATGCCGTCACGGTATTAATAGACCGCACGTCACATCCTAATCTCGAGATATTCCGCATTTTCGAGGAAGCTCTAGGGATACTCGTTCGTGGAATCCATGATCTGGAGTACTGAGTAGACACGCTAACTATTTGCAGACTGAGAGAATGACGTTATCACTCAAACGATTCCGAATGCAGACGTTCCGAGATAGGGTCCAAGACTCGGACTCAGAGCCTGAAGACATTGGTACTGAGAGTATTAAACAGCGGCATAAACGCGAACTGGAACGAGCTGAGCGGGATAATCGCGAACATACATCCGTCCTGCTGGAACTTCGAGATATGGACGACGAGCTCACCACGATGAAGAACCTGTTCTCGGAACAGGAGGAAACGGTTAAACTGATGAAAAAACAATATGAGAAACCCGAGCTTCTAGGATATACAGAGAACGGCCGTGGGTTCCTCGAAGAGGCGTTGAGGCGACTCCAAGACTACCATAAGACGGTGCATGAAATGATTCAGCGCGTGGACGGCACCAAGAAGGATGTACGTACCCCCTTGGATATCCCACATCAAAAGGGAGCTGCTGACGATTTTTATAGTATGAAAAACTTCAGGAGATGGTACAGCGCCAAGCGCAAGTCGACGAGGCGCGGTGGTCACGGCGACAGACTGAATTAGCGAGCTCGCAGAATTTGTCGGTCATGATCTTCACGACCTTCACCGTGTTGTTCTTGCCTCTGAGCTTCTTCACTAGTTTGTTCGGCATGAACACCAAGGAATGGGGCGGCGAAGATGACAATTTCGTTAGCCTCGGTGTCATTGGCCTCGTCTCACGTACGTCCCGCTTAGTCTCCTTGAATTTCAAAGCCCAGCTAACACGATCGCAGTGCCCGCATCAGCGCTCCTCATCGGCGGGACTCTCATAGCCGCGTATAGCAGTCGCGTGCAAACTGTCGTGAAAGAGAGCTACAAATTTACGAAATCCGGTGTGCAGGGGATGGTATCCCAACTCACGCACATAGGAACCGAGGATCCACGACGAAAGGAAATACAGAACAAGCTAGAGCAGGAGACACTGGAGTCGCGTACACGCGAGCGCGGGTTCGACTTCTGGGAGAATGTGAGGTTGGAGAAGCATCGCGAATATAAGATCCCGGACATGAACCGGAAGCAGTTGACAAGACAACGGGCCAAATACTAGGTAAGCAAATAAATTAACGAAGCGGTTGACTCGTGTACGATTTGAAGGATCTGATGTAATGTTATGTAATGGATACCTAGTAGTGTGCTGTTTAGGTGTTAATACCCATTTTGAAGTTAATGTTGAATCTAGAAACCTTGAATGCATCGATGGATTAGTAAGTTATTCGACATCCGTCTCCAACCGCTACTCCAACCCATGATGTCATCATTTGGTAACACTCACCTATCAATCGCACCTACCTATCGGATCACACCACTCAATAAAGCGGCAACTAGCATCATTCAGCAAGCCTCCGTCTTAGCCACCACCCCCAATTTTCCCACTTCTTCCCAATACCCTCCTCAACTCACGCCAACCGCGAAAAAAGCCCCACAATGGCAGCCGTAGACACCACGGAGCTCCCCACCCAAACCACCGGCGCCGCCGCCCGTCTCGCCAGCTCCCACGCCACAGAACACCCCCTAAAGCTGTACGGCGGCTGGTTCTGCCCCTTCGTGCAGCGCGCGTGGATCGTGCTGTGCGAGAAACGCATCCCGTACCAGTACGTCGAGATAAACCCGTACGCCAAGGCGCCGGAGTTCCTGGCGTTGAATCCGAGGGGGTTGGTTCCTACGCTGGGAGTGCCTTTTGAGTCTGTCTCTACCTCTACCTCTGCGAGAAAGGGGGGTGGGGAGAAAGGGGAGGGAGAGGGAGTTAAGAGGAAGCCGTTATATGAGAGTGCGGTGATTTGCGAGTATTTAGACGAGGCGTATGATGACGTGACGAAGTATGGGAGGAGTTTACTGCCGGAAGACGCGTATGAGCGCGCGAGGTGTCGGTTGTGGATTGATCATATTGGCGGGAAGATCATTCCTGGGTTTTATAGGTTTATCCAGCATACGCCGGAGAAGGAGTATAGTATCGAGGAGGCGAGAGAGGGGTTTTTGGGACATGTGAAGACGTTTGTGAGGGAGATGATGGAGAGTGAGGGGGGTGGACCGTGGTTTCTGGGGGAGAGGTTTGGGCTGGTGGATGTTATGTTGGCGCCTTGGGCGAAGAGGCTTTTTCTTATTGATCATTATAAACCAGGGGGTTTGGGGATTCCGGTCGAGGGGCAGGGTGGTGATGATGAGGTGGTTTGGAAGAGGTGGAGGGTGTGGTTTGATGCTATTACTTCCCGTCAGAGTGTCAAGGATACTTGGAGCGATGATGCGCAGTATATAATTGCGTATAGGAGGTACGCTGAAGATAAGACGCAATCTGAAGTCGCGAAAGCGACGAGGAAAGGTGAGAGGCTTCCATGAGCCAAGCACTGGGTTGAGTTCAGATTTCCACTTGGTTGAAGTTGAAGCTATTCCGAGTGTAATCCACTGTTTAATGACTGCTACGGTTTACGAAAAAGGAAATATCCAAGAACTTTCTTGTTTCTCAATCGGAGGCTTAGGCAATCCTTCAAGTTAGTATCCGATCCGTTATGTACCTGCAGATTCATAGTATACCTACCTGGTAATTGCCTCTATTTATATCAAGACGGCTCCTCCGATGTTTTTCTACGGTCCGACTACCTACGTTCGAGTAGACCCTAAGCTGTCCGAATTCATCATCGACGAGGCTTGCGATTCTCTTTTCAATCATGGGACTTCCTATTCCGTCTGCGGGGGCTCATCCCATCCTATGGCCAGACCCTAAAGCTCAGCCCCACGCCCCCGCCGATGGCTGGCTGAGAAGCAGTAAGGATTTTCCTGCCCAAACGAGAGACGTTTCAAAATAATAGCATCTTTCATGCATTTAAACTTGTGTTCCTTGAATCTGAATTTCCATATGGCGAGACATTAGATGACGGACGGCAGATCTTCATTAATTCCATTGGTTCGGCGCCGAACGGGTGCTTTATTTGTTGAATGGCTTGTTTGTTGTTGAGTTGATGTGGCTTGCGTAAAGACTTGCGAATATGGGAGAGGCGTCGATTATTCAGGTTAACATGTTGCGCTAAAGCGCCATGGGATGCCTACGGTGCAAATCCTTCCTCTAAAAAGGTATTTTTGGCTCGATACAGAACCAAGGCATCAAGCCTGGCTTATAGGAAGAGTGCGTATGCCTATGGTTCGTCCAATTTGGGCAGTCCGTGGCGTCGCAGATCGATCACCGCCGATCATGGGTAGAAACTTTGTTTTTCTGCCCATATTCTTATCCTTAATAAACTCTGCCAAGCTTTCGGAAACGCCTGGCTGTCCAGTCAGGCGCTGTCAAAGATCGTCTTCCCCAGATCAGCGCGTCCGGGAGTTTTCTGCTCGACCTGTCGCCCGACAGAGACGCCATGATGCCCAGCGCACTTGACGTCAAATTGACTAAGACCCGAATTATGCCGACCAATGTGTGTGTTACGTTCGCGACCTAGCTCGTCGTCGTCGGGCTCCTTAATAGATATTTTAAGCAGGGGTTCGGTTGGATATGCCGTGCCCTACGCAAGCAGGAACCTAGTGTGCATGTGCATGGGGGGAGGCTCAGCATTCGATGCCAAACGTCGTCTTGGCCCCCCTTCCCCCTTCTCCTCGTCCAGGCCATAATATATAATACCAAGATGGGTAGCCTCGAGGACGGCGTGAGCCTAGTTTGGCTAGCATTTCCTGGGCTCTTTCTCTTTCATCGTAACTTACTAACAGTCATTCGTGATCATTTGATTACAGTCTTCCATTCATTAGAGATCTGTGATCGTTCTTTTCATCATATCATACCATCCTTCGTTCTTCACCGCAAACATGAAGACCTCAACTTTCTTTACCGTGGCCGTCGCCGTTGCCGGTGTATCAGCTGACATCGTCCCGGCCCAACCCCCGACCAAAGTCCAGCGAGACCTCGCAACTGTAACCTCAGTCGTCTCTCAAGTCTCAGCAGCTATCACCAAGCTCGACACCTCTGTCAAGTCCTTCGACGGGTCAGACCTCAGCGGCGTCCAAACCAACGCCCAGGCCCTCATCTCGGCGCTCACATCCGGTGCCTCCACGCTCGGCAGCAGCGGTTCCATCTCTCTATCTGACGCCCTAAGCCTACAGAGCGTCGTAACCCCTCTAGGTACCGTGGCCCAGACACTCGTCGACGATGTCATAGCCAAGAAGGACAAGTTCCAACAAGCAGCCGCATGCTCCACCGTCGGAACGCAAATCTCAAACGCCGGGACCGCGGCGAAGTCTCTTGTGGACGGCGTTGTCGCCCAGGTACCCGAGGCAGCGCAGAGCATCGCAGAGTCCGTCGCGAGTAAAATCGTGGACACCCTAACGAACCTAACCTCGGAGTTCTCGTCTGATAAGTGCAAGAACTCGGGAAGCTCTGCGAGCAGCGCTACTGTCTCGTCCAGAACCACAGCGGTTGCTCTTAAGGAGAGTTCCGCGGCAGTCGTCGCTTCAACCACTGCTAAGGAGCTCGCTACCAATAGCGCGGTTACTGTAACCGTTACTGCGCCATGCGTGTGCTCTGGATCTACCACCTCTTCGGCGGTTGTCATCAGAACATCAAGCGCACCAGTCTTCCCAGCGAACTCGACGACCGTCTTCCTCACCGGCACCGGGGCGAAATCTACTCCAGCATCCGCAACCCAGTCCATCGTTACCGCCGGCGCCATCGCCCACGGCGCAGCTTCAGGCTCGATGGGCTTCGTCGCCGCGGTGGCTGCTGTTCTGTTCATCTGATTCCAAATATACCCAAGCGTGTTTTCTTTCGTCTTGTTATTGCGGTTACGGTTGGCGGGAAACGATTGATGGTTCTGCTTATATCATGAATACCTAAAGCTGGACTCTTTAACCCTTTCCCATCTTCGGCGTTCCGCGCTCCTGCGCGTCGGGGCTGGCGTACCCGCTGGTGTAGATATGTCGATATTTGTCTATAGAAAATAGAAGAAGCTGTATATACGATGCTTTGGAGTATTTTATGCTGCTCGGAAGTGAATCTGTTACGTGATTTGATAGAATGGTGTGGTGTTACTTGGTATAAGACTTGTAACCTTTGACAGTAGTATGTTGATGTTACTTACACGCCTAGCATTCCGAATATATTCTACAGGCCCGCATTTTATGGGCGAGTAAACTGTTCCCAGACGATTCACTTCTCGACTTATCACGAGATTTAGTCAAGTGATTTGAAAATAAATGGTGTAAATTTTAGTTAACCGGCCCAGTTAAAACTTTTGCAATCGAACCGCCTTCAAAAAATTATGCCTCTCGCCAACTGGTAATCATTCATCAAAATCCTTAGAGGTATAAGACGAAATTCAAGTTGTAGGTTAAGAATGAAAATTGGTCGACCAAACATAAGACATGTATCGTAGGTATGGGTAAGTGGTGTCAGAAAGTGGTATCGTGATGACCACGAGGAGTACTATGTGCAAGGCGATAAGTTCTGTTAGAGTCCTGTTGTTTAAGGACCTTGCCTAAACTATCCACCCATTGGCTTTCCTTCGTGAGTTCCTCTTGTCTTGCTTTAGACGGTGTATCGCGCGAGTGATAATTCGAATATTAAGCAGTTGTTGGTTCAGGGCACGGCGGGGGTGAAAATGTGGGCGAGGGACCACAAGCTGGGTAACATCTTGTCTAAAGTTAGAAAAATAGTCTCTATCTAGGCATCTACCTAGATATGTGCGGAGTCCGTTTGAAACTTACCCTCCATAGGTCAGGGTGGCAGTCGCCGGTGAGCCGCAAGTTCGGAGGAGATCTACGCAGGCAGTACCAGTGCTAGTGCAAGCGGAGGCTGAAGTTGCTGAGCTTGGAAATGGCCAGGTAATTGGAGGGATCGAAGTTTCTGAACTTGGGAATGGCCAGGTAATTGGAGGGATTGAAGTTTCTGAACTCGGGAACGGCCAGGTAACCGGAGGGATTGAAGTTTCCGGACTTGGGAATGGCCAAGTGACTGGGGGGATTGAAGTTTCTGTACTTGGGAATGGTATGGTGACAGGAGGGATTGAAGTTTCTGTACTTGGGAATGGTATGGTGACAGGGAATGAAGTACTAGTTGTCGGAACAGATGTCGGAATTGCTATCGTGGACGACGAACCCCCCGGACAAGGTGGAGGTGGCGGCATATCCTGAGTGCACATGTCGTAGCATCTACCCCATTTGATACCTATATAATAAAGATCAGTATGTTACATTGACGTAGAAGTGTGGGTTTTTGACTCGGAACTAACTAACCACATGCGTTAACTGCGTCGAAGCATCTGGTATGAGGACAAGCAACTTTCTCGGCGGGGACAGCAGCAGCGGCTACAGCCCCAAGGGCTAAAACGGAAACGATGTTGAACAGCATGATGAAGATCTTTTTCGAGAACGCTTGTTTGTACGTAGTTCTAGGGAGAGATGAGGTGATGAGAACGAAAGCTAGAACCCACGAGCTCTTTATATAATTCAATATAGCATCTTAGCTCCGCGAAGTAGAATGAGACGCTCGCCTTTTCGAACTCTTTTCAGCGAGCCACCCGCCTTAGCGATGTAGGAAATACGAACTCGTAAATCTTGGCAGCTACTAATACTGATAAAACATACTTGATCGGAAACAGACGTATTACTCCATATGGTCATATTGGTACCGAGATGTGGTGCTGGGAACAGAAGGCTGGAGTAGACACCACAACATCGAAATTATCCTAACCGGGCAATGATAGGCTATTAGCCGCATGGTTAGCTAAGCGAGGAATCATGCTGCGATGAAAAGTAGCATCCTGCCGTAGTTCTAGCCATTCGTTCCTGCATACAGAGCATGGCAGCGAGGAGTCAACTCTGGGTATGTTAGATCTCAGCCACGATATGGACAATGATCATCTGTTTTGACTGCTGACAACTTGAGATCGTCAGATAACCCCGTATTGAACAACTAGTAAAAATCGACCCCAGTAGAGCGTCAGATTTTTGTCGTTCGACTCGACCAAAACTCGTTGTTTAACTGGGCGATGTTATAGAAAAAGCGTATTAATCAATATCAAGCTGTGGTCAAATTAGCCGGAGACCCGGCACTGCTGCATCAGCTTTTCATCCACATTTGGCACCACAACTCCATCCCACCGTATATTGCGGGGAGTTATAGGTTGCTAATTATAGCGTAATGCAAACTATCAAAAATTTGGAGCTGGAGAAATTTTCCGAATTTGACAGGTTTAATGGGCGATTGCATTACAGAGTCCGCGCAGTCCGGGTTAGGTATCTGGGGAAATTCACTCCGCGAACCGAGTGGTGACCGAACGGATGATGGGAGGCTGAACGAGTCCAGATAGATGCCAGGAATCCTTTTTGGTCTGCTTGGTATAGTTCGTATGCTGCCTCGCTAGGTCGTAGGACAATCTAGCTGACGCCAGCCTTTGATATACGAGTGTCGCTTGTCAATTCTCCATCGGAACAGCAGCTATCCAGGCATCCTTCCAGCAATATCAAAGAGTCTTAAGAGAGCATAGGTCGACAACTAATGAAATCAGTATTGGCATTAGTGAATGTTTTAATCAGAAGATAGTGACAATCGCCGGAAGTAGCTGAATGAGGGGCTTATTTCGCATCTCATAAGATCTGGCTGACTTCGGACTGAGTTGTTCAAGATGGATTCGGCCAAGAAGCTGAACTGCAGTTAACAATGGAAACGCTTTGACCACTAGTTATTCTTAGGTAATACAACCTTGGGTTCATTGGGCTCGCGGCAGGTGCCGTGTTTACATAATGAACAAATAAGTGGAGAATGGGTTACTTAGGTAAGCATTTCGGTCGATAAATTCATCATTCGAAAACTCCGCTAGCTCTTAATTCTTGCGACGCACGAAATTTGCCGAGGAAAATAAATACATAAGACGGAAGCGTACGTGACATAATTAAGCCAGACTTTATTGTCGCGTCTTATACATACCTACCTAGTAGCCACGCAACCACGGTCACAAGATGTCATCGCACGTTGGGTGATCTCGTCGTCGTGACAGCTGTCAGCTGTCTAATACGGTATACCAAATGTCACGTTAAATGCTAGATCTAAGCATTATATACCCGATGCTAGATGTCGCTCACTAAAGAATCGAGATCGAGGCTAGTGCCGGCTCCCGCCGCAAGTTCCCGAAAAGAATCTAGCTCGCGGGTGAAACGCCCCCGAGATCTAACGTCTAGGCTAGGTCGTCTTTCGACGAGAATGAGAATGGGAATTTGACGGGAGTATTTACCTTTCTAGGCTTCAACCTTCTGTCCTCTTAAGGCTGGTCAGGCAAGCAAACTGGCTCAAACGAGAGTGATTTCGCCGCTTTAAGTCGAGTTTCTCACTGGCCACGAGAGAACATACCTGGTACCTACTGCTAGGTCCTAATAGCTAGCCCACGATCTGACTGCTGCGTTGGCACATGCAGAGAAACACTATGAAATCATGCGGGGGTACATCATCCACCGTCTATCGACCAAAGTGGCAACGGTTTGTCTCAAGCAGCGTTAAACGGAACAGTTAGCCACAGATAGAGGCGTCTATGTAGGATTCGTCGGCCAGGCTAGGCCAGTAGCCTGCCACCTGAGCTGAGTATTCTAAGGTGAGTGTAATATGCACGCGTGTATGTAGGCCTCCCATCCCATCACAACCCACTTAGCTCACTGCCCCCCTGCAATAATCGCAATAATTAGAGGGACATAATCCCCGTTGACATCACCTTTTCGACTTTCACAGCAGCTATTCGCTACACCGCTGGATTTTAACACCAAGACTCGCAACAGTGGAACATTCGAGGAAGAAACCCCCAATCGACGAACATTGCTACCTGCATAACATACGTCGAGGCGCAGCTTTTTACATGATAGGTCCCTACTTATGGCCTTCTAGAGGTCTCCCATTGTCATACTAACAGGCCCTGTGTATCCTCGACTGCGTCTTTAAAAGTCGCGCTGCAGTGCCTTGCACTTATCACTTACACCCTTTTCTCTTTCGAAGCAAGGATCTATCAAGTAAATACTGAGACCACATTGGCAATACTTCAATCGCACAATCGTTTGTCACACTTAAATCGCTGCGAACCATGGCATCTCGATCGAGAGGTCGTCATGATCGGTACGACGACGATCCCTACGTCTTCGACGACCCCTACCGCCATTCAAATTCACCTATCGGAAATGCACATTACGAATACGTCGGAACCGAAGAACCTTCTGTGGTATCTAATAAGCCTCGCCGACCCCGATCTTCAAATCCAGACCCTTATCTACGACCACATTCACCTAGGAGAGATTCTCGAACAACTAGTCCACCACGGCGTCCTAGACACGAGAGAACCCACACTCAACCAGAAAAGTCCGAGAGAAAATCACCACCTAGAGCTTCGCGACACAGTTCCCCTCACCGAACCAGCAGCAAGAAGGTTCCTCAGAACAAGCGTCAGGACTTCAGCGAACGACCAGCTGTGAAACGTACCAAATCTATCGGCCAATCTGGCCTGAAATTCCTCAGCGAAGCAGCAGCACTATACGCCGCGACACAAGCTGGGGCAGGCGACCGCGGACGCTCCCCAAGTCGCGATCGTCACCGCAGCTCACACCACGATTCTGGGCACCGCCATCACCACCGCCGGCATTCTCCCAGCCCCTCCCCAGACCCACCCATGCGACGCGCAAGAGCATACAGCGACGATGCGCGACGGCACCGGAGGCACAGATCGCCATCAGTAAGCTCCGAGTCAGACTACGACCGCGACCGCGGACGACGACACCGACGCTCGCGCGCCAGCTCCTCGCACGCATACAGCCCGTCGCCGCGGCGCCACCGCAGCCGGCATGCCAAATCCACGTCCTCGACCTACCGCTCCAAGCAGCCCGATTCCGCCACCGCCGACCGATGGCAGATGGCAGCGCGCGCGGCCCTCGAGGCAGGCGGACTGACGGCTTTCCGGCTGCGCAAGGAGCCCGGCAGCTGGACGGGTGAAAAGGGCGCCAAGATCGCTACGGCGGCGCTCGGAGCCGCGGCTATCGACGCGTTCATTGATAAGGACCCCCGCCGCGCCAAGTCCAGCGGGGTTAAGGGGTTTGCGGAGAATACGATTAGTAGTATGATTGCGTCGAAGTTGATTGGGGTTAAGGGACCTACTAGTAGGAAGGGGAAGTCGAGGTATTGATGGGTGTGGGTTTTGTGGTTTCTAGATGTCTGATATTTGTGTGATACCTATGTTTTGGCATTTATGGCTGTTGGCTATTACGACAGATTGACGTTCATGGACGGTGGGATAGAGTGGACGTGGGTAGACGGGGTAGGCTCATCTCGCAACGACGTTACGATTCCGTTTTCTTTGGAATAAAAGTTAGACGGATAGCATCCCAGGTGTTTCGGTTGCGCACTCGACTTAGTCTCATGGTTTTTTGAGTTTAGATGTCAATTTAGAATATCTCTACGAGCGGTTTCTCAGGTTGTTTTGGCTCGCCGCGAATGTGTTATATCTCCTGGTCCGGTAATTTATGATGTAAGCTTTGATGGATTGTTGGGGGTGAGTTAGTTGGCAATATTTGAAGGGCTTATCCCTTTAAATATGCCATCACTTAGGAGCTTTCCGCCGATACCTATTGTTTATAACCCGAGACTATATACAGTCAACTTACAATGGTAAGTGCATTACCCGATAGCCGGAATCGTGGTTGACTGTCGTTTCTAAAGCATTCTCAAGGCTGGATCCCCTCACTACAAGCTCGCATATTCGAATGGACTTAGCTATCTACCCGCTGTCTACCTATGTACCTAGTTTCATATGCTCGGGGGTGACAGCATGGCCGATGGCTCAGCCTGCATTGGCTTTCAACATAATAGTCTTCCTATTGGCGATATGGGCAAAAGCACCGGCGAGTGGCTTGTTGGGAGCCCCCAAATCGTTGCACCTGCTAAATGTTGGGGAGGGGGCGGTGATTTCCATCGAAGGGAGATATTTCCGCTCCATTTTCTGCTCTTCACCTACCATGGATTGTCACCTCATCTTTCCCTACGGCGCCACCCATTGCTCTTTGTTAGCCTGAATCAATACATTGTCACAATGTCCGGCCTCGAAGCATTAAGCATAGCTTGCAACATAATGCAGGTAATCAGCTTTGCCCATGAAACAGTCAGTTTTTGTAAAGCGATATACCAGGGGAAATCCATCGATGAATATGGTGGTCATGATATCGCATCCCTCTCGGCGCTCTCAGCTCAATTGCGAAAACATTATCAAAACATTAAGCCCAAAACCACGGATGAGAAGCAATTAGAGGACATCGCAAAAAAATGCAATATCGCAGCACGAGCGCTTGAAGAAGAGGTGGCATTTCTCTTGTCTCATAATGCAAAGGGTCATCTTGCACAGACACTACGCATTGCAGTGAAGACCAACTGGCGCAAAGGTCGATTGGAAAGGCTCAGAAATTCCCTTCGTAATCATCAACATACGATGGAATCATACTTACTCGCTCGAGTGTGGTAAGTTTAGCGAATATTAGCTAAAATTTAGGATAAGCCTCTAACAGGTCTATTAGCAAGAAAACCGATGCTATCGAGCTCCAACAGTGTCAAGGGTTTGCACAACTTAGCAAGGATGTCCAATTCTTCATATCGCAATATACCATTGGCTGTACGAAGGTTGTCGACCTTGTCAACGCAGAGTTGGTATCTGCCAAGGAGGCAACTGTAAACAAGGTCTCACAATCAGAAGAATCTATCAAGAAGCATGTATCACATGAGATGTCAATGGTCGAGAAAACGGTAGCCGTCCATGTCACAAAAGAAAGAAATGAACTTTTCAAAGATATCGCCAAGACAACCATCGATATGGATGCAAAGCACACGAAAGAGATGCAGCGAGATAAACTCTTGAAAAGTCTACGACTCTCAATCATGAATGCGAGAAGGAATCGTGTAGCTGATGCATCTATGAACACATACAAGTGGATCTTTAGCCCAAATGAAGAGCTTGATGATACATCATGGGACCGCTTTGATGACTGGCTCAAGTCTGATAGCGACATGTATTGGATTAGCGGCAAACCCAGGTCTGGGAAAAGTACTCTAATGAAGTATATCCTCGAGAATCCCCTTACAAAAGCCTCGCTGGAGACTTGGGGAACCAACCCAATAATCTTGTCCCATTTCTTCTGGAAACCAGGATCGAAGATGGAAAACAATATCAAAGGCTTTTTATGTTCTATTCTTCATCAAGCGTTACATTCGAACATTGCCGTCATTGACTCGATTCTAGCCACTTCCGACTCCCTGTCATCGAAGGAGTCGTACGATGACTGGTCTATGAAGGAACTAAAAGAGGCATGCTTGGCTATATTAGGAATGTACCCGTCATCATTGTGCATTTTCCTCGATGGCCTTGACGAAGTTTGCTCAGAAGATGAACAACTTGCTTTATTGGAGCTGGTGGATGATATTAGGAGACTCCCTAATGTCAAGATTTGTGTAGCAAGTAGGCCTGAACCCTTGCTCCGGTCTTCTCTCTCCAAACATCAGCAGCTTAAGCTCCAAGATCTCACTAAAAATGATATGTGGGAATATGCGAATGCGCAAATAAGCAAGAATCATGGTTTGGATAAACAAGGAACCAAATATTTCACAGATATCCTCGTCGAAAAAGCAGAAGGTGTCTTTCTTTGGCTCCACCTGGCAATTAGCAGCCTAATTCGAGGATTCAAAAAGGATGACACCATAGAGGTGCTTTATCAACGACTTGGGGAATTGCCAAATGAACTATCACTTCTCTACTCTGAAATGTGGAACAGAATGAATGGGGATACTACGTTGTATCGACAAGCTGCTGCATTATATTTCAATTTATTGATCGGCCTTGAGGATCCGCAGGGGTTACCAGTATACTCGTCCAGCCCCCACGTATTTCTGTTCATGGTTGTATCGGAGCCTGAAGTCCGGAATACCTTCGTTGATAGAAGAGATGCTACCTATGGATATAGAGACTCTAGAACGTCTTTGTAAGAAAACTCGGGATGACCTCATGACACGATGTGCAGGCCTTGTGGAACTAGTCCAAGATATAGAGGCTAAAGGATTGGCGAGGCTTGCACCCAACTCTTTGACGCCCTATCGATTCATGAAAGTACAATTTATCCACAGAACAGCTTATGACTACCTGACGGATACCGAAGAAGGTATTCGTATCCGTACATACGACTCATCCTCACTTGATACAAAACACATTCTGCTCGCGGAGGCTCAATTTGCATCAGTGATGATGTTCCCAGATTACAATGGCGCCGCTCGCATTTTAGCACCCCTATCTAGGGCGACAGACCGAAGCTCCCAAAAGACCGTCGATCAGCTTTTACGAGCTACTTATTATCATTACGGAGGTATTGGTGGTTCCATTTATAAGAGCCTTGCATTATTCGTCACCTGCCCGACATTCAGCGATTCCATTTTATCTATCATAGCCGAGAGCCCGAATCCGGCCTTGTTAGCTACGGATATCTTACGGAACATGCATATCATTATCGGCAACTTAAGTTCGAACTGTAGAATTCACTGGTCTTTCCTGGGAGGTCTAATATCTTTAGGGGGAGACTTAAATTCTAGATTTTACGATGTTGATCCAGTCAAAGGTATGGAAAGGCAACCCATAATGTTTTTCAGTCCTTTTGAGATATTCATTATAGGGGTACTTGATCAACCTCCAACCGTGCCGGTGGCCCCCGAAACATATAAAACACTACAAGTTTTCATGAAGAATCAACCAAATCTCAAACGACCCCTACCGATAACCATGGAAATCAACAAATGTTCTAAATGTTCTATACACACAAGATCTATTGCTCACTTCTTCCGCACTGGCCAAAGCCAAATAAGAAGCGAGCGTGATCGAGTAACGCTCGCACTTAATATGGACATGGCGTCCTTGGTTATGGCTATTTACGAATATGGTCGCAAAAGGAACCTTCTCACCTCATCAGAATTTTCCTTCGGATACAACATAATCCAGTCCTATTTTAATGACCATCGTGGTTTAGCTAATCCGGAGAATCACATCCTGTTCATTGTTTTCTCGGGTGGGGTGTACTGTCAGCCAACTCGTCAACATATGACGCCCGAACTTCTCGCTCTTATATCACGACACCTATGTGGCGAAGAGTCCCAGGAATTATACCAGGAAATATATCAGTGTGCTATAGATATAGCCCAGGATATTCGGAGTGATCCAAACCAATCCGTAAAAGCACGGGAGTTTCAGTCAACGGAATCGAAAATTCTGTCTTTTCTAGCTGATCGGAATTGCGGCTTTCGTTGGAGTTATTAAGAGTGAGGAAAGTATTCGAAGGAAGTGCTTAAGATACTCTCCCCTCCTTGATAGGCTAGCCATAGATATATCAACAAGAGTCAACATGTTCGAATATGATTCTCTAGGAGTACCTCGTCATTTGGTCGATGATGTCCTGTGCCTGATGTCCTTTATGTAGCCTTTAGGATATGGTAACTAGTAGATTCTTAAGCATAACGATAATCCTCATACGTGGCGAATCTAGTTGAATTAAGATATTCGAATGACTAGTCGAGAGGAATTGTTTTTATCTTAACCGTCCCCTGTTATCAGCTATTTGAACGTAGAATACGTTGTGGGATGACATGAATCTATGGATATAAGAAAGAGGGAGTCGTCGTCGTCGAGAAGTACCTGCGGGATCATCGCAGGCTACGATGTTAACGGTGTAGCATGACCCAGTGCGCCGTTGCTCTAGAGGGCGGGAAATATTATGTACCCACAAGGTAAGAAATAATTACTGGTTGTAGCCTCGCTATTACATTAAGGTCAAGACTGCTAGGTGAGTATATGGTCAGAAGCTTTTATTAGGGCCAAGAAAAGTATTGATTGTAGGAGGGATTGAATTGAGGTACCTAGGTACTTACTTGCCGTATGTGGATACATCGGATCGGTTCGATCTTGATTACAGGGATATAGAAGCTAAACCCAAAACGGGTATTATGTACGCCAGCTGGCGCAACTTACAGTCCCTCTAGTAAGTACCTAAGTATTTTTATCGTAGGTACCTCCCTGGTATTTCCAAATAATATCCAATTATGATTGGTCCGACTGAACTTCATTTAGAGTTTCCGGAGTGTTTTAGCGTAGCAAACTTCGAGTTAGACAGGTACTTTGTACCTAGTAGTCATGCAATCGTGACCGGATGGTAGATATTTGAGCCAATCAGAGATGAGTTCCACCATACTTTTTGAACCGTTGCCCAGCTCGAGGCTGATAATCAGACTTCTTCCCTTCTCAACATCTCAGCCTTACCACTCTGTATATTTCGGTTTCCATCCCAACCACTTTTCGACCTATTAAAATTGAGCATAGAAAAGAATAACGATTGATTTAGACATTCAAAATAATATTCAACCCCTCTCATCCAATCATCTTTCACATCGCCCTCGCCGCTGGTGGTTAAAGTGTCCTGTATTCTAATCACTCCAAGGACCCACCTCACTTTCGAAAACTATATAAGAAAGGTGCCCCCCCAAGATTTCTTCTTTCTTTTTTATCTTTCAGTCTTTCTCTAATTCTCATCTACAGAGAAAAACTTTCCTGCCAATCCAGAAGTCTTCGCGTCTAGCCACAAGTAAAGTCGCCCACCGCTTCTACGCTTGTTATCAGTACTCTATCATCGTGATCTAGATTGATCGTCTATCGCGAATTGCTTACAATCATTATTGAGCATCACAGTCACTGAAAGGCTTCCTTGTTATTTTCGAGTGGTTTCCGGAGCTTAGGTGAGAATGAAATTTTCGTAGGACATTTACACATCCTGAAGCCCCAACATTCATCGCTTTCCGTATCAATATATCACTGATCGTCCATCAATCAATACATTAATCATCACCGTCTTTCTTTCATCCATATTCATAGGCCTTAGTGTGTTTCTTCGCGTTTCCATTACTAACCCGCCTCAAGTTCTAAGGGTACTCGGCATCTATCGACTAGTACACTTTGTCTTGCTTTACCCGCTACTAGGGCTGGCAGACAACTCTACCTATCTTGATACCACTTGGCGTTGATCTCGTACCAACTGGGCGAGTATTCAGACACGCCCCATATCCTGCCACGAGACGACCACCTCGTGAGTATGTAGTCAACTTTGCTTTTTTGCTTGGAGCTTGATATTAATGAATGAATAGCTTTCTAAAAATAAATTCCTCGCCGATCAGAAGCTGTCTACAATGGCTGCATCTGCAAGCTCTCGTGTTCCCGCTGTGGACCTGTCTGCGAGTAGCAAGGCGCCTGTCTTTGACCAGAAACCTCTCTGGAACCAAGATACCGTCCGCGACGTGGCTGAATCTGTTGGCGCCTCTAAGATCAACGACGACAGCCTCCGCACGTTGACACAGGACACCGAGTATCGTATGGGCCAGGTCATTGTGGAATCCTTGCGCTCAATGCGTAACTCGGAGCGGGACAACATGAGTGTCCAAGATACTTCTGGCGCCTTGCGACTCCTGGATGTCGAGCCAATGTTCGGTTACGACACGACCCGCCCCCTTAAGTACGGGGAGGCCAATCTAGGCTCACAGGCTCTCTACTACGTGGAGGATGAGGAGGTTGAACTGGAGAAGATGATCAACGCCCCCTTGCCAAAAATACCCAAGGACATGTTTATGACAGGTACGTTTCGCGGCACCTAAGAAAATGACGTCATATTCATAAAACTAACTGGTTATCTATTTCTAGGGCATTATCTCGCTCTTGATGGAGTGCTTACGATCTGTCCTGAGAACCTTTCGCCGGCCGAGCTTAAGTCGCACGACCTACTGCCAAAGGGCTCTGGTGCAAATCCTGCACTCGCCGCTCTCTCTGGTCAGGACCAACCGGTATTCAAGCCTTCTGTGAGACATGCTGTTTCACAGGAGCTCATCCTCTATTTTGAGAAAATCCAAGCTGCTCTCATGGATGACAGCGAGGATGAAGAGGTGGAGAGATTACGTGCTGCTGCAATAGAATCGGTTACTACCGAACCTGGCATCCACCAACTTCTGCCATACTTCAGCACGTTTATCACCAACCAGGTGACTCATCATTGCGATGATGTCTTCGTGCTCCGCCAGATGATGGAGCTTACCTATGGCCTCATCAGCAATGAGCACCTCTTCACGGACCAGTACGCGGCGCCGTTCACCTCTGCAACTCTTACGTGCCTGCTATATCGCAAGGGGGTTACGCAAAACGATTTGCAGTCAGCAAGCAAGCAGTACCAACTTAGAGAGTTCGCTGCAAACGTGGCTGGCCAAATCACAAAGAAGTTCGCCAAGGACAACCAGCCGCTGCTCCCTATGCTTCTTCGCTCCTGCGTGAAGTCCATGCTGAACCCGCATTTCCCTTCGAGTGTGTGGTTCGGTGCCATCTCGGGCATTGCCCAGTGTGCCAACAACGGGGGAATCAAAATGCTTCTAATCCAGAACCTCAAGGATTTCGAGAAAGGCATGCTTCTTCCTCTCCTCCAGAAAAACACGGATATCAGCCGTATGGAGTTTGAGGCCCTGGTGGGCGCTATCATGAAAGCGCTGCAGAAGCTCACTGGCGACCATCTGCCCATGGGCACCATGAATGGGTTCTCGAGCGATGCAGAAGCAGCTCGTGTGAAGGCACTCGTGGGGGACGTGATCGGCGACCGTATCATACAGCTAGGTGATCATAAGTTGAACCTGGCAGTTCTGGACGCGCAATTCTACGTCGGAGACTGGTGAACAGGGGGCTGGAGAGGTACGGTGGCGTTTGGGCTTCTTTTTAGCATGGACGGGGTTTTAAGGTTTTTGGGTTTTTCGAGAGGATTTTTCTTCTTGTATTTCTGCATGACAAAAGTGCAGAGTGCGGACGTCAGACTACATGTCAACCGCACCGATTGCCATATTCAGATTGTTAATCACACACGATCTTGTCTGGCAGAAGTCATACTATGCCACTACACAAGATGTGAGGCGTAAGTCCCTGGCTTTTAGGAATACACATAAATTGTTGTTCCTCACGATATGCGTCTTGAGTAGGAGAGATTTTGCATGTGCGTGTATGCTTTAACCAAATTGATTGTAAACTGGTTCCTTTTACCGATTTCTTTGTAATCTACAGACAGAACCTAATTCCAACTCACAGGTAATGCGCTTGGGTAGGCATACTACTAGAGCCGATTTACTAATTCTCCCAAGGCCCTATCTTCCACCCCTCTGCTCCTCCTAACCTGTCTACCTAATCACAACAGGAATACGGCGCCAAGCGTCCCGACGATGCTGGCACCCAGTACGAGATAACTAGTCTGCTGGATGACGGGCTTCTTAAACCCCCGAGCAGTATCCCAGACGAGATGGCGGATGCCGTTGCTGAAGTGGAAGAAGAAAGGCCAGGCTACGACCGCCTTCAGCCCCGTCTTTAGGATCGGCGGAAGCGTGGCGGCGGCCTCGGCTAGCGTCGCGGACTCGACGTGCCATCCTGTCAGAGGGGCGACGAGGTACGCGATCGAGAAGGCGTAGAGAGAGGTCGAGAGCGCTTGTCCTGTGATTCGTGTCCAGATCGAGGCCCCGAACCAGGTCTGCTTGTAGTCGTAGGCTGCGAGATGGGGAGAGACGGGTCGGCGGCGGCGTTGGGCGGCGAGGAGGGATTGGGCTTCGGTTGGGGTGAACTTTTGCGTTGATATGTCTCTGTTTGGGGTTGTTAGTGTTGGGTTTGTCTCGGGTAGTTGAAGTGCGGTAATAGGGGCTATTGTTGGCGTAGATCTATGTCGCGCGGATTTACATGTGATGGCGATCTTTGTCGTAGAAAATCGCATGGAGGGCTGGGCGATGAGGGATCGAGGGTATTTACCTAGTCTGAGAACTCGTGGCATTTATCGCTAGAGCGAGGCGGGGGAGGTTCTGGGAGAGGAAGAGCGCATTGGGTTTGGCGGTTGCTGTGCGTCGAAATTCAAGTTAGCGAACCTAAGCTATCTATGACGTTTTTCTGTCTTGGGAACGATTGGCAAGTCGTCGCAAACCACGTTCCTCTACAGCAAGACAGAGACTCTTGATGGAATATAACGGAATGAGACGGGATGATAGGTACATACCTTGCTGCAGCGCCCGAATACCAACTCTTTGCGCGCTCATTGTGTCGAGATACGATAGAAATTCTCTTCAATCCGTCCTATAATCCCAAGTATCGACGTGCACCCTCGACCGATCGGAGACAGCGGATGGAGACGATGCCAATATCGTCGGTACAATTCAATTGTAGGATGTACTCGTAAGCGGACTCGAGGTTGAATGAAGCGTTGACGATGATGCGTTCATTGAAGGTTGACTCGGTTAAAGATTGAATTGAATAAGGAAATCCAAAGTTAATTCCGTCAATCCCACCTCTACCCTCGGCTTATAATCGGGCCAATCAAATCACATATGATCGAAGATGACCACGGCCATTAAAAGAAGTACCGAAGTACCGCTGAAATCACGCTAAGACGACAATCCCGGTTAGGGATCACGTGAAATGGTCTGTGCAACGACGAACGCCTAGACAAAATGATCGCTGCGCAAATTTTGTCAATTCTTTTTTTCTTCCTTTCTTTTCCTCAGATAGCACAGAGCATCCAGACCACTGGTGTCTTTCCAGATTGATGGAACATCGCGTAAAGGTCATGACGGTGTATGCCGTTATGGATGACTCTCAGAGTAAATATTCTTGGGAAAGAAGGATCCTTCGTTAATCTCGGTGTCGAGCTGCTCCCCGTCTCGACCTCGTTTCATTCTGTGATCTACATTCAAACATCATCGATTGCTTGTATATTAGCACCATAATACGTATATAATATAATCACAAGTACGTTAATTGAACCAGTTTCTTTTCCTGGAGAGATCAGCGTCGCGTCGTCATTGCAGATTCACCCAGGACGAGCCAGAAATCATGTAACAGTATCCAGATGGATGAGGGTAGACTGGTTAGTACCTACGAAGGTATCTTGGAATTAGCAATCATTGAATCATTCCTCAACCTACCCATCAGCACTAACAGGAACTTGTAGTGTATATTTGCCATTTAATATTTTGAGGAATAAGATATTCCCTCCGTAGAGGATGACAAGAAGTCGATATGTGGTAATGAGATATCTACGAGCCATCAGAGTCGACATATCATATTATTTTGGGAATTATGTCTACTAGGTAGATGCCAGGTACATTTTGAAGTATTAAGTATTGTCTTGTGTATATTCAATCCCCTGTCGTCTTGGTTCATCCTCACAAGTCGTATGATTGCTTATCAACCTTAGAGGTCAAGAAGACAAGGCTACTTCTGCATGTACATATGAATACCTAGGTACCTATACAATAAATGGGGGTAGCTATGTCCACAGAAATATTCTCTTGAGACGATTAAAAAGTTAATGATTGGGGGAGTAGAATGTCAAGTATCGGATGTAATCACATCGTAGTCAAGGACGAGGTAGGTCAGGAGGGAATACAGAGGCATAGAGTCGTTACGATTGGAAAATCAAATAATTGAATGATCTCTGGTACCTATGAGATACATGGTACGTACCTACCTAGTACCTAGAAGTTGTCGGGGTGTATTAAAATGGAATGGTACAATTTACATTGATGTTATTTTGTTCCCTTTTTGTACGGTGACATGCTCGTCGCTGACCGTGCAACTCGTAATCAGTAGACGATCCTAAATTATATATTCACCCTCCGTGAATTCTTTTCGGACTTCCGTCTTTCTTTCTTTTTTTTATTCTAAAGACGGAACACCCATCGATCCTGATGTTGTTTCGGTGGTATGTCAATACTCGCCATGAGCATCTTTATTATGATGACAATTTAATATTATGTTCATCACTATTATTCGAGCCAAATCCCTCGGATTGAACGAGTAAGTTTCACTTCCATTTACAAAAATCCTACCACCTTTTCGCTATGAATATATTGTTATTTTTTTCACACTCGTCAAATTCCTTCACCCATCTACACGTCTCTCTCCTAATCCCTGACGCGTCCTGTCGAACCATCAGCTACCCGTCATATGGAATTACTATCTGTTATCTTGTATTTTGTCGTCGACGCGATTCCAGCGATTCCCGTACTTCAAAGGTTCCCTCCTTAGCACACTCACTACCAAGTAATTGACAACCCAATTGGGCTACTCGTATTTCAACTACCCCCTCTACGTCCCCTAGTTTCCGTCCCATTCCCCTGTTGTACATAATATATTTCGCGTCTTAAAGCTTCCCAACAACGTCCCCTTTCATCTTTCAGGGCATATATTTTTTCTTTACGTGGCTAACATTTGGTGTCATAGCCCGGGAAACGAGCCTGACCACCGGTTGACTGGCTGTCGGGAGCAATGCTCCTAATTACGACGACAGTCGAGATATGCTAGGCTCGTTAATTGACCTAGCAATGAGTGACCCGTTACTTTTAGGAGTGATAACTTACTTTCAACCGATTCCTTGCGTCCGCTTCGGAACGACCCAAGGACTGCGACAAAGCGGACGCAATGGATATCTTCCCTTTACCGGGGAAGAGTCCTTCACAGCCTACACCAGCAGAGAGCATGTGGCTGGTCCCTTGCTCTTTGGCTGAAAGAGTTCATCGGTTGAAAATAATTGTATCACTCCTATATCCAATCTGAGTAGCGGGCTACTCGGTGCCTGCAAGGAGAGACTGCCCAGCGGACACACCCTGGGCTCCATTTTAAAGAATAATGGATGCCTGGGATATAAAAATCGAGGAAACCACCCGACAGCAAAGTTCGGGTTGTGTTCACCCTCGCATCCCCGGCATTCATTGGGATCTGCCCAGGACTCTTTTACAAGAGAATGGGCCACGAAAGGTGGACAGTTTTTTTGACGATTAATTCGGTCGAGGTTAGTACTTCTACCAAGTCTTATTATATTACCCACGCTAATATTCTTTTATAAACAGGCACTAAACAATGTCTCTAATACGACCGAACCTTCCATTTCAGACGACATCCACATGACCGGGGGGGAAATACCGGTCCCCATATTAATGGGCTGCCATCCACCTTAAGCACCAAAGGATATTCAAACTAATGTTGAATAATAATTATCCTTGGTCGGTGGTGGCACCCCTTTCTCTCCCACTAATGGGGAGGGAAAGAATATGGGGTTCTCAGGAGGCGGGTGGACCATGAGAGACCCCTGAACCCGACCTTAATCAATCATTTAAGAAACGGTGGTTGGCATCGGGACAGTCATCCGCGACCTGGACATGGTATAAATTACCACATCGACACCTTTTCAAGAGAATACGGCAAAGCGTCTCTAAAAGACGACTATCCGATAAGGCTATGCGCTGAATGTCCCTTTAGTTTCACTAGGGGCATAGCGCATTGCGCTCTTCTATTACGACGTCAAATTAATTTCGATAAAAAGGGTGTGGCATCGCCCACTTCATACCTCCCTACAGAAACCTCTTTCGGGATGACATATTATTTCTTTCGCCATGCGAAACTTTAACTACCAAGCCTACTTGGGTACGTCCTCTGAGGAATTACACGCCATCGTTGCGTTTCATGTATATATCTTCTATTGTACTTCCTTCAGACGTAAACACGCTCATCATCATCACCATTGCAAGGACCCGAGGCGTGAAACTGAGTGATACAAGTGTTACCTAAGCCTAGCACCATATAGTTACATCTATTCAGTGATTGGTATAAGTACAGAGACGAGTCTATTTCCCACCTAGGTCCTTCGTTACGTACGGGAAGTCTGAATGCTCTACCTAAACACCATCCCCAAACGGCCATCCCACAAGTCCAATATTCAACTTCGTCCCAGCTTCAATCTCCTTAGCTTGAGCTTTAAGTTCTTCTATATCCCAATTGCACCATAGAAACTTGCCCTTCAGGAATCGAGCCTCGGGGCTCGAGAGCCAGAGATTAAAGCTCGCCGGTAGTGACACTAGATAAAAGTCAACCTCATCATGCCTACCTAGCATTTTTAGCATCGTCTCACTCACCATCATCGGTCTTCACATCCTTGAAACTGTCAGCACCTCCCGTCTTAAGGTTCATCTGGGTGACTATAACCCCGGGCTGGGTGTGAAAGATAGCTAGGTTCGGGTTCGAAATCGCTACCGTGTCCCAAAGACGGTATACGGCCAACTTCGCAACACAGTACGAAGCGAAGTTATCGTTCAGGCTCAGATGCGCACCCCATGAATTAATAGCGACGACGACTGCGTTAGGCGCCGCGTGGCGAACGAAGGCCTGTGCGACGAAGAAAGAGCCCTTGACATTAGTCTGGATACAGTCAAGGTATTCGTCTGGGTCCGCATCGTTTATGTTTGCCTTTGGTCCGACTACAGCTGCGCTGTGGATGAGGACGTCGATCTTCCCCTTTCCAGCAAACTGAGCGAACGCGGCATCCATGTCACTCTTCTTAGTAACATCGGCGGAGATGGTAGTAACCTTGACGCCTGGGTAGTGGGACTCGATGTAATCCCTGTTCTCGGAAAGGGGCTTCTGCGAACGGCCAACGAGGGCGATTCGAGAGGCGCCCGCCTGAGCGTAGTAGCGTGCCGTCTCGCCGCCGATGCCAGTGTTGCCTCCTCCCGTGATTAACACGGACTTTCCTTTGGCAGAGAGTTCGGAACGAGTGGGAGATCCGGATGGCTGTGACTTGGTGTGCCACCGTCTGGTAGGCGAAGGAAAAGGAGGAGCGTTAGACATGATGATAACGCTAAGCACTGGTGAAGGTCTGATTAAGGTTAGGTGTTGAACGAAGAGATATATAGCATGAGAGAGCGTGGTCTGGTCATTGTAACTTCATGTTGACGACCAATTTCTACCCTATTTATATGAACTTAAGAGTTGGACTCCGGAATGTTGCTGACAGCAAAGCCTTAATACAGTCAGATACAGTCCGGTTGAACCCAGTGAGACATCTTCAACAATATAACCCCTATTGAAGGAAGCTCCCTACATATATTATGTAATCGGATACTGGAGTCATCACGTGAATAGTCTCTTGTCCTTTACAAAATGTCCCGCCCGGTGGAGTCCAAAATGCTGACAAATATGGATTGCTTACCATTCTGAGGTCATACCCCTGAGAGCTGTTTCAATTGTTGGTTGGTTAGGCCGATTCAAAAACCCAATGTCACGTTCCTAAACCTTTTCATCTGCTCCGATCCAATTTGAAATGTCCGCAGCCGATGTGCAATCTATCCTGCGTTGCCCGCAGTGCAACAAGCCGTTTGATAAACGTGAGTTATGGCGAGAATCTACTAGGTCGCACCTCATTTCCTCTTAGCACTAACAATCTGGCGCATTAGAGGCCACGTTGAAGAGACATGGATATTACTGTCGATCTCGAAAAACTGGTATGACTATCCGGCCTCGATCTTGTCTTTCGTGCGCGAAGGGGAAGGCAGGTTGCGACAATAGGCGGCCTAAGTGCTCAAGGTGCATAAGCAAGGCTATCGAATGCCATTATCCAGCGAGCACGCCTAGAGCTACAGGGCCAGGGGCTGCGCGCAGTGATGATGCGTCCGTCGAATCGGGAAACCCGTCTCCTTCATCAGGGTTAGATTCTCTCGACGTTGATACTAACCCTCAGATCGCAAACAATATTAGTGCCATGATAATCGATGATGCCGTTGTTCTACCGGAAGACACAGATTTTGCAAATCTTGGAGGGGATTATGTTGCATGGGACGATGCCAGTACATCTCTCGCCGATTTTTTGAACGGGGAAGCGAATGACCCTTACCTTTTACAGGGGTCATCGTCTTTGGCTCGTCCCTCGACACCTTCGTCTGATCCGACAATCCAAATACAGCAAAGCCTCTCTACTCCTAGTTTTACTATTCCCAGAAGCCCCATTTTCTCCGTGCGATCGCTCGTCCATCGACCAAAAATGCAGGCCGGGCCACAAAGAATAGCGAATCTCATCCTCCACACTTTGAAATCGTATCCGTTGATGATGCTGCGTCACGATACCCTTCCGCCCTTCATCCATCCGAGTTTGGTATCTCCGGGGGTTGATAATGTCCACATGGAGCCTTTAACAAACTGTATGTGTTTGACGCACATGATTAGTAGCGGGGTCCAGGGAAGCCGAAAGCTATTTTGGAAAAACGTGCGAATGGAATGTGAACGCTTTTATGCAGAGGTAGGTCTGAGTTCATGATGGTCCTAAAATGAAAGTGATACAGAGCTGATAGATAATCTTCAGTATCTAAGCTTGAGCAAATGGGAACTTCTTGCAGCTATGCAAGCCCTCTCGATATACATTCTCATACGGTTAGATGAAGGCGAGACGGACCACAACAACGTTGACTTCATATTAGTGAAAGCAGTAGCCGTATGCCTAGGACCTGCCTTCTTCCTCTGTCCTTGACTCCAGGGCCTAGACTAATGAGATGGTGTAGGTGATAGCCCAGCAGCTCACTCACAGTGATGTTACATGCCATGCACAGTGTGGGCTATGCAACAACGAGCTTGAAGGAAGCTGGAAAGAGTGGATCTTCAGAGAATCAAGAAGAAGGTTAGGTTTGATCCCAACTCCTTGCGAGGAACTCGTAGTAAGGATACTAATCGAATAAAAGATTGGGTGTGATCTACCGAGTGGTGAACATGCTCATATATTTCGAGCCAGCGGCCATGTGTGACATTCCAAAGGACCTCATTTTAGCACCATTGCCAGCAAAGAGGCAGCTATGGGAGGCAGGAGACGAGTTTGTGTGGAAAGCGGAGAGTCAGAGGGAACCGGGAATTCAAGTCTCCTTTGGATTGGCGACGGACGGCGAGATTGTTAAGATAGATAGCGGCAGGCTGTCTTGCAGTGATGCATGGCTAGAAGATCAGTCCACAGATGCCAACAGGCGACTGAGTAGCGCGGCGAGCTGGGAAGAGTGGTGCTCGGGGATAGATGGATTTGGTGGGCTTGTCATGCTTGCGGCTTCTTTGATAGTGTGAAAGACTGTGGACACAACTGGCATGCCGGATCTATGAAAATCCGGCGGTGCTAAAGTGGTTATTAACGGGAATAATTAGCAGAATGATGTCGCATCAAGAATCTAACGTGATATCTATTGAAAACGAAAACAATAAGAGACGGCGGACCATAAGAACAAATCCGCCAACCCGCCAATTCAATTAATGTATTGAAATGTATACAGTATAATACAGTAGAATTACGTACAGTTTTAAAGGTATTCCACACGGTGCCCCGAATCTTACAGGGGTCATAGCGCTACAGGGCGCTGAAAGCCCTGTAACTTATAAGGGTTATAGCGCATAGCCTTTTTACATAGATACTACCTAATAAGGCTCAGCGTATATCACGTGACACCCCTCGCTTTGAACTATTACGCGAATATGTTTATTTACTTACCTATTACAGATAAATCAATTGACTTAATTCGTTTCCAAAAGGTTGAAATATTAATAATAACCTTAGAAGGCTTTAGCGCTATCTTTAAGGCTTTTTACATACCTAAAAAGCCAACTATAAGTTATAAGGAGTTGATGCGCTATAAAGCCTATAAGCTACGGGGCTTCCAGCGCCTTATAGCGCTAACACCCACTGTAAGATTGGGGGCACCGTGTGGGATACCTTTGAAACTGTACGTAATTCTACTGTATTATACTGTATACATTTCAATACATTAATTGAATTGGCGGGTTGGCGGAATCGGCCTTATGGTCCACTCTATGAGAATCAGAGTGTAGAGTACCCGCCAAGTTTTAATTAAATGCTACTTTTGATTACATAATCTATCTACCCCGCGCCACGTGACCCTCAGCACGCTTCCGTAATACCTTAGTCATTCGCTTACCTCAGCTCTGTCCACCCCATTAGTAATATTTCAGTAATATTTTCGTAATACGCATTCTCTATCAATTTCCTTCCAGTGGTGGTATATCTTAGACCGCAGAAAAGACGTCAGCGCTCGCATCTTATGAAGATAGGCCACTAGCACGGATTACACGTTTATAACAACCAGTCCGTCCCTCTTATCCGAGTCTGATGTATGAGTCGGAAGCTTGCCCCAAGGGATGACCAAGGTAGTCAGAAATGCGCAGCCGCAAAAGGCAATGGAGACGGCAAATGCTGCCTTGAGGCCGAACATGTATGCGGTAATGACACCAGAAAGCTCTGTCGACGTAAATACTCTCCTGAGATCAGAGGCACCTGTTTCAATGAATCGCGCTGCATCGACACTGGGAGCCGACGTGCGCAGTTTTAGAAGCGCTTGGTTAATAAAGGCAGCCTGGGCGGAAGAGACCGTAAAGGCACCGCCGATTGTTTGGAAGACTGCGCGTCTTGTTAGCCTTACCTGTATGATCACTCTAGGCCTTGGGAAAGTCACTTACAGTAGAGGTTGGCCGTGACTGCTGGGAGGTCTTCTGGATTCACGCTGGCCTGTGCAATGTTGAGGCCATTCTGGACCGCGAACGCGATGGCAGCGCCGGTAAGGACCTGATACCCAATCCATTTCGCAGGCGGGGTGTCAATTTCCAAGGTATAAAGGAGGCCGCACCCAACCGTGGCAAGCAATGCGCCGATGAACATGGTTGGTGTAGGTCGGCCTGTTTTGAATTATAGATTAATGGTCATGTTAACTAGAGGCCGAAAAGGGATGGACTAACCGGTCTTGGCCACGAAGAGACCACCAGCGACAGCAAAGATGGCGACCGCGATCACAATAGGCAGATTATCAACGCCAGATTCTATAGCTGTGGTACCTTTGATCGACTGGAAATAAATGGGGAGGTAGTACAGGAGGAGGATAAGGTCGCCCAGAAAGAAGAATTGGTAAGGACACACGCTCCAAAGAGCCCGCTTTTTGAAAAGTCGCGGGATCAACATGGCGTATTCATCTAAATAGATGGACCAAGCGATTAGGGCAATTACAAGAAGCCCAAAGCCGACAAGAAGACCGATGACCTGGCTACTCCGCCACGGGTACGTAGTTCCCGCATACTGAAGGCCGAGGATGAAACAAATGATGGCCGCCGTGGTCAGGCAAACACCGACGGGATCTAGGTGCAGCAACTTGTGCTTGAGAGTAACCGGTGGAGGTTTTGCGGCAGCTGGGAGGTGGAAGAAGAAGAGGACTATAACAGCGGCGAACCCTCCGATGGGCAAGTTTAAGTAAAAGCACCAGCGCCAGGTAACGCGATCTGTGAAGGCACCTCCAATGATGGGTCCCAAAACAGAAGCCAGGCCATATGTCAGGCCAATGAAGCCCATGAGAATCGGTCGTGTCTTTGGTGGAGCGCTAAACGCAACGATACTGGTACCACCAACCGAAATTCCAGCGGCGCCCACGCCAGCGATGGCCCGGCCAACAATTAAAACGACCGAGTTGGGGGCAAGAGCACATATCAGACTGCCGATTTCGAAGATAGCCAAGGTTGTGATGAAGGTCCACTTGATATCGAAGTATTGGAACCCCTTACCCCACGATGCTTCGAAGCCGCCGAATGTCATAAAATACGCTGCGCTATACCAGGAGACATCGTTCAGGCCACCGAACTCGGATGTGATCTTGGGAACGGCTGTGCCGACGATGGTCTGTCTTTGGTGTTAGCGCGAAGTATGGTGAAGTTAGGTATAGGTACGGATATTGACCTGGTCCAAGGATATCAAAAAGACGCCCATTATGGAAGCTCCGGCGAGCAGGACTAGGCGCAATCCTTTCGGGTACTCCTCAACTACGCCTCTGTTTCTGTGGGCGAATTCATGCTCCTCTGACTGGTCTTCATGGCTGGGAGTTAAGCCGGATTCTTCAGGTTTCTCGTCCGATGAAGCAACGGCCGTGTTATTATGGATTGCACTCATTTTCTCACCGTCTGACGACTTAGAGTAGTGGTGAAAGATGTGTGATCGTAATTCCCAGAGTTAGAGGACTTAGGTTTATAGCGAAAAAAGAAAGTATCTGGACTGAGTACTTAAACTCGAAGCATTCGATAGGTAATATTGATAACTCATTTAAGGCAAGCATATTCTATGGTTTTAGTAGGATACGCAGTAAGTGCAATTTTACATCCAGGTAAATACAAGATGTTTTGTATGATTACGTAAACATAATGCTTACATAAGGCCGGACTTCATTGCGGACGGGACAATTTGAAATTGGAGCGGCCGGGACGAAATAGTATGGGTCGAATTGAATTGGGGCTACAGAGAGTCGGAGATGAGACTGCGAATCATTATTAATCGGGTACGTAGAATGAAATCCTTTTCTGCGCCGCTGATAAATGGAATTGCGTGTTGAATATCTGTGGAGACACTTAAGAGTTGCGAATAACACCGATTAGTCCTGGACCCTGGCTCGAAGGGTTAACAATAGATGCATGATGGTTCTTAGCAGAAGCTTGGAAATCCACCCCGGAAAGCATCTGGCTGGCACCGTGATACTTGTGGAGAGTATGGCGATGTTTGAGGCTATTCAGAACTGGTTCAGCTAGGGGCCTCGTTACGTAAGCAACCCCTTTAAGGATGTCATATTTCTTCACCACCAGCAAAACACTGTCCACCTTTAGTATTATTACGCTTAGATAGAGGGAACTATTTATCAATTATCTAACTCAAGGTCTTATTTTGCTGTAAGCTTGTTTTACATGACACTACATAAAATATTTAAGTACGACCTATAATCAGTAAAAACGCCTGAAAAAAAATGAGCAAAACTAGGGTTATAGGGAAGAATTTCTATAGACAGCATGGTGAAAAGTCTGTGGTGAATTTAAGTTTATTATTTGGATTATAGGTAGCAATCATTTGTAGATTGTACTAGAAGCTTATAAGATATTACCTTAGTACCTAGGTAGGTACCTAGGTATTTTCTTGATTTATTGCTAGAATCATTATGAAATTGAATGGCTTGTACACGGGAATTTGCTCAAGAATCGTTGAAATACATAGGTACCTACCTATGTACATAAATACGTCGATACCTAATATCGTAGCATCACTGCAGTCTTAGTTTGACCTTTAAGGGACCACCATAGTGAACGTTTCTGAAAACTCGTTACTGATCCTGCTACAATCATTCAACGATCCTAAGATTAAAAGCCGTCTCTGCCCACACTTCTTTCATCTTTTCTTTTCTTTTCTCCTACAAAAAAATCATTGTTCTAGAATTCTCCAACACAATTGTTCGGAACGAAATTCTACTTTCGCAAAAAACATCCTTATTATTACCGATATTAACATATCGTTTTCTTCACATCTTTCTATCTTCCATTAATAGGAATCCATTTATCGTTGGTAAGTTTCACAGACATGCTACTGTCTAGATCAATCTTCCACAACGCGTTTTCTTTAATCGTCTTTCACGTGTAATATCCCCAGTCTTTTGATTTCTATACTATTCAAGAGTCGTCCATTCCTATTATCTACCTTATGCCAAATTTCGCGTCGTTCAAACGACAATATACCTGTATTACACACGTTTCTACATCCTTCTACTGATATCCGTTCACATGTTTCTAATATTTCTCATTACAGATTCCTCATTATTGTTTGACTTGCAATTAAGCAAGTCATTCCAACTCAAGCACCAAACGCGTAATGCTTTAGTCATTACGTGCTTTATGCAGGTAAGATATTACAAGACTCTGATAATAATTTCTTCATGTGCCCATCTAACGTCACTCTTCTTAACTATAGTATACCAAATACGGTCCTGCATATTTACCTACGTGGTAAACCGAACGATGAATATTACAGCCTACTCTTGGGCTGAAGTAGCCCGATCGCCCGGTCATAGCGATCTTCGTCCTGATGTGGACGAACGTGGCACCAACGTCATGACGGCTGGACCCTCAGCTACAATAATTGGCTCCGCACCTGAGCCCTTTAGGGGCCACCAGTCTTTGGTCCAGACTGCTGCCGACAATGACGTGACAAAGGAAAAGGCGGTTCTAATCGAGCCGACCTTAACAATTCCGAGTTCATTAAACGCCGAAAACGTTCACGATGGGATCCGCACACTGGAGGCGACTATTCAGACCCTCAGCATCGACGTAGGTCGTCGAAGCTCGGATCTCATTCAAGCTGAGACCGAGCTCGCTAGCAAAGACCTGGAGATCTCCGATCTACAGGCCAAAGCTACCACTCTTCGAGAGCACTTGGCCGCCGCCACGGCCAGAATGGCAGATAGATCTGACAAGGATGACATAATCCGGCAACTGAAAGATCAGATCTCCGAGCTACGGGTCTCATTACAATCCGGCACCATATCCTTGGCACAGCTATACGGGCCTGATAGCGTTCAGACCTGGAACGCCATTGTTAGCAAAGAGACAGGAATGGGAGGGCTGGACCCCCTTTGTCTCTCTAACAAGCGTCTACTCCGGGGCGCAGAGTCTACCCCGGGTGCTCAAAGAAGCACGACTACTTTGCGAGTAGGACGGTCTCCCAAAGGAGATCCTGTGGCCAGGAGAGCCACACGTTCCTCCGTCCAAGAGGAACGCTCTGCTGAGCAGGTCTCAGCAGAGTCCATGCTAGCTGTCGAGGCGGGCTCGTCAACGAAGCCTAGCCAGGACAGTCAAGCTCAGCTTGTGAGGCGTCCCATAGTCCGGCTTCCCCCATCGACACCTAACCTTTATCCTCCTCCGGCTGCGGCCGGCCTAGATCCTACTCCTGGTGTAAGGAGCGGTGTTCCTTCCAAGAACAAACCGCACAGCCGGGAGGATGGGGGAAACGAAAGAAATGGCAGCAAGGGGAGGGCTGGACCTATCCCTTTGCATGGCCCTGGGGGGAGCCGGAGTCCCCCTCTTAAAGGGAAGGCTATTGGTAGACTCAATAAGAGAGGAAAGAAACAAGGCGTAGCGGCGGGGGAGCCGCAGCCTTACACAGCACGGGGGAGCTAACCCCGGGGTACTGTGACCGGCTTGGCTGCGGTCTTCTCGATTATTTCTGCCTCCCCCAATAGCCGTGCTGTGGGAAGAAGGAATCTGGAATTCCCACACCGCAAGGCGCCTCGTTTGGTCAGGGCGGGACCTTGACCACATCTCAAAGGCTGGGGCGAGTAATAGCAGCCCACAACAGCTCTCTCGACAAGAGCTTCCGGCCGCTGGCTGTTAATTAGCCTGCCGCTGGTGGTATGGTTTCCATATCAGACGCGGAAAAAATCACTAGATTTGGAGGAAGTTGTCACGCGGCGGAATTAAAAAACTAGGAAACAACGAGGTTGTTGCGCGGGGAGCTCCTAACTGCACCCGCTATGGAGAGCACGGTATATATACAGGTGAAGCTTTTTATCTGTCCTGCTCCTAGAGCTAGCGACCAACAAGACCCTGACGGGGACTCTACGGGCCGAATTCCGATCCCATTGACCTCTAGCGACCAACCTGGAGGAAGACTAGATGTCTGACAGAAGTTTTCGTCAACACGAGAAATCGAGAGATGGTAGATGAATCTGCGGCGGGTTACTCATTGGGCACTTCGAATGGGTGTAGAGGAGGATGATGCGTACTTCGCAGAATCGAGAAGAGTCGCCGTGCACCATTCATGATTATTTCCCTTAATTATTGATTATAAATGGCTTCTTCATATAATCTACACTTTTTTTATAGAAAGTAAGGGTCCTTCGTATAGGCTGATATGCGCTGTAGCAAGATCAAGAATCTCCCTCTGGTTGCCGCGTCTACGAAATAGGAGCGCGTTTTTATCTCTCCTAGTGCCGAATCATTGCATACGAAAATATTTTATTCATTCGAAGATAAATAATAAGATAAATATAAGGACGACTCTAGGATACATAGGTACATTGGTAAATAGCAGGTAAATCACCAAGTACCCAGGTACTATTTTGGAATCTCTCGTCACCGACCGCTGTCCGCACAATCAGCCACCCACCCCTAGGACTTAACACAACTTCTACCCTTCTTCTATTTTCTTCCTTTCTTCCTCCCAAAAACCTAGAAACATCGTTGCACTTGGTAATTAATCAACCTTTCGTTTCATTTTCACTTGCAACCGTACTTTCTGCTATCCGATTTCTTTTTTATTTTTGACGTATTATCTGTCAATACCACTATCGTGGTATTTGATAAATTCATCAAAAGGCAAGGCAAACAAGCTTGGCATATCGCTTGGTAAGATTCGTCCACAGGATACCTGTCATACCCTTTGAACCATTTCTATCACCATCCCTTCGTTTGTATGAAGATTTCCCCAAACCCTTCCATTTGTCATCACTTTCACATCTCTCCGCGCTTCAAATCACCACGACGCGTTTATAGCCGTGGCTGTTCACATCTTATCTACCTAGTATCCATTCTACGATTATTCTCTCGTTAGAGGCACCTAGCTCAGCTATATCTCCACAAGCATCTTCCTCGTTGACGACTAACATTTCGGAACCCTTCTTCTATGCTAATTCATCTTCTGAATTCATCTTATATAGGCCTACCTTTCTTTTCGTTCGTACAAGAGCTGTATACCAACTACATATCTCAGATTCTGGTACTTTATCATTCAATCGTCAGTAAGGCCATCAAAGATCTCTACATTTATTCACGTAGCTAATATGGTTGGCCCTACTTAGTACCTATAACGACTTCTTGACACAATACGATGGAGAAGAAATCCCCTTCGAGTCCCTCTTGGGCCTGTGTTGCAGGCTCTAAGGACCACGACGTCCAACATCTACATCCTGCTCGAATTAATCAGAGACCAGCTTCGATGGCCACTGAACCTAAGGCCACGACAAGCACGACAGACACGAACGTAGACGTTGCATTGTTAAATGCAACGATCGCAACCCTTAACGACGACTTAGCGCGTCGGACTTCTGATCTGATTGAGATCAGATATCATCTCCTCAGTAAAACTGCTGAGGTAGATAACCTCAAGTCTACCGTGGCTACTCTAAGCGAAGGATTAGAGTTGGCCAAAGCTAAGGAAATCGGTGGCTCTTGCAAAGACACCGAGATTCAACAGCTTAAATCTGAGGTCGCAAGTCTGAGAAATGCCCTTCATACAGGGGTAATCTCGATCGCACAACTTTACGGACCTACCAGTCTCCAGGAGTTCAATGCCATTTGTGGTAAGGGCTCAAAGGCTGATAACGGGACAGCAGTGGAATATACCACACAAATTCCGAAAGCCTCCCATTACCAGCAGACAAAGACTGCACCGTCTTTATACGACGGTTCTCAGCACTTAAATGATGGTAGTGTCGAGGGAAATGTTTCTGCTATCATCCAAAACTGCGCCCCTGTGGACGCCCAATTATCAAGCGTCAATATCCCTAGAGCTATCGTTAATCTCCCACCTTCCAAGAATATACAGCAAGGTTCAGACAACCCGAATAAGAAGGAACGAGGAAGTAAGAAACCAGTACGACTACGAACAAACACCGCCAAGCGCGTCAATAAACCCACGGCGACTGCTTGTGTTAACAAAGCGCCTCTTGGTGGAATGTCCCAAGACGCGGATCGCCCGACGGATAACTGTGATGGCTGGACTACGATTCCAGTGAAGAACAGGCCTAAGGAAAATAACAAGAAGAGACAGAACAGGAAGGGAAAAGGCGCCGCAAATGCAAAAGTGGAAGGAAAGGGAGAAGAAGAGGGAAATGGGGGAGTGAATTCGGGCCCCAACTCTCAGGCAAAGAAATCCCAGACTGTTCAGAAGAAGGTTCCAGGTGAAGCCCAACCTCAACAGGGATCCAACACCAACCCACCCCAGCACAGACGCGCCAGAAGACCAAGAGGAACAGTGATCGGATCAGCCTCTAACTTCTCGCAGAAGCCCAAGCAAGCTCGCGAGCAGGCTAAAGATCAAGCTATACCAAAGAATGGCAAGGAACAACCTGCGAAACCCACCCAATCCGCGCAAAAGCATGGCAAGGCAAGCTTACCGATCTCTCCCGCTGCCAATACCAATACCGTGGAGCCTAAGCCACAATCCAAAGCGGCAAGCAACCCTGGATCGGCGCGTACTTCGTCACTCAGTCCTGCCGCCGATTGGGCTTTCGGGCGCAAGTAGCCCAGTGACCCATCTCCTCAATTCAGCCCCTAGGAGCGGAGAGTCAATAAAGTCGAGTGGTTCCTGGAGCTACGGAGATCTTGGTATCTGCTCTGTGCTGAATCTTGCAACGGAGATGGTTTGTTTTGTGTAGGAAAGAGGGGGCGGGATATTGATTTCACCTATTACGATAATGATTCCCAATCCTTCTAATCCATTAATACGATCATGTTCCCCTTGTTAGGTGTCTTAGACTTGCTGCTATTCATGATTGACACGATAATTAAGAAGTCAAAAAGTGCTAACAACGTATACATGGGAAATGGCTCCTCAGTCAGGGGTTCAAAAGGGGGTCACTCGCCACAAACCAAGCCACAAAACTAGCCACCCCCTTTTACCTTTCACGCAGCTAACTATTCGGTGCTCTTAGTAAAAACTATACCCTTGGTTATATACAATTCCTTCAAACGGATGCTTTGTTTGATTGAAAGTCCATTGTCGCATGATACTCCTGTCAAACCATAGTTATATGATTATTTCAAACAATGCATTTCATGAGGGAAACAAGATCCTTCAATCAGCATGTTTCGCCCCGGGTTGTCTCATTGATTATAAGTATTTAAAGCTTGAATTCATTTCGGGCAGACGTGATGTAAGAAGCAACCCAAAGCACAAAGCTTACCCCCTAACCGCCTTTTCATCATATTCGAAGTCAATCATACGAAATGCGTTCTTCCTCCTTGTACTCAGCAGCATTGCTGCTTGCTCACGTTAGTCCAGGTTATTCCGTCCCAAAGACGGTGCCTAATAGAGAAACTATTCATAAAGAGGAAACGTCCTTCAACACGAATGTCGATACGATAATAGTGAAGTCCATCATCACGGAAGAAATACGTGAACGTGAATACGATGGAGTAAAGGTGGAGATCATCAAGAAGGACATCTTCTCGCCGAGTATCGTCGTAGACATGCTCGACTCATTCGCTAACTTGGTGCAGAGTCCCGCAATCCGGTTGAATCATGAACTTCGCGAAGCTAAGGCAGAATCCCTCGAGTTGGTTCGTGGCCAGACTTTCGGAGACTGGTGGGCGCGTCGACGTTGGGATTCCCTGCCAAGCGGATCGGAATGGTTTGATGGAACGTTGGCTGAGGGGATGCTCTTTTCTATTGAAGAGGCAGTCTACGACTACGTACCGCAGATGTTTGCGTTGGACCGGCATCTCAATCTTATGGATGCGGGTTCGCTCTCTAATCGGCGACAAGAAGAAGTCTACCTAAAGGAAGATGCCGAGAGTGCCACCAATGCTTTAAAGGCCGTAATCAGAAGCCAGGGGGGAGATTTGCATAACGGAGTTGGACGTGTGGCTTCAATGCTTGTCGCTCGCGCCAGGAGATTCGCCCAGAACCTTGAGGAGTTCAATGAAATTGTTGCGCAGGTCGTCCAGAGAAGCGCAAGCTGGAGTGCACAGGGCGGTTCCCTCAAACGAGAATCAGCGACAGAAAAGGTAGTAAATAACATCCTTTCACGAATGGGCCAGTCGGTTTTCGCCCCGAATCGAAACGCTATTAGAACGTCCCCGAGGCAACGTGCTTTTGCAGACGACAGCGAGCTTGATGAGAAGTTTTTGAGACTATACACACGATACGTACTCAACTTCCTCGAGGACGATGACGAGAATACCAACGGTGCGACTGCCCTCCAAACCATCAAGGAGACATATGGGAATTTCCGCAAGGGTCTTGGAGAATCCCAGAAAGTCTATCGTGGAGCCAAAAAAGTCATGGTTGACACCCGATCTATGCTTGAGAGAAAGAGGCAGCACGAGGCGACCGACGCCTACAAGTACGCAAGGTACGCCGTAGACGAGATGGAGAAGAACCTTGACAGGATTCTTTACATCAATGGGTTCGGACAGAAGTTAGTTGCCAATGGAACCAAGCTAACCCAAGACATGGATACATTTAATGCGAGGAGAATCGAGGAGATCGAAGCGATAGAGGCGCGCTCGAAAGGTCTAGAGCCCCAAGACGACGGCCAACCACCGAAGCGCAGTAAGCAAATGCAGGCGCGACACCCGATTACGGGGATACCGTTTACGACAGAGTACTTCTACGAGTATCAGATCAGGGCTCCATGGAGGATGGTAAAAGACATACGTGCAGCAGCTGACCGGCTCGAGTACGTGTGGTCGACGTTGCTGTGGTGTGAAGACGAACTGGCGTACTTGAATATCTGCGAGGCGGTAAATTTCGAGCCAGAGGAGCGGAGGGAAGCGCTGGGTAAGAGATTCCGACGGCCTGAGGGACCTAAGAACGAGGATTCGCCGCCGTGCGACTCTTTCTCGAACCCGTATATCATGAAGCATATGTGTAAAGACGATTATACATTGTAAGGAAGTTGTTAGAAAGGTATTGTTTTATAGGTTTAGATGTTTTATTTCTGGCAGCGTATGTTTTCAAGGCACATAGGCAAGCCACAGGTAGGAAGGTTTCAATATAGAAGATAATGCCACCCCTTTTCTTAACCGCCGACTGGTCCAGTTCTTGCCGTTCCCGATAGCCAGCAAGTTTACTTGTATGCTTCCAATGAATGTTTGTTTAGCGATGAATGACAATCAAATGTAGGTAGCCATAATTATACCTATTTGTTGACGTATTAATTTGCCACTCGAACATACCACGTAGTTCTAAACATCTATGCAACTAGTTCTATGCGTTTCGTTCCGGAACCTTTTCTAACGGCGTAACCTTCCTCACCACCCGCGCAGGAGTACCCATCGCAACACTCCATGCTGGAATATCTTTTGTCACGACAGAACTAGCAGCAATGGTACATCCCTCCCCAATAGTTACACCAGGCAGGATCACGACATGTCCGCCTACCCAGCAGTCGTCCCCAATAGTCACAGGTCTAGCGTACTCGACATCATCTCTGCGGCTCTGGACCTCGGTCTCATGGGTAGCTGTTAGTATTGAAACGTTGGGTCCGAACATGACGCGGTCGCCGATAGTAACTAGTGCACAGTCCAGGATGGTTAAGTTGAAGTTTGAGTAGAACCGGTGGCCAAGGCGAATGTTACACCCGTAATCCACGGCGAGCGAGGGTTCGATGAATACCTCATCTTCGATATGGCCAAGGAATTGCTTCAAGATGTTCTTCCTTGCATTTTCTAAAGATTTGAAGTCGGCCTCTGGGTCATCAGGGAAGTAGTTGTTATACTTGTGCATCCATCTTCGAGCGTTGAAGCGTGCTTTCATGAGCTCGGGGTCTTGGGCATCATATCTATGAAGGGTTAGACTAACAACCCGAACCTCCTTTCTCTGCTCAAGCACACTCACAACATCCCAGAAATCATCTTATCGAATTCATCAGACTTGGGCAAATGAGCGAGACTAGCGGCCTTGCTAAGCTCTTCTGGATTTTTCTCAAGGGCAGCCATGGTCCAGTTCTAACTCCGGGGTTCAATTTCCTACTTGAGATTAATAAGATCCATAGATAGAATGTGTCAGGGGTAGAAACCTATGAGAGCTCACTGATGACTAACAAGGATTAGAGGGGGGCTTTTATTACTAAGCCACCTTGTTATAAACACTACTAAATGACGATATTACACCAATTTCTTGTCCTTGAAAACTCAGAATATGTGTTCAGTGAAAACGAGCAACTTAGGTAACTTCTTTGAAAATGAATTGAAGTGGATTTGGACACGTCAGTAAACTAGTATTCGTCCGCCTCTGCTTGGCTTGCTCGTTCAGCATATTCAGCCACACGATAATACGATGCGTGGCTTAAGTTACACTGAACAATGCACCGCCATAGATGACTAAGTCGACATTTCGGATTAGGTAATGACTCGGAATTCAGAATTAAGAAACACAAGAATAAAATCCATTCTCAAGACGAAAGGCGACATCGTGAAGAATACGAATTTCCGTGAATCGGAGCGTCCTAATGGGATTTCGTTAACCACTGAAGGCGTCCGAAGATGAATGCTGAAAGAAACGGTCGTTTTGTTAGCCGTCCTTGGATCAAGATCCGTTGACACTTGGCGAAGCCTATGATCAATTGCACAATAGAATGCTGATCTATAGTACACATTTTCAAAATCACTTATCTCTCGTGGATTGATCGTTGCGGAAGTTGCCGGTACTAGCTTATCCTTGAACACAAACGCAATGTCTTCGATGCTTCTGGGCAAAATCTCCAACCGGCTTGGATAGCGACGGCTTCGTTGACTAATCCTATATAGGTTCCCCAAAGCTACGATCCCCCATGGCGTCATATATAACTCCATACAATTCCACGTATCAATTCGCGGGTTGTTGGAGTTGATCATGGTTGAGTTGAGACATCGATCATGACCAATTTCAGGGGCGCAATGACGTGCTCTCTGGCGGGCATGAGCAATCGTCGCACAACAATCGGCAAACGAATCGGGTCTTGGCCTTTTTAATCGGGGGGACGAGATCTTATCTATGTCGGAATCTATTACGCGTTATACCCTGAGTAAGGCGCGATATATCTGCGGATTATGCCATGATTCAATCTAAAGCTGTAGTTGGCCTGTATATAGTATGAGTAAACAACCAGTTCCTGACTAACCTTACTACCTTTACGCGTTGACTCGTGTTCTATTGGAGTGTCTGAAATATCTGGCCGACATAATCGTCACCATGGCGGATGCGGTAGAGAGAACAACGGACAGTCCATCGGGTGTTGAAAATGAGCAGCCCGTTGAAGGTAAGTGTCCTACAAATCCTATTGTCAAGAGAACTTGCTAATGCCGGCTAGTCAAATGGTATCGATCAGTATTTTATAATGCCACGATCCTTGGCCTTTGCAGTTTCGCCGCGCCGGGTCTATGGGGAGCAATGAACTCCCTCGGGGCCGGAGGGGCACAATCACCTTATCTCGTGAATACCGGAAATGCACTTACTTTCTGCCTCATGGTGGTGTCTTGCTGGTTGACTAGCGGAGTTGTCAAGTATATTGGCATCAAAGGTGCTCTCTTTGTTGGCACTATCGGATACGCCCCCTACAGTGCAGGACTCTACCTCAATAATCGATATGGTGTCGAATGGCTTGTTATTGTTGGAGCCGCTTTCTGCGGCATATCTGCTGGCATCTTCTGGGCAGCCGAGGCAGCTATCGCTATTGCATACCCCGAGCCGCGCAATCGAGGAAGAATGGTCGCATACTGGCTGACTTGGACACGAATTGGGCAGATCCTCGGAGGTGCTGTCAACTTGGGTCTGAACGCGGATCGCAACCAAGCCGGAAAGGTATCCTATAATGTGTACTTGATTTTCATTGCCCTGCAGGCATGTGGAACACTTGTTGCTCTATTCCTCAACAACCCCTCTAAGGTTCAGCGACCAAGTGGAATACCCGTCCAACTCACCATATTCGACAGCCCATGGCAAGAAATCAAAGCCACAACCAAAACCTTTCTCACCAAGAAGTTTCTTCTCATCATTCTCTGGATCGGTCAAGGAGTGTACTCTGAAGCAGTCTTCTTCACATACAATTCTCTTTGGTTTAGCGTACGTGCAAGAGCTTTGGGATCATTCTTGTCCGGAATAGTGGCAGTCATCTGTGGAAACCTCCTTGGATTATGGCTAGATCAACATCAGATTTCGCTGAAGACTAGGTCCCGACGGGCTTTCGTAGTTATAATGACGCTACAGGGAGCCTGGTGGTTGTGGCTCACAATCAACGTTACCGAATACCGCAGAACTCAGCCGCTCTTTGACTGGGCTGACCCCGGGTTCGGAAGAGCCTTTGGGGTCTTTGTCTTCCTTGTCGCTGGCTTCCAACTCAACTACAATTTCTCGTACTTCATAATCGGACAGATATCCTCTAGTCCGCAGGAGACTATCCGGCTTTCGGCCTTACTGAGAGGGACAGAGTCGGCCTGGCAGGCTGTGAGTTATGGATTGAATGCCATTCCTATCATAGCTTCCGTTGGTGGTCCCTACATTAACTTCGGTCTCTGGGGCGCTGCGATAATACCTGTTTGGTTTGTAATTAAGGATTTTGGCGCGGAGAAAGATAAGAGTGACGTGGAAAGCCCATCAATTGAGGTCCACAGTGAGTTGCAGAAAGAAACGGGATCTAATTGATTTGCGCTTGAAGGTAAAAGAACTGATTGGGGTTTATGTAGAAGGATCTTAGATAAAAACACTCAGAGGGCTGCATACTAGAGTTAACCATTATTGTCTGATTCGAAACCTTAGCTTCATAGATAATCTCACACGAGGTTTATTTAATTCTTGAATGTGAGAACTCTCATCACTATCATCGAAGTTGGCCTGTAAATATTATGGTTGCACTTGTCGGAGGGGTTGGTGACTTGCCTTTGGCGGAGGGAGGGAGGGGGGCGTTGGAGAACTGATGTGATCGTCGTCAAGCTTCGCGTCATCGATAACTATGTTCCTTCGGAGCCTAGTTATCTATCAATTCCTGACCAATATCTCTTCTAATAGGCAGAACGCAAGCGCACGCCATATTAGTCTCCAAGTCCGGTTCGGAATCCAGACGATATATAAGAAATGGTAGGTGGAGTACGCCGGCCCATCGCCCCATCAAGATTGAAAATATCAAAACATCAAAGTCTGCTTGTGGCTTGGCGAGATGGCGGCCAATCTCGAATCTCTGAAGCACATTTCCCCGGATTCCGGGTTCCCGATTACGATTCATCCGCATTTCTCACCTAGGATCAGAGATCACGTTCCACCAGAACCGATCCGGGAGGAGATAATCCCTGAAAAAGACCGGGCATCATTTGCGGACCCCGAGAAGAGGGCGCTCTTCGCGGTTGCCAAACCAGTCGACCTCACAGAGTCTATTGGAACCGTGCTGGAGAATGTGCAGCTCTCACAACTGACCCCTCAGCAGTTGGATGAGCTTGCGCTGCTTGTAAATGAACGTGGCGTGGTATTTTTCCGCGGCCAAGACCTAACGACTGATGGACAGGTAAAACTCTTTGAGCATTATGGCATTTTAGATCGACACCCAGCCCAGAAGGATGCGCGCCATGTCGTGATTCGAGGCAGTCGCGAGGACCATCGAGAGATTAATAAGTATACTCCATGGCCATCAGGGGAATGGCATGCCGATACTTCCTTTGAAATCAACCCCCCCTCGTACTCCTTGCTTCGTATGGAAGAGCATCCCCCTGTCGGCGGAGATACAGCCTGGGTTTCCGGGTACGGTCTATACGACACACTAAGCGACGCAATGAAGAAGTTCGTTGAAGGCTTGCACGCCGTACATACGTCACGGCTACAATACGATACGATCTTAGATCTGTGGGGTGCTGGCCCGAACCGCCCTCCAATCGATTCCCATCATCCAGCCGTGAGGACCCACCCGGTGACCAAACTGAAAGCGCTGAACGTGAACACCGGATTCGTAACTGGCTTCGCCGAGCTTAAGAAGCATGAATCGGACAAGTTGCTGGATTTTTTCAACTTGCACCTCCACTCGGCGGATGACCACTCGGTCCGGTGGAAATGGGAGGTTGGGAGTGTTGCGATGTGGGATAATCGCTGCGTACTGCACCGAGTTATTCCAGGTTCGTATGAGGCGCCTCGTAGGGGTATCCGCACAACGGTCTTCGGGGAGAAACGTAAGTTTCTATTGTTAAAGCCTTGGTGGTGTTGGTCACGCGCAACTAACATGGTATAGCGTTTTATGACCCATCAAGTGAAGGGAGAGCTGAGAGGGAGCGGAGACTCAAGAAGGCGGCAACCAACGAACAGTCCGATAACTCTGGTGTTAAAGAGAATCCCATCAACACGCCTGCTTGAGAATGTCAGGCTGTCTAAGGTTTTTTGGGCTAAATGAGAGAAAGTCGTAATGAGAACTAGTGAGTTCATGAGAGTTGTTGATGAATATACTCGGCGAGTTTGATGCTAGTATGTACAGCAAGGTATATGTTCGCCGATTCAAAAATACCTTAGAATCCACTATTGTGCACTAGCCCCACAATATGAGAGCTGGTGATAAGCGAGAGCTGTTGCAGAGTTCTAGACCACACGGTCCGAGATCATGGATCTTGCCTGAAGTGGCTTCTTACCTAAGACAAGACTCGACTTACCTAATTAGTAAATGCTCGCGTTTTAGTCAGCCTATTGGATTCTGAAGTCAAGGTTTTGAGGACGTCGCAATAGGTCGTGGCGCTCTGGAAATTTTCCTTTTCCTTGATTTCTTATCAATCGTCTATTTTGTCGTGAGTGATTTCTTTAGGTGGAACGCTGGATATTGCAAGATTTCTGTGGTAAGACTTTCTCTACCTCTAGGTATCCACACCGAGGCAACAAAGTTGTACTTACATCTACCCCATCCAATATCTTAAGAGAAGAAAGCAATGTCGACAATCCGCAGCCTGACGCTAAGATTGGAATATAAACGCGTATCTTCTCACTGCCAATGCTACCTATCTAGCCTGCCTACCCGGGTATTAGGAGACGGGTTGAGAGGAAGATTTAGGGATGCTTGGTCAACTTTCGGATATCGGTCGGCAGTCGGGATCAATTCGCTTGGATGACACATGACAGCCCCATTTGACGTGCATGTTGTGGTCGGCGATTGGTAGTTTCGCATGATGGAGGGCGCCTGTACAATCCCCTTTTCGTCCAATCTACCATTATCCCGCAAATATCTCGCAAGATATGTATCTTTTATCGTTCGTGAAAATGTAGAAGTAAGGAGGCTTAAATATCCTCGGTTCACAACCTTAGCTAGAATAGGATAGAGTGGTAGAAAACCCCTAAAATATGCAAGTTGTTTGAATTCGATTAGTCTCTCATGAACCCCAGAAAATAGTTCCCCGCCTAAAGCGGTACTAGGTGCCTAATAAGACATTCATTCAAAGAAACGAGTAAAGAACGTCCCTAAGGTGATACACATTAATAACGGAATGAAGGTATTTTTAAGTTTAAGGTGTCATTTATGATATTTGATTCATACCTAGTAATGTCGGAACCATGCAGCCATGCTAACATTGAACTCTAAACATCTCTAAGTAGGTACTTTGGTACTTCTCTCTGCACCTGAGAAGATTCAACTTGAAGGTTCCTTCCTACTAGGTACTAGACATCTTAAGGATGATGCCCTCCTTGTAGAAGTATCTACCTACCTATTTGAAAACATTGGAAATTTACACTAGGAGCTGCTATGTACTTTCCAAGATTTCATGACGTATTTTGAAGGCTAGTAAAAGCCGGAGCCGTGCGTTACAAGGCATGCTTAGTGGATTTACACAAGCTAACCCACTAAAGAAAGGTCAGCTAAGGTCCACTGTGATCGAATGTATCGAGTGCCTAAAGCGGGAGCGGCTTAGGTGGTCTGATAGGGAAAGTACAACACCTACGATAGCGGTAATCAGAACGGGGCGCCGCTTTCGCCGGTCCCCGCCATTTGCCATTTGCTGTCAACGTAAATTTCCCAACGTGAAATTCCCTCCAATTCTAACCGCCAATGTTCTTGTGAGTCTGTAGCGTAACATGTCCACAATCCGTAATAACGCAATACCGCCTTTTCGCGCCTTGAAACGACACGGACCTATGAAGAAATTAGCCGTCATAACCCCATAAACCCAAAAACCCAAAACGAATTACACTCATGTTCAAATTCAGGATCTGGGAGAATGGATTTGGAAGACATGAGTGTGCAGATGGTCGCCGCGGACACAGCAGCTGAGGTCGCAGCAGAAGTCGCTGCGGCCGACCCTTCGAACAGACACCCTAAGAAATCGAGTCAGACCTGCATTCCGTGTAGAGTGCGAAAGGTACGATGTGATGGACGTCGCGACGTATGCCAGAATTGCGAGCGATTGGGGTTCACGTGCTCATTCCACGACGCCGCTTCACCCAACCAGGATTCCGAGAATTTAACGAATTTCACTCTCCCGCGAAGACGTGTTAGATTAGCCTGTGCCAACTGCCATTCTAGGAAAGCCAGATGTAGCGGTGAAACTCCAAAATGCGCTAGATGTCAGGCTCAAGGCATCGAATGTGTCTACAAGCCAACTAAGCGATCCGGAGGAGCAAGCAGCACTGCCCAGCAAGCACAACAAGGCACTACCGATTCCGAACTTGAATCTGTCTCATCTGAGCCGCCGGAGAAGCGAGTAATGACTAGTAAAGACAACCAAGGCTCTCATCATGGACCCCAAGGACCGGACCACCAAAATTATGACTCGAATGGCATATCGATGTCTACGAGCGTCAATCATGAACCGTATGTATTTGGCGACTTATTTTCTTATTGTTGGCGATAACTGATGAATGCGCAAGATTTACCTTTCCCGATGAGACTTTGATACAGAAGACATTTAACAATTTCTTCCGTCATGTTCATCATGTTCCCATATTCTCATTTCTTCATCGCGCCTCACTTATGCAGCGCTATCATGCTGGCATGATGGACAAAGCGCTACTTCTTGCTTTAGTAGGAATCACTTCATTGCTTATGGATTTAGGTCCTGGCACACGAGACTATGGCGCTAGATGTATCGACGAATGTCAGACTATGGTACTGCAGGATCTAGAGAACCCGTCGACGATTAAAATACAAGCTCTTGTCCTTATTATGAAACACCGGATGCTATCGCGAAAATTTACGACCGCCTTCATGCTAGCAGCAACGGCTACACGTTTCGCGTATGCCCTACGACTAAATTATGAGAACCCGAATCTATGCTTCCTAGCTAGAGAATCACGGAGGAGATTAATGTGGGCGCTTCTTACCATCGATTCCGGCATCAACGGCGGATGTTCGGATTTTACGCTTATGCCATCTGAATCCATGCACGTCCAACTTCCCTGTACCGAACGCAATTTTGAATTCGATCTTCCGCAAGTTACCGAATATCTACGACCTGTTCCCACGCGACCTTTCCCCGATGATGTCGGATCTCTGGCGCTTCATGTAAGGCTTTTATGGATGAGGAGTAGAGTTCTGTACTGCACCAAGAATGTTCTAGGAATGCCCGAGGCCGAACTTGCGCAACTACCAGAGCTAGTCAAGGTTCTTTCAGAAGAATTGACCGGCTTTAACGACCACCTGCCGGCTTCTTTTAAATTTTCCGAAAGCAACCTTCAGCTACGCGCCTATTCTCCACGACTGTGCGTCTACATCATGATACACGTATGGTGGCGACAGTGTTATTGTGATCTTTACCGTATGTTTCTCGTGGGGCTCAAGGACGCCTTGCCCCAGTCGGGTTTAAATCGATTAGATCCTCACTTCGTATCCTATTGCGCAAGCCAATGCTACGAGCACGCTCTAGCCATGGCTGATATTTTTAAACTAATCTTATCACTCGATGGAGGCCTCCCGGTCACCGACCTCGATTTACCTACATGCGCTTACCAGTGCGCTCGAATTATCTACTTCGCCTTCCAGAATAGCCAAGCCGAGGTTGGGTTAACCTCGAATCAAGTACACGAAATCGGAACGAGGTGTCTGACAATAGCGAAGTCGATGGATCACGTTCCCGCTGGAACTGCTATTGTAAGTTGTATCACTAACAAAATTTTATTGCGCTCTGCTGAGAACGCTTGCTATTCTAGGTTGCTGATCTCGAGAAATTAATTGCTCGCGGCCTCTCCACGGAATCCTCCCATAATCATGCACCGAGCCCTAACGCCAACGCATCTAATCTTATACCGCAAGCTGCCATATCACGTCGCAATCAGATCCAACAAATGCCAGTCATGGATGAGAGCGGGTTTGCTAACATTCCTATAATATCTTCCTCTACTCACATTTCTTCTCCGCAAGGTAGCTCAATGTCTACGCCGATTCCACATTCGACTCATCAACCACCAGCCCCGCAACATAACCGCGGTTCACTACCTGGAACACCGATCAGCGACTTTACCATGGGAAAACCGAATCTCGCGCCCGTAATGCCTCCGGATGGAATAGATAACAATAACGCCTTTGAAGGGGCCATGGACGGCTTCGACTTCAACTTGGAATCTTTCGGAAGTACCGGACTTGAGTCAACATCGTGGCTCTCAAACGATTGGTTGAGCAACGAATACTCGCAAACAACAGTCTGAGTCTGATTTGGGAAAAGAGCATTCTTCTACCCTATGTTCGCAGGCTGGTTCCTAAAGAACAACGACGTCTGAAGTAATCATCTTATCTCCACTGAACGCTTCATATCAATGCGCCCAAATATTTCCATCTATGCCAGCCAATTTGACAGTTATAACTACTGTTACTTGGCTAGAGAGGGCACTAAAAGATGACCGCGATAATCCTCGTGAAGGGATCAGGATTTACCTATGCTAGAAATCTTCCTCCCCGGCAAAAAGTTACTCTCACAGGGTTAACATCTATTCTCACATCCACTCAAAGGATATACCCTTGGCTAATAATGCAAGTCCCTCGTGCTGTCTTGTGCCAAGTCGGCTATGTCCCGGCTTCTACCTCAATTGTTCCGAAAACAACTACGGCCTGAATCTTCTTGATACGCCATGATGGCTTGATGCTGCTAGTTCATACGATATTTGGAGATCCAGCTTAGCCGCATATAACCTGCAACCCTAAGGATGTCGCCTTACCATTGTGTTCGACATAGCGAAAAGGTTCGTATTGGATCTTTTTGCTCGGACATGCGGAAAGACTTCTGGGCAGGTGGTCAAATGTTGTTCTAGTGCCTGATAGCATATGGACGACATTGAATACGGCCATCAAAGCCGCATCTTGAGGACTCATAACTTACATAAACAGCTCTACCTCAGTTTATGCCACCAAAAAACGCCACACAAATTCGCACAACTCAGTCTTGGATAAAGTTGGATGGTTCGGTCGAATCTAGAGAGTGGTAACTTGACACCTACTTGGTAACAGTTCATTTACTGAAGACGAGCATAGTTGTCACACGACTTACGTGGAAAGACATCATAAAGCTTCCAATATTCAAAGAGGCTCACATTGAATTCTTCCAGAATTTGGTTGTATCGGAAGTTTGAGAATGGAATTATCGATTTCGAACTAGACAACACACTTGTAAGTCTAACCCGGCACATTGGTTTGAAAATCCGAGGTCATCAAACCCATCTACTAAATTTCTATGATGGGAAATTTGAGATACATATCTACATAACATTAAATACTAAATAAACACATCTTAAACTTTTTAGATATTTACCATCAAGTATGTAGGTGCAATAGTTTAGGATTAGCATGTGAACCTTGAATCTAATTGCTTACCTAATAGTTAGTCGCATCCAAACCTTGAAGGTTCTGCTAATTCTCCCCGCTAAAATTTTCGATGCCCCACATACACAGGGCAAAATAAGGAACCCCACCATACAACCGTCAATCCTAAATTTATTAACCATCTACATCGAACAAGACGATTTCGCAAAATGGCGACAACAGAAAACCAAGATTCGGCTGAGGCCACCCGGTTAGAAAATACTCAGACGGAGACAGCAGTAGATGTGACGCCCTCGAAACCAATCCATTCCCTCGTTGTCGATACTGGTCCTCTAATTAAGAACGACCCTCCCATCAGCACACTCATCGCCCAAGCGCATGAACTGTACACCCTCCCCTCCGTTATCTCCGAAATCCGCGACGCAGCCACAAGAGCGCGCGTCGAGACTACACTTCTCCCATTCCTGAAACTGCGTAGTCCGAAACCGGAGAGCGTCAAGTTCGTTACTGATTTTGCGCGACGCACCGGCGACCTCGAGGTGTTGAGTAAACCAGACATACACTTAATCGCATTAACGTACGAGTTAGAGTGTGAGAGAAATGGAGGTGATTGGAGATTACGGAAAACCCCAGGGCAGAAAGGGCTAAATGGCAAGGCGCCGAAAAGGGACGAAGATGGCGTTTCCGAACAGAAAGAGGAGGAAAGCGAACCCGCAAACGTGGAGGAATCCTCTGAAGAACAAAATAAGACAGAGCAGATCCCATTAGAGATCTACGAAGAGGAGAGTACAGAAGAGAACGCCGAGATACAGAAGCAACCAGCTATCCAGCAAGAAACGGTCACCCAGGCACTCGACTCTCTTAGTCTAGAGCCATCCACATTGCCAACTATGGAAACCATATCAAATAACACCACGACGCCAGAAACAACCACACAAGAAGCGCAAGAAGACGAGGACGAAGACGGTTGGATCACACCCTCCAACCTCAAGAAGCACCAAGCTAAAGACAAGCTCTCCGGCCCCGAGCAACCGATCCAGAAATTCCTACAAGTCGCACTCCTCACATCCGATTACGCGATGCAGAACGTCCTCTTACGCATGAACCTCAACCTTGTATCGCCTAGCCTAGCGCGCATCACCCGCGTCAAGACCTGGGTGCTGCGATGCCACGGCTGCTTCGCCATCTCCCGCGATATGAGCAAGCAGTTCTGCCCCCGCTGCGGACAGTCTACACTCACACGCGTGAGCTGCTCCACGGACTCAGCCGGGAACTTCACCGTACACCTAAAGAAAAACTTCCAGTGGAATAATCGGGGCAACGTGTATAGCGTGCCAAAGCCGGTCCACGGGTCCTCGAGCGGAAAGGCGAAGAATACAGGTGGTGGGAAGAATGGTTGGGGTAGAGAGCTGATATTGGCGGAGGATCAGAAGGAGTTTGTGAAGAAGAGTACGGATCAGAGGAGAGCTAGGCAAAGGGATCTTATGGATGAGGATTACTTGCCGGGGATATTGACGGGAGATAGAGGGGCTGGAGGTGGGAATGGGAGGGTTAGGATTGGTGCGGGGAGGAATGTAAATTCGAGGAAAAGATGATTTGCGTTCTACAGGCACAATAGAATAAAAGTTGATACCACGCTTTTAATTGGGGGATATTGAGCTGACTTCTTGATGTTTATTGAGACTGCCTACACAAAGGTACTGAAGGTAGGGACTCATGATCTTGTGTCCATCCCATGCACATTCATATATCCACCAAAAGCGAAAAAAATCAATTCACAGCTTCACATCCAGGTTTGTCAAAACGAAGTGTTTTATTCTCTGCCTCTGCCGCCAGACCGTGAACGATACGGAAATCATGAAGCCTGATAGTGAACCGAAACACTGAAGAGTATTTTCCCAATATCCCTGAACGCCAGATCGTATAAACAGGTGCTAGGTAGTAGGTAGGTGCCGTGAAATCATGGCGTTGTAGGTAAGGCGTGTCTGCGGTGTTTTGGACAACCTGTAGAATGCCTGTCTTATTCCATCGTCATCGAAATAGAACGTCCTTCATCACGAGGTCTCGGCGATTTTGTTCTCTGTAGATAAGGAGTTTGTTAGTACATTCTGCTCTTTCATCGTTTTTCCCGTCTACCTTTACCCATCTATTATACAAACAGCCCTGAAAATAGATATTTGCATGGACAGGTAGGTAGACAGGTTGGAATTGGAGGGGTCACTCACTCTGCTGCGTCAACAACAATCCGAAACGCTTCTTGAGCGTGACCCGCTGGCGCGACCACTTATCGTCGGGGGAGAAGCGGGCTGGGTGTGCGGACTTGGTAACCTCGCCGTGAAGGACTTTCTTGAGGGTGTAGATGCGCTTGCCGCTCTCGTCTGCGGTGTACATGAGATGCATTTTGACGGTATGGTTATTTAGTTTTTTCGGCTTGATTGTGGTTTTGTTCTCGGTTTAGAGGTGTACGATATGCACTGATGGCGAGATTGACAGTGCTTGTACAGCCGTGGATTTGTGAGTGATTGTGAGAGCTGTGGTCGTTCCTGTTTGTTAGAGTCTGCTGAGGTTGAGAAAGCTCCAAAATGATTTTTTTTCTAACATTCAATTGATGCATGGATTAATTATGGGTCTTCACCAATCATATCTGGGGATGGGTTTATCGCTTATCGATAGTAAACAGTGCCGTCTTTACGGATAACTATACTGTTTTCAAGAAACTCCAGTATTCACATATTTGCGTAGAACACTGCCGAAGGAAATCAGTTTCACTATATGAAATTCTTTAAATTAATATATTTAATCCTCCAGCCTGTGTCTATGAAATTTAGTCCGTCCATTGCTTTTCCGGTTCCAACCCCCTTACTAGATTCCTTAAATTCAAACGCGTGCTATACAGAACATTCTCAGTGAACCCGACCTCTCGCATCGCTTCTCCGGCGTTGTTGATATCCGAGTCAGCACTGATCTTCCCTCTAGGTCGGTGATGAACGAAAAGGCTCGGAACTATGCTAATGCAGCGCATTCCGTTGATGCGCAGTCGGCATAGATCACTCAGATGGTTGTCGAAGGGCTTCGTTTGACCCTCAAGACCCATGTGCTGAAGCGCCTTCTGTGCGCCAGCGGCGCTCAGCGCATACGCAAAACTACACACATTATCTCCAGGGACATATACAATGCGCGTCTCTGGTGGGTAGTCATCCCAGCTAAACGACCCGTTGCCTAGGATGTGACCGAGCGGCGGCACTGTTGGGTCATTACGGATGAGAATCTTACGGGCATCCCGTTGTTCGTACGGGATTTGAAGATGCTCGGGCAGGTCTTCATCAAACGTCGTTACACAGGATCCAAGCCACAACATATCCCAGTCTTGGCCGTATGGGCTAGGCGATTTCAGTCTCTGGTCTTGGTGGAAGTTTTTCTGCAGAACGCGTGCGGCTTGGGCGAATTGCGTCAATAGGTCTTTTATGTGGACATCCCAATCCATGTCGTCTTCCATGATAAGAGCTGATGAAATTCCTTCCTCGACAATACGGCGCATCGCATTGATATGCCCGCGCCACGATCCTAGATTGCTATCTTGCATCGTCTCTCGATTCCACCCCTAGGTTGGATGTGTTAACTTCTCCAAAGAGATTCGGCTTCGAAAAAATGGGAACTTACGAAGGGTAAAGCTTTATCGGGGATCGTCTTCCCAACTACGCCATCTACCCAACTTAGCTGAAACCCCGTCAACGATGACATTAGAGTTAATGCATCACGTTTATCGGAACGTTCAGGAAGTCCTATAACGAAGACCTTCTCAAACTACAACCCCAGAACCCGTCAATCAGTTAATGAGGATGCCACCACGAAGACAAAACTTACACCGAGAGTCCTATTGAATACGTCTGATTTCTCATGCTTTCCCTTTGATGGGACCCATTTTATCGAACTCGAAGTCGAGCTTAATTGATTGCGGACAGATCCCGATCCCAGATAGGCGAGGAAGATGCAAGCGAAGACCACCGCGCCAATTACCAAATTAATATTTTGTCGTCCCCCAATCATGATCGTGGTCTAGTCAACACGTTGCACTTAGTACCAAATCAAGTTCCATAGAGAACCATCGAATCTCGAAAACTGTTGGACTGGCGAATGTTCAGAGTAAGTAAGGGAGAAGAGACGTAACGTACAACCAACAAGTATCACACGTCTCACTAGTGCGACCTTCACCCAAGGTCTAGATCATCCGAAGTCACGAACATGTCGAATGAAATGTAAGATCAGCCGCAAAAATAACACAGCGTGTTATACATAGATACCTACCTGATAAGCTCGATGCTTACGATCGTAAACAATACGAAAGAAACACCCCGATTAGCGCCACCGTGCTCGCTTCTATCAGTAGACCAATCAACCCCTGTGCCTCCGGCGGGCGAGACCGGCTATCAGCGCCTAGTCCGTTGGAGGTCAGATTTAAATCTAGCGTGATCTAGCGATACGGGAGGGGGAAAGGATATTTTTCTGCCAATCGCTCCTATGATATCACGCTGCCCACCGGGCCATGACCGTTCGATCAGCGGTGTCAGTTAGATATAGCGACGGTGACGTAATCAAACACTCTTCAATTCTTAATTGATATGTTTAAACTTGTTCGGTTCCAATTTGTTGACTTTTACTTACACTAATCTTACTAATAATAATGACGAAGACACTTCCATCGCCAACCCTAACCGCATCCTTTGATAATCATACTTTTCGCGGGAGAATTCAGAAATGAATTCTTTTTACGTAGGTAGTATTTACCATAACAAAAACGCTGGAGATCCAAATTCATGTTTTTCGAGGACTCCTGTCCTCGTCACCACCGCAAACATTTCACAAGCCAACGTGCTTTTGAAGCTATATGGGTTTAACTTTATCAGGATATCGGAGACCGCAGGTACCCTCCTGCTCCTACGTCGGGTGATATCCCATACCCAAGTTGGCGCGTGTTTAGATAATCCATTTCCAGTCTCATATTTTGGCCAGTCTCGTAGATCGTCGAAGATCGACGGTGTTGTGTGTAAAGGACAAGCACGAATGAGGTCCTCCAATGTTATGAAGTAACCCTGACCGGACCAATCCCATCCCAAGATCAAGACTTCTTCTTGGGGCTCGTTATGTAGTATGATGCCTAAAACCTTAACTAGATGTGCTAGATTTCGGCGTCTGCGGAAAATATCTTGAGAGAAATTGTCTAGCAACATTTCAAAAAACCCGGCGAGACTGGATACTAGGATCATCCACACACTAGCATAATCGCACCTATTTTGTTCGCGAACGTTTGACATTCTATCATGACTGCTCCTTATTTGTTCATGAGCAGAAAAGCCTTGTTTTAGAAGAGACATTATAAAGTTCTCATTTGGGGCATTATGGGGCATGAATACCCAAGACAGACTCGCAGATAAAAGGACACTCTTATCGTTCAACCCTTCACTCATAGGAGAGTTGGTTTGGATGCTTGCGAGTCTTGTAATCACATCGTGGCTGCTAACTCCCTGCGATACCGCAAAATGTAACAGGGACATTTGGTCTGCCGGCATGATATCTTTGATTCCGTCAGATACAATTAATTTTTCTTTTCTCGAAAAGGACCACCATGCGAAAGAGGTCGGGAGCATGCTCCCAAGCTCCTCGAGTAGATGCCAAGAAACCCGGGGAGAGTCCTGATTTTCCCTTTGGTTCATGGACCATATTTCGTAGCCGTACAGGACAAAGTATTTGGGATTGGAGACATGTTTATGTTCTATGTTTCGAAGAACCTTCAGCTCTTTCAGTCGTAGATGTGCATGCAAATCCGCCAACTGAAGTTGATGGCAGCTCAATTGAAGCTCACTGAACCGCTCCGGTTGTAACAGGTATTCTCTGAGTGTTTTATGAAATAATTTGACTCTAGTTGACGTTAAATAAGGCATTGGCCTCAGGTATCGCATAATCCGCCGTCGTTCCAATGGTGGTAACTTCTTTGATATGTGGGAGGGACGATGTTGTGAATAGGCTTCGATCAGACCCCGAGTCCATCCGTCCAAATGATTCTTCACGTAAGCAATATGGGTCTCCACAACATCCATGGTGTAATTCTCATGGAGACTGGTCTTTCGCCATTCATCTTCGTCGGCTAGCCACTTCAAGGATAACGCATTCACGTCGTCTTCGAATGGATTCGTGAGTACGGCGAAGAGTATCCGATTTGTAATTCTTCGGTCTGTATATGAAAGCGAGCCAAGAATCTGATCATATAACGCGTTCATATCCTTTGGAAGCTCGTCTAATTTTCTTCTCAGGTCTACTCCTGTTCCATTTCTTCTGGCCTCCGATAGAATGATGCGAACCACAAGAACTGCCCAGAGGAAGACTCCCTCCGCGCGGTGAACAATTTCGCGTACAAGATATTCGCAGGATTCTCGCAGATGGTGGAGACTAAGGAATTCTTCGTCCTTAGTGAACATAGTTTGGCAATATTTTTCAATATCGCACTTATTAAGATCCTGTAGATGTACTTGGTATTGATCCGAGTACTTAGATGGGTCGAAAGTATTCTGAAATTGAATATGCGGTCGTGAGCTGACACACATTTTAATATTTCCATTGCTTGAAGCGGCCCAGTTGCGAAGCTGCTTTGCAAGGTGCCAATGGTCCTCACTATCGGCATCGTATTCGTCCAAACCGTCGATGAAAAGGCATAAGCAATAGTCGCCACCGGTAGCCTTGTCTATTAGTTTTCGGAAAGCTGCCTCGATGATATGGGGGCGAGTAAGGTTAGCAAGGTCAGTCGATAGCACCGGACCGCCTTCTTCCCAATAGCTTGGAAGTACCTCTGGAATCAGACTCGGGCGTATATTCAAAACAGAAAACAGTATCGAACGATATAGCCCTGTAAGAGATCTCTGGTTTTGATTACCAGAGATCCAGAAGAAGAACGCAGCGTAACACAGATCCCGCCCCCCTGCCCACTGCTCGAGGCATTTTCTAGTCTGTGGCTCCAACCAGATCTTCTTCATTAAAGTTGATTTCCCGGAACCAGGCTTGCCAGAAATATGAAATATTCCATGGCCAGATCTAAGCCACGATTTGAATTGGCCTGTTTCCTTCAGCTGTTTATGCGTAGGTTTACTCGATTGAAGGTTGTAGTCGAGACGATCACTGCTGATATCTTTCTCCTGAGAAGGCCATGAGAAAGTACCGTCGGTCGCATTTTTAATCTCATCTTCTCTATCAAAAATGCCTTCGAAGCGAAGTTGCATTAAAATTGAGGTTTCTGACCGGGCAGAAATGAGAGTATTTTGGAATCGAGAAAGTAGAGGCCCGAGTGAGTCACTTAGAAGCTTGCTACTGCCATGAGACTCTATGGCGCTCAATAGATCGGAACGAAGTTGAGCAAAATCGCTTGAACGCGATTCGGAAAGATTTCTGATATGCTTTTCGATCTCATCCAACTTTGTATTCAAACTTGACTGTTTTTCGCTATAATAATTGTATATATAAGTAACTTTATAGCCTCGAGCGAGTGTTTGAAATATTCATACCTCAACATTGGAAGAAAGCTTGCCATCAACTGAATACGATATGAGTCTAACGTAGCCTGTTTTGAAGAGATTTCGGAAGCTTTCAAAGACGAGACGAAAACGACCCTAAGTGCCTCAACTTTTGAGCTGGGGTCTTTCACGGTAAGCTTGGCTAATAAACTTAGCAGCTCTTCACATAGTACGCTACATTTTCCCGCGAGGTTCTTCAGTGGCCCAGGGCTATCAGTTATGAGTGTGCTAGAAAAGCGTTTGAGCTCATCTATTATTTCGTAAGTTTGGGTGTTCTCGTCGGTTCTGCCGAGTCCACTGCGCCGTAGCTTGCTGAATTGCTGCACCGCTTTGTAGCCAGCAACTAAAAACGTGTATATATTCGCGGCAAGACTGAAAGCTGTTATTGGATCCATGTAACCAGTATGATATAGAAGTGAAGGTAACTTATAAGTTAACAGAATCCCAACTGTAAACAAATTGGCTTTTCATAGAAACTTCGACGCTGTAATTTTCAAACTGGTGTGGGGGAATATTTTCATTGCCAGCCCTCACGATACCATCGACGTTCATAGATAGGTAGGTAAGCAACATTACTCCACAAAGCCCAATACCTGCTCAGGGCTCAAAATTACAATACAACAATATATTCAAATAAATTTAACTAATTGAATCATAGAACATGTTCCAAATGAGAACTTTGTCCCACTAACCAAGTGTCAAATGGGGATTGGTACACAGAAGTGAGGCTCTGGAATCTAATCGAACGGGTTCAAAATATGCCATCTCGATTCGGCGAATTCCCAATAGTAACCCTGGTAGCCCAATGTACTACCACTGCGCGTCGAGTACTATTGCGCCTAGGTATTAATGGGCAGCAAACAGGCTTCTTGAATTAGGCATTGTTGCTGCTCCCAAAGTGCGAGAGGAGGCAGTGCTTATCGGCTCGTTCTAAGGCGGTGCCAGGAAGTTAAGAGCACTGAAAGATTCCATAAACGCTCTGAAAACTGACGAATCAAGGGGTATTATTTCGGTAAGTAGAGGCATGACTAAGTTGTCACTTGCTTATTAAGCTGACTGAACTACTTATGTAATCAAGAAATTGTGCTTACGTAATAGTATCCAAATCACCTAGGTTAGAAGGTCAAGAAAAGACTAAGATCGCTCAGAAAATTCGTGTTCGAAACGAAAAACGGCGATTATTTATAACGGGAAAGGCAAGTGGTAATTACTTGATATCTAGATATATGAGAGACACTAGTATCTCAGAGAGCGAGATAATGGCGGACCATTTCCGTATACGGCATTCTTCTAGGGCCAGGTTCATCGGAAGGCATATAAGACATAAACATGAGTAAAAGATTTACTCCTGATGTGATGCATATATGCATGACTGGATGCTTGAATTGCCTCCCACTGTTGACACCGTCCCTCCTTAATCGTCCGACCCAGAACCACCACCGTACGAACGCCAGCGCTTCCGCGACACATCCAATCGCGGTGAGTAGAACACAAGTCCTGAAGAACAGCCCCACAAGCCACCAACCAATAAAAGCCTCAGGTGCCCCCCCCTTAGTCATTCCATTATATATCGATATTAACCAGGTCGAGAAGATGGCAAAGAGGCTGCTATTCACGAGGAGGATAAATATTTCTATAGCAACCCGATGGAGTGGGTGATGTTCCAGCCATAATAGTTTCAATTCTATGGGCTCCTTATATAATGGTAGTTCCGTTGATTCTACCAGTGGTAGTATTTTCTCGGCGAGGTATTTCTGCGACGGGGACGACATTGTGCAGGTATATAAATACCAAGAGAATGGCCGGCTTGTGATAAAATGTACCCCGGTTGATAATAGGGAAAGCGGCGATGATGCTGCTCCGTTGTATGCGTGTCGGGAATTTGATTATTTCTTGTTAATATTCTTGTAATTGGATGGACAGCTCAAAGGAAGGGAAAGTCTCTAAATAAATACGCGCACTAGGTATGCCTTCTAACGCTTAGGTAAAACAAACACCTAAAGAAGGTTCTTCCTAGACCCAACCTTAACTTTGAACATTGATTACCTCTCTAGGTGCGTAGGTGATACCTAGAGGTAAAGTCCAAGCTAGGTACATCCGACCCAGAGAGTGGTGGTATCTACAGTAGTTCAACACCTCTCATCTGCTATGTTACTGAGGGGATGGGCACTTAGCACGTAATCAAATATAGGGGAAATAATCTTTCAAAAAGGGGGATATGTGGGGCCAGAACCTTTATCTATGAGAACACACCCAAATTGTGCCTACCTGTACTTCAATGGTATTGTAAGCTAAAAATAACCTCGAATATTTAAACTTTACTAGATGTATTCCTATTATGAAAGTTTCTAGGTACCAGGCTATTGCGTCGACGTCACACGTCAACCCAGTCTGATTGAGGAAGGGGTTCTCACAAGAGGATATATGTGGGCGGGGAGGTATTTGGACGACTCGCACCTGTATAATACCTCATAAAATTATGGGATAGGTACCTGGTAGTGCCAGAAGTCTGGTCTAAGAAGTCTTGTTGGTCGCTAACTCTGGGAACAGGACACCTTATCTGTAGGTATGTATACCGTGCTCTCCCCAGCGACAATAATTTAGAGCTTCTCGCGCAATATCGTCGCTGTTTCCTTACCCATTAGTTCCGCCTCCTGGCGGGTAGATACACGCATAGTAAACTACCTGCGCTGTCTGTGTTATCTCTGATTTCAATTCCCCTTGCACTGCTCGGGACATTGCGATGATGAAAATTCGATGACGCCTCGATTGCGTAAAGCCAACAATAATTACCTACCTATGCACCGCCCAACACCAAACTAATAAACCCACTATGCGACAACCAACCTCAAATAAACATCAACCAAGTCCCCCAATTACAATCCCATAAATCTCGAACCCAGCCATGTACATCCCATCGGCACAAAGCGTTCTCGCAGCAGGACTCGCCCTCACGGGCATTCTCAAGGGGCGTAAGTCCACCCCCCTTCCCCATTCCCTTTCCCCTCTCCCCCTAAACATCCACACCCCAACTCACAGCCCCATCCAGCACGCACCATAGCCTCAGGCACAATCCTCGACTACGCCCCCGAAACCTGCAAAGACGCGTCCGGCGCCGCGCGCTGCACGCCGCCCTTCATAGTCACGAAATTGACGTGCTACCGTCTAGAATGGAAGACCGAGGGTGCGCTCACGCATACCACGGCCGAGGTGCGGGATGCCGGGTCCGGGGAGCTAGTGTTCTACCGCGATACGGATGGGAAGTGGACGCCGGAGCTAGGGGAGGTGAGTTGGCTATTCCTACCTATGTGTCTGTTTGCCTGTTTGGCTAGACTATATGAAAAGGGGAGGACGATGTTTGCTAATTGGATGCCTGTGCGGCATGATAGCTTGTTTATCTCGATTTCAAACCTAAAGTTCCGGCGACGGGGAACCAAACTGTGCGGTATTTAGTTAGGACCTGCGAATGACGCAGGAGGCTGAGGATTAAATGAGGGGCTTGTTGTTAGGTGGAGGGGCAGAGGGGATGGCGTTAAGATTATTGTGGCAAAATATGGGATGCATTATTGGCTAGGCACAATGGTTGATTTAGTAACAGCTCATATGATAAGAACTAAAGGGATGGCGGAAGACCTATCTGATTCAATACGGTCAGCACCTAGTGACAACTAAGTTGTCTAGTAATTCCAAATTCGCTTTATACATGGGACTTTCACAATAGCGTAGATATGTTACATGAGATTCATTGATATGCCGGTCGTAACGCTAACATCATTCATTTCCATACCGAGCGCGGTACCAACTCTGCTTCATGCACATCCGGAGCTCGACCTTTGATCCTCGAAGGACCCGCTACGGGAGTTGTCCAATTGAGGTCCTTGTCCCAGATACCGGCCTTAGTGTAGTCTCCGCTGTCCGTGCCAGACATAAAACCGAACCGGAAGTACTCGTTATAGCTCGACGTATTCTCGCGAGTCCAAGTGAAATGGTCCGAACCCTCGTCGCCCCAAAACGCACGGTATCTTTCGACGTCGTTAACCAGTACGCTAATGCCATCGTATCGTACTCCTGGCGAAGCCTGCCAGGTAAATGTGATTTCTGAAAGGGCCGAAAGAGTTGTGTTAATAACAGGCGTTAGAATTTCGGGAAGAGGCGAGCCCAACTGCGCGTCTCCCTGCAAATCCGTCGACGTTTGCAGAACCGCGTCAAAGCCCCAGCGAGCAATACCATTGATGAAGAACCCTATCAAGATGCCTTGGTAGAGTAGTGATGGTCTCGTTTGTATGCTGGTCCCTGGTACAAGCAGCAACGCAAGGACGTAATGGTGGATTCGCAAGTTGAGGTTAGGTAACACAAGGCAGATGATGATCCCAAGGAGAAACAGCGCGTAAAGCTGGAGATAGCGGATTAATTTCCCTTCTTGTCGGATTGCCCAAATTTGACCAACAACAACGCAAAATAGTACGATGACTATTATAGCAAGTGCTGCTTTAGCACCAGGTTGCTGGTCGAGATCGTGTGCGGTCAAGCGTTGGATAGGGATGAAGTCAAACGTGTAATTAGTAAGTGCTCCAACCCAGCAACCACCGAGCCACAAAACCGTTTTTTCAACTTGAGCCGTGAGGCCATGCAGGGTTCGTCGGACGCCCATCTTATCGTAAAATACCCAAGCACAGAACATGGCGGGGAGAAATTTACCCAAAATATTAGAAAATAGACCGGGAATTGTCGAGTATGACGGCGGGTCGGAAGCCATACCAACTTGCCAAAAGATACCGATGAAAATGGTGAAGAAAAATACTGATGATGATGCGGTAAATAGGGATAAGACCGAAGTGAAAACCACGGAGATTGCCAACAGCGACCATCTGACATCTTTGGCTTTACATTCGATACCCTGCTCAAATGTGATCGACATCGGAAAGTAAGAATCGAAGCCGATACTGTCGATGCCATTTCTGTTCGTGCTGACGAAATCCTGCTGTTCTCCTACCAGGGACACAACACCGCAACCGCCCTGGGAGTTGGAGATGAGACCAGCATGGACGGCGGCTCCGCAAATAAAGGAGTCGCCTCGATAAATAGGGCTCTCCTCGTTCGCCAGATCCGTGGGTCCTCCAACAACCAACGGAGCATAAACTACTTCCTGCGCTCCTACCGCTCTAGGGTTGAGAACCCGGTAACTGGCGCAATTCGATGGACAGCGGAAGGCAAAGGCACTGTTGTTGAACGGCCTACAATTGACGCCGTCAATGCCACAACCGTTATTTCGTGACCAATATGCTACACCACAACTAATATCGGTTGGCATACCATAAGTCGCAACCTCAGAAGCAACCTGACCTCGCCACATAACAATAGCAAATGCGATGATCCATACTGCGACATAACCCATATACAACAGGATCTGGTGTTTCCTATTCGGGAGGAACTTGTCGATGAGACGAAGCGGTGCATGCTGAACGACTGGAAAAAGTGGATCGATCTTCCAGATCTTGTGGTTTTGAGGACCCTTCACCCACTTAACAGCAACCTTCCCATACTTCCGGATCGGATATGGAACCCACTTCCATTTCTTCCAAGCTCCCTGGTCTTGCATAAAGCGCGGAGTCGGCGGGTCGTCGTCGTCTTCGTTAAATTCAAGATGTTCCGGGCCGCCGAGCGGATCGTCCGGATGCGCCGGAGAAGCGTTACGCTGCCGTTGCTGTTCGATGTCAGGAGAGACTGAACGAGTTTCTAACTGATTGCTACTCATGATAGGGAACTATAAATCGTGTCGCGTATATATTAGTGATCGATAGAATCGTTTACGACTTTGCACAAAGAGGCGTCGAAGATTTGTCTTACATTCGAAGGCTGAGAGATAATACAAAGATACTTAACCCACAGGCTACAGATAGACAATTATATGTCTACAACGATATTGATATTCAAGAATACATAGGATAAAAAACGTGGGTTACGCGATCAGCAAGGACACAGACCGAGAACCCGCTCAGCCTTCGAAAGTGGTTGTTGCGCAACAGAGGTTGGGAGGAAGAATGAATGGAGGCTCGTGACAAATGATGTACGTGGGAGGAATCGAGAGCGCCGAGAGTTAGGCGCAGGCTGGAAACTAGGTGGGCCTAGTCTTGTCATACCCAGGCGATTGGGCAGGTGGGATGGTGATCAATAACCATTGGTCTCCCCTGTTTCCCTCGACAGGAACAAGTGGACTCTAGAGGGTCGATTCTCCGGAATGCGGCATCTCTAAGTTCCGGTCCGTTATCCTTATCGACCATCATCGTTCCCGTCTTTTTATTGGTTCACGCCGAGGGGGTGAAAATATCATAGGTATTAATCTCGACGCCTTATGAAAACTTACTAAATGCACACTATCACAACGAACACCAAATCATGGAATAAATTTTTATATTTTGAAGATTCATATGTTTTATTTCAATATAGAAGAACGTCACCTAGTACTATATATGCCCATCAATCATATATAACGGCTCGAGGGCTGATTCCACAAATACGACAATCAAGTATGACTGACTCATCGCCTGAACACGTTATGTTTAACGTGCTAAAGAGTGTGGCCGCAAATGGGGGAGGACCTAGAGTTGGCCGCTTATCCATCCCGAAACGGAAGACGATAGACACGCCCAATTTCTTGGGTCTCACATCACGAGGGGCTATTCCGCATATGACCCCTGATGTCATCGCTAAACACACTGATCTCAACGGCTCATATATGGCTCTGGAGGACTGTGAGTGAGAGTGTCTTTCAGTATCCCATTTTGTACCTAATTGACATATTACTTAGTTGTAGAAAAGTCCCAGAAGAGAGTCGTGCCCGCTATCTATAACGTACCTGAATCAGACGGGAAGGATGCTCTCCACGCGTATACTGCTACACCTGCGCCGGTAGCCACAGTGCTTGGCGCTCGTCGGCATCCGGCAGTGATCGCCCCAATGGGCAACGGAAAGGATTATATTTCAATTTATACTTCGACGGGCTTCCAGCAGTTGAAGAACAAGGATTATTACCATGCCGTTGAGAGGCTACAACCAGATATAGTGATCCCCTTGGCCGACTTAACGTTTGGCAACTCACATATCAGGGAGAGGCTTCCACATCCGAAGCGACAGATTCGAATGACGGAGCGGACGGAAGATTGGTTGGCCGAATTCATTAAGCTGAAAAATGCTGAGAACGGAGACCAAGCGATGAAATGTGGCGTCTTCGCCCCGTTGTTGTCAGTCTCTTATCCAATGCAGTGGGAGTACATAACTCGTCTATCCCAAGACTATATTGAACATCTATCTGGTCTGGCGGTATATGATGCAGATATTTTCCCAGATTTGAATGGACATAGTTCTTTGGATCCTTTACCTCGACTTTCGATGGACTTCATCACCTCGCCCCACGAAATTCTCCGGCAAATCCGCCAAGGGCTCGACATTTTCACCGTACCATTCATTAACACTGTCTCAGATGCCGGGATTGCTCTCACTTTCTCATTCCCGCCCCCCACGTCATTAGTCTCAAGCCTACACCCACTAGGAATAGACATGTGGTCGCAAGATCATCAGATATCGCTGAAACCGCTCGCAGACGGATGTAAATGCTACGCTTGTACCAAACACCACCGCGCATACATCCAACACCTGTTAAATGCGAAGGAAATGCTTGGGTGGACACTTCTTCAAATCCATAATCACCACGTCTTAGATTCGTTTTTCGCGGCAATCCGAGCTACGCTTATAGCAGAACCGTCGACATTCGAACAGGACTGTGAAAACTTTTACAAGGCCTACGAATCCGAGTTTCCGAAGGGTACCGGAGAACGGCCACGAGCTCGTGGATATCACTTCAAGGCTGAAGGAGGACAATCAAAAATAAATCCTCCAGCATGGGAAAATTGGGCCGAAGACCCAGCGCTAGCCGGAGAAAGGGCAGGTCTTGCTGTGACAGGAGCCACTGCCGAAGGGAAAGAGACTCCAGTCGTTCCCGATCCCAGCGCCGATGCTAAAGACTTAGACAAGAAAGGATTTGCTGAAATAGATCGGTGAGCTAGCAATGGCTGGATATGTCATTTATAACTCTATGGCCTAGCAAACAGCTTGCCTTCTTCACGACCGAACGAGGCCTAAACGGCGAGATCGTTCGATGCCCCTTATGAGTTCGATATGTGGAGCTATTCGGTCGCCAGGTTAGCATCCGATGATACCCCATTCCTTAATGCGTAGCCATAGAATTTTTAAGGTTCCCAATAGCTTGGAACCAAGGTGAAGATCTGCATGCACGGAGCAGGCGCTGCCATTGGCCTATCGCAACCCACTGCAAGGGCGGGTGCTCCCGGATGCTCCCTACGACGATGTTTTTGACCACAGGTCAAAGCTAGGTATCTATGAACACAAATTCCAAAGGAAATTCTTCTTATGGAATCTAAATATTAGAACATCAACGGGTAAAGGTGAAATCTTGACTTATCACGACCTCCACAATGGATCTTACGAGATAACTATTACTATTCAGCGTAAGTATCAATCGAAGCCCAGGTCAACTTTCAAATAGCTCATTGCTATACTAATTTTTCAACATATATCACCCATTTTGATAAATATTTCTGCATTTATTCCCTCTTATCATATCCATGCAAGCACGTGTGTACAATTTGAGACCCAGTCAACCGGGATAATCGAGATATTCTCGATTTGAAGCTAGAGCCAATCATAATGGCTAATTCAGCCCACGTTTTCGGGCCCTTGTTGAGATAGCATATCATATCCACATCCAGCTTCCCAGTCTTGAGCTTCAAAGAACATGTCTAGAATCATTGCTTATTCGCCCGGCCAGCCTGAAGAAGAGCTCATCGTATCCTAATCCAGTATGTAACAGCAAGACATATTAACTAGGTATTATAGGTTTCCAATCATAAATGGTGGGAAGGCATAATGCCATGTTCAATACTAGGTATCAATGTAGTCAAGCTCAATAATGTCTTTCGGGGAAGCACACGACCAGGAGTATGAAGATCCAGGAACCAGGAACCAACAGCAAACATCAGTTCATTCTAACCATGTTCTCCGCCGAGCTATCTTCATAGTTAATACACGTGCAACGAACAATCACTATGATTCCTGCGCGGCCGAAGCCATCGTCCTACGGCCGGAAATTTCAACAGTATAGATAACCAATTACAACCAGGCCCCCTCCACCGCCAAGATCTCAGCGCTGCGAGACTTGCGCATCCAAGAACAGCCAAGACCCGACGACCTTCTGTTGCAGGACGGGCGGTAGAGTAGCTCAGCTAGACACATGGGTCGCGATGTAGCTACTCTGCGCGCCGGTCTTGGCTCGCGCCGGGTATATAACGCCATAGAAATCCCTACGCCTCCGCCACGAGACATCCGGGTCCTCGTGTCTTCATCGCGCCGACGACGTTCTCTCACTCGAGCGTTCCTACATCATGGGCAGACTCACCACCCTCGCCGCCGTAGCGGCTTCCCTGTCCGCGGCCGCCGCCCAGACCTTCCAGCGACTTGGCGCCTGTCCGGACCTCGGCTGCGTCCTGCCGCCCGACCAGTCGGACTTCCTCCCCGGCCAGTACTTCGACCTGCGCCTCGAGGTCCACGCCCCGGTCAACGGCTCCGAGGCGTTCAACGGCGGCGTTCCCGACGACAAGTTCTCCGTCACGATCGCGAAGGAGGGCGGCGAAGCGAAGGGCGTCGCGGAGTTTTTCGCGATCGATGAGCCAAAACTGGAGACCTGGGATTTTAAGTGGTATGAGGATCTGTTTGCTCAGGACGCCGGGACGCCGTCCGTGGTTAATGTCGCGTCGAGGATTTATCGGAAGATTGCACTTTATGAACCCGGGAATTACGCTGTTACTTTGACGTATTATGATGGGCAGACGACGACGGCGAATTGGGTTGTGCGCCCCTTAGCTACGAAGAAGAAGGCTAAGAATGTGATTCTGTTTATTGGTATGGTTGTTCGTGTGATTGGGAATAAGTATGGTGTTAACGTTGGATAGGTGATGGTATGACCACGAATATGATCACTGCTGCTCGTCTTCTTGGTCACAAGAGCATCAATGGAAAGTACCAGTCTCTGCTGCAGATGGATCAGTTCCCTATTTTGGGACACCAAATGGTATGGCTCTGGATTTTTTGAATGTTTTAGATTGTTTGCTAATTATCGTCATCAGACCCATTCCATTGATAGCTTCATCACCGACAGTGCCAACTCGGCATCGGCCCTCTACACTGGACACAAGAGCACGGTCAATGCTATGGGGTGAGTTATACACAGAGCCATTTAATAGTTGATGTTTATCTGGTTACTAACGGTGTCAAAGTGTCTACGTTGATTCATCTCCCAATTTCTTCGATGACCCCAAGGTTGAGACCCTTGTCGAAATATTGAAGCGCACTTGGGTGAGTACCTAGCAGATAACATAATCATCTCGAGAAATCTAAAAGATCTAATGTACTAATTATACTAGGATTCTGCCTGGGGCGCCGTCTCAACAGCAGCCATTTCGGATGCTACTCCCATTGCTCTTACTGGCCACAGCCGTTCCCGCTATGCCTATGGCTCTCTCGTTGACCAGGGACTAAACTCAGTCACCAATTACTCTTGGACCAACCATGGCGGTCCCGATGTCTGGTTTGGTGGCGGTGCTGAGCAATTCAACCCCGGATCTGGTAGTTATGAAGGCAAGGACTACTACGAGGCCTTTGCGAATGCCGGGTACGACATTAGCTTAAACAAAACCTCTCTCCTCGAGCTCGGCAACAGCAGCAAGGCCCTCGGCATCTTCTGCCAGTCTCACTTCCCCGTCTGGCTCGACCGCAACGTGTTCACAGATAACCTAAACACGTTCAAGAACGACCCTCACGGCACCACGAGCCCTGCCCTCGATCTTCCCGGACTCAAGGAGATGACGCTAAAGGCGATCGACATCCTTCACACGCGCGGCGGTGACAAGGGTTTCTTCTTAATGTCCGAGGGCGCGTCAATTGACAAACAGATGCACGCATTAGACTACGACCGCGCGCTCGGCGATCTTCTCGAGCTTGATGACACAGTGCGCGCCACAGTCGCGCACCTCAAGGCCATCGGGGAGCTCGAATCCACCCTCATCCTCGTAACAGCAGACCACGGCCACGGCTTTGACGTCTACGGCGGCGTCGATACACAGTACCTTTCCTCGAAGCCAAGCGACCGCGAAAAGCGCCGCGCCGTCGGCACCTACGAGATGTCGGGTCTATCGCAGTACACCGTGCCCGTGGACGGCGTGTCATACGGCACTGGACCAAACTTCCCGGTGAACTGGGACCCGCGGTACACGTTAGCGCAGGGGTTCAGCGCAAACCCGGACCGCAGGGAGAACTTCAAAGTCCACAAGTCCCCGCGCAAAGTCGTAAGCAGCACCCCCGGGTTCGCCAAGAGCGACATGTTCGTCGACGCGAAGGATAGCCCCGACGGGTTCGTCGTCAACGGCACGTTGTCCGTTACGGAGTCTTCGGGCGTTCACTCGTTGACTGATGTCGCGGTCTTCGCTATGGGCCCGTGCCAGGAGATGTTTTCGGGGGTGTATGGGAATGTGGATGTGTTTTATAAGATGGCGAGTTGCTTGGGTTTGGCGAGGCCGGATGGTAAGACCCCTGCGGATCCGGAGAGTGGGTGTGGTTCGAAGCATTGAGTTAGGGGTGGTTGTGATAATGATGGGCTTTTTTACGTACGGGGTTAGGGAGGTAAGGATAAAGAGGGAGCATCATGGCATGATGAAGTATCTTCTAGTATATAATTCAATACTAATCTGTATCGTAAATGTCTTCCCACTCAGCTTCTGATGACGGGCTGGGTGTCGTGTTATAAAATTCCAACTTGTGCTGGCTGTCGAGACAACGGGCTCCGGCGCTGTAGCAGCAGTGACATATTGATACAAGATCTAGTCTTGGGCAATCTTTGCAGCTGCAGAACATCTCGACATCTAGCATGCAAACAGTACAGGAAGGGCTATATCCATAGAATGTTTCAACTGGGCAGCCGATTGCATCGATGTCAGATATCATATCAGAAATCGATATACCCTTCATTTCAGCATGATCTACTAGGAGTTTTGAAATGTGAGAATACCCCCTCTTAGTTGCCCACCACAGCGGCGTTCGACCAAAATTGTCGCGGGAATTTACGTCGACTTTCCCAGTATCAAGGAAGAGCGTTACCGATTTTTCATGCCCAAAACGCACTGCGATAGATAATGGAGTCGATCCATAATAGTCCTTGGAGTCCAAGTCTACTCTTTCATCGTCAACAAGTCGCTCAAATAATCTGTTTGGTTCGTCTTTTGATAGAAAGAAAAGTGGCGAGCGATCAAATTTGTCCATAAGATCTGGACCCGCTCCTCTATCCAGAAGCATCCTCGCCATCACTTCTTCCTTGTGCAGCGTCGCTATGATGAGAGCAGTGTCACCATTGGAATTTTTAGCATCTAGGACAATAGTCTTGGTCTTTAACAAAACCTCCATAGCCCCCATATTGCCCCGACTCACGGCTATTGAAAGCGGTGTCTCGCCCTTCCCATCTTTCCGATTTGGTTCAACCTTATCATGAGTTAATAGCGCCGAAACAATCGCCGTGTAGTGCCTCATAACCGCGAGATGCAATGCGGGTTCTTCCCCAAGGTTTGGGTCAATCGCTTTTATAGAAAGGAGTAGTTTTACTACACTTTCATGTCCATTTTCGACAGCAAACGTCAATGCGGTAGAGTTCCGGAATGGGCACCTGTGGTTCACATCAACGCGTTTATCCTTAAGCAGTTCCCTTACTGCGCTCTCCCTCCCGTTCCTTGCAGCCCATTGTAATGGCGACATTCTGCCAGGGCCACCAGCCGCATTAAAATCAATATCCCCACCCTTCAAGAGTAGTAACTTTATTACAGCTTCGTGCCCTTCACACGCTGCGAATATCACGGGTGTAAAACCACGTTTATCTTTGGCGTTAGGATTGACACGTTCATCTTCGAGTAGTAGGTTAACTACCTCATGATGGCCTCTCCGTGCAGCTCTTGTTGCCGGAGTCTGTCCAAAACAGTCATGCGAATTCGGATCTACTCCTTCTGTCCCGAGTAATATCCTGACAATTTCTTTCTGGCCTCTCCAGGCGGCAATAGATAACGGCGACATGCAATCCCAGTGGTTATCTCTGCTGTCCGGATCAACCCCGGGCTTCTCAAGTATGAGTTTGACTATCGTCTCATGACCCGCTCCCGCGGCACACCATAGCGGCGTAGTACCGAATACATAATCCCTAGCGCTCGGATCAACCCTTGGATCATTTAGCAGAGTTCTCACTAATTCGTCGTCCCCGTTCAGTGCGGCATACATCAAAGGTGTTGCTCCACATATATCTATCCATGTGAAAAACTCGTCGCAAGAAGGATCATCTTCTCCCTCAACCTCTTTTATTCCCAGATGATCCACCGCTATGAGCTTGCCCCTTGAGTTGGGATCAACGACTTTCTCAGCAAGTAGCAACTTCACTAGCGTATGATTTCCTTCTGCTGCGACCCATGATAGAACCGTACGCCCAAGAGTATCTTGGGCATTTGGGTCCTTCCCTCGTCTTATCAACTCTATCATGATGTCTCCCAACCCAAACCACGCCGCGATATGTATCCCTGACCCATGATCAGGTGGAATTTTCAGAACGAAATCATCACCACTATCATAATCACTATCATAACCAGGGAATAATTTTTCCTTCTTAGTCATCATTACTTGGCTAGCCGATGAAGCCTTAGCGTCATTCATAAGAAATCCTAGAATCAGCTCCTCCTCTTCCTCTCGCATAGTAATATCTCGAGCATGATATCCCCAGTTCCGAGCTGCATACTCGTAAAATGGGGTTTGTGTTAGTCTGCGCTTTGGTATCCATAACTGATTACAAAACTCACTCTCAAAAATGGTGAATGAGAGGTAAGTAACGCAGGCCATCATGAGACCAGCCTCCTGTTCCTGGAATAAGGACTGCTGTCTTGTATCAAAGTACTCCTGGGTTGTATAATGTACTAATCGTATGATGCCACTTTCTTCGTCGACAATAACTAAGCCTGAGCATACGGACCTGATCATCTCGATATTTCGAATATTGTCTTCGTCAAGTTTGGTGTCGCCAATCTTTACCGCAAGCCCATGCTGAAGCTCCAGTACGCTGAGCGGTCTCTTCGCACAAGTAATCCACCCTAGAACTTTCCTTCCAAGGCGCTTTCTTTCTTCTCTTTGACTATTAACCCTCTCCATTGCGTCGTCGTACGCGGCATCTAATAATGTGCGTCTGTCGTCAGTCTTAAATTCTCGATTTCCGCGTTTCTTGAAGTCTTTTAACACGTCCTTGATTTCTCTTTTCGAAGTCTTCCCATTGAGTGATTCGAAGTATAGATGTGCTAGAAGGAACCTAAAGGGGGTTAGCACTCATAGGAAATTTAGATGGTGGTAGAGTAAATAGGTAGGTACGTACATTCCCTCCGTGGCTTCTACAATTTGGTCCTTGATATCTTCCCGTAACTCTGCATCATCGCCGACAACTTCGTCGAGATTCGGCATATGACCGTCAAGATACTTGCGAACATCATCGTTGCTAGCTCGGATTTCTTGAGTGATAGACTCCCTAAAATGCTGCTCGATATCCGGGATATGTCTTGAAGTCACGAAAAAGTTGGCCCCGATGCTATTCTGGAGTTTGGAAATCTGCGATATAAGCTTTGATCGGCAGCCATCGGACGTTTGACATTCATCGAGCGCATCGATTACGATATACACGTGCGAATATAAAGCTATTACAAGCTGTAAGTTCTCTGAGATACCGTCTAGTGGTAGCGGTATGCCATCCTTTGTCACTTCTTCGTGTAGGACTTTTATGAAATCCGGTAAAGAGGAAAGCTTCCTGAGGAGTTGTTTCATTAAGCTTCTCAACAGATCGTTGATTCTCTGCTGATCCTCACGTTTGAAATTAAAGTAGATGTATGCGACGGAAATAGTAGAATCAACGGAGGCCATTGCCATGAGATTGTCGATTACGAGAGAACATAAGATGGTCTTCCCGGCGCCAGGAATTCCCGTACAAAACAACGTTTGACCACGGACGCCTAGCCACTTCTTATACTTCGCTGAGTCTAGAAGCCACTGGCCTGTCCCTGGTTGTCGTCTATTGATAAAATCACTCTGTTGGGGAGTGTAGTCAGTCGATGAAAGCCATTCAAGAATGTTCAGATCTTCCTTTTTCTCCAATTTTGATTCTATATTCTCGATATTGATAGCGACTGCGAGTTTTGTTTAGATTTTGTTATTAATCCATCAAGCAGAACTTGGAAATATCTATCAGTCATATAGGTACTCACCTTTATGTAGCAGATCTCTCACTGGACGCTCTGCATGGATATCGACCGGTCGTACATATCCTAGAAGCTCCTTCGCATACCCAGCAGCTATCATTGCTGCGTATTCTTGCCAGTCCTTGTTCTTCCGCGAGTCGGCGTAGTCGCAGATCCCTCGAATAACAATACACGGGAAGTCGTTTATCAGTCCTGCCGCTTCCATCTCGACGCACAATATGTTGCCCCCAAAGCTGTTGTTGAGGCTGTCTCGTAACTCACCATCCTTGATAACTTGGTTACCTGACGCTACCAGGCCATAATGTACACGCACGTCTCTTGGATTCTGATCCTCACAATGTCTCGGTACGAGTAGTGGGTCTTTCAGAGAGTTGAATGAAGTATACCGTGGAGCTAGTTTCGGCCATTTCTTTTCAACTTCATTCAGGTACTGGGGGATCTTGGATTCCGAAATTTCATGATTGCTCTCCAGCTTTGTTAATGCCGCAAGTAGTGCGCTTGGGGGGTTGTTAAGTGCCCCCGTTCTCTTGAACTTGCCGTCCTTTTCGGCCTTACCAAGATCCCACTGAACCACACCAGGGTATTCATCAACTGGGGAGCTTACAACAACGTCGCCAAGTCTAACTTTTGGTGGAATGCCACCTCCGATCCCAACCATCAGACCAAACTTGATGGATGGGAAAGTGTCTACCATCCGAGTTGCAACTATCGCTGCCGAATTGGTTCCTATCTTTCCCTTTGGGAGACAGGCTACGACGATATTGTGTTCACCGATAGACCCTAAAGTGTATGCATTGTGGTCGTTTGGGGGATTTTCAAGGTCCGGATGTATCTGATCAAGCATCGCCATTGCCGCAGTCTGTTCTTTTGGTAGGGCGCTAATCCATCCCACAGTATAATCACCGTGTGATTTAGATCCCATACTTGCCATCTGGGATACAAAAATAATATATTAGTCAACAGAGGTACAAAACAATCCCGAGCAAAGATCGTATGAATGCTCCACAGCAGTAGGTTATCACATCGCGTAGATGTAATGCCTAGAAAGGATAAGGCTCCGAGAGAATCGAGGGTTGTGCTGACCGGTGCTGACAACCTGTAGCCCAATCTTTATGGCCCCCAACTTTTCATGCACATTGACCCGCACTGCCGCATCAATCACCTCCATCGGGTCTGCCGCCTATCCCACCTAGGTATGTAGGTACCTAATGATGGGCTTTTTTCTATTCTGGGACATTCATTATTAGACTGCTAGGTAGCTAGGTAACAAACAAATTCATAACCCATTCAAATCCAAGTGACGCGAAAGGTCCAGACTGAAGACTTGGGGTTGGAAATAATTCACTATTTAAGTCGGTCCACCGTTACGCGAACACACCAAGCGCGGGCCACCATTTTCCCATATAAAATCGCTAAAACACGATATTTATTATTAATGTAATAAAATAGTTAAAAATATGAAGTCTTTTGATTTAAAGTTTAAATTATCGTGATAATATAAAATAAATTTTTTAAATTTTAAAGGTTTTATTTAAATAAAAAAAAAAATTAAAAATTTTATATTAATAAATTTTAATAATAAATATTAATAAATTTATTAAAAGTTATAACTTTTTTTTTATATTTATAATTATTATTTTATTATTTTATTATTATTAAAATTAAAATATATTATTTAATATAAGTTTCGAAATATTATATAATTTATTAAATTTTTTATATTAAAAAATAATATATTATTTTTAATTTTATATAAAATTAAATATTTTCGAAAATTTAATTTTTTAATAAATAATTTAAAAAATTAATTAAATTTAAATTAATTTTTTATAAAATATTTTTAAATATATATAATAAATTAAAATTACTTTAAAACTTATAATTATTATATTTATAAAGTTATTAATTTTTATAATTACGATAATTTTTTATATATATTTTATATATAAAATTTTAAACTTTAACTTTTTTAATTTTTTATTAATTTTAAAAAAAATTTAAACTTTTAATAATTTTATTTTAAATTATAATAACTTTATAAACTTTAAATAATAAAACGGAATACTTTTAACTATTTTATTAAATTAATTATAAATATCGTGTTTTAACGATTTTATATGGGAAAATGAGTGGTCCACGCTTGGTATGCTCGCGTAACGGTGAACCGACTTACCTAATCCAAACGCCTAGAAAATGCAAGTTTTACCGAGGAAGGCATTTCCCCTGTAAGCCACACAACGCCTGGATGCGGGTGATACGTCTAGAATTATCTCTGATTGACTGATCGCTTCAGACGAAACATTCATGGCACGACAGAGCCGAAACACTGCCACCGCCACGAAGATGTACAGAACACAGTGATTTGTTTCGGAGATCTTGTAAAATGGGCGTTTAAATCGCAGCGAAGCAAGCCCTCTCTCAAATCCGAACAAGATAATCTACAAATAGAATTGAAAATGACGGCTACTTAGTAGTCGTGTCGGGAATATCTTCATACTGAGAAATTGATTCCTGTTGAGTAAGGGTTTCAAACGCGTCCTGGATGGAATTCCTTCATGAAATTTCATGATATGATGGAGTGAAGGTGTATTTCTTTTCTGCCACCCCCCATAAGAAGTCTATTACGATATTGTCCCCACGACAAGCCAACTCCGCTGTAGGTCGGTCCAATAGACCCACACCCTTTGCATGCAGATATCTTTAACGAGACATGCGAGCTGCTACCCTTGCACGTGCCGATCACTTGGTAAACCAATCACTGATCTAGATATTAACAGGGCTTTAGAGTGCAGGTAGCGCACCTTTGTAAGCTGCGCCAGACGCCACCCTCACTAGCAGACTAAGTAGGAGACCTATCATACATACCCAGGCAACCAGCGATGAGAGTGGTGACCAAAGATCCTTTAGTCATGACACCCAATTGTCCACCCTAGACTCGAGGCAATCTAGGATTTAAACCATGAGCGGAAATTAGTCCCTACTATCTTATTCGGTCTGCATGAGCTGAACACGAAAACAAGCATGGATAAAAATGATTTGTACCATGTAAGCATGTGCGGCTCTAGGCCATCCAGATCATCGAATGCAAAAGAAATCCCCGCAGATATTCCCATCTCAGTCGGGTCGTCCAAGTTCCTACCTTAATCTTTCATAATATTTTATCATTCGTTTGGTCAAGTTGTGGGAGTCGACGGGACTCTACCTTATATTCACCATGTTTTGCATAACGGCTCCGTTCTTTATACTTCCATATCTCCTTGGTCGATCCTCTGGTGCTATAATCATATCCACAGCTGCTCCAACAACCTCTCTCTCCACTGACGAGATACCTACTTCTATACAAACACCACCACCGGTAATAGATTTAGAGGCAAGAGATAGGGCTGGTGGTCTTTGCGGTTACTATCGCGGAGATGCAGGTAACTACTAGCCTATACTTGCGTCGAAGACAACGATAACTAAGTAGAAATTAGCAAGCCCATATATATGTTATTCCGGATACAGCTGTGTTCAGGACCATGACAACAACGCCATCGGCTGCGTTCAGACCAATACAAAGAAAGAGCTTCTCGGAGTTGTCTATACTACATGTCTAAACTATAACGTATACCAGCAATATTCCGTAGGGCCCCGTACCGGCTGTTGGTAAGCAATGAGGCGATCTTGCATTACTTAGGGTGTATCTAATCTTTATACAATCCAGCACGAATTCAAAGTACCCCGCCTGCGTCTGGAACACATATACCGGAGCGGACGCAGAAGGATATACTTTAATACAATGCACACAGACTTACTTCCAGCCCGGTAGGCTCTTAGCTTGGGATGCTTCAACGTCTGGTACGGCCGGCCCGACGACTATGTTCATCGGCATTCAAACAGCGATTAATAACAATTCAACCAACACCTCGCCGACGACTAGCGCGCCCAGCCCATCAAGCTCATCTAGTGGGCTATCGACATCGGACAAGATCACACTAGGGACAGCTTTAGGGCTCGGCCTACCAGCGACGATCGCCGGCGTCATCGGGACTTGGTATGCGTATAAGTCTTGGAAAAGCAAGAAGAGCAAACAAGAGGACGATCAGCGTCCTTTCCTGGATCACAGGTCAACCGGGCCATCAATTATTGCATAGTTGTCTTCCTACCATACCGATATACACAAGTTGGAAGTTTAATATGGAGGAAAGATAAGGGGGTGGCGTTTGCGCCACTATGGCTTGAGGAAAGGGGTTTGTGTTACTCTATTAAGTTTTGAGCATGGTACTGTATGTATAGAAAGGGGCGAAGTTATTTGATGCTTGGTAATAATCGCGAGGAAATAGACTGGGGGGTTTCAAAGTAGTGGTTTGGGACTCTTACAATGAGGCATACCTAGCAAGCAAGCTGGACAGAACACGCATAGCTCCACACGAACACGTCCAAGGAGAATTTAACAATAAACACATTATCATTTAAGTTATACCCTTCTATATAATAAGAAACATTACGAACTACCCAGGTAGATCTTCCAAAGTACCTATTTACAAGCGAATGACAAAAACAAGCACAATACCGCCTCTCCCCAAACCCTCATCTATCCCCTATCCGACCATCGTAGCCTTAACTGTCCTTGAATTTCTGCATCTAAAAGCAGATACCATACTGAACTATGCAATGCTACCTAGGTAATAATCATAAAGTAGTCTTGTTGCTGCTTTTCCCATTCGCACCGCCAAGGCAGACTCAGCAACAAGATAGACAAGTTATTTCAAACATCAAGAAAACACACACTTCGCAACAGACAGGAAAACATGGCATGGTAGATATAAAAGGTGGAGCGGAACCCCAAATGAAGTTCTAATCATCCACAGACCAACTCTCCGCCGTTTCTCTGGCAAGGGCAAAAGTGTGCACACCATGATATAGCCGAAAGCGTCGTGAATAGTATCTGAGTAGGATAGATGCATGAATATTAAGTAGGTGCCTGCCTAAGTATGTACACCTGGGCACTGTTCCAACTCAAAAAGGTTATCAAGAGCCTACCTAGCCAGTACAGTCACTCTTGTCTGTATTTGGGGTTATGATCTCACAAAGTACCACCATAGAACCTACCTCCATATATGACGTGGACCTTTTATGTATTGTGAGGTTGGTTTACATGCGGGAGATAATTAAAAAGGCTAAGCAATCTCTTCTGACTCTCCCAGTTTCCAAGACCTCTAACGAACTCAACTTTCTTCGTCTTATGTAAAAGGAGAACGTAATACCTACTAGGTACCTAATTCGTAAATCCATACTACCATTCAACATGGCTCAGAACGTGACAACCTACGACGAGTGGATACCTCTCACCGAAGAGAATATCGAGCCTCTTTTGAGGCAGACTGAGGAACACGAATCCAACATCTCGATCTACGAGCCGCAGCCCGATGAGAATCTTGAATATCTACAAACTCTACAAGTCGCTATTTACGAGAGCATCGAATCAGTAAACTGGGCGTTATTCCAGCTTATCTTGATGAAGGATAACTATAAGGAAGGTTCTGAGACGTACGAGCACATCGAGGTTGGGATAGAGAGGCTGAACAGGATGGTCTCGAAGTTTAGAATGTTCGCCCGTGAGTGTGCCAGGATGCGGGCTGAAAAAGGGGAAGTCTTGGATCTTGAGAATATACCCCTAGATGATGATATGTCGAATCAAGGATACGATTACGGGGTAGAGGGAGGGGCCAACATATAGAGTAGCGTCCATTTATCCATTAGATAGGTATTATTAGGGTGCAAGGGGCATGTGAGATACACACACTCAGTTTATCTGCTGTAGGAGTTAATTAACGCTCACCATCATAATGATTCAGCACAGCCAAGGGCATAACATCACCAAATGAGTTACCCTGTGAGGTTCTTGACTTGGTACCTCTAATTGACTGACTGGAGACGTTGTCCTCGACGCGTTCATCCCTCAACACTAGGCCAAGACTTGCAACTCATACCTGACGTGGGCATCACGAAGCTATTTCCTTCATAAACAATTCTTCTCTCCCTCTTCCCCCAATCTCCCAACCACAACCGGAAACCCCAAAAACACACCGAAAACATATATTCCCAAGCAACAAACAGCACAAAACAACAAAACCCACCATGTCCGAAACTACCCCCTCAATCCTCCTACCCAACGAAATCCACCCCCTCCTAACCGCAATCCAATCCCTCTCCAGACACCTCCCAGCCTTCGCCCCGGGCACCAGCACACCAACGCGGTCCACGCAATCCAGCATCCAGAAGAACATCACCTGGGCAGAACACAACCTACACCGACTGCAAGTCAGCCTAAGCAAATACGACGCGAACCCCAACACGCAGACACAGATAGCGCTGCACATGACGATGTTACGGGTGATAATCGAGACGTTGGGGGAGTACGATAGACGGATTGAGGAGATGCGGTTGCAGCAGGGGGAGCATGTGAGGATGAGTGATATCTGTGGGAGGGTGGAGGAGGATAGGGCGGAGCAGGAGAGAAGGGCGAGGAGATTGTTGGATGGGGTGCAGCGGTTTACGTATTATGAGCCGCCGAAGTAGATTTATTTTGCTCGTGGCTTTTTAATTGGCGTTTTCTTTGTTTAGGGGGATTGGAACCGATCGCGGAATACCCATTGAGGAGTCTAATTTTTCATAATTACCTACCTATATAGAAAGGGGATTTCTAATCGTGATGTCCGGTCTGGTACTTCGTAGACGATGAGTTGACATATTCGCTAATAGTGGGGCTGGGAATAGGGGTATGACCACCACCACCCAACTTCCACTCATAAAAAAAAAGAATTATGAGACCCAAGAACATTATATCATGTATTCTTAATTCAATATTATTATTACACCTAAGGTAAAGTAAATACCTTGGTAAGTAGGTAGTAGGTTGGTATATATATCTCAGCCCATCGGCCGTATAATAGCGCAGTCAAGACATCCATCGTCCCGACAAATACACATCATGCCAAAAAAACATACTAGTTAATATGCAGACGTCCATATCCCATGATACACAGGACTCCGTACGCTCCCGTCCGCCTAAAAGCATCGGCCAAAAGAACATGCGCCTCTCACATTCCGTGGTATGAATATCGTGTTCGCTCGCTCGGTCTCGTCGACTATGCGTCCGCATTCCCAGAACTCCGCTGCTTTCCAGATATGGTGTTGGTATAGGTGTAAGTAAAGATATTAAATATATAGATGATAGGTCCTCCCAATAACAAAATAAATAAGTGAGTGAAGTTTCAAACAGCATTAATGATTAAATGCTTAGTAGGCACCTAGCAACTTATACAACTTTCAGCGTACCCGCTCTGCCGGGCACGGAATTATACGCATTGTAGTCGCGGTCTTTCTCTCTTGGCCTTTCCCGTTCCCGCTCCCTGCTTCGCGGGGGTGGGTGAGACTTGAGTGGCTCTCGGCTTCCCATATTTCCAGGTAAAGACGGAACGGGTGGTACACCCTCTACAGCCGATAATCTTGGGGCAGGAGCTCCCTGGGTTTTACTCCGTGTTCGGGAGAGACTCGGAAGAGGTGCGGTATTGGGAGGGCGACGGAGGGCGCTTCGAGCTGGTAGGTCCGGCTCGGCGTCGGTTGGTTCGTTCGGAATGATGAGATCAACTAGGTGGGTCGTACCCTCTGGTGCTTTGACACCGTGGCCTTGCTTCCCTTTGGCCCATTGCGGTGCTTCTTTGAAGGTTGGTTCGAGGTTAACGAGGGGTTTCGGCTTTTCGCGACGGTTCGAATGCGACATTCCGATTGGTTGTGAAGAGAGCGGATTCGGATGTTCGTGTAGTAGAGGTTTGCCATTTAGAGGAAGAGGCGGGCGGGATGATGAGTTAAGCGATGGTCTGCGCGCATGCGAGTGTGTATGGTGCATAACACCTGCAGAGGTACTGGGGCGGTTTGAGGGAGGACCAACACTGCGTTTTCTAGCAGAGTGTTCAAGAGCTGAAGGGAACCAGGAGGGAGACTCGGGTTTGTGGCCCGGCGTTTCCGGCTCGGATTTTCTATTCAGAAGTGAAGGTCCATCGGTAAATCCAGCGTCTCTAGATCTTTGTCGCCCTCGATCTGGTCTATCTGTCTCGGTGTGAGCTTGTTTGCGTTCTTCATATCCTTCACCAAGCAAGCCATTGCCGGTGAAACCGTCATCGGCAGCTGAATGGATGCGATCTATCAACTTTCGCTCGCGCTTTTCTTCCTTGGGAGTAAAATGGAGATGATGCGCTGGGATCTCCTTTGGCATAGTCGATATGTTAGGTACTGGGGGTAAGAAATCTTGTCCAAATTGAGACAACCGCTTATCGAAGCGCTTCATATCAAGCAGTGGCTCAAACTTGCCGATTGAATACGGTGTTTCGTCGACTGATACTCGAAGGCGATGTCCATTCATCGAAGCAACGTTTTCCGACTTCTTCGGCGTCTGGCTAATAGCGGGTAGTGAAATTTGAGGCGGCTTGTCATCAGTTTTCCTGATTGAGATTTTCCTTGATGCTTTCGGAACCACAGGCCTGCGATCCACAAGATACCAACTACGCCAACCCTGAACCTTCTCTCTGAACTGAGCGGCGATCTTGGGGTCCTCCGTGCTAAAGTATTGAACGTAATTCTCAGTATTCATGAATACTGTTGTCTTCTGCTGACTCTTTACTGCAAAGCAATACCGTTTCGGCGGTTTGATATTTCTCCGCATCTGTGACTCCGTGGGCGTATAGATATCATAATCGGATAAATGACAGAGACCTGTTGTATCCTTGTCCGTCGAATTGGCATTTGGCTTCTTCGCGGAGAGGAGCTGCCCATTGTCGAGAAGCGTGATCCATCTCTTATTCCACTTTCCCGGTCGATTCGAATGATACATATACAATTGAATCCCTTGAGGTGGTTCGCGACGGTTTGGAACTGATTTGATGTCAAGATCCCAATCTTCTTCTTCGGAATCCAATACCTTGACTATCAATTGATTTTGAGTATCGCGATCCCAAGAATTCATGACGTCCCGGATAGCTTCGTAACGCCTTAAACGACGCTCGAGACCTAATACGCCGTATGTTTCCGACACAATGCAATTCTCTGGACTAATATCGTTGGAGCCCATCATCTTAGACGTCTCTATTATTATGTCGTCTGCTGTCGTCTCGGGCGTTATTTCCAAGCTCAGGGTATGTTGCCTATAGCGCACCGCGACATTCTAAATAGCAGGTTAGTATACAACCCCGTACCAACAGAAATTATCGTTCCACACTTACTCGGTCCCCGGCATTAATCGCGGAGTGCGGCGCATCTGTCTGAGGCACGATACCTCGCCCGCCAGGTTCTATATAGGTCGATGAGGCTTTCGTGGGCTCGATACTTATATTCGATGACGTGGGAGATAGTCCCGGCGACAAACCATCCTTGTTTCTCCGTCCTTTAGTCAACATAACAAACTTTTCAATTACGGGACTCTTAGGCTTCAATGGCTGCGAGTGAGTTGATGTCCTATGTGTATTCGCCAACTCCACTTCTAACCTCGCGAGGTCCTTCTTCTTCTGCTCGATTAGCAACCGATTGTTTTCGGCCTCCACGCGAGCGATTTCTCGCCTCGCCGCCTCGTCATCTTCGTCACTGTTTAGCCTATTACGGCGCCCATCTCGGCTAGCTAACCTCCGCCACGTGCTCTCTTCACTCTTTCCACTCTTCGTGCTTTTCGCTGTGCTAGGTCGGTTCTGATGGTAGTTTTCCGCCATGCTTCGACGAGATGTGTGCCTTTGCGTAGAGTCGGTACGGCGCGGTTGACTTCGCGGAGAGGAATTGGACGAGGCGGCGGGGGCATCACTCTCTTTTTGTGTTATGATGGCGGTCTTTAACTGACTTGGTATAGTTGGCACAGGGGGTCGATTCGGAGGTTCCCATGGGGGTGGTGGATCGGAATTAATTTTCTGGGTAGCATTGGCGTTGACAGTAACGCTACTTGTTCGTCTGCGGTAGCGAGACATGGACCGAGCAATAGTGCTACCAGATTGAGAGTCTTGTTGCTGGCTGCTGCCGCTATCTCGATTGCCAGTTTGAATATTCATTTTGGTAGTCGGGTTTGTTGTCATGGAATAACTCCTATCTTCTAAATTTTGAGTTTGCGAATTATGTCTAGGCGCGGCAGGAAATTTATCAGGTGAGAAGAAATTGGGCGGCGAAAGGGTTGCCGGCACGGTGACCGTCTCGGACCCTGTCGACATCGCATGTACAATACCAGGGGTCAGGACTCAGTGGAACCCAAGACGCCTAAAGATACCGGCACGGTAGCAATGGGCACACAACAAAAAAGTGAACCGTGCTTTCTTAACCGCTAGTTCAGTCTCCGGTCCATAAGACAGATAGCGACGGTTCTCGGCAAGGTGGAAAAGAACTCAAGTATAGATCGTATCTTAAATAAGCTTAAGCGCAATGGCCGAGGAAGAATCTTGATATTTCCCAAACGAAGATGACGACGCGACAGTCGACGGCGCGTCAGATAGCTGGCAGATACACGTATGTTCTTAGTAACGAATGTGGCGCTAGATCCTAGGTTATAGGCTAGGACTCTCCTTTTTTTCTAATATTCTCTCTTGCTCATTATAATAATATGTATAAGTGTAGTCTGTCGAGAAGTGTTGACAACTTCATTGGCGGCGATTATCCACTGATCATCCACTGATGCGCGAGGACGATCTTATCATAAAAGGGGATTAAGTGAATCAAAGAGACTGATCAAATTTGGCAGATTGCCGAGAGGATCAACTTATTTGACAGGAAAATTATAATAAGATGACAGGGGACACAAGGGACCAGTATCCATATCGGGTCTGACTATTGTGGATATTCTAAATCATAGCGAAGAATGTTTCGTCGACCAGTTTCCCAAGCTTGTGGGTGCTTGTGGGTGCTTGTCTGACGAGCAGGAGAAAAAAAAAGCGGGAGAGTATCTTGAGCTTGGCACAATTGGCCTAAGTAAAATTTGTATGCAGGGGTAAGTTCAGGCGCATTATTACAATGCAGGGGATCCCGCATTGCGTCAGTGATCACTGGGCCATTAGCAGCCAATGCTTCGATCCCCAACGTGCCTTCCTGGTACGAAAAGGCTAAAATTCGTAAAATTTAGCAGTAGCGCGCCGTCGCTGCATCCCAACGTAAAACTACTTCTCCCGGATCTACGGCGTAAGGCAAGAAGAATGCAATGCATGTCCTACTTCCCAATTCAACTTCCCATGTGGCTGGCACGAGTCTCATATAAGACAATTTATAGTGTTGCACATGACAACAAACTTCGTGACCTTTAATCATCTTAGATCACCTTATGATCATGATGCATGAAAAAGAGTTTATATTAGGAGTATACACGAGTTGTAGATTAGGCTATCCAATCACAAGCCCTCCATACAAAGTCTCATAGGAAAGAAGAATGGATTCAACAAAAGTACCTCAAATCCAAAAATCGAAATAGCTTCTATGTATCTACAACAGTGAAGTTTTTCTCGTTGATATTTTATGTGCGGGTAGGTAGGTACCCGAGGCGTAGGGGCATTAACGTTATTTTTAGCACCTGGTCTTCTGCGTACTAGGTAAAAAGCAAGGGGCTCACAAAACACGAGGTCCTATTTTGATGGAATTTCCAAGAGACATTTGATATATCACCGTAAAGCGGGATATGGCATTGTCAATAAATCAAGGTTTGGCTCAAGATATACCAAGGAAGATTGGAATTAATTACTTGCGGGCTTCGTAAGTGTGTGGCTGCCACTTGTCGGCTTCTCTGTTATGCTCATCTCCACAGCTGACCGGCTTCAGCTCTTTCATTTCCAACTCGCTTGAAATGGCCTCGTTATATTAAGAGGTTGGACCTAAGGCAAACATCGTGATATTGACTGTATCACGCGTCTGAATAAAATGAAGACATTGTGGCTTTGGCCAGACCACGGGAGGCATTGAATGTTTGAGTCCCTTACAGACATTATGCGACGATGAGTCGATGTCTTAGACCCTTATTTTCTAAACGCTCTGACATTCCACCTCCACCAACCGGTGAAATCTTGTGTAGACACATCTATGCCGAGATCCTTGAGCCTCTTGGTACTAAGATGGCAGTCGTACGGCCTCTGAACCGACGCGTTGGGATCGTTCCCTTCGGTGTTAGGCTCGATGGCTGTAATAGGCAATCCCATTATCTCGCCAAAGAGCTTACAGATCTCGTACTTGGTATATTTATCCTCGGAAGAGAATTGTAGAATATTGGGGAGTTTTGATAAGTCATCGGAGCCCAGATATTTCACGGAGATATCTGAAGGATGTTAAAAATGAGGATATATGAATGTTAAGGTAATTGGAATAAAATACGAGTAACTTACCATGACACACCCGTCCCACGTCCTCGGTCTGCAACGTGTTAATATTGTTTAGATACACAGGTGTTTACTCGCGATCGAGTAGACTTATTTAAAGGGGAGGGTAAGTATATGCGAGGAACATTGTGACATACTGCGAACAAGTCAGCATCTCATGCATCTCGTAGCAGGGGCCTCTTTACATACCATTGGTAGGGTAACGGAGAGCCCAGTGGTCCATCTTGATTTTAGTACCCGGCTCTTGTGCTTTCCATACTGTCTCCAAAAGCACGTTTACCGCACTCTCAGTTGGTAATTCAGCATCCCCATATAACACGGGAACTCGTAGGACCACTCCTAGTCCTGCCTTGCCGGCATTTTGGTACTCTTCTATTACAACACGCTCTCCGTCAAGCTTTGTTTGCCCATATAGGTTCGTAGGCTGCGGTTTCGCATCGGCTTCGTAGGGCGCATCTCCGGGTTTGCCTGGAAAGACATAATCGGTAGATATATAGATTAGGAAGATATCACGACTTGCACATAATGAAGCAAGTCTCCTAGTAGCCTCTACGTTGATCGCGCGAGTGCCTTCGGGGTCTTTGTCGCATTTGTCGGGAAACCGATTGGCGGCGCCTGGTGGCCGTCAGTTGTCTTAACCTTAGGTGCAACTCCAACATAGAGACAACTAACAGTGAACTACAACTTGCGGTCTTCAACGCAGAAAAGAGTGTCAGCTAAGAAGCTACATAGAAGAAACAGAAATGCGTCAACGTAGATTAATTGCAACATACTTGACATTGTCTAGTGCAACAGAAACTTCATTCGCATTTACCAAGTCGACCTTAAGGATCGATAAGCCGTCGGCGCGAGAATACCCCGTCCCTTTTACAGTCCAATTGGCTCTTTCAAAGGCCCTAACAACCTCCCTGCCGAGTAAGCCGGTAGCCCCAGTTATCAATGCTGTCTTTCCAGTCATCGCTAGAGACGATCAAAGAGGAAGAGTTGGGAATTGGTTAAAGATTTGCTGTAATTGAAGCTTAAGAGTTTGGAAGATTGAGGAGCTCTAGAGGGGCAATTAATTGTCTTTACCAGCTACGTAATAGCGGGGTTGTGGGTACCTCATCCCCCGGCTACCCGACCATCCTCCCCTAAAGTGGAGCTTGAGCTCTCTAATAGCTCCGACTACAATAGAATATCTACTTTTATATCGTGTGAACATACCAAGTTACATCGAAACCGATCTACCATTCCTTTTTTGAGGCACTCCTCAAATCGTCTACATTCAAAATGTCTGCACCCTCTTTCATTAAGGTGTGCCAGACGTTATTCCGAATACCAACCGGCCAACCTGGCGTGTCCCAATACCGGACTTTAAGTCCTCTTCGATGCGCACCTTTAATCTGACCACGGATTATTCGAAGTTGGTCATCGCTGAAACCAGTGATAACATGCCCTACAGTTTCTCCAAAACTCGTACTGGCATATAGTGAGTTTGTCTCGTTGTATGTGATGTCATCCGTGGACTCCGAGTCTGGGGCATCGGGATCTTCCCACATGTCTGCAAGCGGCGCATCGAAGAACACGTCTCTATATGTGGGATTATTCACTACGAGATCGAATGGCGTGTTTCCCGTTCCCACGACAATTATTTGACGTTTATTGACGACTCCGTCTTCAAAATAAGTCAGCCAACCCCTTGACCTCAAAGGCTCTAGTTGGGTGAGAACATGAGGCCAAAGCTCAGCCCCATCAGTCTTGAAATCCACCAGGAGTATAACCGTCTGCTCTGGATCATAATCAAAGACTCCGCGGCGCGTGTCATTATAAAATTTTGTTCTTGGGTTCGTCCGATTGAGTAGGTCTACCAGTGGATTCACGTAGAGAGACTGGAAGGTTCGGTTTGGAGTCAATGCGGCGGTATCATGTCCAACATAGAGTTCTGGATCATCGTCAAAAAGCCAAACATCTGCTTCAACTCCGATACAGCCGGCGTGTAGGGCAGAGAAGAGAGGCACCTTGCGCCAGTAGTCATTGTGGGAATGACATTGAATCGGTAAGATATCTCGGAGGAAATCTGTAGGATACCAAGCCAAACCCTCGGTCCCCGTGCCTTGCTTTCCCCAGTTACCGAATATTTTGTCTGGGTTGTCTTCTATACCCCATAAGCTCCTAGCTGTAGATACTAGTAAGTGTATGAGAAAGATAGCGGCTCTGGGTTTCTTCGTCAGTTTTACGAAATTGATAGGTATTAATCATGTGTTGTTAACAGTGCATACAGTATCGTCAAACCCCATATGCTACTAGATGTAAGATAACCTTGGCAACATTGTCGTTTTGGGGCACGTTGTGCTACATTTCCTGCGGGCTCTTTACCTGGTGCGGCGGCATATTCGTTGTCTTCGGCACCATCAACAGGTACATAGTCATGGGCACGTCGTCGGTTCCAGAGGTTACTTAATGACAATTTCTTCTCAATGCGCGTAACGCTTCCCATCTTTATTAAACCAAGCAGTTTCTCTATTTCTGCCTAGGTAGAATAAGATGGGGAAGGAAGAGGTATACGGAATATTAAACTAGATTGAAGTAGATTGAGTCGATGGTCGCTTAATTGTCGCGTGTTCGAACCAATTACGCGGTATGTTCTTCGACATAGATGACTTCAACGGATGAGACGGTCAGACGAAACGTAACAAGAAGAGCTTCAGAGTCAGAGGACGACGACGCATACACTAAAATAACTCTGATTGATTATAGGATTACTTTCAAATAAACATGTGTAACTCATCAGGTGATAATGCAATTGGAAAGATTCATCCCATTGTTCATCGGCCTTTAAATAGGAATGTTGAAAGAAAGATGATTTTGGACTTGGATCAGTCCCTTTTAATTGCTAGTCGGTCCCCAGCACCTAGATCCGCTTAAGTACGCTAGACTGGATTCAGTTAGAAGGATCTTCAGGACTAAAGTGTGGGGCACCGACACCGATGTCCGACACTTCGAAAATTTTGGAGTCGCTGTAATCTTATCAGAACATTTGAATTTGAAGCTTTTCATATTCTTTTTCTTAGCTTGTCAGACAAGCACAATCTCAGTCAAGATGCCTCATAAACATACACGCAGGGAGAAAGATCTTTCTACGTACGTAGGATGGTATTATTAATCGCTCAATGTAAAGCTAACACCCTTCATAGATACGATCTCCCACCATCGCAAATCGCAAAGCCTTTACCTGTAAAATCACAGCCACAACCGCAAAAAAGCGACGCAGGGAAACAAGGTCCAAATCAGACAGGCAAGAACTTAAAGCGGAAACGCGATGCACCGAAAAAAGACGATGCGCCTCGTGCATTCAAACGATTAATGGCCTTCGCCGGAGGCAAGAAACCTCGTTCTGGATTAGACAATGGGGATGAACCGATGGGAAAGAATAAGAAAAAGAAAACAGCTACAGCAACAACAACCCCTGATTCTGAAGTTAAGGAGGCCAAGGAAACACGGGAAATTCCTACGATCCGACCTGGCGAACGCATGTCAGAGTTTTCTGCTCGAGTTGATGCTGCGCTTCCCGTTAGCGGTCTAATCAACAATTCAGTCAGGAACGGCAAGGATCCCTTAGGACTCAAAGTATGGAAGACCAAGAAAGAGAGAAAGATGCACAAGTTATACGATGAATGGCGGGAGGAAGAACGAAAAATAAAAGAGAAGAAGGAAGAAGAGTTAGAACTCCAAGCAGAGAAGGAGCTCGAGGAAGAAGAAATGGGCGTCACGTGGAAACTCGATTCACAAGGTGGCGGCAAGAGAAAGAAGAAGGGGAAGAGATCCAAGTATCTAGGCGAAATCGCCGACGCAGACGAAGATCCTTGGGAAGCATTGAAGAAGAAGCGTGGAGAAGCGAAGATCGGCTTACATGACGTTGTTCAAGCGCCGCCGGAGTTTAGCGTCAAGCCTCAAAAGAAGATTACGGTCGGGGGTGCAGTTGTTGAAGTTGGCGGCATTCCGAAGGCTGCGGGGAGCTTAAGACGAAGAGAGGAACTACAAACTGTCAGAGACGATATTGTTGCATCCTACCGAAAATTGATGAGCGAGAAACGACCCTCTTTGCATAAGTCTTAATATCAAGACAGGGTGCATCTCGAGGCTCATCAACCTAGATACCCGAATACCAAAGACACAGCCATGCCACTATTATCCAACTGCGACTCGACGTTAAGATTTGATTTTGACTCCCTCTTTAACTTAGGACCTCACGTGTAATAGAAATGTGGGACCATGATATGTAGCATTGCAACGAGAGGCTTAAAGCTCAATACTTTGCATTTCCGCAATAGGAGGGAGGCAACCAGCATTATTGTCGGTTGGTTCTGGTTGAGTGGGGTTGGGCAGCGTGGGAGGGTGTTTGAATGATCACGTACAGCCAATTATGCATCGATTCCGGACAGCATCCCTAAGAAAGATTCTAATTCACAACACCCAACGACATAATACGGAGTTTTGCCAATACTGCATATTCCCCCCATTAACTACAAGCATCGGATAATGCCAGTCTTCAATGAGTATCACTACGAGCCCCTAAGCGCGGAAGACGAAATTCGGCTTATTGAGCTAAACCCAGCGAAGCGTGAGGAAGCCCCTCTGAAATGTTCGATTGTCCAACACCGACGTTCAGTACGAAAAAATGATTACTTTGCTATCTCATATGTGTGGGGAAACCCGGAATTCTCGCGGAACCTGGAAATATCATGCGATGGTGATGTTTCGTACCTGAGGATCACTCCTAATGTTGACGTTTTATTGAGACGTCTTCGAAAACTCGAAGTCTTGCGTTACTTGTGGATCGATGCCATATGTCTCAACCAGGCCGATGAGATTGAAAAAGCGCACCAAATCCCGCTCATGGGACGCATATTCGGAGAGGCGAAGGATGTTCATATCTGGGTAGGCCCTCAGGACTTCTTAACCGCAAAATTATTTACCTTTCTTCGGCAAGTTAGCCTTCTCCCCGAAGTTAAGCAAGCCAAAATGGCACAGTGCATTGTGGATGTTATGTTGAACATTTTCGGCAATACTGGAACTGGATTACAGAGTTTTGATGATTTCTCTAACCGGGTTTGGTTCTCACGACGATGGATTATACAAGAAGCTCGTCTTGCCCGAAAAGCTACTGTTCATTGTGGGAATTGCTCCATCCCTCTGCCAGTACTTGCCTTAGCAGCAAAACGGTTTCAAGCTCTAGACATGTCCTCCTATCCAATGAAAATGATGGCGAATTTAAATACTCCAGCAAGAAAGCCCACGATACTAGAGCTCTTATGGACCTTCCAAGAAGCTTGTTGCCTTGAACCCAAAGATCGTGTAGCTGCCCTATACGGCCTCGCACAGAATGCTTACGGTTTTCATCTCGATTACACTGCCCATTGGACTGAGATGTATAAACAAATTGCTTTTAGTGTCTTGAGAAATGGCAGCAACGACATAAAACTTCAACTCATGCTTCACTTGTTTGAATTCGGGGCAGTCCGCGCACCTTCTAATGTCGACTATCCCTCTTGGATTCCCGACTGGTCAAATACCCGACAACGAGGTCTCCCCTATCATTCTTCCATAAAGAATATTGATACCTACGAACCGTATCCCACTTCACCCGGATATCCAACGAAAGCCACCTTGAAACTCCACCACGGTTCTCTTCAGGTCCATTGGAATGCTTTGATTGGTGGATCGCGTGGTTGGCGTGTCGTCTACGCGACGAATTCCGATTCCCCTATACGAACCGAAGAACAGAGGACGGAAAAAGTCAAAAGCCTTCTACTAGAGCTCTTCCCATCTATCTTTGCTCCAATTTTCCCAATCATGGCAGTGGCTGCATTATTTCATCTAGTCGAACAATTCTACTACCCGAACCAAAATCTAAGATTGAAGAGTTCTCCTTATGACGAATTTATCGTCAAAATGATCCAACAGCTACCCAAAATGTTCCACACAAGACTACTCGACACTTTGAGGCAAACAAGCCGCTTGCTAGGGGACTTCTGTATATTCAAAATGAAGCCTATCGGATCCGAGCATCAACATAGCGTAGGCTATGGTATCAGCTCGCAACAGTTACAGCCCGGCGACACCATGATACCACTTTGGAATATGAACTGGGATAAGGAGAGGGGCATGTCTCACATGAAGGAGTATATGTACTTGCGCACTAAAACAATGCTTGTAGTAAGGCGTACTCAAGGACAAACACTAAGCGGAAAAAACCCGGCTGAGACAGGTCGAATTGTAGGTTGGGCTGTGTGTGTCCTATTGAAAGGTGAATCGATTTACGAATTTGATTTATCTGACAGTACGATGTGGGATGATGATTTGAACGGTGAGCAGCAATGTTCAATGCTGTTGGCTTAAAATCCGACCAGAACCATAAGAGGGAATAAGATGGGATATAAAAACTAAATAATGCTGGTATAATGATAATTGGATGGGTGACTTGCCTCAAAACTGAATTATTTGTCACACACCCTCTACCTCCTTTCAGCTTCACTCTATCACATGAAATATGACAATTTAATATCTTTGCGTCAATATTGAGTTGCGTGTATAAAAACAGTCAGCTCTGCTACCTCACCTCTTAACGGCAAAGACGAGGTTTGGTTTTCGGTAAGAAAGCATTGCGCCACGATACCCCCTTTCCCTATTTGTTGGAATTTCTTCTTTTTTTTTGGAATAATCCACTTCCCAGCACCTACTAAGTGACATCATTCGAGCTCCGTAAGCCTGACCCGAGATAGTACCGCCGGGTCCAAGAAAGTCCTATATCGATCTCAGTCAGATCAGGACGAACTGCCGGTGAGACACGAGTAGCGGTAATCGAAGAAGGATCACCCTGAGTGATATGTGGTCCCACCCGAGCACCTCAATCGAATCCCATATTGCAACCCATCCTCACACAGATCTATTAACCACGTGCGACTCAGCCCTACGATATCAAATACTCGGGCCATTTCATCCACATGACGCCCAGCCCAACGAATCAATCACCCGCATTCCCAATCCCCCACCCCTGAACACTATCAACGTTGGTCCCAGCCCAGACGCCAACCGAGAAAAAAAAAACCTGTAGATAGCTGTGACGGATGGCGCAGGAGTTAAAGCACCTCCGCAGAACCAGCACCAGCACCAGCTGAAAGGAGTTATCACATCGACGACGAGGAATCGACACAAGCTGCATCACACAGCCCGACCAATGGCGTCAAGCCATCACACGTCACGATCCCTCTCCCACGAACCTGATCCGCGGCAGGGGTCACGGCGCTGCACAGATCTGCATGGATGCGGCTCAGTCCCCATCCTCCCATCCCCCGTCCCGATTGGCCGAGCCGTCAACATCGCACACATATGTATGTAAATAGATGTTAGACACCTAGCTGAGAAGAATGGAATGAGTGTTCACCGCCCGCCCGCGCGAAGGAATTCTTATCATGTGCTATCACTAAGTAGACATCGTCCGCCTTTCTAGACTTTGCATCCTTCACGTGGGTATGTTATCCGGACATGTTTGCCGCGATGTATGAGATAAGTTGAGTCGGTGTCACATGCGCGAAGTCGCACACCCTCTGCTAGGTAACACAAGCCTCCTAACTGGATTATACGACATCGCGCAATAAAAAGGGGGTTACATACGGGGTACATATCACCAAGCTCTGGGGAAGATGGAGGGACCTGTAGGAAGAACGCGCGGTGACATGCCGGGACACGGAAATCGCGGGTGAGAGTGGGTAAGACTGCAAGCCTCGACATTTGAATGCGGCGTGGATGTCTGTGCGATGCCTGACGGCTTGGGTTTGGTTCCGCCGTTCCCCTATATTCGCTCGCGGATGGCCGGTTCAGGTAATTGGACCGGCTTGTATGACGGGTTTATTTGCGTCGGTTGGACGATTGTAACCAAGCGAGCCATCGAGGACGTCCGGTTCGCTGATTACGTCTGACAGAGGGGGTGAGGCGGAAACGTGCGGCCGGACCCGGTGGTGGGATGGGTTGATGGGTGACTGGATGATTGGGTATTATGCCGGAGTTGGGAGATACTTTATTTGTTGCTGTTGTATCTGACTTGAGTAAGAGCCCTCTCATATATTATGCGGCTGTGTTGAAAGTCTAGGTACCTAGGTAGTAATGTATATAAGATGCTACGCTCCTGAACACAAACGAGCCTCTCGGTGTTCGTCCCCCCCACAGACAACTTATACCTGAATTCAGCTTTGAATCCTAGCAATATCATCCGCGGGGTTTTGTGTAATCATGTTGAGCGTAGCACTAAGTCCTACGGCTGCGGGCCTAGCTGTGGTGGTAATGGTAAGCTCCCTTACCTAGGTATATTTCTCCAAAATCGCAGAGTGAGAATACTGACACCATCATCTCGACTAGGGAATCACCTACTGGCTTGGCTGGTGCATATACTGCATATGGTTTCACCCATTATCCAAGTATCCCGGACCAAGAGCCGCTGCCGTATCTGATGTAAGATCGTTATTTATATGTATCCGGACGATACACAATACTGAGAGATTTTCCATAGATATGGTTTGTATGGGCCTGGACTACCGGGAGATATCCACACATTTTAGACGCTGCTCATAGGAAATATGGTAAGTCCAGACCCGACTCCCTTACCAAGATCAACTTAGATTCCGATCTAACTGTGGGACCCACAGGAGACGTCGTCCGCATATCTCCGAACGAGCTCTCCTTCGGCACAATCCAAGCGCACCGGGACATCTACTCCACTCCCTCTAAGACGAAAAAGCCGTTCCCAAAATGCGGCATCTTCTACAACAATGGCGATGAATCCAATATCTTCTACGAGCTAGACCCGGCCGAGCACGCGCGCATGCGGAAGACGCTAGCCCCGGGCTTCACCGGCGTAGCTATGAAGACCCATGAGCACATCATCCACCAATACGTTGACATGTTCGTACACAAAGTCGGGGAGATATGCTCCATGAGACGAGGTGCCGGTGTCGACGTTGTAGAAGCGGTGCCGTGGTTGGCGTTTGACGTTATGGGTGAGCCCATCTACCCATCGCAAGCTGAACTAGCAGTTCTCTAACATGTTATGCAAACAGGCGAGCTGACATTCGGCGAATCCTTCAATGCCGTCGCATCGGGGCAGACGCACTTTTGGATCTCCATCCTATCCGACAGCGCGCACGCCGCCATCCTGCCGTCCTTCATCCGACGTGCGCCCAGCCTAATTCTCATGATCCCTTTCATGCTCTCGCTCACCGCGCTGCGCAATCTAAAGAAACATTATTCTTATACCCTCGAGACCGTACGACGGCGAATAGCGCGGTCTGACACGGCTGAGCGTGATATCTTTACGCCGGTGCTTGAGCAAGAGGGCGGGATTACTGAAAGGCAGCTGGTGTCGCTTGCGCAGGCAATGATTATCGCAGGCGCAGATACGGTGACAACGGCTATGACGACCGCGCTGTACTTTTTATGCGCGACGCCGGGGTGCTTGGAGAAGTTGGAGAGGGAGGTCCGGGCACTGGATTATGATCAGCTTACCGGGGTTGAGGTGACGCAGATGAGGTATTTGGACGCTGTGATTGAGGAAGCGAGTGAGTATTCCAGAGCTTTCTATCACTTATTCCCGCCGCCACCTACCTTTCTGCTACTACCCACCAGGAACCGTGCATATGCCGTAAAGCACGAATGCGACTTTTCATTGGTATGAAAAATCAATTTTGCTGACCTGGGGTAATATAGTGCGATGCTTCCCACCACTCGCATTCGGTCTCCCGCGCGTCTCGCCCGGAGAGTTTGTAGACGGGTACTTCGTGCCGAAGGGGGCCAGGCTTTCGGCACCCCACTGGGTTCTTAACCACAACCCCCAGGTTTGGGATAATCCAAATGAGTTCAGGCCCGAACGATGGCTGAGAGGCGAGAAAAGCAATCCCGACCAAGTAACTTTCCCGTTTAGTACCGGGCCGAGGAGTTGTATAGGTATGGCGCAAGCTAATTTGGAAATGCGAATTACGCTGGCGAAGCTGGTCCATACTTTCGATATAAAGGCCGCCCGAGACCCTGGCGATTGGATTGGAGATGCGCAGATGAATATGATGTGGAAAAAGGCGCCTCTTATGGTGGATTTCCGGCCTCGGAACCGGGACGGTCTAGATTATGTCAAAAAGCAGTAGTGCAAGGGTCGGTGTTGAAAACATGTCACAGGATATTGAAGGGGATTCCCAAAAACAAAATTTGGACGAAGACTATAAAGGGTATTATTGCGTCTTTGCTTAGCCAACATCTGAACTCACATCGAATGAACATCGCCAACTATTCTATACCCTTTTCGCACATTGACACGTGTTAAAAACCCTGTTCATGCCCGTCCCTTATTTGCTTCGCTTGTAGATCTTCTGCAGGAACGCCTCGAAGATGCCCTTCTTCAAGCCTTCACTCTCGTCTATCTGATCGATAAGTTTTCGGATCTCACCGACGCTCTTCTCCTCGTACTCCTGGTAGATTTGCTCGAGCTTCAACTCGTTGTAGAGCTTCTTGACCTCAGCTTCGTGGGTCTTGTCCTTCTTGCCGTAGTGGTCCTCGAGCACTTTGCGCTGTTCAGGGGTAGCGATCTTTAATGCTTGGTTGACTAGCCACGAGCACTTGTTGTCCTGGATATCGGTACCAATCTTGCCAATGTGCTCTGGAAGGCCGAAGTTGTCTAAGTAATCATCCTGGACCTGGAAGTACTCGCCCATGGGAATAAGGATGTCGTGTGCTTGCTTCAAGTTCTTAGGGGTCGCAATGTTGAGCTGGTGTAATGCTAGAGCTACAGGGAGGTAGAAACTGTAGTAGGCAGTCTTGAAGATGACGATAAACGTGTACTTCTCTAAGCTAAAGTTGTCCAGGTTCACCACGTCCTCTGGGGCTGTTAGAAGATCACAGAGCTGACCCAATTCCGTTTGAAGAGAAGTCTCATGGAACAACTCAATCATGTCGACATAAGCAGGGTGAGTCTTGAAGTGCTTCTTGAGCAGGGTGTAGATTGCGGCCTCAAGCATGAATGCATCATTGATGGCGATGTTGCCAACGCCCTCATGGAGATACCAGCAAGGCTTCCCTCGTCGTGTGATGCTACCGTCCATGATGTCGTCGGACACTAAGAAGAAAGCTTGGAGGAGTTCAATCATCCATCCCAGGGTAGCAGATTGGAAATATTCTTGCTCGGACAGTTCCCTGTCAAGAAGAATAGATACGGAATCGGGAACCGACATTCCACGATTACATTTTCCACCAACAGCGTTGATTTGAAGCATCTATATCAGAGTCAGCATGATGCAAAACGATTTGAAATTTACCCGACATGAGGATCGTAGGTGAATCTAAGGAGTAACAGAGTGATAAAGCTAATGTGGCTATGAAAAGCGATTGTGCGGATACGGTTCTAGCAGGGTATGAAGTTAAGGTAGAAGGGATGTTCTAACCTTTCTGTACCATTCCTGCTGCTGCTGAGGCAGATTGTACTGCTTTGCCCAAGACAGGAGGTCTTCCTCGAGCTTCGGGAAGACAGACTCAAACTCCTTCAGAGTAGTTTTCTTTGCCATCTTGAAAGATATTTACGGGTTTAGGTTATCGAATTAGATATTATGAAGCTAAAGAGTCTAATAATGGACCTCGCAGCTAGTGATCTAGAACACCAGGAAAACTGAAGTGAGAGTATGTAGATTATGTTGATGAAGGAGCTTCGTAGTGTTGATATATGTATTTACTCGGCGTCGAAGGTTGTACAAGTGGAATTAACCCCACTAAATAATATTTGTGGGCCATATATTGAGGGGCAGTGACATGCCAATGAGGGCTTACTAGAGAATTATAATTCTTTAATATGTTTATACATAATCTCACAATTCATTTGGTGCCGATTGCTACTTGCCTGGTCTATCCTTATGCACCCCTTTATAATTAACAGCTCATAAAGGTAGAGAATATAGGAAAACTTTGTTTGCTTTAATACAACTTTAAAGTTTTCAACAATTCATCTTAGCTGTGAAGCTGATACGCATGATAAAAATGGCGCTAAGGATTTTATAGGTACCACTCAGGCGGTGAAGTATTGAAGACATGGATCTAGGGGGTTCCACGTGGAACGGGTCTGTGGATCCATAGTCCAAGTTCTTATCGTTATCGCTTATCGTTATCGCCTATCTTTATCGTAGAGGAATCCCAAGGCAAGGGCAGCTCAATGTTGATTTTCGAGGGGCAACGCTGATCTTATTGGATATTGAGACGCGATTCGATTCCTGACACCACTAACATCATAATTGTCTGTTCCACGAACGACATGAAGAAGGACCAACTGGGCTCAGTAGACTCCAATACAAAACATCTTCCATCTTACACGTTCCACTAAGCCACACTCATGTTTATATAACACTCCACCATGTCTCTCAATGATAGAGAGAAGTCTCAGCTTCGAAGCGCTTTACAAGATGCAATTATAAAATGTTCCGAAAGATGCCTCTACCAATCATCTAAATGGTATGACTCCTCCACTCTTACCACAGTACATATCGAGTGTCGATCTAACATTCACTCCCAGGGCAGCCGAACTTCTCAATGCGATCCCCGAGACAGAACCGTCGCTCGATGATTCACAGCTTTCAGACGCCTCTACTGGATACGCCTCCACCATAATAGCTCCGAATATTGACCCGAATGAGGCAGCGCTTGAATCTAAGGAGATAAACAAATATCTCCTAGCAAAATCCCTCTTCGATTGCCGAGAATACGATCGTTGTGCCGCAGTCTTTCTCCCCGACTCTACACTTACTGGCATAATCTCTTCAAAAGAGCCGAACAATGCGACCCCAAAAGGCAAGGGCAAGGGCAAGGCTACAACCCCTACCACCAAGTCGAGCAATAGCGAATATCTACCGCAATTAAGCCAGAGAAGCTTGTTTCTCGCTTTATATGCTAAGTTTCTCTCGGGCGAGAAGCGCAAAGACGAAGATGCCGAGATGGTAATGGGGCCGCAAGATATTGGTACATGTTCCAACAAGCAATTATTAACCATTAGTCGTGTTTTGGAAGCGTGGTTTAGTCAGCATCAAAACCAGGAGGGTGATGGTGTTGAAGGTAGTCAAGGGTGGCTCGAGTATCTCTACGGGATGGTTCTTGCGAAAGAGAAGAACGAAGAACTGGCCCTGATGTGGCTAATTCGCAGCGTTCACTTGTTTCCTATGAATTGGGGTTGCTGGCTAGAGATGACGGGGTTGATATCACGAGTGGAAGATGTACGTTGCAGCGAAGAGCCATCTAAAGCGATCGTCACTAATTTGTCACAGTTAAACCGGATAATGCCTCGGTTGCCACAGAATATCGTCTCCTTCATGTTCCATATCCACACATCTCTCGAGTTATACCAACACGACCCAAACCTTGCTAATTCATTAGACCAACTACTCAACATATTCCCGACGTCATCGTTTCTGCTCACGTGTGATGCGTTGCTTTCATATCATGCAAAGGACCTCGTAGCTGCGGAGCAGAACTTCAGCCGCATCCTCTCGCTACATCCGCATAGGCTTGACTCTCTCGATCACTACTCGAATATCCTCTATGTTATGAACTCACGTCCGAAGTTGGCTTTTCTAGCTCACCTATGCAGCGGCGTGGATAAATTTCGGCCTGAATCTTGTGTCGTTATCGGTAATTACTACTCACTGTTGTCTCTTCACGAGAAAGCTGTGCAATACTTCCGACGAGCATTAATGTTGGATCGTTCATGTTTGTCTGCCTGGACACTGATGGGGCATGAATATGTCGAACTCAAGAATACGCATGCCGCCATCGAATCATACCGTCGAGCTGTAGATGTCAATCGGAGAGACTATCGCGCTTGGTACGGATTAGGCCAAACATATGAAGTCCTAGAGATGCATGCGTATGCCCTATGGTATTACAAAAAGGCAGCCGGACTCCGGCCATGGGACGGTAAGATGTGGATGGCAGTGGGTTCGTGCCTACAGCGCATGAACCGAAATCAAGATGGAATCAAGGCCCTCCAACGTGCACTACGTGCCGAAAGCTACTATGAGACGGGAAGCAGTTTTGGCAGCGCAGGTAGTATGAGAGGCGCGCATATGGATCCCGAGATCCTATTACAAATCGCCGGCATGTACGACAGTATAGGTGAAGAAGAGGACGCTAAAGCGTACATGGAAATGTGTGTGGCACAAGAAGACGGCGGAACGGGCGATAACCTAGGTGAAAGTATCACGATCCATAACGATTCGCCGGGTGAGGGATCCGACGATGACGGCGACAATGCGGGACGAGGAGAAGGTGGCACGGGAGTCACAGCGGCCACTAGTAAAGCTCGAATGTGGCTTGCGCGCCACGCTATGAGGACGGAGGATTACCCCACGGCAAATCGCCTAGCGACCGAACTCTGTCAGGATGGCGTCGAGGTCGAAGAGGCGAAAGCCCTCATACGAGAGGTCAGATCCAGGATGGAGGCTAATGGAATGAGCGGGCCGTCTATCGGATAGAATCCGCCAGACTCTCCTGAGCTATAATATTCCGAGTGGCGCCGACCAAACCGAGGATTCTTAGTTTTGACTTATGGGTTACGATTTATTAACGAATAGATGGAAAAGCATTGGGGGAACATGGGGTCATCACGGGAGATTATAGTCCTTGCTTTGTTTTACGAGAAATGAAGGCTTCGTGAACCAACAACTTTTTAGGGAAATCCTAGATGGTAGTGCATTTTGGAAGGGAATCAATTACATCCTCACACGACAAGTAGCCACTTCATATTACCTTTACTATAGCCCGCCGGCGGCAACGTAACATATACCACCATGACCTAAGCGGCGCTGAGACAAACATTTTCCAGCGCCCATAAATGGCAGTCAGCGATTCGAAGGTCTCGTATTCGATTTATAGAAGCATCCTCCAAAACACCATGTGAACAATCCTAACAACCCTCGGCCGAACTCACCAACACAGTCACCTCCCCCGTTTGTAAAATTCGTTACCGACGAACCGTCACCCTAAGTCCAAGTGCTGGATCTTGCGAACATACCTACGGGGCCTTGCATCCAGCGAGATCTCTCGGTTGGCCTTGGCTTACGGTATTGTGCAGAGTAGGGAGGATCTAGATATTTGTTTGTGACTAATCACGATATGCCAACACATGAGACATTTGACTGCGCGCAGATGTACATACATACATGTACTGGCCTGCCTGTTTTCGCTACTTGCTAATTATTTCGTATGTTTTGTGCGCGGCTCGTAACTTCGTATGTCACTGGGTAGTATGTCACTAGAGATCTGTGTAGGTAGGGGTTCGGAGTTTGCTATATGCCGGCATACATGGACGCCTCGCTTCGGATGCCCTATCTGATGCGCCTCGATTTCGGGGCTAGCTCCAAGCCCGTCGGTCCCAAATAGTAGACACCGAGCTTGGGGTATAAGGACCTAGCCTTGAAATTTTTTTCTTTTTCTTCGCTCCCACTTTTTTAGGTATATCCCGAGGATGGATCAGCTATAAAAAGATACGTAACTAGTAGTATTATGTAACTTTCGGTAGATACCTAGCTTGGACATCGGCTTTCCCGGCTTTCACGTGGGAGCTGGATTACCTGGGCTGGGATGGTATAACTTACTAGTTACGTAGATCGGGATGCTACTATGATGCTATGTAACGCGATATCAATAGCGTTGGGGGACTACCGAGGGCAATTGACTGGGGGTTGAGGCTAGATTCGCTAATCGCTGATACCTGGCTCGAAGACCAGGTAGGGTTTGGTGGGATCTAACGCTGGTAACGAGGTGTCGGGTAGCGTGACGGCTTCGTTACGAGGATTATTTCTCGCTCGGCGTTTTCTTATTCGGGGCTTATCTTAAGATAGGACATATTGGTAGGTCCACGGGTAGGTATCTACTCTATCGTAAAGGGCTTCTATGTATGCGCGCCAGTTGAAGATATGGGGTGTAGGTTAGTCTACTAGAAGCGAGAAGCACATATGCAAGTCGGGCGGGCTTCCTTCTGTACCACCAACCAAGGGCGATAGTAAACGAGGCAGATTGTCGAGGAGCCTACAGCGAAGACATTGTCTCTCCTGTGAACCCAATTGCAGGTTCTCATCACCTACCTGCTAACCCTTATTCCCGTCCCTGGGTTAAGTTGATTCCTTCAATCCTTTCTTTTTCGTTTCCATTCGATATTCGACTCTAGTCGTCAGTTATATCGCACGAGAAACTTCGAATCCGTTCGCAAGGGCGGAGTGAATGCCCCGCGCCAGCTCGCCTAGCTACAAGGGATCTCATAGGGCAACGCTGTACCCAGGTTAAGGTAGCTACAGCAGCCAGGGAGCTCCCTAGTAAGTAGCTGCAAGGCAGGCGGCGAAGGAATACGAGCTTGGCGGCGCGGGCTTTTATGTGCTGGTGGGTTGCGCGGGTTACTTCTAAGGTTGAGAGCTTTCAATCACACGCATACCGTTGCATTGGCCTTTTTTTTCTTCGACGGCTTGGAGGGTTTCCTAATTCGGGTGCGTTAAGTAACCGCTAGGCTGCTTCTAGTTGTTGGTGAGATGGATATGGGATGAGAGAATTCGAATTGTCTAGAAGAGTCAGATGGAAAAGACGCAATCGCTAAGTGCTTATGTGAGTGAATGTCGTTAGCGGAGTTCTAGGGTTCTTTATCTTTCTTCTTTTGTGCTCGAAGCCCTGTAGTGAGCCCTGTACGTACGATTTAGGTATGCTGTAAGCACCGATCCGCGGTGCAGGGGGATTGGAGTTCAAATGCTGTGTCACTACTATATCACTTTTATAGGCGTTTTTACTGCTCTAATAGAGCGCCTATGATGTATATTCACAGGAATAAGTGGCAAAGGGACTCTGAGAAACTGTTCATTCCATATCCGGCACACCCTAACGTAGCTCTCTGCAGCAGGCCAACAGAAAGTGGAAAATTTGAGCTCTAAGCAGTAAGCAGAGAGCAGCTTATTCGCCATCGTACGTTGCATATGCGGTTCTGGCATGCGTTAGGTCCTCTAGGCAGTTTGCTCCGTTGGTCGGGTCCGTAAGCTTGTGTTATCTTCGTGCATGACGAGAGTGGCAAGGACGTAAGAGATGAGAGAAGAGTGCAGAGGGACCTGCTCTAGCTCGAGGGGGCCATCCGTCCGAATGTGAGGGGAGGGTTAGGTTTTCTGAACGTAGGGCTACGATAGGTGGTGTACAATACAGAGGAATACCGTACCTAGTGCTGCAAACGACGGCTATGGCGTCCAGCTAAGGCCGTGTTACGTATTCCTTCGATCATCACGATAGTGAAAATAATTGCTAGTTTTGACTTCAATATCCATTACTGTCCTTCGGTCTATATACGTTCCTATCTTCAGACTTCAGACGCCCAGATACCGGGATCTCATTTTTTTGAGGGAGTGTGGTTCCGAGCGTGCCGGCATCAAATTAGACAATATTGATGCGTACATACACGCAGAATTAATATAGTAGATGCAATTCCTCCTAATCCTCCCAACGTGAGCCTCCGCATATAAACTCCGCGTTATCCTATGCAGCCCACATTATTCTCGTCAAAAGCATCCATCGTAACAACATATCCAAGCTTCTAAATCAGGCTTGGTTCAATGAGGGTATAGAACGGGTATGCAAAACCTTCCACCCTCCAAAAATGCCTGCCATCCCAAAAACGGCACCTTCCAAAAATTAGGGGATTATTAGTCGCCCGAGTATTAGAGAAACGGGAGAGGGGTATCTGTAGAACGGAATAGTACTAGGAATCCTGTATTACTCGGTTTACAGAGCAAGAGCGGCGATACCAGCAGCGATCAGAGCACCGACGGGTCCGATCTTGTCGGCGGCGGCAGTGGGGATCACTACGGGACCGGTGCTTGTGGGGCCAACGGGTGTGTTAGTCGGGACTACCGGAGTGGTGACAGGTACAGTTCCAGAGATGTAAGTTGACACCGAAGGGGTGTAAGTGATAACCGTCGAGCTTCCATTAGAGTAGGTGTATGAGGTTGTGCCAACCGATCCAGTGGAGAGGGGAATTGATGTGGGATAAGAGGTGATAGTGGTAGGGGGAGGTGTAGAGTAGGTGATGGTGCAAGGGCAGTCTAATCATAGTTAGTTACGTCGATGTTTTGGTAGAGTGAACCAAGGTAGACATACTGGTGATGGTTAGGGTGGTCGCCGTTGTAGCAGTGTAAGTCACATTGTGCCATGCGAAGGTAGTAGCGGCCTGGCAATAGAGTTAGTAACGTAGACGATCAAGGCACGACAACTACATGTATGCCATGAGAATACCAAGTGAATATACGTACGGGGCAGTAGGTGGTGTAGTCAGTTTCCACGACAGTCGTCCAAACTGCGGTCTCACCCCAAGCGTTTGCGACAGCAAACAACCCAACAACGGGAGCCAAGATCTGAGTTACTCTCATTTTGACCGGTAACTTTACCACGATGATAATAGCGAGAGGATTGTGTATTAGTTTTCGATGGAATAAATCACCAAGCGATCGAAGGTTGCCAAACGATTGTGTTGTCGTTAAGACTCGACAGGATTATACCGTGCGGGTAGCGATTGAGAGGTCCTGAGTGATATATGATGGTGAAGAGACGGATCTGGTGGGAGTACATGCAGGACAGCCACCTATTTATTTATCAATTCGATAGTGAAGAGGTCGAGGAGCATGGCAACCTGATGGTGGGTAATGACGAGCAGCAGCCCGATCCAGCCGGCCCAGTCCGCCCATGCAGGCTTACAATCTGGAAGGCTGGAGTTCGTTGGATGATGCCATGCACATCAATTGCGGGCAGTTGCCCATATCAACGAAGGCCTGTCTAGTGTCGACAAGCCACAAAGGCAGCCAACCATACGACTCGTACCCATCTACGCTTGTAGCTATCGTGTGGTCGGGCAGGTGATAGCTCTGACTCTACGGAGTGAGCACGTATTGCTATTTTCGGTCACAGCCATTCCTAAATTTGTCTTTTCCAACTCGTAATAAACCTCTTTGGAAAGAGAAGGAAAGAATTCCTTAACCCGCTAGGCCGGATGGATCGTAGCTGGTGATAGCCGGCCCCGAGTCCAGAAAGTCTACCTAGATAGGCTACTTATCCAGCCTAACCAGTAAAGGAACGGCGGTAAGGTACAATACGTTGCATCCAATCTAGGTCCCATCCAGCGAGTCAGTGTGAATGGGGGGAGCTCTACTATGTTGTAGTCACAAGTGACTTCCAATGGCTGCTATTTCTGAGGTGATACGAGGTAACAATGTTAGCTAACGTTAGCCAACGTTAGCCAACTGGAGCTTACGGGAGCCAGCGGAGGTTACACGCTCGGCGGAGAGATATGAGAATGTCAGCATATCGCTTTCAACAAATAACTCTTCGGATTCCTTTCGCATCGTGCGATAGATAAGGTAACGAGATAATCAGGCGGGGTCGGTGATGTAGAGCTGAAGATATGATAGGCGTTTAAGAGCTTCCCCTGCCTTTCTGATCGATCAACAGAGGCTGACCAGGCCGGAGCTGATTGGATACGTCATATTTATCGACTTTCAGTTTTTGGTAAGTGGGCTGGGATCACTGGTGCAGAGACAGTTGGCGGTGTGGTGGCTATACCATTTGCGGTCCAGAAATGTAACGATGCTACCGAAAGGCCCGAGGAAAACCTCGTGTTGCTGTAGTAGCAACTAACCAGTCATCAGCTTAGCTGAATGCCAAGCCTCCAAGATATCAACCTCTTTTTCTTCGCTTTTTTCGACTTCTTACATTTCCCATCCCGATGACTGGTCGAGTCAGTCTTTGGAGTCTCGAGGTTTGGATCGCATCGACTGTAAGAATCGTGTTTCCCTGTGATAGAACGGACGATCTTAGACCCAAGTATGGATGGTACGGATGTAGTTTCATGTCCCGATTTTGATGTGCGCCTCGAACTTGGCTTCCGATCAACTCAATCTGGCCAATCTAAGATTCTCACATGGGTTGATCTTCGTTGGATCGTTACCCAATCGAGAATTGATACATGTAAATAGTAAGTTTGGATACAGCGGACATTTGGGATAGAGATAAAGATAAAGTTGGAGAAGGAATGATAAGACCATAGACCATGGACCATAGAAGGAAGGATCGAACATTCAGAGATTGACGACTCGGATGATAGGCGGGGAACTCCAACCAAAGTAAAATTTCCATTAGGAAAGGAAGCCCTGGAGGAATGCTTGACTTCCAAGGTTGACACGTTAGCCGAAAATAATTATGATGATTGCGATAAGGAAAATTAACAGCAATTAAACATTTCGTTTCTGAAAATCTCCAAATTAACTTTTTAAAACTGAAAACCTCACCCACAGTGGAATGAGGCGATCATTCGAACACGACAACATTTTAGGTGTCTCTCTATTCAAAGGACAATATTGAAAAAATACACGAGTCCTAGATTGCTGCATTGGTTGTCCTAATGGCAAGGAAGCAAGTATTGGTATGACAAAGATCGACGAGCGACGAGCGACAAGCGCCATCTGCTACTTCAATCTGCCTAATTTTCCGAGAAAAGTCTGTTGGATATTATTTACATCGCCTTTCTCAGCCTCATACCTCGCTCTATTCCAGGGTCCTTCGAAGATCTTAGAAACATGGATGAAAAGATCTTGAGCGATCTCGGCCAACACATGGATTCGATGGACCTGACCGTTGCCTCTCCACTGAATCTCTAATCACGGCCCCTCTAAAAGCCACCTCTGCGAAACTCGGAGAGCGGATTATCTCAATGGAGTTCTCGGACCTCCGCTCATGCATCATAGGGCAGCGACCAGAAATAAGGGTAACGAGAGGAGACCGTACCTGTCAAACCAACGGCGAGAGGTTTTCTCCTCTTCGCCGACCGGATCATGACGTACCTGCAACCACCAATAGCATATCGCAACCGCTATTTCCGTTACATCGCGGCTTTGGAAAATTTGTAACGGGTTCGGCTTTCCCTTGCGCTCTTCCGCCTACGTTAATTGGACGTCTCACAAGCGAATGCACTTCGGAGAAAACCCAGTTACCGATCTCGTCTTGCTAGGTCGTAGGTAGGTCGCTGGTTCTATCCTGCTTCCGCTGACCAATATTACTTGGGTACCATTTCTTACCGGTTCTTCAAGGGACGTTTAGCAGTGCTCAGTATCGCTATATATCAAAATTCCCAATCGGTGTGGTCTAAGGCTTGCCTCGCTTCAATAAGTCGGCTATCATTATGTGATTTGGTCGCAGGAAGAGGCCAGTCTCGATCCTCTACCGCATGGACATCGCGATTCATGATTATTTCTCTCGCAGATAAGAGCATTTTTTCATTTCTAGCTATAACTGGTTACCATACTTTTAGGTGGCTTATCACGTTACGAGTCAAGGTACCATCTTCGTCAGGTTATAGGTTTCTAGACCACTAACAAGCTCGTTGCCTTGGCCAACGCCAGCCTATCTCAACCTTCACCATTAAGCATCTAGTGTACTAATGTATTTTCATGCCAATGCATTAACTAAACTTTCTCAGGAATTTACAACAGAGATGCTACGCAGTAGCCTGGGACCGCATTCTCGGCCGATTGATTATTAATGAACAAGCGATAGGAATTGTGAAGAGATTTTCACCTACTGCTAAAGGCTCCATATGAACGACCGAATACTCGCCGGTTAGCTTCATTCTGGTTGGTTATCGAGCTATGGTTGCTATAGACAAACATCCCATCTCATCCGGCTCGACGAATTCTCACAGGTCTTTGTGGATCACGATGCATGTGTGGCAAAGACAAATCAGGATAGAATCCCCTTTCTCGAACGCCTCCTCGCTATCCCGGGCTTGATGCCGCGAGGGCATAGACCTAAGCATCCATCGGACCGGATTCGCGGGACTTAGCTCGCTAGCTAAAATGTTAGCTGGACGTCGGTCGATTCCGGCTCAACGTTTGGGCGTCCTATTAGTGTCTCGGTCGCCATTGATCACGTTTTTTCTATGTCCAAGTATCCACTTAATCATCAGCTTAAGGTCGGCGGCTCAATGGCTAAGTACTTCCATCACTCACATCCGAGCAGACATACAAGACCCAGCGAACCAGTTCGAATTGTATGAAAATTTGCCCGGATTTTATTTCCATGTCTAGCCGACATCGACTAAATATTACACCCTGTCGTCTCATGGAATCTGATCGCATCTAGATTTCGTGGTTTAGAAATCCCCACACCCGTTGATACCACGATGCTCTGGTGTTCTTGGCATCACGCGTACACCAATTCGAAATCTTGTCACAAATGCATCTGTACCTAGGTAGGCTGCGGTTGTTCCGGAGCAGCAAGAGAAGGGAAAATCCTCGCACCTGCGGTCACAAATTGTGTACCTATACTATTCCCGGTTCCCGAATATCGGCGCATCAATCCTGCTGTGTTCGCGCACTTGCGATTGAGTTCAGCTTCCAAGGAATGTACCATTTCCTATGTACTTACTATTCCCCATCTGCCTTCCTTCGCGATACCTTACAAGGTAGAGTTGTCAGCAGTCTGTCAGCAACATGAACAACTCACTTTAAAAACGGGTTGCAACTGGTTCCACGTATCGACTTGTTCGGGAGAGGCACCGCGTAAAGGAAATCTCCCGGACACAGAGCCCAACAGTTACGCTCATCTATTTAGCTACCTAGTCACACAAGCGGTGATGCGATGATATAATATGCCTCATTTTCAATCTAATTTCCCAATATTTCAAAGCTACGAGTATATCCTCTCAACGTGTGCCACATCAGAGATGCCACATGGATTCATGTCAGGTACCAGGAACGAGATCTTAAAGCCGACCAATCGGGTTCTACAAGATACACCCAGTCAGCTAGCTGCTGATGCAGGTAAAAAATTCTGTTCCTTGTTCTCTTTGTGCCACCCCCTTGTCGTTCTTTTGCCATTTTCTTCCCACCCTGGCCGACACTCCACCCGCTCCTCTCGGATTGGCTCGAGACACAAACTTTTGCTTGTGCAAATCGATAATCTTTGCGGTCTGCGCCCACACCCTTCTCATTGTCCATCAGCCCTAAGGTATAGAAGCGCCAAGATATTCCAGCTTGCCGTCCCGCCAAGTACCGCAACTATCGACGGTGCGCTTTTTAATGGGGTGCGGCTATCCATCAAAGCAATCTAGAATTTCGGTGGATAACAATCTGGATAAAGGGTCGTCGACATTGTATGATGGCTTGATCATGTAGTCCTCGGCACCGTTAGGCTTAAGCACCTGTCAGTCTGGGCAGTTTGTTTCGGCGGGAAGGAATCATAGTTGGTATGAGGCTTTACATTTAGACCGCCAAGCCAACCGTATGTAGGTGTGACCTTGATTCAGGAACAGGTCATCAGCCATCCACAACTAAGTCGCCTTCCGGGGCTATGACTACTTTTTTTTCTGATACACTCACGGCCCCCTGGATGGAAGATGGATCATGGATCCAGGAATCGGTCCCTGGACTCCACTACCAAGGTACTTACTCCTCGCTCTAAACGTACTCGACGTTTCTTTTGCGCCTGTGTATCTCATTGGCTGGCGTTAACAATAGGAGAGCCACTACCCCGACCACTATCAGGCTTTGTTTCTACCATTTATAAAAGACCTGGCTGTGCCCTACGATTCTGGAGTTTCCTACCTACGCCAACTATCTTCAGATTCTCAGCATTCTCTTTTGAGCTCTTTGTAGCTATCATTCTTTCCTTTTTGGAGCTTTTCAGTGATACACTCATTTTATCACGAAGCTATACCTCTAGCTACAGTATACGATCCTTCGAATCGAGTCTAGAAGACACGACTATCCTTCAAAACTACGTAGAAGCTTAACAGCCGATCCTTCTTTCACGGCAATTTGACTTTTGCAGTAGCAGAACAAACTTGGCAACAGAACATTAGATATTTACATCGATCAGTATTTCTATAACAGGAAAAAAAACCAATCAACAAAATGCGCTTCTTCGCTCAGATCGCTGCCATTGCTGCCACCGCGGCTACCCTCGTTAGCGCCAACTCGGTCACTTTCATCAACCAGGATGCCACCACTCGCCACATCTACTTTACCCCAAGTGCTGGTAACCCAACTATCAACACCGTTACAGTCGCTGGGAACAAGCAAGTTAAAGTAAACATCCCGAATGCTTGGATTGGTAACGCCTATGCCGTCAGCGAAGGTAAACCCAACGTCCCTGGCATGCTTGCAGAGTAAGTTTTCCGTGAAGGTTTACCCCGATTCACGTACGCATACTTACATGTTAAAGGTTTACCTTCCAAGGCTGGAATGACATCACATACTTCGATGTCTCGGCTATCGTTAACCCTTCCGACAAGTCTGGCGTTAAGCAAATTTTCCCGGCTAGCCAACGCAAGAACACCCCTAAGACCTCGGTGTCTGGGTGTCTCCTCTTCCCTTGCGCTACTGCTTACTATGCGCCCGATGATATCCAGACGGTTACCACCAAGGAGACGGATCTCATCGTCACCCTTGGCAACGCCAACGTTGCCTCCCGTGACGTCGAGCCTGGCACTCTCGTCCCCCGCCACTACGTCCTCGGCAAGCTCTCTTAAACGAGCCTTGTTGGTCGATCAATGTTATTTTTTGACGCGCAGTGCGCTGGGCGCTCGACCACGATGATATGATAGGCGCTACGGTTATGGATTTCAAGATACCCGTTCTACTTCACTTCTCTCACCGGCGTGCCGTCTTGGGCATTGCATTTGTATTGGCGGTTGGTTGGGGCATAGAATCGGAATAGAGTTGCGCTTGGCGAAGCAGCAAACTCAAAGGCAGAGGCATTGGAAGCAATTCTTTACGGGGCATATGGACAAGAGGTGGGAACCGGATTGTGCTCTAAGAAGCGTCCGCCTATTTACCGCGAGCCTAGCTGCTTGCGCAACAATTCACGACCTCGACGGTTCGTGCTGGCAAAAACTTCATTCCCTAGCGGAGCAAACATTTCTTGGCACACCGGCCAGATTCCCTTCTTGGACAAAGAAAACTTTTTTTGAAACCTTCTCGACGCTCGCTGGCTTAGACACCTTTTGAACTCTTATTCTTGTATATATTTTTGGATCCCGCGCTTCTTGGATATGCGTTAAAGGGACAATTAGCCCCGGTTGTCCCACCGCGAGCTAACTGACATAAATGGAAAAGAACCAATGAATTTACTTCTGGATTTTGTTATGCACGTGATATTGTACCCTCAAAGCCCTATTGTCCTTTCCTTGAGTTGATATGCGATGCATTTCTCATCATGTGAAAACCTGCCTTGTTAAGTGGGTTCCGGGTCCTTTGTGCTGACCCCTTTTTTATTCTCGAGGACATTGCGCTCCCTAACTCATCTGCTAATTGATGAGGCTGGTACAGTCTAAGCTAACAAATCAGGGTCTTCAGCGCTCGCGAGTGGAAACAAATGGAAATGTTGACCCCGCAGGATTGCGTGGCTTCGCTTCAGAATGCACCCCAACCACATTTACCGGGGAAGAAGTTCACGGAAGGAAAGTGTCAAAGGGCTATTATTACGACTGCTTCGAATAAGTTTGACAAAGTTGGTTCTACGAAATTGATTGCTTCCTTTCCCAGATATCTATCTACCTCGGATAGTCGCTTGGACATATTATACGGGAGAGAAATTAAATAAATCCAGATGGCACGATATACCACCAACGTAGTCTATATTTACTCCTGCTACAGTACCTAGAACCTAGGTAGGTGTCTACTCTCGCTATGTCAAGCGTGCCGTTAGATCCTTTACCAGCCCCTTAATCAACCTCCAATCGCAACCCGCATAGATAGATGCAGCAGGTGACCTAAGCCTGGAACAAACCAATCAACTCGAGCCCGTTTCGCAATAGAAGGCTCGTCGAGGGAGCGCAATGTAAGTGCGACTTTGCAACCTACCTTTCTCAGCAAACTCCCTCGCCGCTGCGCCACGGCGCACATGGGGGCGCGGCCTAGGCTTCCTCGAAACACGCCTACATTGCAGCGCGCGATAGAATGATTATGTACCCCGTCTCGTCCCAACGGAATTTCTGGGCTGCAGCGGAATGGCTCTCTCGACATGAGATGTCGCGCACGCGACGTCAGTAGACATGTAACTAGAGACATACAGGTTGATAGGTAGGTAGGTAAGGCGTTTCGCCAAGACGGCGCGCGGTTCAAATAAAGGTCGGACTTGGCGAGACGGAACCCTGGAATGGATCGATGATCTTTTTTAGCACCAGCCGCAAGCGCCAAGCTTTTTTTTTTGCAACACCCCCGGTGCGATTGTCCGGACCTATCGTTGGTTGATGCTACGGGGGGTGTTTGTTTGGCTGGAACGCGGTGGTTGCTGGGATCCAATTGATTTGTTTGGTTTGGTTTGGGTTGATTTGGTTATCCTTGTGCATGCGAGACATGATGGGGAGGGGAGGGGAGATCGTTGGGACGATTGATGGGTTGGTGCGTGTGGGTGAGGGCGTTAGTGATCGAGCAATGGAATGATAGCACTTGCAGCGCCGGTAGCGATGATTGCTGTATGCTGTGCAGACTGCTGCAATGGATTCCGTTGCACGCTGGACAATAGCGCGGAAATGTATGACAGCGGCGTACCTCAGAACGTTAACCTTCCAACTTCTAGGGTTACTAGCACCATAGCACCCCGAAGCCCTCCAAGTTGGAGAATTGGGGGCGGGTATACCCGAGCCAAAGCTTATTTGTCCTTTATGCCCATTGTTCTTCCAATAAAGTTAACTTTATATCTAAGGTTATTTAAACTGGATTAGGCTTTGTTGGTTTGTTCCAACTTTACACATGACATGTACCAGGCATTATACAACGACACCCTGAAGTGGAAGAAAGATACCTACCTAAGGTATCGTCCGGGATCTTCCCATGTGCCAAACGGCTAGCGACGTAAACCGCAATAAACCGCTCCCCGGAATATGCAGCGAAGAAGCTTGCACGCCACGTTTCTTTCTTGTCGTTGCTATACTTGACAATTTGGCAATGTTGTACAGCGCGGATTACTTGCGACGGACGCCGTTGATCAACAGGGACACTGCACTAAATCTAGGGCACCTCACCTAGCTCGTCTTCTCCGTCCTCGAAGACCAAACCCTTTGTTCATGGATTCCCCAGTTTGCGCATTCAAGAACATCTAGCCATCTATTCTAACAAAGAAGATCGGGATTTCCGGGGTCATTAGTCCATTGAACTAAACACCCACCGAACATCAGACAAACCAACACCTCGGACCGTTGCCCGTCTGCCCGCGGAACCGCAGGCGTGGCACCAATTCATACGGGGACGTGCGTGTCGGTATTAGCCCACCCGCTTTTCGGGATCTAGCAGCTATCTAGCGGTACCTCAGCACCGGTAACACTAGCGCCCATGCGGCGAGCCGGCCGATGGGTTAGGCAAGCGCGGGATTCCCCGGACTGGTTCCCCGGACTCGGTCATCGACGTGCAGGACGGATATGAATAGGATACGGGTACGGGCAGATTAGCTCAACGGCGAGTGTCCCCAGCCCGGTACGGCAATTGACGCTGTTCGTGCTTATCCTGTGGCGCGTGGATCGGGCGTTCTTGTGTGTCGCTGGAACTGGGCTGACTGGTTACGAAAACGGAAGATCTGGGGATTGCGATAGTGTATGCATTTTATGCTGTAGAACATGCTACGCGTAAGATGACTGCGTTACCCGTTCAGTTATCTGATATATGTGAGCCTATCATACGATCTCCCGAAAAGGTACGGTAACGGTGGTTTGCAATACCGAGGTCTGCTACACCTACACACCTGCCTAGATACACATGCACTTGAAAGAATATAGTTACCCACCTGTAGGTAGTTACAAGAAACACATGTTTCCAGGAAAAAAGGGAAAGTAAGACAAACAAACCCATCACCCAAGTCGGAGAAACGTGCGTAAGAAACAAAAAGAAACCCGAACCGGGCAGACATGAAACAGGGACGTTGATAATCTCCGGGCCGAGACCGCGTGCCACGATATCCATCAAACGCCGGTCGGTCCCAGGTCCAAGTTACGCAGCATACTTAAGATAAGGCGGTGACAGGTGTTAGTGCGACTGTCAATCAAAGCAGGCTCTTGGCTGGGTAAACCTGAGTGTGTCTGTAGTGAAGAGGCAGATAACGACGGAATCTGCAATCAAAACCACGATCATAGACATACGCCTTGCCTTATCATTTGTAATACATGTGATAATACGCACATACAACAGATCATCTTACTCAGTAGTGGCTGAATCCATTCCTTTCTTGCTTTCTTGCTTTCTTGCTACAGTAGTAAAAAACACGCCTGCTTCGATGCCGGACACAATGTACAAACGAACCAAACTGGACCAACTCCAGCGAAAACAAACAAAACACCCTCCCCATACGGGCTTAAAACATACCGACGCTCCAACAATGCCTTAGGGAATCCACCCTACTTACTCTCCTCCCCAACCTTCTCCTTCTCCTTGGTCTCCTCACCCGGCGATTCATCCGAGCTACTGCTCTTCTTATCCCCATTCCCCTCACCACTCTCCTTCCTCTCCGGCTCTGCGTTCTTCGTCTCCACCTTAACAGGTTCCGGCTTAGGTTCCGGCTTCTTCGACACAGCGATCGCGAGAAGACTATCCCCCGTATCGCCAAACCCATCGATCTTGCTGAGTCGGCCGATGAGATACTCGATATCGGACTCCATCCTATTTCCTGTTAGCCAAGCATATCAAATTAAACGCAACAATAAAACCATAACTCACCTCCTCGCCCCCACTTCCCCAACCTCAAGCCCCTGCATAGTCTTCCCGATCTGGCTCTTATAGCTCTCAAAAACAGGCGTCATGATGAACCTAACCGTGCCTTCCGGCAAATGCTTCGTGAGCACCCTATGCAACGTGACGGTCTCCTTGCACAACGTCTCCATGAATAGATCGACCGTAACCTCTCCGTCGCGGTCCCAGTCCAGCGCTTTCATGCTCTTAGCGTGCGCTGCGGCGCGTCCGCCCATGATCTCCACGAGCTTGTCGTAGATGCTGTTCTGGTGCTCTTGGAATAGCCGCCGCACCTTGTCGAACTCGCCCATTAGGTTCGCTACGTTCCCGTTGTTGACGTTGGGGCCGGAACCCGCATGGCGTCGGGCGAACTCGCGGACGTGTGGGATTAGTGTCGATATAAAGGATAGTGCTTGCGATGCGAGCGCTAGGTGCCGCGTAGTAATGTTCTTTAGGCCGGCGGACTTGGTTGCGCCTGCGCCGAGGATAAGCTGCGTGCATCGCGAGTTGAATAATTGTAAGTATGCGATTAGGGAGCTGGAGATGTCCGAGGCCATGGAGGGGATTCCGGTGACGAGATGTAGGAAGTGGGACATCCCCTCTAAGCAGAGGATGGCCGAGTTAGGTAGGATGAACGTCTCCCCGTCTATGATCGCACTGCGCGTCTTTTCCTTGCCCGCTGCGTTAGATTCGGACCTTGGTCGACCGTTAGTGTTTTCCTTGGCCCCTGCATCATCGAATGGTATCCAGATTTTGCTTCCTTCCGACCAGGCAGCGTTGTCTTTTGTGCTGCTTTCTAATATGCGGTTAAGTAAAACGTTATTCTCTTCGTTAAAATCTTTAGCGCTCCACTGGTCGGATTCCATGCCTTGAGCTAATTTCTGTTTCTCTGCGTCGCCGTGTGATTGGATGAACTCCTTAATTTGGGAATTGACAATATTCTTCAGAGACGTTCCACTTCTGCCAGAAATTGCTTCGCATTCATTTGCAAAATAAAGGTTCAGAGTGAAATACCGTAGGAACCATATCAAGGGCAGATGAGAGCTCTGGTCAGATCGGACTCGAAGCACCTTTACAATCTTTTCTTGAGATGTATCAACTGCCTGGCCGAGAAGATTTGCCATGTCCATAGTAAGATGGATATCTTCCTGTAGATCACGATTTGCACTGTTAAGAGGCGGTGATTTTAGAGGATTCGGTGACTTCAAGGGGGCATCGGTGATGGGTTGCTGTCCTAACGAACTCGCTACATCAAACAGCACTTTCATCTGGGTACCTAACCTTCGCAATGTTTCTGTGACGCTGGTGTAAATCTTAACGAAGAGATCTTCGGCGTCCTGTTCATCCAGTGCTCGAAGGTTCCGCGCGAGAATGGACGATTTCTCCTGTTGGGTTAGACGTTTTGAATTCATCGTAGATGCAGACATCATAGATTCATTGTCGTCGTCGTTGGATGTTGGAAGCGGTCTTTTAATAAGCAGTCGGATCTCGCGCAAGACTACCTCTCGATAGGATGCTATAGCAATTGTCACATGCTTTGAGCGGTGTAGTCCATCTAGTATAGGCATGAGCTGCGAGCGGAGGTCGTCAGTTGCGGACAAATAAGCCGGAAAGGCTGACGATTCTCTGCTTGGTGCTCCACGGGCCCGCATCGCTGCACTACTCCATCTGAGGAGGACATCTTGGGCTGAGACGGTATCGACATGACGTCTTAAGTCACCCAATAATATGTCCATGAACTTGGTCTCAAATGCTTTGCCAATACGAAACCGTAATGTAGATATATCACCGTTCACACCCTGAAGGGCAACGGCATCTCTCAAATCGCGCAGTTGATAGCCAGGGTGTTCGTCTTGTTTGGGATGAGGTATTCGTTCGCCGGCGATCAGTTTCTCTAGAGAATCAATACTAGCCAAAGCTTTTTCAATTTCTCCCGAATCCACCAATTCTTCACATGCCGCGACCGACTCGACAATTTCCTTCAACTGCTTGACAGCATCGTTTAGCTGTTGCAAATTCTCGCGTCGACGTTGCTTATGAACAACATCTAGCCCACTAGCCGCAATCTCCTGGTCGAGAGCCAAAAGCTCCTTTCGCAACGTCTTTATTCTGTCGACTGATCCGGCTGCTTCAGTGTGTAGTTCTCTTAACGATCCTAAGGCCGTAAAGAAGGTGGTGGAAGCTGTCGAAATAGAGGAAATGAGGTGCATCTCGATCGTGTCCATATACCACGATAGCTTCTCTTGCAATATCGCGTTTGTAGCAAGATTCTTGCGTGGGGGTGGGGCATTCCCATTCACAGTAGTCTTTTCTTCCACAGACCCGGGCGGTGGTCTAACAACTTCGGACCGTTCGGTAACGACATCAAACGTTCGGGGATTCTCTAGGTGGAAATCGTCGTCGAAGTAGACATTTGGAATGGTAGATAGGGGAGGTGGACCTTGGACCGATGCTTTTCGACTGAATCCAGAACTGGACCTCCTTCGTATTGTGCGCGCGGGAGGTGAATCGATAGGAGAGACTGATCTAATCGATGACCCAGATACTTTCCGCGAGCTCCCTGGGCGACTGCCTGGTTTTAGGTGGCTTTCATCTGTCACGCCATTGTGTTCTTCAGCTCTACCACGTCCAAATATATGGTCGCTACCATCATCATCACTCTCCTTTACACGCCTTAATTGTTCGTACAATGCTCCTACCTGCGCCAAGTATGGTTTGAAGTCATCGTTATCGATATGTGGTATGCTCGTCAAGGTGACGGGCGGTATATCTCGTGCGGTCGGCGGCCTGTGAGCACTCGAAGCAGGGGCTGATGTATGTGGAAGTAAACCCGTCCGTACTATGGGAGGTTGTAGTAAAGTGGAGATAGCATTCTGCCCTGTTTCATGGACCGTCTGAGACCAGCTACTAGATGTGTCTAGATGACCGCCAATAGAATGTATCGAGCTTGCGATGGAACTTGCAGTCGAGCCTCTTCGTGCCTTCGGAAAAGCAGATGAGCCTGGTCGGTGGAAGGGGAACTCGGATCGACCATGAGGAGACAGAGGTGGCAAGCTGTCGACAGACTTGCGAGCTTCGGCGTTAGAGAACATGGCGGGGGAAGCTGAGAAGCTTGTTGACAAAGCTCGCGAAGGGCTACCAGAGAATCATAGCTAGCTGAAAACTGATTGTCAATATTAAGATGTTAACGATTAGGAATTGCGACTATCCGGCGCAACCAATTTGGTAGGAGGGATCAATTGGAAGCTCGGAGTCTGAGACAACACCGCGGACTCCGTTACTAGAAGAATTGGACACTAAAAAGGGATGTAATGACGAAGACCCTAGTGGATGTTTAGGCTGTTGCGCAGTAAGATCGACTTAAAGAGACAATTATTACACAGGTTGACGCCGATGATATTAGATTGCAAACAATTGTTCGATTGAGTTTCAATGTTGTAGACAGCGAGGTACGTAACTTCCACTAACCAGGATCTTAGACCCAGCGAGCTTCCCTGTTCACATCTAAAATGTTGCCTAGCGGCCTAGTAATCTGATATCTGCACGTGATTTTCGTCGGTAGTCGGACTTGACACTTCTGCCCTGCCAAGAGCCAGTCGAGGGGACTTTACTTCCAATAATGGTTTAGCGTGATATGCAACCTCTCAACGCGCCTCCCTAAAAACGCGAAATGGGGACGCGTTCCAATTAACGCGAAATTCAAATTCGGGTTTGGTCTTGGTCAACCCAAATTACCTAAATCAATCTTTCAACCCCTCGATTGATAGTCACGATAGTTGCGATAATCAACTTCAACCCACCTACGGCGACTTGTATATCCTGATTGAAGATGGATCGCCAATCAGTATACTCCGTCTCTGTTTTTCAGTCCAATTCAGGACCCAACGAAGATAGCAGACTGCAAATACAAGAGCAGTTGGTCACCTTCATCCTCCAATTCAGACATGACAACATCTTCGTCTACCGAGATCAGTTAAGAGAAAACGCTCTGCTGAAGAAATACTACTGCGATGTCAACGTAACCGATTTAATTAAGTATAATGAGGAACTTGCGCACCGCCTAGTAACGGAACCCGCAGAGCTCATTCCTCTGGTATGTTCTATATCGATCCCATAATAAAAACCTAACTAAGAATATGCCACAGTTCGAAGGAGCTCTTAAGAAATGTACACATCGAATCGTATTTCCCCACGACCCTAAGGCTGTCATCCCCGAACATCAACTTCTTCTCCACTCATCAGCCGAAGATGTCTCGATCCGCCATCTAGACTCTGAGACTATTGCAAGATTAGTCAGAGTTCCAGGTATCGTAATTGGAGCTTCTGTCATGTCTTCCAAAGCCACCGAATTACACGTTCAATGTCGAAATTGTCTACACACTCAGATTATCCCCGTCTTGGGTGGATTCACCGGTATTACGCTTCCACGAACATGCGCTCGTCAAAGACCTCCAAACGACCCTTCGGAGAAGTGCCCGCTTGATCCTTACTTCGTTACCCACGAGAAGTCCAAATTTGTAGATCAGCAAATCATCAAACTTCAAGAAGCCCCTGATCAGGTACCTGTGGGAGAACTTCCACGTCACGTTCTTATCTCCGCAGACCGATACCTCACCAACAGGGTTGTGCCGGGTTCAAGATGCACGGTAATGGGTATCTTCTCCATCTACCAAAACAAAGGCTCCAAGAACTCGTCTACCGGTGGTGCTGTAGCCATCAGAACACCTTACCTCCGAGCAGTGGGACTCCAGACGGATGTGGATGCTACGGCCAAGGGTCACTCCATTTTCTCGGAGGAAGAAGAACAAGAGTTTATGGAGCTTAGCAGAAGACCAGATCTTTATAACATTATGGCCGATTGCATTGCCCCCTCGATTTACGGTAACCGGGATATAAAGAAAGCTATACTTTGCCTGTTACTTGGAGGTTCCAAGAAGATCTTACCCGATGGGATGAAACTGAGAGGTGACATTAACGTCCTCCTTCTTGGTGACCCTGGTACAGCGAAGTCGCAGTTGTTGAAGTTCGTCGAGAAAGCCGCTCCTATCTCTATTTACACCTCTGGTAAGGGATCTTCCGCAGCTGGTTTAACAGCCTCTGTTCAAAGAGACCATTCTACACGAGAGTTCTACCTGGAAGGTGGTGCAATGGTGTTGGCGGACGGCGGTGTGGTGTGTATCGACGAATTCGACAAGATGCGAGACGAAGATCGTGTCGCAATCCACGAAGCCATGGAACAACAAACTATTTCGATCGCCAAGGCTGGTATAACGACTATCCTCAATGCCCGAACGTCGGTCCTTGCTGCCGCCAACCCCATATTCGGCCGATACGACGACATGAAGACACCGGGAGAAAATATCGACTTCCAGACTACTATCTTATCACGTTTCGACATGATTTTTATTGTCAAGGATGAGCACACCCGAGATAAGGACGAGCGAATTGCCAAACACGTCATGGGCATTCACATGGGTGGCCGCGGCCTCGAGGAACAAGTCGAGAGTGAAATTCCCGTAGAGAGGATGAAGCGGTACATGAGTTACTGCAAATCGTGAGTAATCCCTCTCTTGTCCCTCAACCAAAGATCATATGAATTGAATACTAACCCGCCACAGCCGCTGCGCTCCTCGTCTCTCCCCGGAAGCCGCCGAAAAGCTGTCATCCCACTTCGTCTCGATCCGAAAACAAGTCCACGCCTCAGAACTCGAAGCCAACGCACGATCCAGCATTCCCATCACCGTCCGTCAACTCGAAGCCATCGTCCGTATAACCGAAGCACTCGCAAAGCTTACCCTCTCCCCTATCGCCACGGAACAACACGTCGACGAAGCGATCCGTCTCTTCCTGTGCTCGACCATGGACGCTGTTACACAAGGAACTACAAACCAAGGGTCGCGCGAACTGAACGAGGAAGTCTCGCGCGTTGAACAAGAGTTGAAGAGAAGATTGCCGATTGGGTGGAGCACAAGTTTGGCGACGCTAAGAAGGGAGATGGTTGAAGGGAAGGGATTTAGCGAACAGAGCTTAAATAGGGCGTTGATGATCTTGCAGAGACGAGATACTATTATGTTCCGCAACCAGGGCGCACAGGTTTATCGCAATGGCGCTTAAATTACCTGGCACCTAGGTTTGAAGAGTGATATCGAAAGGGGGTTGAAATAAGACTGCGGAGCTCATGATGGGACTGCTTGCTTGGTTCGGAGTTCAGGTTATGCCGTCTTGTCATTTACGCAATGTGGTGTTACGCAGGGTACCTGCTCAGTGCAGACGCTGATGGTCATGATGATTCAGAGATGTTAATCTAGACGAGTGGTAGTAATCACGACAATGAACATGAACATGAGCATGAAATTACTATAACACCGGACCATACCGCGCCCCAAACAGCAAATAGGGTAATAACAGAGCAGTGATATAATGTAAATGTAATTGAAATATACCTAAACGAAAATGCCTGACCACTCGAATTTTAACCATAGTAAACATATCTAGAAAGATACAGTGTCTCATTACGTAGATAACGTGACGACATCCGCTCAAGTACTACATAAGAATCCTCTTTACTTCGCTCTATCCGCCGATGAAGAGCATACAGCTCAATCATCAATATCTCCTCCTACTTCCTTCCATTTCCTCCCCCTCTTTCCATCCCATCATCCACCACCACAATCCAACTCAACCCCGAGAAAACCCCCCCTCGCAGTCTAAGCCGAACATATCACTTAAACATAAGTAATAACATTATCCCCCCTCAACCCCCCCAAAACCCCCAACGCCGCCTCCGCCCCCGCAACAGCCGGCCCCCGCGCCACGATCTCCCCGGCATAGCTCTCGTCGGTGATCTTCTTATCCCCGCTATCCTTCATCAAGACCTCGACGGAGCTAACAGGGGGTCCGAAATGGACCCCGGATCCGTCGCCTAGAACGCGGTAGTCATGGTACAGGGTCTGTGCCACAGCGCCCGCGACGCGGGGCGCGGATAAGGCGTAGATGACGCGGGAGCGGGTGATTGCGCGGAGGTCGCTGAGGGTCTTTTCGGTGAGTTTGGGCGCATTCGCGCCGGCGGGCTCGGCGACGTAGAGGAGGCGGAGACTGGGCTTGGTGCCGATTTGTGGGCGGAGGGAGTCGTTGTACGAGGCCCAGAAGCCGGAGGAGGGCATGGCGCCGTCTTGGGTTAGGCTGCGGGTCTGGGAGTTGTGGGAGAGGCGGGAGAGGAAGGAGGAGTTGATTTTGGAGAGGGTTTCGGTGTGTGTGGCTTTGAGAGTTTGCGGAGTCGCGACGATGATGGTGGGGGCGATGCCGGCGGTTGCGAGGGCTAGGTCGGGAGAGGTTCCGGCGACCGAGTTGAATGCCACGGAGGCGTTGGAGAAGAGCGCTGCGAGTGTGAGGACGAGTGGGAAGGATGAGGATAGGGGGGCGGTGGGGAGGAAGAGGTCTGAGGGGGAGAAGCGCTCTTTCTGTGGGATGGCGGTAAGCTGGGCGGAGATGGCGGAAACGAGGTTGCCTTGTGTGAAGCGGACCATTTCCTCTAGGGTGCCGGGCTTGGATTGCCAGAAGATAATAACGTCTTGAATCTCGGCCTTCGGGTCAACTTCGGGCAGCTCTGTTCCGGCTGTAACGGGGTTGTCGTTGAGGATATCCTGCCAGGTGGAAACGTTGACGCTGCCGCCGATGCCCTTGGGGACCTCGTTCCAGTCGAGGTGCTTGTTGCCCTCGTCGACAACCCAGATAAGTTGACGGAGACCGGGGTAGCTCTTAACGGCGTTGTCAAAGGGGAATGCACCAGGCGCGGTAACAACAGTGTCAGCACCTGATCTCTGGAGCATGGAGATGACAGCCTCTTCTGGCTGATCAAATGGCAACAGAATAGCAGTTAGATTGTGGAAGCTAGCAGCGAACAAGGTAGCGATGAATTCGACAGAGTTAGGAAGGTAGATGGCCACCTTCTTCCCGCCCTGGGAAGCGATATGCTTTCCAACAAGGTTGATCTGTCGAGTGATATCATCTGAAATATATCATTAGTCTGGTGTATTCTTAGAGATTCAAGGAAAGTTAATTCGTACTGAGGTTATGGTCGATGACTTTCTCACTTCCCAATACGGTCATGACACGCCCCTTCACCTTGGGTCCATCTCCTTCCGGCGGTCCCGTGACGGCTCTACGCCAAACATCCCTTAGGTCCCCTTCTCGCCCGGCAGCCCATTTCGATGCACCTGGGTCTTTAACATTTAAACCACCGTTAAGCGGGAGACCATGAGGTGCTGAGTTTCCGCGGTAAATAGGCGATTCCCCTTCATTCCGGACAGCTGAACCCGAAGCCTGACGTGCGAGAAGCATAGGATGAGTCTCGGGCTCCACTCTGTTCATAATAGCATATGTGATAATCAGCACAAAGGCTGTTGCGATGGCGGTAGAGTAGCTGTTCCATTGACTTAGGAGCGAACCTAGTCCGTCGTCGAACTGGTTCAAGACGCTGCCGACACTCATGTTGGCCGGGTCGGGTAGGTACCTGTTTACTATATTCCTAAAATGCCGATATCAAATATCAAATGAGATTTTAACAGATAGTGTTCCTCATTTAGTATACATCAATAGCCACCAAATGGCGGAATGATGGGAGCGAAGTTATGTAGAAAGTTGTAGAAAGTAAGAATCCTTTCAGGTGAATGCGTCGCTGACGACGAAGCCCGATGAGGTAGTTGGTAAGATGTGGTAGTTGGAGGATGTTGGTAGGCGGATAGTGAATTTTGGTGGGGTACGGGGGCTTATCCTTATTCACTATTAACTGTCAGCCCTGTGACGACAGGTATGGCAAGGGACGTTCCGTGTTTAGCTCATTACTAAGGCAAGGTCCCCTACATAAGCCGATGCATAATTATTTATTCAACTTGATCCGTGCACAATTATCGAAAGCCCCTAACGCTCAGACCAGCGCTATCTCAGTGGCTGGAATTGATGACTAAGAATCTTGGCCTATGGATTTGTTTTCGCAACGGCCCTGACAACCATTTCAGTGTTCCCTTCAAAGAAAACAGAGTAGAATCATCCAGCAGAACGACTTCGACGACGAGGCCTGCGCGAGCAGCGCCACCAGCAAACCCTTAGGTACTAACTAACATAACAGGTAATTTAATGATTCAATGATCTAAAACCGGCATCGAGAATATTTTCGCACCCGTATTCTCTTCTTTCTAGCGTGTCAAAGCTACAAGAGTGATCAGTCAAAGAAGCAATTCGGTACCCAATTCTCGAGGCAACAACCAGTCAATCCCTCTATATTCTCGACTTCAAGACACAAAGATACTACATAGATCTAGACAAAATGTCTTTCACCACGGCGAAGACCGCCATTATCACCCCCAAAAAATCTACACCCGCGACACCCCCAGTAACCGACAGCCCGGGCACGTGGCGACACCCGCGTCTACCAGAGATTATCCGACGACAAGATGCTACCAACTTCACCGAGAAGAATGTGAAGCGCATCATCATCAATGTCGTCGTGTTCATAGCTATCATCTTCACACACACCATGCTCTCCCGAATGCTGTCCAAGAAATGGTTCAGTTACCTGTACGCTCCAGCTCCAAGTCCCAATCCGTACCGCAGGGACGAAACTAATCTGAACAGCGTGTGGTATTACTCACGATACGCGTACTTGGCGGCCCTCTCTATTCCGATCTTCAACGTCGGCACCAACCTTCTCCCTCTCTTTCGACGCAAGGATGACTTCTCCGACATCCCTTTAACACCCGGCCAACGACGATTACTTGGCCTACCACCTACCAACGCGCCACCCACGCCGGGATCCGCGTATAGCACACCTCCACGCTACGCCAGAACCCCTTCGATCTCCGGATCCGCAGGCAGCAGACGCAGCTTCTCAGGTTCGCCCGCCTCTAACAACGGCAGCCCTACCCGAGGAAGCTTGAACGGAAGCGGTCCATTTGGCGGAAGTGGAGGTCTCGGTGGATTAGCATCGCCTAACAGTCCCTTGCTACAGAAGGCCATGAACGGCGCGCGCCGCTCCTCGATAGGATCGCTTGGATCGGGCAGTCCCTTGGGTGTTAGCATTTTGGGCGCCAGCACGGGATCGTTCTACGGAGGAGCTCCGGATAGCCCGAGCCCTGCGTCGGGAGGAAAGCGAAGCACTGTTGGACTGAACAGCAAGTGGCTTTACGAGCGCGGACGGGATCGTAGAAGCTCGTCTGGAAATGCTTGGCTATACACCTGATGATGGTATACGCTGTGTACGATATTGGGACGCGTACCGTTAGTACGCTTATGAGGATTGCCTGCATTCATGATAATCATTATAGAGGATAATAAGAACAGAATTAATACAACACGGAATGTTTTCGGTGTGTCAAAGGTCTAACCTATGGCCATATTGCCACGATGAAATGAGCATATGCATGATGTTCACTTATAGGTATAAGTCATAATGGTAGTAAGTTATCTCTATTTTAGGCTGACTTTATCAATAGAGCTACATAGCTTGCTTGCTTGCCATTGTCATCCATAATCACAGAATGCTAAACCCCTTAATCCTTCCCTCTTTTGCCCACTGCCGCATTAACCCCCCGCCCCTCGGCCCTTATTCAATATTATCCTCAAAGACATGTCATTCTCAAAATACTATTTACCACGACATGTCAATGACTCGGGTGTGATGACTACTTAAGTCCTATCCTCGGACTGTGTGGCGTCCAACTTCGACCATGTAATTTAATTGAAATCAACATACAACTTATCATTCCGTTTTTGCTTCGCTGTTTAAGAAATTGCCGGCTTTGTAAGGGATTCTACCATGGTACATCAGCGTCTTGAGGCTGAAGAGAATTATATGGCGATTTTCCGATCTTCCAGGGCTACCTCTTGGCCGAGAACCGAGATATAATTGTCGACGAAATATCGCTAACTCTCTCGTGCAATCCACTGTTGATGATATGATAGCATGATAAAGCGAGGTTGATTCTGGTCGTCACATTGTTTTTTGAACTACTAAGTTCTTAAGCTCACGCCTCTTCCTAGGATGGGACGGCGTTTTCCATAGCCGATATTCTGATGTGCGAGATGTAATAGTGAGTTCGTTTTTTGTCGCTATCCTGTGAATATCTCCCATGGCCAATCAATGAAGAACTATGGTTTTAATAACCCTTATCTTCTTCCCTCTTAGATTATGCTTGTGTTGTTCCTCTACCGAGTCTCCAGGCTTCAAAGCTTACACCCTAGCCTTTAGGATGTGGACGTGTTGGATGAGGTGCTATTAACTATTAATTTAGTATCGCAAGCGGTCGACCAAAGAGTGTGATAGTGACCATTCCGCGTGGGCTTATCTAGGAACGTAATCACTTCACCAGTGACAAATGAAGAATATGATATCCCATCATTCTGCTTCCTTTAGTCCGTTTTAATGCTGGAATTCTCTCTGCGTGGCCTTGATTGAGATCTTAAGATCCTTAGATGTGGCTCTACGCCTGTAATTTTGAGTGTGGCTAGGGTCTTGCCATTCTGCCTCTCGTCTTTCCACTTCTTCAATCGTCGTATCTGAAGAAAATACTTCTCGTACATGACGAACCGAATTTCAAACTCTCTAATTGTCTTGGCTTGTTCCAGAGTTAATCCCCAAGATTCCACGCGTCCATTGTTGCTCGTCGCTGATGAACGACAATACACCTCCGATTGTGCAGTGAAGGATCAAAGCTACCAAGCTATTAGGATCCCATTCACTGAGACGACAACGATACATATGAAATGTCTACGACCAATGTTGTCTCCTTGTCGGTCATGATGTCGATTCTGAGATTAAGCTGCTTTTGTGTCAACATCTGTCCAGCATTTCGTACCATTGACCATTGAATATAACCCAGATTCAGTCCTAACAACCACCATTATTCTCATTCTCAAGGCTATCTCCTCCCGATTATCCCATATCCGTCGTTAAATGGAATGTGCCATCTGCTGTTGTTCCAAGAAAAAGCCATGGTTCTCCTTTTGAACTCTGCGTCTGTGTCGAAGAGCCAATACATCCCACCATCGACCTCATAGATCCTAGGTAAACAATGCTATACACGCAACGCCACAGTCACCCTCAGTAATTCTCCGTATTTGGATATCGTTGAATCCCCTTGGATAAGACGATGTGGTAGCTAAGCCACCTCTTAACCAACGACGTCGCAGCTGGATTTCGCTGGAAAAAATATCTGAGAGAATAATGTTCAGGTAGTCGATGTTCATTTTTGTGATAAGCCGTTAATGTAAGTGGAAGACTTTGTAGAAGGGAATCTTGGGCAGTCGAATAGAGTAGTTGAAATCTCTCGACCTTCGTAAGGTAGTTCTACTACTTGGAACGATAATTATATACTATTATATCCTTCAGACTGCTCTTGTGATTGAAGGAATCGGAGAATCGTGTTGTACCTATTCATTAATTAAATCCAGAATTTAGGTCGTGTCTGGTGCTCTTTTGGTTACAGGAGCCATACTAGGCCAGTCGTTTTCAGCTGCTTCTTCATTCCGGCTGGCATTGATCCAATGCTCTTTTTGCCACCGCCTATAATCCGTATTGCTTCTAACACATTTGAGTCAGGTAGTTGTGGTCGTAGATTTGCTGGTACTTTTGCTTCATCCTAGTCGTATTTGTCTCCAAAGCGGTACACTTCCTTCAGGTTCTTCATCATATCCCGGTAGCATCTTGCTGAGGAAGTTCTCTGTCCCGATATAATGTCTATTTCGACTGCTCTTCTTGGTGAATGACGGTACTGGTGTTAATGACCATCCCAAAACATGGATTTGGGCGTTTAAGGGCCAGTTAACCCTGAAGTTAACTTCAATGACTCCGAAAAGACAATGCTGTATGTGACGATGCCTGTTCTGGCACCAAGAAAGAACCATTGGAATTCTTTTCTCCTGGAACATGATTAGGCATGTTGCTCAAGGAACCACACAAACTTGTGATGTTTGTGCTGCCATTTAGGACGGTGACATTTCGCGAAAATTTAAAATCAAACGGAGTGTAGTATGAAATATGCTTTCGGGATTGTGTCGAGAGTAGGTACTGATAAAACGTCCATGTAGAGGGCTCGATAACCGATAAACCTGTCTTGAGTGCTTCTATTAGGGTGGTAATATGCTGTATGGATGGTAATGCACATGAGCTGATTTATTGCTCCTTTATGATATAGCCATGTACTGGGTTATTGCCATTATCATCTTGTTCTCTGGCTAAGAGTAGTATTTGCTGTGTAGGTAGACTCCGAACGCCAAATTAGGTGACTGATAGCTCAAAGTTGCCAAGGGAAGTGAGGTGTAAAGCCTTATAGAATATGACGTGGGCTATCTTTCTCCCAGTCACATCTTCCAAGCACGAACATGGCGTAATAGTTGACTAGTCAAAGTTAGTAATGAGTACATGAGGCTGGGGCGATGTTAGGAACGAACCTTAGAAGTTCCCAAGCATCAATGCAAGGCAGACATTGATTCGTCTCTGGTTTTGTCAGGGTTTATCATTCATTCTCATCATCTTGGCAACTAGTATTTGCTCCTTGGTATAATTCTATAAGAGTCTATTTGCAGAGATTGTCGACGAAATGCTCCATTAAAATACCATTCAAGCTCGAGGTCATTGTGACTAGGTGGAGTACGCGGAACAGGAAGAATGAGATATCAAACACAGCTCATTCCTCGCCTCCTTAGAAACCATGCGTCTTGAGACGGCGATTGTGAATGCTACTGTCCCTCGTCGAGTTATGAAGTTGCAAAGTGTTCCTCTGCTCCAGCTCGGAAAATAATAGGTACGAGGCGCTGTCTATCGTAGGCAGCGTACAAAAGCCAACACCTTCTATTATCTCCAGTCCGACTTAACGGAAAGGGGTCATAAATTGGTTCTTGTAAGGGATAAGAGGAGTAAGAAGGGCTGGCGGAAAAAGACCACTTAAGTGTCGGCGATGTAGAATTAAATGTCGGCGACTGGAAGTATAGGAGTACGTATATAGGGTTCTTAGTAGATAGAGAGTATTAGTCAGAATTAGGAATGTATACTAAGACAGGTCGTGCTCACCAGAGTAATATATTAACACGCGCCGGATCTAATTACCTAGCCCTTAGTGTTATACCAGAGCGCATAAGTAACAAAAGTGTGTGCTAGATATCTTATGAGAAATGCGACAAGAATAAACGGCGCTGCTTCCATACTTTAAATATTTGGTGCATGAGTGAACAAGTCAACAGACCTTCCACTTAAATAGACCAAACGATGCTTTAAAGCTCGACGATCTGATAAGCTTAGAAATTGTTTAGTTAGCACCCACCGACTAGACCACTTCCTACGTTATTAGATATCTGGATCTGTACTTACTTGGGATACTAAATTGAATGCCACATTCTGCTTTGATAAAGTCATTGACTAAGAATGCTAGTCTTTAGATTCTGTCGGTAAATTGCCGTTAATTGTATTCTCATCAATTATGTATTGTGAACTCACATGTGAATCATTGCATCATCTACTAGTCGCGACAGCTAGTTAATGATGTTCCGTCGCACCTAGTGTGCTATCATTTGAGTGTGCCTCGCCTTGGAAGTAGACTGTGAATAAATCTCCCTATCGGGCCATAGAGGCAACTAGGTAGCAGTAAAGTTAGAATAAATTGAACCAGAGGGGGGTTAGATGAAAGGCGATGAGTGGGTAGGTAAAACGAGAGGTGCTGAAGAAGATAAATAAAGTGTGATGTGGCTAACTAAGGAAAGCATTCACCAAGAAGAACTTTACTGAAATGACATGAGTATAGATTGAGGATAGCGAATTGAGGGGGAAGTTTTGGGTGTTGCCATTTGAAGTGGGAGAAGAAAAGCGATAAAATGGGTGTATGTTGTGGGTGAAGAAGAAATGCGAGGTAGATTAAAAGTGAGGAGGAAGAACGTATCATCTAGAATATTATGGTAACCTTGGAAGGCAGCAAGTACCTAGATAACAAGAAACTTCATGAATGGGGAAGCGGGATGCTTAACTTGGTATTGTTGATAATGAGAGCAAAAATAAGGAAGATAGAACTTACGAGACTGCTTAGTGTTAAGAGGAAATTATATTGAGTGGATTAAAATAACAATTTAGGAGAAAGGAAAGAGAAATTTGTGTATGCAATGAGGGAATGTGGTGATAAGAGAATTAAAAAAAAAGGTGGAAGTTGGAAAAAAAAGATTTGGGGTTCGAAGGGATGGGTGGTATGGGTATTTATGCTGGTATGATCTACCTACTAGGTACCTAGCTTACGCGAATTATTAGCTCAAGTCGTTGCTTCGAATTGGAAATAAGTAGTATGAGACGAGGCAAGTCCATCCATCCCATATGAAGTTGCTGACTTTGGCGTGGATGTGAGGGGTTCTTTCTCTGCAACGTACTGAAGGAGGTAGGGGAGTAAAGATGAAAATATAAGACGGAAGGAGAAAATGGGAAGGGAACCTTGTGAGTCATCCACCTACCTAAATGTAGAGCTAATATTCCAATGAATAAATATAGGTAACGCAGGTGCATAGTACTTTTGTTCTAGACACATGAAATACCTGATACTGATGCATAAGGTGATTCAACTAATATATGATCATGCTAGGAATGGGTAGATAGGTAGGTAATAAAGAACAGATATAGCTCACTGAGATACGAGTTTTCTAGTTAGGAAATTCTAAAATTTTTAAAACAAATTTGGTCATGAAGGGTGTTATATCTTCTCAGGACACGTTGATAGGGAAACAATCGGGAAGTAATCAGTTGGTGGTCGGGAAGGAAACGGCATGTCAGAGTCAACAGAACCAGTACTAGTAGGTATGATGAGACGAACAGGACAGTATCGTAGGATTGGGCTCTAATAAACGAAAGTTTGATGACTTACTTGTGTTAGTTTCAAACACGCCGTATTGTACGCATTGTAGTATTGATCGAATAGAGACGCAATGTGGCATCCAGATTGGTGTTAAGTTTAACTCGCCCTATATCTATATAGATCTCAAATACGCAAGACCTACTTTAAAATCATTTGGTAAAGTAATACGAGAGTCTCGGTCGTGAACTATTTTCTACAATTTGGAGTACTAGGTAAGTAGCTGGAGGGCAGAGTTGCTGTAAATTCAGGAGCTAGTTGGTGTTCAGATGAAAATGGACGCATACATGGCAGTGACAGTGATGGAGCATGTATTAATTTCACCTGAAGTGGTACTAGCCTTATATTTGATCCAATAACGATGATAGTGGGTAAGTACATATACGATCATATATACCCTTTTCCCTATACGGCAGAGTTATGCCCAACGCTGTTTGAGTTGTTGGTGGAATTTGTATAAAGATAAGGGCAACAACGTACCACACATCACGTTCACCGGCGGCAGGATCAGAACCGTGACAGTATAGATCAAAGCGGGTACGGCGACATACTGTATATCGCGTTTTCCCAAACAAGAGTCAGCATACCTAGTAAGGCAGGCGCGGATATGCCATCACCGGAAGCAGGTTTGACGCAGTCTGCGTCATCTTTGCTCCTCCTCTTGCCTGATAGATACTCTTATCTAGACAGATGCAATTTTGCTATACTAGATAGACAGAGATTACTTAGGTAGGTAGCCAGTTATTTTGCAAACTGTCATACTGAATAACCCCCCAGCACGTGAACTTGAACTTATATAGAAGTATTGTGATAAACAGAATTATCTACCTATAGTAAGCTAGCTATTGTGTATTAATAGATCAAAAGGGGGCCTAGCACTCATTAACATGTCTTTAAATACATAACCTTCAATAAGATAGCATAGCAGTAAGATAAACACCAGGGTGCTACGAAGTAATACCATAAAAGATAATATATAATAGGTATCTAGGTATCCTATAAGATCAATGCCTCTGAATATCTAACTGCGTTGAAAAACTACGCATATTTTAGGCACACATTATCAAAGACACTCAATGACTTACTCAACCATGAGCTGCTTTCATTGAATTTGCATTATCCTCTAATAATAACTAACAATGATCGTGTATCAAGAAAGAAGGAAGAAAAATATGCTTCGAAGACATATCGATCTATGATCGTGTCGAAGTGCTTTGTTTATTATACATGCCTCTATTGACATATGTGTACCTACCTACCTAGTAGGTACCTAACTATGCGTGAAATTAATACTAACCTTTATGGCTCTATTAAGGGTTGAGGTACTTCGTAGTAGTCCCTTTAATTTAAAATGAATAGAGAAGTTTCAAGGTAATTAGGGTCTAAGTATGGTGAATCTTTGAGTTTGATTTTGAGCTTTTTTCTAGATCAACAGTTGTTGACGATAGGGACAAATTAACCCCATTCAACTACGCTATGAATTACATAAACTCGTTCGCCAGTATCCAGCGTCAAACTAGGTAGGTACCTAGCTAGTATACTATACACCTTTTTATAAAAAGGTCGAACGGCCCGAATATCCGCACTGCGGATCATCCAAATGCGGCAAACGCTACCTGAGCCTCCGGGAAACCCGGTTCGGCATCCCCCTGAAACAATACGCACATTTTGCGGGGTGCATCTCTGCTATTTCTGGGGTTAAATACTTCTTATAACACTATTTACACATAGAACGATCATATAGGTTTCCCGTGGATTGACATCCAGAGTTATAATTGGTGTACCTTTCCCTCCACCTATTTAGGCTAATATACAAGTTGTCTAGGTTAAGGGGCAAGGGGGAGCAGATCCATCTAGGTACATCCAACCTTCGTCGCGCTCACAGCAATATCATCGTACCAGAAGGTGTTCGTGTCGCCTCCGTACGACTCCCAGCCGAAGTAAATAGCAGTAGGCTTCGGCTTGACACTGCTGCGCTGCCACTGCGCGGCATTGCTGTTAGCGACGCCCGCCTTGCTGGTAAGACCTTCGATCGCCTTGTCGTTTAACCATGTCTCGATGGTGCCGTCGGGGCCGACGTGGTACTCGAAGCATTGCCAGTCACCGGTGGGAAGCGCGGCGGAGGCTGCGATACCTTGAGGGGACAAGTCAGGAAGGGTGGCGTCATCGGATTCGCGGTTGTACATTAGGATCTTGCTCTGGCCGCCAATGCGTAGGTGCTTGTTGCTGCCCTGAGCGGAGTCGGGCATGGTGATGAAGGAGACATGGGAGTCAGTGAGGGCCTTCGATGCTTTTCTGTAGAGGGGGAATATTAGTGTTGCCTTTCCTCGTGTAAAATCGCTATCATGATGACTTACATCCAAGCCCTAACGTAGATATCGCCACTGGGGACCTTTGTCGTGCCGAAAAAGATGTGTCCGCAGAAACCACCCGCACCATCAACCCTCACGGAGTTCTTGCCGCTGTGAGCAGTAGAGGTGTCCAGGCTGACTTTACCACCTTGGTTGCAGTCAGGTGCGTAAGTTGGCCATGATGCTTCATCCCATCCACCCTCAAAGTCATCGGCGACTTGACCTAAGGAAAAGGGAACGAGTGCGAGGGCGAGAAGAGCGGTTTTGGGAAACATGGTCGCGAATGGTGTACCGTGATTGTAGTTCAGGATAGGATAAGTGAGAAAGTGAACTCTAAGAAAAGGCGAGGTTCTACCATTTATATGTCCAAATGTCATGACCTGAGCCTCCTCCCTCCGGGCCTCCGGGATGGCTATATTGCTAAATGCGGAAATACTTTTCCCAATTGTAGTTGGTCGCGGAATAGTGGTCGTGCATTTTCGGTTCAGCAGTGTAAACAGCCGCCCAAATACAGGGATCTTGGCAAGGGCCTTGTTCTCGGTACAGAAAACCTGGTCGTATCGTGATTGAAAAGGCCTGAAATAACCCGGTCATTGTTTTCTATGGTATTATGAAGGTCTCGATGAAAAGTTTGGCATAGTTGCTTATGGGTTAAAATCGTGTGCCCAGGTTCCAGACAGCACCTATTTTGAGATATTTAGCGCCCACTCAATTGAAGTGTAGGTTGTCCCTTCAGTGATCGAGCACTAAAATTTGGTGGATAACCGCTATATCTTAGGGGGATTTCAGGCTGATAGGTACCTCCAGGGCTATGATCCTAGCCAAAACCAAATACCCTATTCACCTGTCACCTAGAGCTGTTGCTGATTCAATCGCGCACGGGGCAAAGAGTGTGATTCATATGCGAAACTCTGACATGGATATTCGTACTGCAAATAAAGATTATTATTATCTACAAGTAGTTATAGTTACCTTGTATTTAAAAGGCTTCAAAACTTGAGATCTAGCCCTGGAAGGTTGTTCCAAAGTTATGAATGGACACTGAAAATTAGCTGTTGTAGGGCACTGTGATATGACCACGGGTACCCGTGTTACAGTGGCCGAAAAGAGATTAGGGGCCTAGAACCGCTGTAATCAACTGCTAAAGTAAAACTTCGCAACAAAAAGATTGTATGCCCTGACCTGCTAACAGCATTATCTAGGACTTTCATACGTTCTTTCCATGCGTAAGATATTTATTATTCCGCCTTATACCTAGTACTATTAATACGCAAGAAATTCATAGGCGGGTTCTCCCTATCATATCCAAGTTTCCATCCCTTCCTGGCTCTTGAATGGATTACGTAATCATCTGCCTCACTCCTAATATTCAAACTTCAATCTCAACCGCATTCTACGATTCTTCAATACTTACAAACGTAGTTTCTGCTAATTCCCTGCATCACACAATTTGACTCAATTGTTATTCGTAGTCAATGGTGATTTATTATTCTGAGTTGTTGTAATTACCAGAAAAGATTCATCCAGCTTGATTAGTCATCAGAAGCGTTGATGACCTAATCTATAATTACATAATCGATATATGCTTTGTCATTCGTTAGTAATCGGCGATTAGTAAGATGCCTCATTTCTCTGCACCATATTGGCAATATGCTTCAACTTTTGATGGGATCCTACTGCCTTTGATTAGAATCAACCGATAAATGATGTCTCCAGGAAGCGCTAGAGGAACGGAATATATTTCCTAGGTATACATTAACGGTCCTTCATGGCCATCGATTACTCCGTGATCACTGCATAGCGCAGACATGATGACAATATTTGAAACAAGCAAAATCTGTCTCCTTTCGCAGGCGTTTTAACGTAATATTTATTCATTGGTATGTATTACACTGCAAGGCATGTATGTGTCTGCGCCATCTATGCTATCTACTAATGCCACCAGCTAGAATCAACATGATTGTATGACTCCTTGTACTCCGCTTGATCCGATGCTCATTCAGAATGCTTGCTATGCTCAATTGCACAAGGTGTATTGAAAACACCACCCCAAACAAGGGGTCAGTAAGTAGGTATTCGTATCGTCATCTTCATTTCCGCCATCGTTTCCAAAACTTCCATCCTCGTGACCTATCACCTGAGCTTGTCTCCCGCTTGGAGACCTGATCCCGACCTTGTATCCTCCAGAAGAATATCGGGATTCCGGAAAGAACAAATGTTACGACGATGAGCGTTTTTAGGGGTTGGGCGAAGACAGCGCGGCTTAGTAGGAATAAGCTCACGCAGCAGAAGATGATTGGAGTCGTGATCCAAGTTTTATATGGCCTTTCCAGATGTGGCTCCTTAACTCGTAAAATAATAAGCCCCAGGACTGTGAGAAAATAGAAGGAGTATCCCGCTACGCCGTAGAACGTAACCAACTCCCCGAATTCGCCAACAATTACATAGACAGCCGTTAGAACGCCGTTCAATGCCAGCGCATATATCGGGGTAAAGAAGAGTCCCGTATCCTCGTCACCAATCATGTTATGTAATCGCTTAGAAAACCAATTCCTGGTTCTCATAGTTGCCATTCCAGGCTCACGAGAGCCGATACCTACACGGCTTATAATGGCCGGAACATAACCCTCCTTGGCGGCAGCGTATACAAGTCGGCTACTTGTGAAAGTGGCTGAGTTGAGCGCACCGAAACAGGAGGCGCTGACGATAAGAGCAAAAATAAGCGCACCAATTGGACCAAATACCTTGTTGCCGAACATAACGGCGACCGTATTGGTTGAGTTGAGGACATCTAGGGGTAAGACAAGGAAGTACGAGAAGTTGGCGAGAAGATAGCAGATAATTACGAGTGGCATCGCCGTGTGGATTACACGTGGAAGATCTCTCGACGGATTGCGAAACTCGCCCACAACGTAGTTCGTCTATATTTAACGATTAGTCAGCATTCATGAACCGTTGGAAACAACTCAGCATCCCCTAGGTACGAACTTACGTTGTCCCAACCGTCAAAAGCCCAAAGCCCAGCGTATAAGGCGACGGCCCAATGACTTCCGTCTTTGCTCGTGCCCTCAAACCAAGCATGGTTCTTCCAATCCATGTTGGCCGTCCCAGATGAGGAAAATCCAGTAAGGGCCACCACAATTCCAACAATTGTAACTCCAATTAAAGCGATGAACTTCAAGAACATGAGGGTATCGTTCACGCGGGTCCCGAGTTTCGTCGAAACGCAATTTAAAAAGGTCACCATGAATAACCCAACCAGACCCACACACTTGTTGATCCAAGGATTAACAGTCTCGGCTTCGGCCCCGATGAAAGCGCGTACAAGGTATTCGCCCATGATGATCGCGATGATGGCGGCACTACCAGGCTTAAGGACGAGTACCGCGACCCAAGTGAAAAGAAAACCAGCCAATTCGCCCATAATCTTAGATAAATACGCTTGCGCACCTCCGTTGAGGGGGATGGCACCACCAAGTTCTGCATAACTTGCGGCGCCGGTCCATGCGAGGAAACCCGATATCGCCCATACTATCAATGATGCGCCGGGCGATCCGACATTGACGTTGACTTGGCTAGGGGATGAGAAGATACCCGAACCGATTATCAAGCCAACTATCAGACCTAGCCCATTAAGATACGTCAGGGTTTTATGTTTTTCTAGAGAGGGGCCTCCTAATCCGCCATGACGTTGCGCGGCTGATGTAGGTGCACCTAGCGGAGCATACCCGGGAGCGTTGGAGGAGGAAAGTGGGAATAGATTCGCAGCATAGTCAAAATTAGATGTGACAGAGTAAGTCCTACTATGTCCTGACACGTAATTAGAACGGCTTGCGAGATTATTGTTATCTAATGGATCGTCTTGTTCGATGGAAAGTTTTCGTGATGAGGATATCGATGGTCTAGAATCGGTTTCTGAGTAGGTATCGTGGCCGGGATCCGATGATGCCAATGAGGCGAGTTCAAGGGAATCTCGTGCGCCGGGGTGGAGGGCGGACGAGTATTGGGGTGGCATCGCAGCTAGCCAAGGCTGTATCGGAATGAGTATAGGATGGTAACCTCAGTTAATGTCTACGATTTCCGTAGTTATGAAAAAACCATGTCGGCTGATGAATCGTCGCAAAACACGAAGTCGCTTGAATGGTAGCGCCGAGAGAATTTGTGATGTCAGAGATGTCAGACCGCAAGTCGCCAGAACTACCCAAGTAACGTATTAAGACAATTAAGATAGGATGCCGGAAAGCCACAGTGAATATTTAAACACTATGAAAATTAATGGATAAAACCCAAGCTGTGATAATGGTCCTCACGCTAAATTTTTCTAAGAGGGAAAAATATTAAGGTTGGTTGTTGGATCAAATGCGGAAGATGGAAGATGGAACAATGAGGTAGCGATTGCTTGTTTCTGATCGTCTGCGCCCCCCACAGCTCCTTTCCCCTTATTATGGCCTAAAAGGGTTAGAATGTGGCTCGTGCATTGAAGAGGTTCCGAAGTACCGTGGTACCAAGCCACCAAAAGGAGTTACCTTACCCACAGCTTATCATTTTATTCGAAGTCACTACCGACATGAACCCTTTAGATTCGGTACTTGAGAAGCCCAGGCCTGGCTATAAGCAATGCTATTTGTCGACTCGCTCTTTCCAAATATACTATTTTTCGGGTCATAAGGCGAAGACGATTACGAGCTGAATGGCCGATTACGTGCGTTCCACCCCAATGTTGGGAAGAGAGTTATGTAATCAGTTTTCCTGCGCTGAATTGATTCTTAGCAATGTAGTTAGGTATTGACGCTTTATTTTCCACGAGCTCAACAGTACATTTCTAACAAGAACGCAATTCTGGATCGTATATAATTCATGACGACCAGGACTATGGGATCGAATGTTACCTAGCTCCATCTGCCATCTCTGAGACTCCCGAACATCGACTTTCCCTGGTCGAAGCTCCCTGGTCGAAGCCAACTATGGATGAGTCATCGTCCCAATTAATATGTGGTGTAACACATGCCGCGCTGCAAGTCAGCTATTCGATTGAAGACACTGTCTGCCGGGGTAGTGGTGACCAATAAAAAAACGAGATCGCGCTAACGCTTACCGTATAGGGAATGTTATAGGCTATGAAACTAAGGGCAGCATACTGTGTTATACAACTTCTAGTTTAACGGAGCCTGGAATAGCTTCATTTACAAGTTACGTATATTATAATACTCAATTGCATACCATTTCACGATTAAACAGATATATAACATTAGTGTCGCTATATGATACTGCCTTAATTTTCCTTAGGTAGGTACTTAGTATGCCGTAATTACCTACTAGGTACACCAGTTCTTCTGAACCTAAGACTTTGCTATCCCTAGATAAATAAAGAGTGTAAATTGTGTCGAAGAAATCAGCTAATGAGTCTTCGTATCATATTCAACGTAAATTGAACTCTTTGGTGCTTCTTTTCTCATTATCGTCATATAGACCGTAGGCCATCCCTTAGGTACTTCATAAGAGCCCAAATGCCATTCTGTCATCTTTGGTCTCGATCCTTATATTCAGCATATGATCAGCTTCAGTGCCTAGAGTTGTCTGCGGTATACTAAAGTAGAGCATCGCCTCGTAGCAGTTTTGGGGGTGGGTAAACGAACGTAAGAAGTCGCTCACATATAGCACGGAATTATCATGCTATTTACGTGTGATGGTTGAAGATGTAGGAGCTAGAGCGCTACTGTTAAAAATAGAACACTCCCAGGCCGAGGACTTGGCCGTCTTAAGTCGTTTTACTGTATGATACTATGGTCGGCGATATGTCGTGAGGTAAAAATGTATCTAGTATAGCGAATACATCATTCCTCCATAGATGCTCTAGTAGATGGATAGGTAGGTAAATAATAATAAATACCTACCTAGGTAGGTAGGTATTATATGTCACTAAATAAACACCAAGACTGCCAATCATACCTTAGTTGTACCTGAGATGTAAAAACGAAGGTCACTGTTTGGCCTGATATCGGTGAGGTCTAAGCACTACAATCACAATAGTTTCATCTTAAGTTACCCATTCCTTAGAGCATGTTACTTTCCAACCAATTGTGTTTATTTCTATATCATGAATGTTTACATATCACCATGATCATAACCTAGCTCTACTATATTACACTCTATCGACAATCCAGAATTGAAGTAGTGTATACGTCTAACAGTGGTCATCCATTAGGGGCTGTAGTTTCAAGACCCCCTTTATACCAATTCACACTCAATCAAACTCTCGACGCCATTCGCGACAGTCCACTAGAGATATATTGTTAGTAAAACGTTCCTTACCTATGGTAGGATGGGGAAATTTTCTTTTTTAACCACTCCTCTAAGATCGAGGTGTTCACTATGTTGAGAAAAGGGGGAAGGATAAGTGGAGAACTTACTATCTTGGTGATCTTCAAGCCGGCTTCGCCCAACAATTGACGCCAATCCTGCTCCGTTCGCTCCCTAGAAGCCAACAAGGTCATCATGAGGATATCGAGACCAGTGGCTTCCCAGGTCGCGTTACGCGGAGGGATAACGTTCTCATTGATGAGCAGCCTGCTGTATCCTGGCTTCATGGCCTCCTTGACTCGTGCAAGGATTTTCTGGGCCTCAACATCCGGCCAGTCGTGAAGGACTGAGTGCATGTAGTAAGCCCGGCTGCCCTTAACTGGTTGCTCGTTCAAGAAGTTGTGCGCCATAACTTCAATTCTCTTGTCTAGAGTTGTGATCTTATCAAGAACAGGCTGTAGATCTTGTAGCACCAAACGGCCCGGTACAGATGGGTACTTCTGCAAGAATTCCTGGATGTCGTGGCCGATTGAGCCACCGATATCGACTAAGAACGGCGAGCTATCGCTCTTATCCGCTCCATCGATTAACCTCTCTTGGACAGGGAAAAATCCGGTATCCATCCAACTTGCCCGACCCTGGTGGTATCCGCCCATGTGTAAGTTGAATAGATCACCGTAGGGTGGGTTGGCTTGGAGATGCTCGAACATGTTGTTCTTCGTCTTGTAGGCATATTGAAGAGCTCCATTAGACAAGTCAGTAGGAGTCTTGCGACCGTTCTGTCGGAGGTATTCGTGGAACAGATTATTTGTGCTAAGTAAACCACCGGATCTAAGCTAAATGTTAATAGGGTCCAATCTATCAGTCGTTGTAGTTGCTAATACTCACAAGACCGGGTACCCGGCATAAATGATGGGGATTGTTAAGGATTTCGAGAAGTTGGTTGGCTTATACTCGTCGACATCGGTCTCTTCGACATAACCCATCGCACCCAGGTGGCGAAGGAGTCGGGCTGCATGAATTAGCAGGGGCATCGGATAAAGTGGCCATCACCGTAACATACCGACGAGGGTTGGATCCGCTTCGACCGCCTTAGCAAGGTCCGCCGATTTCTTGCTCTTTCCACCGTCCTCGGCCATGACGTTGAATAAACCTATATCAACACCGACTGTGAGGGCAGCCATTGTGGCCGTCTACAGATATCATAAATATGCTATCTTAAATTACTAGTTGTATAGAATATCGTACCTGAGCCCAGCAATGCTTGATCATGGTCTCCCGGGGAGTTTCCAAAGCTCTCACCAACTTTCTAGCAGCCTCCGCAAGTTCGAGTCTAGCTTTGTCGTCTTCTGGGGCTATAGAGCTAGCTAGTTTGTTGATTTTCTCGACGTGAGCACCAACACTCTCATAATCACATGGCTTCAAAGCTATGCTCGGATCCAAAGGAGCTCCCTTCGGGGCTACGCCATTCCCTTGGGCAGACATTGTGAATCGTCCTTTGAATCTTTAGTGAAAATTCGGGTAAATAATACGAGGTATAGAGGTTAGATCAAGATAGATTAGAATATGTCAGAATAGCAAGGTAGAACTCGTTAACGGATAATTCGAGCAAGGGACGATGATGCTTGATATTCAAGGGCAAAGACACGTGGAAATAGCCCCCTGATATCGTCTGGAAGATATTATACAATTCATGGCAATGTAAGCTTTTCCTAACCTGGATGGCGACCGAAACGAAGTTGATGATGAGGATTGTCGGTGTCTCTCGATACTCCCCTAAACCAGGTAGCAGACCCATATAGATTTCAATAATTAACGCCACATCCATATGTAGAGTATGATTTATACCTACTATAGGTACATAATTGGATACTTTCCTAATGCACAAGAAATCCACCCATGGGAGCCATAGCATGATATTCATATATGAGGTAGCATTGCAGCGTTCGGCTTGAGCTTCGGTAGCTGAGCGAGTGTGTTAGTCTGGCCACGGGGAAAACACATGGACATATATCCCGAGGAGTGCACGGGTATGGGTTTGGTTGGTTGCTAATAACTGGCTCTTTATGAGAGTTTCCTGGTCCTTGGAATTGTTGTTAGTGCAGCGATCAGCAATGCTTGAAGTTCATTGGCTTTGGGATCCTGTCTAACGTTTTGTAACTCGCTATGGCCACATTCAGTAACCACCTAGGAAGATAACACAAATTGGAGTACGGCATGTTGGTAAAAGTTGAGCACGTCAGTTTTGTGCCTGTAAATACCATGCTTCTTTCGTTACTGCGGTGTCAGGCCGAATATTTGACACCTCGAGTAGGTACCCGTGGGGCGCGCTAGACAACACACCATACTTAAATAGGTGCTAGTCCGTCCAAGGGGTTCAAAAGGTACATTGATCACTTTTTGCTACTTTTGCTACTTTTATTTATAGTACTTTTAACGCGTAAAGAGAGTAAGTTTTTAAACTGATTTTATTATATTAAAATAAATAGTAAAAAATGAAATAATTATTTTAGCCGATATAGTTATTTTAAGTTTTTTATATAATAAGTTTTTATATAATGTAAATATATATAAAATATTTTATAATTATTAAAAAATAATATAATATTTAAGTATTAAAAAATCTTAAGAATAATTTTATTATTATTATTATTATTAAAAAACGTCGAAAGTATTATTATTTTCATTTAATTTAAAGCTAAACTTTAATAAAGTTAAAAAGTAAATTAAATAAAAATTCGGCGTTAATATTAAACTTAAAAAAGTGGTAAAATTTCCCTTTAATATTATAATATTACGTATTTAATAATAAACGAATATAAAAAAAAATATAATTAAAACGTTTAAATTAACATTTAATCTTTATTAATTTATACTTATTTAATTATAATTTATCACGTTAATTCCACGGGATATTATCTCGTTCGTTTATTTAATAACTTTTTAAATTAAAACGAAGGTTAATAGTTCGAAAATTCGCTATCCCGTTAAATCATTTTAATTTATATATATAACCGGTTTTATAATATAAATATATAAAAAAGAAATATAATTTATATTATAAATAATATTATTTATAATAATTTATCGGTAAAAACGTAAATTTTATTTAATAAACATTAATTATTAAATTTAGTTTAATATTATTTTTTATTTTTTATTACTTACTTATTTACTTAAGTAATTTTAATTATTTTTAATTTTAAGTCTTACGATAATATTATTATAAAATATCATTATTAAATTATTAAGAAAATATCGTTATTAAATTAAAGAAAATAAACGTTTATAATTTCTTTATACTTTAATTATTTTTATAAAGTAATAAAACTAAAAGTTTATTTCGACGTATTAACGTTTATTATTTAAATTATTTATATTTAAACTTATTAATAAGTTTATAAATTATTAATAAAAAACTTTATTATTTTTTTTTATATTATGTTTATTATATTATAACTTATAACGTATAAACTAAAAATAAAAAACGGAATCGAAAAAATAAACTATTTATATTAAAATTTATAAACATAAATAAACTTACCGTAAAAATACTTAATAATAATATATTATAAAATAATAAATATTATTTTCATATTTTAAACTGGATTAAAAGTACATTATATTTAATAATATATTAATACTTTTATTATTTTTTATATTAATACTTTATTATAAAACGATATTTTTTTTATTTAAATTTTACAAGTTAATTATTTCTTAAGAAAATACTTAAAATATTCGCCGAAGTTTCTTTTTTTAATATTAATAAATCGGATAAAATAAAAGTAAAATAATTCGAATTATATATATCTTTCTTTATCATAACATTACATAATAAATATTATCGTTTTAACGAGGTAACCTACGAATTAAAACTTTATCATATTATTTTAAAATTAACCTTAAATAAAACATGGTTTAAAAAAAATTATATACGTAATTACGTTACAATCGAAAGGTTTTTACGAAACGATTCATTTAATAATTATTTTAATTTCTTATTTTTTCGTAAAAATATTCATTAATTTTTTAACCATAATAACTTTATTTTCTTTTTTAAATTAAATACCTAAAACGACCGTTAGTTTCGTTTACGTTTTTATACGCTTATAATTTTAAGTAAATTAATTAATAATAACTTAAAATTAATTATATATTATTATAATAAATCGTTTTTTTCACTTAAAAAATTATTTCGGGAATATTTTTTCGCTTAATTTACGTAATTAATCTTTATTAAATAAATTATATTAATTCTTAAAAAACCGAACATAAATAAAATAATATATTTTAATATGCTTAAAATTTAAGAAAATAATAAAATTAAAAAAGTTTAAAAAAATTTTATAAATAATTATCTTTAATTATAAAATAAAAACCATATTAATAAATTAATTAAAACAAAACGTCTTTATCCGAACGGATAAAATAATAATAAAAATAAATATAATATTAATATTTTTTAAAATACATTTAATTTTATTTATTATAATAATTATTTTAATAATATATATAATTAAAATAATTTTAATAATAATATTAATAATTATAAAAGTATTTCGACTTAGCCGTATAAACGTCCACGTTTTTTATTAAAAATAAATATTAAAAATAAAAAACCGGAAAATATAAATAAGGAGTTAATTATAAATAATAAGTCGAGTATAATTAATAATTTAAATTAAATAAATAATTTATTATACGTTAAAAATATTTAAAATTAAATAATTAAAAATAAAGTAAATAAAATTAATAAAAATAAGAAGTTTCACGTACTTAAACTTAAAAATGTTAATAAAAAAGCTTAAAAAAAAACAACTAATAAATTATTTTTAATTTAATAATATTTAATTATACGAGGTAAAATTATTAATTAAGGAAAAAAAGTAATTTATTAAGTATAAAATTAATTTACGCATAATAACGCGTACGAAAGTTCGGGTATTATTACTTATATAATATTACTTTTTATATTTAAAAGAAATTATTAATTTAATATTTTTATTATTAAAGTTTAACCTAATTTTCGTTTTAATATTTTTTAACTTATTAAAACGGTTATTACTAATAATATTAATAATTAATAACGATAAATTAAAAATAAAATTTTAATACGATAAATCGATAATACGTTTTAACTTATATTTTTTATAAAGTTTTTTATCGTTATTATTATTATTTTCGTTATATAAATCGTTTTCGACTTTTAAAATATATAAATTATATTTTCCATCGTTAAGAAAATTTATTATACGTTTTTTAAAAATAAAATAAAATTAATAAGTATTTTTATTATAAGTAAATTTTAAACGTTTTTTATTTAAAAAATTAGCCGTTTCGTTATTTTTAGCGGGCTTTTAAACATTATTTTAAAAAATACGAAACTAAGTTAAAGTCCCGTTATTTTAAATAATTAAATTTAACTAGTTAAAAGTTTTTAATTAATAAATAAAAATTTTAATATATAAACGGTTAAATTTAAAAATCTTTAATATTATATTATTAAATAACGATTATATAAACCGAACGAAAAGGAATTTAAGCTTAATATTAATAATTAGTTATAATAACTAATTATAATATAAATCGTTTTATTCGAAAAAATATTAAAATTACGAATAAAATACGTATAATAATAACTTATAATTATTCCTTTACTTTTTAAAAATAATAATAAGTTTTTTTAAATCGAATATTTTATAAACATTAAAACGAAAAAACAGCGTATTATTAATATTATTTATTTTAAGAAAATTCCTTAAATTCGATAAATATTAATTTATTCGATTATTAATAAACTAATTTAATTTAACCTTAAAAATAATATAAACACATTCGTTATAATAACGTATTTAAATAACCCGATAAAACTTATCTCGAATATAAATAACATCAATAAAACTTTTCGTTAATAAAAACATTTTTAACATTAAAACGAAAAAAATATTTAAAGTTTATAAAAGTAATATATAATTATAAAAGAAAACTTAATGTTAAAATTTAATAATAATAAAATACGAATTTATACGTAATATATTAATATTAATAATATATAATAAAAAATAATAAATAAATAACTTATTAAACGAGTTTATACGAATATAAAAGTAATACGTTTTTTTATATAATATACCGTTTTTAAATATGTTAATTAAAAAAGTTAAAAAGTTTCGTAACGTAAATAAATAATTATAAAATAAAACACTATTTTTTAATTAAATATTTTTAATTATAATATAATAAACGTTATAAATAAAAATATAATAATAACCATTATTATTTAAAATAAAAAAACGTAATAATGTTTTATATAAATTAAGATATAAAAAATAATAAATATTAAAAATAAAAAAAATATTAACATTACGTATATTAATTAAAAAAAGTACGAGTAAATTAAAAGTAAATTTTAATTTTATTTTAATAAAATAAATAATAAAATTAATAATTAAATTAATAACGATTATATAAAAAAAACATAATATATTAATATTTATATAATAAAATACGATGTAAAAAAAAATAATAATATTCCAAATTAAAATTAATTAAAATATAAGGTTTTTTTTATGTAAATGTATAAAATTATAAAATAAATACGTGTTATAAAAGTTATAAAATAAGAATAAAAGGCTTTAATTAATCGAAAAAAATGTATAAGGAAAAATATAATAACTTTTATAATATATATAAGTTAAAATTACTTAAAATAACCTTTATAATACTTTATTATATATATTTAAAACTTAAATACTTAAAAATAATAAT